GATGCCGCAAGCGGATTTTGGCAAATACCCGTCGAAGCTAAATCCGTTGAGCGTACTGGTTTTGTCACCCGACAAGGCACATATGAGTTTACTGTCATGCCCTTTGGTTTGACATCTGCTCCCTCAACCTTCCAAAGAGCGATGTCGAGAATACTGGAACCCTTCCTTAGCCGTTTTGTCTACGTATTTGTGGACGACATTATCGTATTTTCAAGAACACTCGAAGAACATTGTGAACACCTCAAGTCGGTCTTCCATGCTTGTCAAGAGGCAAATTTACGTCTGAAGTCCAGCAAGTGCAAGTTTGCGAAGAATTCCGTGGAATACTTAGGCCACGTCGTTGGTGCTCAAGGCCTGTCCCCATGCGAAAGAAATGTGTCCAAGGTCCTTTCTATGGCGATACCTAGGTCAACGAATGACATCCAAACGTTTCTAGGAATGGCTGGCTACTATCGAAGATTTATTTCCGACTATGCGAAAGAAGCCCAACCCCTTACCAAGTTACTCAAGAAGAATCATCCATTCGTTTGGACGTCCGAACAAGACAAAGCCTTTGAATATCTCCGGTCTGCGTTATGTAACCCACCCATTTTGGACTATCCCTCGAAGGAGAAAATGCAGGTGCTTACTACTGACGCCTCTACGAAAGGACTAGGTGCCGTCCTTTCCCAACACCCGCAAGACAAACCTGAAGAAGAAAGCGTTATCGCCTATGCGTCCCGTGGTCTCCGAGGTTCCGAAAGAAATTATGCCGCCACCCACCTCGAAGCTCTCGCCCTGGTTTGGGCAACCCGCCGTTTCCGTCATTATCTCGCTGGTAGAAAGTTCATTCTACGTACCGATCATGCTGCCTTGGTATATATCCTCAATAATCCGAAACCGTCACCGAAACTATCGAGATGGGCTGCCGCGCTCATGGAGTACGATTTTGTCATCCACCATCAACCGGGACACGCCAATCCGGCCGACGCATTATCAAGACTATCTGTCGACCAACAGTAAGAAAAATCAAAATATACAAGCGAGTACTCACTCTCGATTCGGTTTATTTTTATATTATTGACGGCATTACCAAATGGACTACCCCCTCTACCTCTCTATTATGTATTACCTCAAACGGCGAGGCGAATTTCCCAATGGCAGTACAAGCGAAATCAAGAAGAAAATCAAGTTTCACGCAGCAAAATACGAAGTTCACAATGACAAGTTATATCGAAAAGGCGGAAATACCCCCTTTGATCAAGAATTATTACACGAAGGCAACGCAGAACAAATTATACATCGTATCCACATGGAAGGACATTATGGCATCAATAACACTTGGCGGCAATTGCGACTCCAGTATACTGGCCCTGGTCTGTTCGAATTGGTACGAAAGGTGGTTCAAGGTTGCGTGACGTGCCAGGTCCGGCAAAGAAGAAAACATAGACGAAGTGAACCGGCCCGCCCTATTCCTACACCCATGCATCCCTTTTACATGATTGGCTGCGACGCTGTTGGCCCTCTGGAAATTACCAACGAAGGATACCGGTATATACTCGTGGCTGTGGATTATCTGACAAGGTGGCCCATCGCTGCACCTGTGAAGCAAGTTACCGAAGAAACTACTGCCGACTTCCTCTACAATTACGTCGTTATCCAGTTTGGGGTTCCATGCTTCGTACTGACCGATCGGGGAAGTAATTTCACGTCTGGTTTTGTCCGAGAGTTTTTGAAGATGCTAAATTGCCGTCACCTCACAACTACCGCTTATCGCCCACAAACCAACGGACTTTGCGAACGACTCAACCAAACCCTTGAGAACACAATTGCCAAGCTTGCCCGAGATGAAGATGCCCGCCACAGATGGAATGAATTTATCAACCCTGCCCTGCTAGCTATACGAACGACACCCAATGATACTACCGGACATAGTCCCGCGAAACTACTCTACGGTTACGACATGCGAACACCTGGTACTTGGCCATCCCCACGAACCGACTTTGTTGAAGGCGAACAGATCGGAGAAATTTACAATCGAGTCAAGGTGATCGAATATCTGACAAGGAATCTACACGCTGAAGCTCGTGAACGATCCAGAATACGCAAGTTGGATGATAAAAGACGCTACGATACCCAAGTTCATTTCAAGAAACGATATTCCCCTGGAGAACAAGTGCTAATGAAGGATCAAGTCCCACAAGGAAAGTTTGCCGACCGCTGGCTAGGCCCAATGGTTGTTACCCACGCAAACAACAACGGAACGTATCATCTCACGGGTCCCAATTATCAACGACTTCAAGCTGCGGTACACGGGGACAACCTTATCCCATTCCATCAGCATAAATACATGGTCCCGGACGTACAACGTAAACGAGCCCACGACAATTTTCAAGCTTGGTTAGAACGAATCTGAATCCTATTGATTGTCAAGTCTTATAGGCGTCGTCTTGGGAGGGAACCCTGTCACGATTGTTATTTTATCGACAAGCCTCCGCCTATACGACATGACTTCCCGAAAATAAGATATAACTTGTTCAAAAAAACGACATTCTCGGCCTTTCGCAAAGGGATTTTCCGATCTCTGATGAAAGATGGCACTAATTCATCTTTCTCATTATTATTATCCCAAATTGTATTAGTTATCTTTAGACTAGAAAATTCAGTATAAATATCTCATGAATATCAAGGAATAAAAAGGGAGGAAAAAATTGGAAAAACTACGACAACCCTAACACAACACGCGACACTTTTTTGTACAATTTCGCTGTTATTGGCAAATCTAAACGGCTAAATATTTACCCGCACTCCGTGACAACCATTCATTTCCCTTTAAAATCATGTTCCGCTTGCGAAGATAACTGTATCCACCAACACGGTGTATAAGGTAGGTGGATCATTATGAATTTTGCTTTTCCGTTTCTATTTTATGGAAATTTGCGGCGAAGTCTGCATTTCCACCGGTTGATTGATGACTGTGCTCTCCCAAACGGTTAATTTTTTTATTTTTTTTTTCGTATCTGGATTCTTTTCTGGTTTCTCTCTATTACAGTTCCCTTCTTTATTTATATAGCTATTTGACAATATAACCCCTTTATTGATTCGGTAAATCTTGTCATTAATATATTAATCTTTTTATTCTCATCCTATATCATAATTAAGCCTCTTGTATTTTTTCTAGAGCGTAAGCTGAGCATAATGCAGATAATTCTAATCCTGTGTCATGACCGTTCCCGCGTACACGTTGTCTTGGCCATAATGCACGACTATGTGTATTATTGGCCCGAGCAAGCTCTCCACTGTTGCCGTGCTGATCCATGCGCATACCCCTTACTTGGTCTCCATTTTTCTCTCTTACCGTTGTCCTCTCCTTTTGCTGATCTATACTGTACCTCATGTTATGCTCTGCGTTTTATTGAATTATTTTATTATCGTTGTCTGTTCTGTATCCGATCCTTTAGTATAAATATCCGATCTCTTCTCATGAAATAAACCTCAATCAAGAATTGTTAATTCCCTCGTACTATCTTGTTCTCCATCTTGTCTTGTCCTTGTCTTGGTTCTTTTCCTGTTTTTATTCTTGTTCCGATTTCATTCTTGTTTCTTGTTCCTGTTTTATTCCTTTTCTTATCTTGTCTTGTCCCTGTCTTGCGAAAGCACTTAACACCACCCTCTTGTCCAGCTTGCACTGATTCTCCCGTAATCAGTGCATAACATCCTGCCGGTTTATCTCCATAGGCCGCTCTGTGGCTATTTTGCCTTGGCCTTTATTTATTTACCAGCTTTAGTATAAATATCAACTTGCATACTTAACTCTTTGTTCGAGATTGTATTTTCACTTCAGTGCTCTTTTCTCTTGTCATTATCTGATCTCATCCATTATTCTTGTTTTTTTATATTAGACTCTTAGATCCTTTACACGCTGTTACACGTGCCTGCGAGATAGAAAGTATATGTTGAAAGTTGGGAACACCAGATATACTTACAGTATGTTCCGATATATATCATCTCATTTGAGCTGTTCGATGAATAAAAATAAAAGAAAAGAGGGAAATTAACACCGAGGGCTTTTCTGTGCCAGTTATAAGAGTATATAAGACAAATTGAGCTATAAATGTCAAGAAGTCGATTAATGATGAAAATTAGCAGTCAAAACGTTTTTTGGCATGACAACGAGTCGAATATCATCGCGTCTGTCATTCTGCAGTCGGTTGTACATTGTCTCAGTCCGCAGTTTTGAAAACTCTCCCTTCCTTGAATATACCGTCTTACTTTCACTTGTGCATGATCTGTGGCTCTTTAGATCTTACGATCATTGTAATGCGATTAATCCGTCGCTATTCCTTTGATCCTTTTAGCCGGAGAATTTCTTCAAGCCCCAGAACATTGTACATTTTTTACTTATTTTACTATCGCTGTATGGCTCTGCAGATGTTCTTATGCTCCGATGTGTACCTTTAATGCCGTTAATGCACTTTTCCGGTTCCCCCATACAATGGTATTTCCGAAAATATTTCTTGGAGCCTAACCGAGCTGAATCCGTCTCCCGGAAATGTCCATTTAGCAATCAACAGCATATACACCCTCTTTTCGATCAGTTTTGGTCAATGCTTTTATAGATTTATCTTTTGCTCTTCGTTTGATTACCTTTATTATGAATCCAATTAAATTAATAATTTAGTTGGCGTGGTCGATGTATCGATCTACCAGGATTCCACCCTTCGCATCAAACGGTCTACTTCCCATTATGTCAACTGTTATACTTCTACATAAATAGTACGCAGTTTAAAAGAATTGAATATCCAGGTAATAGACAACGCAGACAGATATAGGTGATTAACACGTGCGAATCTATTAATTGAAAACAAAACCGAAAAAAGTAATAGTTACAGATACTCTTAAACTGCGTAAGCATAAAGTAAAGAACAATCAATAAGTACAAGAATCAATATGTGCACATTAAATAAAAAAAGTAAAGGATGTACAGTTGTAGGGGGTATCGGAATAGGGTACATCTTTCTTCAGTTGGCGTTCAACGATTGGTGATGAACAAGCTCGCTGTAAGTTCCATTGAGTTTCAGTAGCTCCCAGTGAGTGCCTTGCTCAATAACGCGACCATTTTTGATCACGCAAATAAGATCAGCTTTCTAAAAAAAAGAGAATGCATTTAGTACAGCGTAAACTAACGATCCATTCATACTTTAGACAATACATACCTGAATAGTCGACAGACGGTGAGCAATAGTAATCGTAGTGCGTCCACCTTCGTCAAGGATATCATCGATAGCAGCTTGCACCAATTTCTCGGATTCGCTGTCCAAAGCTGAGGTTGCTTCATCCAACAATAGTACCTTGGGTTTGCGAATCAAAGCACGGGCAATCGCAATACGTTGCTTTTGGCCGCCAGATAGTTGACTTCCTTTATCGCCGACGCGAGTATCGTAGCCATCCGTCAGGTTGACAATAAAATTGTGGATGTTGGCCGCCTTGCAAGCTGCTTCGACTTCTTCTTGCGTAACGTTCTTGCTTTCTTCGACACCAAAGCGGATATTCTCGCCAATCGACATATCGAACAATACCGGTTCTTGACCAACCAAAGCCATATGGCTGCGAAGATTACCAACGGTAAAGGATTTCACATGATGATCATCCAAAGATACAACGCCATCGAGCGGATTATACCAACGCTGGAGCATACCGACGGTGGTTGATTTGCCACAACCAGAAGGTCCCACAAGGGCGATAGTTGTACACGATTTGCCATGAAGATTGAAGTTGCCATCGAAAATAGGCACGTCAGGACGCGAGGGATAACGGAACGTAATATTCTTGAAATCGATGTCTCCTTGTACAGTGCTGGGCTCAATTCCTTCCATATCGGGATCAACTGCAGGTACGCGATCAAGGATAGCGAAGGCACCAATAGCGGAAAATTTGGCTTTGGCAAACGCGGAAATGAAGGCGCTTGAACGACCGATACCTTGCAATGTAGTGAACATAGTCATATGCGCAGTGAAAAAGTCGATGAAATCGATGCGTCCACTCATAATAAAATGGATGCCGGCATAGAAAACGATGGAATTGGTGTACATGTTGATACCCTGGTTGAAGGCATAACCGACGGAGGCTGTGAATGCTTTACGTCCTGCAAGTTTGTGAGGATATTCAGTTGCTTTAAAGAACTTGTCCTCGAAGTACCCTTGTTTGTTCAGGGCAGCCACAGTTCGGACCTCCTTGATGGCTTCACCAGCTACTTCACCGCTCTTTTGGTTGGCTTTCTGCGTCGCATCCTCGTAACCGTTCTCCATCTTCATTTCATAAGCAGCGGCAGCGATGTTGAAAGGAGCCATCAACATGATAACCAAAGTCACTTCCCAGGTATAGATCATGGCGATAATGAAACCTGGAATAAGAAGACGGAAAATATGAAAATCAGCCTTTTGATGGATCGAAGACATGTCAGAGCAGCAATAGTTCACTTACCAACAACGGCCGTCATCACAAGTTGAATAGCATCACCCCATGTCTTGGTTACCATTTCGTTCACATTCTTCGCATCAATAGCAAGCTTCGAAGTCAGACTGCCCAAGGTGTTGTCTTCATCATCGAAATAACCGATCTCTTGCTTCATAAAAGCGTTGAAAATATCGCCGCGAAGCCGTTTCGTGTATCGTTCGCCGGCCACTTCGAAAGAGATGATTTGCAAGGAGATACCCAAAAAGGCGACAATACCCAAGATGACGAATAAGAAGGAGAAGAGGTTCCCGCCCTGCATTGGACCAGGCGCAATCAAGGCATGGTTGTCATTGGCACCAGTATTCAACATAACCAGGTTAATCACTTGCGCAATGACAAGAGCATAACAGGGAAACACAGCGCCTGCAAAAGTAGCGCCTATGACACCGAGAAACAACAGTAACCATTCTGGACGCATTTGCTTGAGAACTCGACCAACGGGAGCTTTCTGCTTCTTTGCAAGCTTCTTTTGTTCTTTTTCCTTTTGCAACTTGACTTGGAAGGCATCCACCGAAGTCCGCGTATTCATCTTGACGAGATTGGAATCTTGATCATCCACGAGAACTTCTGTACCTTCGGCAGCGATTATTTCCTTCTCGAGATCACGAGTTTCTTTGCGCAAAAGTTCATCGTCAGTGGGAAGTTGTTCACTCGTGTCGCCATTCTGTGTGATGATTTCTTGTTTTTTCACCAAACCCGCATAAACACCGCCCAATTCGAGCAGCTCGTTATGTGTTCCTTGCTCCACAAGATCACCTTCTTGCATGACCACAATAAGATCGGCGTTACGGATCGTAGATAAACGATGGGCGATTACAATGGTCGTACGATTAACGGAAGCAGCGTCTAAAGCGGTTTGCACGAGGCGTTCCGATTGCGTATCCAAAGCAGAAGTGGCCTAGAAAGCGAGTCGGAAACATATTAATGATATGAAAACGGAAATAACAGAGAGAACAATGACATCTTACCTCATCTAACAAGAGAATAGCCGGATTCTTGAGAATAGCACGAGCAATAGCAATACGTTGTTTCTGGCCACCGGACATCATACCCCCGTGTTCTCCTACGATTGTATCGTAACCATTGGGCAGTTGTGTAATAAACATGTGACAATTGGCCTTCTTGCAAGCATCGACAATTTCATCCGAGGTCACATCGTGCTGGACGCCCATCAAAAGATTTTGGCGAATCGTCATGTTGAATAGAACAGGTTCTTGACTGACGACACCGATTTGGTCACGAAGCCATCTCACGTTCAAAGTCTTGAGATCATGGCCATCCAAGAGTACTTGACCTTCGATAGGATCGTAAAAGCGTTGTAGCAACTGGACGCTCGTTGACTTCCCTGAACCAGAAGGACCAACAAACGCTACAGTCATACCAGGACGGATCTTGAGACTCAGGCCTTTCAATACGGGAATATTGGGGCGCGTCGGATAGCTGAACTGAACATTTCGAAATTCGATGTCCCCCTCAAGCGAACTGGGAACGAGACCTTCATTAGAAGCGGCGTTAATCGCCGGTATGCGGTCAATGGTTTCAAAGATCTTGTAAGCGGCACCAGCAGCACTCGAAACAGCAGAAAAATTTTGCGGCAATTGCAAGAGAACCAAAGCGCCAATAATCATGGCGAAGAAAACGATCAGTATAGTCGTACCGTCAACGTGACCTTCTGTTGCCAGTTTGCAGCCGTACCATAGAGACAAGCCATATGTCCAAAAAAGAACGAGATTAAAACCAGCGAATCCGAGACCAAGCGCAGTGCCACGTTTGATACCGGTGGTCATGGCTTTTTCCAAGAGATCGTTGTAACGACGTAAGAAGCGGTTCTGAAGTGAGAAGGAATAAATGGTGCGAATACCAGCAAAGACTTGTTCAGCGACCGCGCCAGCATCAGCATACGAATCTTGCGCCATGACCGTGTATTTCGTGATAAAGTAACCCATGGCCCCGCCAGCACCGAGCAAGAAAGGGACAGCAGCGAGCATCACAACGGCGAGTTTCCATCCCTGAGTGAAGGCGACGACAAAACCAGACACAAACTGGGCAAAGCAATAAATGGAGAGCCCCATTTTCTCGGAAATGCCATTCTGAATCATTTGGGTATCGGCAGCCAGACGACTATTAAGAGAACCCTCTTCCGCCTTGTCAAACCAAGCCATGTCTTGGTGCATGATAGCGCGGAGATAAAGGATACGAATGCGGCGTGTTTGGTTTCGTCCCGTAAGCACCCATAAACAATTGGCAACGTAGGAAGCCACAAGTACAGCAGTACCCAAATACACGTAGGTGAGAATCATGGGCATTGCAGAGTCGAGCATTTTTGAGGGGTCTCCCATCATATCGGCGACGTTCCCAAGAAGTTTACCGAATAAAATGATCTGGAGTGGTATGACCGCACCGATACCGGCAGAGAAAACCGCCGCGACAAATATCATCAGCAGATCAATAGGGGTGGCAAATCGAAACAGCTTGTAGTATGGGACGGATTTCTGCTTTTCCTTCTTCTCTTGTTTATTCGCGTCATCTTGGACGGTATCCATATTGGCGGAGATTTGCGTCATAGGTATCGATTCGTTAACTTCATCGTAAACCGTCTTCAAGTTGGAATTGGCGAAGTCTGTTGTGGTATATTTCCCATCAGTCTGCGTAGTATCACTGTGTGCAGACGACTGTGACCCTGATGTTGATATTAAACCCATAGTCAAATGACTAATAAGGTAAAGAAATAAAGATCTATAGAGAATAGAAAAAAGGGACTGAAAAACTTTTTTTCTTTTATATGAGAGAACTTTTTTTTATGGGTTTATGCAATTTGGAGGCGCAGCAAAAGAAAATAAAAAAATAATGATATTGTGTGAAACTTTTCTTTGTGGCAAAAACCTTCCTCTCTCCTTGCAGAAAATAATAACTCAAATATTTATAACCTATATAAGTGTTATACGTAAAATATAATGAATACAAGAATGTGTATCCCTTCTTACAATAATATCAACTTCGTCTTTTTCGTCTGCAGCGCGTTCTTGCTTCATTTCCGACCCGGACGATTGAATTGAATTACCGGTGTTTGAATAATTTTCTGTTTTCGATTGGATTCGTGTAAAATTGCCGCAGTAAATCTGCAGTCCGACTTTTTTTTTGCAAACGTGTTGCTGCGCGCACAGGTTCCAGCTCTCCTGACTGATTAATCATTGTCGGCTTTGGACGAGAATTGCTGCGGATGCATGAATCTCTGTTTGATGCATAATCATACGTAGACAGGGATGGGGAGTAGGAGAGTAGCTATAACCTGGAACGCATCCTTAAAAAGGCGAGTTCACATGTGTATATTTTGAATTAATTATCGTGGATGTAACAAAAGCCCTTATAAATCAGAATAGTCTTGTAAGAATATGACTTTATATGATGTTACGTAAAATATACTTGTCATTATGGGGAGACTGTGTGTATTTGCTAGAAGATGAACCTATTCACACATGAAGCGCCGATCCTTTCCATTTTGGGGGATCGACCAAAACGTGGGGAGCTGATTTGCTCAATATGACAGCATTTGCTAGTCAACCCAGTTTTTTACTGATGTAAACCTGCAAAGATGATCCAATTCGCTCAAATAAAGCGTAATAAAACCGGAAGAGTTATGAAGTCGAGCTTGCTTGAATTCTAACACCCCGACAGCGGTTCATTCTAACTGGCCAATATTTTCCCATGCTAGGTATTATGATCGACTTTCATTTAAAGAAACAGACGATGAACTTGGCCTATTTGTAAAATAAAGGAAAATCACCATGTCTAAGATGCTGATGAACGGTCATGAAAAATTATGTCAACTGTTATATTGACACTTAAACAATATCGCAGTGGAGAATACAAGGATTACGTTGAGATAAATAAAAAGAGAAATGAGATAAACGGAAAATAAAAGAAAATAACAAAAATAGTACTGATAAGAAAATCACAGTTTATGTCCACATAAACTTGCTATTATGGGGCAAGACCTCTTTACAAGAATCCAGATTCCTGCAAAAGACGAGTAATCTTTTCATCTTCACGCTCTCTAGATAAGTAACGCATGGTTAAAGACGATGGGAGATCATTGATAAAAAACATGTTTTCCACCTACCTAGGCTCTAACTTTAAGCTTTCCTTGTACAGCTGCTCTTCGTCACGAGTACTTTGGAGATTTGCTTGAATAAATGCCTGCAACTCTTCTACGGATTTCAACTGGTATAACGATGATTGGTACTGTTGAATCTCGCGAATGACTTCGGCTGTTTTTGCTCGCTTAGCAAAATTGATCAGTTGTTTCGATTTTTTCAGGTAGTTCGTGTTGCCGTCCTCGATAAAGGTCAAATCTTGCAGATAAATACCCAGGAATGGGATACAAGGTGGATTGATGGAATGAATAATAGCACGATATTCAGTGAAATTACGATTGGCTCCCATCAATTTACGAATGTTGCCCAACGTTTGGTTTGTCCGCGCGCCAACCATCTGCATCGACAATTGTTCAGTCTATCAGCGTACATCCATCATGTACTATCTTTTACGCCATACCTCCCATGTTCGCTTCAACCGACCGACCGAACTATTATCAAACGCTGACAAGATAGCCATGCACGTATTAAAGTTGTTCAAAAGACGACATTTCTACAAAATTGAGGAAGTATTTCGTTAACCCTGGATAATAGTGCGAGCTTACTCTGGAAGGAAGTTTTACCTCGGCTACTTGTACCCAGTACTTGATCAAGTTGCTTCGTTTTTTGATTTCGCTCTGACTCAGAATTGCATCGGACACCCAAGAAGTCACCTGGTTACAATATTCAATGGAAGCTCGAATATTCACTGCCACACTGCCCTTTTCGTCATTTGCATCGCGCGACCATGATTTATCCAAGCACTCCACGGGCCGGATAGAGCTGTAGAGTTTAAAATCCATAATGGTCAATTGACGCGCCATTTCCAATGGATCAATATCCAAGAGACGGAACTTTCTGCGATTGCGGGGCAAAATGGGTTCTGGAGGGTCGGGTAGAGTTAACACCATCTTCTTTAGCCCTCCTTGAGTTTCTGCTTCCTGTCGCTTGCGAATCAGTCGTTCCAACTGGTCGCAGGAGAAACTTAAACTGTGCCGAATCGTCGTATTTGTGAATTCCGTTAACCGATCGAGGATAACGTGGTCTTCTTCGTTGTAATACAATTCAAGCCAGTTCTTCAGGACGTTGAATACACGCAATCTGACCAGCTTGAGCTTCTTTTGGGTCCATGTTTCCATTTCCTCGTCTGTCAGATTAGGTGGCGGGACAATGTTGTAACGTTGCTCTAATAATTCCAACAGTTCCACTGAGGTGGCAAACGATCGATAGGTCAAAAGGAAGGTGTTGATGAAATTCATGTCAAGATAATCATGCATCGTAAGGCGCTCAACAAGAGCAGGTAAGGTGCCGCCTTTGACATAACCTTCCATATTGAATACAATTTCACTCGGATCGTAATCATACTGCAAAAACCACGGCCGTTCCTTGCTCGTAGGTTTAGTGGCTGCTGCAACCGCAGCAGGTGCATCATCCCCGAAGAATTTCTTCAGTTTTGCGGTTGTTTTTGATGGGCCATCAGGTGTCGTCGGTGACCGCTGTTCGCTAGATGGTGATGCCACGACAGTACCACTGCGGCTTGATGGAGAGTTGGCAGTTTGATCTCGCTTCTCGATGTCCAAAGACTGGACAGAAGAACGCCCATCAGCCGTGGCTTTGTCGTTATTACCAGCATTATCGACGGACGACTCTAGTGGGTCAGTTTGAGTACCGACGACTGTCTCGGCATCAGTGCTGAATCTGTCAAGAACCGAGCTTTTTCCAAGTTCATCAGTTTCATCTTCTTCTTCGATTGCAGTGTTTCTGATGGTGTCCGAATTGTGGGCGTCAGATTGTGTTGTTTTCGCCGTTGCATTAGACTGTTCCAAGATAGTTTTACGTTCGGCCACAAGGTTTTTAACATACTCGCATATATCACGAATAGGCTCGCTCACATGTCTAGCAGCCTTTTCCATAGCAGCCACGTTGGACTGTATCGAAGTTGATTCGTCGGTTAAGGTCTGCATCTGATAGAAAAGAAGTCCTACGCCGTCCGACAGTCGCTGCTTGCAGGCGTACAGTTCGCTTAATAGAGGCGAACTGCTGACACCGTCAAAGTCAATATCTTCTACGATCCCAAGGAATTGTCCGGTTTGGTTGGACAAGTTACGGAATTGTGTGAAAAGCAAAGCAGATAGCGAGAACGAGGTATTATTTTGATATTGATCCGACTTGATGCTGCCAATAATAGAGTCGACCGATTCTTGCATGCTCGTGCCGTAAGCTTCGAGATTGTCGGCCAAATCATTCTGCAGAGCGTACTGGGCTCGCGAGCCATCAGCGGCCGCGAGTGATTCAATCTTTGCTGTTTTCTCTGCGGCTTCGGATGAGTCGAGTAACCGAGGATCGATATGTTGAACAGGAATGGGAATATCCTGACATGTGATGACGAAATTACGAACAGCAACCAAGAGTTCGTTTGATTCTGAAAGCATTTTACTGATATTATCGTTGGCATTATCCACGCTGAGTTGGGCAGAAAGTACGAGTTTCGACATGGAAGCCATCATAGATCGATGATGAGCTCGAAGGATAGCGTGCGTTCTGATATATTGGGACTCCTTATCGATGGTGCCCGAGGTGAATAGCATCGTGCGGATAGCGTTAACGACGACTGCAGCATAAGGTAAAAATAAATGCGCTTGAAGGTTCTTTGCCGCGGTATTAAGGTTGTGTATAGCAAGAGCAACATGAGCTGAAAGCTTATTCCAGGTCAGTGGTTCATGACTGTCAATTACAGACGTTCTTCGTGCAGAAGGGCGACGGGAAGGTGAACGTGGAAATGGACGTGGTGGAAAGCCTTTGTCAGATCCTGACAGGTCATCTGACGTCCCGGACTGAGGAGTATCTTCGAACGACGGCCTCGTGATCTGTATGTCAAAAATGTTAATTTTGCGAAAAATCCAAATATACCCTCCTTATTTGAATTGCCTACCGAGCGATTATTCTCAGAATCGGTGGAATTCGCTTCCTTCACAAAGTCCTGAGAAGGAATGGGTGGAAGGTAGCTCTGTCCTTGAGATAACGTTCTTCTCATCCATGGCATTATTGGCTGTTATGTTCACATCGCATCAAAAAGATAAAAATCAGTTCAAGTCCAAGGAAGCAACGTATGACAACCGCCCGGTTGTCAGCATGAACTTTATAGTGAAGTACAGTTACCTTCTCAGAAAAGCTCCCACTATCGATGCGATCGCTCGTACTTCGTTCATCCCAAGGTCGACTGTCAACAGATTTATAATCGTAATTATCGTCATTGTCTTCTCGTTCACTGTCGATGGATCCATTGAGTCGTTGAGACGACAAATCATCATCGAACTCGGATTCCGATACGTCGTCTGGATGTGTCGATCGCATTTCTCCAGTAGCATGGTTATAGAAATAGCAGCCTGATTTGTCTTCGGTCATTTGAAGAGACCAATTGGGCGGTAATGTCGTGCCTATATTGGTCATACTGTGGGGAGCAAATGAATTACTTCGTTCATGTGTCGTAGGTGGCGCCAAATTATCGAGTAAATCCATCCCCGACCCCTGGTACGGTAAACTCAGTCGATATTCATTGTTTCTCCGCAAAGGAACAGCGTGGTCCGCCTTGGCGGTATTCACAAGGGTTGCCGGAAGATCATGTTCTTTCAGACAGATGAAGTTCTTTTCCTTATTCTGCATTAAAAAGCATTATAGGCGTTGGTATCACAGATAATTTTTTTTTCCAATTTCACACAGATTGGATTCCATGATACAAATTTGTGCATGAAAAAAAAATGATATGGTGCAAAAAAGGGGATAAAAGAAAAAAAAAATTACCTCCATTATCATGTTCTGAGCATTTGTCTCGCGAACAATAAAGCAACTTTCGTCTTTGTACTCTTCAATTATTTCCACATAGTTGCTGGGAAACCAGCCACGAGCACCTTTACACCTATGATCGGTTGAAATTAGATTATGACCGTGTAAATAAGATACTCGCTTTTATTATTCTTATATATGCCCCGAGACCACATCAGTTACATACCAACCATCCCACCATCCGGACTCTAATTTGGTGAGCACCTCAATGGAATCGCCTTGGTCGAAGCTGAGCGAGGATGGATCGTTCGATTTGAATGGGTATAGAGCTCGAACTCTACATTTGATGGATACTGTTGGCATGACGAGTGGGTCAAGATGAACAATCCACAAGCTTGGTGACAACGAAGCAGCCGGAGATTACGTGAGAAATGGTAATGACTGGAGAAGGAGTACGAGAGATTCGAGGCAGAGGAAAAATAGGACAGTAAAAAGGAACCAAAAAGAAATATGGGAATAGGTTGGCACGTCTTAATCTCCAAGAGCACGCGGTCTGGGAATCGACTACCAGTGTAACCAACTTTTGGCCCGCGCTCTAATAAGCTCTACCTTTAAATTTTATTCGGTGTTTTCTCAGCACCTTTTTTTTTCTTTTTTTTCTTTACTACTCTCTATCTCCTTGGGTACAACTCCCAACTATAGCTACAGGCATCCTCCTATCGTAACCTTTTTCGTTTTTTTTTTTATCAGATGCAAAGTTTATCTCCTCCGCATGCCTAAAATGCTGGTTTCAATTTCATTGTTCCCAAGAAATAATAACATGCAAAGGAGAAGGGAAAAAAATAGCACGCTTCTCGGTATTTTATCACCGAAAGCTCAGATTCAATGGTTGCCCAAAGGAACAGAGACAAAATGGAAAATGATATCTTAACAGTCATCCAAATGAAGCGGATAATGAAAAATACACCCGCGATGCAGATCCGTTCTGTCGATAAACCGTTGGAATTGCTGTTGCACACACAACAGATAGATAACAAATCACAGCAGGTCCCTGAGAAATAAAAGAAAAAAAAAACACAGGGTCAATCACACGGTGTCTTATGTGGAAACATCAACTCTTAAAAGGCAGAGATTTTGTTCTTCATAGTGCAATAAAACTTTGGTATGACAAACCGATTTCTATAATTGTAACCATAGATCATTTGGTGCAAGAGTTTCCAAATTGAATATAAATGGTAATTCACAGCCCCAAAATCCCGGTCGATAACCTTGACACAAACAAAACAATAAAAAACTTTTTGTGCATCCAATTTCGCCAATTACCACGTGCAACCTGTCAGAAAGCTTAACCATCCTAAAAGCGACTTTGAAATGTTGGAATATGTTTTGTAATAAATAGAAATAAATAAACTTAAGGATATACAACGTGGAATGGTTGTCCAGATGTTAAATGCGAGTGAAAATTATGATGCGTCTAACTAAATGATGCTTCTAACTTAGTAGCCAGAGTATTTTCTGATTTTTTCGCCCTTCAATTTCATTAGTAAGAGTAGAAATGCCCAAAATAAATTCAGCATTCCAAAGAAAAAGGTCACCCATCCTGGTCCTACCGCAGCTGTCATGGGATTGGCTAAACGGCATCAAGAGGGATTGAATATCAGTCTTACATATCTCCATTTTCTCTCCCATTTTACTTACCAATAAGACTGAGCACACAAGACCATATCATACGGACTAAATTCGCAGCGGCCGTCACACTGGCACCACGATCAGATACAGCATCCACAAGATAAGACATGGCAGGATTGAAAATTTGAACCATAGCGAAACATTGCACACCGAACATGATAATAGACACCCAGACACTCCATCCGAATTGCACCGGCCAACCCCACAGAAAGAAAGATAAAGGATTCAATATGAAAGCAGCGGGCCTAAGAATCAGTATTTAATACCACTCATGAGATGATCGATCATTCGACTCTGCAAATCTGCTTTATCATCTTACCACACATTGGGCGCCAGACGATCTTCAGGGATGGCGACGCCATGCCGTTTTGAACGAGCTCGGTTCAGGAAATAGTCTGAAAGTCTACCAGAAATAAGAGAACCAATGACTTCACCCAAACCAGGGGATATGAACGTGAGACCAATAATGCCTGAGCTCAGGCCATACGTCTGGGTATAAAGCGGTGGTAGCATGTTTTCGATAGCAAACATGCCACCGAAAGCAAAACCTGTGGCCACGGCAAAGATCAAAACGAAAGGATGCCGCAAAAGTGCCTAATGATAGTATATTCAGCAACAGTCAGTCGGGTGAAGATTGCAACGCCATTGTATCTGCTTGACATACCAAGGAAGCCAGCGGATTAATCATTTTTTGATCTATCGCAGTCTCGTCTGATTTTTCATCTGGTTCTTTTTCCTTGAGGCCACCATGTTTTCCCCATACTTTTTCATCGCGATAAGTTTCTTCCATGGCAAATATAATGAGAAGCAGCAAAAGACATCCAATGACAAACAATAGCCAGAATACCGATCGCCATCCCCATCTTTCAACAAGATAACCTTATGACCTCAGTGAGTAATGGTCCTTATTTGGACGTGCATTAATGTCAACCTACCGCCAATGATGGGACCAAAAAGTGGACCTGCAAATTGACCAGTGAAGTAGATGCCAAGGGCGTTGCCGCGTTCGTGCACCTCATAAACATCCGCAACCGACCTTTTGATATCAAAATGTCAATTTCCTATATGATACAAACCAATAAAGCGTGCCGTTAACTTACCCAGCGCCAATAGCCCACGCAGAAGAAATACCAACTGCTTGCAAGATACGCATGCCCAATAAGACGTAGATATCATTTGCAAATACTGCCGCAAGGGATCCAACTGTATAAATAATGATGGAGAAGAAATAAACGGAACGACGGATATTCCAATGATCGCTAATACTACTGTAGAAAATAGGCTTTTTTACTTTTGTGAGTCACAATTTCTTCGTTCTCGCAGCGGAAAAAGACATACCGCGATGCCCATGAACAGCATATACACAGAATTACTGAGAGTAACCATAATGGACGGACTTTGCAATTGGGTCATGACTTCTTCTAGTGCGGGAAGCTGTAAAGAGTCAAAAATTTCACTTCAATGAAAAGCAATTGGAAGCAAGCATATACTGTGAACACGTACATAGATAGTGGAGCAGAAACCAGGTATAATGGCAATAAAACAAACGAGTCCCAACAATAAGCGTTTGCGCCACACCGGCAGATCACGAGGATCCGACTGTACTGTGTTCCGCCATGCGAACAGCGATCTGAAATATTGTGATCGCAGCATCATGGTGGTAAACTGACGATCAACAGAGAAAAAAAAAAAAAAAAAAAAAAAAAAAAAAAAAACGGCAGCTGCGGTTTTTTTGGATTGTGATCCCTGATCGTAATTCCACACTCCGTCGGCAACTCCTTGAATGGAGATCGATTCGATTTGCTGAATTTCGCTAGATGGTTGCAGAATTGAGAGATCAAAAACTTATTTTCGCAATACTTTCAGAGTAAATAGCGCATAAAAGTGTCATTATAAGCATGTATGTGAATGATGTATTTAACAATGTAGATATGATAAAGCTGTAATATGTAGAATATGTCTAGAGATAATGATGCAAAGTTATATTTAGGATACACAAACAAGGCTCCCACGACAAAGGAAAAAGGCGGTGGCTGTAATCAGAAACACATAAAACCTTCCGTGCCCTGGGGAGATGCCGCCCTCATTGGATCGATCTCAGACAAAGAGCAGTTATCCGAGATTGTAAGTCCGCAAGGAACTGATAAGGAACTGCGCAGAGTGAACGAAGAATTGGTGGTTACGTTTTGTTCCTGTCCAGCTTCTGAGTCGATCGTTTCAATCATCATTTCTCTTGCTGATAAAGGGGCTTCTGTAGTGCATATCACGTTAGCGTTGGAATACAATAGGACAAGACCGTTGAGATAGTGAACGCGGCCTTGCATAGCTTGTGAATGTACAGAATCGAGCATAGTAGTAAATTGATCACAACTTTCCTGGCTCATGCCTGCCATGCCGTGTTCGCGTGCTAATCGGCGCATCTTTACGAGTGTTTGCTGAAAACGGTGCAGTGACTGATCAACTTGTTTTAGGAGCGTGCGACACGTTTGTTCTTCGGCCCGACTCTCGACAAGCTCTTCAAGTAGGAATTTCGCAACCGCTTGCATTTCATCAGGCTCCAAAGATTGGATAATAAATGAAGCAATTTCATATGCTGCCTGAGCTTCATTATACCCTTGGTTTGTGGTTGATGGATCGACCACCTCTACCCAGCTATCGTCATCGTTGTCCTCTAGTTGTTGGGCTTGGAGCTGATCAAGTTGATATTTCAAGAAATCAACCTGCGCTGTAATCATGTCGATGCGCTCATCCATATATTGCGGTGCAGAGGCGTTTACTACGACGTCCGAGTCCATATGTTGCGCTTCTTCCGTCAGTACAGCTTGTCGTTCGGCTAAAAGTTCCTCCTGCTCCGTCTTTAAGCGCTGGCACTATAATGCAGATTCAATATCATTTCGCCCATTTGATTTCATGCTCGCCAAACTTACCTTTTGTTCAAGTTCCTGGATTATCTTCACTGGTATTTGCCACGTAGTATGCAGTGCGATAGCCCTATGGGACTTTGTCAGAAAAACACTCGTCAAGAAGAGGAGCTTCTCGCTTACCGTCGAAGAAGATTTTTGCGGTCGTGAATACGCTCATGCAACTGTTTGATCTTTGGTTCTTCCGTTTTGTTCGACCGTCTTTGCGAGTTTTGCTTAGTAAAATGACCTTTTGCCGCAGTACAGGACAGCGCTTTGGCCACTAATGCTCGGTCTACTTGTTTCTGCGCCATGGCTTTCTTTAGCATCAGTGCCACTTGCTTTAACTGCGTGTTCAAATTCATCGATTCCTCCGAGGCTCGCTTGGCTGCTTGCTTATGATGCGCCAGCTCGCGTTCATGCCGCTTACGAGCATTCATCGTCTTCGTCTCGGACTGCCTTAACCTTTGTAATTCGCGTTCATGGTCACCGCATCGATCACGTGCACGATCAGATTCTTGCTTGATGCGCTTTATCAGACGTTTCTTCTCGTGACGTGCTTCTTCCAACTTTTGTTTCAAACTGCTGATCGTCGCTTCATTTTTTGAACGAGTGGTTGCGCTGTTGTGGACCAATTGCGAATGCTTTCGACGTAAAGTTTGGATTTCGATTAACTGCTTCCGACATTTATTCTCGTGCTGCTGCGAAAGCTCTGATACTGCTCGTTGATGCTGTGTTATGGCTTTCGTGTGCTTAGCTGTCAATGCAGCAAGTTGCTGCTCGATTTCCTTTCTCTCTTTGCTCTCTTGTTCCAGTTGCACAATTAACTGCTGCCGTTTTTCTATACCAGCGCTGTAGCGTGCCATGAGTTTATGTACAAGATTATTGTGGGGCGCTGAAGAGGATCTCAAGGCACTGTATCGTCTGTTGGGCTGCGGTACGGAAACTGGAATTGAAAGCTTAAGGTCGGCTTGCAATGTATCAGTAAAGCTGTAAATATCCGTATCCTTCTGTTGCTGCATTTCCTAAGTGAACCAAGCAGCGTCAGAACAGAGAGTACGGTAATATTCACAAAATTCCGCTAATTTACCTTGAATTTCACCAAGAAACCTAAATCGTCTCGTATATCTGCCTTGGCTTGCTTTACAAGGAAATTTCCAGCCCCGGTTGCCTTGTCACGGCCAGTTGATGCTTTGGGTGCATCCTGAGACGTAAAACTATGTCGTCGACGGCCGCGCACCGATCTTTTGCTGCCGAATCTGTAGCTTCGTCTCTTCTTGCGGCTTCGTTCTGGACTTTCCATCAATTGTTCCATGCTTTTCAACATCGAATCCTTACTGAGAGATCCAACCAAGGTTGCACTATCGTCTTCAGAAAGGCCACTGGCAGCTCCTGTGCTATATCCAGAAGAGTGAGGAATAGGCAGTACTTGGGAAGGGGCCAGGTGGGTATCGTGCGCAATTTTGGAGCTTGAACACTGTGCACTGAGTAGATCAAGATGTAGCTGTTCAGTTTTTCCATTTTCCTCCAAAGAACAGTTGACTTTGCTGATTGCTTCTGCCGATACCTCGGTGCGGAGAAGATCACGTTCCTTTTTCGTCCTGGCCAGTTCATCAGCTAATGCTCTCGACAGTTGCGTCAAGGATTGCACTTCACGTTTGAGGCTATCCATTTCGTCGTTCACTGCACGTAAAAATTCGTCGTTGGTTCGAATTTCATCTTTAAGTCGGACAATCAAGGCCTTCAAACGGTTGCTCTCGCCAGTATCTTGATTCACCACCACTCTATTCCGAATATTACGCGCTCGATTGGCATATTTTAAAGTATTGAGCGTCTCGGGGAAATTGATGACGGCCGGTGATAAGCAAGCAAGCATCAATGTTTGACTGTTTCCTCCCAGACTGTCTTGTAATAAGCGCGTCAGCTTGGAATCACGATAGGGGATATGCGAGACTCGTCGAGAAGGATCTCCTAATGCTGAAATCACGTTGCCCAAAGCAAGTAAACCTGAATTGATCGAGATGCCTTCTTTGGCACGATCGCCGACCGCATTAGTACGTTTAAGCTATCACGTGGTAATTAGCTTGCATAATTCAAATCTCGGAGGTAATAGAGAAAAAAAAAAGAAAACATCTTTCGGGTGCTTTTTTCCCCGTAAGTATACGTACCCTTTCAGAGCCAGCTAGATCGACGAAATGAAATTTTGATGTAATTTGTCTAGTGATTATGGTCGCGTCGGAAGCTGGAACTTTATTGTCTGACATGATATTCGAGATCACCGGAGATACAATAGTCGGATCCACATTCGATCCATCGTCAACGTTATGCTCCGCTTCCTGAACGGTCTGCTTCAGAATTACGGAGAATATGGCATGCGATCGTGATGATGTTCGGTTCATGTCCGTCGAAGCTGTTGTACGTGCAATTGATCCTTTTTGCAGCAATCTGTATGTTGATAAGAGATGATAATTGATTTTTTTAAAAAAAAGGTTAAGAGATGAAACGACGACGTTTGCGACTTTCGTGATTTTTATGCCTTACCCGAATAGTTCGTCGGGATTTTGCACCAACTCTTCTCGCACACCCATCCAACAGATGTTTCCTTGACAATCCTCGCGGATCGACAAATTGACACCTTCTTTTCTGTTCGGACTTAGAAGATCAATGAGATCTTCATGATACAGTTCCACAAACGATACTGCAACTTGGAATGTATGTGTTGATGATGTCAATTGTTGAATTTTGTCGAATAATCCGTAAATAAATCGTGGCACGATCCCTTCTTCAGCAATGGTTTCTAGTCCGATGCCCATGCTGTATGTTTTGCCGCTGCCTGTTTGGCTATAATTTTCTAGGTGTTAGCAGGCTTGATCGAAATCTAAAACTTCATATAATTTGTGAATTTTTTACCCATAGGCGAGAATGGTAGAGTTGTAACTGTAAGATAATAATTAATGAGTAATGGCATTCATTTTAGTTGACACGCCATGCACGAACACAGACTTACCCACTGACAAATTTATTAAGAAGCGGCATTACGCATGTATCATACAACTCCTTCTGTGTTGCTTGCGGAGGATAAGCGTAGTCGAATGTGAATGAACGATCGTATCCAATTAATATTTGTGGTTCACTGGGTACAAAACGAATGATATCTTCATTATTTTGCTGCTGCCTCTCAGAATCAGAAAGAGGTCGTACACGCACAGCAACTCTATTTGTAGAATAAAAAGCTTTAAGCGATTATGTGGAGCATGAGTTGATGCCAAAAATTTGTAACCTGACAGAAGTCGTTGTTGCCATGGTCGAAAAGAGCAAAAAATTAGGATTTCAAAAAAAAGAACAGAAAGAGGACTGTAAATTTTAAGAAAAAGGGAATGAAAAGAAAGGGGAGGAACAGCTGGTCAAAATCCGCAACATAATGCCATTACAAAATAAACAATAACAACCAAAAGGAGTAATAGCGCTCCTTTCGTTGTTTGTAAGTTTTGCTCGTGTCAACATTCCAATATTGGTTTCTTGGCTCAATTTGGGGGATCAGCGGCGTATCGATTGGCTGAAAGCAACTGCTGGATAGGAAATCAAGTTCGTGTACGTCCCTTTATGGAAATCGTGGCGAACCACGGCAGAATACCATCGGGATCGTACTGTGCGAAAAAGTCGATTACTTGAAGCTTAATATGCTATAAGCCTGTCATTGATATTCATGTCCCAATGAGTATATAAATCCGCCCTTGTACCTTTTCGCATTGTATAGAGGCGTAAATGTTTCCCAAAACGCAGCAGCATCTGATAAATTTGGCATCTTGTTTTCATTCCCTCGCCTTGAACGCGGGCTTTGGCAATTTTGGATCTTCTTTTTTTTTTTTTTTCTTCCTTTAAGGCTCTTTAAAAACAATTGGCCATTGGATTTCTCAATTCTGAATGGTGAACCATGAGGAGAAGCAGGCTAAACCTGATTGATCCGGTGACCCATCCAAGAAATAGGTTATAAAGTTTATCCACTACACAAATCCAGTCTGTGCATACTTCGCCATGTTTTTTCATCATCATTTATATATGGAAAGCTCCATCCATTAAATGTTCTCAAAGCAATTTCTCTAATTTTACTACCATGACTGACATAACAGCATTTCTTGTCGTATCTCTTGAGTGCCAATTGAATGAATCGGTTGACTACAAGCAACTTAACTCGTACTGTGGACCACGTTAGATAATATTTGGTAATTTTTTCTACTCCCATCGAAAGTGAATATAGGATGGATTGTGATGCTCGACCCTTCCGCTGGACAGCTCATTCATTTGAAAATAACAAATTATATGATTGTTTCCATATATTATGTGCGTGTACTAACTTTACAGCATCATAAAATTTTCTGTAAACCGATGCCGTCATTTGGATTGCCATAGTTTGATCATTTGACTTTTGTGCAGCTGCTTGCTCTTAAATCAGGTCTACATCATCCGAAAAATTTGAATTGCCCTGAAACGATACAAAGCATGTCATTGTACTTAAGGTATGTGACATCCCACCCATAGGAGTGGCTAGAAATGTATTTCAGAGTTCTTTTTTTTTTTTTTGAAATATCGATGTCGCATAACTGCTTGTGCATATGTGACAATACCACCTTCCGCCAGTCGGACAGAGTAGTCCTAAACATCGTACAGCCATTCTCTTGAAATAATAGGACCATCCGTTATAAATGTCCCACGTGCAACGTGAGTATTGATCCACAACTTGATTATGATATATTATTTTCAGAGCCACCGGCAATCTACAGTCTAATGTGGGAAAAGGTGACAGCATGCTCATGGTCCACCATTTTATCTAATAAAATTAATGAAAAAGCAAGCATAAAAAAAACGTGACGCGAGAAGAGAATGATCGGCGCGCAGACCCAGAAATATGACGAGTGACAAGTTCCGTGTGGCGAATATTCCGGTTTACCGGAACCCGAGAAGGATTATGAGTCAATGGAGCAGGGTCAGATCAAATCGTTTGATTAATGCAAACGGCAAAAGGAAATGCACGTCTCACTATTAAACTAGAGTGTTTGGCAGACTGGCTGCGGCGCGCGCCCTTGGAATTCCACGATTTCTGCTTGCCCAGCTTTCAAAATTGCTAAAGAAAACAAAAATTGGAAGTCCACGTTCAAGGTACACAATCGGGTACAAAGACCATACAAAGTAATGCCGAAACACAAGAAAAGTGATCGATTATCGATGGGCCACCTATTGCACCACCACATATCTGGTAACATTTGCTTCCAAACATAAAAGTTTTCCAAGATTTCTATGTCACAAAAGCAGAAGAGTGGATTTCCGACATTACCTTTTTTTGACTCAAAAAATCGAAGGCAGTAACTTGTCTCACGTGGACCGGCGACTTAGACTACGAGTCCTCCAAGACAACGGACAAAGCGCCGGCGGCCAAGCTGGAGCGTCCCGAATCGGGGGTTAAATTCTGAATCACAAATCGAAAATTGGAAATTTTTGAGCTGGGCGCTGCAGCCACCTCCTTAGAGCTGCCACAGGCTGATCTGGCAGATACCATTCCCTTGCCCGTGGAACCCTTCTGATCCGAATATAAATACCGACATCCATTTTTGTGATCTCCTGTTTTCTGTGATTTTTTTTTTAATTCTTTCATCTTTCTTTTTCGTAAGTTACTTCCACTGGTAACGCTTCATTCAAACAATAGCGACCTCAAATTACAACATTAACTTGTTATTGAACAACAGAGACTTTGCCATAACACGATCATACTTCATGACCGCCGCAGCCCCGGAGTCTATCCATGTCGAAGCCAAGGGCTCTTTTGACGAATCTATCGAAGAACTTCCTATTCCAGAAAAACCTATAGAGAACGATGATAATGACAATGACAAGAAGAAGGAAGCCAAAGAAAAAACCAAAGCCGTACCAATCTATAGACTGTTTCGATTTGCCACAACGTTTGACCTTATACGGATTTGCCTTGGTATCATTCTTTCGGCCGGCATTGGGGCTATGCAGCCTCTTAGTATTATTATCTTTGGTGATATTCTTGGAAATATTTCGTTTTCGATCGACAGTCCATCGGCTATGCTCGATTCGGCCATGCCAATGATTCTCATCTTTGTCTATATGGGTACTGCCGCCACCGTTGCTGCTTATTCTACAAACTGCATTTGGATTCTCACGGGGAGGAATCAGACTCGACGAATTCGCGCAGCTTACGTTCACGCGATTTTACGTCAGGACATGAGCTGGTTTGACAAGGCTGAAGAAGGTTCTCTCAATACCCGCTTGGCATCAGATACCCAGCTCATCCAAGATGGTATCTCTCAGAAATTCGGTCTTCTTATTACAGCCATCTCAACATTTATTACGGGTTTTGTGGTTGCTTTCGTGGAAGGTTGGGAGCTCGCCGTAGTGATTTTAGCCACGCTCCCCCTCTTGGCTGGTACAGGTGGCGCCATGGGGTATTTCATGACGTTATTTACCACCAAAACACAGGATTCTTATGCTGACGCCGGTGCGGTTGCGGAACAAGCTTTTTCTGGAATTAGAACTATTTACTCGTTTTCGTTACAAGATCGATTCGGCCACCGTTACAATAAATTGTTAAAGAAGGCCACCGCAACAGGTATCAAGCGCGGTATTGTCCTCGGTCTCGGTTTCGGTATCTTCATGCTCGTTCTCTTCTGTACTTATGGTCTGGCTTTCTGGTACGGCGCGAAGCTGGTAATCGACGGAAAAATTGACGGCGCCACCGTGATGGTCGTGTTTTTCACCATGATCATTGCCGCCTTTGCCCTTTTACAATTGCCTCAGAACGTGTCGGCTGTCTCTAACGCTGCCGGTGCTGCTTACAAAATCTTTGCCACTATCGATCGTATTCCTGAAATCGATGTCGACTCTGAAAAAGGCATTGTCCCGGACTCCCTCAAGGGAGAAATCGAATTTCGAAACGTTGAGTTCAAGTATCCTACTCGCCCCGATGTTCCCATTCTAAAGAATTTGAGTCTCAAAGTGAGCCCTGGCATGACTGTCGCTTTCGTGGGTCCCTCTGGTTCGGGCAAGTCCACGAGTGTGCAATTGATTCAACGTTTCTATGATCCTTTAGCGGGGCAGGTGCTTTTGGATGGTCGTGACCTGAAGACATTAAACGTTAAGTGGCTGCGTGACCAAATTGGTGTTGTCAGTCAGGAGCCGGTCCTTTTCAATATGACCATTCGGCAAAACCTGTTGATGGGTGTTCAACATGAAGTCACTCCGGACGAAATTGTCGATGCTTGCAAGAAAGCTAACTGTCACATGTTTATCACCCAGCTGCCCAATGGTTACGATACGATTGTAGGAGAACACGGAGGTATGATGTCGGGTGGCCAGAAACAACGTATTGCTATCGCTCGTGCTATCCTCAAAAATCCCGCTATTCTTTTGTTGGATGAAGTAAGTCTCCATAATTTTCTTTCCCCCATTGGTTTTCTTTTTGTACTTAATATTTACTGGCAAATTTTAGGCCACTTCTGCTCTAGACACGCAGTCGGAGCGTCTTGTGCAGAAAGCATTGGATGCTGCTTCCACGAATCGGACTACGATTGTTATCGCCCATCGCTTATCCACGATTCGTAATGCCGATCTCATTGTTGTTATGCAGGAGGGCGACCTTGTGGAACAAGGAACGCATAACACGCTTCTTGCATTGGGGGGTGTCTACGCGGAGCTGGTGAAGAAGCAAGAAATTGCAACGAAAGAGATTGGTCACGTAGAACAAGAGGTGGATGACGAACAGTTGCTGCTCAAGGAGACCATTCAGTTGAAGGAAGAAAAGGAAGCTGCCGAAGCAATTCAAGTTGTGACGGAAAAGGAAGACGGTTACAAACTTACCAAGACCGCCAGCCGTTCTTCCATCGACGCGTTTCAATTGAAGTTGGAGAAGAAGAAGGCCGAGAAGAAACTAGCCAAGAAGCAGAAAGCTCCTATGGGTAGAATTCTCAAGCAAATGCGTCCAGAATGGCCCTTACTCGCTTTGGGTGTGGTTGGTGCTGCTATTTCCGGTGCTGTATTCCCTTGCTTTGCGTTGGTTCTCAGTCAAGTCATGAATCTGCTCATCGTCAACACGGCCGATCCATCCAGACATCATTTAATCGCACCCGGACCCATGCAAGGCGCGAATCTTTATTCTTTTCTTTTCGTTGTACTCGGAATCGTCGCTCTTATTGGCATTGCTGTGGAAATCATCAGTTTTGAAGTCGCAGGTGAACGCTACACAGGACGGCTTCGTGGTAGGCTTTTCCGAACCTTTTTAAAGCAAGAAATTGGCTATTTCGACGAAGAAGATCACAGTATGGGTGCCTTGACGGCCAAGCTGGCAGTAGACGCCAAGAACATCAATGAGATGGTCACAAAATCGTGGAGCAGTTTTACTGAAATTATATGCACAGCTGTCACTGGTAGGTTAATTGAAAATGTATTTCAAGCATGCAAATGAAACTCACTTGCTATGTCAGGACTTTCGATTGCTTTCGCTCACAGTTGGACCCTAACCCTGATTATTTTGTGCATGGCTCCTTTCGAAATTGCTGCTGCTGCCTATGAGATGAAGGTAGAGGGTGGCTTTGAAGACGAGACGCAAAAAGCGAATGAACAGAGTGGTGAAGTGGCCGGTGAAGCTATCAAGGAAATTCGTACTGTGGCTGCATTGAATAAGCAACCGCAATTCGAGAGCAAGTACTACAGGGCCCTCGATTATCCACACAAACTGACTCAACGCAAGGCGTTCACTTCTTCCATTGGTTATGCTTGCCATCAAGGTGTAACTCTCTATACAAATGCTGTTGCTTTCTACGCTGGAGTTCGTTTGATGAGTGAAGGCAAGATCGACTTTCTTCAAATGTTTACGACCATGATGGCTATCATGATTACAGCTCAAGGTATTGGTCGCGCCAGTGCATTCGCTTCTACCTTTGCCAAGGCCAAGTTCGCCGCTATCTCCACTTTCGCAGTGTTTGATCGGAAGCCCACTATTGATCCTGATATGGAAGGCATCGAGACGGATAAGGTTATTGGTGAAATTGAGTTCAAAGACGTCGCTTTCCGATACCCATCACGTCCGGATATATCGATTTTTCACGGTGAATTCAACTTATACGGCAAAGCTGGTACAACTATTGCTCTTGTGGGGCCTTCTGGTTGTGGCAAGTCAACCACCATTGGTATGCTTCAGAGATGGTACGATCCCGCCAGTGGCACGGTACGCTTGGACGACCATAATGTGAAATCGTTTTCTTTGGATAACCTTCGCAGCCATATGGCTTTGGTGAGTCAAGAACCGGTCTTGTTCGATATGTCAATTGGTGAGAATATACGGTTTGGCGTTGAAGAAAGCAAGAATGTCACACAAGAAGAAGTCGAAGCAGCTTGCAAGGCGGCCAATATCCACAAGTTTATTACACAGTTACCGGATGCTTATGACACTCGCGTCGGCGACAAAGGAAGTCAATTGTCAGGTGGCCAAAAACAGCGTATAGCAATCGCTCGTGCATTGATTCGCAAGCCCAAGGTACTCCTGTTGGATGAAGCCACATCAGCTTTGGACAGTGAATCGGAGAAATTGGTGCAAGCTGCCATCGATAACATTCTCGAAGAAGGAGGACGCACTACTATTACTATTGCTCACCGCTTGTCCACCATTCAGGTAAATATTACTGTCTATACATACTTTTATGGAGGTAATCTTAACTGATCAAAAATTGTGCTTATACAGGGCGCAGATCTGATCTGTGTTGTAAAGAACGGTCAAGTAATCGAGCAAGGCACTCACTGGGAACTGTTGAAACTTAACGGAGCTTACAGTGAGCTCGTCCATCAACAATCGTTGAACGCTCATTAACAATAGCATCGAAGCTTTCTTATTCCTTCGCATATCTATCGAGCGGCATCGTACTTTTTAATACCCCATCCCAGTCACTTGTATACAAAGTAATCATGTACTCTATATAATATATTTATCCACCATATGTATATATGAATGGTTGTTTGAAGAGCAAAAGCAAACACCAAAGAATTAACGCTACGTTTAGTTCAGCGATCTTCTTTGATAACAACGCTTTGTCGCTAGTCATACACTCCAATCCAAGTTGCAGGGAATCAACCTTTCCAATCACCTGGCGTTAAGCCTATTGATTACAATTTATGATGTGTCACCCTTCCTTTTTTTTCTTTGATTTTTTTTATCTATGAAAAGTTATCAATTTGTAGGTAGAACGTCCCACTTCGCTCGTGAATGCAAATTGGCCACTCTGCTGTGCCCTGAGTTCCGGTACCTGAAGGATCGAATTCGTATCATGACCGAAGTCTTTGCCGTTGCTCGTCAGGATGCATTAAACCTAACTAATCTGCATTGCCATCGATGGGTGGAAGGTCAATTTGCAGAATGTCCTCCGATACATGATCCAGTCTTATTGGTCATGGGCGTTGGTGATGACCAATGTCCATGGAGTACGAAGTCGCCCTGTGAGTACACTGAACTATACAATTGAATACCTGTACGGTTACTCAATGATAACTCTATCCTATCAATGTAGCCAAATCAAGGCTGGTACCACCAGTTAAATGCGACATTTGCCAACCACTTTAGACCAGCAACGATCGATCCCAATTCTGGTCAAAGTCAGTAATGAGTTTTGTTTTATCGCTGTTATATATGTATTTTTACTGACCATACTGTATCATATGTGTATCAGACTTGTATCAGTTCCCTGTGTTGACGTCTTCATTCGTTCATGTTGCCAATTCCTTTTGCCACACAGCTGCTATGAGTAAGTGAATCGATTTTTAAGTCAAATCAGAAAACAAGCAAGATTCATGACTGTATTTTCAAGATGCTGTCGAACATTTATCCCGAAACTTACGGGGTAACATGGTGCGTGTATGGTCGGCTTTTTCCTTGGACTACGCAATGCCGGCCATAATCTCCCAGCAGGACCAATCAACTAACTTTATCGACTCGGTCTAACTCTGTTATACGATAGATCCTGCAAATATCCACAACCAACCGCCGATCTTGTTTGACTGTAGCTTCCAGTCCGATGGAGTCATGATTTCGATGCGCTTTGTTGTCCGTGGCCGTGGTAAGGAATACCGTCCTAATTTTCCTAGCATAACCAAACTTACAAGCTTTTACTCCTAGACCCATTGCCTTCCTCTCGAAAGGAGTTTCAGTTACTTCCTCGACAGGTCGAATCGGCACCATATTCTCACCCGTCTGTCGAAGAAGCCCCGAGGACTGACCTCCGAAAGGCTAGAGCAATCTCGAGTCATTGGTATCGATCCAGGTAAATTATTTCGTCGGAATTCTAGCAGAAAAAGTACAACTTACAATATTATCCAGGTATCCGATCGATGGTTACCACGGTCGATACCAATGACGACCTCAACACAAGGAGCTCCGACAGCAGCATACCTTTTCCGTAAACAACGGATATTACCAGTAAGTTTGCTTTTGCGGACAGATACGTTTCTGTGGGCATCTATTAACCATCTTATTCTGCTAGGGTCTCCTGCATGTTCCGCGTTGGGCTGCGCAAATGGAGAAGAAGAAGAGAGAAATGTCGCAGATTCAGCCTACATACAATGAATTGGCCGCCTCCCCCCCTTCCGTCATGTCGGTGCAGGCGTTCCAGGCGTATATACACGCATTGATCCGTGTACGTACGAGGTAAAGATAGGATAAAATACTACAAAATAATGGTCTTGGTATTGAAACCATGTTTCTTGATAGGCTTTTCGACTTCAACGCACACTATAATTATTGTGAGCTTCGAGCTGTTTTGAAAAGAGCCCGAAAGCGAAAGATGGATGTCATCACGGAAAGGCTCACGCGGAACTTTCCTACGCTGGATATGGTGAGTCGATGCATCCAAATGTCATAGCTGGTTTTGTTGACACTTCTGTGGTAGCCGATGCAATGGTCCATAAACCCGACAGGTCAGAACGAAAACGAGAGCGGAGGGCAATCCGGAGGCAACCGGGACTGGAAGCTGACCACCGCCTTGTCATCATTGCCTTTGGTGACGCTGATCTCAAGCCTTCGGTGAAAGCTTTGGCTCCAGTTCCTGTGAAGGTATTTTTTCTTCTTGCTAATGAGTTTGTGACATAACATACTCATATTTTTATTTTGGTAGCGGGTCAGACAGGAACTCGTCAAAAAGGCACTCGTATTGTGCGTGGACGAGTACAAAACCAGCAAGGTTTGCAGCCACTGCGACTCGACCACGACGGAATTCCGGGATCCAAATGTAATCCGCTGCCACCATAGGTTCGTACTGGAGCAAAAATGAGACCCTTCTGTTATTGATGTAGTATTTCCTCTTTTAGGACGAAGATGATCCGATTCCGTGGGGATCGCCGACATCGACGCTGGTGCTTGAATGATGAGGGACAAGTCCTTCATCATACCTCCGCCTGTCCAGATCGCCGACAAGTTCGTGAGTACTTTTATTTTGTTACATCAGGCTTTTACTCTTACTGATGAAGTGGTATTTTTAAAGCGGCCAACGATTATCTCACCAATGTGTATCCCATTCGGCAATGCCCTCAATGCCAGTCCGGGCAAGACGAAGCGAGAACACTTGTAAGTGAACAATATAACCTGCCTCATTCACACAGCTTCAAATTAAAAGTCGAGCATAAGTGCGTAGCTTTTGTTTGTAACTTGCTTTATTCGGTGGAAACAGTCAGGCCCTCGGGTAGACCGGCAACAATTCCGTTTTACTTCTTACTCCCGTCACACTATTCTCATTTTTTAAATTGCTTTATGGGGTGGAAACATTCAGGCCTTTACGGTAGACCGGCAACAATTCCGTTTTGCTTCTATTACCCTATACTATTTGTGATACATTACAACAAATCATGTTTTCCATCTATATACATTAAACCTTCAAAGTCGTTCATGATTAAATATATATTATGAAGGAACTTGGATACATATGATACAGCTCGTAACCTGCACTGCTAACATTTGTGTAATATAGGAAACTTCAGTGAAACAATAGCTTAATAAAGAGACATTTGATGTCCATCCGTATATCAACGAGCAACCCAAGTTCTCAATTTCAGCACAACGCTTCTCCGTTGCGATCCGCATGGCCAAAGGCGAAATTCCACAAAGGCACGAGTGAAAATTCCGTAAAAATTGTCAATGCTCCAATAAAGCGTACTATGGTCAGTCTGGCCGACCCACTCTCCAGTACTGTAATGGTGCGATCGCGCTCAATATCATCCCACCCTTCAATGAGACGGCAATCGATACAGAAAATGGAAACGTTAATGATTTGCGTGCTTCATATTGACAGAGATTACCTAAAAAGGCCTACAACATCAGGCGAACGGCCAACGCATTGGAGGACGTTATTCAAATACACAAGTTAAGTAACCCAATTACTCGATCGCATCACTACAAAAAAAAATGACTTGGGAAGCTTAATTCTCCACTCAAAAACGTAAGTCATGGATAAGTTAATGAATGGCAAGGACTTAAGACATTATTATACTTCACCTTGTTGTAATAGATTAATCAAAAAAACAGCAGGCGACCTCAAGGAGAAGAGAACTCATCAGCAAGTGAATACTCAACGACTGGTAGTCACTTGAACGTAGTGCATTCATCCACCAGTTGCAAGTGAAGTCAATCTCTCGGGTGTTTAGTCCTGAACAGATGGAAACTGTGGAATTCAGGCGATCGCACATAGCGTTAAAGGCAATGCACAGTGTTGGCAGCTGGTCAAATCAGATATGCTGCGCCATCTGAAGGATAAATTGGATTTGTATCTCAGTATTCTCGGCAAGGACGCTGTCCAAAAACTTTCTAACATTGAACAGCACTGATGCACCTCAACGCCTCCAAGCTTTATGGTTTATGATTCCTTACTGTGCTTTAATTGCATACAACACTTACAACATTGCTATTGCCACTTATAGTGAGCAGCAAAGCATCTTGTTTGTACCATGTCTCTCTCTTCTTTCATCCGTTCACCCGATTATCCTTCAGCTCACGTCAAGTCATTTTTATCTGGTGACTATAAAATCAAGACACAGAACCGAGTTCCCGCCACTATTCATCGCTCATGAAGATATATGTGAAAGATTCTATGATCTAAGCAATCAGAAGCTTCTTTTCATACAATTTGTAACTATTGCCCACTAAAATTGATCTATAACCTCTCAACTAACATCATATATTATAGCTGTTTTTGAGAATAACATAATTCAAAGCAATACTGTCACTGTCGAGTCTCATTTATGTGCATAAAAAGTCGCAAATGCACATAAGCTACGTCACCAAAAAAAATGAAATTCTAAGTGATGTCACTTAAATTCAATTTAGCAGTCCCATTATGTGTAATCTCTATGTGCATTTAGTAAAACCCTCTCATTGGCCCAGAAAAGAGTATCGTGTAACCAAATCGGTGCTCCACGCGGAACACGCTATATTGCCAAAGCCATTCTTTGTGGGGCAGAGGAAAGGGGACTGACAGAAAAGGCAGTCTCCGAAGGACAAGCCAGTTGGGACATGAACCTTGCTAGACTGGCGCAGCAACTAAAAAAAAATGTAAAGCTAAAAAAAGAAGCGCATCATTTTTTCCCCCTCTTTTCATCAACTAAATTTCTTGAATTGATACTTTTCCTTTTACTTTACTGCCTTTAAATAGTGCGAGACAAAACTTTTGTCCCGTTGTGTAAAAGACGTTGTTACCAAACAGATAAGGAGAGGACGCGCAGCACGCTTGATCATTTACCATATCGTATTGACAAGCAGTTGCGGTGTTGTTCCTGTAAGCAACATCCAATAAGCTGATTCAGGCTGTTATACCATATCGAATATGAGGACGAATACCGAGAGCAACAAGGCGTTCTTTGACTTGTTACCTCTATCCCCGCCGAGAAAGCATACCGTGAAGCCAGAAGAAGAAGTGACGTACCCATATCCGTCTTCCTCGGTGCCTGCCGCTCAATCGTCACCATGTGTAACCACACAGATTTCATCAACATCCGACAGCGATCAGGATCCTGTAACCTTAAGAGATGCACGCGCATTTTTCGAATCCTTGCAACTTTCCAGCTTGTCGATCCCTTCGTCACCAAGAAGCGTGACTGCAGAAGATGACTTTTTGCTCTTTCACGAACGTTATCAATTCTCTCCATCGACACCACCTGATTCACCAGCAGCGCTGAATGATCTGTTTTTAGATTTATCTGAAATGGCGTCTGAGCAGTATCATTGACACAAAAACTAATGTGCTAACGACCCTTTCCAAGACAGCTGTTTTCCGTATCTTTTCTACCACTGCTTCTTGTGTTTCCCCTTTTCATTCACCCATGCCCCATTTCTATTGTTTTGCATTTTCTTCTCATAAACCCTTTCCATACATTTTTTCATTCATTACATAGCTTGCAGCTAGTTTGTTTATTGTATTTCTTATTGTTATCCCCATGTTCCAGTCCCTTCCATTGCCATGTCCTTATTATTTTTTAGCATCTTTTCATTTCAGCACATTGTTTTGTATAAATTGTTTTCCGATAAATTTCGTAAGATCACAGAGTTTTATACCCGTATTTATCATATATGATACCGTTATTAGTTCCGACAAAGAGGTGTGTTTTTGCCTCTTTTGCTTGGAGTTGTAGCAAAGCAACGCTAAATATGACATAACCATAGAAATCGCTGTAGTCGATAAGGCTTAAAAGAGCAAAAGAGTCTTGCGAGAATTTTTCTGAACTTGTGATTATAGGGTATATTGCATTAGTAAATTGGGATAATCGAAAAGGAATCAGCTAGTACGCTGGATTGTCGTTGGATAGTTGCAGAAGTTGGATTGAGGACATGAAAAAGTTTAACGAGGAAGAGCTTTTGGAAAAAGCTGGTTGTTCTCATGGTGATACACGATTTATAGCGTTGTGTTATTTAGTTTGTTGATTACATATGGACATTATCTGCGTTTTTCGTGGTTGAGCGATAAATGAGCAGATACAGCTGCGATTGTATGAATCCACACCAAGAAGGCTTTATACGATGAAGCCGCATAACACGTGTCAATCGCTGCCTGGATTTCTCTTACGTTGCGTCACATTGGTAACCTGGCCAACACATTTATCCTATTCTGGATACTTTATCGAAGTGAATGCACATTTTTTTGCAGATCGAGCCATTCTTACTGCCAGAAAAAAAAGATTGCAGGCGTTCGTTTCGGCGGCAACGCCGCAGACAGTTCCAAGGGAAAAGAATTGCAAGTAAAATCAGATTCTAATACCATTGTTGACAATGATGGTCCTTTTAGGATCGATGATGGGAAAGCTCATTGGGTCAAATAGACCAGTATTTAAAACGGTATGAACCGTCGCCAAAACATCCTGATCCACCTTGTATTTTTATTTTTGTTATACATAGACGCACAACAATAAGCACCAAGCCATCCATCCAGGCGTTGTGGAAAGTATGGTTTTTTTTCTATTTTATGGATGTTGTTCAGAGCAAGAGGACGGTATCCAATAACAAGGACTTTATGCTTGTTAGCTGATTATAAATAAAATGATTAATATTGTGTACAAGGCAAATAAAAAAGTTTACAAAATCAAATAATGATAAGTTGTTTTAAAAAAAAAGCTGCAAAAGAGAAAGGGTATTTGTCTAGGATAGCTTTTTGTTTCCCAAGGTAAATAAATGTTCCAAAGCGTAATGATACACGAGTCGGCAATAACGTGAATCTCGGAAATGCAGAATAAGTAGCCAAACGACCAAGTAGTTCGATATGAGGTACAGAACGTGCGTGTATTTGATGCCGTACATGAATGCATAAGCAATGATGCCGTAGAAAATGAAGTAAGTGGTCCAACGCCAATATCTACAAAAAAATAAATAAGTTTCTCCTTGATCCACTGGATGCGATGCTTTCAACAAACCTTGATGTTTGCCGGGGTAGCATATTCCTTTCACTGATCAGCGCCTCCACGTACATCATAAATGGTGCAATTGCTAGCACATTATGATCGGAAGAGAACGGAACATACCAGTGAACCGCGAGATTTCTGATCCACACCAGTAAAATTGGCAGATTAAAAGGTAATAATGTGATGAGTAGCAGTAGGACAGACTGCATGTAATGATATCGATTTGTTTCCTTTCGATCGGATCGTGACAACTAGAATCGGTATTCAGTCAGTCATATGATTTCTGGAGCGAACCCTCCATTTTCAGCTTTACTTACGATAGCCCGTTTACGGATAAGCGACCGGGTACACGTTACAATATGAACAAAGAATGCCACGACGAATACAAACTGATAAGTAATCACCGTAGCGACCAGAATGAATAGAATCGTGATAGTGATAACGCGTCGTTGGAGCCTTCGTTGCCGACTCTCAGCAGCCCGGTTGATGGGCCAGAATTGCCAATCAAGGTACCGTTGAAAGAATGGAGGAATCAGGGTACACAACCGCAAACTGGCTTCCACAAATAACCACAGCAGGGACATGATCCCGACACCTAACAGAAGGCCCAGTAAAGGTAACCACCAGAAGAACGGATCCGAATTGCCGGCGAGTACATCATGCCATTTAATATGATGAGGAAGGTCCCACATGTCTTCGAGCGCATAAGAGGCAAAACACTGATAAATACTGCACAACGACACCAAAAGCATGGCGATGGGAAGTGTACGCCGCAAGCAATACATCAAGCCTTGACCAAAATGAGGGAAAATGCCTACAGCGAAAAAAGTTGACCATGTAAATTAAATTTTGTAGCTATCAAAGAGGGAATCATATGTATCCACCTACCAGTGTTATTGTAGGCTTGGATTTGAGCCACAAACACGAGCATGACGATAATAAAGGTGGATGTAGCCAACATGATGCCATTTCGGAAACCAAGACGACCAGCACTACCATACCAATCGATGCTGAGTTCCAAGTTGACAGGTTGAGGGCAGACCGGATCCATCCACACTTGCAAAAGTAGGCCACGATGATCGATATCTGCTTGACCGACAGCAGCCGAAGAAAAAGCAGTGCGACCATGCAGCGACAGTTCAGTTTCCTCATTGTTGCTGGCTAAATTTACGTAAAACTTGGATTCGTGCATGCTAGCAATCGATTGTCGCAGAAATGGAGTAAATCGCATTTTGGCTTCATCACACGATGGGCGAGACAATTTCAGGTGATAACCCAGCATCGAATTCTCAATCGAAGGGATGCGAATAGACGAAAACAATGATGGTTTCACGGATGCACGAATTCCTCTTACAGCGATACCTAATAAAACATCATTCATCAGTCCCTGTGCCTGTAATTCTCTTGCCACTCTCTCCACGCTCTCCACCAAAATGACATCTTGCGCCCATTCCTCTTCTCTTTTTACCTATCATGCTCGTACTGATTACTTGGGTATTTTCTCGTGTGTTGAAAGACTCAGCAATCAGGAATCCAAATCGACCTCCTTTGTCCCTGATGGCCACATATTCATAGTCGCTCATTTCCGCAAATGCAATACTGGCGAAGCGGAATTCGTTGCCTGAAAATGGATCGGTATCCTGTTTGGTAGACGCTGGCACAGGAACGGCGATAGAATTGGCAATGCGACATTCCATTCGAGTTCTATTCGGTTCATACTCTTTTATTCTTTTGCACAGCAAAAGATCAAAGCGCTGACCAATAAGCTGATCCGTCAACACAGCATATGCATTTTTTCCTCTTGATCTTGGCAGAAAATGCATGGCTGATGGCCTATCTCCTAGAATAATCAAACGTTCATCCTGGTCATCCTTGGGTAAAGGCTGCTGCCATTCGAATTGGATGGTATCTTCTACAATAAATCGTCCATCTTAAGTTCACTGTATCCTGTCAGTTGTGCATACCGTGTAGACATACCAAGCATCAGATCCGAACCGTCGCCCCTTCGATCCTCCAGCCCCGTTAATAATGCTTTACGCATGACTCGCATGCGATCTTCCAACGTCTGAGTTTGAGAACCTCGTCGCACATCCACAATATCGAGAAGGCTCTTTGCCAAGACTTTGACGAATTGATTACAGGATAGGATTGATACATGATTTGCTGCTGTCCAGACGTGAGGTACAGCCGTCGTGAAAACGGTAAAACCATTGGTAGCAGGTAGGAACGGGCCGACATTGGCAGCGTCCGAGTTGACCGTATTATCCAGCGTGCCTCCAGCAATCGAGATAAGCATGACATCTTTCAGCGAGGTAGAATGATGCAGGTTATTCGTCTGAATCTCATCAGAAAATCCCTGCGTCCAATGCCGATAGATATCCTTGTAGATCTGAGAGATTTTCCAATCGAATGCTACGGGCGGGAGGATATGAGGAGTGGACAACGTGATGATGGAGTTGATACTTCCAGGTTGATAATTCGGCAACGTAAACATGGTTCTGGCAACAATACCGCCCATGGAATGGCCGACGATGATAATGGATGTGGGATCGGGTAATTTGGAGTTTAAATGAGGATCTAGTTTACGAGATTGAATGTAGAGTTTGAGGATGTAGTCGACGGCATCGTTGAGATATTCGGCTTGTTCAAGCAATGATTGTCCGTGAAGCGCGGAAAATTCCTCATGAAAATCCACTATATCCACTGTTAACCACGGGCTTCTTTACAAAGCTTACCATTGCATCCATCCTTACCCGTGAAAAAGTCGAGCGATCGTACACCGCGATTCCAAGCATCATTATCCTGGGCATAGTGCTGGTAATAGTAATATGCTGCTTCTGCAGAAAGCGATCGGACTTGCTTATAGCTGCCGGCATGACCGGGAATGAACAAGACAGGCACACCAGTCGGCTATCCAAAAATGGAAGACAATTCGAGAACAGAGAGATTAGATCATCATAAATTATTATGCGGGGCATTTTTTTTCGCTCTTCCTTCTTACATAATCGTAATAATCGTGATCCGCTTCACGGTACAGGTAAAGACCATACTTGCCAGCAAATCGAGTCATCTCACTGTCGAAGCCTGTCTGCTTTATGTAATAAGGACGCATGTAGCTCATTCTACATCCACTTTTATCTCGTTGATGATGCTGAAAAGAGTCAATGATAACGGTAATGCCCAGAATGGAGAGAAAGATGATGCAAAATATGAGCAAACGACTTGCTCGTGTCAAATGATAAATGGAAGGTAGCAAGGCTTGCGTTGTAGATGGAGATAAAGGCGGAGACGGCGAATTGGAAGGAGATGAAGTTCGACTGGAGGAATTACTACTGTCGCGAGAGCGTAACGGTATGGGTGGCGACCGGTCGATCCGCAGATGAGGAGCCGAAGGACTCTGATTCTCCTTCGACAGTGAATCGGGATCTTTCATCTTTAAAGATCCGGTATTGTTTTGCTTTCCTCGCTTTGCAGCCGATATTGTAAGTGAGATGACAACCGAGCGAAAGCTGCCAAGCCCGGAAACATACAAAATAAGAAAAGAAGTCAGGTCAAACTGAAGGGAGGAAGAAAAAAAAAAAGAAAAAAAAAAAAAAAACTGATTGCGCAAATTCAAAGCCAGCCCAAGATCAGCACTTGGCACCCACCCCAGTCCTCTGCAATGGACTCGCACTCTAAAGATGTCTGCTAGAGATAGACGTGTCAATCCTCCGATCAGCAGGCATCGCCAGTCCCTTTCTCATCTCCGTGTTCTTAACCCCTTGATGGTCTCTGTACTGCCCTTACTTGCACCGGAAAAAATTTCCGTGATTCTTTGTCTGAGTAGGAAGCATTCACGGCATGCCAACTGCGAACCCGAGGGTGAGCAGCAATTGTGCTCTCCGAATGTCATCATCAAAAAGTGACTGCACAAAAGCCTAAATTGCAGGTGCATGGTTGTAAGCAGGTCAATCAAAATAGTAAGAATATAAGGTCCTGTCACAAAGATAAGCTCTGAGTATTCTCGTCATGAGAAAGTTCAATCCATTTAGGAGCATGACGTTTTATCATGCCATATGATCAAAATTGATAGTTGAGCCAATGACAACTGATAATAGCTACTCACAACGATAAAGGTATCCCCTTGATTTTTTCGCCTTATCAAAGATACACTTTGCCAAAAGCGGTGTATTATATCGTTTCTTCATCCTCATTGGTGGGTTCTCGCCTTACGAAAGGGAATGGGAAAATGAAAGTTGATGTGTAGATTGAATTGTGTGCAACGCTAAATGCATAAACAAACACTAGGAAAAAAATTCAAGTACGGCAGCGTGAGAGTGCTCTCACATTAAAAATTTTATTTGCACAAAGGGGTCAGTCATGCGGGTGCTATCTTTCAGTTTGGACTGTATATAAAGGCTCCCCAAGTGAAAGCTTACTGTCCGTGTCTTTTTGTTCTTTCTCCTTTTTCACTTCTTACACTATGGCTTTTGCTACCTTTATTCGAGCGAACCCTGCTTTAGCACCACTTTTCCTCTTCGCAGGCGGAGGCTGTGCAGCTGCTGTTGCGTAAGTTACTCAGCACACTGGTCTCCTTGATAAACGACATTTCTAACGACGTTCTAATTTTTTGTTGTCGCTTTTTTTTTTTTCTGGCGATACTTTTTGCAGCTATCCACGTAAGTCATTGCAGACGAAAAAAAAAAGAAGCCATTGATGAGTGTTTGCGTGGGACTCATGTGTGATTCTAACCTTATCATTCTTTTTTAGTTTATTTGCTCCGAACCCATCCTGAAATTAACATTGACCGGAGAAACAACCCATTCCCGTGGCAGCGTGTACAACAACATGAAAATATCAAGGTAATTGGCTTGTTTCATAGCGCATTCAATATGCATCAGCAACGTTGTACTGAAAGCTTATGTTTTTGCTTCTTAGTTCATCAACATGGTACCCGAATTCTATGAAGGCCGCAAGGACATGAAACGACCTTCCTACTAAACACATCCCTTAATCCAACCATCAACCATATCCATTCAAAGCCAAATAAAATTCCGTGTGTCAAAAACAGCAACTATTTTTATCCAGAAAGGATAGATGAAGGGAAATGGCAAAAAAAAAAAAAAAAATTCGCCGTTGCGTCATAATGATGAAAGCCAATGAAGGAATCCATTAAGTTTGGAAAGCTACATACAGTTTTATGTATGGTGGAAAGTTCACAAAAGGGCCACAATATAATGGTTTGGAAGCCGTGCAGTGAAGGTGCAAAAGGGATGCATAGGATGTGGATTTGAGGATGATGTCAAAATTGCACTGGATGAAACAAAACTATCGACAAAAGAATGATGCATGAATGACCGGACCTTTTTTTATTTTCTACATTTTTTGGCGACTTTTGTCATTGTAGATTGTGGTCTTCATTGTTCTCCCTTTGTGCAGTTATGTTGAGAACGTTTTTAACCTCTTCGCTCCGCACTCAAAGATTGGTGATCCACCGTACAGCGATACGAACATTATCGTATTCAGCTATTCGACATGATGAACTGTCCGATAAAGGAAAAAACGGTCGCCGTACAATACCAAAGGATATGTTGCGTGAAATAAGATCTTCCGTGCCCAAGCCAATGCGAAACGAATTCTCCCATACATTGTCCACAGAAGAGCTCAGAAAAATCGAGGTAAACAGCGATAGCCACTATGTCCCACAACGGATTGGCGATCGCCTCGCTTACAGGATCGTACGTATCCTTCGGCTGCTTCCCGACCTTTATTTTCGTGACGACCATTATATGAGAGCTTTGATGCTGGAAACCATCGCTGCAGGTAATGAAAAGTTTGGTCATTAGGTCACTACATCAACTTCGCCTAAAATATAGTCGCGATTTTTTGTAGTGCCGGGTATGGTGGGTGGCATGCAAAGGCACATGCGTTCATTAAGCAACTTGAAACCCGATACTGGCTGGATTATCCATTTGCTGCATGAGGCTGAAAATGAACGCATGCATCTGATGATCTTTATGAAATGTATACAACCCAATTTCTTCAATCGACTGCTCATTCTCTTTGCCCAAGGTGTATTCTTCAATTCGTACCTCCTACTCTACTGCATTTCATCCCAGACTGCGCATCGCTTCACCGGTTACCTCGAAGAAGAAGCCATCCATTCCTATACACACTTCCTCAACGACTTGGAGGCTGGAAAAATTCCAGACCGTCCTGCTCCTCAATTAAGTATCGGTAAGTTTCTTTTTTCGCCTAGGTTGCAAATAGAAAAGTGCTGAAAAAGCGGCCATCTTCCTTTAGACTATTATAATCTCCTTCCTTCGGCTACAATTCGTGATGTAGTGCTAGCTGTGCGAGCCGACGAAGCTCTTCATCGCGATGCAAATCATTATTTCTCTGACCGAATTGCTCATCATGATGAGGATTTAACAAAGGATATTCCGGGTGAGGATAAAAAGGAACAATAAAAATTAAAAGACCGATGTTGTTGCGCACCCGCGATTTTCGTCACGGATTCATCGCCAAGTGTGCTCCTTCTTTTCCATCCCTTATCCATCCGTCATGGTAAAATTGTGGATTCCATGCATCCATCCATGTGATCGTTACAAAAATACAGTATATTAAGTATATCATATAATCTTGCTTTAGTCTGGTAAGCGTGCTGCTCCCAAGAAGCAAGTTGAGCCTGTCACTCTCGGTCCCCAGGTCCGTGAAGGTGAACTCGTCTTTGGCGTTGCTCACATCTTCGCTTCCTTCAACGACACTTTCGTCCACGTTACCGATCTTTCTGGTCGCGAAACCATTTCTCGTGTTACTGGTACGTTAATCGCTGTAATTTATCTGCAAAAGGACTGCCCTCTTCTTGTAAGAGGTGTGAGCGGCGTGTGGGGTTAACCATACGCTGGACTGAGTGGTGAAAGACACACTCCAGCCCGTTGGTTTTTCAAGAAGATTTTTTATTCTTACCCACATCCCCCTCTTTGTTCCTTGTTTTGTGTTTTTCTTACTTGTAGGTGGTATGAAGGTGAAGGCCGATCGTGATGAATCTTCTCCCTATGCTGCCATGTTGGCTGCTCAAGATGTTGCTGCCAAGTGCAAGGAAGTTGGCATCAACGCTCTTCACATCAAGATCCGTGCTACTGGTGGTACCGGTACCAAGACCCCCGGTCCCGGTGGTCAGAGCGCTCTTCGTGCCTTGGCTCGTGCTGGTATGAGAATTGGTCGTATTGGTAAGTGCTCACATAAAGATCAAGCTTGTATTTTATTCATGCTGACCTTACTTTTTCTTTGCCTGCAGAGGACGTTACTCCCGTTCCCACCGACAGCACCCGCAGAAAGGGTGGTCGCCGTGGTCGCCGTCTTTAAGCGTCTCCTTCTTACCATTCTACGTTTTTCACATTTTATGCCCTGTTTTGTTTATTCAATAAACACCGTATAGGTTCATACATTATCTCATCTTTTTTTTCTTTCTGCATTCAATTTTGACTTGGCAAGCTGTGTAGCACTAAAATGAACACCATGTTGCAGAATTATTGGAAAGGTTGATGATACAGCATGTATACTGCATCTTTCGATAAAAACTCGAGCGCGACGGTAGCCGCGCGCATAAAGCAATCTAATCTCTCTACGACGCACGTTACTGTTTGTGTGTGTATGCACTGGGAGATTTCATTGCAAAAAGGAAAGCAGAATGAAAACGGTCAACATCATGTATTAATGAATCACGTGGCAAACATTGTCGGTATTTCAATCGATCTCAACACAGCAGATCCCTTTGCTGAGTCACCTCCTTCTTCAATACTGTCATTCTCCAACAACCTTTTCATGACCACAGGAAAAAAGGCGAACAAGATCGCAAAGTCTAAATCAAATACATATGCGAAAGGAAAAGCACGCAGAATACACAGCACTACCACCGAACCTGCAAGGAAAATCAATGCTGTCCCTACCAAGCATCCACCATTATACTCATCTTTGGAGGCTTTGTACCATAATCTGTCACCTCTGAACACAACTTTTGGCATGCCATACGCACGAGGACTTCCTGTTCGTAAAAGCATCGATCGTTTCGAGAACGCTAGACTATTAGCAGAGGTTAGTCGGAAAAAAAAGACGCGTCCGTCACCCGCCGATGAATAGCTGGCGACCGTGCCATGTCGAGAGGCTTAATCAAGATCGAATGTTGTAGGCACAACGTACTGATGTATCTGCTGAAAAAATGCAAACTTCCCACAAAGATGACACGTCTGCAGCAACGAGTTCGCGGCATGATCAATCCAGTTTATCAAACTCCGCGAAAACTACTTCCTCGAAAGTTCAACGGCGGGTGCTGCGACGACGTCATGATACTAAGCCTATACTTCCTATGGAGCCACTTTCCATCCGATTATCCCGCAGTTCATCAATCAATCAGATCAAATGTCAAAAAGAGCCGGGGCAGATTCGTAAAGTGAAGATTGGTCCGTATTTGATTGATGTATGGTACCTTGCGCCTTATCCCGAAGAGTACAGTCAGCTTGAAACTTTGTATATATGCGAGTTCTGTCTCAAATACATGAAGAGCGCCTTTGTTGCTAAACGACACAAAGTATGATATCATGCGTGCAGTAAAACTGTCAATACTCCAGTTTTCTTACAGCTGCGATAGATCAAATGTACCATGAAACACCCTCCAGGCGATGAGATATATCGCGATGGTCACTTATCAATATTCGAAGTGGACGGCCGCAAAAATAAGGTAACAATCCTAGAGGTCTCGCTACTTTCGAAATAAGCTTTCTTAATCCTCCATATTCATCCGTAGATCTATTGTCAAAATCTTTGTTTACTGGCGAAAATGTTCCTGGATCATAAAACCCTATATTACGATGTGGAGCCATTTTTATTCTACATTCTTACAGAAATGGATGAAAATGGTTGCCATTTTGTAGGTTATTTTTCCAAAGTAAGCCACTTTTTTTTTTTTTTACTTGTGTGGTAGTGCCACGTGTCATCTACGTTGAACAGTTTGTTAATCTTCTGGGGGTTGCTTTTTATCACAGGAAAAGAAATCATTGTTAGACTATAATCTATCTTGTATCATGACGTTACCTGCGCATCAACGTAAAGGCTATGGGCAGTTCCTTATTGATTTTAGTAAGTGCAACTATCTTTGATCGACATGCTCGTTGTTGACTGAAAAAGAAAATAGGTTATCTGCTTTCGCGCAAAGAAGGTAAAATCGGATCTCCGGAGAAGCCGCTTTCTGACCTGGGACTGCTGAGCTACCGAAAGTATTGGAAAAATACTCTGAGACGAGAGCTACGGGAACAAAAAGATTCGGTTACCATTGAAGGTATGTCCAACGAGAATCGACCTATTGCTGTTTGAAGAAAGGCCAGTTCATTGATTGTGTATTGTCATCCCCTGCGGCATCGAAAAGAATTGAGTCGACGAACATGTATGACCGTAGATGATGTGATATCAACACTAGAACTCAACAACATGCTTCAACGGCAGGCGAGCGGGCAATATGAAATTATAATGGACGATGAGACCGGTCACGGGAATGGAGGCAACCAGCACCTAGTCGCTAAACCGGAATTGTTGACTTGGGTACCCTATATGGCAGCAGTCAAAGGAGATGCAGGCGTCTTGAACGTACCACGAGAACCGACCATGACAGCCGCGGCAGCCGCGGCGGCGTCCGGTTCCCCAGTGGCTGCTCACCCACATGTTCGTCAAACATCTATACCCAGTCGTAGAGGAAGACCGCGAAAATATCCCAAGACTCCAACCTAAAAAAAAAAAAAACCAAAAAAAAAACCGTTCTAAATCAGAATCTCGCTTAAAATGGACATTTTCTGAGAATAAAAACAAAAAGCACTTTTCTCTTCCGATGGCATGAACGTGTGAGGAAGATCGTCCTACATAGTTGCGACCAGAGGAGCGGATCGAGTCAAGTTCGCACTGAACTTTTCAAAGTCCTCCGCGTTAAAATTTTTCTAGCGGTAAAAAAGAGCGGTGGTTTTAGTTCATTTTATAGTGCCTGAAGTAGTATCAACTCTCTTCTTCTTGAAGTATCCATCTTTCTGCACCGTCACTGTATGCGTTTTTTTTTCCTAAAAATGACCCATTCTGTTCCTAGTTTATCATCTACTCACACAAAACGCGAGATTGATGATGAGGAAGAAGCGAAAACAATCAGCGAAGAAAGAAGAGGCTCCACTGGTGGTTATCCTCACATACTTGAGACGGCTCCTTTCCCTGCATTAGGTTCACTGGAAGAGATCACACAGACAATCACTAAAAATAGTTCTCGTCAGGCTTCCGGTGACAAAGTCGATGTATCAGAGGCCCTGCCCTCGGAAGGATGGCGAAACCGCGGCTGGTTAGTGGTGATCTCTACATTTCTGGTCAATTTTTTCGCGTTCGGAACGATTTATTCGTGGGGAAATTTTCAGCGTTTGTAACTATTGCAAAATATTATATCATTTCTTCTACTAAAATTTTTTGATGGATCATCTACCAGTAACTTGTTGCTAAACTACCATGGACTTCTGGAAATAGATATTTACAAGACGTATATGCCGGTCAGACGGACGATTTCAAGATCGCTTTTGTCGGTACTTCAGCTACTGCTTGCTTATTATCATGCGGATTATTTTTGACACCGGTCATCCAACGTCTCGGTTACCGTGGAACTATGTGTATCGGTACAGTGGTGGCCCCTCTGGGACTGATATTGGCCAGTTTCGCCACCGAACTGTGGCATATTTATTTATCTCAAGGCATTCTGTTCGGCATCGGCGCTGCTTTTGTATTTTCAACTTCTATTACCCTCCCCAGTCAATGGTTTGTCAAGTATCGCGCTTTTGCCACTGGCATTGCCGTAAGCGGTTCCGGAGTAGGCGGCGTGGCCTTGTCACCTATGAGTCAAAATTTGATCGACACCGTCGGATATCGCAATGCGCTTCGAGCCATGGGCGGCATGGGATTTGGTATTCTTTGTATTGCTACTGCTCTTGCTTTCTCTCGTTGGAAACCGCCAGGTGACCGCTTTGTGATTATCGACCGATCGTTGATTAATTTTCATTTCTGTATTCTTCTCCTTTTTGGACTCATCGTGCCTTTTGGATATGTTGCACCATTTTTCCTTACACCCACCTATGCTGCATACATTAACGTCGATGCATCTAGAGGGGCTACTCTTGTATCAGTAATGTCAGCCATGAATGCTGTTTGTCGTATTGTGCTTGGTTTTCTTGCTGACTACATCGGTCGTTTGAATACCATGTTTATATTTACACTTATTGCAGGTACTTGGGGGAGGTTGCTCAAAACCTTCTTCATAATGTAGCAGAGATTAGTGTATTGATTCTTTTTTCTTTCCTCTTGCAGGTATCTTTTGTATGGTAATTTGGCAGTTCGCTACTAGTTACGGTTCTTTCGTTGCTTATGCAGTATTATACGGTTTAACGGGAGGTGGATTCGTCTCACTGTTTCCTGTGGTGACGGCTGACATTGTGGGTGTTGCTAATATTCAACGCGGACTCGGTATGTGTTACCTTGCCACAACGGTGGGCAATTTATTGGGGACACCCATTGCAGGTCTGTTACAAAAACACTTTGGATGGACGGCTGCTATCCAGTTTGCAGGAGCCCCTTCGGTCACTGCTGCTTTGGTAATATTGGTGCTGCGCCAAATCCGCAGTCGCGGAAAGATATTTATGAAAATCTAAAAAACGTTTTCATACTTTCATACTCCCATTAAAGTGCTTCTGTATATTTGTCAATCCAGTCATTTCCATGTCGCTTTCTGCAAGCATTGTAATTAAGTACGCTTTAAAACAAAATAGGAGAGAAATGGAAAACAAAACAAAACGGAAGTACTTATTAATTGCGATACCTCAGAAAGATTGTGATTGAAAAGTGCGCAGAAAGGTATATAGAAGATAATCGCATTACGGAATCTCATGTTGCCGATGAAACTCTGCGCAATATGACATAATTTTACCATGGTAAAGGACTCCTTTAGCTGTTGGACTGTAACCGCAATCATTGATCAGTAAAGTTGGCCCAATTCTGGTAATATCCAACACTCTTGCTAAACAAGCTTCTTCCATGATTGAACGGCAGCTCATTGCATTACGAAATGTTATGTGTCACCTGAATCAATCAGTATGCCATGATGTATTTTTCTCCTGGGATACACGTCTCAAATCTACCATACTGACAAATTTATTATTGCCGTAGCAACTATAGTCGTCGTTTGTGAGATAGCGGAAAATACTCCAACGGGTTCGGGAAAACCGGGTTTCTCCTAATCTTCAATATAGGTAGATAACGTGGAATCGAATCCCTGATAAGAAGGTGATAAAAGCTGGTTTTGCGCACACATGCTTTCAGTGCAATTTTGGGAGGTAATATAACGTATGTTGTTTGATCTGCGAAAGAGAGTACTTACTACGGTTGCAATCAGGTGGAGAACGATCAGCTGCCAGCTGAAAATGCTTAAACTGATGGAGACGCATTTGTCCGCGCATGCAGCCAGTATCCAGTCCGTTCTAGATAAATGCATCGACAAACTGTAACCGTACCTACATGGCAAGTGGCTGTTACTCCTAATTGAGCGCACACTATAAGCCCCGATTGCATGATCAACGCGACATTTTCTGACGTTAGCAACAAGAGGTTGTGTTTCAAACTGTATTGCCAAGGAACACCGTCAAAAATCCATTAATAGTAAGTGATGGCTCACGTTTCCAATTTACAGCGTAATACTAAATTTGGTGTATTGCCGATGTCAAACCGTTTCATTATGATGCTTTGATGGGCTACGGAGAAAATAATCGAGAAAAAAATTGCATTGAAGAGGGAAGCTGTAGGGGAAGCGCGAATTCCATATTCGCACTGCTCGATCAGTGCCACTTTCAAAAAAGTAGAAAGCGCGATTTGTTACTGATTCTTTGATCTATGTGATTCTATTTCAAAGGATCAAGGGCTCGCTGCGCCCCTGAACTGTTCAAAACTGCTTCACACTGACCGTTGCCCGTCTTTTTTCCTAAAATATAGTATATTGTCTCTTCTTTTTCTCTCTTTCTCAAGAGAAAAACGGATACAGAAGGTAGGATCAAGGAGTACTGGAGAAAATTTGATCTGTCAAAGGCTCTTTTTTTTTAAGGAGAGACCCAACCATGTACGTAGTTTCGTCGGTGGCTGCTTATATCTCTACGATATGCATCGTTTGCCTTCTTCTGTTTCCTGTTCTTTCTACCACCCCTCTTATACTGCTCATACCTTTTTCTTTAAGCCAACTGAATGATGACAAGACTATGGTCTTCGGCTGCTATCAGCAATTTGGAGAATAGCAAACGGAAACATTCATCGATTTTGTTACCACCTGTGGCGGGCCATTCAACTCCCGCTCTTCCACGCATAGTATCCTCTGAAACGGATCTGCTACATTGTCCGGAAGACATTCCGTCCTGGAACGATTCACCCTACAGTACTACTCATCTAAAATCACTCAATGGGCGACGCGCTTCTTGTTCACCGCAAATTTCATCTGCACTCATCAAAAATGGTCGCAAAAAAGTGACATCAATGATTCTTCCTCGATCACCAACCACTTCCAGCATCACGACTTGTGACTCCAATCCTTCCATTAAACAGTTTCCATCCGCCCGTAGACCCCGCCAATATGCTTCGATAACTCAGTGGTTTTTATCCGGATCCGAGACCGAACAGCAAAAGAAGCATAAAAAGCTCAAAGATTCCATCAAAGTTATACGACCGATCGCCATGCCTTGTGCTACCAACGTTGTGCCAACGTCGATTCGATCCTCCAGCATTGTTTCGAATCCTCTGGAAGAGAATGAGATCAAAAGAGAACGTGTGATTCAGGAACTATTTCTCACCGAAAAATCGTACCAAAAGGATGTGGCGCTCATCAAAGAAATTTACTATGATCAGATCCGGACCCTGCCATCGACTTTTTTTACAATCGCTGATATCAAACTTGTATTTTCCAACTTGTTAGCTATTCTGGATTTCGAAAAGGATTTCATCGAACGCTTGACAGAAGCTTTGGAAAATAAACGATCCATTGCTCGAGTTTTCATGCTACTGGTAAGCGCGACATTGTCGCCAAAAGAAGAATTCATCGTTAATTGACAAAACCTATTGAGATGGCCCGTATGGACGAAATTTACTCTGAGTACTGTAAACGACACGATGACGTTGTTGCAAAATTGCAGGAACTCCAAAATAAACCTCACGTAGCCCAATTTCTGGATGCAAGTAATCTAAACTTTATCCTGGCTGCGGAAACCAGGTCAATGATTGCAACGGCTCGCTAATGCTCCTCTTGGAATAGGCATGCAAAGCTCAAATGAAAGGACGCACAATGAGCTGGGATTTAGCTAGCTTACTCATCAAACCTGTTCAGCGTGTTCTGAAATATCCTCTTCTTCTAAAGGTGGGAAACGAAAAACGAAAATGGTTAACAAATAGAAGCAACAAATAATCGCTTCTGATCATTCTCTATTATAGGAAATATTATCCTTGACTCCATCCAGCCATGCTGAATATGCTGATCTAGTGGCTGCTACTAAAGGGATTCAGCATGTTGCTGATCGCATCAACGAAATGAAGCGCCGCAGAGATATCGTGGGCAAAATCGTGCATGAGAAGAGAAAAATGGAACTGAGTGTAAGTGATTAGCTTTCCTACTTCTTTTTATCTTTGATGGTTCTGCGTAAAAGCGTAGAAGGGCGAAAAATCCAGCGTGCGAGAGACAGTGAATTGCGATCTATAACAAAAAAGATGAAAGGAGTTGAATAAGGAACAAGGGGAGGGAGCCAAGGGGCACTGGCTAGAGGGAGTTGATGTGTAGCGTCATCTGTATTGAACAGCATTAACGGAGACCAGATATTTTAGGTTGTGTAAGTTGGACTGTTGCTGTTCTTGTTTGCTACAAAACATTACCGACAAATGGGAACGTGGAATACCTGGAAACTAAGAGAATAAGTGTTTCATAGACACAGCATCAACAAATCTCTTACCCGTCGTGCACAACGATTAAAGCAAACCTCTGGGTTAGCTGGCCTTGCAACGCATGATCCCGTTTTCGATAGATTATATCGCCAATTTGAGAGACAAAGAGATGCGGGACGGCAGTTAATACACGACATTGAAGAATGGGTGCGACAGACAAAACAGCATGACACTCATTTATGCTTCTTGGCCATGCGGTTGGAAAATCTTTACGATGGCAATCCACGGTCCAAGAATTCGTTGAAAGACAGTTTACGAGCTTACGTTAGATTGACTGATAACTTTGCTCAAACCACATCCCATTTCCTGGTAAGCGTAGAAAGCTTACTTGACTTTATTCACGGGTTGCCCTATCCTCATTTCTTCGTACTTGTTTCAGGGACATCGATTGCATAGCTTTATCCGGCAGTTGGAAACATTTCTTCGCGAGTTTGACAGCCCGGCCCAAGTGATACAAAGGAGAATGATTAAGCTACTTGATTATGATCGTGTGCGTAGCATGAAATCTAAAGGCACTTCGCCTGACAAGTATTTACAAGCTTCTGCTGACGCTTATCCATCCATTAACGCACAACTGCTGGATGAACTTCCCATATTCCTCAAGCTTACATCGCGGTACTTTGATCTGTTAATTGCCGACCTTGCCAATATTCAAACCCAATACTACGATTATCGTGCTCAAGAGTGGCACCATTTCGCGCAATTGTATCTCCAAGGAGCATTATCCAGCAATATTGTTGGGGGATACCAGGAAGCAATGATGCATGTACCCAGTTTGAAAAGTTTTCGATTTTTTCAACCGGCACGCCCACGTTCTCTACCCGAAAAAACACAGCCATTTCAAATAAGCGCCTATCATCCTAGCAGGTCGTCTGCCGATGATTCATATTTTCGACGTACATATAATTCGTGGAATTATGGTAAGAGTTTGGCTGTAGGGATGTCATTATGTGTTCGAAACTCGTATTAATGAGCTTTCCTAAGAAAAAACACCCATTCCGTCAAACCACTACACACAACAACGACTGGGAGATTATCCTCGCTCTAATATTAGTCTGAATCGATATGCACCGATTCACGAAGATGAACAGCGCTTGGTATCTTCGTCATCCCTTTTCGATGGCTGCGAACCAATTTTCGAATGCTTGGTAATAACACAATACCAAGCGATCAATCCAGAATACCTTACGATACAGCAAGGTGATATCCTACAAGTGTGGCTAGCTGATAACGATCACAGTAATACACGAGAAACGTGGTGGTATGCTAGTCTTGAAAAGCGACTGGAGACAAAATATGGCTGGATCCCAGCCTGGCATTGCCATAAACTCTAAATGCGAAATAAATGTACTAAACCTTGTTAAACACCGTGAAGATATACAATTTAGTGCTTTTATATGTAAAATCGTCTTTTTTCAAAAGCGGTGAATTCACATTTTCCTTGCAACGGAACAAGTTGTCGATGCTGATCTTTTTTTTTTATTACTGTAAATGAGCTGAGTTCCATGTATTGATAAGAACAAGACGCCATAACATAATGAACAGTTTTTAAATGCAAGAAATTAAACTGTTTGGGTGTCCGCCGCTCTACAAACACAGGCCATTCTTTGCTTCGGCAAGCGATTACATAAAGAGGCGGCGATCTAAGTTTCTGCTTGAACATGGTCGCTGAAGCATTTTCTTTTTTATGACATTTTACGTAACAGTACCCATCGTTTATATCTTTTGTATTAACAGTTGCATATCATGTTTTGGTGCAAGAGTGATTTGATGTTTGATGCCTGGCTCAAAACCAGGCTTTTCCGAAAAATGAAACTCCTTTAGCAGAACAGCTAAAGCGAGTTTCATTTCTGTCAAAACAAGTCGATTACCAATACAATGGTGCGGCCCAGCCAAGAAAGGCATGTAGATGTAGGGATCGATATTGTTTGCGGGTGCTTCATTCCAGCGGGAAGGACGAAACAAATGTGCGTCATCGCCCCACCACTCTCGGTCACGATGGGTTATGATAGGAGCAAGCAAGACGAACGTATCTTTAGGTATCAAATGCTCGCCTAATAAGGTGTCTTCTGTCGTTGTACGCACGGTGACGGGCACAGGAGGAATGATCCGAAGTGTCTCTTTAACGATATTGCTTAGCAGCTGCAACTGGTGGATGGTGTCATAGGAAAGGATCTCCGCTTGTTCAGATTCAAATGCCTGTTTGATTTCCTTGCGAACATCATGCTGGATGTCGGGATGCTTAGCAAGAAGCCATAGAGTCCACGACAATGCGACAGCCGTTGTTTCGTGTCTGCCGTTACATTATTAAAAGTCACGAAATGCATTAATATGTAGCAGGCCTAAACATACCCTGAATGTAAGAAAGTAAGACATTGGTGTTGCAGTTCTACTGTTGATAATCCGCGGCCGGTGTCGTCGTCAATTTCTTTCATCATATGTCCCAGTACGCCACTTATATTGGCACCGGCACTCTTACGTTGCAATGCTTCTTCTACCATGGCCAAGGCTTCTTTATGTAAAGTTATCAGAGCGCGTTTAACCTTGTTATTTTGCTTTGTCGGAATATCTCGAACTTTTCGAAACCAGGGATAGACAAAGCAGAGCAGATACATCCAGAGTGGCTCCATAAAGTGCACAGCTCCATAAGCTTCCAATAAGCGATGTCCTCTAGTCGCTTCGTTATGATCCAAACACTGAAAATTCTGACCAAACGCTGCACGAGCAATTACATCCAAAGTCATAGAACGGAACGCTTCCAAAGCAAAGATTGTCACAGGTTTATCCGAATCTACTTGCTCCAGCCATTGGTTCCGTAGTTCGATGATCGGCGTCACCATCAAGGGAATAAGCTGGCGAATCATTGGCACAGAAAAAGCGGGGTTGAGCATTTTCCTTTGCTGGCGATGCATTTCTCCTTCGGCGACAATCAGGCCATTGCCAATCCGGGATGCCAAGTATTTTCTTGTGCTTAAGGGCTTGACAAAGATCTCATGCTTCGTAGCCAAAATCTGTTTCATCAGCTTTGGATCTGCGATCACAACATGTGGTTCATAGCCGAGGGCGCGATAGCGAAAAACGTTGCCGTACTGCTTAGTCCATAAAGTCAAGCATTCAAGCAATGAAGTCGTCAGGATTTGCTTCGCATTGCCTGAAAATGGTATCCATTCCATAGACGGACCTGGAAGCTGATTCGCAGAGTGCAAAAATATTCGATAGACGATAAGTTGGTAGAATATCAATGATAGGATCGCTAGTAGTCCGATCCATGCAAGACGATCGTATGATAGTATGTACTTGGAGTCCAAAGACGTTTTTGTAAGTGAGTAGTCCGTCTTGTTGAAAATATCGTAGAGTTTCACCGACATCTGTGAATGGGGAAGAAAAAGGTAAATCCTCTCTTTCCTCAAAATAGGTCCATATAAACAAGAAAATGCCTACTGGTGATCACGGAATCTAATTAAGGCCAGAGTTCAGGAGTGAGACCTTGACAATAAACCAAAACTTGACGTGCTGCGGGTCCCATGCCATAATAAAAAATTATGTTCCTTAAATCAACTTTTAACAAAGTGAATTTCATGTTCCTATTACGATAGTTGACCGAGAAGAAGATCAAACTATTTTTACTTTTTTATGTTCGACAATTTGAAAACCGGGCTTTTTTGATGGTGACACCCATTAATAGAGATCGCCATAAATTTTCTTCCTCACTGTGATTCACTGTCGAGATCTGCAATGGTGAAAACTCCTTTCGCTCGTAGATGCAGAATTCTCAAACCAATAACTGATACATCGCATACGAGTTTTTTCATGAACAGCGAGTGCACTAAAGTCCTCTAAGAGCTTTCCAAACTTTGTCCGTTTAACTTTTTTGGTCATCTATACAGATTTATCACCGCCTGTACTAAGGACGAGATATTTTTAGACCCTTATTTTGATATTGTCCATTAAGTGCGACCGACTTTGAAGAGCATGCGCTGAGAACATAACAGCACTTTCGCGAATTTGACATTATGCACATCTCGCGACGACAACAAGCGTCACAGAAGTATGTGTCCAAAGAATGGCACCAAAACAAAGGCCGAACCCCCAATTGAGTGTCCAGTTGTTGCTTAAATATATCGCCTTTAAACTCTTTTGTCCAACACACCTGTCGACTTTTACGGGGCTCCTAATTTTACATGAGGAATAGTTTCAATTTTTATGGTCAAAACATCGAGCGCTTAGAGCTATGATATGCTGAAAAAAATAATATGGGAGTGGAATGGCCCCATCTATATTAAATCAATCGATTTACGCTGAAATATGGTTACCACCTAGAATTTTTACCCACTTTACTAGCTCTAAAAGTCCGTGCGATTTATTGATCGACTTGCCAACTCCTATTTTGGAAAGCCTCAAATAATTGATTGTAAGGGGTTTGCCCCTTGCGAAAGGCTTATAGACTTATAATCCTGCAAAGGCAACAAAAGATATGTCGAAGGCTTTGCAGGAGGAATGTAAGACGCATCTTCCCACAGGAGCTGAAGATATCCTCTATTATCTGACATGAGTTTAGATAATTGGTTAGCAATAAACTTCTTTCCGAATTTTGGTCTTTGAAGCGCATTTACTAGAATTTGAGAAGATTATGAGCAAAACCTATCGAAAGGAACCGACAACAAGAAAACTCAAACGATAAAGGCATCCTCAGAGCGTCACCTACTCGTTCGGATTAGAAAATTTGTATGCTCAAATGATTTTGACTCATCGCTGCTGTAATGACGTATTACAAGGTATAGGAAAAACATTAATCTTGTGTGAAAACTAAGATACGGAGTCCTGTAATGTTCAGTGACCTAACTTTTTTGAAGAACCATCGAGCAAACAATCATTGAAGTCTTCTCATTTTTATTGCATCTTATGAATAGTATTTTATCAGTCTATCTTTTGCATTAACAGTTGCATATCATATTTTGGGGCAAGAGAGACCTGATGTTTGAAGCCTGGTTCAAAGCCTGGTTTTTCCGTAAAGTGAAAGTCCTTCAGAAGAATAGCTAAAGCCAGTTTCAGCTCTGCCCACGCGAAACGATGGCCAATACATTGATGTGTACCGGCCAAGAAAGGCATGTAGATGTAGGGATCGATCTCATTTGCGGGCGCTTCATTCCACCGGGAAGGACGAAATAGGAGGGCGTCGTCGCCCCACCACTCTTGCTGCCGGTGGCTTGCAAAGGGAGCAATCATGACGAACGTGCCTTTCGGTATCAAATAGTCACCAACCAGGGTATCTTCTGTCGCCGTACGTAAAGTGACGGGAATAGGAGGAACTACCCGAAGTGATTCTTTGCAGATATTGCTCAGCAGCTGCAACCGCTGGATAGTGTCATAGGGAAGGGTCTCGGATTGTTCAGCTTCAAACGCCTGTCTGATTTCCTTGCGTACTTCATGCTGAATGTCAGGATGCTTAGCCATAAGCCATAGAGTCCATGAGAATGCAAGAGCCGTTGATTCGTGCCTGCCATAGATGATGTAAGCTAACTGGACAAATACATGGCATGAGTTCAACCTACCCAGCATGTAAGAAAGTAAGGCATTGATCTTGTAGTTCCTTCGTTGATACTCCATGGTCAGTGTCGCCATCTATTCCTTTGAGCATTTGTCCCAATACACCGATAATATCGGCCCCGGCAGCCTTGCTTTGTACAGTTTCTTCTACTATAGCCAAGCTCTCTTCATGTAGCGTGGACAGAGCACGTTTGAACAGAATATTTGGTGTCGTTGGAAGATCACGAAATCTTCGAACCCAAGGCCAGATAAAACACAATAAATGCTGCCATCTTGGTTCCAAGTGTTGCACATCTTCGTAAGCTTTCAAGAAGCGACTGCCTCTAGTCCCTTCTTTACGATCTAGGCATTGAAAATCTTGGCCCAACACTGCACGTGCGACGACGTCTAAAGTCATGGAAAGAAAAGCTGGTAGAACATTGACCGTCACGGTTTTACCAGAATCGACTTGCTCCAACCACAGGTTCCGCAATTTTATAATCGGCATTGCCATCAACGGGTAAATTTGGCGAATAGCTTGTACGGAGAACAGAGGATTAAGGACCTTTCGTTGCTGGCGATGCACCTCTCCTTCTGCAACAACCATGCCGTAGCCCAGCCGTATCGCCAGGCCTTCCCGTACATGTAAGGGTTTGACAAAGATATCATGTTTTGTCATCAACACCTGCTTCACCAGTTTTGGATCCGTAATGACGACGTGTGGATCATATCCAGGGGCGCGATAACGAAAGATGCCACCATACTGCTTGCTCCATAAGACCAAACATTCGAGGATTGACATTGTCAGGACTTGTTTCAAATTGCCTGAAAATGGTATCCATTCTATAGGCGGACCTGGAAGCTGATTCGCAGGATGTAAATAGAGACGATAAACGATGCGTTGATACAATACTGTAAGCAAAATTGCTAGTAACGCAGTCGCTGCAAGCCAGTCATACGATATTACGCTCTTAGGGTCCAAAAGCATCCTCAAAGATGAGCAACTCGTTTTTTGCTTCTTCAGGATAAAAACGATATTTATAAGTAAAATGGAAGCAACATTAACGACTGTTCCGTGTGGCTAAGGAGGTTGAGTATTGCAACAGAGCGTCAAATAATGCACATCTTATCGATCTGCCACGAGTAATTCAGCCGGTGCAGCTCAATCGATCAAAAAAAAAGAAAAAGGAGGTTACTCCGCATAAAAGAGCCAACTACACAGGGTCATTCGTCTGAAAACCATTTACCATGTCACTTTTACATTGATCTCAACAACGTTAACGGAGTTTCCTCACTGATATTTAAAAAGTGACTCCCAAAAATGCTGCAAGGACTGCATCTAACGAACAGGCACACATGCCCTGTTGGGGATAATTATTCCATGTTCGCAAGTGGCTGTTGCATCTGGGTTGCAGATGTGATTGTTCCTCTGACATTTCGTTGTATCTCTTAACTTTAGCCTGTTTCAGCTGTTGCGCATAATGGTGATCCATTCATTGTGCCTATACCATCCATATTCCATTGGTCACTATGATCTTGCACACACGAGCGTTTGACTCAATTTAAAGTAGAAATCATTTTGGCATCCTGAGTTTGACCTGTTGTCGGCATATTAGATTGGATATGACTTTTTTACATTGTTAGTGCGAAATCCATGTCCGCACACCCACTGTTCTTTCATATTTGAGAACTGTGCTTGGTATAAGAATAGCATAGGAACCTCATTACATAGTATTCCAAAACATTTAAAAAATTAGCTTTTTTTACAATCCGCAATTTTATTGACCAAACATACAACTTCGTCTTTCGCGCTTTGCCGTTTTAATTGGAGAATAAACTCCTTCACCGTCGATTGATCCCCGCAAGCAAAGCAGTTTTAAAAAGGGGACTATCTTGGTTCGAACCAATCATACTATATGATCCTAGTTTGAGCATCTCCGGGCCAAAAAATTTTCTGCTCCACGTCATATTTTTCATGGTATAAAAGGAATTAGCTCGCTTATAGTTTGTAACTGTTGCTGTTTTTCGCTTGACTTATAGCATCAAGTGGGTAAAAATTAATGGTAGACTGGGAGAGCATTTGGCTCACCTTCAATGTTATGATTTGATATAGAATGTCTGACGATCACGATCATACTTTCGAGTCCACCGATGCTGGTGCTTCTTTGACCTTTCCCATGCAATGCTCTGCCTTGAGAAAGAACGGCCACGTGGTTATTAAAGGTCGCCCCTGTAAAATTGTGGAGATGTCCACCTCCAAGACTGGTAAGCACGGTCACGCCAAGGTACACTTAGTCGGAATTGACATCTTCACTGGAAAGTAAGTATTGGAGAATAGCTTATTAACAAAAGTGTTGGTGAAAAGCATCTATCCTCCTGGTCGGGCTATTTCCTTCCGGACTTGGAGGTTTCATGCAATTCCCAAATATGGTAATCTTAATCAGCAAACTTATCATCTCATTTCAACAGGAAGCTTGAAGATCTTTCGCCCTCTACTCATAATATGGATGTGCCCAACGTTGTCCGTAATGAATATGTATTGATCAATATTGATGATGGTTATCTTTCGTTGTTACTTCCTGACGGTGATACCAAGGATGATGTAAAAGTGCCCGACACCGATATTGGAGCTGCTATCGAAGCTCAGTTCGAAGAAGGCAAGGAATTGTTGGTCTCTGTCGTAGCTTCTATGGGTGAAGAGCATGCTTTAGCTTGTAAGTGATATATATTCAGATACGAAAAAGAAGTCCCTGCTGATAAATGCCTGTCATGTTTTATAGTCAAGGAAGCTCCCAAGACCGATTAAAATTGGAATGCTGATTGTTAGCCACAAATCATTACCCTTGTATATCGTGTATATTTTTTTCTTGTTTATACTCATTCAAAGAGAAGATTATTCCAAACATCATGATGATATCTAGATTCAAGTAGCAGAAAAGTGTCCCTAACAATTCAGAAGGGAAAAATTTTCGTTTCGTCAATTGACGGTTGTTCCGATTGGATGACCATCAAAAAAAGGAACACGCTTTTATTTTCTTTGCGGGAAACCAAAAAAAAAAAAAAAAAAAAAAGTTGCGAATGGTGTGATTGCGGGTTCGTCAACAATCATCTTATGCAATGGCCAGCCGATTCGTTCGCCGTATATCCAGTTTTCGTTTTCTTCCAGTAACAGCACGGCCCACGTGTTTGTCGCATGCTAATATTCCTCGTCAGTCTCACATTGCGCCTCTGAATCGACGATGGGCCAGCACAGCCAAAGAATCAGCCGACAATAAGAGCAATGCGTCAGCTGGCATGTATGCTGCTGCTCTTTTCATCAGCATGCTTGGTTTATCCTATGCTGCCGTGCCTTTGTATCGATTATTCTGCGCTAGCACAGGTTACAGCGGGACGCCCGTAACGGATAAGAGCCGCTTTGGACCGGAACGTCTGGTGCCGAAAGACGAAAAGAAAAGAATACGAATTACATTTGAAAGCAACACATCCGACGCTTTGCCTTGGTCGTTCAAGCCCGAATTGCGCGAAGTATGGGTTGTTCCTGGCGAAACGGCGTTAACGTTCTATCAAGCCAAGAGCAAAGCAAAAGAAGATATCGTAGGCATTGCCACTTACAATGTCGCACCTCATCGAGCAGGCTCGTATTTCAATAAGATTCAATGTTTTTGCTTTGAAGAACAGAAGTTATCTCCTGGCGAAGATGTGGACATGCCCGTATTCTTTTTCATCGATCCGGATTTCCTTGAAGATCCCTACATGAAGGACGTTAATACCATCACGCTGAGCTACACATTCTTTAATGCCAAATATGCAAAGCACTTGAGCCCAGGTCAGCCTCAATCTTGATAGAACATAATATTGTCATAATCGAATCTTATTATTATCACGCGTCAAAACGGGAAATAAAAAAATAAGGGCAAAAAATTTTGATGTCATGGACAAGGTATGGTTCGTGTATGTACACAGGTATCTAGAAGGGGCAATAATATCAAAATAAACAAAAAGGAAGCTATAGACTAAAAAAGACAAAATGCATATAAAAAGCAATTAATGGCAGAGAAATGAGCAATAGGAGGACGATATCAAGGTTTTAAGGGAGGAGGGTCCGAAGAAGAGAAATTGTAATGGAATCTACGATAGACAAGGGTTGAGCGCAAGAGCGATAATGAGCGTTTGACAGCGACAGACTCAGCATGATCTGCTTCGGATGCTTGTTGGGGAGATGTAGTACAAATTGGACTGATGCAGGATGTCTGTACGGGAAGCGGCCATATGAGCTTGTTGTTGCGAGCTCAAGGAAGAGGAGGAGGAAGACGGAGACAGCATGGACTGTTCATGCATCTGTTCAAGGTGTAAGCGTTGTTGCAAACGTTCCTGAGGATCATCATCGTGGTTATATTCGCTTGGATGAATAATGGATGCCATGACAGGCGGCGAAGACGGCATAGAAGAATGGAGCAGAGATGAGGTTCCAGATTCTTTATCCATAACCGTGACGGGCGATGTCGATCGAGGAATTGAGTAAGATGATAAAGATGAAGAAGTTGACTTCCTTGACCAATGAGGAATGAAAGCTGAAAAAAAGCGAGATGAGGAACTGCTTGTTGTACTACTGAGACTGTGCATCGAGTGATTAGAAGGCCGACGGCCCGGTTGATCGTTCAGGGACGATGTGGAGAAGAAGGAAGCCGATGAGGAACTGAGACTGTGGCAACTACTAATCGATTCTGCTGATCGTTGGCTGCGTAGAACACGAGGTTTCGGGGACAACAGGGACGCATATGATTGACTGTTCATTGGTTGCTTCTGACAACTAGATGAGGATAATGGCGGTGATAATGGCGTTGATGGTAATGGCGCCGGTGTATGCATATCCAGTCTCTTCAACCATTTATCAAGGACGCTGGTGGAGTTGATTACTTCCTCTTGCAGGTGCGAAATCCACAAGTGCATGTTTTCTTCAGAATCGGCCTGCAACACGTAATCCGGTCGTTCTTGCTTCTGCTCATCATTGGATAACAGAAGAAATGTGTGGAGTCGTTGTGATGACTTTTTCGCGGGTGCATTAGATATAATGTGGTAATGGTCGAGGTCGATAATGGTTTGTGGAATCGGATCGCTCTATTTCTGTCATTAATCATACTGGACCTCATCCAAACTGTCTTCTTTTTTTCAATCAATTTGTTCCTTCGCGCTCGATCGATCAACTGGGATCAACCGCTCTTCTTCCTCGCATACTACTGTTGCTTTTTCTCTATCGTTTCCCCCCCCCTTTTACACATCCGCATAGTTTATATGCTGGTATATGATCATTACCTCGTTTTTGTAATACCGAAGTTCACGGCCCTCTAACACAAAATACCGCCGTACAAATGTTTTGCATACTCCGTGTTTCTGTTTATTAAGCCAGCCTTTGAGGGAAATAGAGGAAGTCATTATAGATTGTCTAAAAGTGAAGGAAGTGGTAAAAAAGTGTAAAAAAAAGGAGTTTGAAGAAATGAAAGAAAGTAAGTAAAAAAGGCAAATGAGAAAACAAGCAAGAAAAGGAAAAATGGCAATAACAAATGAATCTTTATATGTTTTGGGTTCACGGCACTTTTTTTCTTGCCCCTCATTCTCCTAAAAAATTCCCTCACACGCACACACGCACGCAGACACGCACACCGACGCCCACATTTTTTTGCCTTTTTTTTTACTCTGGTCTCCTTTTACTTCTATAAGAAGTTACACCGCAATAAAACCTAAAGCAAGGTAACACTACCAAACAAGGCAAACTCAAAAACACCTACTCCTTTCTTCTTAATCGTCCGCGGCAAACTGGGGTTTGCCGATTTTCTCTTTGATATCGTTCAGTCCCCTCCCCCCTGTTCATCATGAAGTCGATTTCTACCCCAACGTATGTGTACAATAAAGCACATTCTCCATGGTTCTTGGCGTGCTTCTTGAAAACATGGTTTACGTAGTTCCGTACGTAATGCTATAGCAACAGCGCTGTTTCTCTATGAGAGTTTTCGCGGCTCAGTCAGTGAGCACAACTATGGTTCGTATCTGTATTTGCAGCACCTTTCATTCATAATAATGAGCTTTTGGAAGTTTTACTTGTTTATGTATCACCAAACAACATTGATAGATCATGTATTACTTCACGACGCGCAGCTGTATTTATAGCACAAACAAATTCTCGTTTGTGATTCGTGCCATTCGTACACGCATTTCACATCACCCTCAATTCTGAAAAATATCTTTTTACTTTTGGACATCTTTGGATTGAATAATGGAATATCGTTAAATTCGCAAGGGACGCGTGCCTCAGAAAGCTATGGTGTCATCTGCGTTACCTCTGATTTTGATTCCGACACGGTGTTGCCATCGTGAATCATAGGCACCTACCCTTTTCTGGGATACGCATGGCACTATACCGATACCACTTGCTGTAATACAGTGATGTGAGAATTGAATGATAACACTGTACATCCACAGATAAAACCTTATTTTTTTTTCTGCTTCCCTTCACTTGTTTTGCCCTGCATAAGCATTACAGTACATACAACCAATCGCAAATGCTGCAAGCGAGATAAAAGATTGCCTGGATATAGCAGATAATCTGAACCATGCACTATAATGAATATTTTAAAGAGAAGAGAAAGACATTCATGCATAAAAATACAAAAAAAAGAAGAAAATAGAAGAGAGTGAGTGATGGAAATTATGACGCACTGACAGAGAATGGTTTGCACACAGAACAAGTGGGAAATGCGTCAAAGTGAAAAGGGAAACCCCCCCCCCCAAAAAAAAGAAAAACAAAAAAACGTCTATGATGGCTTATCATTTGTGGGAAGTTTTTCTTTTGCAGCCTGACTCTCAATGTAATCGTAATTTGGCGAAATTTCCGCGGAGGAAGGCGTGTGTATACCAGTGACGGTAGCAATAATGGGAAGCTGAGGTTTGGATGGTTGGGGTCCCGAGCGTGAACACGCTATCGTCGTAGCAGGTCGGTTTGCAAGTGCCATTTTTTGTCTCAGAGAATCCTGGCGCGGAGGTACTGTGCCTGACGCTTTGGCGTGTAAACTCGACTTTCTCGCCAAGAATGGAGTAGACGACAAGGCTGTCTTGATAGAGGGTGCTTCCTCAGATGGAGTGCTGGGGGGTAAGAATGTCTTTTCGTCCTCGGGTGTTTCATCTAGTGTCTTTGACGAAGAAAACAATGTACTCATATCAGTATTGTACATATCATTGATCGGCTGATAAGTGTAGTGTTCTTGGGCAAGTTCTGGCGTGTACTGCTTGCCGATACTAGGGTACGATTGCCCAGAATCGATAGTATGATCATTCAAGGTAGTTGTGGCGTTGTTGAAATGGCTGGGCTGGGCAAGCGATGCCGAACGTTGACTCTGTGGAGGTTGTACGCGTGATCCTTCTGATACCCCGGCTACCGGTATCAGGGGCGGCTGCATAGGCGCAGTAAGCAATAGGTTTGTCGGTGTTCCATGGTGGGATGAGATTCGGTTGCGCGTTTCCGATGACGGACTCGCAGAGGATGGTATACCTTGCATCTGCTGCTGAATGGTGTTCACGGAGGGTCTCTGGCTGTCAGGATTGGCAAAGACGATATCTTCATAGTTGATGAGATCCTCAAACACACTGTCGGTTTGCCACTCGCCAGGATGTTCGGCTTGGTTATGATCGTGGAATATCGCCGGTGTGAAAATAACGGATAAATTCTGAAGATTCATCTTGTTCACATGGTTGTTGGCGTTAACTCTAATTTTTCATTAAAGCGGCAGATAAGCAAGAACGTCATGAGTGTCAATTTTTTGTATCGCATTGCACTACGCGGTGCACTTTTTGTGTCTCGCTGCTGATCAATTTTTTCACATTGTGGCACTGGCACCCAGGCCTTCCGCCCGCCCTCCCTCCCAGAAAATTACTTACTTGACAAGATGATGAATAAGGCACCGCAAAGTATCGCGATGAGGTTTCGGTAAGGATGCAATATGTGCCTGCAAGGATGTTTGACGTCGCAATTTATCTTGGACATCTAAAAACGCATTTTATGGTGAGCAATCAGGTTGCGGCTTTCCTCGAATATGTATTATTATTACTTACGCGAGTATTTCATACGATCCTGCACGCTTAAATCAAACAAAGGTTGTGGCAGTTCTCGGAGATAAATCTTCAATACGGTCGCAATGGTGAACACATCATATTTGGTTTCCAAGTCTTGAATATCTTCGTTCTGCTCAAAGAGGGTCTTGAGCATTTCAATATTACTTTGGCGCCCTGGAATTCGATAAATGCCCTCCTTTTGAAGACCGCCCATGCGCTCAATCGCCTCAATGCATTTAGTAACGACAATAGGGACCGATCGCTCATATTCAGCGGCATATTCCTGCAAAGAAACACCAAACACGATATCTACAGTGTAATTTTTTTAGAAGTGACTCATTTTTTACTTGGTGCATTAAAAAATACTTACGTTTGCATCTCCCATAAAAAAAGTTTTCGTAAAAAATAGGAGATGGAGTCACCGCTTTTCTCTTTCTGTTGTATTCCGCAAAGAAACTCATGATATCCTTTTTACTGTCAACGGCTTCGGTGATGCGAAGTGAATAGTCCAGGACCTACAATACAGGTTCAAGTCAAACCACTCACATGAGCGCTCCGCACTGACCACCCACATTGTTGCAATTAAAAAAAAAAAGTCTTACCGCAATTTCTTCGCACAGCACGGTCCGTTCTGCCGTCAAAATGCCTCCCAATACAGACCGGGTCATCTTTGCTTTGTCCGTCAACACGATCTCTATTTGCTGCAGGCCAATGCATGAGTAAATGACATTTTAATGTAACCCTAAATTAATTAATTGGTCGGACCTTCATTGCCACGTTGATTGCCTCTATTTGCCTTTTGCGACGACGTTCCAGCTCGCGAATGCCCTCTCTGTACTCAAGATCTACATGAACGCCAATAGATACAATATTAAGTTACGCATTTTCTTCTTTTGCTTGCTTTTTTCTCCCAGCTTACCAGCATCGGCTATATCCTTTTTCATTTTAGATAATTTGACATTCTGTTTTGATATATCCATTGGCATATTGTTATTGGCAGCGGCAGCTGCTGCTGCAACATTCGCGAATTGTGTTCGAACTTGGGCCATGAATCCAACGAGTGCTTTCTTGTGCGCATTATCATGAGAGTTATTGCTCGTGGAATGAATTGAACTGGCGTCAGCATCTCGTCCGCTTTCACTGGATAATCGTGGCTGTGGTTCGTCCACCGATAATCGCGTCGGTGGCATGTAATGATCCGCGTAATGATCCCCTGCCGATAAAGGCTGGCCACTTTGTTGCTGTTGATGTTGTTGCTGTTGGAGTTGTTGCTGTGCTGCTTGATATTCGTGACATCGATTTTCATAGTTCTTATGAAGCTATGCAATGTAATTTAAAAGCATTAGATAGGCCGCTGATTTGTCACGGGCTTCGATCCATTTTTAATTATCATCAGGCCACTTTTTCCCTATTGCGAAGCTTACCTTGACAATATCTTTGGTACGGAAGTTGGCGTAATCCATATTTTTCTCGCTTATATAACCTTTGGTTTTACGGCGACGATTATCTTGCAACTCCTGGTGCATCAAGTCATCAGCACTCACATTACCCACTTCAACCTATTAGCAGGGTAGCCTTGATCAAAATTCTTACCTTGACCTCGAACACTTGGTTCAGCTGAGTTTTCAAAGAGTGAATCAGATCTCGTTTCAGATCGACAATCCTTTGCACGGAAAGCTCGTACTGGAAGACCGCATGCTGAAAAGTTCCGTTGATTTCACCGAAATAGGTGGCAGGTTCAGGTTCAGGCACAGTGACTGATTTTGTAATTTTTTGTAGTGATTGTACGTAGGCTTCTTCAGCCGTCAGTCTAACCAATAGAACATCCAGTGAATACGCACATATTTTTGTATGATCGATTTTTAGACTTGTGAAATAAAAGCTTTCCTTACCGCGCTTTGAGTAATGTTGCAAATCGATCTAAATCCCCAATGTTCCACTTCATAAATCGGTTGATATACTCCATCTGGGCGTCAATTTGGAACACCTGTATATTTCAAAGGTTAAAAGTTGGATGGACTCGTCTCACATGTAGATAGATATCATACCTCGTCATCCTGTATCTGGGAAATGCTTCGTCCTCGCGATCGATGCATTATGGGTTTAATCGGGACGGGCGGTTTCTGGGATAACTGAGTATGCGAAAGCTTTTAAGCGCTGGCGTTGGATATGAGAAGAGCCGGGCTGAGGTCGAAACACAAGATGTTCAGGAGTCAGGATTAGGAAATTCTGTGGCCACTCATTTTTCGCTTGCTGAGCCAGAAATACCAAAAAAAAAAAAAAAAAAAAAAAAATTGAATCTATTGTTTCCAAGGGTTATTTTTGGAAGACATTCATATGATGACTTCGTTACTCTTGTTGTTAAGCATAAATCATTGTCAATTTGTAAATGTTCCTTGTTTCCTGCCGATTCAACCGAGTAGCTGTATCATGCTTTCCGCTTTTTTTTTCTCTTCTTGGAATCGTACGATCTAGCTCTATTTGATTAGTAACAGTTTGTTCCAACAACGTGGTTGAAGGATACATGTGGTTGGAGAGGTCGTGCAGGGCCATTTGTCTATTTCCTTATTTTCGCAACACCTTGTCTGTACATAACAGCAAAATATCTTTGTAGCCTAATTATAAATATCATTTACGTTCCTCTTCTGTCAGCACATATACCAACGTTTCTAATGATTCTCTTCTTTTATTCCATCAAAAAATTTGTACTTCTTTTTCCTGGAATAGGATTCGGTTGCTGCAGTAAATTGTCAACACATTTTCTGAGAATTTGGATAAAATTAATGAAGGCAATGATGGTCTGCTTTTTGAGGGTCGTATCCCTTGGTCACGGGAGAACCTATATAGTCTCCTTTAGCTTTGCTTATTGACTCTATGTAGCTATTGCGAAAGTTTTATTATGGGAAAAGAAAGCTTGTCAACAATACATATCATTTGTCTATGCGAATTCGCAGACATTCAAAAACCCAAAATGTCAATCAAGGAGCTAAACCAAGCTGGTTCTGTACCTTTAGACTGTTCTTTAAGTACTGGGCCTACAATAATAGCGATGTCCACGATCAAGGAACCACCGAACTGCTGTCGTAATTGGAAATCCGACAAACGACTTTATGTGTTTCAGCATACGATGAGCCAAATGATCGCTACTGTTACCAATACGAACAATAGTCGCCTGAAATGAGACCGAACAACAATGTATTCATAAATGGTGGACGGTGTATTGAAAGCAGGTTTGTCATTATACAAATGCTTGTGTTCTCTCTGTTTTAATCTTCATATTTTGCAAAAGATTTTTTAGCAGCAGCGCCACTGACTGAAAACTTTGCTTCACCGTTTCAACTTTCCAGGAAGGTGCGCCACCATTTTTCTAAATGCCTTTCGCATTCAAATTTCAACATCTACAAGGATCAAGCCTTTATATTCATTGCCTCATACTTTTATTGGTTTTCCTTTGTTTTTTTCTCCCTCTTCCTCTTGTTGGCTTGGGCCGCAAGCAAAGGTAACTGGTTCCTCCTTCGCCAAGTTCTATTTGAGTAAAATGTACCAGCATGCAATGATTCTGTTATTCCTCTCCATGTTTTCCTTCCATTCAATAGCTCTTATAATAGTGTCAGGGAAACTGCGATGTTCTCAATATGATAATGTTTTCCAAAAACAGCGACTTTACTTCTTGAAAAAGACTGCAAGCCTTCCAACGAAAAAAAAAAAAAAAAAGTCGAAGCGCCGTTCTGCGGACCTTGAAGAAATTTTTAAAAGTCCAGCTGGCTTGGATTTTTTTTTTTCTTCAAACCTTTCCTTTTTTTTGCACCCAAACAAGATTCGTCGATTGACGTGTGTCTTATTGATCCAGCATCGATAGCTTGTATTGCGTGAATCTATAGTGCTTCATTATTGAAAGCGTTTCCCTATTTCCTTGCTATTTCTCGGTTTTTACGCTGTCCTTTGATATCTCTCTGGGCGTTTCTCTAGTTTCGAACTATTGAATCACTGACACCATACCCTGTGCTTCCAAACGCGTCTATCCGTTACTGCATTTCTATTCATACTCTTGATTGGATCTTTGAACAATGGGAGGGTAAATACTCGCGATTTTAGACTGCTTGCGTTCGATCATGGCTTTGATCTCACCGATTCTCTTATAGAGTTACCATCGCACATCAGCCCGTGTTCACGAATGACGATTCTTTTGCTACTACTTATCCCTCTCATAAAGCTCAGTCTTCGGAAACAGCCATGACCGAGGAGCAGCTCAACGAGTTATTGTCTACTGGCAATCCTTGGCCTGTGGAAGATTTGACAGGTGAAGTCCAAGAATTATTGATGAGGTTCGTTTTTTTTTTGTCACACATCTCTATCGTCTTCAGTTTCGGTCCACTAAAGGCTCGGGTTTATTGTAGGGAGTCTATGGCTTCGTGGCTTCAGCCTTGGCCTACCGAGAACGAACCAAATCTCGACGGATTTGACGCTCAAATGTACGCTCAATCTGTACAGTTTGAGGATCTTTTTGGCCAAGATGAGCTTAATTTCGATGGTGCCGCACCATCACCTTTTTACGATGAACTTACATTTGGTAAGATTTTACCTTATATTATTGCTTATTTTCAGCGTTTCTGACGTTGTCAAACTTTTTTTTTCTTTTTATAAAAAGAAGTCACCGACGATACCAGTGCTCCTACCTCATCCGTGGATTCTTCGCCCCATGAAAGTCCTCAATTGCACCCAATGGGTACGCCTGGCGAACCTTTGTTGATAAACGAAGCAGTACCAGAGCCTTTGGAGGTTTTAACCGAAAAAACTGTTGAAGATGTTGAGGCTCCTCAAGACAAACAACTCGACACTTCAGAAGTCGTACCAGTCTCCAACTTGAAACGTCGCAGAAGTTCGAGTAGCTCCTCTTCTTCATCGGAAAGCAGCGATTCCTCAGATGATGAATCCGATTCAGAAGATGACGAAGATGTTATCCCTACCACAGTCGCCAACCTGAGCAATCGTCGTCGTCTCAGTTACTCTTCGGATGAATCAGAGTCAGATTCTGAATCATCCTTTGGTCGTGGCAATCACTCTTCTTTGGCCGTTCAACCCAATCAGTACTTATACATGCACAAACGAGAGATCGAAGAAACTTTGCTGGATAAAATTACCAACCAATTGCACGCGGATCGATTACCGGGTATTTTGACTATTCTGTCATCCGAAAATGCAGGCCAGCAAAACGATGAAGTCGAAATCGATCTCTCCTGTCTTGCTCGTGAACAGCTCGTTCGATTGCTGTCTTATGTGGAAGCATGCATCCGAGAACAACATGGTGGCGCTGTTGTCGACATTTCTGACTACATTGCTCGCGATGAACCTAAGCGAAAAGGACCTCGAACTCGTCCGGCAATTCAGAAGCAATTAGTGGAAGATGATGTCTATGCTGAATCGACTCACCCAGCACGCCGTCAGCCACGATCCCGTAAATCGAGACAGCCCAAGCGAACCAAGTCTCGTGCTGAATTGACTGAAGATCTCGATGTGGATGATGAGTCTCAGGAAGCTGGTACAACCATGTGTAACAGACCTCATGCTACAAAGCACAAGGAAGGCCCGATCTCCATGGCCTCTCTGTCCAAACGAACGGCTGCAAAGAAATCTCGAGGAACTCGCAAATCAAAGACCGTGCGTCGGAAACGAGGCAGCCATGACGATGCGGATGACGATGTGGTAGTCTCTTCGGTCTCTGTCGCGCAAGATCTCGAAAGCATTGCTATTTCAAGACCGAAACGACGAGCCGCACTTCACAAGCGACGATTATTAGAAGACATGCTGTTGCCGTCTGATAACGAGGACGACAATGATGGTGAAGAAGAAGAGGTGCTTGTTCTGTTTAGCGATGAACAAATGGATTTTGCTGTCATCGACAATCAGACAATTGTCCATCAATCGGAGCGAGCTGTTGAAGAGAAGCCCTTACCTACATCGGTGGCCCTGGTATATGACGACGGAGTACGGGAAGACTCCGAGAATGAGGAAGAGATCGATATCATGATATAGACCAAATCAATCATCTCATTTCTTTTTCCTTTTCTTTTTTGTTTTCCACTCAAAATCATCAAGCCATGTACATTCATTTTTGTAGACTTACTTCATCTTCATTTTCTTTGCACGCTAGTATTCTATTTTTAAAAAATCTACCCATCATCATCTCGTATATCGTGTATACTACTCCCATCAGCAAAACAAAAATAAAAAAAAAATCTGGCATTTTTTTCATCCCAAGACTGCTATTTTTCGATCGCCGCATCATTCGTGCAATCCCATGAACCTTGGATGAGTGCACAGAGAAACGATAAATTGGCACTAAAATTCACGTCGCTTTCCCACCGTCATTGCTCATCGTTATGCTACCTGATACCTTACCTTTTATCTCTCGCCGTTCTACTGTATATGGCACACATGCCATGGTTTCGAGCTCGTAAATATCCATTTCAAAAATATAAATTCTTGTTATGGCATATTCATATCAATTCAGGCAACCTCTTGCCACCCAAGCTGGTATAGAAATTCTTCGACGTGGAGGCAATGCCGCTGTAAGTATCCATATCCAAATGAGTAAGTTCAAGGGTTAGAGTGTATTAGCTAATATGTGTATGAAAGGATGCGGCTGTCGCTGTAGGTAGGTTTTGACCGAGCAGTCGGTGATAAAAAAAAATATAGATTGAATCAAAAAGATGATGCCAACCGCATTTTCCAACGAAATTAGCCGCTGCATTGAACGTCACAGGTAATCACTGGATCCAACCAGATGAATATAAAATTATTTTTTCTCACAGTATAATTCTATTAGAACCTGGATCTACCGGCATTGGTGGTGATGCATTCTGTCTATATTACAGTGCTGCTGATCGTACTGTGAAGGGCCTAAATGGTTCGGGAAGGCAAGTAACAAGCGAGAAGAATCAAGTATATCGTCTTAGTAATCAAGAACGTTTTCCTATGGACTTTGAGCAGAACGCCAGCTGCTTTGACTATTGAACATCTTCGGGAGGTATCGGAGATCAAGGGACAAAATCTTCCCACAAACAGTGCTCACGCCATTACTGTTCCCGGTGCAGCGGCCGCCTGGGTCGATACCGTGAAATATTTCGGTTCACAGAAAGTCGATTTGCAAACGATTTTGCAACCTGCAATTGATCTTGCTGAAAATGGATATCCTGTCAGTGAAGTTGCAGCTTATAATGTATGTTACTGTAACTACTATTCTACTTGCACCATGATCGTATATATCTCACACTTTTTTTCCCCTTTTTTCGTAGTGGGCAGCCCAAGAAGAAGGGCTGCGTGCTGCCAACAAGGGAGAGGTGGAACTGCTGCTGGACGGCCACGCACCTCACCACGGTGATTTAATGACCATGCCGTCACTTGCTGAGTAAGTTCCACCCTTTGTTGTGATTGCCCAGTTCAAGTAATGCCCTGACGTTTTTTTTTTTTTTTTTTTTTGCAAACAATAACAGGACGTTTCGATCGGTGGCAGAACATGGGAAAGATGGATTTTATAAAGGGCGTATCGCAGAAGCCATGGTGGATGCCGTTCGTTCCCGTGGCGGTTTGCTAACGCTGGAAGATCTTGCTGCACACGAGTCAGAGCTTATCGAACCTATTTCTCTCGATTATCATGGCTGGACTATCTGGGAAATCCCACCAAATGGTCAGGGAATTACCACTCTTATTGCTTTGGGTATTCTAAATGCCCTGGAAGAACAACACGGCGTGAACCTCGCAGAAATGGACCCTAATTCCGCAGAGTACCTTCATCTGGTGATTGAAGCGCTGCGCCTTGCCTTTGCAGATACTCGTTATTACGTGACCGATCCTCAAGTTCAGCACGTTCCTGTCGAAGCCTTGCTGAACAAGGTATGATAAAAGTGGAATTGCAACATAGCTGTATGCTGACTGTTCTTTCATAGAAATACTTGGCAGAACGTGCCGCTTTGGTGGATCTGAAACGCCGCAATGACAGCATCCAAAAGGGCTACCCTGAGGAAATGGGTAATACCGTGTACTTTTCCGTTGTAGACGAAGAAGGCAATGCCTGCAGCTTCATCGTAAGTGAACTCAATGAGATATTGTATGTATCACGTGTTCTAATGAGTTGAATTACCAGAATTCCACTTTCATGCATTTTGGCGTAAGTTTTTGATTCAAGTGAAATTACTTTTACTCCATCTTACAGGTCGATTATAGTCGCATATTATTCCCGAAAAATGTGGCTTTACCTTGCATAACCGCGGCTGTAACTTTGTCCTTATCGAAGGACATCCTAACTGCATTGGCCCCAGCAAACGTCCTTATCACACAATTATTCCATCGATGATCACTCGCAAGACGGAAAATGGGCATGAGCTCGAAGCTTGTTTCGGCGGTAAATAATACAAGCATTTGGCTTTGAAAAACGAAATAGAATTAAGAGTTAATATTTGCTTTTTTATCTCGTAGTGATGGGAGCATTCATGCAACCGCAAGGCCAAGTTCAAGTGGTTCTGAATCTTTTGCACCATTTGCATAGTCCGCAACATGCTTTAGATGTACCTCGCATTTGCGTCGCTCCGCCAAAGCCCAGTTCACAAGCCGGAGGCGATGCTTATACTTTTACGGATGTAACTCAGTCGGTGGTGTACATGGAAGAGGGTATCTCGCAAGAAACCTCTGACAAATTACAGTCGATGGGCCATACTTGTTACTTCGTCTATGGCCATAACCGTTCACTATTTGGTCGAGGACAAATAATTCAAGCCAGGAAGGATCGACGTACTGGAAAGCGAGTGCTTGCTGCTGGCAGTGATCCCAGAGGCGATGGCCATGCTTCCGGCTGGTAAACACTTTGGCGTTTACCGTTCTATATCTTCTCTTATCAACCATCAGCTTTTCCTCGTTCGAATACTTTGTACTAAACGTCCAATTCCATAATAGCTGATGTGCTATTCTTTTAGATACAAAATTACACTATTAAAAGATGACGCATCCTCAGTCTTTTTATTGGCATCGATACGTTGTATAAATGGATGTGGAATGGCTAGCAGAAATTTATTTCTTCTATAAACGCAGAACAGCAAGTCAACATTAGTACTATGTCACTTCAATTCAGTTTTTAGGTTTCCCAATCTTACCTTGTTGGCCTCTTCCTCAGCCTTGTCACGGGCACGCTTCTCACGGGCACCGAGGGTGCGGGCCGCAGAACGAGCATAACGGAGCTTCATGAAAGCATTGACGTTCTTCTCGTCGGCAGAGATAGCACGAGCCTCGGGAGCAGCAGCAACCTGCTGAACGGGGAGAAGACCACCGCGGAGCTGAACAGCGGAGGCAAGCTCAGAAGCCTACGTCAAAAAAATTCGCAAACCACTTTATAAGCCACCCATCCTCGAAGAATACCACGGCTGCAGATGCAAGCTTATACGTACCTCGGCATCACCCTTCTTGGCCTTACCAGCCTTGCGGGGGAAGACGATAAGCTTAGCCTTGTAAGCCTTCAAGCGCTGAACGTTGAGTTCAAGAGATTCTTGAGACTTGTTGCGGCGACGGTGGTCAACGGCAATACCGATGGTGCGGGCTTCCTTGGTACGAATACCAGCCTCCTATTATTCCCATACAAGAATTAGCACAACCGTCGTAACATGGCCGTTTCTGCAAGACCGATTATGTGTGGTCTTTGAACGAGCTGCTTACCTTGAGTTCTTCGAAAGTGAAACCACGGCCAGATCTCAACTTCATGTTGTAGCGGAGAGTAGGGCAACGAACGGCAGGACGGAGGAGACCGTCAACAGGTCTGGGAGCAATGCGAGCGGCCTTTTGGATGCGTGCAACTCTTCTGGACTTCTTGCGGCCAGCCTGATCGAACCAGGTCTTGACACGACGGTCCCACTGCTTGCGGAAATGCTGGTTGGGCAACTGGTTGTTGTGCTTCAAAACCATTTTCTATTTAGGTGTTCAATGAATGGTAAAGAAAAAAAATCGTCGAGCAAAGGAATCGTGAATGAAGATATGTATAGGGAAAATAAAGAAATAAGGTTAGTAACATTGGTCGAAAAATAGTATGATATATGGAACCATTCCATCCTTCGACATCCATGCTGTATACTATACGATGGATGCAGAGGTGGGATGGATGGATCCTTTGATGATAACTATACGTACGGATGGACCAGTGAGGGGAAAGAGAAAGACTGAACGACTTCTCGAGCACAAGTGATGTTGTGTCGCCCAGCCGTCGGGATTGCCCGCAACGCCAAAGCGACGTCACGCATTGCGAGCCAAATTTCGAGTGGCTTAGTTCAACTTTGATAATGTCCAATCAAAAAAGGGTCAGCAGACAGTGAGCGGTTCTGTCTTCGCCCCTCTTTTTCTTCAAGCGAGACGTGTCCTGTCCTGCCCATTCACCATTCCCTTTATTCTTTTTGTTGGCTGACTACCTTTTAATATCGCGAAAAAAACTTATTAATCAATATTAGCTTATCATATTAGAAGATATCAGGTTTCTCCAACATGTGAGTTTTGGCCCATTGCAGACAATCCATATGGCTTTCTACGATCTGATAATGTGCCTTTTCATGCGACTTGACGCTCCCAGAGAAACCTTTGATAGTAAATTATCCATCTTTTTATGAGATAAAAATATTTCAATTATGGGCAAAAATGCAGATTCACATCGATGGCGAGCCGATCAATATCCAAATTTTGGTTTGTGGATTAGCGCTGTTATTTATATGACTATGCCGACAGTGGCGCTGCCATAGCCTCCAAGAAGCATACGCTGTCGATTAACTAGTGATTCGTTGAGTAATTTTTTTGGAGAGAGGGTGCTGAATGAAGCCCTGGTGAATGGCAAAACCGGGGATCAATTTTGTGACCCTCAAGCCGATTCGGTAATCAGTTAATGGCTGACGGGGAAAATTCAGCAAACCCCATAATGTTGCTCAGAATTTAATTCTCGGTGGAAAGGTCCGTATCGGCTAATCTTCAGGAATTAAAGAGACTGACAGTATCGTCATGATGATGCGCGCAGGCAGTTTGAGGCGGTCTAGTCGCCAAACGAACAATCGAATAAGAACAAACGATAACTGCAAAATTGGTCTGCTATAATAGAACAAATATTTTGTTACAGATATTTTACGTTGAATGCACATCCGCAGCAACTGCCCATCCGGTCCGGCATCCGAAAAAGTGTTTCCCGTTCTCCCATGATGAAGCATTCCCGGTTGTGTGGAGAGATTTGCGCGCAGGATTTATATTATCAAGTTTCGGTCCGTATGATTGAAACATGTAAATCGTTGTATCAGAAATATGAACACCGTGAATCCATTTCATCAGGCCACACCAAATAAAATGGCACCATCGGCTGATGAGGCCTTTTTGAGAGAACCGGATATTAACGCTCCGACAAACTTTCCATGAGACTCCGCGAAAAGTCAAGGGCATTGTCAGTAATCGCTCACTGTTGGAGTCTACCGTAATTTCCCGTTTTATGACAGGACCCTGAAAAGAAGGTGAAGTAGTCCAAGGGTCCATTCGCCCATTGTCCTACTTGTATATTCTTCCTTCATCATTCCGCATAAATTGTATTGTTAATGGTCGAAAAGCTGGCGTAACAACAGGAAACATACAATGACACAAAAAAAAATTGCAAGAAAAAAAAATAGGTATGAAATATATGATTATAGCATAAAGAAGAATGAAAGTAGGATGCGCCCATTTTGGCGTGACAAAGATTACACAGGGCAATAACAGCGAATGACGAGCGGGCGGAATTTACGATCGTCAAAAGCGGGATAGAACAGAAAGTGTGGGGAGGTATTTCATTATGTTGTTTGGTCCATTTCGATTGGTAATGTATCACAATGGTTCACATTGCCATTGGTTGCTATAGCTGCACTTTCCGCGGGATCCCACCTCACCTACCAAATTCGACTTTAATGATACGAGTTGCCCGCACCACAACGAATAAATTAGAACAGAAAGCCGCAGAATCCAGCCTTTTATTCCTTCTTCTCCGCCCGATTTTTGGCCCTTTTTTTTTGTTTGTTTTTTTTATTTCACCTTGTTTTCATCTGTTCGCTCGATCGGCGCCGCCCTTTCTGCTTATCCCATTATCACATGAACGATTTTGCTTATTCGCCGATAACCAAAGAATGTTTCTACGGCAACGATCAAGATCCTACGCACATCCAACGATCTTCTCTCAAACTTTTGCAGCCAGATACAGACCAATCGACATCATCCTCGGAATGGCGTAACGATCCTGCAAACAACCCTGTATCCTGTGATCTCCAGGATGTAATTCTCTATTATCAATCGCAACCTGAACTTTTACGATTGATTCTACTGAGCAAAGTTGAAGAAGATAAACGTCGTACTGAAGAAGCAAAATTACGAGCAAAAGAACTTGATTTGATGATCTTGCAACAGCAGCAACAACAACAACAACAACATTTCCAATCATCCTCCTCCAATACCGTCGATATGGATACAATGGCCGCCCCGTCCTCATTAACTCATTCTACATCCATGTCTCCACCTATGGCTGGTCCAGTTCAAAATATTCGCATGATGTCCTTCCCGGAGCGACGAAATAGTATCGACATGCTTTTAGAAAACGCTCAGCGACGAGATTCAGCCCTGGATTCTTCATTTGATGACAGTACTCATTCTGAAGAACTCGATGATCGAAGCTTTTCCCCAATTTCCACACCTGCTGCAGCGGCATCCTTACTTCATATGGCCAGGTAATATTTTTTAGGATTTTTTTTTATCCTTTTTTTCTTGCTGGCTCGAATGATTATTTTTCTTGTGTGTTTGGGATTGGTTTTATTTTTTTTTATGATTTTTTTTTCAACTTTTTGCGGATTCATTTGGCTTACCGGAGTTTCTAGTTTCCCCCCACCAATGATGTCGCCCTTTGCTGGCCCCAAAAACCCTCTTCAACACCCGCTTTCACCGCCAATGTATAATTTCAGCCCCTCCATCGAAGACACCCAATTCCACGTAGATCTCGAAAATCACCACCGCTTGTCAGGCACGTCGGCTGATGAGTCCCTACGGTCACAGAATGATCCGTACTCCGCACAGCGTCCTCGCCGAAGACGAGAAATGCAAGCCATCACTAAAATCGTTGAAACTCGGGAATTCCCCTATGCCGATGGCTATTTCTGGAAAAACAATGGTAACACCATACAAAAAAAGACAGGCAACAAAAGCGTCTACTACAAATGCTCAAACAGCACAAAGGTAAGACATGTTTCCTCGAAAAACCCACATATTTATCGACACAATGATCTGATATGCTTATCGTGCAGGGATGTCCTGTGAACAAAACAGTAACATGGAAGGAAAACGGCGAATTTCTTATCAAATACCGGGGAGAGCATATTGCAGAATGTGGAAAAGTTCAACGTATCGTTGACAAGTAGAGAACCCAGAAAATAGATTCTCTTGTGTAATATATTTTTAGATGGATTAGGGTAGCTTCAATGATTTTGTCATTATGTCTACATAGTGACTATGAGAGTCATTTGCTTTTCTCTATTGTATATTCAGCTTTACGTAATGTACCTCCGTCAGACCGTAATAATATGCCATTGCCCGTTTCACAAAGACAAAACAACGCAGCTCACTCTTCGGCAGAAAGAATCCCCTTCTGGAAGACTTTCATACTCCGTTTTTGTCATGGCTTGCTTGTCAGGCGTGGACTGGTGTCAAACATCATGTTCCGGATGGTAAAGGTATCATCATACTCAAGATCAACGACTTTAATAAGTTCCAAGTAAACAGTGATGATATTAATAGTTATCTTTGCTTTGTTTTTCCCTTCCAGGTGTGCTCCTGCTGTGGAAGAAGACTTTACAAAGGCTCAAAAGCTGGCAGAATGATCCTTCATTTTTCCGCAAGCTCAAGCGCGAGAATTGCAACCGACTTGAATGCAAGTCGAAATATTCGACTTTCTTGACCCATCGAGCTGGTGAATTGCTGATGAAGACAACGAGCAAATCCCCTACCCGCCAATTATCTTTGACCAATGTACATCAAGGTAAAAACATATTCCCAAAATGGCAATTTCCTTTTTTGACCACGTGGCTTTGGGGTCCCAACATTGCCTATGAATCCAGCTCCTGATGGAAAATAAGGCTGTGCAGAGATTCGATCGTCAAGGTCGTCAAGGCGAACAATTTGTGCGTATCGATACTTTTTTCTTTTTATAAATTAACTATGAACAACATGCACACTTTGTATGTTAAAAAGCGGATTAAATAAAGCGAGCAATGATAGTTAATCACTCTTTTTACCTTTGCTGACTTTTTCACCCCAAAAAATTGAGCACAAAAAAATCTAACAGCCAACAAGGATCGCCTTATGTTTCCCAGCGTCCAACAATATCGTTCATACATTTCCCGACCGATATTGCCGGCAGCGTCCCATCCGCTTTGATCATTTATTTTTTCACTCTACTATTCTTACCTGATCTGGACTTTCTCAAGTCAAAATGTTCGCTACTCTTGAATTGCCCATTCGAGGTATTTCCTTGCATTCTTAGTTCTCGTTTGATCGATGTGTTGACAATCAACAATTATTAGATGACAGCCGACATAAACGATTGAAAGTCGGCCGAGCTTGCCATCCTTGCCGAATGAAAAAAATAAAGGTATAACAACTATGCACTGGTCGTCACAGATTGAAGTGTAACTATTCTCATCAACTCATCGATTAGTGTGATGGCAAACAGCCTTGTATGCAAGTAAGTATTTCAGGTCAAACAAAAATAGTTACAAACGCATGCATTTGCTAATTATAAGCTCATACATAGTGTAAAGGTAACTTTGACAACCAATGAAATCCCATTTTCCAGGATAAGGGGGGAACGGTATATGTGCCTGGATACTGATAATATGCTGTAGCAAGGCGAAGAAAATGCATGTATCTCAAAAACACCGACGATACGTACATTAAGCTCGATCCTGTCACAGATTCTACTGCAGAATCCTTCATGCAGGAGATGAATGATCAAGCCCGTCGTCCCGACCCGCATGGACAGCATTATGTTTCGGCACCGTTGGAAGAAACGGTCTACATGGCCAATTCCTCCGACGCATTGTTTGCAAGTGCTTCACATCGAAGTACATCGTCACAACCGTTACAACCCAGCACCCGGCCCGATAAAATGGTGGAGCAATTAGCAGATAGTTTGGTCCGGCTGAGCCTCCATCAAGATACGTCCAAACTCGAGAACGATCATATGGCGCCATGGCGTAACTATGGCGAGTTTGTCCGGTGGTCGAACGAACCTTCATTACCAAAGTACTATACAGCCTCCATCGAAATGCCGCCGCGGCCTGCTCAGGAACAACTGCTTTGCATATTTTTCGAACACTGTCATCACATCTTACCCACTATTTCCCGGAGCATGTTCTACGATCAACTCGCTGTCAAAGGTCCTCTCATCTCCCCGCTGTTACTGAACATCATGTACGCTCATGCAGCCAAACATACCGATAACCCGGCTTATCGATCAAAACCAGACGATCCAGCATCACAAGGCGATCTCTTTTATCACCGGTCCCGACGTCTCGTAGATGATTTCTTGGATGTTCCTCGACTCAGTACTGTGATTGCACTGTTATACATGTCATCGTACGATTACTACGTGCCGCACCAGGGACAGTCGCGGATACGATCCAGTCGAGCGTGGATGTATAACGCAATGGCGGTTCGCATGTGCTTGGAATTAGGACTACACACCTCTAACTACAGCAGTCAAATGTCCCAATTTGACATTGAATTGCGAAAGAGAGTGATGTGGACATGTTATACAATGGATAAGCTGGAAAGTTGTGTCATGGAGCGCCCCTGGATGTTGCGATCCGAAGATATTGCACTGGATTTTCCTACACCTTTACCAGAAGATAGCCGAGAGGAACGATGCGTATTGGAAGGGTTTGCTCAATTGTGCCGGCTGATGATACTGATGGAGAAGATTCTGCATTTCTTCGCCTACGACATCAAGAATCGTCATACATGGACGCTGCAGGAAGAAGATCGAACTCTGCAATTTCTGGATGCTATATCGCAATGGCGGAACGCATTGCCGGAGGAGCTTCAATGGTCGCCGACATCGAATCAATTGCTGACATCCATGCCCACAGCATCTATCGTGACTAATCTCCATTTGGTGTCGTATGACCTGGAATTGTCGTTGGTGATGTGTTGTCGTTTCCAAAACGAGCAGCTTCATCGGCAGCAACGGCGATCTCTGGCTAATACCATCACGCATCTTGTGTCACTGACGGTTGGACATCATCGACTTATGTACACATTTACGCTGACCACCTTTTCCGGTATTTTTGCTGCCCTTACACATGCAGGGGACTTTGATCATCCGTCAATAGAAGTAGCCGAAGAGGCTAAAAGTCAGTTCCGCAAGAGTTTGGAGGATGTGCGAAAAATTGTCGAGACGATTCCTGTGCGTGATTTGCCAGGCTTTACACGATTGTTCGAACTGACACTGCAAACACCAGCAGCAGCAGCAGCAACATCGATGCCAATGAGTGGTTCAACGAAAATTTCGGCATCACCTGCCTATGCGAGTGCATTTTCAGCTATCAGCGATCTCTGTCATAACAGGAATGAGGAAACAGTGGACCACGTGCTGGGTCCTGCTATGGATCTGCTAAACGTAACGACTTCCGTCATCCATCCAACGACACCGGCGACTACCTCGGTATTTGCGCCCACGCTTCCGCCTGAACGACGGTCTTCACCTTTTGATAATGTGGTACAAGCACCATTTATGTTTGATTCGTCATGCCTGCATACCACTTCCGCACCATCAGCATCAGCGGTGGCGGCGGCGGCAGCAGCAGCTGCTGCTGCTGCCGCGGCAGTAGGCGCTGTTGGTGCTCCCATGACAACACCGACGGCACGACCGCTCAAAAATATCGAACCTGCCGATTACACGTTTGAACTCATTTCCGTCGCAGACGAATGGGCGCGATCGTTACCCTACTAAATTATTTCCCATCTTCCAGTCCATCGTCCGTGTTTATTTTTTTAATCCACAACTTATCTGTATATAGAGTCTAATTGCTAAAGTATAACAGAAAAATAAACACATCCATCGCTAAGCCAAACAGATGTGTGATGGATGACAAAACAAACAAAAATTCATGAGAAGGTTTGGATCTCCGCAGATTTATGATTCATGTTGCGCTCTCCTTGGAGATATCCGTTAATTTTTTTTTTTTTTTTTTTTTTTTGTTCTCTCGGATTTTTCGATCAATGGTTTCTGCATAGCAAGCACATGCAATGGCAAGGACATTGAGGTCTGACTAATACTGGTCGACAATAAAATGGAATAATTCACTCTTTACAGGTTTAGTAAAGACCCATATTCTTGGTTCCTGGATACTCGCAGAATATGATCTGAAAAGGAACCCATGGATGTTTGTTTTTCCCGTTAGGCGCCAAAGCCTATATTTCGCTAATAGAGTTTGTGTACCACGGCGGTTTGCATTGGAAAAAAAGGTTAGAGTATTTTGCAGGGATCTTTCGAGATTCACCGAAAAAGGAAAAATTTTCCATCGAGCCAAAATGTTTGATATACTTATAGGCCCGCCACAGGTTCTAAGAAATCATAACATTGGGATGGCGACAAACGAGCAGTTTTGCTATCATATCAATGGCATGCGCAAAACAGAAACAATGTAGAGAAGCTACTGAAAATTCATTGTCCCTGTATGTATGCAACTGTGTATATACTGTCATTCGATTTCTGGCTAATGTATTCATATGATTCCCAGCCAATGGAGCAAAAACGTGATGGTATCGCCTTAATTGAACCTGCAGTGACCAAAAAAAAAAAAAAAAAAATTTAAAGGAAAGGGCCTTTCGTTCTTTGCATAATAACGAAAACCGCAAAATGTGGGTGCAGATGTATTGTCTCGGATCCTCGTAGTTACAGGTCCTCCTATTACAAACGTTTCGAAACATTCGATGTGAGCCACACCAAGAGAGTAAGGTGGCTGCAAGTGCAGATAAACAGAAAAGTCAAAAAACGAACTGACTTTATCATCACGCTTTGCCAAGGCAACCACAACAACAAAAACCCCCTGGAGAACTGGCGCCAGTTTATTGATAACAAGGGAGATGGTTAGCCGCATATGCTGTATGGGGTGATGCGATTTTCATGGAGTATTCGAAAATGCTAAAACAAAAGGGCAGACTAACCCAGATGAATATTGATGGCAAGCGCCAATGGCTGTATATTGACCAAAAATCTTCCGTTGTATATCACTGTGTATTATTAGCCCTGAACGCATAAACGGCTATCATCCCCATGTCCACGTTCAGTAAGTTGAGAGAGATTCTCATTGCAGAATAGAGTGTGATGATGGTTCCTTTTTTCGGACACGGAAATCATCAGAGGAACAAGAAATCTAGCGGCTCAGCAGAGTTGGAGATCCGATAAAGTGGAATTCCCATCTTCCCATTGCATAAGTTCAGGGAGAAACAAACTTTTTTTTTTTTTTTTTGGTTCATTGCCTATATAAAGGCGCCGGCTTTTCCAAGCCCACATCACCGCCGAAAACAAACATTTGCCTCTTTTTTTTTATTCATCTACTTTCCATTTTTACTACAATTTATCACTAATTGAACTGATCTCTTGTTCACCAATATGCGTAATATCCCGGATATCTTACTACTCGTCTCCAGCATTCTTAATTCCGCTTCGTTCCTTACATCGCCACCTACCGCGCCACAGGATATCAGTGATCCTTCATTACCTGGACAACCTTCCGATTCGTCCCATTCATTACACCCACCACAACCTTTGCCATCGTTGGATGGATTTAATCCTACAAAATCCCATTTAACCGGACGTTTTATTCAAGTAACAGGTGAGAATCACCCAATAAAAGCAAACATACAAAAAAAGAAACGAAGTCCATCCAAAAATATCATGGCCGTAGAAAATAGAAATTCTAAATGCGCATTTTTTCTGTTGCGGTAATTAGATTTCCATTTGGATCCGACTTATCTGGAAGGCTCCGACCCATCTGAGCTTTGCCACAGAAAATCAAGTTATGCTGGCACAGTCGCTGGAAAATTTGGAGTTCTCGGTTCAAAATGTGATTCCCCTGTCGTACTGGTATGGATTTATCAGCCATTGAATGCTCCTACATATCTACATGTATTGTGTATCTCATCAAACGCACTTTTTTTTTGGTCCCTTGCATCTAGGTCGAATCAGCGTTTCAATTTATGAAAAAAAATTTATCTGATGTTGATTTCATCATGTATACTGGTGATTCCGCCCGCCATGTAAGTAGTAAAATCCATCATGATTTTGCCCTGTTGCCATTTCTAACAATATTATCGCTGATGATCCAGGATCGAGATAAAAGCGTGCAGCCACGCACTGCCGACGACGAACTGCAAGATCAGCGCGCCATTGTAAATTATTTCACCAAGACATTTGACTTCTCGCGCATCAAAATTGTAAGTATTTTGTATACGTGTGATCTTTGTCAATGTTCTATTTTTAATTTATCATGACATTGCAGTTTCCCACCATTGGCAATAATGATGTATACGACAATAACATTGTAGAATGGAAAGATCCGCAATTCGGCAAAGTCAAAGATCTTTGGAAACCTTTCGGCTTGAACCTGACCCAAGACTTCAACGATTTTGGCTATTTCGTGCAAGACATTGTCAAAGGCAAATTACGTGCCGTCAGCGTCAATACAATGGGTTTCCTCAAGAAGAACAAAAATGTCAGTGATTGCGATGATCCTAAAAGTCCCGGCGCTTTGCATCTTCAATGGTTAACCCAGGTGTTGGAAGATGCCCGTCGTCAAAATATCAAGACATACATCATGTAGGTTTATTGGAAACCGAATTGACGACGCTGTGCATTTTTTCCCTGAGATCGGTGTTTAACGTTCTTTTTTTATTATTATTATTGTTACAGTGCTCATGTACCACCAAACGGTAAAAAGGACCAGCCGCTGTTTCGCGACGTATGTTACACCGAGTATTACAAGCTGCTAGGAACCTATGCCGATACAATTTTGGGCCATTTTGCAGGTCACTTCAACAGTAAGTGCCTACCTGATTTTGATTGCCGGGTGTCACGAATTTAATCAGTTCCATCTACGTAGATGATATGTTAACGGCAGTTCTACGGCAACAAACTGATTACGTACATGCAGCAGCTGTCGGTTCCACAAGCACATTGGCTACCAATGAAGTGGAATTCAATAACTTTGTCACTGGTCTTTTCAATGCACCTTCTGTGGTTCCTGTGAATAATCCGGCTATCCGAGTCTACGAATATGAAACCAAGGGCGGCAAGTAAGTTGATGCCGGGTGCGACTATTTTTTTTTATCTTTTTTACTTATCACTGATTTTTTGTTCCTCTTTTAGATACCCTGTTGGTACCATCCGTGATTGGTATCAGTATTATGCGGATATCAATGAAGCCAACCAGAGCGGACAATTGACTTTTAGACTGGAATATCAAGCTTCCAAACTGTTTGGTGTCGATCACTTTGACGGTGATGGCCTCAAGGCTGTGTTTTTGAAATTAACACAAGACCAGATTGCACAGCAAGATTACAACAAGTTCGTCACAGTCAGCTCCGAGGGTGAAGTAGATGACGATGAAGACGACTAAATACGTTGGATTTTCATATGTTCTTCCATTTTATTATACCTTTCTTGCATACCTTGTACTGTACATTTGCTGTTCTATAGGAAAATTGAAGATCGAACCATAAACGATCATTCACGCCGTCCATGGATTCTCATTTTTTACTGTCGCTGTTATTCTTTCTTTTTTACCGGATTTATTTTTGTTTTCTCGGTTTAAAAGCACTGAAATGATAATTTCATGCATTGGGGAACATTTATTTTGGCAGAAAAATTACGACAACATACAAGTCATGCACTGCGCATATCATTTCTGCTCGGCACGGTTCATAAGGGCAGCAGTATCACAGGATATCACTTGTATCCGCCTTGTCATGGGCTCAACTCCTTGCAGAACTGATCTCTGCAGATCTGTAGGTCGGCTGCTGAGAGCACATATCTCCCTTTTTACAATTCATGAAACATCCAATGGCGCTCTTTCTCGATAAGACATGTGAGTTTGCACTGGATGTTAGCTTGGTTCAGCTCAAGCTCCAAAGCGTGGCTCAAAGGATGCAGCCCAATGCAAAATACAGCCACAGTGACGTTTTGCCTCGTGTTCATGTTGTCGTGTGCATAAAGACAAGGATAAATAAACACACATCGGCGTTTTGTTTATCTTCCGGTAGAAACACCTGCTGCAGCTGTCAATATGCGCTGTCTTTTCTCGTTGGTTTGACCGAGAAGCTTAAAAACAGGTTGTTTGCGGTCGTGTTGTTACGCTTCTGCATTAACGGATTGGATGTACACAAATTTGGAAGAAATCATAACAGCTGTAAATCAATGTTTACGCTGTATTTCCGCCTAGTTGCGTTGGTCTGCTACCATGCCAAATATGGATGCTTTGTCTGTTGATAATGATGATCGGAGGAAGAACAGCCAGGGAATGAACTGAGACAACCATTACCTTATTCACCTTGCATGTATTCTCTCTTTTTTTTTTATTGATACAAGATCTTCTCTCTACTCAAGATTGCATCCACTTATTTAGAGTTTTTCTGTAAGTTCAGGCACAGCCTTGAACAAATCGTCTACCAAGCCATAGTCGGCGACCTGGAAGATGGGTGCATCGGCGTCCTTATTGATAGCAACAATGACCTTGGAATCCTTCATACCCGCAAGATGCTGGATAGCGCCAGAAATACCTAAGGTAATAATTTAGAAAAAAAATTATCTGATCAGACTACCGGTTTCAAGTTTCCCACGGTCTTCTCATCTTTACTTACCGACAGCAATGTACAACTCTAATCAATAGGAGAAACGAAAAAATGGAGGTTGTGATCAATATCGCTTCCCTACTCACTGTATGCATAAATATCCCTTACCTGGAGCCACAATCTTGCCAGTTTGACCAACTTGCAATGAATTGTCGACGAAACCGGCATCGACAGCAGCACGAGAAGCACCCACTGCAAAACGAGACGGTGTGAGTCATCATTTTCGCATTTTACATATTCCGCTTGTTTTATTCTCACAAGCACGTGACTTACCAGCAGCGTTCATCTTGTCTGCCAAAGCATACAGTAACTTGAAGTTGTCGCCGTTCTTCATACCACGACCACCGCTAATAACACGACGAGCTGAACCGAGATCGGGACGATCCGACTTTTGAATCTCTTCGCTGAGCCATTGAGTCATAGCGGGTTTCTCGGCTTCAGGAGCAGCTTCCTGTTCCACCGATCCATCACCAGAAGCTTGGGCGGCTTCGAAAGCTGTTCCACGGACCGTGATGACTTTGACACCATCCTTGGACTTTACGGTAGCAATAGCATTACCTATGTCAAGGTAAAAAGAAGAAAGAATGTTTTCTGGTTATCCTATATGCTCATTATTTAGAGTCGTCAGAGGCGTGAACTTACCAGCATAAATAGGACGGACAAAAGTGTCGTCGCCTTCAACGCCTGTGATATCAGAAACAGCTGCGACGTCCATGAGAGCAGCAGCACGGGGCATAATGTTCTTGCCAACCGCAGTATGACCGGCAATCAAGTGAGTAAAGTTGTATTTTTTCTGGAGTTCAACGAGAAGGGGAGCCACGTCTTCAGGCAAAGCCTTGGCATAAGCAGCATCCGAAGCAGTGATAACCTTGGAGACACCGGCGTATTTCGCAATCTCTTTGGCCACGCTCTCAGGGGCATCACCAGCAACCAAGGCAGTAACTGATCCTCCGAGCTTGCTGGCTGCTGTGAGGGCATTCAAAGTCGCACCACCGATGGCCCCATCTTTATGTTCGACAAACAACAGAGCATTGGCGCCAGCGGCTGTTGCATAAAAGCGCTGAGCCAAAGGTCGTGTCTGAAACCGGCACACATAGAATGAAGCGAAAACTGGGTTAGAAAAAGTGTCATAGTAGCAGTTGTGTCAGAGCCTCCAATACCTTGAGAGCAATGCGTGCGGCGGTAGTGGTAAGCATGGTGTGAGCGTATATGGAAAAAGAAAAAAAAAAGTTACGGTCCCCACAATAAGCGCGTGAAAAAGTTCAATTTGAGGACGATGAAGCCCGATCGAATTTCGCAACGTCATCTTCATGTGACGATGTTTGTTGACGCTCCGCTGTGCAACTTATTTTTCGAGTTCATGTCATCATTTCGCGCGTCACAAAACAAATAGACACCATGCTGTTGCTGAGTGCCTCTATTTTCCCTCTCTTTCCGTTCTTCTTCATAAGGTATGTGTTTGTCTATTTTTTATAGGTCAACACTATTGCTGGCGCGTGTGTCTTACCTTATCAATAGCATGTCCGTTTCTCACGCGATCAACGCTACTACCAACTCGGTCATCCGTCCTCTTGAAGACTTTTGCATCTGAATGTCCTGCCGTCTCCATATTTCCGCAGGATGTGCTTCCTCAAATTAATCGAGAAACAAGAAGCCAAGTGTTGCTGTAAGTTCCTCCAGAAAGGGTCCATCGAGCCTGGTCAATTCTCCGTTGTTATTACGAATGCCATCGTGAAGGCAAATATGTGCCTCAGGCAAAGAAGCGTTGCACTCGTCCCTCCATGCGGTGTGGATGCACGGCTAGAATCACCGCCTCATCGTTCGATGCCGACGCTGGTATGTGAACGTGACTTACCATTGGAAGCAGGAGGGTCATCTCCCGGGTACTTTGGAGGACTTGCGTTCTGGTCCGCTCCACTCCACTCTTTCGAGATGGATTGACGAGCAGGTACTAATGCAATTTACCTGGGCGCAGATCAATTGGATGCTTCGTATTAACAACGATACATTGACGAAGGTAAATCATTTTCTTCGGCTTCAGTGTTATACGTTACACCTGTCGTGTAGATTTGGAATAGTGAGGCCCTCGAACCGGAAAGCTTTTTCCATCGGTTACATGCATATGTACAACGTCATCCAACGAATCTTGAAAAGAGTTCCCAACTTATGAGAAATATTCATGGAAGCTTGGCTTTATGGCGAAAAAGGTCGGGTGTGTTGGTTTTTCATGCAATTTGAAAGTATCATGGTGAATAGTTGGTAATTTGCTTTTATGAGTCAATGGCAGATTGAGGTCAGCGCACAGATTGGGTTATCTCTCTATGTTAGTAATGTCTTCCTCTTCCTAAACTAAATAAAATCTCAATTTTCAAACATTATCAAAAACAATACATTTATTCTGTGCATGAATGCTACGCGTTACTTCAAAAGTAAAGAAAAATCTGGTGCAGAGAAAGACGTGTCCCTTTCCCCTCTTTCTCTTCACAGTCAACTCTTCTAATTATCTACTTGTGATGCAGTTTTTTTGAGGCGAATACGAGATAAAGAAAAGCCTGGCGCTTCATGGCTGACCTACACTTACCTTCTACTTCTGGGTCGGAAGCGGATGTATACTTTCTGTTTCTGGGAACATCTTTTGATATCCATATTGCAGGATCTGTGAAAATGATGTTCCTGGCTCAACGCAGATATATGCGTGGCCCAATAATGCTCAGCACTAGTAATACATTACCATTGCAGCGACTCCAGTACCGTGGGGAAATACAGCCACCCGTGACATGCCTACCTACCAGTCACTATGAACGTGGTTGTGACTATTGTTTAGCGTGTCTTGGAAAAGGTGCATATGTTCTGTGAACGATGGATTTGATTCATGAGAAAACTAGATCGACTCGACGGATGAGATATCCGAACGTTGCTCAGTAATTTTCGGTGTTCGTATTGGGCAACGGCCTGTATTCGTTGCTTCGCATAGAGATAACTGATCTCTTCAAGACTGACTTCATATGAAACCGGACTTGCGTCCTCAAAAAAGGAGCACACACCAGCTATGTCAGAAACTACTGTGATATACAGTATGAGAGAATTTGAACAAAATGAGACAATGAGAATCTTTTGAGACTGTTTGATTTCTTTATTTCGATTAATGTGATCTGCTTGTTTATACTTTAGCCTTGAGTAGGAATAATAACTATATATCAGTGAGCAGTCCTGGGTTATAAGATGTATGGAAGGATCTACATGCTGTGAGATGTGAGCGTGACCCGTGTGAAGTGATCTCGGTGACAGATCCAAGTTATGGATGGAGAGGCTCAATCAGTGTTCAAATAGAGAAGCTCACCCAGAATGGAAACTCGTCTTAATCCTGACCTTTCTTGTTTGGGAACACCAGTATAGGATGGATGATACGACAAATAGTGGATATACCACAACTACTAAAAGAGTAAGACGCTTACCGGATCTTGTTTTGAGCATGTCTTGGTGTCCCAATGGGCCGGTTCGGTGTACTTTTTGCATAGGATCCGTCGCGTCAAACTCCATTGTTGGGGTCGATCTCCCCCACTGTCTGCGACGGCCTCTGTCTTTGCAATATTCATATCCATTTTCTTTTCATGAAGAATAATCGTTTATGCGTAAATATATTGATAGGATTGTCGGAGGAAGATAAGAGACTCAATTGTGGCTACTTATTGTGCTCTTTGACATTGATCTGCTGAGCTAAAACATTGATGGTCACCAGGCAAGCCGAAACAGTAGTCATAGTGCATGTGAGCCATCCTATTTAACGCCTTCTCTTCCCTTTTTCTTTTAACTCCACTTTTCAACATTGTAACGTTTTTTTTTTCTTTTACACGTCTCTGTTCATCCAATAGATGATGAACGCCGCCGAAAAGCAATACACACCCGTGTCGATCCGGAATCTCAAATATATGACAATTCGCAAAATTAAGTTGTCAACTTGTTTAAACCCTGCTTATAGTTCACTAAGGGAAAGCTTTGTTTTTTTACATTGTACGTTACTTGGATAATTGATACTCAATAACTTTTTATCTAGCAACTTTTCAGGACATTGGCAGAGAATCATGCTGTATTACGAAGAGACGCGAGTAATTTCGCCCTGCTTCACGCCCTTACAACAAAGTAGTCGGGACCAAAGAGCCATGCAAACAAAAGCTGGAATGGGGTTTTTCGCGATTGGCCAGGATGCCACCTTCAGGGGTAAACTGAAAAACAGTGCATAAGGTATCATATCTTGCTGTTTTGCTTCTTCCAAATCTCACGCATATGCACAGGAAAAAATTACAGGCTTGTCTTCATGCTGCTGCACTTGCAAGAAAAACCCGAGGTTGAGACGCTGATATCAGTAGAACTAAACGAGACAACGTACTATAAGGACCCCTGGATTATCCGGGATCAGCCATTTTCCTCCTGCACTGCTTTCTTGTCATAGATTACGGCGTTTTTTCATTAGATGTTTTATCATATTCGACAGTTTTAGGTCGTTATCTTTCTACACAAAGCGGACTCGTGATCATTATATGCGATGATGCTGCGGAGAAAAACAAAATGGACTATTGCAAAACTGCAGAGAAACTATAACAACGTTTATCTATTTAGTGGATCTTTTTTCTTGCAATGGCTAAATTAGTTCCCCTTTCTGACCGTGTCACTTGGTGTTTATACGACGTCAACTCTGAAGCGCCTCAAAGATCCTTTAATTCTAAACAATTTGAGTTTTTCCAAAGCTCAACCCTTTGTTTTTCTTCTCCCATATTCTTTTTCTTCGTCGAATGGATTCCAACCGGATTATCAAATACTTTGACAAACCATCCAAGTGGTCCTATCTGAGCGCTGCAGTGGCTCTTTTCGTTACTTTCAAAGTGTATAAAATTTTTCTTGTCCCATCAAAATTGTGCCACATACCTGTACCTTATTGGTGCATGATCAAAGCTTTCTTGCTGCAAAAGTCACCGCAAGAATGCTTCGAACAGCTCACTTTGCCAATCATTCAGCGGTCAAACGGCATCTACTTGGTATAACAAAAAATTAAAGAAGGTTGTTGGAAGCGGCATGTCATTGATGGCTGATTCACTATAGAACAAAGTACCTTTCGAATGGACCGTTTATATTGCAGATCCAATAGCGGCTAAAACCTTACTTAACACAAGTAAGATGATGCAGCATGGTATCAACCGCCTGAAGTATCATTAAAAAGATATACAGGAGATATCCCCAAAGACCAATCCGTTTTCCACAAACTTGCAGATTCAACGCCTAGTGTCAGGCTTTTTGGTTACGAAAATCTCCCGCTTAGCAACGGCATTACATGGAAGAAGCAACGAAAGGTAAGACGACGATTATGAGTCACGAGTGGGTGACCAAGGGAACCGGAGTTAACATGCAAAATGGGCCCTTAAGCTGCTACATCCGGCTTTCAGTCGAGCTGTGCCGACGGACGTTTTCGGAAAAGTGATGCTCCGAGTCTACAACAACATAAACAACTATGCGGGAAATCCTGTCAAAATTCTGCAGCTGATGCGATTGATGAGTTTGGATGGAGTTGGATTGGCATTTTTTTGGTACACATGACGCAAAAAAAAAAAAAAAAAAAAAAAAAAAAAAAAATAACAAAAAAAATAACAAAAAAGAAAAGAAGAAGAAAAAACTCTTCCGTCGAGGAGAGTCTAAAATAATCCGTTTCCAGGACTTGATTTCCAGGCGTTGGACGGAAAGGAATCAGAATGGACCGCGTTACAGCATGACTTACTTACTGCATTAATTGATCCCGTTCAATACGTATTTCCAGGCATAAATTTCCTTGCAGCAAAGATTTTTTCCTCATCTGAAATCAAGCAACAACGCCATCGATGTCCTCAATCAATACCTCCTAAGCAAAGCACACAAGCGACGATCTATGCTTCAAACACAACAACAGCAACAACTTGGAAGCGAGCCCGAGAATGAGAAAGACGTTCTCACACTGATGGTAGAGGCGGAAATGAAGGATGAAGAGGCTCACCCATTGGAAGAACTAAGGGTATGTTATTGAAGCAAGCCGATGTGGTCTGAAATGTAAAACTGACATGCTATTTGATGCCAGGCAAATGCGGTCATCCTTTTCGGAGCCGGTAATATCATTTTGTATGAGCTTAATTTCGACCCCACCCATTCATTGCTTCTTGTCCAGGGTACGAAGTTGCAGGTCGCGTTCTGCATTTATCATTTGGCCGCTCACAAAGTGTGTCTTTTGCAACCATGGAAATATTTGTCTATGCTGATTTTTCTCACCTATTGGATCTTAGGATATTCAAGACAAAGCTCGTCGGGAAGTACTTGACATGCTTGGAGATGAACCAAAGGATGTTATTCCTACCTTTGCCGAAACCCAAAATATGGAATATATCCACATGATCGCAAAAGAAGTAAATTTTCTGAAACTTTCCTTCGTTTACTCAGCTCTCTAATATGCTTTCCTAGACATTGCGAATAAGCCCACCGGCAGATACCATCTGGCCTCGAATAACTCAAGAAGACGCCTACATTGGTGATACCTTCATTCCCAAAGGCACCAAGATTAGCATTGATATACATGCTCTTCAAAATCGTCCGGATATCTGGGATCAACCAGCCGAATTTAGGCCGGAGCGATTTGCAAAAATTGATGAACATGATCAGCATGAAGGCATGACATGGATTCCTTTCAGCAGCGGCAATCGTAAATGTATTGCTACCAAGTACGTAATGACGCAACTAATTGTGTGCTTGGCAATGTTATGTAAGTGTTACTGGATGTATAACCCACCTACAAACGATGATTAACTTGTCTTGGTTATGATAGTACGAAAATACGAATGGGATCTTCCCGAAGATTCACCATACCGCGGCGGTATTATCTATGAAACGGTATACAGCACATTCCCCGCATCTCTTACTATTAATTTCAACGCACGCTACTGATTACATCGAAGACGTGCGGTGTACTATGTTTATACGATGATCATCCAAAGAGCGTTCTAATTATGCGTACATTATGCGTGCAATAAAATGGCTATTGACGACCGAGGAAGGTTCCCCGAGTTTATTGGGACAACCGATTGTTAAAGCAGTGTTAAATAGAAAATCTTACCTTCTCGAGTAGCTGAATGCAGTCCTTTTGGGTATATTCACGGCTTGTTCATATTATCACCCTGACTGGGGGTTTTCATGACTCAACAATTAACCAGCTAGAAAGGTTCGGCAAAGTATGTATGCATCCATCCTCGCATTGATATTGATATTGATATTGATACTGTATATTAAAAATCTTTGGGAGTTATGCAAGTTAAATCATTTGCACGGTTTCTGATTGGCTAAAAAGCAAAAACAATACATTTGATTGGGCACAACTGTGTAAAAAACCTGTCTCGGCTGCAGAAAGCGTTCATCGGTTACTTTCATTTCGCACTCTGAATATCCCAACACTCAACGCCTGGCCATCCATTTGGAAAATGAGCAAATTGTGCAATTTTCCGAAGATGATAATCCTCAAATAGTGGCAGAACGTGCTCATGACACAACTTTGACAGCATGGTTTGCCAAAAACAGAACGGATCCTCAAGCCCGAGCCGACTTTACCCTGATTTCCCATCGCAATACGTATATCACCAAAGAACACGGACACGGAGAAGACGTCAACGACGCTTTGGCGGTACGATCGGCCGGATGTACGCTGTGTCACCAAGGCAATCCGAAAAATATTATTTAAGGATGATGTTGTATAACATCCCAGGTGCGCAAAGTTTCCAAGGTCTTCGCATAATTAACGGCGTCATCATGCCAACTTTCCAGGCTGCAGCACGACAGCTTGGACTGCTCTCAGATGACAGCGAATGACAACTTGCTCTTCAAGAAGCATCAACTTATCAGATGTCATCTACTTCGAAGACTATTTGCAACTATAATCAATTTCTGTGAGCCTACCAACCCCTTTTCCCTGTGGATGCAATTCTGTGATCATTTAGCGGAAGATTATGCTTATATCTGGAAAACACAAGAGGGAAACAGGGCAATAGAGCCATCACAGGCTGTGTACAATCGTGCGTTGTTGGAGATTGAAAACCTATTGAGCACACTATCGAGATCACTGACTGATTTTGATGGCTTTGTCGTTCCACGTCGTCAAGATGCATTTCAAGCAATCATCACCGAAAATCAACCAGACTAAATAGAGAACAAATAGCCATTATTGCAGAAGTTATGAGCGAGCCAGAACCACATTATGAATTCAATACGAGCCAGCAGGCTGTTTTTGATGCTGTCATAGAAGCTACTACCAGGGGTACCGATCACTCATCATCCAGATTATATTTCGTCGATGGTCCAGGGGGGACAGGGAAAACTTTCCTATTTAATGCCCTTTTATCTGCCATTCGTCGAACAAACAATGTTGCTCTAGCAGTGGCGTCAAGCGGAACAGCTTCTTTACTGCTTCGCGGTGGCCGAACCGCACATTGTTTGGAATTCCATTGAAAGTTGATCAACGCACAATGTGTCGAATAACGCCGCAGTCGCCAGCAGATCTGTTATTGCAGTAAACACAGTTAATCGTATGGGATGAGGCAACCATGGTCAGCCGACATCTTATAGAAGGTGTCAATCGCACTCTTCAAGACGTAATGAAGATGGTAAATCCGGCTCTTCAGCATGTGCCTTTTGGTGGTAAATTGATTGTTTTTGGCGGCGATTTCCGTCAAGTTCTTCCAGTTATCCCCAAAGCAACCAGGCCCTAAATTGCTGAACAATGTCTAAACAGAGCCTCTTTCTGGCCATCTGTGGGGGTTCTTCGATTAACGACAAACATGCGTGTAGAACAAGCTCGCTTAAGCAGTGGTGTGGATGCTAGCATATTGGATCAATTCGCCTCTTATCTTTTGCGCAATGGTAGTGGAAGGGAACCGTACACAAATGGGAACTTGGTGTTACTTCCCACCAGAGATGCTGGTGCCTTCTTCCAATGTCAAAGATCTGGTATATCAGTATATGGCCAATCTTTATCAGAAATGCTCTCGAGAGAATTCTTAATAAGCCGTGCCATCTTGCTCCAAAAAACAGACATGTGGCCTTTTTCAATGAGAAGGTGATGAACAGTTTCCCTGGAGATGTCTGCGAACACAAAAGTGCTGACAGCATGGACACAGAGGAATATCAACTGGAGCAAACTAATGTAATCTTGAACTCTATAAATTCAGCCAATTCAAGCGCGGAGTTTGACTATAACCTATCACAAAATGAGCAATCGATCCAACCTCCTCTTTAATCAAGTTTGTCTCGCTTTCCTCAGAGCAACATCCCAACTACACATCCAAAGAACCAAACTTTTTATCTTCCAACCATGCCTCGCTGCCCATTCACGATATTAGACGAAACAATCAGCAGCAAGGTGCCGTTTGCGCCAGTTGTGGTCAAACAGAGCATCGTCGTCTTTCAAATAAAAATGTGAGTGGAGCTCTTTTTGAAGAAAGGTGGTTAATGATACGACTGGCGTCTTTGTAGCATCATTTAATTTGGGTTTTCTGTCAGTTATACGGGTCATTTATACCTTTCATTCTCTTTCGATTTTCAATGAATCGAATAATACATAAGCAGACGTTCTTCGATCTATAAATTCATGCATCAGTAGGGTGACTATTGTTTCATCCATGGGAAATCATTATAGTTTTGTCTTCAATTTCATCTCTCTTCCTGTGTGCTTGATAAACCCTCACTACCATTGTATCAAGATCCCATCCGCATTCATCATCCAGACCATTCTTATCCCAGTGTATCAAACTTGGTTAAATCGACTACCATCCTCAAAAAGGTAAGCGTCGAGTGGTCTACCATCGATTTTGCTCCGGCAAAACAGACTTGCCTCTTTTTTTTTCATCTCTTCCGGCTTCCGGTTTTTTCCGTCTTCTTTTCTCCTAACAAGTTCTGTATGCTACAACTTGACTTTCTCTCGCCATCCATCCATCCATCTGGCGAAACCGGATGACGTCAAAGGCCATCGTCGGTGGTGTGACTTCTTGTTCATCGGAAAAACGCTTACGTGTCCTCTTCATGTTCCTCTCCTTTGGATTGCTTCTCATGATATGGTATTCAAGATGTCTCCCCGATTATTGTATCTTGTAGTTTGTATTTTGTATTTTATATTCATGTACATATTCTTTTCGCAGTCTTTTCCTCTTTTTTCTCACAGGTTTTTTTAGGAGGCTTTTACTGACGCGACCATTGTTTTTTTTTATCATCATGCACTTTATTTTTATTTCTTTTTATTCGGGGGACTCTCGATATCTGGAATCCAACTCGAAATTACCGTCACTTCTGCCCACGTCAATATTTTTTGCCTGCTCAAACTGACACCACCGATCCATTGCTTAACTGTCCCTGGGAGCAATTCTATTGTCCGCATCGATGAAGAAGCTTACCTGGCGGTCCGTACCATCTTTCTTTTTTCCGGTATACCATTTGGTTCAAAGGCAAGTCCAATTTCTTTTCCTTTGCTATGATGTAATGAACGTATACTGATTCAAATTTTTTCAATGTCATATAATCCAAGTCATGTCAAGCGATCAATGGCTTTTGCAAACTCAAATAACAAAGGTAAAATATCTTGACGAAAATTTGAATCAATCAAAGAGCTTACTAACTCATTTTTTTAAATACCCAACATACCCACACATCTTTCTAGATCTATCATAGCCTGGGCGGGATGGAACTGAGGGGGTCAATCAGTGCTGCCCTGCGCGTGTTCAGAAACAAATCACGTTGCAACGTATGCCATAAGGTTGTCATTAATATACCGAAGTTCCGTCAAGAGTTCTCGCCCAGGTTATGCCGTGTATGCGTTAGGCTTTTTGTCTGACGAAAGTCGCTCAATGTAAGAGGGCGGCCTCCGGTGGCAGGTGGCATCCATTGCACAGCGGGTGTACGGCTTGTTAACGAATAGAAAATATCACTTATAAATACTATCTAGGGCGGGAACATCGGATTTGACAGCATATGTTTTAAAGTATACTTTTGCTTATAGTCCGCTTTCTCTTAATAGATCACGGCGTTTTTTCATTTGGTTTGTCATCACTTGTGTCAGTTTCAGGTCACTATCTTTTTACTCAAAGCCAACTCCTGTCAACATATGCGATGATGTTAAGAAGATAAAAACAAAACAGTTGACTAGGGCAAAAATGCAGAGAAACAGAAACACCGTTTGTCTTTCAGTATTACTTTCGGATACTTTTTTTTTTGCCAACGCAAAACGAGTGTCCATTTCTGACCATGTCACTTGATCTGATACGCTGTCACAACGACGTCAACTCTAAAGCGTCTCAGGGATTTTCAAGTTTAAACAACTTTCATTTTTCCCAAAGCTCGACCCCTTGTTTTTTCTTCTCCCATATTCTTTTTTTTTCGTCGAATGGATTCCAGCCGGATTATCAAATACTTTGACAAACCACGCAAGTGGTCCTATCTGAGCGCCGCCGTGACTCTTTTCCTTACTTTCAAAGTGTATAAAATTTTTCGTGTCCCATCCAACTTGCGTCACATACCTGCCGTACCTTATTGGTGCATGATAAAAGCTTTCTTGTCGCAAAAGTCGCCGCAAGAACGCTTCGAACAGCTCACTTTGCCAATCATTCAAAGGTCAAAGGGCATTTACTTGGTATAAAAAAAAGATTAATTAAGGAAAAGCTGTTGGACGCTGCATGTAATTGACGCCTATATTCACGTTAGAACAAAGTACCTTTCGAATGGACCGTTTATGTTGCAGATCCAATAGCGGCTAAAACCATACTTAACACAAGTAAGATGATGCAGTATCCTATCAACCGCTTCAAATATCATTAAAGGGTACACAGGAGATATTCCCAAGGACCAATCTGTTTTCCATAAGCTTGCGGACTCAACACCTGTTGTCAGGCTTTTTGGTCATGAAAATCTCCCGCTTAGCAATGGGATTACATGGAAGAAGCAACGAAAGGTAAGAAGAAGATGATTAATCACAAGTGGAAAATCGATCAGCAGAATCGACGGTAATAGGCTAGATGGGCTCTTTAGCTGATAAATCCGGCTTTCAGCCGAGCTGTGCCGACGGACGCTTTGGGAAACGTGATGCTCCGAGTCTACAAAAACATAGACAACTATGACGGAAATCGTGTCGAGGTTCTGCAACTGATGCGCTTGATGAGTTTGGATGGAGCCGGATTGGCATTCTTTGGTACATATGACACGACAAAAAGCCTCCCGAGGAGCATTTAAAATAATCCATTGTTCAGGACTTGATTTCCAGGCGTTGGATGGAAAGGAAGCAGAGTGGACCGCATTACAGCGTGAGCTGCTCAATGCATTAATTGATCCCGTTCAATACGTATTTCCAGGCATGAGTTTCCTTGCATCAAAGATTTTTCCTCATCTAAAATCAAGCAACGACGCCATCGATGTCCTCAATCAACTCATTTTAAAGAAAGCACACGAGAGACGATCTATGCTTCAAACACAGCAACCAGAACAAAGTGGAAGCACGCCAAACAGTGAGATAGACGCTCTCACACTGATGGTAGAGGCAGAAATGAAGGATGAAGAGGCTTGTCCAATGGAAGAATTAAGAGTATGCTATTGAAGGCGATATGATGTGAAATGTATAACTGACATATCTTGATACTAGGCAAACACGGCCATCCTTTTCGTAGCCGGTAATATTTTTTTGTGTGAGCTTTATTTCAGCATCACCCATTCGTTGTTCCTTGTACAGGATACGAAGTAATATGTCACGCTATCGCGTTTTCTATTTATCATTTGGCCGCTCACAAAGTGAGTCTTGTAACATTTTGAACACATTTGTGTACGCTGATTTTGGGCTCCTACATCCGATTTTAGGGTATTCAGGACAAAGCTCGTAGGGAAGTACTTGGCATACTTGGAGATGAACCAAAGGATGTTATTCCTACCTTTGCCGAAACCCAAAATATGGAATATATCCACATGATCGCAAAAGAAGTAAGTTTCCTAAATTGTAGTCTATGAACTCTAGCCTCTAATATCTGATTTCCAAGACATTGCGAATAAGTCCGCCGGCAGATACCATCTGGCCTCGAGTAACTCAAGAAGACACATATATCTGTGACACCTTCATTCCCAAAGGCACCAGTATTAGCATTGATATGCACGCTCTTCAAAACCGTCCGGACATCTGGGACCAACCAGCCGAATTTAGGCCGGAGCGCTTTGCAAAAAATGGTGAACATGATCAGCATGAAGGCTTGACATGGATTCCTTTCAGCAGCGGCGATCGTAAATGTATTGCTACCAAATATGTAATGACGCAACTAATTGTGTGCCTGGCAATGTTATGTAAGTGCTGTCCGGATGCATTCCCACTTAGACGAATAATATTAACTTGACTTGCTATGGTAGTACGGAAATACGAATGGAGTGTTCCCGAAGATTCGCCACATCCTGCCTCTGACACGCTATTCAGCACATTCCCCGCATCTTTTGCTATTAATTTCAGCGCACGCTACTGAAAATAAAGCCATGCGGTGAACAATGGCTCTGACAAGATGTTTACTTTAAGCTTCCGAATCCAATAAAACCATTTAATCAATGACCAAGAAAGGTCGCCCAGCTTCATTGGGAGAGCCGGCTGCTGAAGCAATGTCCGTTAGAAGGTCTTCCCTTCTCGTTCGAGTAGTTGAATACAGTCACTGTGGTAATTCACTGCTTGTTTGTAATTATCCATTATTGGCTCTTGACCAACAACTAACAAGCTAGAAAGTCTCGAAAAAGGATGATGCATTTATCACACGTGCCTCGCATCATAAATAAACAAGGAGGTAATTTTTTCTCCAAATCATTTGACTCGATTCCGCAACAAAGAGTCATCGGTGTGCGGATAGGTTATTTTCAATCCGGCAAATTCCGACCATGAATTTAATATCTTTTTTCCCCATCATTGGCGGTTTTTTCTCACACCTACCTTCATGGATCTCAACAAAGTTACAAAATACCTGGAAAAACGGTCAAAGTGGTCTTACTTGGGGATCGCCGTGGCGCTCTTTGTCAGTCATAAGGTGTATCGGTTTCTTCATGTACCACCTTCCTTACGCCACATCCCTGCGGTCAGTTACTGGCGTATGGTAGGCTCCTTCCTTTCCAAAGAGCCACCTCAACGTCGTATGGAACGATTAATCCTACCCACCATTCAAGGGACTGATGGAATCTATTTGGTAGTTCCGATCCTACATATCTATGAGAGGAGCCCTGTTTATATTAACCTGCGATTTAAACGTGTAGAATAAAATACCGCTGGATTGGACCGTTTTCTTGGCCAACCCGACGTCTGTCAGGTCTTTGTTCTTTGATAACAGTAAGATTGAGCGTGCACATATCGGTTACAAAACGGTGAATGTTGATGAAGATCTACTTTCTTTTTTGCTCTTGTAGAGGATCTTCCCAAGGATCAATCGGGGCTCTACTACCTTGGTGAAACTAGTCCTGTTATTCGGTTCGTCGGATACGATAATATTGTGTTTAGCAATGGACAGACGTGGAAAAGACAGCGCAAGGTAACATACACATTTCAACGCTGTTGATCGATCTATGTAAATGCTAAAAAATGAGTTGGATTGCAAACTAGTTAATGAATCCAGTGTTTAACCGTGCTATGCCGGTGAACGTGTTTGGCAATTTGATGCTCAAAGTCATTCATAAAATTGAAAATGAATATCAAGGCAACAATGTCAGAGTGGTCGATCTTATGCAGCGAATGACATTGGACGCACTTGGGCTGGGCGTTTTTGGTGGGCGTTTGAATCCTCATAAACTGCTACCGGTCATTAATTAACGACACAAAAAATCAATAGGATTCGATTTTTTGTCCTTGGAAGAAGAGAATTCGATATGGCGAGAGACCTATGAGAATGTGATTGCCAGTGTACGAGATCCCATAACCAATGTTTTCCCTCAGATTGATTCGATCCGTGCGTGGTTTTTCCCCTCTCGAAGAGCCAGGCTGGAAGGTACCGCGAAACTCAACAACTTGCTGCTGAACATGGCCCAAGAGCGACGTCGTTTCCTGACGGAGCAAAAAGCCACCGGTCAAGAAGATACAAAATCCGATAGCGAGAAAGATCTTTTGACATTGATGCTGGAAGCCGAAATAAGAGGCGAAGGTAACCTGTCGGATGAAGAACTCAGGGTATGCTATCGTCTCAGGAAGCGAAAAAAAAAAGAGTAAGCACAGACGATTCTGATCATGACGTTTTAGACCAACATGGCCATGATGTTTGCGGCTGGTAATTTATCATTCTTTGATCATTTTTTTTGGCATTCTAATGTTTCATGTGAGTAGGGCACGAGACAACATCGCATGCACTTGCCTTTGCCATCTACTATTTGGCTGTGAATAAGGTAACTAAGTTTATACTTTGACACGGCTTGAAAGTCATTGTGTATAACCGTCGTTGCTCTTAGAACATCCAAGACAAAGCTCGTCAAGAAGCTCTTGAAGTCCTTGGAAACGACCCGGAAGATGTGTTACCGTCTCTTCACGATTGCGGAAGGTTCGTCTATATCGATATGATTATCAAAGAAGTAAGTTGGCCAAAAAGAAAGAAATAGTGATCGGAAGAAAGCGCATCTGATGATTTTGTTTTCAGAACTTGAGAATATCTCCCACGGGTGAATTCATTTTGCCTCGAAAGGCTGTCGAGGATATGTATGTGGGTAATACGTTTATTCCCAAAGGCACCAAGGTCTCGATCGATATCCATACTCTTCAGAATAACCCAGAAATATGGGAAAACCCCAATGAGTTCAGACCGGAACGCTTTGCCAAGGACGGGGAACACGATAAGCATGAAGGTATCCCCTGGGTTCCCTTCAGCGACGGTACGCGAAAATGCATCGGCGTTAAATTCAGCATGGTAGAACAGTACGTGTGCTTGGCAATGCTATGTAAGTAAAGGTTTCATCAATGGTAGATAATGGCTTGTCTTTTCATCATATTATATAGTGCGTAAATACGAATGGGAATTGCCGGAAGAGTCCATTCATCGTAATGGTATCGTCCATGAAATAGGCGCCAACGCCGCTCCTACATCGTTGACCATCAACTTTACCAAACGTTACTGAACCAATGATTTGGGCGTTCGAGAGCGTTTCTGGATTTCCTTTGTGTCATCTTTTAGTTCAAGCATTTTACAGGTTATACTGTGTGTTCCTATTAAGAATGAAGTGGGATTCCTCCAGAATACATTTGAAATGCTCCATTTTCTATCAATAAATAACAAATATAATCGAGTCCACGAATTGTTCATCGTATGTATAGCTAAATCCGAAACCTCAAGTTTGAGCTTTAACTTTAAGTCCAGTTTCCCGTTCATTCGCAGCTTGAACTTTCAAAGTTGCAAAATGAGACAAAAGAAAATTACCTGTCATGAGCTTGTACTCTTCAAAATAGCAAAATACTGTGATCCCATTTCAACCACCATTGGATCCTTGCTTGTCCGAATTCAGGGTCACAAACTATCCAAGATTCTGGTCGGATTAGAAAAAGAGGAAGACTCTTTTACTCCGCAACGTTCCACCAAGAGACGCACCCTTAATTGTGTCAGATTTGAGTACTCCTTTAGAGTTCAGTTTAAATCTGTAGTTTTTGTTCCTTCTTTATTTCTACCATAACATGGTCATATTTATATTTTCTATCAAGATCATTTTTATGTCTACAATCTTCAGGAAGGTTCTCGTCAACTTCCTGCACGGTTTTCTATTATTCCGAAACATAACCAATCAAGAAGTATTACGGACCGCTTTAATGCTAAACGGATTCGGTCTATATTTCTTCCGTTTTCCAGGCAATACCTTTGGTATGCCTCGTTCATCCATTGGTCCTTCATACCTTCTCGAAGGTTCCTCCAGACATCGATCTGCGGACGAGCCAATGCGCTGTCTTCCGTATTTGCTAAACTTTGGTATAGCAAATCTAATCGGCGCAAAAGAAGAACCGGCGTAACTGACAATACCCCCCCTCTTGCCTGAAGTCCGTCCTCGGGCTTCGTTATCGAAAGAGGCATCCGAGTCAGAAAGGTGATACTGGTCAGGAGGTGGCACGGTAGAAAGATCCATAGGGGCATCGATGGGTTCGTCCAGCGTAGGATCTTGTTCCAACGGTTCATCCAATGAGGGTGCCATCTCGGTATCGTAGGGAGTCATTTCTTTGATCGGTTCTGTCGTCTGCAGTGGAACTTCGTTAACTGCCGTGGGTTCAACGGTGTCAACTTCGCACATGGCGGGGACATCTTCAAGTTCGGTTGAAACCACGTCGTCAGTGATGTCGGGGTCGTTCATTAAGTCCAAAGCGGGTTCATAATCCGAGCGGTCATGTTCGTTAGGGTCAATCGACTGAGACATTGGGGACATCGGGTCTGTCGATATATCAGTGTCGTCGAGATCTTCATCACAGATTGTATCCTCTTGATCGATTGTTGCGTCGGGTGAATCGATAACTTCGTCAACCATAGAATTTTTGGAGTCATTTGGCAGGGCAGGTGTTTCGACGGCATCTTCAACCATGGGGTTTTCGGGAGCAACGATTTCTTGCGCATCGTGAGTGTTGGGCTCGTTCACGATGGCGTCAACCTTTTCGTGAAAGTCGTTAGATGGCGGCAAATCGCGTAATGCACCAGCAGGCCATTGGGAACGGGACGTTCGCACATCGAACCAGGGTCGCGTTTCGAGTAACTGTTCGACTGTGTTTGCTTGCTTCAGGCGATCGACATGTATCCAATCAGGTCGAACCACACCATCGAGACTTTCCAATAAATAAACATCGTTGTCGTCGTTCTTGCGTCGTACACGATAAGGTCCTTCCCATGAAAATTCCAATCCAACTTTCTGTTCCACACGCAACAAGACTAAGTCACCAATTTCGAACGTAATGGGCTTAACCGTAGCATCCCATCGAACTTTGTCACGTTCGGCTTGCGACTTCAGTTGTGTTTCGGCGTCTTGACGGGCTGATTCTAGCTTGTCCAGCTCTTCAGAAGGTCTGTTCGGGTCCACAGGAACATCAGGTCCAGCTAGATAAGGTCGTAATGGGTCACCAGGGAGCACAGGTTCTCGACCGTACACCAAGTAGAATGGGCTATGTCCAGTAGTAGCGTGTTTACGAACACGTAAGGCCCATACGGCTGCATCCAAGTGTTGATCCCATTCATGAATTCGTCCACGCAAGTACTTGATGAGCATCGACTTCAGGGTTCCATTCAAGCGTTCGACTTTTCCGTTCGTTCGAGGATGATAAGCCGACGTAAATCGATGCGTTGCCTTGATTCGTTTCGTGTATCGCTGCAAGATTTGGGACATAAAGGCAGCACCACGATCCGAGAGAATCTCCTTGGGGCAACCAAAGCGCATGACGATTTCTTCGTACAAAAAGTCTGCTACCGCTGCTGCAGACGCCACTGGGACAGCTCGAGCAATTGGCCAATTCGTCAAATAATCCACGGCAACAATGATCCAACGATTGCCTTTACGAGTCGTAGGTAATTGACCAATGAAATCCAGATGCCATCGTCCAAACGGTTCCGGGACGTTAAGAGGATGCATCGGCGCTTTGCGAACAGATCTTTGAGGTTTACCGGCTAGTTGACACTCTTGACACTGCTGTAACCATTCTTCGATTTCCTTCTTCATCTGGGGCCACCATACACGGGGTTGTAATACGTGTAACATGGTTGACAATCCGGCATGTCCAACGGAATGGTGATAACGAGCAAGCAGGTCGGCACGTTCAACGTAAGGAACAAATCGGGTCCAGTGTTCATCGTTTCGGTGGTAGATTACGTCGTCCTTGATCATAAACGTATCGCGATTTTCCTTCAGCTGTTCTCGTACGGACTCAGGAATGGCTTCTTCGGCGTACATGTAATAAAGAGGCCAATCTGTATCATGCACCACAGGCATCACCGTGTCCATTAAGTATAAGTATTCGGGCACTACGGGCTTCTCATCATGGTCATCGTCAGGGTCTTGAACGATCCGAGAGAGTGCATCCGGTACTACTTGTTGTTTGCCTGGTCGATACTGAATATCGGGGTCGTACAGTTCCAGCTCGTTAATCCAGCGTACCAGCCTAGGGGTCGGAGTTTTCTGCGAACGTAGGTACCGAAGTGGCAAATGATCCGTGTATACCACATACTTGGTACCGTCCAAAAAACATCGCCACGTGCGCAAAGCATGAAGGATAGCAAATAATTCCCTTTCTTGAGCAGGATAATTTTGCTCAGTCTTGCTAAACTTCTTGCTCTCATAGGCGATCGGATGTTCCAAACCATCGTCGTCATCTTGAACCAGTACAGCACCACAAGCGAAATCTGAAGCGTCTGTATACACCTTGTACGGACGATCGAGTCGAGGAGCAACCAACACAGGAGCAGAGGCTAACCGTGTCTTCAATTCTTCGAAAGCAGCTTGACATTTCGGCGGCCAAACGATCTTTCGGCGTTTCGGTCCAGCACCTTGCGTGAGGTCGGTCAATGGTGCGGCGATGTGGGCGTAATCCTTGATAAATCGGCGGTAATAACTTGCCAATCCAAGGAACTGTCGCACCTCCTGGACATTGGTGGGAGTGGGCCAAGTTTGCAGCTTCGCAATCTTCTTGTTATCCGGCAGGATACCGTTCTTAGTCACTCGAAATCCAACGAACACCAATTCGTCGACACCAAATTCGCATTTGTCCGGGTTCAGAAACAGCTTGTGTTCACGCAATTTTTCCAACACCATGTGCAAGTGCTTCTTGTGTTCTTCCTCGTTACGGCTGTACACCAGAATATCGTCGAGATAAACCAACACGAATCGATCGATATATTCTCCGAGAATTCGATTCATCATTGCTTGAAACGTTGGTGGAGCGTTCGTTAAACCAAAAGGTAACACCTTGAACTGATACTGTCCATATCGAGTGTTAAACGCAGTTTTCGGTCGATCCTCGTCACGTAATCGTACTTGATGATATCCGCTTTTGAGATCCAAAGAAGAGAAAATACGTGCGCCAGCCAAGCGATCCAAACATTCGTCAATTCGTGGCAATGGAGAAGTGTTTCGAACCGTCAGTTTGTTCAAAGCTCGATAGTCAACACACATACGCATGCTACCATCCTTCTTTCGTACGAACAATACTGGAGCACCCCACGGTGACTTGCTGGGTTCGATCAAGCCTTTGTCCAATAACGCCTTGATCTGTCGCTGAAGTTCATCTAGTTCACGCGGACTCATCTTGAAGGGGTTCTTCGATACGGGTGTTGCGTCGCCGACGTTGATCACATGCTGTACGTCGCGTTCTGGAGGCAAACCAGGTAACTCGTCTGAGAATAGGTCTTCGTATCCCTCGATCCACTTAGCAGCTTTCTTCGATAAATCGGACACCACCTTGATGTCGTTCTCGCTGTTGACCAACAACAGGGCTACTTCTTCTCGCTGCTTGATCGACTTGACCACTTGCCTCGGGCAACACACAAAATTCAGTTCGTCATCGTCCGTTCGTTCGTTAGGGGAGAGCACCATCTCGCCCTTTGCCGTCTGGATCCGCCATGTTTTCGTCTTCCAGTCTACGGACGGGTTAACCGTTTCAAGCCAATCCATGCCCAAAATGAGATCGAATCGACTGGGAATCACCAATGCCTCGATGTGATCTTCTTTCTCGACTTGTCCAAAGGAGAAAGGCACCTTGACCACCGTATCCACCATGATCGTCTTGTTACCAGCAGACTTAACTGGCAGAGCGCATTTCAACTTGCGTTGCGGCAAACCTTTTGCCAGACGTTTGGATACATAGTTCGCTGAGGCTCCCGAGTCGATAATAACTTGCATAGATTCTCCGGCGATATAACCTTTATATGTCGGCAAACCAATTGCACCACGTCCTTCGTTGGCCAAATGCTGTAATTCTTCCAAATGGTCGCGTTCCTTTTGCCAACGGTCGTGAGTTTCCTTGTCCTGGTACCACTTGAAAGGGGAAGAAGCTTTCGATTTCTTGACACCACCGCCCTGCTTCTTCCCAGCACCCTGATCCTTGCTTCCAGGACCTAGTTCCGGTAGAGGGGTGGTTACATCTTCTTTGCGCAATACGGCCCCCTCTTGACCTATTGCGCGTTGACTTTTAAAGCAGCTTTGGCCGCTTTAACCACTGGGCAATCCTTCACGAGGTGACCTTCCTGGTCACAGGCATAGCACTTCGGGGTCTTGACGTGCTTCTTGCCGTTGGGACGTCGTTGTCTCCTGGGACGATCCAATTCATGCAAGTCCAGATCCATCGGTTCGGGTCCATTGAACCGACGTTGAGCTTGCTGGGGACGGAATACGGGACGGAAATTACCACGGCGAGCATCTTCGTAGTCCATAGCCAACTCGATGGCACGATCCAGAGTCTCCGGTCTATAAGTGTACACATATTCCTGGATCGGAATACGTAAACCACGAGTGAAGCGGTCCAAAGCTTCCGCTTCCGAGACATCACCAGCGATCGCTCTCAAGTCCTGGAACTCTTCGGCATAACGTTGCACGGAACCAGTTTGTCGTAGGTTGTGCAACTTTCCACGGACTTGTCGGTACACACCAGTTGGGACAAAGTAGTGCCGAATGGCATCGCATAAATCTTCCCAGTTATCGATCGTATCGTCACCACTAGTCTGCTTGTGACGTCGCCACCACATCTTCGCCTTGTCTTCGAGGAGCATAACAGCAAAGTTGAACCGCTGTTCCTCCGGCATTTTTGTAAAGGTGAAGTATTGGTCGACATCATCGATCCAGTTTTCCACGACGACGGGGTCCTTGACACCTCGGAACTTCGCAGGCAGAGGAACCTTGACTTCTGCACCTTGGGTCTGCTTTCCGGCGTTTTCTTCCTTCTTCTTCTCGCGTTCCAGAAGGTAAGCCAAAGCTTCGGTGAGAGTCTTCATTTGTGCGTCCATAGTTCCGGTTTCGTCGTAATAGTAATTGGGCTCAGGTCGGGTTTCTTTTCAGCCGCTACCAGTTGTCAGATTTGAGTACTCCTTTAGAGTTCAGTTTAAATCTGTAGTTTTTGTTCCTTCTTTATTTCTACCATAACATGGTCATATTTATATTTTCTATCAAGATCATTTTTATGTCTACAATCTTCAGGAAGGTTCTCGTCAACTTCCTGCACGGTTTTCTATTATTCCGAAACATAACCAATCAAGAAGTATTACGGACCGCTTTAATGCTAAACGGATTCGGTCTATATTTCTTCCGTTTTCCAGGCAATACCTTTGGTATGCCTCGTTCATCCATTGGTCCTTCATACCTTCTCGAAGGTTCCTCCAGACATCGATCTGCGGACGAGCCAATGCGCTGTCTTCCGTATTTGCTAAACTTTGGTATAGCAAATCTAATCGGCGCAAAAGAAGAACCGGCGTAACTGACAATTGCTCTCACTTACTCACTCTCCTTTTTGGCTGCAAAAAAATAATACAATTCATCAGCCTTTAAAGTAAAAACACGATGCCCTTCGCAGCGAAGAAACTCCAAAAGAAAATCGCAGAAGATCTTTAGCCAAAAAGGCAAAAGATGCAGACTGCGAGATTCGAACTCGCGCCACTTTCGTGAGTACGACCTGAACGTACCGCCTTAGACCACTCGGCCAAATCTGCCAATTGTCGGAGAAAAATTCTCCGTTCAATATATTGCAGTACCATGGAATTTTGGATTTTCCCAATCTTGAAGGCCATAACGTGAAGATAGTGATGTAAGAATCAGTTGTCGGATTCCGGTATATAGAGGTTGTGTTGAGATGAACACTATGCGCAGGTGATGGTATAAAAATCACCTGTTTTTCAAGATTAAAGCATTTGGTTCGAACGGTGCTTATTTATACTCCGTCTGATGCTTTTTTGATTTTTCGGCCAGCTAATTGCACGATTGACATCGCCAGTACGCAATTATTATGTATCGATACATTGAGCAATCTGCGCATCTGCTTGACCAAAATGGCTTCGACAATAATAACAGGAGAATTGATATCACAAAAAGTAAGATGTTGACTAGGGACCTTTTTTTTTTTTTTTTTTTTTTTTTTACTTCGTTAATAAAAAGGGATCAAATACCGTGTCAACAGGAACGGAATACCAACGTTGTTAATGAGCGGAATATTCATTCATAGATTTCAATGAGTTGTCAGTCTTTTGCGCAATTTATTATTACTTATACAACACATTGGGATCAAGAACACTTGATTCACCGAAATACATCCGTGTTGCGGAAACTGGAATTATCTTTAAGTGCATCATTATGTGTCTTGTACTCCATGATGGTATCTTGGGGCAAATTCAAGACCTTTTTAATCGTATCTCTGCAAATTGAATGAGTATCATTTCCGAACAATCAATGGATCATTTTGAATAACTTACCGAATTTTCAGGTTGATTCTTCCGTTGGAGGATGTCTTGTTCCATACGGATATGATATCTTCGGAACTACGAATGGATAGCACCAGACCGCAAATCTCATCGTTTACATCAAATTGCTCTCCAATGATCGCCAGGACCTAAAGAAAAAACAATGACCGAGAATTGAGTGCTTACGTTCCCCGGCAATAGATTGTAGTCCAAAAAAAAAAAGATACATACCAGAGATTCCCAGTATCTGCTTGCTAACCCCTTCTTCAACCGCACAATCCATTTACCACCGTTAATATTTGCGTTATCCTGGTATATCATGACGTTAAACTCTGGTTGCACGGATCGACGAAAATTTCTTTTTATAAAAAAAAAGGAGAATAGTCAGTTTGCCGTACCTCCCACACAGGCCTGACGCCATGCTTGAATAAGTGATAATCGCTAATATTTGGTAAGTCGTGCGGACGCGTCAGATGACTATATACAGCCCAGAAATCTTCAATCTACAATAAACATCGTTGTGAGTCTTTCCCTTATTCTCGATAATATTGCAGGTCAAAAAAAAAAGCTGTTGGATTCATACCGAAGAGAAGGCAGCGATGCGCTTCATCGCTCCTTCGTAATTGGTGATTTTGGCTCTCGGAGGACGATGCATGAACCAAAATACCCAAGTATAACGCAATGGATGACGTTCGGAATCTGCTGATTTCTCTGTTACTGAGATGTCTTGAGAGTCTGTCAAGCTGGTCATGGTGGTGGGCATTAATCTGCTAGTGCTTCCAGGTGCAAGGATCGGTTGTGACATGCCAAGTCTATAAAAACGCAGTAAGAAAACAATGACAAGATGTTAGTGTGTCTGGATGCATCGAGCAATGAATAGTGAGGGCATCTATCCTCTTTACATACACTAAAAAGTATTGAAAGACAAAGAAACAGGTGAGAAATGACGAACAGTGGTGAAATAGATGGTCTCTGGAGATACGTACAATAAGGAGTCTATATGAGTGAAAGTGAAATGTAAGTTGATTGACCGGCGATGGGTTGGAATACAAAATAACAATAAAAAAAAATTACAATCGAGGAAATATAAAAGACAAACGGATATGTGATGAGAGCTCAAAAAGTCAATGACGGGCAGCTTCTTCGAGGCAAAAAGTGGCTTTGCAAGGCTGGCAATGAAAAATAGTCGGCAAATGAAATAATGATCCAATGGACCCATTTCTCCACAATTTGAACTACATCATTTATTGAGTCTGGATCTATTATGCAGATTAGATGGTCATTTTGGAACGATTTTGTACATATTGCAGTCTGCCCAAGTTACTCTCAGCTCTACTGATTATGGTTGTTCCAAACGTCCGAGACGATGCTCAGGGTAGTGCTGGTGCAATCCAAGAATGGATCCATAGTATTTGCCCACAGTACCCAGAGTCTGCAAATCATTATTTTAATTTATCGAAAATCAGTTGAGCGTGCAACATATCTACTTGAAAATGTATTAATCACAGAGAGATATAGCTGGTTGTCCGAAAAAAAAAAGATCAACCATCAGATTTCTGACATGAATGTTCACCGAAATGCCATAGGGCAAGACCAACTTTATCCATGCAGATCTATTCATGTGTCAGGCTGTGAAGTATCATAATAAACGCGGCCAACATCATGCAAACAAAACCATATACAGCATTGCTTGATATAGGTTTTTGGCTAGCAAGGCACTGCTTGCTTTACTGGAGAAGCCTTCAAGGAAACATTGAAAAGCGATCGCGAGATACGTTTATACTGTAATAAGACAGCTGACAATTACACTAACACAGGAATATCTCCAGTAGCTACAAGTGAAGAAGAAAAATCGCGAGTTGAAGATGGCAATCAGATGCTCGTATTTGCAGCCGAGCCAAGTTAATCACCGAATGCAGTTCCAATCAATGAAAGAAAACAACTCATACAAGGAAACTCCAGCGAGTCTTCATTGGCGGTTGTTCTTTCTGCCATACGAAATAAACACTCTCTTTAGCTTCTCACTGAAAGCTGGAAGAAGGATAAAAAAAAATAGTTAGTAGGCGTAGAGCAGCCGTTACTGAGGATTACCATTCGGATTTCAAATTGTTGCCATGTATTTGACAGCAATTCGACAGATCATGAATGATTATTTGAGAGATGCTCTACCGCACATGGATCTCTTTATAGACCACAGTAAGTGAAACATAACTGTGGCAAAAAAGCTTGGTATGTAATTGTGTTTTTTTGCAATCTCTTGGATGGTAATTAAAATGGCCAGACTTTATATCTAAATGATGTATTCGCAAGCTCAATACCTGCGCTAAGACATCTTGTTTCCTGTTTTTGACACTACACGGTCTCTCTGTTTATTCACGGTAACTCGGTTCAAAACTAAATGCATGTGGTTATCAGGATAATTTTAAATTGCATATTTTCTGTTCAGCGCCACCTTTATTACCTTAGCAGCATTCGAAGCACATGACCTTGTAGTAATGGCCTCGAGTGACGATATCTCTAAGGAGAATAGATGGCATTTATGGCACACTTCAGCGTCACATGGATGGTCTGACATCACAATGATATGGTCCGACAGGTACTCTGGGTAGCGTTGCCCTGGATGGTAAGTTTAAGTGAGTTAAGTGGGGATGCGTAGTAATGATTGTTTTGGGGAGCTGACAACGAATTGGTTTGCATAACAACCGACAAAAAAAATCATGCACGTGGCAAACAATTTTTGTTTGTTTTGGTTTACGTTCTTGTGTGCCAGAAAAAATAGGGGAAACGGATTTGCCTGCTATGGCAATGTTAAGGTAGGATATGTTGGATGATGTTGCTATGCATACAGTGCATGCAGAACACGCCAAGACCATTCTCTCCTTGTAAACAGTTACACAAAAAATAAGATACGTTGGATTTTTTTACAGAGGCTTTTTGCAGCAGTAAAAAATAGTCTTCCGATTATCATAACCAGCGAGTCGTAAAAGCCTTTATATTTTATCAAATATGCACTTTCGAAAGATCATACTCTCATGCGTAAAGTTGCCAAATATTGGAAGAAATCAAGAGAATCTTTCTGCTAAAATCTTTACAGATTGATTACATTCAATCAGTATTCTCAGTGATAGCGAGCGGATCCAAGGGCTTCGATGAACCTACCATATATAGGAAAGTTATAGAATAAACTGTTGTTTAACGAGGACAAGTATTTTATCGGCTACCACCCTTGAAAGCGTGACACAGACGGTGTAGGGGTAAAACAAATCAATGATGTGCGATTCGTACAGTGGTACTCGAAAAATTGCCCGTTCTATAAACCGACTGGCTGGTCAAGGCGTCTGCATTGGTGTTGAAATGATGTCAGGCCACGGTGCCAGGAAAGGTTAGTGACACAACGCCATTGAGTAACCGTGGTACAAACTTCTGCGCGACGTTAGCCCAAAAAAGTAAAACCCTATTTGTTTATGTACTACAATTTTTTCCGCGTCTTCTTTACCAAGGGCAAAAGTTTAAAGCAGGGCATGTCAAGTTAAAACTCAATGATATGTCTGAACAAGTTGAGCGATCTCCCAGGGACAAAGAAAGGCACAAAGCAAAATCAAGCCATTAAAGAATAAAAGCACATTAACAATATCATGCGACCATTTGCACCAATAATTTTGACTGTTTACATTGCCAAATCATGATCGTTATTTTCTGCAATATGCAGGCTCGGTGTGAGAACGCATGATAACTTTATGCTTAACAAAATCATTCACACGTAACAGGGCAAAATCGCGTCAGTTTTGAGTTGCTTCTTGTTTAATGACAACAAAAGATGTGTAAAAAAGTCGATCGTTAAAATTCATAACCGATGACAGTCATCAAAGTCAAGTAAAAAAATAAATTGTGAAGACAGTTTTTAGATTTCCTCCCTTTTCTCCCGAAAAGGTAAAACCAGTTCTTTATATGTCATAAATGAGTAAGAAAAATAGAGTTTGGTGCATGGATACATCAGGCGTCATAAAGAGCATAGTTAAATCTCAGCGGGCATACAAAGGGGGTTTGGGGAGAGAGATCGATGAATGAAATGGATGAGAAAAAAAATGAAAGTAATGGAACAGATGATGCTTAAGTACATAGGAATACACGGTATTGGCCAATGATAATGATGATGATATACATACAAATAGGTTATCTATAGCAGAAAACATGATGAAAAAGAAAAACAAAAGGGAATATACAAGGACAGAAAGAAAGTTTACGGGATCAAGGAAGGATGATCGTAAATCAAGGTCTCAAAGGGGTACGAATCGCAGAAATCGGCTGGCTCAGGAGCAGGGTAAAAGGAAGGAGCATATGATGGCCAAGAATAATACATGGGCATTTCTGCACAATTCGAAGCGACGGCACAAGAAGACATGTAAAGAGCTGGATCCAACATTGTCTGGGGCAGGAATTCCATTGGCATCATCATGGGCTGCATGGGCTGCATTGAGTACAAGCATTCATCGACAAAAAAGGGCGAGTCGTACACGGAGGAAACAGTGGAAGGGGAGGAGATCGATTCGGTGACTGAATAGGGCGATGCCTGTGGCGTCGGTGCAGGTACCGATCGAAGTTCCTTGATCTTGTTCTCCAATTTCACGACCTTCCGTTCGAGGTGGGTGATTTGTAAATGCAGATCATCGTAAGCCGCGAGCAATTCTTTTTCCATGTCGCAAAGCTGGTTGGGATGGCTTGATTTTTCCAGTTGGGGTTTTCCGGCCGAATAAGCATTGCATACGCTTTCGTAATGAACCATGATGGTAGCCAAGGTGTCGTAGGTAAACGACAGTTCGTTCTCCAATCGTTCGATTTCAGTAGCAGGTGTTTTTTGTTTTTTATCTTTGGTATATTTGGAAGGGAGGGTTCCACCAGGTGCGGATTTGCGTTTTTGGACGCGACCCGATTTTTTGGGAGTGTCGCGTGGCATTGCCCATTTGAGGGATTTTGGACGAGAAGTGGAAGTCATATTGTGAAGCATGTTAAATGAAAAAAAGAAGAATTGAGATGTGGGTATAGTCAGTGAGACGAACGAGTTGGGTATAAGATCAGAAAGAAAACGAGAAGAGAGCGGGTGTGTGTGTGTGTGACAGAAGCAAAGCTGTTGAATTTACTTTTTTTTCTTCGTCGTTCATGGGTTAAGGTTCGCATATTTATACAATTTTTTGAGTTTTAGACTAAGGACGCTGCACGACGTGAACCTTAACGCCGAGCATGACGTTACAGTAGTACAAAACCAATTCTAAAAGGGACACGGCCGACAACAGAAACGTTCCGAGCTTGGCAGTCGGACAAAAATAGAAGGTACATATCTGTACGATGATTGGTTGGCGCCAATGGTTTTGTACCCTTGAAGCTTTCCCAAAACTTGCTTCATTTCCCGGATCTTTCCCAGTGAGGAACCGCCTCACCCAAATGGCTCAACTATTGATCCGACGATGTATGGTCTCATTGCCACAAAACAACCATCAATGGCCGTGCGCCACTTTTTTTAGAGGCTAATGGGAAGACAACTAAAAGGCTATTCTACCGATCGTATCTATATTTATCTCAACCTTGCAGGACCACGTTGCCGCCCCATCCCTTAAACATGAACGAGATGTGCATTGCAACTGTTTCCCTAATCCTCGCACGCACCATCCATAATGTGGCTGGAATTCCCCACTGAAAAAACGTCCATCCGTATCACCCACCTTTCAATTTTTCATTTTGATTTTTTGTTTGTTAACCACAAACAGTGTTTTGCTTGCTGCAACAATTTTTTTTTTTATTGATTGTTTTTGTGCCTTTTTCTTTTGCCCTCTTTCTTTTTGGCGGCTTTTTTTTCTTCGCTCCTTTGACAATGGATGAGCAACGTTACCAACAGTGATCGGTAAGCGAATATGTACTGTGGCGTTACGACTAAAATAAATTAAAAAATGTGTAAGCTACCATTTTTTTTTCTTTATCGCTACCCGGATCATGTTCGCCAAGATTCCGTGTTCAGGAGTATGATGCAATTTAACTTGCTTGGAACCAATCGTTTTCGTGATGATGGTAGCACATAAATGAGGTCATGGGATCTATTTTTAAAACACGTTATGCAAGTCGCCCAAAGAGACACTGAAGTCAAGGAGATGCGCCATTTGCCCTTTTCGGATCTGCCCGATCAATGGTAAACTCCTCATACTTTTTTTTTGTGATTTCTCTTGTCCTTTTTTGGAGACAAATCCATAATAACGCCAAACAACATAACACATGAAGAAGGCGAAAAGAAAATAGGAGCAAGACATCGGATGAAATAAAAACAATATGCATATGAGCTGATAATATATTGAAACTGAATTCTATACATGGGTAAAAACAAGCAAATTTTAAGCCTTGGATTCACCGTTGAAGAGACGATGGAAGATGGGGATCAACTGTTGTGCCACAGTGAAACTGAAAATCAACTTGGGACCAACCTAAAAAAAAAGGAGAAAGAAACAAACCATGTGAGTTTAATTTTAACGCCCTTTTTCTTTCTTTTTTCTTTGTCTGTGTTTCCCAGTTCTCGGGATTTTATGATACGTACCACCAAGATCTTGGGTGTCAAACCCTTGAAGAAGCCGTGGAAGCCTTCCTTTTTAATCAAGTCCTTGATAATGTTCAATCCGGATTCTGGGTTTTCAAAGTTACGGTTCTGGATACGGGTCTTGACGACATCCAAAGGCGCGGCCACAGTGATGGAGGCCACGGCACCACCAATCGAAGCACAGAAGTTCTGGAAGAAAGTGGCTTGGCTGTAATCGTGCAAAGAGAACATGTACTCCTTCACAAAGGCGGAACCACCGAACAAAGCAAAGGAACCAGGGGCGTTACGAGCCGCGGTCCAGCCGGCACCACGGTATAAGCCCATACCTTCATCCTTCACAATCGTCAAGAAACCACGACCACGGAAAGCTTCAGGGTTGGTCTGACGCTTGATCTTCAAGACATCCAAGGGAAGCAAAGCAATCTCACCAATACCCACCAGACTGCCAGCAGTGGCGTGCATGATGGTCTTGCCAGTCTTTTCACCAAAAGCCGAGGTGAACATGGCTTTGTGATGACGGTTGAGGTAATCATTGACAAAAGGCTGACCACCAAACTTGTACACTCTCTGTGCAACCTTATAACCAGCAGCAAATCCAAGACCAGGGAATAAGGAAGCATACTTCTTCATGAACGTCTTTTGAGCGGCATCCTACACAAGATAATATAAATGACTGTCAATATCCACCTATCGATCACCATTGATTATCGCTTTCTCTCTTCTTCTTTTTTTTTTTTTCATGCGAGCCCTGGACGGATCCCTGTCATCTCACATGTTGTGACCGGCTTGTTTTTCCCCACTGTTTCTTTACCTTGAAGACGACTTGGTTCAAAGCGGCCATGTTGGCAGCCATGGTATTGCCAGGAAGGAAGATCTATGACAAGTCACCCGTCAGACGATCGATCCACCAAGCTGGAACTGATCTATCTACAGCAACACATACCTGCTTCTGATTGCTCATCAAACGCTTGGCGACGGTGTCGACGGGATGGAAGATGATCAATTCAAGGATACCAGAGCTGGCGCTACCGGCGAAACGGGCCATACCGGACTCGGACTTGTTCTTTCCTGAAATGGGCGGAGACATGGCTAGACTTGAAGAGAGTGAAAGTGTGAAGAGGGAAGGAAGGAAAGAAAAAGCAGAAAAAAAAAAAAAAAACTCGAGCAGTTGGAGGGATGTCCCTGGAAGACTGTCAACCAAAACAAATTTTTTGGCGGCTTTTCAAAAACGATATCACTTGAAAAAGAATCTGAGTTGGTGTTGTATGAAAGAACATTCCAAAATGTTAAATCAAAAAGTCTCATATTTAGGGTTTCATGCTTTTCTATGAGCTGCACTGTGTAAAAAATCTTGCATGACCTACGGAAAGCAGTCTATCTACTTTGCAAAGCAAAGAGATAAGGCAAGATCGACCCTTGGAAAATCAAATTCCGCCCATATGCAACAAGATGAGTCACTCTTCGGCTCGGACAAGGCTTGAACGAAGGGCCGCCTTTTTATAAAAGAAAAATCGGAAAACTAGCAATTTGTAAATCACATGACTTCCACACTGAGCTATCGGAACCTTTTTTGTGCCTTCTTTTCTTCTTCAACTACACTAAGCTATCAGAACTTCTTAATATCTTTTTGCAATACACCAAGTCATCAGAATTTAAATTCTTTTGGTTGGTGCCTTTTTTTTGTTCATCTTTGTTGATGCATTATAGCGTCGTGGATCTGGGACATCGTCAGCTCGAATAATCATTCTGATGTTGGAAGCACCACCATTATCCTCTATGTATTGGGCCATTGTCTTGAAAAGATGGACGAAAGGATTGGTTTCATGCAGTAATTGCTGAAGTACTTCCAAGGTGTCTCGCGCGAGATGGCTTGCAATTGCATGTCGATTTGATATTTCGTTGTCAGTATCATGGACGTATATTTGTGCAAATGAAGGTCGTTGGCCCTTAGCAGGAAGTAGCGATCCCATCAAATGGTCAACACTTCCATGAATACGGAAGCAGTAAGCGCCCCGTCTGTCATTCATTACACTTCGTCTAAATTTACACCAAGAGAAGTAAACTGAGAGCACTACAATAATCACATGATCTACCCTAAGTTATCAGGACCTGTTAAACCTTTTTTTTTTTTTATCTTTCAACCATGCCTCGCTACCCACTTCCACGGTAATAGGCGAAACAATCAGCAGCAAGATGCGGTTTGCGCCAGTTGTGGTCAAACAGAGCATCGTTCGTTGTCCAAATAAAATGTGGGTAGAGCTCCTTTTTGAAGAAAGGCTGTTGTCGATGTCGATCTGGGTGTTCTGTAGCATCATTTAGTTTGGTTTTCTGTCAATTATACTTTTTATGCCCTTTCATTCTCTTCAGTTTTCGATGATCGAGTGATACATGGAGCAGATATGCTTCGATCTATGAATTCATGCATTGGTGGGTGACTATTGTTTCATTCATGGGAAATCCACATATATTTTGTCTTCGTTTTTTTTTCTTTTTTCTTTGGTTTTCTCCTCTATCTTCTGTTTACTGAATAACCTTCACTATCATTGCATCCCCTCGCATCCATCATCCATCATCCAGACTATGGTTTATTTCGCGTGTATCTGTAACCGGTCAAGTCGATTAAATATCAAAAAAGGTACGTTTTGTGTGATGTGACTCGTCCGTTTTTCGACAAGAAAAAACTTACCTGTTCTTTTTTCTCTATCCTTTCCTTAGCTTTTGGATTTCTCTCCGGTTTTCTTTTCGTTCTGGCAAGCCATCCATCCCTCCAAGTCTTTCTACTTTGTTCGCGCATCAAATGTGGCCAATCCGGTTTTTGTCGTCAAAGGGCATCGTCGGCGGTGTGACTCTTTTTTTTTCATCGGGAAGTGCTTACGCGTCCTCCTCAGCTTGGCTTCACCTGGGTTACTTCCCGTGGTATTGTCTTTGATCTTCTTCCCGACCATTTTATTTTTGTAGTTTGTAGTATGTACTTTGTATTTTATTCGATAGACCTTCTTGCAGTCTTCTCCTCCTTTTTTTTCCCACAGGGTTTGTAGGGGGTTTTTACAGACGCACCTATTGTATTTACTTTTTTTTATATTTGTATCGTTTCTTTTTTTCGGTCGGGAAGCTCTGGATATCTGCTGCCTCACATAACAAAGGTAAAATATCTTGACGGCATTTGAATCAATCAAAGAGCTTACTAACTCTTTTTTTTTTTTTTAAAAATATCCAATAACCTTGGGCGGGACGGGACTGAGGGAGTCAATAAGTGCTGCTGCACACATGTTTGGAAATCATGACTGTACGGTATGCCAGAGTATTGATATTAATATACCAAAGTTCCATCAAGAGTCTCGCCCAGGTTATGCCGTATTGCCTTAGGCTTTTGTCTGACGAATGTCGCTCAATGTAAGTGGGCGACGTCCAGTAGCAGGTGGCATCCATTGCACAGCGGGTGTACGGCTTGTTATAAAGGAAAATAGTTACTGCTTTTGGATTTCAAGTTACTTGTTCCAAGCCATATTTCTAGATCTGCCACCTAATCCAATGGCAAGTATCTTTGTGGTTGGAATCAATCGTAAAAACCATATCTCTATCTGTTCTTTATTCCGTTTTGTAAGCAGATTCACATGAAAGTAAAATATTCTTGAATTTGAAAAAAATTTCAAAGCATGAACATTACAAATTTGAAATTGTGATTCATAATAGCAGTATGAAGGGCTTATGTTCATATCAAAAAATGTATGTTTTATTAAATATGTCAGCGCTTGGTATGATTGGGGGAAGTTACAGTTTACTGTCGGCGGCGACCATGCTGCCGAGTCTCTTTGTAATGATATCTTGGGCATCTTTGACCATGCGTGAGACAAGTTCATGACAGGTGGGAATATCATTGATGAGACCCACCACTTGGCCAGCCGTCCACACACCAAAATCGGGGTCACCAGTTACGTAGACTTGACGCCCACGGGAGCCCGCCACAAGTTCTCTCACGTCCTCAAATACAACCTTGGGATTCTTTTCACGGTTATTGACTTCTTTCGCAATCTTGTTTTTGAAGATACGCGAAGTGTTGCGGAAAGGTCGGAAGACAAGCGTAGTCGATCGCTCGTCAGCAGCCACAATGGTTTCTTTGATGTGATGATGGATAGGCGCTTCTGCGGTACACATGAAACGAGTACCCATATTGACGCCTTCGGCTCCCAGAGCAAGAGCTGCCGCCAATCCTCGTCCATCACCAAAGCCTCCTGAAGCAATATAAGGGATTTGGAGGGTGGTAGCCGCCTTGGCAAGCAAGATTAAACCAGTAATATCATCTTCGCCCGGATGACCCGCACATTCGAAACCGTCAATGGAGAGTACATCCACACCCAACTTTTGAGCCGATAACGCATGTCGAATAGCAGTACATTTGTGAATGACAATGACGCCTGCATCTTTGAACATCTTGATATATTTGCCAGCTGCATACGATAGATTGGCATAGGTTAAAAGACGGCAAGAGAAAGATCGATCATGATTCGGTAGGATGACTTACGATTGTTACCGGCCGTTTCCACTACCTTGATACCTTCATCTATAATGACCTTGACGTATTCCTCATAAGGCGGTGGTACAATAGCGGGCAAAAAAGTCAGATTCACACCAAATGGGTTGTTCGTCATGGTACGACAACGACGAATTTCGGCACGAAGAGCCTCTGGCGTCGGTTGGGTCAACGCTGTCAAAACACCCAACGCACCCGCATTCGATACCGCCGAAGCCATTTCTGCTGTTCCCACGTACTGCATACCGCCTAAAAAAAGATCACAAAGAAAAAAGAAACACTATGAGTATTAGTGCCTGTGATGGTGGGGTACTGTGTGGGCCGCCGGCAGAAACAGTGGGCTTTTTATATTCGTTGTGTCCACTCACCTTGAACAATTGGATGTTTGATGCCAAGCATCTTTGTGAGCTTTGTAACAAGGACCATGGTGATAAAAGAAAAATTGAGAACGATGCAGTAGGGGTCAAGAAGAGAAAAATATGTAGGAAAAGATCAAAAATATATAATGTGAATGTCGGCTATTCTTTATTAAATTGGCTGACAAAGGCTTTTTGTAGCGGACGGTGAAACTTTTCCAGGTTCAGTCAGCGGATGCATCAATCACATGCATCTTTTTTCACGAAAATTGAAAATAATACGATCGGTGATTGAAAAAAAAGCAGGACTCAGGGATGTTTTTGAATGAAAGAGGAATGACCGTCAGACTCTTTGCAGGAATTCGCAATAGCTGAGTCGACCATGGATCGTTGTCCAGATGACTTCCACTCTGGATTGGATTGGAAATCATCCAGCTGAATGGTGTTATTTACAGCGTTGGATTTAAAGATGCGTCGCGAGGGAGACCGACGATGAAAGTGTTCCGGATCGTCGTCAAGGTCCGGTCTGTCGCCGACCATGGGTGAACAGAGTAAAGTGATGGCGTTACACAGTGCAAGTAATTCGATGCTAAGAGCCGCAAATAAGATGATGTAAACGGTGCTCAGTTGCTTTTTTGTGTAGGCGGTCAGGGGAAGATGGCACGGCTGAATGGCGTTGGGTGGCATATCGAGTGAGCATGTTTTCGAAACCGCCGTGTGGTCCATGACGTGCGAGAAACCACAGCATGATAGCTAATACTTGTTTTTCAGTTCTACCCGTTCCTACAAATCCCAAATAGACTCGGCCTTACATACTTTGTCCTGTGCGTAAGCCCGATATTCCGTGGGTGATTCGTACCAAATATGGCTCAACCAGGTGCCCATGTGGGCTGTCTGATCGTAAACGATGACGGCAATGGATATTTGGTAGACGAAAGCGATGAGAACAATCGCCGTGTAAAGAATGTGGATCGTCTGTCGTCCTCGAAGAAAAGCGCCGATAATGCCGATAATGGCGGTGAACGTGATGATAATACCGAGAATATTGATCACTAACGAAACCATGAAATTATCAAGCATGCAGATCGTGATCGTCTTTTTGTGTGTTTACTTTTGAGAATGTTAACGGGAAATAGCACCGATCCGTCGAAACGATGCTGGAAACCCATGACGCCAAAGATCATTAACCCGAAGCCGAAACACGCAAACAAGAGATTGGTGGTGATAACATAGCCTTTACTCAGTCTATCCAACTGCGAATATAAGTCAAGCGAATCCAATCAAGGTAAACCATCCCAATCCCCACTTTTTGCATTCACCTTTGACAACACGTCATGCCTGCGAACAGAAAGAAGAAAAGGAAAAAAAAGAATTGAAAGAAAAAAGGATAATCAAAAGACTCTATGATTTTTGACATTAGGGAGTGCGTCTCAGGAGCATCTACCATAATTGGAAATTCAGGAACAATGTCGGGTTTTGCTATTTTTTTTTTTTTTTTTTTGTTTTTGGATGGGAAGCGCAGGGAGTGCTTCAGTTTTTTTATTGCTCACGTGTCGTGCTGAGTGACGTGCTTTAAGGTGGAAAAGTAATATTTAGGGGGAATTTTTTTTAAAGCGTCTGTTCGAGGAGAAAAGACGCAAGAAGGCGGCGTACCACCGAGAGCACCTGGTGCGGGGAGAAAATTTGGTCTGAGAATATGAAATCCCAGTGGTTTTGCCAAATGCCTCGGATGATACTGGTAAGAATTTGGGAGCCGTGTAGGCAAATGGCCCTGGTGGGAAGATGAACGGTTGCAGAGCGGCGAGGGCAGCAGAGGAGGTAAAATTGACGTTAGAATATTCCTGCCAGACAGTGGGCCATATAATTCGTTTGAGAGGGCATTCGAATAAGAAGTGTTCAGGCGTTTCGTCTTCGCAGAGGCATAAGGGAAACTGAGGATCCGGAAAGTTGGATGGTAACAAACGGTGCAAGGTAGTGGCAAGTTTATGGTGTAGAAAGCGGAACCAAATGTAACGACTTTTTGTGGTGAATCGGGAGCCGCCAGAAGGAACGCCACTTTGTGGCAAATATCGATCGAGAGAATTTTGGCACTGAGGTCTGAGTGTACAGTCGGTGCCGGTATGTTCTCCCAGTCAGTTCGGATAAAGGCGGTCCTTCAAGACAGAGACTGGGTAGACAGGTTTGAGCATCGACCGTCCCTGCATAGTCTCCGGCAACAACAGTAATTCGCGGAAATGGGAGACAAGCCTGCGCGAAGAAAGGCCACAGGAAAAGAGAGGATGCACTTAGTGCCCGGAGGAAATGTTTAACAATGCGCGGAGAGGTAGTGATCTCTGAAGGATGTCGCCGCCGGAGATAGCCCCAATTGAGGGTCATATATAAACGCATCGGCAGCTGTCAGTTTGCGAAGACCGGGTGCAAGTAGAATTGGGTCTCTGGTTGCAAGCACACGCTCAGAAGTGGAAGAATGAGGCAGGTGGCAGGAGACGGTGCACACCGCACAAAATCTCGAGGTAAACGATCTACGGCTTGGGATAATAGGCGCGTGATGTGGGAGACATCCCGTAGGGCCGCTGGGCGTAACGAAGGAAACAGAAGAAGAAGTCGATGGTCGGCTGCCTGGCTATGAGCCTGCAGGAATGTGGCAAGACATGCTGTTGCTGGGTGAGTGGGTTGGCGACGTGTTAATAATGGGCAAAGCCAGCGCACCTGTACGGCCGCTTGATGTGTACTGGGATCCAGAATGCCTAAACCACCGAGCTGCCGTGGTTGGATTAAATAATCTCATTTGATGCCAGGAAAGTGTGATATACGGTAATACAATACATTTGTTCCTGCAGTCTATCCTTCACATTCTACATTGATTATTGTGCTTATCATCAAAAACCCACACACAATGAGAGGGAAAAAACGCATGAGCTTCATTAACGCTGCACGTCGGACCGAAACGGAGAGACAAGTTCTCATAGCTTTCAATAGCCAAGTCATTGATATACTAAAACAGCACTGGATAATCCGCTTTCTTTGTATGTCGGTACGTCAAATAGAGCTTATATCATTAATGGCATTGACTATGTAATGAGCAACTGCCATTGGCCAAAAAGGTGCGTCGAGGGTACTATTTTAGATACGATGTAAAATCGTCTCCTGGTGAGCTAGCCCCACAGGAAAGCAATAACAGTCTTGGTTTCCTTTCCGGCAGAACAGCCATTTAATTATCGAATCTTGTTCCCAGCAGCTCATCGCACTATGCTTCTTTTGCAAGTACGACCACCGTTTAGGTCACTGTCATACCTGGCCGAATAAGAGCTATAGACCTATTATTGCATTTTTCGTTTTGATGGGTATGCCATAATCCCAATGTTCATAGCCGCTGAAAGTGTAAAGTGGCTAAGAAAATGATACACTTTTTGTGAAAGGTTTTAAAAAAGATGTTCGCAAGTGCACATGCATTGCCGAGAAAAAGGTCGATTTTCCAGGAATAGTTCAAACTCAGTCGTGACCACGATGATTGGGGTCAGTCATTGTTCGTCTGCCCACAGCAATTTTTCCTTTCGTTGGTCCGCTAGAGACTTATTTTATTTTATTTTTTACCCTTTACTCTCCTACAATGGCAACCAAAGCCGCTTATAAACGCTTGACCAAAGAATACCTAGAAATTCAGAAAAAGTAAAGCTTCTTGGTACAGATTTTGCATGCGTCAGCAAAAAAAGCTAATTCAGCGGTTTTTATTTTTTGATTCTACAGTCCTCCTCCTTTCATCACAGCCAAGCCAAACGAAAGCAACATCCTCGAATGGTAACTTGGAAACCTGCTTGTTCATAGCCTTGCTTTTGTGACTTAAAACCTTGCTGCTAGGCATTATGTCATTCAAGGACCTCCCGACACTCCTTATGACGGTGGAGAGTATTACGGCCGTCTCACGTTTCCTTCAGATTACCCTTATAAACCACCCGCTATTCGAATGAGCACACCCTCTGGGCGATTTCAGCCGGATACTCGATTATGCCTAACAATGAGCGACTTCCATCCTAGCTTATGGAATCCCAGTTGGTCGGTTGTCACGATTCTCAATGGACTGCTAAGTTTCATGGTTAGTGGTCCAGTTCCCTTGCATTTGCAATCAACCCGTCCTTCCTTCCACGAAGCTAAATCTGTTCACTTTCGATTAGACAACAGATGAAAGTACAACTGGCAGCATCAAATCAACCGACTTGGAGAAACGGCTTTATGCATCCCGATCGCACAATGCCAATCTCAGAAACCCCAAATTTAGAGGTAAGTTTGGGGATATGGACGATGAATGGGCAACGCTGCGGGGTCACTTACTGTTTTATCACTCACTTTGCGTAGAGGCATTCCCCGAATTATGTATCCGTAACCCTCCCACCAGCAACCCAGCCATCACCGATTCCATCCTACGAAAACGACTAGCGAAGCAAGCCGCAGCGAAACATCCTACCTCCACCGAAGACAGCGGCAACAGCAATAATTCACCAAATGCTTTAACTCGAACCGTGACTCGATGGAGACGATGGATGGTCATTTTATTGGTGTTTATCTACTTGATCATTTCCAAAATCATTGCACGGTCTTCAGCTGCCGGAGAAGGAACAGCATAAGCTTTCAATATCTTCTTTTTTTTTTCCCTCGATACCTGAAGCGTATGCGTATACTTTGTTTCGGTGAAGCCTCATCGTCATTGACTACATCGACTGGCCAATAAAAAAAGTCCTCATTATATGATGGTTATGCACAAGGCAGAAAGAGATGTACTTTTTTTTTCATTTCGTTATACAGCTACTATACATCATGATTTTGTCGGGTTGGATTCTGGGGTTTTATTTTATTTCGCCGTCAGAGGAAGGGGCATGAATGTTCTTCCTTGTGGTAGCTGTCCACAAATAAGCACGTGATGGAGCAGCGAAAAACCAATACATTTTTGCAATCAAATGATACAGTTCAAAAGCGGGCATGTTCTAGAGCGTCATGCTGTTGATGTGATCGTATTTCTTGAAAAGTACAATACAACGAAACTCGTATTCCGGACCCCGGCCAGTAACGTATTTTGGTCCCGATTTGTTAAACATGGACAACCGTATTATCGTCTTTGGGAAGTTGTAACAAGGAATCGGTATAATCAACCAACGATTTGTTCTCTTTTGCTTCATGGTATAAAGAAACCTGGTCTTGCTGTTCCGTATCGGCGTCGTGGATATTTTTATGGTTTTCTGACGGATTTTGGTTGGGTTGTGGAAGAATGGATTGGTGACCATGTTGAGCTGACAGAACGGTGATTCCTCGCATGATATTGCGAATACATACAAGGACGACACACAGAATAAGAGACATCAACAGGATGATGACCAAATTTGTAAAGACCAAATAATAGCGAACAAACTGTTGGGTAAAAAAAAAGCAAGCATATGAGTAAGTAACAAAGATCCAATAGTGCCCACCGACATGGCTTACTTTGTATGGGTCTTGTGTCGAAAAAGTCGGCTGCGGCGGCATAGCAAAGGTGACGAGTCGAAATACATAGTAGCCGATGCAAACAAAGCAAAAAACGGCGACGAGACAAAATGGAAACACGCGTTCTTGACCAACGGCATGCCAAGCAAATAGAAACCCCAAAGCTGGCAATCCCAATACAAGCATGATTTCCAAAGGCGTAATACTGTAGTGCAACAGTCCGGAAGGCACCAGCTGAATCGCATAGGCGAAAACATAGAAAAAGGCTAGCTTCAACAAGCTTGTGCAAGTGGACAAGGCGAGCAATGCATGGCGCGCCCGAAAATCGGAGGCAGTGCGGTTATAATTTTCCCAAGCAAACGATTTTCGGAGTCGGATAGCGCAAACGACAAAGACGAGGAAGCATAGTGGTGTGACTCCAATCACAGCATACTCAAAGGGACGTATTTTTTGTACATGATCGGAAATAGATTCTGTAGGCAATGTCGTACTCGAACCTCTGGGGCATTCCTGCAGACCATCTTCGCGGTTGATATGTTGTTGCGTCTGCAAGCACACCGAGATGACCGTCAGCAGCCCTAACCATTCACATTAATGTTTAACAAGGCATACACCTGGCAAAATTGTGGCCACATTATTTACCAAAAAGAATCAATGCATAGAGCTGAGCAGTAATACGGTGTTTCACGGCATCAATACATATTAGCACCTGATATATCTGAGTGGCCATCATTAATCCGTGAAGAATGAGATCCGCTTCACTGGCGCCGAGTTCTATCGTCGAAAGAATGCAGGAAGAAATATACGAAACATGATACTGCACGATCAATGCTTCCAGAACAATAACCGCCGCGGCTTCAACAAAGATCACCCCCAGTAATAATGCGGTAGGATCGTGTTGTGACACGGAGGGTGACCTTGCTGACAAGGTTTTCTTCCACCATTGCTTGAACATTGCAAAAATAAAGAGGAAAAAAAATTCGATCAATATGCAAAAGCGTTACAAATATAAAAAAAGGCCGTTATAGAAAGCTGGATCAAAATTTATTGAGAAATAAAGGAGGTTAGGTATCAGCATAAAAAAAGGCACAAAAAGTTGGGTCGATGACTGTGACAAAAGGCGTCATGACTCCTTATTATCCATCTCAAGATACACACACTCTCTAGTTAATGACAACGGACCAGGGAGATTCGACGTCACCGTATTGGATATCCATGATGGCATCATTGAATCGCTTAGTATAAGGACCGGCCTGAGCTGACTTGTCATTGGGATCCAAAGGAATCTGCAGCTCTTCACCAAGATACTCAATCGCCTTGATAGGGCTCACAATGCAGGCCGTACCAGCACCGAACATTTCCAAAACCTTGCCTTGTTTGATGGCTTCTCTCAGTTCGGGCATGTTCATCTTACGTTCGGTGACCTTGAATTCGTTCCAGTCTTTTGCAAGCGACAAGATGGAGTCTCGGGTCACACCGGGCAAAATCGAACCGTCCAAGGGAGGAGTGACAAGTTCAGTCTCACCTTGCTCATTCTTCCAGAGCACAAACAAGTTCATGGTACCGACTTCAGTGAGTTCGTGCTGTTCACCGAACAACCACAAGTTCTGTTGATAACCCTGCTTGGCAGCCAAACGTTGAGGCAAAAGACCTTGTTTTTTTTATAATGTTAATACCAATGTGCGATTTCCATGACCGAGACAGATGCTTACCAGGGGCGTAGTTGCCACCAATCTTGGCATCGCCAGTTCCACGGGGCCATGCGCGGACGTATTCGGTGGTGGCCTTCAACTTGACAGCCGCGAAACCGGTCTTGTAGTAAGGACCGACAGGGCAACCAATCACAAAGAGCATAGCATCGGTGGGAGGATTGACACCGAGCATTTCCTGGGTGCCGATCATGGTGGGACGCAAGTACAGGGAATAACCGCGTTCGTTAGGGATCCATCGTTCATCCAACTTGAGGTATTCTCCAATACATTTGAGCAACTCATCACCATCAAATTGCTACAGGAAAATGATGGCGTCAGTCGTTTGGTACATTTCACTCTTTTCAATCATTCATTCCTACAGGCAAAGCGATACGAGCCGTCGAACGGTTCATACGAGCCATGTTCATATCGGGACGGAACAGGCGAATCTTTCCGTTCTTATCCTTGTAAGCCTTCATACCTTCAAAGCACTACATATTTCAAGACAAAAAGAGTAAGAAAAAAATAAAGAGCCTTCCCCACCAAAAAAAAAAAAAAAAAAAAAAAAAAAAAAACCACGCGTCACTCATTGTTCAAAAATTTACCTCGGACGCATAATGGAAGACAACAGCACTGGGATATAACTCCAGTCTCTCATAAGGCTTGATTTCAGGTGAAGCCCAACCGTCATTCTCATTCCAGTTGGCAAGAATCCTTTTTGACATTTTCGCTCCATTAGCCATTCCTGTTCCTGAACAAAGCCGTCTCTTTGGCGGACGCAGTCCCTGGTTGTCCGAATCAACCAACAAATACTTACATGTGATCCGTAAATGTTTTACCAAAAACGAGGTCCTTGTTAGCGACGAGAGGCTTGAGGATCTCACTTTTGGTGAGACGCAATTTGCTGGCCTAAATAAAAACGATCCATGGCTTGGTGAGCAACAGAATCATCAAAGTCAGCCAGAAAAAGTGAACTACTTACATCCAGACCAGCGTGTGCGGCCGCAGTGGAATTGAAGCGTTGTGATGCTTGGGCAAAGGATCGGCGGAAAGCCGTAGTCAGGGAAGTTCGGAGCATGATGATGTGGAGAAAAAGAACAAGAAAGTAAAAGTATAATCGGTGAAAGACATAAATTATAGGTGGAGGATCGGAACGTCGGGGATCAGAATGAGCTGGGTTTGTTTTCTTTATCATCATGAACTGGTTCGAGTCACCTTGATTCTAATCTAGGATTGGTCGAATTTTTTGCAGAACGCCAGCATGCAATGATAAGCGCTTTCATCGCGTCTATGGTGCAAGGTCATGGTGTGTCATAGCTTGGCACCCATTTCCATGACAGTAGCAACGCTCAAAGCCAAGCGGTTCGGCGCAATTAAGCTGGATTCGATTTTTTACCTTTGAACGGGACCCCAAAAGGACTTCAAAGTCTATACACGGAAAAAAAGGACGAATTTTCCCACGATGCCGACTACACATTTTTTTGACAATGAGCTTAAGTGTTGGTTCCTTTGTATGGGTAACTGTCGGGATTTCTCACGGTTGTTTTTTTCTCCATTCACCTGGAGAATTGAGCAGAATGGCCTGCTTTGTTTGTACCTTGCGATTGCCCACCATGCACGAGACATTCTATTTACCCCGCATCATGTTCAGTCGACACCACAGCCGTAACTGAAAATTCCTTCTAGATCCCATTCAGTAAAGAATTCCCACGGTTATATGCCGAGCAACGGACGTCTGGTTGTTATTATTTCCCATTCAAACAACAAATTCATCAATCAATACCAAGCTGCATGACTACTGGTTCCTGACCACGCGAACCAACATACCTACAGTAAAACGGCGCCAACCACGCAACTCTACCTTGATGCCATCCATGAATTCTCTTGGTGTACCTTTCACGCGGATCATTAGCAACTATCGTATCAAACATAGTCATCGACATGTTGCTTTTTTAATTTGTATCCTTTTTATTTTATCGTCCTTGGTTGTTCGAAGAGAGCGCGCGCTTATATCTACAAAGACCAGCATGTAGCGAAAAATACCACTGATGCGATAAAACTGAATTGCGGACAAAAGATCGCCGATCCAAGGGACAGTCGTGTCGCATTGCGACATGGCGCGATTTCAAAATGACGAATCAAGCCAATTTCTCGAGGCAGCTTCTTCCGCAGCAATTCTCCGCCGTGAGTTCTCATGATCACGATTGACGGTTCGATTGGCCATTCGCAAGCCATTGCAAAATGGTTATTATCACAACAGAGACAGCTTTCCAATCGCAAACTGTCAAAAGGTCGTAAACGTCCGGCTTCTTTTCCGGAGACTGAGTTGAAGCCAAGTTGGCGTCAGAAAAAACGATTTCAAGGCACGATCGATCTTGTTCGCCTCCAACTTCCCGTGCACGTGGCTAATCTTGACCTTGATGAGTTGCGGGAGTTTCAGACAGTGTTTGAGGACATGGAACAAGCACTGAGAGCTGTGTGGAGTACGGGCATCGTGTGCGATCTTGAAACAGCCACTATGAAAATCAAATCAGCCGACGGGGTCACCCTTATCACCAACGAAATCATGTATTCAGCAGAGCAGAAAATTGACGACGCTACCAATATCATTGCTACCATTGCGCGCTTGGTCGACGACGACCTTGCAGATACCGTTTATATTCAATTGTATTCCGACGATAACGGAAACCTGATCTGCGAACTCTCCATTCGCGTTCTGATCGAGAGCACTCAATTGTCCCAGAGATCAGTAATGCAGTTGATAAATCAAGTATACCCGCCTCCCGCACCGCCAAAGTCAACCTCACTGGAAGAGTTCAATGAACACTTGCAGCCACCTGTATCAGACACGCGGGTCACAGCATGCACGCCCAATGGTTTAACTACCATGCTCACGCCATTTCAAACTCAAAACGTTCAATGGATGGTAACACAGAAAATTGGGCATACGGTAAAGGAACATCGTATATTAACATCATTTTGACTATCAAGTTGGCGCGAGAAGGGCATACGGCGAAAGATCCCAATCGTATAGAATGTCTGGGGAATCATCAAGAGGTGCCTTTCTTGTGGGAAACGATCCATTCCGATTCAGGGCAACTGATTTACATCAATCGGGTCGCGCAGAAGATTGCCGTCGAGTGGACCGACGAACTGCAGAGAGCCTCGTATCATATGAGAAGAGGTGGTATATTGGCCGATGAAATGGGTCTAGGCAAAACACTTAGGTAAGCACGGCAAAATTGGTGCTATCTTGACTTTTCGGCTTTTTTTTTTTCTCTGATCTCCTTTACTCACACTGTTTCAGCACCATCGCACTTATTCTTTTGCATAAACTCAATTCTACCGATCCCTGCGTTCCAGATCCTGCAACACCTCGAGAAGATGGGCTGATCGTGGCTCATGCTACACTTGTCGTCGCTCCAGCCGCTATCTTGCAACAATGGAGAGCAGAGATCGAGCGCCATGCGCCCATGCTTCGCTACTTTGTCTATGAAGGTGTGCGGAGCCTTTCTTCTAATGACGATATGGAGCATATTTTAGCCGAGCAGGACATTGTATTGGTATCATATGAGGTACGGTGATACTTTAATCCAACATGATTGTATAGAAAAAGCTAAAAATCGGTATCGATCTGGATAGACATTGCGCGTTGAAGTGCACTATACCGAAATAAGGGAACGATCGCGCAGAAAAGGTATATTGATTGTAAGAAAAGATGAAATTATATCCGCCTCACGGTTCCTTAGCTGCAAAATATCCTGTGCGACAGACTCCTTTGATGAAGTTGCTGTGGTGGCGCTGTGTCCTGGATGAAGTATGACATGCAATGGGAAAATTGAAGGCAGTGATTCCCCCTAATCATTATCTTTTAAAGGCACAAATGGTGGAAACAGCTGCGGGTGCTGCTAGCATGGCACGATTGATCCCGCGATGGTATTCATGGTGCGTTAGTGGAACACCGATGCGCAAAAGCAATCATGACGATCTGTATTGGCTGTATCTATATTTGGAATGTATTCCATCATGCCAGAAACAACCAACTTTCCTTCGTCTATCAAAAAACGATGAACTCAGAGGTCTTTACTGGGAGTTGACAAAGGCCACCATCCGACGTAATACAAAAGCCATGCTTGTGCATCAGATCAATATTCCTCCACAAAGACGATTTATTGTCAATGTCTCCTTTTCGACCATCGAACAGCATTATTATGACGATATGTGGGCACGTTGCCGAGGAGACGTCGATCTTCCTTATTGGGATGCCGAAGGGTGGCAGTCTACTCGAGAAAACGAGCAACGGTATACAAGTCTTTTTGCAAAATTGCGTTCCTGGGTACGTATTTTGTTCAAGGAAAAGAAAACAAAGTCGCACGGGAACTCACAGACAAGCGAAGCTTCTGATGCTCCGTCAAACATGTGTGCATCCAGCCGTTGGAAACACAACTTCAAGAAGACAAACCAGTGAGACGATTCACACATTGGAAGAAGGTAACTATCAATCCGCTTATGATTCTGTAAAAAATCATTAAGGCATTATTATGACATGATGAATCTAACGATATGCTGTTCGTTTCTGTTTTCTAAAAAAAAAGTTCTGCATTCGATGATCGAGCAGACAAGTGATAAAATTAATGAAGCAGAGACCGCGTTGACTACCGCAAAGTTGAAACAAGCGGGCATGTTTGAAGTGCTAAAAGATTGGGGCAAGGCACTGGAGATCTATCTCCAATGTATCCCGCATGTTGCGGCGTGGGCTAAAGCGATGGGAGCAAGATGCGACCAGTTAAAGTTGGATTACCGACAGCTGGAGCGGCAACAAGAAGCAGAGAAAGACGAATCGACAGACACTGTAAAGAAGATATCGCGCGGACCAAAGAAAGCGCACGAACTCCAAAAAGAACATCTACGAGAAAAATTGCTCTTAATGACGCAGCGGCACGGCAGCTGGCTAGGGCTTTTGCATCGTTTTTACTTTTTCACGGCGGGAATTTATCACGAACTAGAGAAAGAGACCGAAGAGAACGATTTCTATGCAAAGGCGGCGGATGTTCGTCGTCAAATGCTACTTCGTATGGAGGACAAGGTATGCTTTACTACTCCTTAAGCTTCCATTCTGCTAAACCATTAAATTATCTAGTTTACAGCTACGCTTCAAGAGGTGAAAGAGCTGCAACTCACGTCATTGACGGATGCATGCTGGACAGTGGCTCCAACCCAACAAAAGGAAACCTTCCTTCTCACCGCCAGCATGTTGGAGCGCATTCAACGTGTGACCAAGATGTTGAATGACCAGATCGACGTGATAAACAACTGGCGACAGACGCTCCTTAATTTATTGACAGTGAACCTTGTGGATCACGGATCGGAAGAGGATGAAACAAAAGGTAGCCTGCAGAGTATCGACTCTATTTGGAGATGATTTATTTACCACAGATTTTCAGGCAATGAATACGAAGAGTCTCTCGTTTTACAAGAGGTAAGCCATGGCAACACAACCTGTTATCTATGACCCCGTATTCATGATCTTGTTGCATATTTTAGCAAGCCAATCTGTACCAAGATGCGTATCAGGCCATCCTTCGAGATCGCAATTTCTGGGTAAACGGTAAAGGTCTGACATGTGATACACGATGGAAACGATATTGATTAGTTGGATGCTTTAAAGGGACATGGTTCGAGTCTACGGTTAAAGAATCAACCACTGCAGACAGCGAAACGACAGTTGTCGAGGAAGCAACCAAAAATGAAAATAGTGAAGACGAGGTATGTACCCGAGAATGGCATTTGCATGTCGGATTAGTTCACCGCTTGTGGGTGAGAACTCACATTTTTTATTTATAGGCCATCAAGGTATTGAAGCGCAATCTTCGTGAAACTCGCCGTTCAATGGCGCCTTCCTCGGAAGCAGAAGCAAGCTTACGTTCTATCGCTACGGAGCTTCGCGAGGCCATGTCGCGGACATTCATCAGCGAATTAGAAAAGAACATCATTCGAAGCGAAATCGCTCGACTCACCAAAATAGCCAGCACCCAAAGAGAGCTCCAAGACAAGCTCGACAGGTAAGTCATTTTTATTTTATTTTAAATGGTCGCTTTTGAATTGATCTGAACACATCACAGTGAGTTTCGAAAATTATCACATCTGTCTAATACGCGTATCGAATACTACAAAGCGTTGCAAGCCATCTCCGATCATGTTGTGGTAAGTTGCAAGAGTTATTACATCAAAACAAAACGTTGACATTTTGGTTTCGTGAAATATCGACATTTTTTAGGCTTGGGAAAATGCCAATCCAACAGGAGAGCTAAAGAAACTGCATGAACAAGAGAAGAAGCTCAAACAGACCGTGTCAGAACAGTCCGCTAGACATCGTTATCTTCAGAATCTCGCCAAGGAAAAGGACCAAGGATCGGAACAGTCTGAACAAAGAATCTGTCTTATCTGTCAGACAGGGTTTGACAAAGGCATTGTGACATTCTGGTATGTGATTTGAAATTGCGTTTGTCAAGAATGTATTTATTTACGGTTGGGCTTTATGGACTTGCATTGTACTCTTATAGCGGACATGTGGTAAGTTGCTTGAAAGTCTCAGTTGCCTCGTTGACTAGCTGGTTAATTCGCAGCGATAGTATTGCGAAAGTTGCGCTTTAGCGTGGTTTTCATTGAGACGCAAATGCCCTCAATGTAATGCCACTGTTAATCCGTACGAATGGTATACTGTTGGTAAGTCGAACAATACCCGTGTTGGGTGGTAATGATTACTAATCTACAATTTTGTAAAAATATTACACGTTCATTGTTAGCCTGGTCGCAAGCCGAAGTGCAGACAGACGATCTAGATACCAGTACTGAACAGCAGGACATTGGCAGCAGTATACCGAGTGATGTGATGCGAAAAATCGAAACTTGTAATATCAAAGAAGGATTGGGTACGCTGCTTTTTTTTCGAGATACTATTGCTTGCTTGTTGTTTAACATGGATATACCGTATGACAGGTGCCAAGCTGGATGCGATTGTGCGTCACATAAAATACATCAAAGAAACCACCAATGGAAAATGCGTGGTTTTCTCCCAGTGGAGTGCCGTGCTTCGACTGTTGGCCAGCGGGTTGGAAACGAACGATATTTCTGCCGTTAACTTCACTAGTACTCGACAACAAGAAGGCTTGCAAGCATTCCGTGAAGACCCCAATGTCAATGTGCTTCTTTTGCATGCCCGCAGCCATGCTAGGTAAACACGGAGAATTCGCTTTCCTTTTTACCTTTAACCTCATGCTCCCAATAGCGGTCTGACCCTGGTACAAGCACATACTGTGTTTATTGTAGAACCTGTTCTCAATGACGCTTTGGAAAAGCAAGCCATCAGTCGTGTCCATCGTATAGGACAAACTAAAGAGGTTTGTCTGGACTCAAATCAAGCCAAGACTTTTTCAATGATGCTCATGGGTTGTTTTTTCTCAAATCCAAAAAAAAAGACGGCTGTGTTTTGGTACATAGTTCGCAACACCATCGAAGAACGGATCCAAATCATCCATAACGCCAAAAGGCGAAGCCGGCTTCGCGACAATGTGCCTGACGGTATGGAAACGGAGAACCTCGCGGATGTGATTACTTTGGATAGTGCCGCAGCTGGAGGAGGAGAATTTGTGTCCAACGACGATTTACGGAGTTGCTTTGCACGACAAGACATATGGACTCAACACCAGCAAAAGGTTGAAACATCGGCATCCACATCCACATCCACATCTGCAGAGTGATTCATTGTATTTTACGGTTGAATAAATATATGAAACGTCTGTATTGTTTTCCATGTTATATATCAACTGGTGTCTTTTACAATTATGGAAGGGACTCTTTCTTTACATGCGGCTGACACCATACAAATTTCCTCCCTCCACATTGGTATTGTAAATAGCAGCTAAGCAAAAGCCAATGACAGTGCGTGTATCTCTCGGATCGATGATTCCATCGTCAAGCAATCGCGAGGATGTGTAATATACGTCCGATTCGGCTTCCACGGATGCTTGGAACATGGCTTTTCCTTGAGCTGCCATTTCTTCGTTGATCTTCTTGCCCGATCTACAATGACAAGTCAATTTGATGAGACTTTTTGGTGCTAATATGATATTTGATCAGGTCATTATTAGACTTACCGAGCCGCGCCTTGACGCATGACGATATCAAGGACGCCTGCCAATTGTTCGGCCCCCATGACAGAGCACTTGGAATTTGGCCAAGAAAAGAGGAATCGGGGTTCGTAGGCTCGACCACACATGGCATAGTTACCAGCACCGTAACTGGCACCAATCATAATTGTAATGGCAGGTACTTTGGAGTTGCTGACAGCATTGATAAATCGAGAGCCTGCTTTAATGATGCCTTCTTCTTCGTAGCGCTTGCCAACCATGAATCCAGTGATGTTTTGCAGGTAAATCAGAGGTGTATTCCTAAATCAAAATATTATTAATATTTCATTGTGTTTAATGACCGAAAAATTTGTGACCCATGCACTCACTTCATATTGCACAGTTGGATAAACTGAGTGGCTTTGTTGGCCTCTTGAGTGAAAATGACATTGTTATTAGCCAAGATACCCACAGGAATTCCCTGTATAAAGGCCCAGCCGGTGATCAAATTGACACCATAGTTTGGTTTGAAAGGCGTGAAACGCGATCCATCCACAATGCGGAGAATGACTTCGGTCGCGTCGAACGGGATACGAATGTTTGCCGAAACGATACCGAGAAGTTCCTCTTTGGTCAGCAAAAAGCACGATTTTCACCGTCAGCTTAACGTCGATAAACAAAATTTGTCCTTTGTCAATGCAGGTATTTACCAACGTCATAATAGGGCTCCTCATACTGTTGTAGTAGGTGGCGGGCTGGTAATTTGCCTTTTTGTTCCCAGTTGAGATTGGCCACCCATTCACGTGCCTTGCGGATACCATCATATTCATCATTGGCGAGTTGATCACTGACCCCTGATACACGTGAATGCATGTCAGCGCCTCCCAGACTTTCGGAATCGGTGATTTCGCCGGTGGCCATTTGCACCAAGGGAGGACCACCAAGATAGACTTGGGCTTGTTTCTATCGATGCATATCTATGGGTTTAAGTGCTTGATGATGTACCAATGCCACAAAAAAAATGGAAACAGTACCTTGACCATAATCACGTAGTCGCTCATGCCTACTGTGTAAGCACCACCCGCCGTGGACGAACCAAACACGACACAGCACGAGGGAATATTTGCCTTTGATCTAACAATATGTTGGCCCAAAAAAAGCAAGCATGGTAGGCTGATTGACTTACTGTAATGCTTGATTGCGGAATCCGGCTCCGCCTTTGTGGAACACGCGGAATTGCTGTTGAAGATTGGCGCCCGCCTACATACAAAAGAATGATTATTGTTTGGTGTAGGATGGTTCGCATAGCAACAATAGTTACATACCGATTGCACGAGTGTCACTGTTGGTAAGCGATTGGCAAGAACGATCTGATGGATACGACCACCTTTCAAGGCCGAAATTTCTGTTGCAAGGGTGCATCAGTCATAAGAATAAGGAGAAAAATGACATACACTTACCGTTCATGGCCCCACCAGCCATAGTTGGCACGTTGGCAGAGACGACACAAAGAACACCGCTAAATGATGGTTGAGTAATTATTCAACAGTATACTTGACGAATGAAAATACGGATACCTTACGAGACCGATACCCGCCACAAGGGAACCTCCTATTTTTTCTATTAGTATAAAACCAAAAAGCCACTATACAGGAGTGTGATTGAACATCTTACCGAGAGTCATGTCTTCCTGGTCATAGCCTGCCAACGTACATAATTCAAGGAAAGGAGAGTCTTCGTCTAGAAGCAGCTCCAGACGTTCACGAGCTTGTGAAAAAAATTATGCGTGAGAATGGGGTGGGTGGTGGGGGAGTGGGAGGAAAGACGATTTTGAGGTGGAAGCGAGAATTTTGATTGGGGTAGAAAGTGTGACAAAAAGAAAACAAGATGAAAAACAAACAAAAAAAGAGTCATGATGGGCAAGAAGACGTACCTGACAATTGGCCGCGCTTTTTGTGGAGGGCGAGTGCCTTTTCTTTGCCTTCGCCTGTTGCTTGCTGAAGCCGTTCTCTCAAGTCGGCAATTAATGTTTGCCATTCCTCGACATTATTTTTATACTCAGGGCTAGTTTTCACCACTGAGGTTGGAAGTCGTTTAACCAAATGGTCTCTTGAAGTGATTGTTGACATGATTTGCTTGGCCACAAATAAAAGAGGCAAATCCCACTAAGTATAAAAAGAAAATCCAAAAGATGCAAGATAAAGTGAAGGAAATAGGTGTCTCCACGCAACCGCATTAAAGGGAATGGATCGCTCTCACATGATGAAGCAGTCACTTGCTTGATTCGGTCAGTTTGATTACAGTCAGCCTGTGAAGCGTCCATCTTCACGAGGAAAATACAGTTCATGGTTGGGGATACTAACTTGACCTGTCTACAGCCTTATTTTTTTTTTTTTTTCATCTGTATCTACTGCTCTTTCATCCGAATAGATAAGACGTTCATGTTCACAAAACATACAATTTTTTTTTTTTACAAGATTCTGGGGATTCTAGATACATATTGAACATTTCGAGTGGAACACCCCCCGCATCAGAAAATTTTTCTAATCTGCGTTCTTATTAAAATGTTCATGATGACCGTTGTTAAATCGGAAGCCCATTGTAGGGGTAGTCCATTGATTACCCGGATTGAAGTGGTATCCTCGGGATCCCATCACAAGTATACAACGACATGGTAAATAGTTGTGATTTGCAAGAATGATGATCCTGTGAGAGCATCCAAGTAGAATTAGGAAAAACAGGGAAATGGTTTCTCATTGGTCTCGTAATGAACGGAGATGGCGATTTGCGACACTCCATAATATAGCACATAGGAAGTTCTCTATTGGTGCATGCAACATATTAGGAAGGTAGATTTACAATGGATGATATTGGTCCCCTATGCATGTACACACTGTTTTTGTTAGGCGTGGGTATCAATGCAACCATCGAAATCGACAAATGCACTGTGCAGGCCATGTTTACGTCCCGAAAAATTCTCGAGAGTTACACGATCGGTGTCGAGAACAGGTTATTGACATTACAGAAAGTCCCCAATGATACAGAAGAAGTGTATTCATCTTCTGCACCGAGATATATTTTACCTATCAGAACTGGAAAGCGACATAGCAAAGTTCACAATCAACGCTAGTGATTCTACGTCATGTTGGTGTTTGGATGTCCATAACAGGATTAGCAATTGTGTGAAAGTTAATCGGCATGTCATCTCCATTTTGGGAAATCCATTTTTCCAGAACTTTTTTTTCTGAAATAAAAAAGATTCTCACACAAAAGATCTTTTTTTTTTTTTTTTTACTACGGGTTTTTTTGTTCGATTCAGTTATTTATTTTTCCGGCCTTCTAAAGAGCTTTTTTTTTTTTTTTTTCTCATTGTTATTTCACTATTCATTTGTAAAAGTACTTCTTTTTTTTTCGTTAATTTAATCATATCACATCTGTATGCTGCCGACAGACGGTGACGACGATAGTAACCCATCGCACACTGGCCAATCTAGTTCGCTACATACGTCTTTGTCATGGCCACGGTTACCCGAGCTACTACTGACCAACTCTCATGATACCCCTACACAACCTGTCCTATATTCCTCCCCTCTCGCTAATAATGTATATCGACGTTCCTCTAATGCTTCCAAGAACAACGACACCGATTCCTCATCAGAATATGTCAGTGACGACGATGCCGCTTCACGACAGAAGACCGATCGTAACGACTTGAATGAGAAGACAGGATCCACCCACGAGAAAGCAGATTCACAAGTGGACGGCGGTTCAGCCGACACTTTGGTGGAAGCAGCATTGGATCAAGACGAAGCCAAGGACCGACATGTACGCTTTCCTGATCATGTTGCTGAATCGGCTGCTCTAGTGCAACGCATGTTAAGTACTCGGGGTTACTCCGATGGCACATCGTCGGCCAAGTCCAGTCATCGTCGTGCTGATTCTTCCATCGACATGCAATCTGAAAACTCCGGAAGTGTCTTGGCGAGCTTAATGAAGTTAGAAGCGCAACGGCGACAACAGCCATCAACCTCAAGTTATCGCTCCAAACGAAAAAAGGTAAGGTTTAGTCATTTGTCACACCCAGGAGATAAATTTGCATACTGATTTGTGGTTTCTTCCTTTTTTTTCTTTTGTTTGACAAATAACAGTCCAAAAAGAAAAAGCGTCCCAAAGAAAAACCCGCGTCCTTGTACAACTTTCCATTGACGGGCAGTGCCGATGCTTTAAAGACGACGGTCATACCACGGCAGCAACGGCCAAAGATGGTCAATCGGCCAGCCAGTTGGTTGTCGACCATGACAACCACCAACCATCTGGTACCGAGTCTCGAAAAACGGAAAAAAGATGTCGCAGCGTCTTCCCGCCGATCGTCGGTCGACAGCATGATGACCACCGCCTCCCAATTTGAGCCAATCACACTCGAAGATCGGATACGTATCACCTTTGAGATCGCCAATATTTTGCAGAAACAGGAATTTCTTCGCAAACTAGCGAAATCATTGATGCTGTACGGTACCCCGGCGCATCGTTTAGAATACATCATGCGTGAAGTGTCTCGTACCTTGGGGGTGGATGCCGAATACGTGTATATGCCCAATGTCATGTTTGTCACTTTTTTCGATCAATCGACCCACACGACCGAGACGCACTTTATTCGTCAAGCTCAATTGTTCGATATGCATAAACTGGGCGAAATCTATCGATTGGAAAAACTGATTTCCCATGGCGAAGTATCCGTGGATGAAGCGCTCGAATTTATAGACAACGTTGCCAATGAAGACGATTTCTATCCGCTATGGTGGAATCCTATTATTTATGCGATTGCCAGTTTTTGTGGTTGTATCATGTTTTTCGGTGGTCGTTGGAAAGAAGGCGGCATGTCGGCCATTTTAGCAAGTAAGTGGGGGATTTTTCGTTAGCATTGAGCAATCACGATTTCATTGTGGGGGGAATCTGACCCTTAAAAAATTTTTAGTGTTTTTTGCGGTTTACGAACTTTTTTCTGGCCGTTTCATCAGTTTTCAACCGATTTGGGAGATTACTGTATGCATCCTCATTGGTTTCGTTGCACGTGGTATGTATAAAACGTTCATTCTCCTTCGAAATCTTTTGTGGGATATCCATAGGATACTCATTCTGTTGACATAGCAATTTGGCGCTATGATTTTTGTTTCACTCCTATTGCGTTTTCCGCCTTTATTGTGATTCTGCCGGGTTATTCCATGGCCATTGCTATCATTGAGCTGGTCTCTCGTCAGCTTGTCAGTGGCGTGATTCGAATGGTGTACGCTATTCTTTATTCGTTTTTGCTGGGTTACGGTGTCGGGATGGGATCTGCCTTATTTGGTACCATCGATCCGGCGTCTATTTCAGAACAAGCTTTGGCGCCCGCTTGCAAAAAAGCACTGAACGCAGGGACCTGCTTTGCCTCTGTATCACAGTGGTATTACTTTTTGACCGTGCCTTTGTTTGCTGTGGCCTACTGTATTTATCTGCGTGCTCGTCCTCCTCGATGGCCTGTCATGATTATCGTCTCGGCTGCAGGCTATGTCACCAATTATGCGCTTTCGTGCCATGCTAAAGCACCCCCGCAAGTACTTCAAGTGGTGCCTGCATTTGTTATTGGCATGCTCGGAAATCTCTTGACGAAATTCACGGGAAAAATGTCATTTGATGCAGTCTTACTTGCTGTAAGTTCATTTTTTTTTCTTGATACATGACGCCATGAAAACGTATTTGTATACTGATAACCATGCATTGCAGGTATTCTACTTGGTGCCGGGAAGTTTGGGTCTCAAGGCTGCTTTAGGCCTGTTTGGATCTGGTGGCGGAGGCGAATTTGCCAATCAAGGCAGTACTTTTGCACTGAGCATGATTGAAGTTTCCATCGGTAAACAAAAAAAAAAAAACCGCGCACTCGATTATGTTGATTTTTGTCATACTGAATCTTTGCTTGTTTAGGTATCACTGTCGGTCTTTTCGTGGCTAATTTAATCGTTTATCCCAAAGGCACCGCCCACACGCCACTCATGAATTTTTAGGCATTGCATTACCATGCTCTCACATCATATATCCTCTTTAACTATTTTTTCTTCATCATCTTTGATATAATTCAGTTATGTAAAGTTTTTTTTATATCATTCTGAAGATTGTACAGATTTATTGTAATGAATTATTTTTTTTGCTTGGCAAAAAAAAAGGGAAAGCCTTGACCTTGACACTTTTTTTACGTGCTAAACATTATTTCTCCGTTATGCATGATGAATGTAAGGGAAAACTATCGTCCGTGTCACGGGATCGCTTCGAGAGTACATCTACGATATGCATCAATGTATAGGGCGGCAAGATTATTGTGAAAATATTACATGGCTCCATTGCTCGAATGTTATCCTGAATGACTCGAACGTATTGCTATCATTAATTTAGTAAATAATGTATCCTTTAAACTTGACTTTATCATGTATCCTATTTACTCAAAATTTTGGATTTTGGATATTTAATTAAACTGTACAGCGTCCCAATTGACTAGATCTCCATAATACGCAGTGATCGCCTTTAGATTGCCCCGGAGATAGTTTTGCTCAATTTCACATGTTTGACCTGGACCTGCCAGAGCGCACAACTGATGTGGATCGGTATTACGAGGGACAAAGTATGCAACGTTGGGAGTAATTTGTGATGCTATCTGATGAATGTGTAGTCTAACGAGGTATGTTAGTCAAGGAAAATAGCTGTAATGGAATGAATTTGCGTACGAACCCATTGCCTGGTATCATGGTGGATAAGTTGTATGTTTCAGCGCCCAAATAAGAAGGGCCACCCCAAGGCGGTGATAAGAACACAGCATCCGCCTGTGAAATGTACGATCAATAACTTTGTAATAAAGAGGGAAGAGGTTTGGTCTATAATTACCTTGAGGAAGGGTGCGAGTTCAATAAAATTGCCAAGAATAAACTCGATGCGGTCTTCTACTCCATATATCTTTGCATTATGTCGGGCGCATTCCAATTTCACGGGATCAAGATCAATTGCGATGACTGTTGAATGTAATTTACCCGTCAGTAAAAATAAATGCACAGAGTTATCAACCATTTTAATGTTTACCTCGTTCACAAGTCAGCGCAAACTGAATCGTGTTGCCGCCACATCCACAAAATGCATCAATAATAATGTCTGATCGACATCGCTCCGCAATATGTTCGGCTATCCGTTCGGGCGTAACTGAAAACCAGCCCTCTATAAAACATTGACGATAAGAAAAAACACCATCACAATGGGATCTAATGAGATTTATTTACCCCGATCCATTAATATGCCTTGATCAAATTTCGAAAAATAAGAGTATCGCTGGTACCAATATCTAAAAAATCAATGAGTATTCTCGAGTCGTATTCGTGGGCATCACAATTGCAAGTTGCTTACTTTGCCATATCAGAAGGCATGGATTGTTCGGAATAGTTCACAACGACACCATTGATCTTGATTTCTTCGTGTTCTTCGACGTCATTGTTGTGCTGCTGCTTCCTTGCTCGTTTTCCTTTTTTACGTTTCGGAGTACCATATCCAGCATAAGGATCATTTGACACAGCAGCTTTCCGTTTCTTTGCCGATCCCTGCTTTACTGCGATTGTATCATTCCCGTCATTCACGTCGTTCTTGTTTTGAGCTACTTCAGGCATGCTGGTGTCCTCGGTTGTTGTTGCTGACTCTACAACTGGAGATGGCGCACTCTTATCGTCTTGAATCGTGGTATTGTCACGTGCATCACTGTTCGCAACAGCAGGCCGTGGTTCATGAGTTTGGCTACCGACATTTTCATCAGACGTTTCTTCTTTTTCGTCTGGCTGCTCGGGTATATTGACTGGATCTCTATTATGTTTCGGGGTGGTATGATCTCCCAGACTGATTCCGTAGACTTCCGGCGGTGATTGGGGGCTGTCGTTCTCAACAGTTTGTTGATTGGTGGACTGGAGGGGTTCCATACTTGTTTCGGCAATCGCTTGATCTGTGTCTTTAGTAGCCGACATAATAGTGGGTGCTGAACAAGTCTCAGCGACAATCCACTTTCGGACACTGTTGTAAGCTTTGGACAGCATCAATCTTTGCGGAATTAACAATTGTTCTCAAAAGGAAAAAAAATTAAGCAGTCCATCACAAACGGATATTCACCCTCAACTGGTGGCTTGCAGAAGAATAAGTGCCTCGCCATGTTACATAACCTAACTAACGTTAAGGCTATCAACACCCCCCTCCCCCCAAAAAAAGGACGCTTTCAACATACGTGTTGTTACTGAACCTTTTGTTTGCAGTTTATTTTTTTTTACAAGAGGACAATCTAAGGAGTGCATCTACCAGTGAAACGGGGATACAGCTGGCAATCACGCACAGTGTATCGGTTAAGGAGCCAAGCAAGGAAACGTTCGACACCAAGACCGTAACCACCGTGAGGAGAAGTACCGTACTTGCGCTGATCAGTGTACCAGTAGTAAGGAGCAGGGTCAATACCTTCTCTCTTGTATGCTTCCAACAGTTCCTCCTACACATCATCCAAGTTATAGTCAGCCACAGCGCCACTCCAAACCGACTTTTTGTAGAATTGTGCACTTACTCTGTTGTCCATTCTCATACTACCACCCACGATTTCACCCACACCAGGCATCAATACATCAACACTTTCGGTGACACGTCGGTCTTCAGGCGACTTTTGCATGTAGAAGGCCTTGATCTCGTGAGGGAAGTGAGTGAGGAAGATGGGACGGTTGATCTTGTCGGTCATGGCACGTTCAGGAGCCTCGGGAATGTCTTCACCAAATTCGTAAAAGGTACCGTCGTCCTTCTTGATGTCGTTGGCTTTAAGGTATTCAATGGCATCAGCGTACTTCATGCGCATGAAAGGTCTAGAAGGAGGCTTAAAGTCAGGGTTGAGTTGTTCGATAAGTTTGCGAGTAGGTTCATCAGCGAGAACACGTTCAATCACATCGCAGATCAAATCTTCCAGCTTTTCCAACATTTCATCAAAAGAGATGAAAGCCATTTCGGCTTCCAAGTGAGAGTATTCAGACAAATGTCTGCGAGTATGCGACTTTTCAGCACGGTACGATTCGGCCAAACAGAACACATCACCCAACGAAGGAAGACAGGTTTCCAAATAAAGCTGGGAGGATTGAGTCAAATAAGCCTATAATAAAAATTTTGAATGGGTTTAGCCATCGCAGTTTTAAATAAGTTGTCCACAGGTTAGACTTACGGTTTGACCGTAGTAGTTGAACTCGAACAAGGTGGAACCACCTTCGACCTGAGTTTGGACCATACAGGGGGGAGTCACTTCAGTGTAACCGCGAGATTCGTAATGGGCACGGAAAGCCTTGATCACTTCAGCTCTAGCTTTAAGCACAGCGGAAGCGGTTTCACCACGGAGGACGAGATGACGGTTGTCCAACAAGTACGAAGGCTCCGCATCAGGAGTGACCTTGTTGTTGAAAGCATCATCGCCACCAGGAGCCTTGCCAACAAGCTGCCAGTAGTCAACCACCAATTCGTGGTGATCAGGGGCCTGCAGTAAAAAGAAAGGACAAATTGAGTCTCGATGGAAAGATGTATAGAATATGTTACAAGGATGCTTACAGTTTTGCCTTCGGGAAGAGCGTTGATTACACCATAGACAGTGATGGTGGATTCAACAGTGAGAGTAACGGCGTCAAAGGTGTGACACTATAAGAATTTCGAGCGGAACAGCATGAATATTTTTTTTTTTGGCAAGCATGGTATGACTCATTATTATTACCAATTTGCCAGTCAGCACACACTGCAAAAATCCGGTACCGTCACGGATAATCACGAACATCATGTCTTTTCCTTGAACACGAAGACGATGAACCCAACCGGACACCTTGACACGCTTACCGCGAGAAGCAACACCCTGCTTGATCTTGATCTATATTTTTTTCACACAATGGATGTCAGTGCCTGACAAGGAAAAAAAAAGTTGCATGTGCAACCAATCAGGTTTTTTTCTCTCTCCAACCTTTTCAGCCTTGGGCAAGCTGGTATCTTCAGTAAGAACGACGGACTTGGCGTATTCAAGAGCCTTGGCTTCTTCTTCGGCCTTCTTCTTCAATTCTTCATCTTGCTTGAGCTTTTGTTCTTCCTGCTTCTGCTTCTTGCGCTGTTGTTCGGCAAGGGTCTTCTTGGCCTTTTTCAAAGCAGCACCGGAAATCTCTTTGAAACCTTCCTCATCTTTCTTGACCAAAATCTTGACAGACTCGCCTTTGGCTTCAAGAGCCTTGAGGGCGGATTTGAAGGGAGCCGACTGAGTACCGTTACCGGCTTCATCGGAACCTGCCACTTCGTCAACGTACACAGCTAAGCGCAGTCCCCTCAGTTAGCTCGAGAACGCGTGCAAATAACAAGCCCTATTAAGTTCCCATCTTACTTTCACCAATGAAGAGTTCCTTGGCTTTCTCAACAATTTCAGACGCCATTGAGTATAATTTAGACGGAAAAGAAAAAAAATTAGCTTTTCAGCCAAAAAGTCGCTCGACATGGGAAAAGCCACAGTCATCCGCCATCCAAAAAGGAAGATTTCAATCTCCTATTAAATTGGCTTCTGATTAGCCAATCACATTCATTCTCGTTATATCCAAATTTGACTGAGAAACTTACAATCAACAGGCAGCAGAAAAAAAAAAAAAAAAAAAAAAAAAAAAAAAAAAAAGAAAGAGGAAAAATAGCAATCACGACGGTTGGACCATTTTTTCTCTTTTTCAACGGAATCTTTATAGTTCAAATGAATCTTGTTCATGCAAAGAGTAGTCCTTTGTCTGCCAAACGATCACTCAGTTCCGTGTCTTCACCAGAGTCCTTGAAGAACACGCTGGCTTTACAGTCACGGTAGGTTGAGAAAGCAGCCAAGCTTAGGAAACTTTTTTTTTCTGGCCTTTTCTTGCTTAGAACCACATACCCTTTTTTTATATACCAAACATCACTCATTGTCTATATAGAATGGCGGCCAACCGCATGCTCAAGAAACGACGACTCAGCAGTGGCAGCGAAAGCCGAAGCAGCGTAAGCAGTCGCGAAGAAGGTGGTGACGAAAGGCCCGAATCCAGCGATTCCGAAGACGATCGCGAAGGCGTTTCCAACTATTATTCGTCTGCGACAAACCCAGTAGAGGAATCCGGAACGGTGCCACCCAAAGGTATATCGTTTAGACCGACTACAAGGCGCCAGGCCGGTACACCTTTTCTTATCGACGGGGAGGCACCGCGTCGAAAGGAAGGATTGGAACGATTTGAAACGAGTAAAAATTACGGACCTGGGCGACGTCGATCTACGGATTATAAAGGCCAATTGATGGATTTCATCGATCAGATTTACCCTCCTCTTGTATGCTCCGTATGTTATCAGACTTCGACCGGACGAGCCGATGCCGAACAACATCTCAAAGAAACTCACAAAGGCGTGAAATCCTATTCATGTATGCATCCATCGTGTGAACATGCCTACAGTTCACGGGCCGGTTTAAGGTATCACTTGGAGCATGCTCACACTATATCCATTGAAGTCAATCATAAGTAAGTGTTACAAAAAAAGGAAAAGAGAGGCGAAAGGACTCCAAATTGTGCAGCATGGCTAATCTCAAATATCCGAAAAAAAAAATCCAGATTCCAAACGATATCTTCCGCTAAAGAGGCCAAGCCATCCTCGGTGCACTCGTCCAAGAAGAAATTACCGATTTTGTCCGCCGAATTGCGAGCCATGCTGGATGCGGAGTATGATCCGCTCGTGTGCCCGCGAAAAGACTGCAAGGAACGATTTGAACGAAAGGCCTACATGCTTCGTCACATGCAATCCGCTCATCCGCGGCAATTCCTCTATACTTGTTTCTTTCCCGAGTGTACAGGCACCAAGACCTATTCTACCCGTAATGGCTTGATATATCATTTGGTCAGTATTCATAATGGTGACCTACCGGCCCAACAGTAGGTCTGTCTCACCATCGCAGCTCTCCCACTGTCGTATCATTTTGGCGGTTGTATATAATTTTCGCATATTCAAAGTATCAAATTTCTGGTTTTTCTTTTTGGTTTTTCATATTTTTTTTTTTTCTGTTCAAAAAGCGAGGCAAGCACTCGATAGACTTTTTTTTCGATTTCGGCATTGTTGCTGTCTTGTCTATGCTTCATAACTTGGCACATCACTATTTTTCATTACTTCATATTCTTTATTGCCCAAAACGGGACATATTTTCCCCCATTGACAATAAACTTGCATTACTTACAGTAGAATTTTTCATAGTATACTTTTTATCTTGTTCAAAATTCATTTACAAATTATTTCATTCGATTCGAATATGATAAAACAGTTGTCATAGGATTGATTATCAATAGCAAATATGCGAGGTGGATCCAATTGCATGATTTGTCAATTAACGTTCCATAGCGCTAATGACTTGTTACAAGCACAACTGAGAAGCTAGTCCCTAAATCAACATTTTATCCGCCAGTCAAAAATGTCCAGAACATTAGATACAACTCCATGCAAATATACCGGATACTATTGGCACGAACACGATCCATCAACTAGAAATACATGGTGGTACTGTACGCACACAGGAAAGCTTACAGTCTCTTCGAGATCCATTGCAAAGATGATATAATATCAATGCGTTACATATCAGTAGTTGCACCTATGCTGCTTCATTTATAAACCCAATGATGGAAGTGGGTGTCACACTATCGGAAGTATACAGTGACCAGCAATCTCAGGGTTATACCGGTGTCTACGGACTTAGCATGAGCTTTATAAAAATCACTTTAGCGACCGACATAATGCATCCTTTTTAGTTACCATTTTATTGCATATATATTACTTGTCAATAAAAAACATGCAGCATTCTATTAACTTTATTAGGCAACAAGGTAAGTTACAGATCATTTCTACTACTGCTGGTGTCGTTGAATTGACGCTCCCTCCGTTTCCTCGCCTTTGAATTGTCAATCCTCTTTTTACAACCAAAATGAAGCGCCAAAAAGAAGACAGACTATGATTGACAAACCAAGACAAGGATGATCAACGAGTTACTGCTGGCTGAGAGCAGGGTTGGTGACAGAGAGTGCGTTGCTGGTCGGATCTGCAATGCCAGCACTGTGCGGGAGTTGAATTTCGAAAAATGGAAGCAGGAACGACCGCTGAGCCTTTTTTTTTTTCTTTCCGTAGATCGTAATTCTTCGCATTGACCCTTCCCGCTGGACTCCCTTTCACACATCGTTGCCAAAAACCGTAAAATAAACAGTGAATCAATCTGCCCCACAATTAAACTGTAGTTTCCACCTACTGACCTTCTGTCCTTTTCTTTATTGATTTCGTTGGATCGCTATTCATCGGATCGTTCCATGTCGCTTGTCATTTGCCCTTCCCATCCATCGCCTTCTGTCATTGACCCACCCCCTTTCACCATCATAAACCATTCTCCGCCAAAATTGTCCAATCGTCCACCACGGATTTCGTCCTTGAAAGCGAACTCGTGGAAAGTGGTTTCAGATAGTGCTCTTTTGCAAAACGCGACGCAAGAACTCTCCGATCACCCTTCTTTGTGTAACCCTGCCACGCGCCCACAGCTTGTCCGTCCACACTCCATTCCTTCCATAGCTCACGCTGTCAATCCTTCTCAGGTGCCATCCATCTCACCTAACCGGTCAGAGACCTTAGGAAAGTTTGAACCGATTTCGCTGAAACCCCTCGTACCGGGGTCGGAAGCCTCAGACCATGCGCCAAATCATGATATCGATCCAGAGCCTTCCAGTCTACCCAATCACAAATGGGAAACAGAGGCAAGAGATAGAACACCCGACGTCGCCTCACCTTCAGCCACTTCAGGAACAACGCTTTCAATCCGACCTACGCTGGATTTAGGACCATTGGATGCGGATGATCAAGCCGTACTGCAACAGGAGATTACTTCCCGCCGAGCTGCCCGTCGTTTGCACCGTCAGCAACACGCTTTCTCGGACGCTGAATCGGACGATGGCACGGACAGAGTGGTGATTGGAACAAGAGTAGCAGAAGGGCACCGCAACTATCAACTCATGTAAGTACCGACTTTTTGGTGGCTCACTTGACAGCCTTTCACTTACCCATCGTGTCTTAGGTACAATATGCTCACGGGTATTCGCATTGCGGTATGTTTCCCTGCAATGAATAATTTTTCGTTGCGTCAAAATCATTGACTGGATCTACTTTTTTTTTCTTCATAGGTTGGTCGAGTGTCGGCCAAGATGAAGCGAGATTTGGTCAAGGAAGATTTCAAGGCCGCTCATAAACTTGTTTTTGATGTGTAAGATCTCCCAATGTTCAGTCACACATCTCGTGTCACGAGTTTTTAATTCGTCTATTTTACAGCACAGGAAACGAATTGACACCAGGCGTCAGATATGATTTCAAGTTCAAGGATTATGCTCCCTGGGTGTTTCGCAATCTGCGTGAAAAGTTTCATATTGATGCAGCAGATTACATGGTAAATCTTTCGACTTTGTGTTATGCCAGTGGTCCGACATTGTTTAACCGCCATATTCTGTAGATGTCCTTGACCAATAAATACATCCTTTCTGAGCTTGGGTCACCGGGAAAAAGTGGAAGTTTCTTCTACTACTCGCGCGATTACCGTTTTATTATCAAGACCATCCGTCATTCTGAACATATATTCATGCGCAAGATCCTCAAACATTATTACGAGGTAAATTTGCATGCACTCGATAATGCATAAATGTTTGTCGTTAAAAATATCGTCGAAAAAAAAACAAAGCATGTATGCAAGAATCCGAATACGTTACTGTGCCGATTTTATGGATTGCATCGCATCAAATTACCGCACGGTCGCAAAATTCACTTTGTTGTCATGGGGAACGTGTTTCCTGCGAACAAGGATGTTCACGAAACATACGATCTCAAAGGATCTACTTTTGGAAGGTTAACGTCTGACGAGGAAATTGAAAGGAATCCGCGCGCTGTGATGAAAGACCTAAATTGGGAACGGAACCACTGCCGATTGCAGCTTGGACCTAGAAAGCGGTCCCTTTTTCTTGATCAATTGGACAAAGATGTCGCGGTAATAAGCATCTGTGCGCGTATTCAATCAAAATTAGTTATTCACGCTGAGGTTCCAATACCATTAGCTTTTGAAGACCTTGAATATCATGGACTACAGTTTATTGATTGGCATGCATGATATGAAACGAGGTAATACGGAATGCATTCGCGATAATTTGCAAATAGTCAAGGTAGGTCATAAAAATGAATGACTGCTGTTCGATTTGATAACACCATTCGATATCATAGACAAACCATTCCAATGATCCTCCATCGTCCTCGCGGAATAAGAGGCAGGAGCAAGCGCACATAGTACGTAAAGCTATCAAGAACGTTAATCCCGTACAACTGGATACTTCGGAGCTTCCCGAAAGCCCGTCTGAAGAGTGAGTTATCTGAAAGGGAGTTCCATATCATTAAGGACGGTCAAATTCATCATCGTACTGTGCAACAGGAGACGACGGTGCATATTTTATGCTGATGACGGAGGCTATCAATCGAGCAATGATCGTGACGAACCGACCGATATAATTTACTTTATGGGTATCATTGACATTTTGACACCGTACAATTTTATCAAAAAAACAGAACATTTTTGGAAGAGCTGGACGCAGGACAAGGTACAAAAATTATGTAACATTCATACGAAGCGACTTTTTACAGGACCACTAACTACGATGGATACCAGTATACAATCTCTTCGATACCGCCCAACAATTATGGTGACCGATTCATGGAATTCATGAGGAAAGCTGCTGGCGAACTTTCTCCCAGTGAAGATCGGCCGGTTGCGCGTTGATCGCGCAATCATCATATTTCCAATCCATTTGTAAATAACGAACAAAAAGTCTTTTTATTGAACATTGGCCGGCTTATGGGCCACTGAAAGGAAAATTTGAAGCTTCCAAATGGGTTGGGATTGCAGCCACAACAAACCTAATTTGAGACCCAGGGGGGAATGATACTTGATCACATTTTTTTTATTACAGTTGCTCCTATTCGGAAACTGCGTTGTTGTACTATACGAAATTCATTGATACAACAAAAGCTCGCTTTATAGAAAAGCTAATTCGAATAGCGATTACCCATCGGCGGGTTGGCAACAAGTTCTGACTCCGAATATGCAGGGAATCCTGCCAAAGCTGTTAGCACACCGGGGGTCGCCGCATTCCTCCTGTGCCTCGAATTGTGATGCCGCTTGACATATTTCGACTTCGTTGTCATTACATTCACCAGGGACACAGTTAGGTGGAGAGCCGCCTGCCCAGCGAGCGCTCGATAGGGTGGAGATAGAAAGCAAGGTCAAGCAAACAAGGAATAGATATTTCGCCATGATTTTTGAACCTCCCATAATTTTTCTCGTCGGGTTTAAATAAGCTATATAAGCTATCAAGAACTGTGCACTATTCTTAATGCCGAATAACGACCCGCTACGTACTATTACAGTCGGCACTGATAACAAAGGATCCCTTGTCAAATGCCGCACCTGTTGTATTTTAATATGCAGATCATTTGCAATGATGCATATGCAACCAACACGGAAAAATGTGGGTCCAAGAAATTTTATTCTAGTTGATGGTTGTAGTCATTTCTGGTTCCTGTGTCTATGAATTTCACTCGCTATATAATAATTTTGTTTTTGTCATAAAAGGTGACCATCGTGGAGAAAATGGAAAATAGCACCCATTGAGAAGTTGGGTGCGTAAACCGCCTGCCGAGGCCGACTTTGTTTAGGTTAGCGGAACCATTCAGGGGCATGAAATAGCATAAATCATGATAATAATTACCTTGGATGCTGCCGCTTCGGCATCCAAAGCTCGAATTCCATAGGGCCAGAAGGAAGCACGTCTTTCAAACATGATCATCATCATCATAATAATTGCTTGCAGAAATGCCTACTTTTTACAATATTGCAGAGCTTTTGCCGAAATACCGTCAATTTTTATCTGCTGCTGTTCTTTATTGGATTGCGCGTCATGATTTTTGCATAGTTTAATTTAAAGCACGAAGCCGCACTTGGAAATAAAACTAGCTGAACCTCAGTTAAATGAAGGGAAACCAACAATATCAGCTTCCGATCATGCAAGCAATGGGGCCATTATTCGGGCATTCGCGCGGGCAAACTTCCTCTTGCTTCAAGTTGTGCTTTCCCTCGGCATATCATCACGTTCTCCATCGTACAATTCATATTTGGCACAAGGGATGTTACATTTGAATATCTGAGTATTGATCGTCATTGGTAGTGTAAAATTATTTGGGCCATTTGACATCGAATCGGTTCAGTCAAATATCCATAGCACAAAAACAAAGAAAACTTAAGCGAAATAATGCGCCGAAAAAAGAAAAGAAAACAACGATTCTCTTCGGTGCGGAAAAAAAGATGGCCTCCCAGAGTCAACATGCCTGTGCGTAACATTGTGTGCCGGTGGATCCAGCTTGAATAGGCGATCCATTGTTCTGGACGGAACTGGCGGCTAACCGGTAGCTCAACCATAACCTATTACAGTTGTGACATTGACTCACCATTGTCCACCATTTCGTCTTGGTTTGAGTATCACCCGTGACGGAGTACTTTGTCGCGCATTCATCTTCGACTTTCTTTTGGAAAAAGGAAACTACCGTTGTTTCTTCGACTAAATGTAACCAAAGTTGAAAGGAGCGCATCAGGATTGCTGGGGTAAGAAGTTTGCTGCCAATTCTTGCTCTTTGTTATGTTGAATGCGGCCCGTTTGAATGTGAGTAATTCTGTTTGAAATGGAGTTGCGCGATGCCCAAGAAGTTCGCTGAGAGATTCGGTGGTGGCGCCCATTTGCGAGTTATCGAGCCATTTACCGGATTAAATTCAAGGTAACCACCTGACGTTCCATTATTCAGTGACAGATGGAGTAGTCAAAAAAGAGAGTGATTTATTCAAGAGAAATAAATTACACAAGAAAGGAAACCACACAAGGAAAACTAAACTAAGGCGGCCAAATAGCTTTTTTTTTCTTCTAATTATTTTGATGTAGGCAGAAGAAATCCCTCCCCGCCGCACTCAGGAAGAGACACCTACCCCATCAAAGCCGATGGGCGAGGTAGTGCGTTAATTCGCTAAAGAAGAACCTATTATCTTTCTTTGATTTTTTATACGCAGGAAACCCCTCCATAGCTCGCATTTAGATGACAAATCCTTTTCAGTCTTGCACATCAGACAGCCCACAGCCACTAAAACGCTGCGGTGTGGTTAAGAAATAAAAGACCCCCTTCCGGACGAGAATCAGTTAAATCCAAAGACCTGCAGCCAACTTGCACTGCAGTGGGGGTGGATCACACAGAAAGCGTCCATAGATACTAGATTTCAGGAATAAGACAATCAAGCTTATTCCCAACTTTCCTGCAAACAATCATATTGCAGCTGGGACCGATTTGTGATCCCGCATAAGGTTCCAACAGCTACGGAGGGATGCCTTCGCCATCCCACAGGCTCGGCAGAATAGCTTATGCTTCAAAGACTGCGTACGGTTGTCCATTCCCGGACCTGTAATGCACCTGGTCTCTGCGTCAAGGGAAAAGACAGAAACAGGGCCAGAAAAGCCAGACGCGGTTACCTTCCTTCATAGGGCGCGTAAATACTGGAAGCCGTTACAACGACTTACCCTGCCATTAGACTGAGCTTCATTCAGGAATAACGGGTATGGGATCAATTTCTGGAAACACCATTCAGGCTTCTAGGTCACGGGCAACCCGCACCACTACTGGGCCCATCTGCATTGGGGGACTGCCACAAGAAGAAGCGTAGTCGATGACTGACTCCGTTGAGGAAGCACCGGTTCTCCTGCGGAGGTTTTATACAGAGTTGCGCCTGTATAAACCTGGGGGGGGGGGGGCAGCAACGACGGCAGTAGCAGCCACGGGGTGATGTCTCTGTAAACCATGTCTCATAAAGAAACCGTTGCTTGACAGGGTGAAGGAAAACCCAAACGCCCAAACCGGTAGGGATGGTTCCTGACGAACACCAGGACAACCGAGGAAAGGACCTGGACCAGACCAATAGAGCTCGCCGTAGCCCTGCCAAAAAATAAATAAAGAAACGCTGCTTTTAGTACGGCCTTGTTGAAAAAAAAAATAGAAAAAGGGGGAAAAAGCCTACTCACCATGAGACTGCTCGTTATTTAGCCGCGCCGAAGAGAGAACAGACCAGGCTGCTCACCACTATAAAAAAGACAAAAAAAAGGTAAGATTTCTAGACCAATAAAATAAGAGGATTAAAGAGTTGGCTTACCAGAAAAAAGCCAGAAAAAGGCGTAAAGAAGCGCGTTTTCTGGAGGCACTCTTTTTATATCAATTGAAAAGCGGTCACATTCGGGATTAATGGAAGGATAATGCCGCCCAAACAACCTACTTGGGTAGCGACGTTACACAACGAGAACCTTAAATTGCGCATGGACGGGGTGGAAGATTTTTGTGGCAAGGTTGCTCATCCTAATTCACTTTTGGTTTGTAACTGGAGAAAGTACCTTGGATTGTTTTTCCCGACGTCTATAGAGCGAAATGGGGCTGTTGGACAAAAATTGATTTTGGGTCACATGAACGTTTAATGCCACAACTGGTATCCGGTTTCAGATAAAGAAAGGAAGCGTGCCCTATTTATTGTAATCACTGTCCGGAAAGCGAGCAGATGTATGCGCCACTGTATGACGAATCCACGATTAATCCGCATTTTTGCTGAGATGCTAAAACCAATCGTTGCTACGCGATACCTGTTATTTTGGTCTCTACGCATCGACAATTTACTATGCCATCCCCGCAATGTCGCGATGATGGCAATGAGGATCAGTTCATGACGGTCCATGAAGCTGCTTAAATTGCGATACTGATTTCTGAGAATCGAAGTGGGCTTGCAGAGTTGAAAATTGCAGGAATTCCGTCTCTGAGACTCATTAAGATGAGGCGCTTTCCACCTGATTTGACCTCTTTGTTTTCTGTTACACGGAGGAAGTGAGCAAATACCATCCCTGGCCCTTTATCATTGTTTATTTGGATATAGTCTCCAAAGTTAAGACTTAACTCCTCCGAATAAAGCCTGGTCCCAGGGGCCATGCTTTGGAGTGCCTTGGAAATTAGTGGATGTGGCTCCAAAAAAGTCGAAGAAAGAGCTCGCTTTCGTTAATCTAGCCAACGGTGTGTACGCGTGCTGGACCCCCAAGATCGCCACAATCAACGAAGCAGTTGACATCTCTAGCAGCCCTGAAACTTAGCGTTATTTGCGCCACCAGGTTTTGCTCATGCTACTAATCGACATTTTCCTATGGAACTGGTCTGCGAGTATGACAAAGTTGAAGACAAGAATGAGGCCATGAAGAATAACGACATAAAGTAGCGAAGAAAAGCGATAATGAACAAGAATTTAAGCTCCGGAAACTGTTGATATAGTTGGTGAAGAAAAAAAAAATTGGTACATGAATACAGGCCTCACCGTCAATGCGTCAGATTGTATAACTTTGAAAAAAATCGCCCCAACACAACTGTCATTGGCAGTTACGGGATCCATATTTACAATGAGGGTGAAAAAGGCACTTGGAATTCTCCAATGGAACGGAAATTACTGAGGATGGAGTTGTCTTATAGCCGAAAAAGATGATTGAGAACGTCAGTGACACACATTTGCCAGCAAATTCCGAGAGAATTGTTTGATTGAAAATCAAGCAATCATTGACACATATTACTCATGCAGCGGCAGGCAATGAAACGTCAATGATAAACATCGACGGCAGGTAACAAGAATCGAGCGCAATATTCAGATTCGCTGTCCAATTCATTACACTAGTTGTTGTTGAATTATCAAATTATACGTTTTTTATTTTGACGAATTAGAAATTTTCTAGCAATAGGTTCTATGATGTACTGGCGAATATGGACAAACTGTGAAAATAGTTAACCTCCAGATTATTGTACTTTATACAAAAAACAAAAAGCCCCAATAGTATCTATAGGTTGCTTAATCCGTAGTATCACCTGCACCGCAGCAAAGCCAAGCCAATTTGTTCTTCTTCTTCTTGGCACCGCCCGGTTGATTCGCAGCAGCATCAGTGGGTTTGCCCGTGCCGGTGGTCGCGCCAGTTGTACCGGTCGTACCGGTCGTACCCGTCGTACCGGTCGTACCCGTCGTGCCAGCTGCACCCGTTGTACCGGTTGTGCCAGTGGCATCTCCAGTGGCACCTGTAGTCGTGCCTGTTGCGCCCGTGGTGCCGGCCGCCGCGCTATGAGGCAAAGCAGCCGCAGCAGCTCCAGCGGTTCCAGCAGCGGCGACGCCTGCAGCTGTACCGACAGCTGTGGGGGAAGAAAGATCTTGCACTTGGGTTTGTCCTTGTGGGTTGGTTGTAGTGATGGCCGGTTTTTGGCTCACATCACTGCCGCCGCTGGCCAAGGCTTTACCTTTGGCAAAAGTGACGACGACTTTGCCAAAATTTTCTCCCTGAATCTTGGCCAAAGCAAGTTCGGTCTCCGTCGGCTCACGCGATCCGTCTCCGTTAGCAATGGTGCCAGCGCCATAGGCCGAGCCACCAATGACTTCATCATTACTGAACATGCGCGTATCGCAATAGCCAAAGGGGACATACACCATGCCGTGGTGCGCAAAGAAGGTCACCGCATTCAAAGCGGTCGTTTCCTGACCACCATGCTGTGAAGCGGTGGCGAAAAAAGTTCCCACAAATTTTCCAGCCAATCCACCCGAAGCCCATAGTTGGCCAGTAGCATCCAATAAACTAGTGGCAAAAAATAAGAAGTTGAATAAATATAAACCAGTTCGATCATAAAAAGTCCCCAACTTACGCTTTCATCTGAGCGGGAAATATTCCGAAGCGAGTGGGGATGCCAAAGAGGAAACCGTCGGGTTCATGGAGTTGATCTTTGGTGATGATGGGGATGTCGGGCTTGGGAGGGGCATGCATTTTCTCGAGAATCGTATCATCAAGAGTTTCTTGCACTTGCCAAATGGTGGCATCAACGCCCGAAGCTTTCAAGCCTGAGGTTGGGGGGAGAGAGAGAGAGATCGATAAGATAAGACAAATGGATTATTTAAAAATAGATACGTGTGCATTGGGCACTGACATTGCACTCACCTTCACAGACGGACAGGGAGAGCTTATAGACGTGATGGTAAAGCGAATAGATGACAATATAGACTTTAGGTTTGGTTGTTGCCATGACACAGGGAATGAGATGAAAAAAAAAGTTTAAAAAACGTGGAACAGAAGAGACTTTGTAAAGACCAAATCCTCGGTAAAAACCCTGTGGATGGGTTTAAAATCTTTTTGTTTGCTTGTTCATGCACGCAAACCCAAGCTGAAACCCTTTTTTAACTCCTCGGAAAATTAAAAAAAAATCGAAATTGCATAAAAGGATTGATCGCGCAATTTGACGCAGCTTTTTTCCTTGTTTAATCCAAAACTCCCAATTTTTTTTTTATCGCTCAAGAGAAATTAGAATAAGTTCATCATGGCTGGCACTGTTTACATCGTCATTTACACAATGTACCACCACATCTACAAGTTGGCTTTGGAGGTGCAGAAAGGCTTGGAATCCGCTGGTGTCAAGACCACCATCTTCCAAGGTAAAGGCTCTTTTGTGCCAACAATAAGGTTTTTGTATAGACAATAAACAACTCACACATGCATTTCTTGTTCTTCATCAACATTAGTTCAAGAAACATTATCGGATGAAGTCTTGCAAAAAATGCACGTACCTGAGAAGCCAAACTTGCCAGTGATCAAGACTGAGCAATTGACCGAACCCGACGGAATCATCTTTGGTATTCCTACCAGGTAAAAGACCGAGATGGCTTAAATTTTTTTAGCATGAGCTAATGTGAGTTGCATTTTTATCCTTCAGATTCGGCACCATGCCTGCTCAGATCAAAGCTTTGTTGGATGCTACCGGTAAGATCTGGGCTACCGGTGGTCTTGCCGGTCGCTTTGCTGGCACCTTCTTCTGTACTGCTTCGCAGCATGGTGGTCAGGAAACAACCGCGCTCACTACCGTGACCTATTTTGCTCATCACGGTATGATTTACGTGCCATTTGGTTTCGCCAATGCACACTTGTTCGATAACAGCGAAGTTATTGGTGGTTCCGCATACGGTTGTGGTACTGTTGCCAACGGTGACGGATCACGTCAACCGACTCAAAAGGAACTCGAAATCGCTGTCAACCAAGGCGAAAATTTCGGCAAGATCGTTAGCACCTACGTTCAAGGCAAGAATGCCGCTCAATAGACATACTTTCTGTCACTGTCAAATAAAAATAAAAAGTAATGGTGTTATTATTGCAAGCATCTCTTAATGTCAACTAGAAAAATAGAGGATCAGATAATGACAGCTGTCAACTGATCAAATAGTCCAGATTAAAATAGAATAACGATTTTATCAATGTTTGTTATTCAATCGCTTCGTCTAACGCAACCATAAATCCACCGATACTAATCAAGAGCATGGGTCTTTGATCCTGGTTTGTGCGCACTTGCTTTCACGACCGTTTCACATGCAAGCAGGCCCCAAAAATTTGCCGATCTCGACTTTTTTTTTCACAATCCCCAATTCATGCAATAACGACGATGTCTATTTCAGACCCTTGCATAATGTGCGGTTAATCGGGGCGAGGTAAGCGAAGATGGGTCAACCTCCCTCACCACAGCACCGTGTTTGCGCAACAAGGGTTTTTTCACCATTTTCTCACGGATTAACCGTGTATTACTATAAGTGATATTGCGATGGTGTCCTAGCGACAGCATTTGGTTTGCACATCGTACTGTATTGTGTCTGACACAAGCCATGTTGAAATGCTAAAAGATGCAATATGAAGAAACAATTTAGCGAATGACACGCACATGTCTGACGCAATCCGCTAACGTACTATGGTGAGATAAGTTTCGCTGTAATAAATAGTATTCTGGAAAATCATGCATAACCTTTTTCCGGATGAACAGCTCAGTCGTCAAAGAAAATTGCCAAGGGCTCACTCTCCATCATATGACAATTCAGCGCATTGACAGATGATATGGCCAATATAATACATTTTGATGCTGACAAATTTGACAAATCAAATGCGGTTTTTATGCTTTGCCTTTTTTAATTTGCGAATCTCAAGGTATCTGCTGTACAGCTTGTATGAGGCCTTCAAATCCGGCTTGACTCACTTTACAGCTCGCCAGTTTGCAAGCAACTTGCATTGCGCTCGAGATCTCACGTCCCTGATGGAGAGCAAAGATCATGCCGGCAATGAATGTGTCTCCTGCACCCACAGGGTCAATGATACGATCGATTTTTGGAGCTGGTACTCGGTGGCCGGTATCGTTATCATCAAGACCCACAGCACCTTGCGCACCCCATGCACAAAACAAGCGGGCACTATTGTATCATGTTTGATTGAGTACAAGAAAAACCCAGCAACTCACTTGGCACTTACTGCGGTTTGCAATGCGATCGCATATCGTTCAAAAATTGAATCCCATCTTCATATCCTCTACGTTCAGCGAAAAGCTTGGAAAAGAAAACAACATCCCCCTAAACCAGCATTTAAATAGTATAGTCTACATGAGTCTTGATGCATTCCATGCAATTCTCCTCCCGGCTTAACGCACCTTTGGCATCAACTGATCAATATGTTCCCGATCAGGTTTTTCCAATTCCACAGATATAGTTAATCGATCTCGCCACCCTTCGTTTGTTGCCTTTGTTTCTAGCCAGTCAATCTGCTTCACTACTTGAACAATATTGCGACCCTCAAAATGCACCCAATCGAATATCGGCTGTCGCGACTGAACTTTTGATACGTCATCCAGGGCTTGAGCAAATTCGTTCTCTGTGATATCGTTTATACTGAACTGATATTTCAATTAACCGAATTTATAACGGACCGTGAGTCACTTACGAAGTACATGAGATGATGGTGCGCGATCCCGTTTCCAAGCTATGGAGAATGTACGACGAGGGCGTCACGGTATCGCGGTGAAGACAAGTAGAAGTATTAATGCCTTTGGCTGCTAATTGTTCAACCAAGGAACTATTAGCGTATTAATGGCGAATCGATCGGGGGGCTTTAGTTGACGATGAATACGTTACCTCGTGGTTTCCTTTGAACCAATGGCCGACATGCACCATGTATCGATGGAATGGGACTGCGAAAGCACTTCTGCTGCATTCATACAGTTGCCTCCGCGACGTTGTTCCATTCGACTGGCCCGCAGCTTACTGTCTTCATCGGGGAAATGGTCGACGGTAAGGATAGTGTCAAGGTAGATCTGGCCAACTAACAGCACGCGTGCGCGTTTCTGAGGTTGGTCGAGCATTGCGTCCACCAGAGCTGAACCCATAGTTCCATCGAGTCGCACCATGGAATCTCAAGTTTCAATTACACTCCGCTCGTGTATCTTCTAATAAACAATAGGTCGAAAAGTAAATAAAAAATACAGCACCACAATCAGAGATGCCTTACTTTCTTCCACGGCGCCAAAAAGATGAGTAGAGTGAGCTACGATAGCATAAATGACTTACACTGCGGGAATCACCAGTTATTCCTGCTTAAAGATACATAACACACATTTTCTAAAAAATTACCACTACAGCGAAGACTTGAGAAAACACCTTGCCAATTTGAAACAGTAGGAACATGTAATGATTGACTCGGCGAATTAAAAACTGTATATCCAATAGCTGAAGTTATACCCAGAAGAATAATCATATTCGACAATAAGGAATGTTATTACAGGGCCTAACATTGGATGGTTCATTAATCCGGCATAGTAACTAAGCACGGGGTAAAAAAAATTTTGCAAATGAAGAAGGCAAAATTCTAATGGAATTTTGAAATCACCGAGTTAATGCCTTTAACTGAATGTTCGATCTTCGGTGCCCTATGGAGATATGACGCACCATTTGCAGCTGCAAGTCGGGCAGTCTGCTTGCGAATACACAGCAAGTAGACTTCTATAAAAACGACCCGGTCTACATTATCGCATAAACCAGCCAACAATTATTATGGGAAAGATAGCCAACTGGGCTTTGACTTTATCGGTTTTATCATCAGCCAATTTTGCTCCATCGTGATTTGCCGAAATAAAAGAGGTCTATTTTTTCTGTTTTCGTTTTGAGCTCATTCATGAGATGTTATTTTTACATAAATTGAAGAGCGTCTTTTATCATTCATAAATTGTAATTTTGTTAAATAATACTATCTTGACAAAGTTGCCTGTAAAAGCATCAGCACCCAAAATGGACCAGCGGCCGGAATAACATGTGTGTTAAAGAAGCCGTTGTCAATGGGAATCCGTGCGTCAAAAAAGAATTGCTGCGGCGGTGGTTCAAGCGGTGTAACAAAGGTTTTCTCTCGGTTTTTCAAAAAAAAAAAGAAAAAAGCGAAGGACTGCCAGGCACACGCACCATCACTTTTCTGTTCTTTCCTTCAGACATCACAATGGATAGCCTTCAATCTCTTTTAGCGTCAGCGAAACAGTGCCTGAGACAGTGTGAAGCCTGGCTTGAAGCACAGGCCACTGCAGTCAATGTTGAAACACGATGGGCTCTCGAGGAATGTTGGAATGCCTATTACACGCTTCTGGAACGTTCCAAATCTCAGGACGGCGAATCTTTGATTGTCAATTTATCAGCATACTACTTTGAACTGCTGCGACTTGCGCAATATTGTACCATTGAACCATTGACGATGCACGTTCAGAATGTACGATCGACCATGGTGACGTTTGCTGCCGATAATCCAGCTGCATTGGACAGATTAACAGAGGCAGAAAAAGCATTGGCCCAACTTCCATCGTCTTCCGATCCCAACTCGGTGCCATCATCGCCTACACCACGTCCTCAAAAACTAGCAAATGACCCAACCGCCGTATCTGCGGAACAACTCCACCGTATATTGAGTGGATATGCTTCGGGGATGACAAATCACCAGTTGATGCATGAAATCATTGTGGACCCAAATTTTAAACTTCAGACACACCAACCGCAATCCGCCCTAGAGGAAAGAGTTAAATCGATTGCCACCCAAGCCTTCTTTGACAAATTGGCAGAAGACATTCGATCGGGAAATGCCGAGCAATCCATAGCATCTATTATGGAAGACGTTCGAAAAGTAAGATATCACACTGGTATGATTGTTGCGGTAGGATACTTACAATATATGGGCTTTGTAGTCTCTTTTGGATCTTGCAAAGTCGAGTACCACACTATACAAGCAGCTGGATGATATGATGGACATGGATCTGATACGTCAGAATTTAAGCAAGGGCACGTTTGACTTGGACATGATGCTGAAGGACATTGTACAAGTTATGCTACGGATTTGTGCGCCAGTCAGAGACGAGACTATTCAAAATATATCTACAATGGACGATCCTGTGCAGCAACTGCGAGCAATCTTGGCTGTATTAGACGAAATGACCCTTGATCTTATCAACTTTCGAATACGCATGTTGAGACCTCATCTGACACCCATGGCTGTAGAATACGAACGGTCCGACTTTGCAGAAGCTTTGGCACAAGGGAAAACGGGATTGGCCAAAACAAGGGCATGGATTCGCAATACGAAACAACGTCTTGACGAAACAGCTGTTGAACGTAACAAAAAGGATCGGGATCTATCTGTAACGGCTGTTTTCGAGGAAGCATTGGTATCATTCATCACATCAGCCGAGCCACTCTCTCCCATGACATGCCCCGAAACCCTCCTGCTGGACATTCATCGGTTGAGCCAATGTCAAAACGAAATCCAAGCGACGAGTATGGTGGCATCATTACTGTTATTGGCACGCAATTTCAAAGTGCCGAATCATGCGTTCGATAGTATGGCGAAACGGTTCTTTGTACTGTTGAAAGATCACACAACTCACATTGACCATCTCTCGGGAGAGATTGAAAAACATGCCGACATTGATGCTGCACATCTTCCCTTGATCCGTTCCATGGTAGACAAGACTTTATCACACGATGATGCAGTTTATGCCCTGCTAACACGGCGTATTGGGACCGTTGTTCGTTCGTCCATCAGCAACGGCCAATTTGTCGACAGTGCTACCCTGGCGACCCACGGCCTTGAGCACGTGCGTCGACCACTTCGAGAATTATGTCAACGACTGATTCCACTGGCTCGACATAACTTTCAAGTATATCTACCATGGTACAAGGAGATCATCATGGAATAAAATCTCCACATATGAAGAATTTCAGTCTATTTTTGACTCGTTTTTTCTTGACAATACGTGTATCCTATGTTTGCCTTTTTTTTTCACGACAGCAGGGGCACCGAAAAAAAAAAAAGTTGACCAGCGTGCTGGGCTGCTTGCTTTTGAAGACAATGCTTGATGGAATCCAGTTTTTATTCAAAAAAAAAAAAATCTTCAACTGTATATCTGGTATTCCCAAGCACGCGACTAATAGTTGGTTTCTGACATTATGATAAAAGAGTCGTGTTGTAACATCATGCCATGATATTAAAAAGGACTTGCCATCATCATTTAACTTGGTTTGCAGTTACGGAAACAAGGGTATTCCATAGACATGCATCACAACGTGTTTCTGCATCCACAGTACGGGCTGTGTATCCCTTCGATGCCGACGCTCTTGATGCCACGAAAGGTTGAGGATGCACGTTCGGTGGCCGATGCAATGGAAGCATGTTCTGGATTTTTCAGATATCAACATTCGGTTGAGAGTCTGATTTATTGGAAAGCAATCCTGATGGTTCGAAACTTGGTATTACCTTTCATGGCATTACTGTGAGCCGCTGGCAAATGGCGGAAATAGAGCATCCGATTATTCGCCTGGCGTTTCACCTTTGTCCAGTAAGGACAGTTTTGATGATTATTTGCCAATAACGTTTTCTCGTACAATGTCCTCGGAGACAATGGGCGGCGATAATTACTAGCAGGGGTTACTGTCACTCTCTGGTAAGAATGGCTGCAAGCGTCAAGAGTATAGGTTGGCGTATTACAATACACCTGCTAGGTTTTTGCTTAGTAAAGTTGCTGTTACCGACATGATAACATGCTTTACATACAGGTCGCTTCAAGGACTGCGGTGTGAATGCGGAACCGACAGATTCACCATTCAAAGAAAACACCGGATCGTATGCAAGTGACCCTAGACGAGAGTTGAATAACGGCAATTGCTTGTTAATGGCGCAGTATGCGGAAGAAGAGGGTGTAAAGTGAAAAAATACCGTGAGAACTTCTTTCTGTTACTTGTCCACTAGAAGATCTTTCGTCTCGCACTTCAGACTGGCGCGAGGAAGGATCGCTTGGTACTCGATAGTGGGAGCTTGAGGTCATTGATCAAAAAAAATAAAGAAAGAGAGCTAATCCACAAGCGCCCATTGCGTGATCATTTATATGATGACATCCGGTCATCATGTTCTTAAACAAACATGTTATACCACTGATTTGTCGTCAGACCGAAATACTTTGCGAATGTGCGCATAAGGGAGCGGTCTGTTCGGTAACGTTGAGCAACAATTGAGTTGAAAGTAACAATACTACCAGTGGATTTTATTAGAGAAAGAGTAACCTTGCAATATCAAGGTTCGTTACGTTGAGTTTACGAAACAGGTCAAAGTCTTTTTGAACTCACGACTCTATATAGCAAAAGGAGTCTGGACGTCTCAGCTTGATTGCGAACATTGTTTCTATTATACCGAGACTGTATTGTTGCGTACTGTATACGAATGCCGTTGGAATACGGTACGCAGGTTGTAAACGATAGCACTGGTAGTTACGGCGTTCAATCTTTACGTTTAAAAAAGTAAATACCAAATAGGTTGCATTACTGAGGGAACGTTGTCATGGAGCTGGGATAGCTCGTACTTGTCCCACATATTATTCATCATCAATGATCGTCTGCCAAATACGATTGTATCGAGGCGGCACAGAATGACCGGAAAAATAGGTATCCTTGTATTGATCATCCACATGGCACGTAATGTTGCCACATTAGCATGGAAAAAGCTAAAATATTGCCCTGTCACCGTCTCTGTGATACGTAATTGGTGGACACAGAAGCACAAATATTTTTTTATGTCTCGATCATTGTGTTCCTGTGTGCAGACTGTTTATGAGGATCACAAACGGGTATGTAAACTGGTGCAACCATACCGTGCGCGTGTCGACTGAGACTATGGATCCACAAATAAACACTTGGAAATACAAGCTCGACCTCTCTCTTCACCGTAAGAAAGAGCCAACCATGAGTCAATCATAGGAATCTTGGTTACTCTGTGCTTATGCTGCGATACAATTTAAATATAATCACTATTCACCGATTTGACTTCATCTTTGATATCCAAAGGAGTAACAACAAATGAGGCGGAAAAACTATTTAGCGGTCTCATCTGTGCCAGACATATCATCTTGCTGTATGCGGGCTTTTGATCCATCATTCGTTTGCAAATCGCATGTACAAAGGCATACGTCAGTGGTTCTCGTTGCAAGTTGTACTTTACTTAAAGGTTAATAAAATAAAGAAAAAAGTACAGCAATTGACGTTAAGGTTATGTACTACAACGATTGCAGCATATATTCAAGTGGGGTGCTATGAAGAAAAAATATAATAATATGATGTCGGAAACAATCGGTAGGATATTGAACTGCATATCTCAGGGTCATAATTTTTTGATATATGATGGAGCTAAGAATGGCATATCATTTTTTTAGATGAAAAGCATTGTGGCAACGAACCATATTAGTATACTCCATAATGTGATTGACTGTTTCGTCCATGCACGCGCTGATAAGATGTCCATGGTTCAAGCGGCTATTCAATCTACACAATCAATCTTATGTCAGAACGTAAAATGATGCCGTCTCTCTCTCTCTATTGCGCCTCCTCAGGAGCGGATGACGACGATCACAACCATGAATGACAATCAATCAACTGTGGGTCTTTGAAACACTTGATCAGCATGTTCCACACCTGTTGGATTGGTCATGGTTTTTTCTTGTTTTCCTTTCCCTTGGATGATGGAGAAAAAAGAAACCATCAATATAAGAAAGGACTTTACATAGTAGGTCAAACTTTTCTGTTGCTTTAGTTTGTCAGTTGGAACAACCTATTAGCAATGTAACATCTGTAAGCTTGCAATTATTATACGTTTGATGATGGATTTTAATCTCATCAGGACGAAAAATCGTCCGCTTTTTCATTTGTTCATTCCCCGTTTTTACGATCGTTGTTTTTATCAACCGCTATTCCAATCTCAGTGATTCCACGTTGATGGGAGCCAATGTGACACAAATGTCGTCTGAGTCTCAGGTCGGTTCCTGTTCTTGTGTCGCTTCGTTGCCTCTTATGCGTGAGGTCTAATATGTTATTTTACACTTTTTTTCTGGTGCTACAAAATAAGGGTCTTTATAATAACCAGCAATATGAGTTTTTGGAGAAAGTACTGATGAAAGGAAAACCTAATCAAAACCAGATGAACCATGGACGTAGGATCATTGAGGCACATAAGATATAGAAAAATCGTCTGCTATTGAAGAGGCCAAAAAAGAAAAGAAAAACAGAAAACATTGGCCTGTGAATAAAAAGATTCCAGCCAAACTTGGTTGGCAAAAAGTTACACCATGTTCCAGTCAGCTTTTAACCTTTTGGCTTATTAGCTCCGTGCCCTCAATTCTATTTATTTTTATTTTTATTATTTTTATTATTTTTTTCACTCTTTATTTTATTTTGTTTTTCTCCAACCGCTGCTGTCCTTGGCCTATGTTCCAGTTGTCACCATGTCAACGTTTCCAAAGATCATTTGTCGAGTGAGAGCTTTATATCCTTATTATTCAGAGGATCCAGCATCGTTGAGTTTCGACAAGGGCGCTGTAATCGACGTACTCACCCAACTTGACTCTGGGTGGTGGGATGGATGGTAATGACCCCAAACTGAATGGACTGACAAAATGCACAACAAAACAACCCCATAGTAATTATAAAAATAAAAAAAAATTCCTGCTTTTTTTCTCCCTTTTTTCTATTTAAAGGTGTGATGGCAAGCGAGGCTGGTTCCCAAGCATCTATGTCGAGATCCTAAGCGTCAATCCCGACATGGCAGATACCCTCAAAGACGTTCCTCAGCGTTCTGGCTCCCAGTCTGCAACCAACGACGAAAGAAACGACGACCCCAAAGTCCCCACGCCAGCTTCTATTTCACCGATTGACACTTCACGACTGGATCCCGACTACTCTTCATCTCTCACCGCACAACCACCTTTAACCGACACGCAGGCGCGTCATTGTTCCTTATCTCCACCAGCAGCAGGCCGACGGTCATCGTCCCAGTGGGATGTTCGAGAACCGAACCGACCTGACCTGGAGATGAATTTGGGAAGTGATTCCAACTTACCTGAAGGCTGGACCATCCAAATGGCAAAAGATGGAACGACGTATTACTATTATAACCAGCTAACCGGTGGCTACCGTTTAAAACATCCAGCGTTATCCGATTCTGAAACCGAATATGATAGTGACGGGTCAGGTGTGATGATTCGCCATTTACCGAAACGTGCGAGTGACGATGAAGACGAGGACGACCAGTTTGAAGACGCACGCACGGATGACTACCACGAACACCCCTCAGCCGAGAAACGACTCGACGTCGATGCGTTGCCTGCTGCTGTGCAGTCCGACACTTCTCCTACCGTTAATCCCGTAAGTTTATCCATCCTGAAATGCTCTGGCTTCTTTTTTGTTAGAGGTCTGCACAGATGGCTTAAGTTATTTTTTTGTTTCTTTTCTCCATCCAGGTGATGAGTCAATGGGTCAAACGAGTGACGCCTCAAGGCAAATCGTACTATTGCAATCTCGTTACTCAGGAAACGACGTGGAGTTATGATGATATCGATCAAAATACCGGCACCCTGGTATGTGTTCTGCAGAGTTGGTGTGACCAAAATGAATTTAGGATGGATTTTTTTTTCTCACCCCAATTCAGAAAACGAGCAAACAAGACGATTCTGACACCGAAAATGGAGACGCGCGTGTCTATCCTTACTCGTTTTCACCGGCTCTTCGTTTAAACAACACATCCGCCAAGAAGATTCAGAGCTCTCTTCCCATTGATGCCCAAGTCATACTGACCTGGCAGAAACTGTCGAGTGATATCGCTTGCGGTATTCATCAATTGAACACCGCCGCTCAGTATGGCGATTGTGAAGATTTCTCGGCGATTGCCGCAGCTATTGTGGAATCCATTCGGCTCATGTTGTATTCTTCTCGTTCCATGGATAAAGAAGCAAGTCACATGCAAGACCGAGCGTTGCGCGAACCACATCGAGCTGTCATGGCCTCATTGTCGAAGCTCGTGTTATCGGTGAAAATGGCATCGGAAGGAGCCTCAGGATCGTTGTCCGATTTGTTGCACAAGGTGCAGCGCGACGCGGGCGATGTGTTGGCGGCCGTTCGTGGTTTCGTCACCATGTGTCAGGAAAGAGATATTCAAGTGGAGCAAGTGTGTCCAAAACTGCTGGATGATGCGCAACCCATGGCGCCACTAGCGATGGAACCTATGCTTCGAGACGTATCGGACACCACTGCCGCACGAAAAGACAGCGCGGGCGAGGATACCATCAGCAAACGGCGTCATTCCGAGCAATTGATGAACAGCACCATGCAAAAAGCAAAGTATCCACTGAATCAAGATCTCCTTGTCAGTTTGCAGACGCACGCCAATCAGATTTACGGATCAACAGAAGCTCTTTTGAAAGCGACTCAGTTCATTTACAAACTGGAACAGGAGGACGATATGCCACCTACAGAAGAAGATCAGGAAACCAACACTACAAGGAACAAACAGAAAGCGCGATCTAATGTTATTTTGTTGTTCCGAAACTTGTCCATGCAAGTCGGACAATACTTGGGCATCCTGGAAGACATTGACTTGACAAACTTGGATAGCACCCAGATTCCGTCACTGTCGGAATACCGAGTGCACAAACAGAACCTGTATAATGCGATCGGCACATTATTTGGCACAGTACAAGTGCTCACGGACATGAACGCGGATACCGGGAAAACGGTTGCGGCAATTGAGGATGCTATCTGGGCGGCTGAAGATACCATTGAAAGCATCTTTTCGAGTGTCGATCAAATGGTTGGACAGCGTAAAATTTGGATGATGCGACGCGGTACCCACGATACCGATGATAGTAGACTGAGTGATAATACCCCTGGATCGCCTAGCTATAACCCATACCAAGACAATCCATTCGGTGATGGCGAAAGCGATGCGGATACCATGCGTAAGTTGACATAGCAGATTGGCCGTTGATAAGAAGCATGTATCTCATATGCATTTTTTCATTACGGTAGCTCACGCTCAGTCCACGTCAACATCTGCCACCATCAAATCTGTCCCCTCCTTGGATAAAGCTCGCAAACGTCAATACAGCACACGGCCCACCGATGGGACTGACACTTGGTATATCGGCCATGATTACGCAGATGGCGAGATCCTGTTTGGTATGGATGGCAATGTCAAAGCTGGCACGTTGCCAGCTCTAATCGAGCGATTAACGATGCACGATACGCTTGGTAAGTGATTTGTTTTCTCGTTGTTTCATCGTGGGTTGACCGTACTAATGACTTTTGACCGTTTAATCTGAACATAGACATGAGTTTTATTGCCAACTTCCTCTTGACATATCGATCGTTCTGTACCACGGAAGAATTTGTAACCCTTTTAGAACGACGCTACAACATGCGAGCGCCTGAAGGACTTACTCCCGAAGAACTGGAGATTTGGACAGAAAGAAAACAAAAGCTTGTTCGTCTAAGGTAAGAAGTGGATCATTTGTTGATGAGAACGGAGAACAGTGAATGCTAATCGAAATCGATGGCAGAGTGTTCAACGTGATGAAGACGTGGCTGGAAAACTACTACAACGACGAAGATGAATTTATTCTTTCTCGTCTTGAATTTTTTACCAACACGGTGATTCGGGATGCTTCTCCGTTTTCTGCTGATCAGTTGAATCGATTGATTCGTAAGCGTAAGGAGCTTGATGCAGACGGTGGATTGAAAAAACTGGTCCCCAATCCGATCGATGGTCCCATTCCTATCATGCCAAAGAACATGACCCGCATTCGATTGCTGGAAACCGACCCGATTGAACTGGCGCGCCAGCTGAGTATCATGGATTTCAAGTTATACAGCAGTATCCGGCCCATTGAATGCTTAAGCAAGGCTTGGTCCAGGGAGGATGCCAAGGGCAATGTGGCCACCAATGTAAAACAATCCATCGACTACTGCAATCGCCTTACGGCATGGGTCACTGGCAGCATTCTCGTCCACGAGGAAGCCAAGAAGCGTGTGGTGATCATCAAATATTGGGCCCAAGTTGCACACGTAAGTGATGGATTATTTTGGATCATGCGATTGATCGCTTGTAAAACGTGATGTAGCGACTTACTCATATGACTATCATTCGATTTATCCAGCGATGTCGTCTTTTGAACAATTACAATACGTGCATGGCCATTATTTCAGCATTCGACAACAGTGCTGTAGGACGACTGAAGAAGACGTGGGAGGTAAGGGGCGACAGTGCAGTCAGCAGAAAGGAGTTTTTATTTACAATATCTGAATAATTTTATGAAATATAGCTGGTGGGCAGTCGTACCAATCAGACACTGAGTCACATTCGCAAATTGATGGGTGCCAATCGCAACTTTACCGAATATCGTGAAATGATCCACTCTGTCAATCCTCCGTGTATCCCCTTTTTGGGTATTTACCTCCAAGATCTGACGTTTATCGAAGACGGCAACCCCGATTATTTGAAAAAGTCTAGCAATCTGATCAATTTTGCAAAGCAACGTAAATCGGCCGAAGTCATTCGTGAGATTAAACAGTTCCAGTCGCCACCCTACACGTTCCAAGTCATTCCGGAACTTCAAGATTTCATCAAATCGCACCTGGAGAACAGCCATGACGTCGAGACTTTGTATGAACGCAGCTTGCAGTTGGAGCCCAGAGAAATAGCTGCGGCTTAAAAAGGAAGAAAGAAGACGAACAACATTGCATATCGTACCCATATTACATTCATATAATATGATGACCATTACAGCGCCCTACAGAAACACAATGTTTCATTTCTTGACGCTTCTATCTTTGCAAAACTATTTTACATGTATCAAATGGCGCGTGTCAATAAGTGCTGGACTATGTATATCTCGGCAGATAATAATAAAAAAGTTAAATAAGTGGAATGGGCAGCCATTCTTTGTCCTTTATTCGACTTTATCTTTTCTCTCATCTGCTCATAATCTGGTCAAGATCGACCGCAGAAAGTCGTCTTTTACCGAGATAAGATGGACCACTCACATCGTTTGCATAGTGATCCAAAACTTGAAGCTGGAGCCGAATTCCGAGCTGCCCCAGCTTCACACCAGCATTCAAAAATTTCGGGATTTTGACCTGAACATGGTATATGTCAAGGTATAGGGGTCATAGTACATGAAGTATTGTAGTTTTGATTTCGATGCTGGTATTACATGAATGGTGCCATAACATCCAAACAAACACAATAACGTCCATCGAAATGGACAAAAACAGGTAAAACCCAGAGCTGATCACAAAAAAAGAAAGAAAAAAGCACATCATCTGAAAGACACAACAAATGATCAAGGCTTGGAAAGGCAAGAACAAAAGTCTTACAACCGTAACGTGAACGACAGCATGCGTCACTCAACAGATCCATCGGCGGGATCGCTCCCATTTTTATCCTGACACGATATTTTTTTCTGCATGCATACAATTTCATTCATGGGGAGACGAGCGTCAATATCAGCAGCAAGATACCCCAGAAAAGCATGAATCGATGCCACTAAGAATATGCTGAAAATTCTCATGCATCACTATTGAACCCACGTACGCAGGTACATACAAGCACGCATTGGCTTCGTTTGCGGAACAAGCAGCTATCATCTTTGTGAACTCTATCACTAAATAGTTATAGCATCGAATCACGCGCGTTTCATGTCTCAAATTGCAAGCAGTACAAAAAGCCACTTTTTTCCATTTACTTGTTTACAGTATGTGCACAGCATTTTTTAAAAAAAAATTGTCTGCATTATTTTGTGTGTCACTGTAACCTTTTTTCCTACTCTCGAAGATTTCTCTAATCGATGATAACTTTATTCGTTTGCCGTTTTTTAGGCGGCATGATACAGCATTTCATTGAAGACCTGAAAACCGCGATTGATTTTTCTGAATACAAAGGGAATGATTTTGAAGAAAGCAAAGAAAGTAGAACAGGGGCTACTGCTGAACCAGGATAATTTTCCAATACGATTTTATTGTTGTGCGATTTTTCTTTTGTGTGCAAAATCCGGAAAAAAGAGAATCAAAAGCGAAAAACCCCTTTCAGACCATTTATCACCTATATCATATTGACTGCCCATGCATCAAACATTAGGGGGCGTTGCATCGGGCATCCATGTTTATCCTTTCTTCCTTCCCCCCAGCACGGACTTTGACCATATTTAGTAAAACTACAGTTTGACATAGTTTGTTGTGACGTTTTCACATAATAAAAAAGCGCATTGCTTACCCTGCTCAAGTGATAACGGACCGTTCCTGCAGAAAACAAAAAAATATAAATCGAGGAGTTGCAAACAATAATCCGCTTTTGCCAATATTCTTTTGTCCATATGAACGACGTCTATGTACAAGAGAAAGGGGCCCTCCACCAGCATATAAAGTGGCTTTTGTTAGGCTTCTAATGCAACCCTTTCCTTTTCGATTTCTCCATCATTTTTCTCTGTTCCTCTCTTCTCTTAATTGCAAGCACTCGGCCTCGGCAATCATGTCACATATCATCTCTTCCTTTACCCATGTTATAGCACAACGTTATCCCGCCCTGTTTCGCCATCGCTGGATCGCAGTCGTCAGTGTCATTAGCGCCTTGAGTGTATTGCAACGCATCTATTCCACGCTGCGTGTGCCAAAGCAGCTGCGGCATTTGCCAAAAGTCAGCACGTTTGGATGGTTTCTCAGTGTATTTCGAGGTGATCCCGCGGATATTCGTCTGACACAATGGGTGATGCCGACGGTGGAACAACATGGAATCTGCTTAAAATATTACCTTGGACGGTGGACGGTGACAGTGGGCGATCCTTTGCTGCTGCAAGCCATGCTGAAAAATGTCAACGCGTTTCCGAAAGAAGATAAAGCGCGCCTTGATCCTGTAAGCCAACCATCCAATCCACCATTGTTTTGAGCATGATACAAACGAACAAGTTTTTTTTCATAGGATCTTTTATTGACCAACCGAGAATCCAATATGGGAAATGCTAATTATGATGTGTGGAAACGACAGCGACGAGTGGCTAACCCGGCTTTTCACCGTGCCATGCCTGTTCACGTGTTTGGAGAGATTACATTGAGGATGTTTCAAGCCATCGATAAGCAACATTCAGACGGGGTCATTGACGCAGCGGATTACATGAGACGGTAAGCCAAATTCTTTTTCTTTTCTCAAGAACACCTCGAAAGCGTGGTATAAGGCGAAAGAAAATTTCTAAGATGACCGAGAAGAAACGATCAAAAAGTGGATGAACCGGGTGGATGCAAATGATAGGAGAGAGGTGCTTTTCAACATTCGAGTAACACGACTGATTTTTATGAACCGTTTACAGATATGCACTGGACTGTCTAGGAATTGGTGTGTTTGCAAGTATCCAATCCTATCAAAGCATATGTAGCATTATGAATGATAAAGTGGGGCGCTGAAACGAAATTATAGGATTTTGATATGCATGCTGTGACCGATCGTGCCTCTCCTTATGCCACGTTGTATAAAGAAGCTTTTAGTAAGTTTGATTCGCACTCCCAATTATTCCATGATATTTTTCTGATAGGGGTCATTTGGAATGCATTAGGTATCGTGCGCGATCCATTGGTCTATCTATTCCCGGCATATACCCGCATTCCATCGCGTTGGATCCCATATCGATACAGGGCACGGCAAGCGAATGAGCGACTGCGTCAAATTCTGTATAAAATTATCGAGGACCGAAAGCAAGCGATTACAGACAACACCAACAACGACCAGTCCAAGAAGGATCTATTGACAATGATGATCGAAGCGTCCGTCACCCAATTTTCACCCGATTCGGATTCTCTCGGAAGCTCGCATGCTTTTCTTACCGATGGCGAACTCGTATCGAATCTTGCCGTGTTTTTTGTGGCAGGCCATGAAACAACGGCAAGCGCTACAGCGAGCATGATCTACTACTTGGCATCCCACCCCGAGATACAAGAAAGAGCGCGAATGGAGGTACTTTCAATACTCGGTGACGACGACCAAGATGTGGCGCCCACCGAAGAACAGTTGCGTCAAATGCCGTTCCTCAATAATTGTATCAAAGAAACGATGCGGATCAACCCTCCTACCTCTGGAAATTTGCCACGGATCGCAGCGCAAGATACACGTATTGGCGACTTTTTTATTCCCAAAGGCACACCCATTTCGCTGGTAACGTATATCATAACAAAGGAGGGGCCATCATTTTTATTCAACCATTTTTAGGAGTTGTACTGCGTGCATCATCTCGCAAAATACTGGCACGAACCTCAAGTATTCAATCCTGATCGATTCGATCCTACGCATGCCTCATATATGAAAGATGCCATCTGGATGCCCTTTGGTTACGGACCACGTACTTGTATCGGATCCAACTTTAGTTTGTTTGAACAACGCGTACTTCATGCCATGCTTTTGAAACGGTATACATGGTCTTTAGTCCCCAACAGTGAACATGCCAATGGTCTGCAAAATCAGCGAGGCGGCGGCATCGGTCTCTTGGGTCCCGAAACACTACATATTCAATTGACGAGACGATACTAGATTATTTTCACTGCCAAAAAAAAAAGTTGATTTTCTTTTCTCATTTCCTCATTGCTTTTCTTTTTTTTTTCTTCTTTTTTTTTTCTATCTACGGATGGGGTTTTTCATTAAGTTTTGACGATGAGGACTATAAGAGCTACAAATACAGTACTAGGATGACATTAAAAACAAGCAAAGTACATACAATAAATTACTTTCAATTCTTCAAGACGTCTCTTGAGCCTTGTTTTCGTCACTGCTTTTTCCTTTTTTCTTTTGTTAAAGTAGGGGTCAAGGGATGGGATTAACGTTATTATAGACTATTTCAATAAGAACAAAAACGATTAACACAAAAACGCACGTAGAAAAAAAACAAAAAAGAGCAGTTAGAAAGTCATTGTCATAAAAACTGTATACAGTTGTATCACCAGGTTCCAAGCCCCCCTCCCCAGAAAACCAGGCACCGAACACCAGAATACAATAGTACTTACTCATTGGGTGCCAGCACTGAATCGAGTAAGATGCCATTGGTTACGGCTGGATTATCGTTGACGGTGGGAAAGCAATCGTCTGGGTGAGAAAGATCGTCCTCGGGAGAACCGCCCACACCGGGTTCTTGCACGGACAAAGCGGTCTTGTGCGACATGCGAGGAGCATTCCCGCATCGATCTTTGCCATAATTGATTCTAAACTTCTTATACTCTTCTTTGGATCGAATGCCCTCAATAGCACGCACAGCCGCAGCGATGCCGGTAAAGTTGACAAATGCGCAATTTTTCTCTTTCAACGTATTCACCAGCTCGATTTCACCATATTCGGAGAAGTCCTGCTTCAATTTTTCCTCTGTGATTGTATCGTCAATGTTTCCCAGGTACACATTACGTGATCCGCCATTCTGCACTGCGGTGATGACGGCGGCCGGTAAAGTGGACGGCTTTCCCCAACCAACTTTCAGACGACGGTTCTTGATGACGAGGCCGTGGTAGACGGCTTGATTGTAGAAATGAAGAGCCAGAGCCGGATCGACAAAGGCGACAAATGCAATATGTTTATCAGGCATATATCGGATTTGACTGAGGATGCCACCGCGAATTACATTGCAAATTTCCTCGCAGGTCGTATCGGGATGAATGTTGCCCAGATAGATGGTTCGATTGGCCAAACCTGATAACATGGTGGCATTGGTGTGATAGACCGGCGACCCATTGGTGGTCTGTACCGCGGCGGGATGATAGGTCTCGATGGCTGCCCCTGTGTAAGGGTCGTAGGTGATGGTGGGGTAACGCAAAGAATAGGCGGAATTGGGATAGTTGGCTGAAGGGTGGTAGACGTGCTGTACGGGACCATGGGGTAACACTTTGGAAGCAGCGGGAGCGCACCGATCTTTTCCATAATTGATGCGTCGGCCTTGCCAAAGACTTTCGGTTGGCAATGTATTGACGCACTTGACCGCGTTGGCGACGCTGAGGAAATGCACAAAAGCGATATTTCTTTCCCGAATTAATCGGACATGTTCAATGTGACCAAAGCGAGAAAGGTTTTGTCGGATCATGGATTCGGTAAAACTGTCGTCCAAGGAGCCCAGAAAGACATTTCGCATAGCTCCATTCTGCATTGCCAACTGGAGATTGACAGGAACGGCACTGGCCTTTCCCCATCCTACTTTGAGATCGACACCGTTGACGGTCAAACGCTTGGAGGAAGCTTCATGGTAAAAGTGGGTCGCTGCGGTCGCTTCAGCAAAAGTAATGAAAACACAGTTTTTCTCTGGTAAAGGTCGAACGGATTCAATGACGCCGGACTTGACATGATCGAGGATTTCGGAGACGTGAACATCGGAAGGGACATTGCCGAGGTAGACGGTACGTGCTGTCTGATGAGCGGCGGATGGAAGCTGTGGGGATGATAAGGGATGGGTGAATCCTGACTGATGAGCCGAGAAAGTGGATCCTATAGATGGTGAGGGAGACCCAAGGTTGCCGTTCACAAATTGTGGAGTGGGTAAATTCATGACGGTTTGCGGCGATCCATTATATTGTGCCATATTTGTATAGGATGCATTTGCAGCGCTGTACAGGCCATATCCGTTGGGAGTATTCACCGGTGAATAATCACCATTAATCATGATTTGTCCAGACGCCGGTGATGGATACGCAGCATACATGTCCGTACTATAAGATAGTAAGGAAAAGAAAAAGAAACACGAAAAATAAAGACAGAGGGAAATAGGAAAAAGATAAGAAGTTAAGAAAATATATAAAAAAAATAAATAGAAAATTTGTAGACCCCCCACTCACCTGTATGACGAAGGGAGCCTTGCCTTTTTATCACCAGTATCTATGATGGTCGTTCCAGGTGTATTGGGAACCGCAGTGGCTGTGGTTAAAGATGGATGGGGTTGATCAACAGGTGTCATTATTAGCGGGACCTAATATATATTTTTTTTTTGAACCAGCAAAAGAAAAACTGAATGAGCCAAAAGAGCTACAATAGCAAGAGGCGTCCAGATGAAGTAGACAATCACTTTACCGTATTAATAAGTAAGTAAAAAGGGGAGTTGGATGCTGTCCCAATGCAAATTAAAACACTGAAAACCCAAAAAGTTAATTAGACCCAGGATCAAGAAAAGAAAAACCCAGGACACAAAGCATGAGTTGTTACTTACAAAAGAGAGCTTCTAATGAAGTGAAAAGATGAAGAGGATGAAGATGGGGATTCTCTATTCTGAACAGAGAATGATGTAGTCTAGATGGGATGCTTTTCTGCTTGGCCAACGACAATCGGAAGCAGCTGGCAAAATGGGGGTTTCTGTGGGTCAGAAAATTTGGAAAAAACGAAGTGAGACAAGAATAACGAGGCACACTCACAGGTAGGACTCTAGATGATATTCAGTCTCCGACATCGTCGCTCCTCCCCACCTGAACATGACAGGTAAAGAGGGCTCCCAGCAACGAAAGGCCAGTCAAGTTAACGACAAACAAAATACATTAGAAAATATGACTTGTCGTTATAACAAGTTTGTTACGATGGCATATGTCATGGTATAGGGGTCATTGTTGAGGTCGACGAAGGTGTGTGCAGGGCATAACGTGAGGATCTTTCTATTTGATCTCAATTCAGCCGCCGCGACTTAACTGATTCAATCACGATGAATGCGAGTTTGCTGTCTTGGATATTATGGGCAGGAAGAAAAAAAACATACTCTTATGGTACGTCCCTGATTTATCCAATCATTCCCGCCGTCTTTACACATGTTGGATCATGGATTGAATCATGTATATTTTTTGAAACATGATAATCATGATCGAATCAAACACTCTCAATATGGCACCGTTGCCAAGCTGGTATGTTGGTGATGCTCTATTCTGTTTGAATATCAATTAATGGTGATGTTTATTGTCGCAGGCACCTTTCCATACACTGCCGTCCTCATACACTTCCTTCTTCCAAATAGGACACCGCGCTTTCAATTCATCTATCAGATACTCGGCCGAATGAATAGCATCCGCTCGATGGGCCGAGGAACAAGCTACCACGACGCTTGTTTCACCGACAGGGACCAGCCCAGTACGGTGATACACCGCAATGTGCATTACATTCCATTTCGAACGCGCTTCCTTGATCAAATCATGTAATATCTTGATGACCATGGCTTCGTAAGCTTCGTACTCCAAGCGCAGTACCACCTTGCCTACAGTGAGGTTTTGTCAGCGAAGTTTGGTTTCAACATGGGTCGGTTTGGTTCTGGTCTGTACCTTGAAAATGATCACGGGTGGTGCCAGAAAACGTACTAATGGCACCTGCACCGTCGTCTGCTACTTGCTTGGCAATAACATCTAACGATGGTAATGATGCCTCGCTAATGACTACGTGATTTCTTGGTTCAGCCATCGTGAGCACCTTTTTAAAGGACCAAAAGAATTTGACTGTCCTGATGGGGATAAATTTTTGTGGTTTTCCCTGTTCCGGGGAAATCGCTGTCATTCTTTATTTGCTGATTTGTATTCATCACTGTCCAATATGAAATTTGGAATTCTACAGATTTCCTTCGCATCGAGAAAATGCGACTATCACTAGGTGGCGATAAAGAGCATATTTGCTCACTCATCAACAAAAGCGTACAATAAGTCAAGTCTATTCAGAAAGGGCTTCCTTCTATTCGTTCTCCATAACCAGGGCATTATATGGAAACACTGTATGTAAAACGTAGGGAATACAGACTCTATACGATATGCAGCGGCTTGATCCATGCAATAAAGGTCTTTAAGGCCGAGGGATGTTTCTCCGTTTCCCCGCCGGGATGATGCTGATGCTTTCACACAAATGGTTTGTGTCACCTGGCATTTTTGTCGTTTGGCGGGATACGTGCCATCTATCAAGCGGAGCTTCATTCTCCCCAGAATCGATGAGCATCCGAGGTGTGGGTGGGAAAGCGTTCAAAGATTGTTCGCCTGTCACCGACATGTTGAAGAATGTTGTCAAACCAGTAATTATTCAATTCCGTCCTTTCACTTCTTTTTCGAGAATACTGAAACGAGCATACAGTTGATTGTAGTCGGTGGCGTTGCACTAGACATTACAGCTACAGTTTCCAATGTCAAGCAACTGTCCGCGATTCTGAATACTTCGACGCCAGGTATTGCTCGACAAACCGTCGGTGGCGTTGGCCGCAATATCTGTGAAGCTGCTATGCGTAACGGAGCTCCAGCGCTGATGTTATCTATTGTGGGAGACGACCTCGCTGCCAAATCCGTGTTGCAAGGAATGACGAACCTCGGAATGGTAGGTTGGGCATGGACCAAAAACCGTGAAAATGAGGGCGGTTAGACTCAACGCGTTCCTAGGACACAAAATACGTGCAAACCAAGCCAGGACACAGCACAGCCGTTTGTATCCCAATCTAAAAATGATCAATTGGCGACGACGACTTAACAAAATTTAATTGTCAAAAGGTTTATAACGCTCTGCATGCCGGTGATGGTCAATTGGTGGCTGCTGTAGCAGATATGGCGATTTTTGACCATCTGCAACCCCAAGAGGTGAGCCAAGAAACAGGATCATCTTTTTTTCTCCAAAATTTCGGCTGACGGGGAAGACGTGTTGTTTTCAGGTATCCGATATCCTTCACGCGTGCGATCCAGGATTTGTATGTTTTGACGGGAATATTCCATCCAAGGTGATGCTCAGTGTCGCCAACACTTGTCGCTCTTTGGGCGTGTCAGGTAAATCAACGGCCACTCTGTGCAATTGATCTGCAGACACTAAGAGCCAACATAACGCAGCCTTTTTTGAGCCCACTTCCGTCCCCAAATCTCTTAAACTGTTTGAAGATCCCGAGATTATCCTTTCAGGATCGGTTCGATTCACTTCGCCTAATCAATACGAACTCGAAGCAATGACAGATATGGCCAAAACTGTCCTACCAACTGTAAAAGATACTGCTTCAGCATTATGTCCCAAAGGTAGGTTTGGAAGAGGTTGCTCGTTATTTGGATCTACCAAGTAGAGGATATCTGAAATGAAGTAAATTATTTTGCTTGCACCGATTTTGTATAGATGCCCCTTCTTTGGCTCATCGCGTATTACCTCAAGCCTTATATCTGTCCAACTATATTCCTAATATCTTGCTCAAGTTGGGCGAACACGGTTGTCTCTATGTGGCAAAGTGGAGAGACGCGCCCATCATTCAATACTTTTCCCCTGAAAAGATTGCGGCCAGTGATATCAAGAGCGTGAATGGGGCCGGGGATACGTAAGTACGAAAAGGTTAATTCATGAGTTGCAGAAAAGTAACTTGCCGTGTTCACTGTTGCCGCGTTAGTTTTGTTGGTACGCTGGCGGCCAGTTTGTATCGCCACCCTTTGTTGGAACCTACCAACACTGATATGTGGCGATCCATGATCACTCGTGCCCAGAAGGCGGCGGTTTTAACGCTTCAGTCTGAGCTCGCTGTGAGTCCCAAAATAAGCGAGATGGCCCGATAAAAAGACGATCATGAATTGCCGTGGTGTTAACATGGAGCCATGGATCTTGACAAAACAATACAATAAGTAAATCGGGCTTACATTATATGCATACTCTACAATGTCAGTCGGCTTTGCTGCTGACCATCAAAAATAGACGAAATGAGGGCAAACTTGAATAAAATTTTAGACTGCGTTTCCCAAATTCTGACCACCATTATAAGCTCGCAAGTTCACATGGGGTTACACATGCCAATGTTTACCAACAAGGTTCATGCAATTAAAACCGCATTTTATTAAGCAGCTTTCCGTATGAAGCATACCACATGAAGTCAAAGTAATCTGATATTGAATTCATGTGATATCTTACTTTGGATGATCGTTTATCCAATCCAATCCCTGGACCATATCAAGGTCAAGATACTTCCAAACCACTAGGATATGAGAAATCAATAGGTCGAGTGGACGATAGTTAGTCGTGTTTAGTGATGCGCAGTGTGGTTACTGCAGATCTGATTACGTGAGTTTATCAGTATCATTGCACTAAAGACTTCGTCAACAGGTCACAAACGTGTCATCTCTTTTTCCTCTTTCCCAAGCGGATAAAAATGAGTGCAAGAAATGAGCATTTCAGACAGTTATAGCTGAAAATAGCCACTCCACAGGGAAAATGGACTGTCATTTCAGGGAGAGTCTGTGAATTTTTGGTTTGTCATTCACGGAAATTCCCGGCTAAAATAAAAAACCGGATTAGATGGAGAAAAAAAAAGCTCTAATTCAATAGAAAAGCTTATTGTCGAGTAATAAAGCATTGAAGGATTATGGCGGTTCACTTGGCGGTTTTATTCTTTAGCTTACAATATTTTAACAACAAATTGAGCGCTTCTCTTGATTGAGTCCAACTTTTTTTAAATCTTGAAATCGTACCACAACTGTGCCACGATGAAAAAGTTTGGGTTTTTTTTTTTTGGATGAACAGAATGCAGTCATGATCTCATGAACGATAAGCGTTATCTACAGCTCTTTTTCTGCCGTACGATATTTTTTTTTCTTCAGACACGACGTAGACCACGCATGGTACCACAGGGCGAGATTCCAAGATGCTACATACAAAATTGAGGTTATTAAAAAGAAACTCACGTACTGACAAGTTCAATGTTTTGATTATGGCAAAAAAAGTTGGGTGGATATTGTTACACTGGATGCCAATGGAATCAATTCTGCAAACGCAGTTCCGTATGTATCCACGGTTGTATCAAGAATTACCCAAGTGCAATCCCCCGAACTGGATTTCAATGGCCAGTCACCTGTGACACACACAGATACCCACTCTAAAAATGCCGAGGGGAGTTATCGAATGAATGATAAAATCGAAAGCAAACATGGAGAGGAAGAAGTTGTTTGGGTGATACAAGCCATTTGACTTTTGAGAAGCAGTAACTTGGGATGAGTGAGCCAGATTTTGGTTCTATCGGGATCAGATAGTGGGACACATGAAGCTGATCTTCCCGACCTGTCCAGTTTGGGTCTTATCTTTTGAGTGGGTTGCACAAGCGCACGAAAGATATTTTATCCGCATTGTGACTTGCAATTTGAACTGAACCAGCAGGGCTCCCTCAGATTTCCCCAAATAAATTTTATCGGTCCACCCGCACGCCCCCCGACTTTTTTTTTTTCCAATCTTTCCTTCACTCCAACCCACGAAAAAAATCATCATGTTCGCTGCCACCCGTGTCTTGTCCTCTGTTGCCGCCAAGCGTGCCTTCTCCACCTCGGCCGCTAACCTCTCCAAGGTCGCTGTTCTTGGTGCCGCCGGTGGTATCGGTCAGCCTCTCTCTTTGCTCTTGAAGGAGAACCCCCACGTCACCCACTTGTCCCTCTATGATATCCAGAACACCCCTGGTGTCGCTGCTGATTTGAGGTAAGCGAGGCTCTAGAGAGCTGGTATGTGTTCAATATCACTCACCTATTGTATTTTCCTTTGTTTATCTCCACAGCCACATCAACACCAACTCCAAGGTAACAACAAAAAAAAATTGTCAAAAAGGGAGAATATGTCAAATTTTAAACACTTTTTTTTTATCCTCATTTAGGTCACTGGCCACAAGCCCGATAACAACGGTTTGGAAGAAGCTCTCAAGGATGCTCATCTCGTTGTCATCCCCGCCGGTGTTCCCCGTAAGCCTGGTATGACCCGTGATGATTTGTTCAACACCAACGCTTCCATCGTCCGTGACCTTGCTCAAGCCGCTGCCAAGTATGTATATTAAATGCCGTGTGGAGAAATGGCGGGGAGAGAGGGAAAGGGAGGGAGGAGAAGAGTGGGGGAGGGGACTTGGCACACCAAGCCATGAAGAATGAAGAAATGGGATAAAGAGCAAGAGCGAAGAGCAAAAGAGAAAAGGATGACAAGGACTGACAATCTGAAACTTAGGCACTGCCCCAACGCTCACTTCTTGATCATCTCCAACCCCGTCAACTCCACTGTCCCCATCTTTGCCGAAACCATGAAGAAGGCTGGTGTGTTCGATCCCAAGAAGCTCTATGGTGTCACTACCCTTGATGTTGTCCGTGCTTCCCGCTTCGTCGCTGAAGTCAAGAACTTGGATCCCAAGGATGTCAAGGTCACCGTTGTTGGTGGTCACTCTGGTGTCACCATTGTTCCCCTCCTTTCCCAGACTGGTTTGGAATTCACCAAGGAAGAACTTGATGCTTTGACCCACCGCATCCAGTTTGGTGGTGATGAGGTTGTCAAGGCCAAGGATGGTACCGGTTCCGCCACCCTTTCCATGGCTTTCGCTGGTGCTCGTTTCGCCAACTCTGTCTTGGAAGCTACCGTCGGTGGTAAGAAGGGTGTTATTGAACCCTCTTTCGTCAAGTCCGATGTCTTTGCCAAGGAAGGTGTTGAATACTTCTCTACCAACATTGAGCTCGGTCCCAACGGTGTTGAAAAGATCCACGGTCTCGGTGAGATCTCCGACTACGAGAAGGAACTCGTCAGCAAGGCCGTGCCTGAATTGAAGAAGAACATCGAAAAGGGTAACTCCTTTGTTCAGTAGATTATCTCTTTTTCCGTCCCATTTGGAGATGTAAATTTTGTACAATATTTGACAGTCTAAAATTTTTTTTAATGTAAAACGATCGTGTAATCATGGAATTCTGCGGATTGTGATTGGATATTGGAATGATGGGTTTCTTTTTGGAGTAAGGTGATGAAAAAACATGTCAGGAGTACGTGCTATGTGTGATAAAGCGAGTGTTTGTTTTTCCTGGGGTCCATCCCACCATATCAACATGAATACATTGTGTGGCAAAAACCATTCCGTTGCTTTTCAAGGTCAATGAGAAAATCAAAACGGAATATACTTTAAGCGTTCCGATGAGGCGCATCAGCAGTCGTCATCATCCTCATCATCGAATCTTTACCGCACGCGTCGATAAAGCTGTCAACGTGAAACCCATTGTAACACAAGCAATACTCTGAAAGAAACCTTTCAGCATAACAGTTAGACTCTGAGAGGGTTCTGGAGAGCCACATCTTTGCCATTTGTATTTGAAAAGTATCATCCATGCATGGGCGGCGCTGTAAAAATCTTTTTTACTTATGCAACTCGATGCTTTCTCAACAACTGTAAGATGATGACATTCAAGCTGAGATCCAATGCATAATGATAGGGAGGCGTCATCACTACAGTCTGCGCCAAAGTCCAATTTATTCCTTCCAAAAGAGACCGACATCCCAGTCTTTTAAACTAGAGTGTTGACCTGACAGACTGAGCATTTCATTTAGAATGTCTTTTTTTTTTATCTTTTCATCGTTTGTGGGCAAACAAAGAGATAAAGTTGTAAACTGAGAATAAGCACCACGATTTCACAAAGGGAAGGATTTGTTCCCCTTCACACCTATTGACGGCAGTTCCATTTGTTGAGCGCTTTTGGCTTTTTGGCGCCGTTGCCGACAATTACCTATTTGATATGCCAATGTTTCCTACAGTAAACGTTAGACCCCTAATTATCCACTCACCTCTGTTCTTATCGGACAAAGCTTCGCGCCACTAGGGTTCGTTGAAAGGTCGTGATGGCAGAGGACCGCCAACCCTTACTGGCTTGAAATAACGTCCACTCGTAATTTTTTTTACCCACACCAATGCTCATGGTTTAGCGGCAGATGTAACGAACCATGTCTTTTGCAACATGGATCGCTCAAAGAACATTTTGGGTCAAGGATACAGGCCGCATGAACGTAGAGGCATAGGCAACAGAACTTTGAAAGCGGGTAGTGCATACCGTAGCAGTGAGACAAAGTTGGTCGAGTAAAAGAAGAGCTTCGCGACGACCACCAGTGCAAGGGACGCTGGCTATACATTGGCAATATACAAAAAAGCGAACAAACTGCACTTGAAAATGAAGGATGCTGTTGTCATCCGATAACATCAACCCATTTTTTATGCCTTTCTAAAAAAGGTGGTGTTAAGGTGTCAATGACCATTGCTGGTAATGCAAAATTGGGCGAATAGCCCATACTGGTGGACTCCTTTGACATAATCACCGCCTTTTTACCGCGGCGGGTCTTGTTGCAATCCACGAGGACGAGACCTCTGCAGACCAAAATGCCATCGTGCTGCGACACTGACAGGAAGAATGGTACATCGTTGCAAAAGCGTGGGTCACTCGCCCTATCTCGTTACAACATTGAGGTGTTCACCAAGATATGAGAGGCAAGTCCACCTCTTCAAACTGAGAAAAAGAGAAACGGAAGCTAGAAGTATGAATTCACCTAGTTGAAGATTTATTTCAGACATGATACAGCGCTGCTATGGTTAGTTTTCGATTCCCTTGTCTTTTGAACAACCTCGACTGACGTTGGAGGCCTTGTTCGGTAAACAACGAAAGGGGAGTTGCATCGATTACGGTACGCTGTAGTCTCTTTAATTTTGACCTAGTCAATATAAGTAGATCAAAGAAATGGTTATCTACTTGGTCATTCTTTCCGATATTCTATCTCGCCATGACATACTGAAGAACACCGAGGCCAACTTTTTGACCAGATCGAAAAACAACCATGATGGTTACTATTACGAATCTCTATCGGATTGAAAGAGCCATGGTTTGGTTGTAGATCCAATAGCAGAAAAGTTGCACTCATCACCAAAGTCCTGGGATATCTGCTGTGAAAAGTGTCGTCGTTGTGCATAACGGTTAGTCGACCATGCTTTTCTGTACCGCTGCATATCAAAAAACAAAAGTGTTATTTCTTGAAAAAATGAATCCAGCTTTTCGACTATGAGAAAACAGATATAACGATAAAAGATCGATTCTGAAAAGCATGCTATGAATTGTTTCGAGTTGAGGTACTTTTGCTAGTCAGTGTCGGCTTCTCCCGTTTTTTCTCTCCGTCTGAGGATAAGCGGTGGAAAAATTGGATGATATTTGGCTTCTAAATCATTTAAAAGGGCGACGTGGATTGGGCGAATAAAGTACAAAGTCCGACAGGTACTCACTCGAATTGAAGAAAGCCATTTCGATATCACGCAACACACGACCCAACCCCTTTTTCCCTTTCCCTGTGCCTCTTATTCCCGTCCCTCCTTTTTCACTTTACAGTCCTTTTTTTTCATCACCTCGGGATTCTTGGTATATAAAAGCACTTGCTGTGGCAAACAAACACAACAACAAACCATACACAAAAATATATATATATATATACACCTTCACTTGCCGATCGGCGACCGAAACAACTGTAGTGTAGGTTCTTTTTTCTATGCCAAGGGTTTAGACTAGGCTTGAATCATCATCCCACTCAACATTACCATTTCAAAAACTGACACTTTATCTTTTCTTCTTCGCCCATCACTACCCCACAAAAAGACAATCAGTGTTAATTCCCTTGTCCAACCCAGTCAAAGCTCAACACGGGTAATTCTGAAACCTAGCAAGTCAATTGTTTGCACACAATGATGAAAGGATGGAAAGGCGTTGTAAGTGAATGGCCCACAAAAAAAAAGAAACAAGACAATAAGCTCGCATTACTCATACAAGTTTACTTGGCGTGATGGGTAACTTTTTAGCTTTCCAGAGGAACCAAGTCGGTGACCAACGATAAACCTCCAGCGACACCAGCACAACCCACAGCAACACCACCACCACCGGTTCCTGCGGCTTCACCTTCGCCGTCGCCGTCGCCAGACCTTAACCCATATACGCAGCATGTGCAGAGTCAACCCGTATCTCCACAACCTATCGTCGCACCATCGATTGTCGTTGTCAGTCCGGACGATAATACTGATACGGTAAGCCTCTCTTGCTTAGTTCGATTTTGGGTGCTGGGTGAAGAAGAATATAATGAGTGACTTTTTTCTTTTTGCTTGATGCAGCAAAAAACGGCTCGAGCCAGTCCTCATGCCGTCTCATTCATGCAACATCCTCACAATAAACCGGTCGAGCGTGATATCCCGAAAACAGGTCCCTTGAATCGACTGAAAAATGCCGCAAAAGATCAAATTCCTATCAGCAAAGCGCCACGTCGTCAGAAATCATCCCGTTTTTACGTCACCGAAAAGGTTCAGATGGAAAAGACACCCGGCTTTCATGGTAAGGTTTCTTAGTTGTATAGAAGCCTCTGTATAAAACAAAAAAGAAGGAAACCGAAAAAAAAAAGCTTTTTCGTCAATAAGGAGTTGCCAAAATATCGGTGCACTTGTTCTGATCCCTTACTCCATGTAGAGGTACCTCCTCATCTGCGACAAGATCTATTCATACAAAAGATACGTCAGTGCACTGTCGTATTTGATTTTAGTGATGCTTCAGCAGAACTTCGTGAAAAGGAGATCAAGCGTCACACACTTCAAGAAATTCTTCAGTACGTCAACATGAATCGTGGTGTACTGACAGAAGCAGTTTATCCGGAAATTGTGAACATGGTAGGAGGAGGAGTCAAAAAAAAAAAAGAAAAAAATTTCAACAGACATGACAGTCCATGTTGGTGATGCAAGGAGAAAAACCGTTGACTTATAGCCGATATGCATAGTTTGTCATTAATCTTTTCCGCCCCATCCCTCCTCAAGTCAATCCCGTAGGAGACGCTTTTGATCCCGAAGAAGATGAACCGGTTCTCGAGCTTGCTTGGCCGCATTTGCAAATCGTGTACGAATTCTTTTTGCGATTTCTCGAATCTCCAGAATTCAATATCAGTCATGCCAAAAAGCACATTGATCACAAATTCATTCATCAGGTAAGCACGTAAAACATAAGATCCAATGACGAAGGCTCTAAATGAATATGCGGGCCCAAATCATAGCTATTGGAATTGTTTGACAGTGAAGATCCAAGAGAACGCGACTTTTTGAAAACGACGCTTCATCGTATCTACGGCAAATTCTTAAACTTGCGTGCATTTATTCGTCGATCCATCAACAACATCTTTTTCCAGTTCATTTACGAAACCGAACGTCATAATGGTATTGCTGAATTGCTCGAGATTCTGGGCTCCATCATCAACGGTTTTGCCTTGCCACTCAAGGAGGAGCACAAGACCTTCTTGATGCGAGTTCTTATCCCTCTCCATAAAGTCAAGTCCCTTGTTCTGTACCACCCGCAACTGGCATACTGCGTTGTTCAGTTCTTGGAAAAGGATCAGTCATTAACTCAAGAGGTAACTTCTCGCTTTGATCCCGCACATACTATGTCCATGTTACTTACAGGAAAAAAATATTATTGGCTCTGGTAAATTAGGTGATGAACGGTTTGTTGCGCTATTGGCCCAAAGTGAATAGTCCGAAAGAAGTGATGTTTCTGAATGAAATTGAGGAAATTCTCGACGTGATCGACGCCTACGAATTCCAGCGCATCATGGTCCCGCTTTACACCAAACTTGGTGAATGTATATCGAGCTCTCATTTCCAGGTATGATAAAATACGGGCAAAATGGTACGGTACAACCCGCTGATTCACCTGTGACGAGATTAGGTAGCGGAACGAGCGCTCTACTATTGGAATAACGATTACGTCGTGAGCCTGATGGCCGAAAACATGTCGGTTATCATGCCCATCGTTTTCCCTGCTCTTTTCCGAACATCCAAAACGCATTGGAACAAGTAAGTGTTTCATCGATGAGATTTTGACGGCGTGGGATGTTTCTTATGTATTCTGCTTAGGACCATTCTTGGATTAGTATATACCGCGCTGAAACTGTGCATGGATATCAACCCTATATTGGTCGATGAATGTGTCAATCAGTACAAGTTGCAACGACAAGCGTAAGTAGATACCTGTTTCAACCGATGTGAAAGCGATTTGGCTGACATTTTTGCTGGGATGGGTGGCAGGGAGCGAAAGAAGCAGAAACAAAAGGAGGAAACATGGAGAATATTGCAGGAAAAATACGGCAAGGGCAATGTCATTTGTCAACCTATGCAGTACGAGATCGAACCTCCGGAAGTGTTTTCATTCCCTACTCAGTTAGGTAAGGTTTTAACGTGGGCAAATTTTATTCAAAGGTTTTTCCATATTCATTGTGGGCTTTTCTTTCTTCGTTATGGTTTGTTTTGCAGATGATAGTATGGACGTCGAAATTGAAGAGGTAGAGCACGTGTCTGATGAAGAAGGAAGCGATGACGAGACAGATCATCACGCTGGCGAACACACCGACGACATCCATCCAGACATGGTAAGATACAAGAAGAGAAAATTGGTCGTTGAAAAGTGATGTGGTTTCGCTTGATAAACTTACATTATCTCTACTGTTTTTCCAGCAACAATTCGAGATCACGCCTCAACAATATCAGCAGTTTAGGCGCAAGTCAATTATACCCGTGGACGAAACCGTAAGTCATTTTGCTGCTTTGCAAAACAATATAATAGCTTCTTGGCGATGATGCGTTTTGATAAAGTCAAAATACTAAACGAGTTGACCCGTGGGATGTAGGTGTTTAATGAACTTTCCCGTCACGTTAGCTTAGACGAAGTTTTGAACCAAGCACCGACGGCCCCTTCAACGCCAGGTGTTTCGGCAGCCAACCCAAACTAGGTGTTGATGGTTCAATCCTAAAGAAAATATCCAATTTCTCATAGTTGTTAGAAACGAAGAAAAAAATTAAAAGGCATTTATACTCCCGTATGTTGTTATTTTGAGGCTTTTTGTCATAGACTATAGACCAAGGACATGTGTCATGCCAGCCGAAGAAGGAAGTCTTGAGGAAACTACGCGTGACAAGGCTCAAAGCATTAGCCTGTAATGCAGCAGGGGACACGAGATCAAATTTATTGACTTGTCTAGTATTTTCAAATTCACGGCTTCATCCGGCCGCTTCTGCTGTTTTTCTTTTCTGCCAGCAGCATTCGTCTGACGGTGTCTGGGCCAACCTTGCATGGACTGTTGCTGGTGATTTCACCTAATGTAGTGCGAGGATGCATTTTCATATATCGCAATATGGCACGCTTATCCCTATCATCCAATTTTGGCGGCCGTCCTACACGTTTTGGTACGGCTGGAACCTCGTCTACTTTTTTTGGCTTGATGACGCTATAGATGTCTGATTCGGATCTGCCCATTTTGATTGCAATCTCGGAGACGAGCACGCCTGCATCATGTAGACCTTTTATATAGGTTTGTTTTTGCAAGATGTAAGATTCTTTGTAGGACGCATTTGGGGAAATTGATGACAACTGAAAACGAACGATAAGATTGGACTAACAAGCCGTACACCCGCTGTGCAATGGATGCCGCCTGCCACCGGAGGTCGCCCTCTTACATTGAGCGACTTTCGTCAGACAAAAAGCCTAACGCATACACGGCATAACCTGGGCGAGAACTCTTGACGGAACTTCGGTATATTAATGACAACCTTATGGCATACGTTGCAACGTGATTTGTTTCTGAACACGCGCAGGGCAGCACTGGTTCCCCCCCTCAGTTCCATCCCGCCCAGGCTATGATAGATCTAGAAAGATGTGTGGGTATGTTGGGTATTTAAAAAAAATGAGTTAGTAAGCTCTTTGATTGATTCAAATTTTCGTCAAGATATTTTACCTTTGTTATTTGAAGTTTTCGATAGCCATTGATCGCTTGACATGACTTGGATTATATGACATTGAAAAAATTTTGAATTAGTATACGTTCATTATATCATAGCAAAGGAAAAGAAATTGGACTTGCCTTTGAACCAAATGGTGTACCGGAAAAAAAAAACGGTGAATACGGACCGCCAGGTAAGCTTCTTTTTCGATGCGGAAAATAAAATTGCTTCCAGGGACAGTTAAGCGATGGATCGGTGGTGTCAGCTTGAGCAGGCAAAAAATATTGACGTGGCCAGAAGTGACGGTAACTTCGAGTTGGATTCCAGATATCGAGAGTCCCCCGAATAAAAAGAAAGAAACAAATAAAGTACATGATGATAAAAAAACAATGATCGCGTCAGTAAAAACCTCATAAAAAACCCTGTGGGAAAAAAAGAGGAAAAGACTGCGAAAAGAATATGTACATGAAATATAAAATACAAAATACAAACTATAAACTACAAAATAAATAATCGGGAAGACATCTCGAATACCATATGATGAGAAGCAATCCAAAGGAGAGGAACATGAAGAGGACACGTAAGCGTTTTTCTGATTAAAAAAAGAGCCACACCACCAACGATGGCCTTTGACGTCATCCGGTTTCGCCAGATGGATGGCGAGAGAAAGTCAACTTGTAGTATCCAGAACTTGTCATGCGAAAAGAAAATGGAAACCGGAAGCTGGAAGAAGGATGGAAGTAAAGGAGAGGTAAGTCTGTTTTGCCGGAGCAAAATCGATGGTAGACCACTCGACACTTACCTTTTTGAGGATGGTAGTCGATTTAAATACACGGGATAAGAATGGTCTGGATGATGGATGCGGATGGGATCTTGCTACAATGATAGTGAGGGTTTATCAAGCAAACAGAAAGAGAGAGAGAAAATCAAAAGAAAAAGATAAGACTGAAGACAAAAATATATGGTTTTCCATGGATGAAACAATAGTCACCCCACTGTTGCATGAATTCATAGATCGAAGCACGTCTGCTTGTGTATTATTCGATTCATTGAAAATGAAAGAGAATGAAAGGACATATACAGTATAACTGACAAATAAAAACAAATTGAATGATGCTACAGAAGAACGCCAGTCGTATCATCAACCACTTTTCTTCAAAAAGAGCTTACTCACATTTTTATTCGAAAGACGACGATACTCTGTTTAACCACAACTGGCGCAAACGGCATCTTGCTGCTAATTGTTTCGCCTATTATCGTGAAAGTGGGCAGCGAGGCATGGTTGAAAGATAAAAAAAAAGGTTTAACAGGTCCTGATAACTTAGTGTAGATACAAAATCGTTAATTTCCCAAAGATTTTAATTATGTAGAGATAGGTGGAGCCCGTGATCTTCAAGATCACAATTGGGGATATTTATTGTAGACTTCAGGGTATACTATATTTTTGGTGAAAATTTTCATTTGAACTGCTGTGGATCAGGTATCTCCGCCGATACGATAGAATCGTAGTGCTCTGGAGTCACAGGTTTATCAACTTCTTTTAAAATGGGTAGAATATGCGCATGAGGCAATCCTCTTTTTTGGAACTCGACGGTATAAACGTAGCCAATTACTTTTCCAAGTGTATGGTTTTTTGTTAGATCCTTCAAAAGAGCTCTGAGCTTGAGGTTGAAAACTCGTGCTGTCAAATCTGGCCGATCAGATACTGTCTGTGAAGCAAGAAGCTCATTCCGATTTTCTGGCCATTTTGGATTACACGTGAATGTAATGAAGAGGTCAGGCTTTCCGAAACATCTGACGATACTCATTGCATCTTGGTATAGCTATTGCATGTTTCGAGGGCTGCCAATGAATGACGACGGAAGGATGACAGGCTGACCGATGGAATTTCATATTTATATTGTTGTCGTCAAGTTGGAGAGCATCTTGTACGCCTGAATACACATCAGCACGCAGTCGGGACTGGTTGAGGCGAAGGTAATTGAGGCGGTTTTGTTCCATCTTGGCATATATATCTACGATATACTGCTGAAAGAGTCGGCCAAAGAGGTGCAAGTGGTGTCCATCATTTCGATACATCAATCTGAAACTGTAGTAGTTCATCACGGTGACTTTCTCGTTTCTGGTCGATCGAGTTTCAATGTTCCACCCAGGGTCGCCTTCAGGAAACATCAGCACGTAATGGAGTGGGTCATATAGGCGATGCATCTCACTGATTGATGTCAGTTGGTCACTACGCGTACAGATCACAATATCCCTTCCAGAGGACTCTGCGTTGTCACCGATAATGACACCAATTTCAGAAGCATTTGGTGCATTATAGCGTCGTGGATCTGGGGCATCGTCAGCTCGAATAATCATTCTGATGTTGGAAGCACCACCATTATCCTGTATGTATTGGGCCATTGTCTTGAAAAGATGGACGAAAGGATTGGTTTCATGCATTAATTGCTGAAGTACTTCCAAGGTGTCTCGCGCGAGATGGCTTGCAATTGCATGTCGATTTGATATTTTCGTTGTCAGTATCATGGACGTATATTTGTGCAAATGCAGGTCGTTGGCCATTAGCAGGAAGTAGTGATCCCATCAAGTGGTAAACACTTCCATGAATACGGAAGCAGTAAGCGCCCCGTCTGCCATTCATTACACTTTCGTCTAAATTTACACCAAGAGAAGTAAAACTGAGAGCACTACAATAAGCTCTGATCTTTAGCCGGAAATCTTTTGCTTGCGCCCCAGTCCCTGTCAAAAGCGAGGCAATCAAAGGAGGGGTGGGTTTGAGAGGATAAAGTACAAATTGACCATTTCCACAACAGAGCTGAAACTTAGGATCATTCATAGTACTTCCAGCAATTTTTTCTCCACTCCACGTTCGTGCCTGACAGTGGCTGCAGATGACATTCATGGCTCCTACATCATGAAGATTTGGCATCGAGACATTGGGATCGCGAGCCACATTGGGCCTAGAATTGAAATTTTCTGTATTTCCGTCTTTATTATGAAGGGGACAATGGCGGTTTGAGCGACGACGATGTCCTGTTTGACCACAACTGGTGCAAACCGCATTTTGCTGCTCATTATTTCGCCCATTATTTATAGTAGTGTTTCGTGGAGAGAAATTTGGGCAACGACGATTGGTAGAACGCTGGTGATCGTTGCCGTTGCAAGATGGGCAGCGAGGCATGGTTCAAAGATGAACAAAAAAAAGGCACCAGTCAAAAGAATTGAGATTCTAATGGCTTGGTGTATTGCAAAAAGATATTAAGAGGTTCTGATAGCTTAGTGTAGTTGAAGAAGAGGTTCTGAAGAGAGAAGGCACAAAAAAAAGGCCGATAGCTTAGTGTGGAAGTCATGTGATTTACAAATTGCTAATTTTTCAAAGATTTTAGCGATTGAGCTTGAGGAAATGGAATAAAGAAAGGAATTGGACCTAGATAATAAAACAATACAGCGTGGTTTAACTAAACAAATCATATAATAACACGGTCCGCTCATGCATAAAGGAAGTGCAGATCATGAGCAACTCCAAGTGACCGGTTTTTACAAAACGTAAATCATGTGATCTATTTTGTTTTAGCCAATCAGCAGCTTTAAAAACATTTATTATCCAATCAACAACGCCAAATTAGCGGACAATAAAAGTGACTGCGAACTAAAATTAATAAGATTGGACTAATTTCTTTGAGCGGAGTATTCGAAAATATGAACAGACTTTTTGCGGAGGGGACGACTGCACAGCAAAAAAAAAAAAAAAAAAAAAAAAAAAAAAAAGAGGCAAAAAGCGAACAAAAAAGACGCTTGCACGTTTGGTTGGAAAATACTCTTTTTACAAGAAGGGGTTGCACTCAAGACGGCATCAAGTTTGCATGTGTCTTTTTTTGCTTTTTTTCCTTTTTCCTTTCACTTGCTTGTTTCTTTCTGCCGCGTTCATGGATTTAAGGTACGATCCGTTGGTTGGTTGCATACGCCTAGTTCGCTAGTCTATGTTCATATTCAGGTCGTGTGTGTAAAGACTGTGTTCCTCTCCATCTTACATGTTATATCAGAGTTTTTGATCTCATTTCTATTTAAATAATGTCCACTCCAAGAATAAAGTCTACAAGGTACCACGGTGACGGTTTTCCTTTTGGTTTATACATACTAAACATGATGAAATATGTACACAGCAGCTACGTAACAAATGAACCGCAAGATATTCATATTTTTTAGAGTAAACAAAGGAATACATCTAAAGTCTTGAAGTGGTGGGGTATTTTTTCATGGCAAAATTAGTACACCCACGGGACATCGGGAAAAGCGGCAGCAGGAAAGCTTTATACGCAGTCATTGTCCCTCCAACTTGTAGAAACTCCTCAATAATATAAAGTGTTACCGTCAGATAAAAAGACTGCTGCATTCTCTCCTTTTCTTCATCTAACTACAAGTGTGTTTTTATTGATCAATTATGGCTGTCAATGCAAAGCATAGCCTTTCAAGTCCGGCAGGCTGAGACTGAAATTTGTACTCGAAACCATACGTCAGCAAGCGGGCTTGGGAGGTCTCCGATGGACCATGAATATCTCGGCACGGCCAGCGTTTCACAAACGTTCAAGATATTTCTATTCATCAAAAAACAAGTGAGACCATGGACGAGGTATCGATTGAAGAGAAAGTCAAGATTGCTTCCAGCTTTGTGTTGGCCAGCCCTCCCGGAGAAGTGAATGACGTTTTCAACGGTACGAGAATAACGACCATCACTGGCCATGAGCCTTTTTGGAATCGGCGGTGTTAACGGGTCCCAATACTAACCTTCGGATACCTTTCTATTAGATGTTCGACTTTTAGTCGATAATGACAGCGCTCTTGAAGATGGCATTTTGCAAGCGTTAGAACAATACCACATTGACCAGTTTGCTACGGTCACTTTACCTGACAGCGAATCTTTGGTAAGTTCCGTCTTGACTGTAGGCTGGCTTCATGTAACGCTGACTGAGCACTCCGCTGCTGCAGGTCATTGTTTCGAAGTATGGCAAAGTGGGCGAAAACCGATACTTGGATCCACAGTCGAAGCAGACCTTCAAATTAGACTCTTTACGCTTGGTAAAATTAGGGACCTGTGAAATGTCTTTTTACCAGTCGCTTTTTAACCATTTTTCTGTCACAAGGCGGCATCGGACGTGGAACCTCACGACGGTGACCAACCAGCAGAAGAACTTAGGCAAGTTACATTCTAGCCTCAAGAATTTCTGTAAGCTTCAAAGCTAACTACATGATTTAGATCTGCTATTCAAACAGAAGCCCTGGCGTACGTCGAGGATCATTTTCCAAACGGAGCTTGCGCGGTCTATGCGATCGACAGCACGCATATCGTCATTGTCATTGTCGACAACAAATATAACCCTCACAACTACTGGTAAGCAAAAAAAGGTGGACACCAACAAGGCGCATGTAACCGTGATTTTCTGATGAACAACCTCTCCCCGGTTCCAGGAATGGAAGATGGCGCGCGACGTGGGAGTTGGATACAGAGTCGGGTGAATTGAAAGGCACCACCAAAGTCCAAGTTCATTACTACGAAGATGGCAATGTCCAACTGAACTCTGATAAAGAATGCACGTTGAATGTATCCTGTAGTACCGAGGTGAGAATTTGGGTTATAGCAAATATGGTAAGAGCCATCTTCCTGACCCGGTTTATGTAGAATGCGAAAGAATACGCGACATCGATGCTCAAGGAAATTGCCAAGTTTGATAAAACACATCAATCGGCGATGAACGAGAGTTATGACGATCTAGCTGAGAACACGTTCAAAGGATTACGTAGAGCATTACCACTGACACGAAACAAATTGGACTGGAACAAAATCCTCAACTACAAGATTGGCAACGAATTATCTCAAAAATAAACCTGAGAAGGAAAAATCGTGTTTTCCTAATAATGGCTTCAAGGGTATGGTTATGCAATTAGTGATCAATAACAACACAAATGTGGGAATGTGCTGTTGGACGCGTATGCGGTTACTTTTGCAATCGGAAAGTGGATGAGGTACAGTATGGTTTTTAGGAAACAGTTTTTCTGGTGTCATTGTTCACATAAGGTAAGAGAGAAAAAGAATAATACAAAACCTTTGATTATCGCATACGATGGAAAATGAGAGGTAGGAGGGGATAATAAACATGTATTTTAGATTATAATATAGAAAAAAAAGGCACGCAACAAAACATAGTTGGTTGGGAAAAATGGAGAAAAAAAATTGATGGTGCGACATATTCATAGTTAGTAGCTCATGAATGGGATTTCTGTAAACGCAGGTACTTTTTGTCCTGCCCAATTTTCGACCATTCGTTCATTGGTTGACAACGGAAAGTGTTTGAATAGTTCGCAATGACGTTCTTCTTCTTGCATCATTTCGTGTTGAACGGGTTTCGACAACTCAAATTCGGGCTGTTCCGTTTGCGCAAATTTCTGCCATGGTTGTGTTCGCGTCGTAGGGCCATTCTCTGGCAAGTCCTCAATGTTCGTAAAAACGTCGTCTTCCACGTCGGCTGTCCCGTCACCGTTGTCGACCTTCTTCCAGCAAAGCTGGTTATCGTCAAAAATCATCGACCCTACCATCACTTGCGTGTACTTGTTTGCACTTTTCTGTGTCTTTTTGATCAAAACAGGCCGCACTTTGGTGGGAGGACTGGCCTTGCCCACAGCCGTTTTCGCAGGGACTCCATCGAATTTCGTCACCACGTTCTCGTTCCCTTTCCATTGGTAAGTGGTCGGATCGTACACCATGTTATTGTATTCTAAAGTAGGTAGTTTATGGGTTACTACTTTTCATCGACAAAAACTAATATGGCGCGCTTACCTTGTTTGCTTGGCTGATCGGACATTCGAATCAATGTTGGCTTTCGAAGAGACTGCCATATATTGAGATTAGCCAACAAAACTCAAGCGACCGCAGGAAAACCAAAACAAAAGTCAAACATACCATATTCTGTCGCCAAGGACGTTTAGGATCCACCGAGGTTCGGGCTTCATCGGATGTATCTAAATTTAGCCAAGACAAGGGCAGGAAAGAGGGAGATGATGATTAGAGATTTTCAAAAATATTGGATGATTGAAGAAATTGGCGATACTCACCTTTCACCGCTCTCACTTTGGAGTGGACCGGTTGGCGTGTAATGGCCAGGGTGTTGTCGGCTCGTTTTTTCATTTCGTTCAATGTCAATTGTGGCATGGAACGGATGTGCCGTAAACGGTTCTTGGCTTGTTGTTGCATGTCTTTCATACTTTTCATCGATTCCTGCGTCCTGGCGGTTTCCGTGACCCGGGTGGACTGCCTAGACCCTCGCCACGTCGGTATGTTATCGAGATCATCCAGTTCAGTGCCGTTGCCGTAAGGAACCTTGGAGTGCGGTTTGCAGAAAAGGGTCAGACCCGTAGGTCCTCTGCGTACGGAAGGCGTCTTGGCTTGGGATTCAGCATGACTGGCACCAGGGGCTACCCCATTGGGGGTGGGACGTGTACGCGGCATACTGGTGCGCGTCGTTTGGTTTAGAAGCGCATTCGACCGCGTCTGAGGTGGTTTGGAGGTTGTCTCCATGTGACGTTGTCTCGAAGCAAACGTGGGGGCCTTGAAGCTGCGCCTGGATTCTCGACGTTCAGGAAGTTTTCCACTCATCGTTATATTCCGCGTATGGAGATCAGTGGGACGAGGAATCTGCGAAACGTTCGAGGGCGACGGTCGATGGTTGGGAGTCGCGTTGTTGGGCTTAAGCGCGGTCCTTCCGAGCCGAAATGTTGATCGTCTAATAGTACCTGTTGGGTGGACACCGTTGCCGGTGCTGTGGTGGTTGAGATGCTCGGTGTTGGTCGCGTTGGTATTGGCCTGGGTTTCCGTGACTAATCGATCGATGGAAAACGTATCGTCGCTGTTGATGGAGAGATCCTTGCAAAAATCATCGTCCTGGTCCTGCTCGATAAACTTGCTTGAGATGACCGCCCTTTTAGGACTCAACACACCGGCTTTCCGACGGTCCAACCGTGGGTTCAAATCCGCCATGTCTTCTGGAAACTGAAGGTCATCAAATGTTTCGTCGTCGGCTTCTGGTTCAAAAACAGGAATGGAAGCTTCCCTACTGGGGCGCGCCTCATGGGATAAATCCAGCGTGGATGTATGACTCCACGGTGCGTAAGTGTTGATTTGGTCGGTATCGTTGAACCGTACTCTTCGCGCCGGTTCTTCTTCTGCTGCCACGTCAACGGCGTTGCCGTCGTTCAGAAACTCATCGGCAAGCTTGGTTACCGGTGGCTGCGTTCGCCGAGAGAATTTGGGAAAATCGGTCTCGGGAATATTGAGATCGTCACACCAATCGTTGCTGGCATGCGACGGACGATGGTGGCCAAAATGAGTAATTGTACCGGGTCCTGACGACGCCACGATCTGTGGAGAATACATAAAGGAATCAATATCCGACAACTCGTCGATCCCATTAAGGCTGGTCTTGTCCGAGTGAAGACTGGAAAAAGTGGACTCGGTATCGTCGTCGTCGATGGATTGCGTGTCAAGCAAACGGTGGCTGGCCAGGGCTAGATCCGCTTCATGATCCTGAAGGTACAGAGGTCCACCGGCGAAAGCCGGTTTAGGAGACTTCAGAAACGTGCCGGTAGAGAAGTTAAGCTCGCCTTCCCAGTTATCGTCTTCGGGAGAGAAAACCATAAAGTCCAGCGAAACACAAAATTGGTGGCCAAAAATAACAGACAGTACAAAATTGAAAGAGAAGCTGTAGAAAAGAAAAAAAAAAAGCAATAAAAAAAGGATAATGAAAAAGATGGACAAGATTAAATAAGCGGGAAGGGGGGGAAAAAAACTATCATGGTGTACAATGACGGTACAAAGAACCCCATCTTTCAAGGACAATGAAACCCATCCAATAATAACCTTAAATCATCCTGCATTGAACTCCCGCACTTCATGCAGGCCGGCTCGCCATATAAAAACTCCAAATGTCAGATGTCCTTGACTGTCGTCATTTGTGTACGGTGATGTTCTTTTATTGACACCTCGGCCCACAAAAAAAATTCCTCCATCTCTAGCTAATCAATCTACCATGCATCTGCGCTATTGCAATCAATATATTTTACCGCTTAATTCGAAGCGGTCTTTCCTACTGTAGATGTGATCAGTGCTTATGGTCAGGATGTTGCCCTTGCCGAGAGTGAAAAGATCCGCTCAAGTCAATATTGCTACACTGTTCATAATTAAAGCTGTTGCTTTTTTTTTGTTGTTGCTTTTGCTAAACGTTGGTGATGAAGAACGAGACATTGAAAAAAATACGGTGTGAAACTTTGTTCATCATTGTCAGCTCTAGATCATGTTGCGAATTACTATCGTGACGTTGTTGTCGCGTTGTTACCTGACAACAGCATCATGCCTGAAAATCTCAATTCAAAATGTGTGGAGCATCAATAAATTGTATGTAGTATCAACAAAACGAAGTGTGCCTGAATAAAGGGTGTAATGTATAGAAGAAGAAAAAAGATGTGTAATACTGATCCTTGCAGTTCGTTCAAGATTGGCGGTATTTACGACTGCAAAGCACATTGCTTTATTGGTTCTTCCTTTATCCCCGCAACCCTCTACAGTCTTATCAGTCGATCAATCTGGCAAATGCCATGGTATTCTTTGAAAAGTAGTCTGCAATAATGGAAAAGCTGTCTTCCTCATTATCCAACTATGATAGCCCAGTGTTAGTTTGTTTTTTCTATCGATGGTTTGTAGTCGGTTCTGTGAGTCAAAGCCTTACCTGATCGAAAAAGATATCGTGACGATCCGCATTGGCTTCTTGGTTACGACGGATCTCGGTGATCATGCGATGTTGGATAGCGCATTGTGGGCACTCACGATCATCATCCCCAAGACATCTACAAGTACAATCCGTCAAGAGTCGAGCGCATACTCATTCAAGAAATAAAGAAGACTTACCGTTGATGATATGAATGTCGGCAAAGAAAGTGAACAGCCGGTAAATCGAGCACACCATCACAGCCCGAACATTTTTGAACCTGGAATATCCGTGCGCTGGTTTGCAATTCTTCGATTTCCTTGCGTCGTTTCCCGGTTTCTTCGCGGTAGCTTTCAATCAACTCTTCGTTCTAATCAATAGAATAACCCATCGTCAATAAAATCCCATCTCCATCCGTTAGCGCGTAGTTATCACCTGTTTCAGATCTTGCCGCTCATGTTCAATTTTCTTGCCGATGTATCCTTTCAGCAATCCAATGGTGGCGACATTGCTGCGTGACAAGGCTTGGACAACTTGGATTGGTGGTAATAGATCCTTCTCGTCAATGTGATTAAGCACCGATAACAGTTCGGAAGTGGATTTGGAAAGAATTTCCGGAGTGGAAGAAAAGTACGTAAGCACCATCGGATAAAGCGAGGGATCTTTGGGTCCGTATTTGCGCACGCCTTCAATGACTCGCTCGGTTTCCTCCTTCTCCATCCAGAATCGAAGAATGTCCGTGTACATGCCCGTCTTTTCGTACAGATAAACCACCCCCTCATCAAAATGTTTGAGCTGACACAACACCAATGCTTGGTTCGTGTCGTATTGAACTGTCTCGTCCTTGAGCAACGCCAGCGCTTTGTGCCGGCATTCTTTTATCCGCTTTTGTTTTTCACGCTCACTGAAAATATTCGACCTCGCCAAAGCTCCTTTGGGGGTGCCTGGATCGCTCGCCAAGGAAGCCGCGGCGGTCTTGTCATCCAACAGGTATAGTTCCAACAGTGTGTTCCAGATCGCTTTTCGCTCTTCGTTTTCTTGCGCAGACCAAGTGGCCGCTTTGTCGTCTTTGGTTGAATAACTCTGAATCGACCCGGTGTCGTTCGCTGTCGTCGGTCCACGTGGTGTGGTTGGCACGGCCCATCGCTTTTCAAACACGCGTTCCAGGAACAAAATCAAATGATCCGGTAAATCGACAAATGCAGGCATGAATATACGTGGTGACGGAGCAGCATAGCTTAATGCGTTGCTCTTTGCCGCCGAGGGACGACTTGGGATGGGCGATGGAGCATGAGGAGATTTGAGTTTTGAACCGCTGTCGGATAACGGCGACTGATCGCCGACGGCTGTTCCTGCAAAAGGAAGGTTGGACAGAGCGCGTGTGTTTTTGACCGATGGTGTAGGCGACAAAGCGCGACTGGCCGACGTTGAACTGGCTGCCGGTACATCAGTCGTCGGCTTCACCAACGTGCCCGTACAGAGTTCAATCAGTAGCTCGGTTGTCTGATCGGCGAGGTGGCTGAGCAAAGTTTTACTGTAGTGCTGTAGATTCTTATCCGCCTAATAATACAACACTTAGCGAGACGCCACGGATTTCACTCACTGGATACTTACCTCGTACGGCCCCAACGTGCGGATGTAATTGAGAGCTGTTTCATAGTCGCGCATATCCTCAATCACGATATCCAGATATCTACATTAAAAAATCCAATCAGTTCACGGTGGCTTTTTTGAGATTACATCGGTCCTATTTGTCTACGCTTACAGATCGTGCTCGTTGAACTTTTCGGCTAGATACACTGCATGCTCATAGTAGCCAGCCTGACGGCAAACACTAATGGCTGTCTCCAAATCAAAGTTTAGATCGGCATCGGTCTATCGGCAAATATGAGGGTCAGTCACTTTTTTTTATTCTTTTTTCCTCTCATTTCAGCTTGTCCATTTACCTTTATAAACTGATCTAATCGAGAGACGTCCTTGAGCTTAGTATAGCAATTAAGTAACAAGGTGGTGTGATCGGCATTGGCCAGTCCCTTGGCATGCAGCTCTTGCAAATAGTTGGTCAGGTTATAGATTCGTTGGGCATCCAAATACTAGTCAACTTGTTCAAAAACCGTGGTCTGCAATAAAGTTAATTTACCTAGCACTTACTTTGCGAATGATGTAGGAAGGTTCCAATTGGCCAATAGTCCGTATATATTGTTCCATGGCACCATCGTAGTCCCCTTTACTGTGAAACCTCTCATCAGTCGGATGTCATTTTGGTTTACCCACCGTGTCATCATCGAGCACTTACGTGTAAAGATGGTCTCCGTATTTCTTGAAAATCTCGGCAATGCTTACATCATCGTACTTTTGCATGTGCGCAAGATTGATGGCCAGGACGTACAAATTAAGCTTGAATAGGATTTCAAGTTTTGTCGGGGTATCTTTTTCGTCCAGGCGGATCAGCTGAAAAAAAAAAAAGAGCATCAGAAAACAAGATAATCTGCGCGCCAGTTCACTGCTTTCTTTTATTGTACCTTGCCATCTCTGGTAACAATCCAGACCGCGTTCCATTCACACACAATGCCAGAAATGCCACCCACAAATGTATCGGTGTAAGCAATAAACTTGTTGGCGGTATCGAAAATGGTAATCTTTGTCAACTCGCTGTTGGTGCCTAGGCTGTTGGTCCTAAAGTTGACCGAGGTACGAGTACCGGAGGAAAGGTGCGATGAAGTGGTGACGGGAGGCGACACGATTACAAGGTAGTTGGATTTAAACCACATCAAGGATGATTTCGGTGTATCATAGGCAAAGCATGGGCCACGACCTGTAGGATCGTACAGATAAATAGCTTCATCACGGCCCACCACCATGTCTTGCGCTTCGCTCATGACGGCACATCCCAGACCGCAGCCTTGTTCGTCCAATGTCGTCTATCACCCACAAATTATCAATGCCTCGCCTTCTTTTTCACGCATCATCGCAGACCGAGACGCAGCCATGCTTTGAATTTCAAAACTTACCACCGCAGGTTTATTGGCAGATGTATTGTAAGACATGATACTGGTCGTTGTGACGATGAATAAAATGGTGGATTTTGTTTGCTCGCGGAAACCGAGTCCTTTGTACATGTGGTTTGTAAATAATCGCCAACTTTTGTCCGTGTCTTTGGGTTAGATCTATCGTACCTGTGATTGGCTCGACGCCTTCGTAGATTACTTTTTGTTTGGTGGTTCGATCTTTGGAGAGGTCACCGCGAATGAGGATCACGGTGCCGTTGGCGAGGCCAATGGCGGCTTGCGACATATTCTCCAGTATCGCAAAAGTAGACACCTACAGCGGGCAAATGGGTCTGTCAGCATGGATGGCCGCAAGCGCAATCTTTTGGACGTCGTGTTACTTACTGGATGCGGTTTGCTGCCATGTTGGATTTTGATGGATCGAATGCATGGAGGATAGATGATTTCCTCGGTTTGTCGAGCAACGGCTTCCAAGTCCCAAAATTTGATCACCGGCTGCGTTGCCGTGCCATCCTCTTCTTCCTAGATATTCGTGCCTCACAATCAGTTATGCATGTTTCTGATAAAATCGCGCGTATCCGACGTACTCCGACTGTAACAAGGATATTCTTCTGCTTCAATTGCTTCAAGTGGGTGACTCGACCGCTGTCATGGGCCAAAAATGTTCGCGTCTTGAACTGACGATCTATAATAGAGACATTGCCGGAAGAATGTGTTGGTGGCGAAAAAAAAAAAAAAAAAAAAAAAAAAGTTGAACAATAGGCAGAGCGGTAGTTAAAGATAATATGTCTACGTGCGAGTTATATACTATATAGGTGGGTAGTAGCCATTCATGTCATGTTTGCACTTTTGCAGTCATAAAAAGGATATCTGCCGTAATAATATGGCCACGTCCAGCGGCAAAGACAGTGAGGCCCGATTTCTATGCAAAATATTTCGAATGAGCTGATGTTCCAATCCTCCTTCAGGGCAGTTTGGTAATGAAGCATGCCTGGAAAATGGAAGGAGACTGTGAAGCGTCGTCGGGATCCTTGACTTGCTGCTTGTTAAAGAAATTGAACTGTCTCCACTGGGTCAGCGACATGGGGGTACGCGAAAACTCGTTCTTCGTTCGTGTGTGAAGTGTCGAGACGAAAAAAAGGTCCGCTTGCCTTTCTTTCTTTCGGTGTCCTCCTGCCATTCGGAGTTTCATGCTCTCTTAAAACTCCGTAAAAAAAGGTTGTGACATCACTTTTGGAAAGAAATTCGAAATTTTCGATTCGAGGAATTTCCCAAGTTTTTTTGACATTTTTGTTTATTTTCCAAATTTCCTTCTTTTATTTTTTCCTCTTGCTGGACGATATCCCCTTGGTGACAAAAAAACGATGCGTGTGGTCGATTACAGTGACAAGATTCAGGGATTATCTGTCATTGAGGAGTTTGTGACGGAACAAGAGGAGACGTCGCTTATAGATGCAGTGGATAAAGAAACATGGTGTGGTTTAGGAATAAGGTACAATCCAAAAAAAAATTTAAGCATGGGCAAACCATTGACTTGTTCCTGATGCTGATTTTTCCCAAAATCTCGGATTGTTTTGGCCAGTCCAAATCCGGAACTGAAGCGACGTACACAGCAATACGGTCATCTGTTTAGTTATCGTTATCGGTAAATACAATTTTTCCGCAGTTGTTATGCGGGAAACAAACCTTGATTCTATTGGACCATTGTGTGAAAAAGCTGAGATTTTTTGGGGGTTCGATTGCGCGATGCATAGCAAAGTACTGCAGGAGTACGGTCCATTACCTGCGTTTGTTGAATCCACGGTTGCACGAATTATGGAGCACAAGCTGATGCCTCAACCTCCCAATCATCTTTTGATCAACGAGTATAATGCCGGTCAAGGCATTATGCCTCACGTAGGTTCGTACCTCTCTCTCTCTTTGTCGATGTTGTCCGTGAGCGCTGTCCCAAACTCATTCATTTTCATGGCTATTGCAGATGCGCCCACATTATTCGGACCCGCCATTTTATCCTTGTCACTTTTGTCGGCTTGTATCATGCGTTTTTCAAGTATTGACGGTGACCACACAGTTGACGTTTTGCTGCGTAAGCATTTGACCAATATCCAATCATCATATCACATACTGATTTGCCATTGCATAAAAAAACCAGCGCGTCGATCGATCGTTGTGCTCAGTGGAGCTGCTCGATACCAATATAAACACAGCATCTCCAAGGACCTTATCGAAACGTCGTCGGATGGTGTAACTGTTCAACGCGATCGACGAGTATCCTATACGTTTAGGACCATCATTGCCTGGGAAGCCTCCGACGATTGCGGTTGCGACGCAAAGGCGCGTTCCAAAGCCGACCCAACAGCACCACGTGCAGCAGCGTGTTCCTCTCAGATGACCTAGTCCCTTTTGTCTGTCGCATTCTACTCCTTACCTTTCTCATCTAAAATAAAATCATTATTATAGCATCCCCATTCATCCTACCTCTTCGAGACCCGTGATACCCATTTCATCCACCTATTCTAGGCCCGTGACAGCCAGCCGTCGATTGTAGGCTGCCCCATCTGTGTGCATCGTTGTCCGTTGTCCATGCAGCAACTCAACTTCCAACGTTCATCTGCTGCAAGTCAATTAACAAGAAAATGAGGAAAACCGTATCCACCAGCCTCGAATCGGAATCGTCCCGTCCGCCTTTATTATCGCATACTTCACGATCGAGTTCCACACGTCATCGTACACATAAGCCAAGATTAAGAAGTGCCACCATCAGTATGATGAGCCCCAGTCGGGTCCAAATGGAGAATGAAAAAGGGGCATTATCAGAGCGCACCATTCCTCTTCAACCTTTGCCGGATGAAGCTATTGAATGCTCTGACAGGACTGGCCCTGAAACGCGTGATTCGTCGGTCGAAAATTTCGGCCATCATTCCGACACCCCATCGTGTGATGAATTTGTTTTGCCAGAAATGGATAATTCGTATTCTATTTGGTCGCTTCCCGACAGCAGCAGTGATGAAGAACGCAGTCAAAGACGACAACAGCAAATTTTGGACGCGCAAGCTCGGATCGATGATCTTTTACGACGACGCGACCAGAGAGTCGCGCATACCCTAAATGACCCTGTTGTAGATGCCGTAACAGAGAAAATGCGTCAAGTGTTTGACGACGTCTTGGATGATCATGTTGATATGACTGGAGAAGATCTCGTGCACTGGATCCGAGATCGATACGATGCACAAGTGATGCGTATTCGACGTTTAGAACGGGCATTACTTGAAAAAGAGGCTCAAATTCGGGAATTGCAATTCTCAAAAGCAACGGCCGACTTGGCCGTGGTTAAGGAGGAGAAGCATACCCCAACGATTTTGGACTTGATGCATCAGTATCCGCGGACAATGGAAGCGTTCCGCCAACATATTGAGCGGCAATCGGTAGCGGCTGACCATGAAAAATGTCGAAAGCAGCTCATGGACCAGAAGCAGGCGATGCTCCAAGAACAGCAGCGGAAATTTGAAGCCCTGAGATCAAAGTATCGTGCTGGATTCCAAGAGATTGTGGATCGACTACTCAACGATCCCTCCCGACTGGAAAAGGAAGTACTGCACAGATTGAGACAGGAAACCGCTCATCAACTAGAACAGAATACCCGATATTGGAAGCAACAATGCGATAAATTACAGCAAGCGATGCATCAGCACACCGTAAGCGAATAAACCAATGTAGAATCAAAGATACTTTTTCCTTTCGTACTCTTTTATCCTCAGACCTCTTTATATAAAATAAACATTTTTCATGCAACCATCAGGTCGCCGTGTATCATGGCTAGTGATAGTAACACATAACCCTCATTCAATAAAAGATGTTTTTGTATATGGTCATTGTAGTATCTTGAATGCATCAACGCAAATAGCATATAAAAGAGAAAAGAGACAAGAATATACAAGTATTTATTTATGTAACGGATTAAATGACAAGCAAGTTCCTTTCATGGCTGCAACAAAAATCAAAGGATCAGCTCGTCAGGAATAATCTAACCACACACACATACAGACACCCAACATGGCACAACACCATTGCTTCGAGCCAAAATTGTGATCTTTCGGGTAGGATCTAATTGTGAGTGTATGTTTCTGTTTGAAAATGTGCGAATACAAACAAGAATATGTTCAAAATTGATGGCAGACTTTCCAAAATTGGGAGAGGAGTTATCCTCGCGTGGTAGAGGAATTATCCCTTGCTGCTTTGGCAACCAGACGTTCCAGTTGTTTAAAGTGATTGCCCATTTGAATTCTAGGTCGTTGTCTCGGCCTTGAAGTCGGTGTTTCTTCGTGATGATAGAATCCACCGGTTTGCGGCGTAGATGATACAGGCATGCGGGTCGATTCGTGCATAGGTCGGTGGGTGGTTGGCGGTGCTGATGGCATCGGTTCGCTGACAGCCGGCACGGAACCCCATCCAAGCTGCTGCGTCTTCTTCCACTGCTCCTCAATGTCATCGAAAGCTGTGTTTCCCGCAGATTGAGTCTTTTCCGTTTGTTTCGACATATCCATCGTGTTCCACTGCAAAGACGATGGTTCATCATTCTGTGTCTCAACGAGCCTGATGACAGGATGACCAGCGGATACGGATAACGTCGGAGAACCTTCTTGAGGAACTGCTGGCGACAGACTGGCGTCCCAGTGGTGCTGCTTTGCAGCTGGAACTGGAACTGGAGGAGGAGCAGGAGCAGTACCAGATCGCGGCGATGACTCGAATGTGTTCGTGATGGGTGATGGAGGAGGCGCTCGCTTCATCTCGGGTTGAACATTAACAGGTTTGGGCGATGGCTGCGGGGTTTGCATGGTGGTGGATGGATAATGTTCGCGCTTCATCTCTCGTTTGGCGGCTGCAGCAGCTGCAAAATCATGCCAGCTCCGAACACTGTCAGGCTGGGAGGGTGCTGTTGTAGACGAAGATACTGGTGAAACGGAGGAAGTCTTGGGTAACGATGTTGGCGTATGATCTTGACGTCTCGCTGCTTCTGCCAATTGTTTCCACTCGTTCGCATGGTCTTGCTGAGGAACTGGTAACTGCTGCTGCCAAGCTGGAGGCAACTTGTGAACAGGTTTTTCTCCTTGGTGAACGGGCGGTGACGCGGTCTCATGGACAACCGTGGCTGATGCTTCCATCACCGTTTCAGGTTCGGCCACTGTCTTGGAAGGATCGATTGCCTCGGAGTCACTAGCTGTCCCAACGCTGTCGACTACCTCAACCGGTTTCTCTTGGATCCCTTGCAATTGTTCAGCTGGTTTCTCTGGTCCAACCATCGTTTCCGATTCTTTAGAAGTTATCTCCGGCTTTTGAACTGGTGTTGCTGCTTCTTCAACGATCTGATCCGACAGTTGTGCTGCTTTGTCTGGCTCTTCAACCACCTTGTCCAATTGATCAACCGTCGCTTCTGGTTCAGCCGTGGTTTCTGGTTCAACCGGGGTCTCTGCTTCAGCCGTCGTATCGGGTTCAGCCATCGTCTGTGATGCTACCGCTGGTTCATGAGGAGCAGATGCCTCCTTGATGGGTTCATCGTCATCGAAGGTGATTTCCAACTCTTCATCGTCGTCTTCAAGCATGTCTGCCCAATTCAAGTGACCAGGGGGGATATCGTAGGTTGGCGGACTGGTTACGTTGGGTTTTGCATCCGGACCCTTTTGCTGATCGGGTATATGGTTCGATTTCAGGGTGTCATCTTGAGATGGCCGTTTCGCGTTGGCGTCCAAAGAGAGATCCTTTAATTTCTCCAGCGATTGCCCGGCTCCATCCTTATCGTTATCGACACCTGTGCCCGACGGAGACTGAATGACAGTGCTACGATTGGTTGCTGATGGACGCCGCGCTTGTGTTACTTGTGTATCGTCTTTATTTGCAAGCGTCTCATGATGCACGCCATGGATACGATCCGCCGTCGTTTCCTGGGTCACATGGTTTGGACGCACAGGACGCGCACGCCAGGTATCAGGTTCGTCATTCCGTTGAACCGGTTCTGAAGGCTCCAAACCCACACCTCTCTCCCATCGGCTATCCTCCTTGTTCAAGGGTCGACTTTCTCTGTCAGGGTGCGATCTCCAACTGGGCTGCTCATGGTCAACCAAAGCGTCACGATTCAATCGTCCCTCAATTGTATCCCGATTCAACCGTCCTTCCACTGAGCTTCTGTTCAAACGTCCATCAAACGAGTCGCGATTCAGTCGTCCTTCCACTGTACTCCTGTTTAGCCGTCCTTCCACTGTGCTTCTATTCAATCGTCCATCATATGAGTCTCGGTTCAGTCGTCCTTCGTAAGGGTTGCGATTGAATCGTGGTTCGTGATCAAAATGGGATCGATAGTTGGAGGTAGATCCGGTGGTGGCCCAACGACTAGAAGCTGTCCCTTGTCCCTCGCTTGACCATTTGCTGACGGAACCGGAAGAAGGGGATGATGACCTGTTGAACGATGGTTTCGAAGGCGTGCTCGGTACGCTGGCCCATTTACTGGCTTGCACACCATCGCTTTTAGAAACGGGCTTTGCCACGGCAACCGGTTTAGCCGCGGTGTCGGATGAGTTGGTTGCGTTGTCCGGTGGTGTAGTGGTGGTGGTGTCTGTGGACGGCACGACAAGGTGTTGGTTATCTTGGTGGGTTACCTTGTCAGCAGATGACGGTGGAGATCCGGGGTTGGGCAGACCGTCAGCCATGGAAACAAAAATTTGAGAAAGGCGGTGGTTAGATTAGATTGCTGTGGAAGAGTCAAAGACGAAAAAATGGGTATTTTTCCGATATGGGGGGCAGACAGCGGAGAGACGGAGCCTCATCGGGAGAGAACACTTCGCAGAATTACTGTTCCTGCGGATTTTTCCAGAGTCCTTTTTTTTTTAGTTTTCCTGAAACGGTATTGAAACAACGTTGTAGTGGAGCTTACAGACCCTGCCTCGGTTACTATCCCCCCTCCCATTTCAATCGCCCTCCGTCTCATTGGTTGTTGTGGAAACATAAAAAAGACAGTACCTAAGTTGGACTAGAAACGGATCTCACTTCTTTCACCTCTCATACCATGCTATTTTTTCTTATCAGGTGGTATCTGTTGTCAGAGATCTGAAGATGAATGGTAGCCCCTTCTTGCATTTTTTTCATCGTTATTTATATCCAAGTGATTAAGGCAACCTCCAAACACATGCGTATGACCTCATACGGAATAATTGTTGCTTGTTTTGGTATCTCTGATGATGCACCCCGAATTAAATTTTTATATCACTCTCATTTACAACGATTGAATCTTTCACTTTATGCATTTTTGCTAAAAAGCATTGATATTCTTTTTATTTTTCATTAACTAGGTTGAATAAAGTGTGATACAGTATAAAAAAAAAAGAAACTATAAAGAGGGAAAAAAGTTTGAAAGTGGAAAACATGGCGAAGAGGGGTATTTTACAGAATTACAGATTATAAAAGAAAAACGCCATAAAAACACACAGGTGCCTTGATTCCACCAGATAACTAACTAACTGGTAAAAAAAGTGAAAACTATAAAATCATCAGAGGAAAAACAAGCAGACGGGAAGAAAGCAAAAGTGTACAGATTGACCCTCTAGAAGCCAGACACAAATACAAGTTCTTGGTAGCATTGACCATCGACGGTGACGGTTTCGTCGCCGACCTTGATTTCAGCCGTAGCCGTATCGAGCCATTGATAGATGTAAGGTTTTACCACAAAGGTCTGAACCAACTTCTTGAGGAACCAGGGAATTTCCGCCAACACGTCGATTTTATCAATCAGATTCTTGACGGTAACAACCATGGTCACTTGCACATCCTTGGTGTCTTCGGTGTTGCCTTCTTCAGCAATCGTTTTGCCCTTCCAAGTCAACTTGATTCTCTGGGGGATATCGTAATCGGTGTCGGTATCCTTTTGAAGATCCAACAGTTCAACGTGATTATCCACAGATACGCAAATCAGCTTGCCATTGAGAACAAGCGAGCCTTGATTGATATTGACGGCACCGTATTGTTTGGTAGTTTGGAACTGCATCATCGAGAGGGCAGCGTCCTTGGCTTGGAAATTGACGAAATTCCAGTTGGAAGCGATCAACTGAGGCTGCATGCCTTGAATAGCGTGAATGAACATGCCATCGCCATCAATTTCGTGGAGTTGTTTGTCAATGATAAACGTGCCCTTGGCCACAGCACGAGGCCAGAACTTGTGGGAAACAAAGCCAGCTGCCGATCCCTTATCACCGCCCAAATAGGTTTTACCTTCGCCTACTTTGAAGCCACGGTCGACTCGGGTGAAATCAAGGGATACGACAAGTTCGGGATGGGTAATCTGGACTTTGAAGGTCTGCTGATCGGGAAGCAAGGTAATGTTCATGTTATCCGTTTTCACGGAACGACGGTCGGTAGAAAGCTCGAATTTCGACATGTTGATGTTCTTGAATACATTGATGTTCTTTGAAGGGTCGTAAAAACGGCAAGTAAAGGAAATCGTGGGATTCCAGATACTACAATCAAAAAAAAAAAAAACAAAGCGGAAGGTCAGCATCCATCAGTCAGAAGACAACCCGCGTGTACGTTGGTGCTTTTTTTTTGGTGCTTTTTTTTCGGATTTCTTCTCACTCTTCTTTTTATTTTCTGGAAACGGAAAACCTTACCCGATATTAGAGTGAATCAACTGAACAAAAGCAAAACCGCCGGAGGGAGTGGTAATATAAAAGATTTGATTCTCGGTAGATGAACCGGATGCCAATGTCCAATCCAGATCGTGGTCATCAAGTTTACCGTAATACTGTCCATCTTTGGCGGTTTCAGCGACCGTCTTGACGCTTTCCACCGTCGTGTTCAAACCAGCTACACTTGATACAGTACTGGATAATTGGGAAACTAATATATAAACCGTCAGACATAGCTCATCTGCCGAAGTTATCCATGTCAAGCTTACACCACGATGCCATGATAATGAAGTTTTACAAAAAAAGAAAAGAATTCGTGTAAAAAACACAAGCAAAGAGCCGGGCGCTCCAAAGGAAAAATTTCGGTGGAAAAAAAAAGGCCGGCCACAAACGAAAAAAGAAATTTTGACATTGAGACGTCACACTTTTCGGCGGCCTTTCCGCTTCGGACTCTCTCTAAGTATTCACGGAGCCGGCCCGGAATATTTGTATTTTTCTGCAAAATAACTACCAAACCACCGCTTCAAACTTGCCCCAACATTGGGGTCTCCAAATGCGCTGTCGGTCTTTATCATTGCTACAAAAAGGATGACACCGTGGAATTTCTTTCTTTTGAAGGTATTCTGTCACAAAGGTCGAATAGGCACAACAGTGACGTTAGATGTAAAAGCAGATCATCATAACTGCTTTCGAGTCAAGTGAACCCATATTCCACCATTCATTCGTTTCAATTAATCCTCGACCGAATGGATGATATTCTATCTGTAGCTCCAAAGATTGAAACAACAGCAAATTGCGATAAAGGGAAATCTGTCTAGCAGGGTGATAGAAAGCCTCGATGACCTATCCCTGATTATTCGATCTTTCAATGGAACATCCTATAATATATCGATTTGGTTCTTCCTAAGCTTGACAATTTTGAGTGCCATTTCATGGTCATTGACCCGGTATTGCTATTATCTGCCCAAAAGTGTAGGGAGCATTATTTATAGAGGTTTGCCTCAAGGCTCAGAGATGTCGGAATTTTTTCTAATTTTTGCAGGTGATGCATCAATCAAAAGTACGAGACGGCAACTAGTCTTTGTATTCATGCGAGTAGACTGCAGAAGCAAATGCTGATTGGCGCAACATAATCATCGGTGTGCGCGTCATTGAGGGTTCACAGCGGAATAAAGGAAAATGAGTGTGAACAAGTCCGGGTTTATGGTGTGAGAAAAAGAAATGTTTGTATTTCCACAGTTGACGCTTGTCCATAAACAGATATTGTAAGTGTTCCAATTCATGCATTGGCTTTTTCTCGGACTTCATTGAACGGTTTGTTCATGTTGCATGTTTCAATCAATTTGTGCAATGGAAAATATTTAGCATTCAATTTTTGATAACGCAAGTGGATGAAGTGAACCGATGGCCTAAACGGATATTTATAGTACACTGTTACTGCATGCATCATGCAAACGGTATAGCAGGCAAAGCCCAGCATTGGAAAGATCCGATTCCGATTCAATGCATGGAGTACAGTACATACGGCTTTAAAAAAACCCCTATTTTGGGCTACATTACATGAATAAACCCAATTATCTTGCCCGACCCTCACTTTGCAGTTAATTTGTCTCGGGAGAAGATGCACAATGCCACTGACAAAAAGAGTAATAGTCATATATCTGTATAAATTGCTCTTGCATCTTGGCAATATTCCATGCTGAATCTGTACGCTCAATTGGCTTGCGAATAGAGGCCAAGTTAAACGTACACAACTTCTAGCGATGAAAACCGTAAGTGTACTGTCCCATGCTCAGCCTTGACTCGAAATATGACGCATGATCCATTCGGATGCTTCGGGTTTTATGGCCAGCATAAGAGCCACGTCGTCTATAGACTTGCAGTAAGTAAATAGAAGCAAAGGGTTGGGTCTTCCACATTACAAAGTGCATCACGCAAGGTAGACAGTGGATGACCTGGCGGTAAATGATAAAGGGCTGTATCGATTAGACGCCATGGTAGTGATTGCAATCACAAATTTTTCAATTCTGTAGTGTCACCTACCAATATGGAATAGCGTTGTTTGGCTTTTGCTTAGATTTCAACCTCATGATGCATCATTTGTTCAGCAGTTTTGATGACGAATTGCAATCGCTTAGTCAATGAAACGTTTGAATTGAATTGACATTGAGCTCTTTGTAATATTCAGAACGTACAATCATTACAGCAGCGACAATCGTCGTCTTAATGCAATACGTGCTAATTGGAAGTATGGAGAACCAGTCACCTATGCTTGAATTAAGGTTGAGAAATCATCTTGTCGATATTTTTTTTTCTGACATGTTCATCGGTGTTCCTGGCTTGACAATCGTTTCAAAATGCAAACTATCCGGAAGCAGATTCTTTTGTGATCCTAGTGGTCACCTTTTTGTTATTACACCAATGCCCATTGTAACATACTGAATATTACAAATGCCTACTGAATGATTACGGTTGGAACGGTTTCCAAAAGCCGTTTATTCTTTTTTTTTTGAAAGTTTGGAAGATGTAACACTAAGCGCTCATATTTTAGGTCATTTCAGATCATCCGCTATTTTTTTATTTCCGCACTTATGAGGATGCACTCTATGTAGGACCATGGAGTTTAGGATGGCATTGGATACCCATTTTTCTCACAGAACTTGGCATTTAGGAATCTAATTCGCGAATGTATTAACATTTTTCTCTACTGTATTGTCAGAAAGGGGCGGAGGCAATTACGTTTGCTCCGCTTATCCATGCCTTTTTAAGAACTGTAACGAAACACCGGAGTAGAGGTGAGTGATCATGGGAATGAAAGTTCGCATGCTGTGTTCTCTGAAGGATAATCATCGCTGTACACCCAATAAAACGGGCATCGGCACGTTAATCAAACAAAAACAAAAAACAATGAAAGTCCCGACGCACCCCAAAAGAAAAACATAATGATAACGGTGATGCATTGTTTTGTAACATTTTCCTTGCATACCCACTCCCGAAAGGTCATTAGTGTTGTTTCTTACACCAAAATCGGGTCAAGCTAGTGAAGGAATGCGTCAAAGAAATGCAACAAGTCCGCGTTCAGTGCCGTATCAATTGATATTAAAAACGAAAGATGTCACCGCCAAGATAATTCGTGCATATAGTGATGCCAAGAGACTCTTTTTTTTGAGCGATTACATGAAATTGGGGGCGGTGATGTTCATCCGTCGATCCTCTATATCACAGCGTGTGATAAAAATCACCTGAGTTCTTATCTCATCAAGAGACGCTGAAAAAAAAAAAAAAAGCGTAGGGGATTGGCAGACAGGTTACACGGATGGCTTTGCTTTCGCAAGTGATGGAGCATAACGATTATGGACAGATGATAGAAATAATATCATTTTGTTTCAGTCTTATTTTAGTCAAGATTGACTTTTTGGTATGCTACATATAAATTATACTTTTTCTCTTTTTCAACGATGAGTAGAACAAAGAAGGGAGGGTATTAAAAAAAAGGGTTTACAGAAAGGGGAATAAAAAAAATAGGTCATATAAATAAATAAATAGCGACATGTATAGAGAAAAGAAATTAATTGGGCCAATTTGGGCCAAGCCATCCCAGTTCACCAAAGGCGGTCCAAAGAGCGCTTGTTTTGTTGACATCCACACGATTGAGCTTTTGTGCGTCGGATTTTCGAAAGGCTACATTCTGATGACTGTATTCATATGCTGCCAAGATCAGTGTGCGCTTGCATCGCAGATATTGAATGGGTGACAACCTTAACGTGGATGCAATGGTGGCCTCAACAGAATGCAGACGCTGGTAATAAGGAAGATGGTCAATGGAAAGCGGAGCACCTGAAAAAAAAATGGCAAACATGTCAGCATCATCGTGTAGCGGTAATTATCATGGCCATCAATAAAATTGTAAAGTAAAAAAATAAATAAAGTAAAAAAGAAAAAAAAAAAAAACAAGGTTTGATCAAGTGATAGGTTCTGACCTTTCCAAAAAACCTTGACGGGAATTTGATCCAATGCTGTTGGCTGAGGATACCAATTGGGAGGATATTGGCTTGGATCATCACGGTCAATATCCACTGTATCGTAGACGGCGGCGGTGTCGACCTTTTCCTTCCGGGGCAAAGCTTCACTGGACCGCCGTTCGGTAGCAATGGTAGAGATGATTTTGGCGGTTGAAACGCGACGCTTTTTCTTGGTATCAGCAGAGACGGGCCTGCTGGACATGGGCTGCTTTCTCTTTTTGTCGGGTTGTACGACGTCCTTGTCCAACATGGTACAGTCCTTGTTTTCAGCACCGCCATCGATCTCCGTCCTCTGGTGGTGAATGTAACCCGCTTCCAGGGCTTCAAAGACATTCAACATAAACGCCCGTTCATAATTGGGTCGTCGGTCCGTGGCCAACCCGCGGCGGTCAGCGTCTTTGGGCGGTTTCAGAAAATGAACCATATCCGCGTAGGTTTGAATGAACTTTTTACTTTTCCTCTTACGGAAAGAAGGCGACGATGACGGGGACGACGACGACGGGCTCACGGCATAATGATCGCCATTGGATGAACTGTGGCGACTGCGTTGCCAGGGTAATTTGGCAATGGATTGATAAGTCTCCGTAGGAGTGAGGGGAGGTGACATTAATGATGAATCATCCCCGGAGAGACAAGGATCAGTCGTTTTCATGAGTGAGTCTTGCATGATCTTCAGATGATGAACGGAAGGCATAATATACGGTTGAGCGGAAATCAAGGATGTTCCAAAGGAAAAAAAACAATAGTAATAACTGGAGAAGGGGTTGGGTGAACTCAGGAGGCGTTGTTTATGTGAAACGAATTTCACTGTGGCGCGCGATAAGAATGAGAAATAGCAAAAAAAAAAAGGGGGGAAAGAATAGTGAAATGAAAAAGGGAAGCGGAAATAAATACAAAAAGCAATAAAAAAAAAGGGCAAGAGTCGAAGATCGCACCTTAAATTTTTTAGTGCGGCTGATCGGTTTTTAACATGTATGTGTGAAGGGCCGGAAACAGTGAAGAGCTTTTATGCATCACCGGAACCTGTCCGATGGACACAAATGAGGGTTGATAATGTTCTTTTAAAAAAATCATCATCCATTCATCACCGACCCCTGCGATAAGCGGTTCTTTTGGTTGAAGCAATGATCTGTCGAAACGTATCAAAAAGTATACAAACGTCATTGTCGCATCTGAGGCAGCTTTTGGGGGTCATGTTACCATCAACTGAGTTCCAAAGCCTAAAGGAATGACTCTTTCCTTCTGAAGCCATCCCACTCTATTGGTATCATAATTTTACCATCGGCTGGTGGTTGAATAAAAGACAAATTTTTTTTTATTAAACTTATTGTTGGGGTCGACCCCATTTCCTCAGCCTTCCTCGGCGATCCGTCGTCACGATACAATCTTGTCGGAATAGGATATCTACACATGGATCTGCATGCACGGTTTGTACAGTAATGGGTTGTAAATAAGGCACTTGCGTTTTGTTCGGAACAGGATGAATGGTTGGTAATTGAACGTGGTAAGGTTTCTCCACCTCGGCCGGGGTGGAAGGCACCGTAGCCTTTTTGCCACCCATGGTGGATCGTCGACGGAACAAATTCAATGCTTTTCCATTCTCAGAGAACAGCGAAGATGGGTCGCCTGATAAACTCAAACTTCTGAGCTGTTGTCGCCAACTTTCCTTCTTATCCTCCGCCACTTCTTCAGGCATTTTCAATGCCGGTCGAAGTATACTAAATCGTTTCCCAGCCGAAGCTACCGACAGTCGATTGGACTAGCAAACAAGACCAGATTAATGTTTTTTTTTCCTCCACCAGAGCAGAAATCGTTTCCCCCCGGTCCCCAAAAAAAGGGAAGGAGATACGATATGCATGGAACGATGCCCGCACTTACCTGCTTTGGTCGGTGCAGAGCGCTCACGGAGAAATCCCACAGAATTAGAGTACAATCCTCGCCTACACTGGCAAACCGATACACTTGTTCATTACATTGCCATGGATCAAACGCTACACCTGTCACCTAAAAACAAACCCAAAAAAAAAAAAAAATCACGCACAACATTTTGGTGATTAATTTTTTTTTTTTCATAAAAGCTGGCATTGAATGGCTGAGTAAAAGATACGTTACCCAAGATTTGTGTCCCTGACATCTCGCCACAATTTTTTGCTCACGGAAAGCCCAGATAGTGACAAGATCATCTTGTCCGCCAGTCTATCAACAAGACTGTCGGTATCAATATCCGACATCGTCTTCTTTTTTTTTCTTTCTTTCTTTTTCATTTACCAAGATATATTGGTTATCGGGGCTCCAGGCCACACAAAGTAGTTTCCCGTAATATCCTCCAAAGACATCGCATAATCTGAGGTGCATGGAAAAAAATGAGCCGGCGTTATTTTAAAATCGGCGGGCGACGGTAACGTAACCTTGACCCCACTTGCCTTTCTTCAGAGTAATTCACGGTTCGGAGCAACCCGTCTTCACCTACAATAGCTACGTGCGAGCCATTGGGAGAAAAGGCAAAACCTATATGAAGCAAATTAGTTCACTGCATTGCCCAAAACAAATCATGCATCCAGCCATGCATGCATGAGATATAAAAAAAGGTTTTTTGTTCTTTTACCTGCAACACTTTTTTCACTGACACGCCAATGCGATACAGGATTATGTTTCGGATGCTTGTGAGGGGTGGTCACCTGAAATCTAACCATGACATTTCAACGGGAATGACGGCATTTGATCAGTCATTGCAACGCACGAATGAAATCCCCAAGGCGTTACTCACTGCTCTTCGGCCCACGATCTCGGTGCGGAAGGTGTAAAAGGTTGATCATCTCGATCCTTGTCAAAAATCATGACGGATCCATCGCGAAAAGAAGCCATAAATAGATCCTCGGAACCAGGGATCCATTTTACCATCGTCACCGCTGAAGCATTCATGGAACCCTATGACATGTTCGCGTGAGTTTTTGCCAAGTAACGGGTGATCACAGCAATGACAAAAATCAAAGATTCAATTTACATTCTTATTCAACCGAGAGTACCGGGTATTGATGGGGTCATACCATATGAAGTCCCCCGACGAGAATCCAATAATCACATCCATATGCTCATCACTCATCGTCATCGCATTCACATCGTGGCAAGTAGGATGACCTCCAGAAAAAACGATCCGCGTCAGTGGTTCCTATGCCATCCATTTTTTTTGAGTCCTGGTTGCTACGTGCTAGCGACCCCCCCCCCTCCCTACCCCTCGCTGGTGCCATAATATAAAATCAGAAACAAACCTTGGGATGATCATTGGCATCCATCCAAATAAAATTGGACCCGACATTGAAAAAGAGATACCGATCCCTAGGCGATCGTGAGGCGAGTACTTTGGGTAACTGTTCGTACACTACGACACGTTCAATCAAACTGGATTTGGATTTAATAAGACTATTTTTCGGTCGTTTGATATGGTGACGAGATGGGTGATGATGGTTGTGGTTGTGGTGGTGGTGATGGTGATGAGCATGGTGATGGGAGCCGTGGTGCGAAAATGATGAAAATGAGCCCACACTCCATCCATGACTAAAGGTTTGTGTGATGGGTAAATGATCGTCGTCCGCGTTGGTCTCTCTCGTTGTGGAAAGAAACATGGTTTGGGATCGTTCTATATCGACATAGGAATTGGGGAAACGGCGACTGTTGGTGGGAGACATGATTTCGGGGAAGTAGGAGTTGGTACTGGCGACAGAAGTACTATGCGATAATGGGGACGGTGACAGATCACTGCTTCCGTCCGTGCTGGACATGGACGATGATCGCGTCAGGGTTCGGGATGCGGTAGGAATGTCTGGGTCGGCCAGGGTTGGGACATTATAAGGTGTGGTAATATTGATACCGGGTGAACCAATGTCCTTGTTCTCGGCAAGAAGCAATTGAGGCAAGATGCCGGGACCTGCGTCTGATTCCAACCCGTTTTCCTCTTCTCCTCCAACGTGAAATACCGGTTCGGTGTGTTCCGGTAAGCCTTCAAAGGCAGGTGATCGACTGAAAGTCCGCGCTACGCCTGCATCGCACGAACCTTGGCTGGGTGACTTTTTCCTTTCATTTTCTATGAGACTGGCATGGGTTCCCGTGGCATACTGGGGTGGAATGGTGGAAAAATAGACTTCTTGCTGCAATCGGTAAGTACCGTCCGGAGTCAGCAATGCTTTGCAATCAACATCCGGATTAGATTCAGGTATAGCTCGAATGGGCGGCTTCATCATATGCGACGTCGCCGGCATGGAGCGTGAAAGCATCGTGCTGCTGGCCAATGGCTAATACGAATGCATCGCAAGAAAAAAAAAAAAAAGAGAGAGTGTGAGCAATAGGTTCAATGTGGGGTACAGACAATGAACGACAAAAAAGTTGTAATTCAGTTGCCTGCCATCGTTACTTGGATACTAACTGTATGCAAATAACTATCCATCAATTATAAATCCACGCTCGTGAGAGTAAGGGAACATGAGTGAATGAGACAATGGGGCAGAGACACATTGGCCAGAGAAAAAATAATAAATTCCGGGCATCAATATGGTATAATTTCAAGGGTCTGGCGAGCAACAAAAATGGTTTAGAATTTCCATCTTTGGAACTAGGTGCCACCAAAAGAGTGGCGCATGCACGTCGCACAAGCTTTTTTTCCCCCCTTGAATCGCCTGCTTATCTTCATTTGCATTGAAGCCATATATGGAAATCCCTCTTTATTTTCTGCCTTGTTGCGTAAAATTTGCAGCGGGATCTTGTCGAAAATTGTCACGGGAAAGGCTTTTCGCTGGATGAGAGCCTCCCTTTTTTTTATGGCCTCAAAGACTTTTTGTTTTTTCTCGTAAATTCTTATTTGACTGGCCAGATCCATGGATCGGCACACGTCCAAATTGAAATATGCTTTGTTATTTCACACGTATTGATAATTGTAAACAAGTGATGGGAATTTTCTGGAGAATGATTGTATAGAAGCAGCTGCAGCTGCACCTAAATACCATGTATGCTGAAACAACCATGGCAAATGCTGAGTTGCAAATCACGGTTTCATATGGTCTGTGGTGGTTGAGCAAGGCCACGAGTCCCTTTGCCTTGGCATCCTCAAACCGCCCTGAAAGCGTTATAAATCAAATATCATCATCTGATGAGGTATAAACTTTGAGCCTACTTATCTTGGGTGTCGGTACCTTTCGAATAAGCTGCACTCATTCGCTGCAGAGAGAATAGTGATCAAAGGATAAGCCTAATGGGGTAACTGAAATGCCTTGATCACCTGCTCATTAATGTTTGACTGCGCAATAACAGGATCACTTTTTACCATACTTAATTTAACTAACTGCTGTAATTGCATAGCAGCAGATGATTATTGAAAAACGTTCCTTATTGTCGTATGGTAGCGATCCTCTACGCTTCACAGTGGAAGGAAATGGATAACAATGGCTGTGAGCAAAAAAATTTCGAACTGAGTGTGGAAATAAACTTTGTCATCAAATCATTTTACAAATTCAAAATGAACGAAATTTGGCTGCCTCAAGAACCGCCAATCTTTCTCCGCTGTCATTGCTCGGTATGGAGGAAACAAGTAAAATTACGATTGTCAATGACCGTGGCGAGTCTATTGTCGGCATTCTAGAGAAAAAGCCCACCATTGACATTCACCGGGCACAACCAAGACTCATTCTCATTACCCATGGTGTTCTCGGTACCGTTTTTCGTTGCAATCCAAGCATATAAAGAAGCTTGACCCCTCGAAAAATGTTATACTCACCCATCATATTGTGCAAAACAGGGCATAAGGACTATCTCTTTCAAAGACTCATGGCACAGGAACTTCCTTACTCGACATTTCGGTTTGATTTCCGTGGCAATGGCGAAAGCGGAGGTGAACCGGGATATGCTAATATGACGGTAAGCCGAGTGACTATACAAACCTTGACCCTGTCTCCCTTGTTCTCCTTTCTCCATCTTATCTCGAGTGTCCCTTTTTTTTGGCTGGATCTATATTCTTCACGTCGATCATCACTAAAAAAGGCATCATCACCTCTTTATTAGGAAGATACTGAGGATATACATACCGTGGCTTCGCATTTCGAAAAACAAGGCTATCAGATTTTTGCCGTCATTGGACATTCTCGTGGTACGTCTATAACAAAGTGTAAGCGCGTGGACCAATTGAAATGATAACATGGATGCTATTTGAAAAAATAAAGGGTCGGTAGCTGGACTTAAATATGCAACGACGTGTGAACGGCCTTTGGATCATTTTGTGAATATAGCAGGCCGTTACAAGATGAACGACAACCAAATATACCGCAATCGGCCTCAGATTGGCGAGGCATTGGATAGACAAGTATGAACTCATCCATGAAGAAAAAAGGAAGCTCGCATGGCTGGGATTGACGGGTTCAATTTTTTGTGTTAGGGATACTTTGATTGGGCTGTCAAACAACGCGACAGAATCGTGCAAATCAAGGTGACTAGGGAGGATGTCGATCGGTTTACGTCCTGGGATAATTCGCATGGTAAGTTAGGTCCACTGCAATCTGAGAGAGATGGGCTGTATCCCTAAAATCTACACGGCACCAGTAACGAGAATGCCCAAGTCGACCTGCGTCTTGACGTGTCACGGTACCAATGATAATGTAATGTAACAAGATCATAGGATTTGCATCCTCTAAAAAAAGCGCGGCTAACCGAATATGGATGATAGATTGTGCCTGCTTACAATGCGGCTATGTACGCCAACAAAATCCCCACCCATACACTTGCACTCATCCAGGACGCGGACCATAATTTCAAGGGGCATTTCGACGAACTGGTATCGACCGTGAAGGAATATTTTGCCAAGCATGAAAGCGATGCCTATGAGAAGCAAATGAGCATGGGTCAGCATGTGGGCCTGTGTATTCCGCGATGGATCGACGTGGAAGGCGTTAAAAATTTTCGTGACATTGGCGGTTGGCCAGTAAAAGACGGCAGTGGTTACATTCGAGAAAGAGTGGTGTTTAGATGCGGGCAGTAAGTCAAATGATTGAAGAAAAAATATGCTGGCATGGTTTGTTTTGCTGATGGATTGGAACTAGTCTCACCGACATCACCGACCAAGGTATACGTACGTTGCAGGAATTGAACGTCGTGGCCATCTTTGATTTCCGCTCGGATATGGAGATCAATTATCACGGTGGCATCAGGTACGCGCCTTTTTTATAACAATAGACGATAGGGTTTCGTTGGAATGACATGAGTGTTGTTATCTTTGCTTGGTAGAGAAATTCCAGGAACCACTTATTATGAGTCTGCTATTTTCAAGGATGTTGACTTTTCCCCCGAAAATATGGGTCAAACCATGGGCCGATTTCTGGAGGGAACCGAAGGATTTATTCTCGTTTATTTGACCATGCTGGAGAAAGCCAAAGATCAGTACCGTAAAATTCTCTTGCATATGATCGAACATCATTCGCGGGATACCAGAGATGCTTTGATCATCCATTGCACTGCTGGTAAAGATCGAACCGGCCTTTTCTGTATGATGCTTCTTGGCCTGTGCGGAGTCGATGATGAAATCATTGCACGAGAATATGCACTGACAAATCTTGGTTTTTGGGGTACGTTGAAACGTCCGTTGTTAAAATATCTTTTTATCGTACTGATCCGAAAGGTAGAGTCGGAAGAGGATATGCGACGAAAAGCCAATCGAGCTGGAGTGCCTTTGGAACATATGAAGGCCGCCATGTCGGCTCCGTAAGTTGGGGTTGGAAGTTTTCCATACGATAATTGGTACTGAATTTTATTTGTTGACTTGTTAAAATGACAGATACGAGGCAATGAAGGGTACACTTAAGAAAGTCGAGGAGATCTATGGGTCCATGGAAGGATATGTGCAAAAGACATGCGGTCTGACCAGTGAGCAATGCCAAGCCATCCGTGATATAATGGTGTTATCCATCCGATTCGAAGAACGGCAGTTATTTAGACCTAAAATATAACATTATTGTCAATTAACCATAGCTCGGAAATTTAGAATAAACAAGCTACTGAAGATCTGGTCAGTACACGACAAGAAAAAGAAGAAGGGAAGGGGTGGGATCTCAGGGACACAAGGGGAACATTTGTTTGGATTAATCAAAAAATTGACTTTTGGAGTGCTATTAGTATCCCTCTTTTTTTTTTGATCCGGTTTCTCCTTGACTTTTCTGTGCGGGGGAACGAGGGTCTGTGTGTGTGTGGTGGGTCTTGACAGGGACACGTGCGATTGGGGTTCTTTTGGTACGTCATGCGGGATGGGTGATTGTGTGTTATAAAACAATGATAATTATACAAAAAACTTATGAAGACCCAGTCATTTACGAAGAATGTACACATATCAAATTAAAGAGTAAAAAAAAAAAAAAAAAAAAAAAACCTCCGTTCCTCTTTCTATATATTATTGTTGATCTCTCTTTTCATCTTTTTTTTTTCTTGTTGGTTGTTTTTCTTCTCTTCTTTTGTTGTTCCTTCTATTCTTTATACCTTTTTTCTTTCTCTTTGGCTCTTTGCCCTTTTGGCCGGTGTATGTCCTTGAGTTGATACTTCTCGATTAATCATTATCCTCATCCTGATTGTTCTTTTCCTACTTGTATAGTCACAAATTCATCCTATCTAATGACATCTACCGTTAGAAACCATGCTGAAACCGTTGCGCATTCTCGTCCGCATCTCGCCTTGACACTTCCCGAGATTGTTACCAGTATCTTGATGTGTCTAGCTCCGTCCATGGCGCTTCTAGAATATACAAAGAGGAAACCTTCCGCTCAGCTTTATGCGTGCCTTTTTGTCAACCGTCTTTGGCATGACTGCGCAGCTCGCTTGCTGTGGCGTACAGTTGTTTTTGAAGATACCAAATCAGAATATGATTTGCTCTTGAAATTCGCCTCCACTTTTGCTAACGAACCCATCTCCACACCATCCCTTTCCTCATCTTTATCCACCTCTGCCGCTATGCTTGCCATAGCTACCCCCAATGCTAGTTTTTCTTCCAGCATCACATCACTTGCTTCGGTTTCCTCGGAAACATCGACTTCATCTTCGACGTTATCCACCCCGTCAACCTCGGCGTGCGTCAAATGCCATCCTGCTCCGGACAAGGCACCACTACCGAGTCGATCCTTACACAGACGGTTCAGCCATCCGAATGACTCCTTATCACCTCGCGACTATCCTACCGAATCCAATAACAACCAAACGCTTAAAGAGCATCGAAAGAATGTTCATCTAAACAAAAAATTACTATCGAACCAACCGTCGCAAAATCAATTAATCGTTTCAGGCACAGAGGATATGCAACCTCAATTACCGCTGCCGCCAAATCATCACCTTCATTTCTATCGCAATTCTTTAAGGACACTGTTTGTGCGCAAACTTAAAGAGACCTCCATCAACGAACCACTGATGCAAATCGGCCGCCACGCCACCAAACTGAAGCGCCTCGATGTGTATATCTGTGACCACTTCACCGATCGTGCGCTGTATCCGTTTCTGGCTCACAAAACGCTAACCTACCTATCCTTGGCGGGGTGTCACCGATTGACCGATGTGGCGGTACTTCGCGTGTCCGAGACATGTACCATGCTGGAACACTTGGATTTGCGAGCTTGCGGTCTTGTGTCGGATGTGTCCATTTCAGCTATTGCGACTCGATGTCCGCGTCTACGCCATCTCAATGTGGGCCGTATTCGGGATCGGCATCGGATCACGGTACGCTCCATTACGCTCATTGCCAAGCATACCAAGGCTACAGTACTCGGCTTGGCAGGATGTGATATCGACGACGAATGTATGAGAGTGCTAGCCCACTACCGTCGCGCCGGTCTCGAACGGGTATCGGTCAACAACTGCCAACGACTCACCAACGCCACCATCTACTCTTTCATAAAATACTGTCCGAATTTATCCGTCTTTGAAATGAAAGAGTGTCATTTGATCAACGACTGGGAAGCCGTCGCCGAGCTCGTCCATCGCAAAGTGCTGCTCACCCTGTGTGACCGACAAAACCGTGCTTGTACTGAATGGGCCCAGCGTCGAGGTCGGCCGGTCGATGTCAAAGCCCCTCTCAAATAATGGCTCATTTTCACTCGATTCCCTCACTCTTTGTGTTCTCTTTATCCCCTCCCAACTGTTAACCATTACCCTAATTCCGGTGACTTGGGAAGACCATATTCCATGTTGTTTATTTGTATATCTTTTTTTCTTTCCTTTCCATTTAATCCCTCTTCAAAGGATAAGTCTGCAGTTCCACGTCACGATCCTTTCGAATAATAAAGATTTGTAAACTATCACCCGTATAAATGTCACGTTCAGTGGCCGAAGTGAATGCATCCTTCACAATACGGATCGCTGTGTCGAGGTCTAAAGTAGGATGCTCTGCTTCCTGGATATTTTTGCGAGAAACCTAAGGCAATGCCATGTGAATATCTATCCGCACAAAATCCAAAAAAAAAAGCATCGTCGGTAGCTTTACCTGATTATCCAAGAATGGCTGAATTAATGCTGATGCTGATCCACTGGCACGGCAAGTTTCACGTTCGAATGATCCAATAGCATCGTAACAATACACAGCGCCTTCGCCTGCAAAACAAAAGAAACGGGTAAGTTTAGCATACCATACTATAGCCAGATAATGCGAGAATAGAATAACATACCGTTCTCATCGACACCGCCTAATATACAGAATGCATAGTAAGGGAAGAATCGTCTCTGATACAATGTGATGGAAAGCATTTGTGCCAGAGCTGTGCAGCTCATGTCTTTGTCATGTGAAAACTTGTACCACTATTTCACAGCAAAAAGAGAGGTAAGCTAACGAGTGGGTAATGGTACAAGACAAGAGTGTTTGCGTTTACCTTTAATCTCTGATCGAGGACCTTTTTCAGGGTCAAGCCGTCAGCGTGGAAACCGTTCATGGCAATAGCGGCCGTATTAGACAGTTTGTAACACTTTGGCGAAAAACGTGAATTGATGCTGTAGCCAGTACTTTGACGGGTATCTGATGCTACAAGACAGAAATCTTTTCCAGCAATGGCGACACTGGTTCTATAGTTTTACGACGGTTTTTTTTTTGTTAGTCTTTTTTGTCAGTGCCTTTACATAACCGGGAATGAAGCACTGTAATGAGTTAATAAACACTTACCCGCCATTGTCATCATACGGTTCAAAACGATGTTCAATAGGGTGTGAGACGGTTTCTCTAGGTTCGGCGAATGCGTATGCCATGGTGGAAATGGTGTGAGTCGAATAAAAAAGGTCGCTTTGCAAAAGAGTCAAGAAAAAAGATACGCGTAGGCTTACAATTCAATGTCCGTCATGCTGTGGGTGACGTACGTCTTTCACACTTTAAATGTCGTATTATTCCGAAAAATATCGACGGACATTTGGCAAACCAAGAGGAGCCGACCCGCATCATGCTTACTCTCCATGAACACCATTTTTTTTGAAATTGGTTGCATGTTCGTTTAGGAAGGAATGAATAACCGAGTATTCTTTGGACGCTCTGGTTTATCGATTCAATAGGCACGCGCTCTCTTCGCTCACAACTGAAATTCAGACTTTATCCAAAACGATCATGAGGCGCTTTAATCTCCTTGATAAAGTATGTCAGAACACTGTCCGTGTTCGATGTGGTTAAAAAGTAGGTTACTACTTTGCTTTAGATTTCTTGATTTCAAGTTTCGTTGTATGGATGTTCTTCCATTGCATTATTAAGAAGAGGGGCGTCCCTGAACCTATGTGGACCTTATAACCAGCAGTTGCTTCATTTTCAGTTTTGGATGCTGCAACTCTCATATCAAACAGCGGTTTTGTATGCCAAGACGCTATTATACTTATTGTGTAGAATTATTCCGAGCATGGGTAAAGGAATGTTCATAAAGTCTTTAGTATCTTGCAAAGACTGGTTCCTTCAACCTAAACTCTAACAAATCGTCATCTGTCTACTTCCAGTTTCACATGAGCACATCTGCTCCATATGGCTATACAAGTCCAGCCGTCTTGAGCTGCGAACCAAAATACAGTACCGTTTTATTATTCTGAACGGGTGAAGAAAGGCTATGTGTGCGCCCACAACGCTGAAATTTTGACTAAAATGGGTCACATGCACATACGATATATTTGCAGCCGCAGCAAGACTCGACTGCGGTGTCCAAATTCAGCGTGATGGATGCTGCGTCGTAATGCAACTGCAGGATAACACATTTTTAATACTTCAAATGAGTAAAAGAAATATTTCAAGTACAATAGCATGGCTGTCATACACACACTCCTAACATCTCCTTGGCACTTTTGCCGTAATAAGAAGCTATCCACTCTTTTGTGGGTACGACGAGCATGAGGCCTGGATCACAAGACAGTCACAGTGTCATCCGGTCCATCGCGGCAATATGAAATAGGGAAAAATCATGCCCTTTGAGAGTTGATTTCAAAGAACGCTGATGCGACTTTCTCTTTGACCTATATGACCACTCACTCTGCTTTACTGGGCCATCAGTCCTCTGACGATGAATATACACTGGATCCAGTGAATGTGCCACGCCGTTCAAGGCTCAAAGCTCAATTTATGCGCCCTTCGTCCTCCAGACCCACTTATCAACCGCTCCCCTCGGACCATTTCGAGAACGATGAGCACGAAGCATCTGACACTTCCGACTTGGAAGCCCCGCCTTCGCTCATTGTGGAACAGCCAGCGCCAACCTCTGGTGCAACGACGGGGTCGAATACGGCTCCTTTGAACCGGTTTAAACGGAATTTACTCCATGCACGAACGGACGCTGAACCATCCACCAGAGATCACCTTTCCACATACGATCGGACCATGTGGCGTTGGACCAATGTTCAAAACATGGATAATTTCTTTCAGCGAGTGTATGCATATTATCAGGGCAAGGGTGTCTATTGTATACTATTTTCCCGATTACTTAACTTATTGCAAGTATCCCATTTTTTTTAATCCCGCATCAACAGAGCCGCCATGAATATTAACTTTTTTTTTCTCTCTTTACTCCCATCCTTTAGAACTCTCGCTTTTGTCATCGTCTTTTCCACGTTTCTTATCGGTTGCGTGAATTATTCCGAGATTCCTCGTCATAATTCCATGTCAGAAGTGGTTGTACCACAATGCTTCACCAAGTAAGTTCAACTCCATCTTGCGCCATGAAAAAAATTCGCTGCATGAATGCAACAAATTGACCGCATTGTAACTGTGAAACTCTTTTTTTTTCAGGTTGTCATTTTCAAAATCCATGTTTTTATTTATATTTTCATTATGGTGGATATGGCAAGCGATTCGTTTTGTCAGAGATATTCCAGCGTTGAAGGAAATGCACAACTTTTATCATCATCTTTTACATATTCCTGATGTAAGTGATAAAATGACTCGACGGGTTTTCTTGCGTTTTTTTTTCGTTCCGGTTTTTTTGATGGTGATAATGTGCTTCGTAGGAAGATATGCAAACGGTGGCCTGGCAAACAGTGCTGGAACGCATCATTGATATTCGTGAAACGAATCCCAATACGTCCGAAGCATCACCGATTCGATTGAACGAGCACGATGTAGCCAATCGCATCATGCGCAAGGACAACTATTTAATCGCTCTTTTCAACAAGGATATCCTCAATATCACCATTCCGTTACCCTATTTAAGGCATAAGCACGTCTTCACCAGAGATTTAGAGTGGAATCTGTCATTTTGCGTTCTCAGTTACGTATTCAATGACCAGGGTCAGATCCGCAAACGATTCCTCAAAGAACGAAACAAACCGTTACTCGTCGCAGGGTAAGATTGGCGCTATTATGTCTTGTTTTTGGTTTTTTTCGAGAAATAAGGGAATACTAAGCCAGTTTGCGCTTGCGGCCACAGACTTCGACGTCGTTTTATTTTTATGGGGTTATTAAATCTTATCTTCGCACCGTTCATTCTTGGGTATCTGCTTATCTTCTTCTTTTTCCGGTATTTCGAGGTAAAGCTTTGCTCTGTCATGCTGTTAGAAAAAGAGGAGCTCATTCGGATTTTCGATCACAGGAATATCACAAGAACCCCAGTGAAATCGGTTCGCGAGGTTATTCGCCTTTTGCAAAATGGAAATTTCGCGAATTCAATGAATTACCCCACTTTTTTCGCGCGCGGCTCAGCTTAAGCTATGGTTCCGCCAACCAATATATCAACCAGTTTCCCAAAGAGAAAGCGGCGCTGGCAGCTCGGTGAACAAGTCGTTTCAAAAAAATGTCAAGTCAAATGAAAGTATAGAAAAAAAACTGATGATGCCATATTTTTTTTTCCGTCCTAGATTCGTCGCCTTTGTTTCTGGATCGTTTGCGGGCGTATTAGCGTTGTTGTCGCTTTATGATTCGGAGGCGCTATTGAATTTTGAAATCACGCCCAATGGAACGGTTTTGTTTTATCTGGGGATCTTTGGCACGGTGTTCGCCGTCAGCCGCGGAATGATTCCCGACGAGCATTTGGTTTTCGAACCCGAACGGTTACTGAAAGAAGTCGTGGAAAACACTCATTACATGCCACAGGAATGGCGCGGCAAATTACATACAGATGAAGTAAGCTCAATGTTTTCATCTCCATTTCCACTGCCAAATGCAGTCTATCGAGACAATCTTTTTGGCAAATCTTTTTTTGGCACATTTTGCTGGTCTGTTTGTGCGGGGATCCGGACTCACCATGCTTTGGATTGATTAGGTGCGTGCTCAGTTTTGTCAGTTATTTGATTATCGTGTGTCGTTGTTCTTGCAAGAGCTCCTGAGTGTGATATTTACACCGGTGGTGCTTTGGTTCTCGCTTCCTCGATGCGCAGAACAGATTGTTGATTTCTTCCGCGAGTTCACCGTGCATGTGGATGGTCTAGGCTACGTGTGTAGCTTTGCTCAATTCGATTTTGCTCGTCACGGAAATATCAAGTATGGCGCTCCCACTGAAGTCGAAGACGAATACTACATGACCAAAGAAGGCAAAATGGAGAAGAGTTTTCTGAATTTCAAGGTAAAACCGAGACATGTCATGCCTGACAAAATCTTTTTGCCCCAGAAAAAGAAAACACCAACAGAAAAAATGAAGCTTCCGATGATGTCTTTTATTTTATTTTTGCTCTATTGAAACTTGCTTTTGTTTTAGGTGAATAACCCTGGATGGGAGCCCAACGACATTGCAGGATCAATGTATCTGTCACGACTAGCGCACTTCCAACAACAGAAACTGCCGCATACCTCAGACACAAAAGACGAGCCTTCCGGAGAAAGCAGGGAAGCTTCGCCGGAACCTGCGGATGTTCTTCATACGCCGACATTCCAACGACATCATTTTGTTCCGCAACCAATGCAACCCTCCAACATAGAATACTCCGATCCTGGTACACCTAGTCATCCCGTAGAAGACCGTCATGTTCCCAGTAACTTAGGTGACTCATTTGCTCATCCCCCGGAAAACCGGAATATCCACTATACTTGGCAACCTCACGAAGAAGAAGAAGAGGAAGAAGGCGAAGGAGCGGATCAAATCCCACGACAAGCGCACCCTCCTGTGCCTGGCATGTTGGGTTTACTCAACGAGTTCTATGACCTTAATAATAACCCCGGCCGATGGTAATAAAAACAATGGAAGGGCCTGACGATCGGAACTTGGAGTGAGGATTGAAAATCTTTCATTTTGACCCGCGGCCTTCTGTTCCTTCTTTTTTTTTACTATCACCAATCATCCACAATAAAATATCCATGATTCGTAAGAAAAGAATGCAAAAATGGGGATGACCAATAAGCTTATTGAAGTGTAAACAAGCTAAAATAATGAAATGAGCAAAAGGGAAACCGGCGCTGGAAGATCATTTGTTGGAACCATTTGCGTATTAGCGTTCGGCTTACAACCAAATAAACAAAAACGGCGCTAGGAGGGAGCCGATTGAAACTCAGTTATGACATGAGGGGATCACAAAAAAAATGACATGGTGTGCGGAATTTGATTCGTCATTTGTTGATCGGAAAATCTCCATGTTTCAGCTCGGGGACAATCTCAACAGGCTAAAATCGCGTCATTGAACTACCGATCCCTCGAGGAACGAGTCAAAAAAAACCTGGGGTGGGGTAACGAAGAAAACCGGGTATGTTCAGGCAAATAAGTACACTAATGTAAAGTGAACAAAAAATGAATACTAGCAATGCATAAGACTCTGAGAATCGGCAGAAATTATAATGGCTACAATTTTTCCCATTGGGTGGCAACGTTTTCTCTGTGTAAAGTGGCAATGCGTGGGAAAAGGACTTAATTTGGAACGCTCGTTGATTGGTCGTCATATCCAGAACCTATCCATTTGCTTGAAGTTAAAAAAAAAACATCCTAAAAAAACATATAAATTACTACGCTTCGCTGCCAAGGGAACGGGTTCGCTTCTTTTACTTTACTTCACATCAAATAAAGCATCATGGCCGCCATTCAGACTCCCACTCTTGCTCACTTCAAGTTGCCCAACATTGAAAATGAGCCTATGGTAAGTTGAGCGACGCGCCTATGGGCTACAGTGTTGATGTCATTTTGCAAGGTTTAGGTATCTAACCCACATTTTTCTCCCTTTAGTTGAACTATGCCCCCGGCTCTACTGAGAGACAGAAGCTCACCGAAGCTCTCAAGGAAATGAGCGCTCAAGGTGCTGTTGAAGTCCCCGTTGTTATCAACGGTGAGAAGGTTAGTTGAAAAAAAAAGAGCATGCAATGGATGACCCTGATAAGGACAACCATGGAACTGATGCAAATATATGCAATGAATATATTAGATCTACACTGGTAACACTGCTGAGCAGTACAACCCTTCTTCTCACAAGACTGTGGTGTGCAAGTACCATCAAGCCGATAAGGCTCTTACCCAAAAGGCCATCGATGGTGCTTTGGCTGCTCGTGCCAGATGGGAAGCTCTTCCCTTCAACGACCGTGTTGCCGTCTTTTTGAAGGCCGCCGATTTGTTATCCACCAAATACAGGTAAGCGTGGGGTGGGAGAGAAAAAAAAAATTATCGTCGGGTGACACGGAACTAACGGGTAATCCATCCTCCAGATTCAAGATCATGGCTGCCACCATGCTCGGTCAGGGTAAGAACATCTGGCAAGCTGAAATTGATGCTGCTGCCGAGTTGTGCGATTTCTGGCGCTTCAACTGCAAGTACGCTGAAGAGCTGTACCAGCAACAACCCCCCAAGAACGCTCCTGGCAACTGGAACCGTACCGAATTCCGTGCTTTGGAAGGTTTCGTCCTTGCTGTGTCTCCTTTCAACTTCACTGCCATTGGTGGTAACTTGCCTTCGGCTCCCGTGTTGATGGGTAACGTTTGTTTGTGGAAGCCCTCTCCTTCGGCCGTCTACTCCAACTACTTGGTGTACGAGCTCCTTGTTGAAGCCGGTTTGCCCGCGGGTGTGATCCAGTTCATCCCCGGTCCCGCCGAAGAAATTTGCGGCACCGCCATTGACAGCCCCGATTTCGCTTCCCTCCACTTCACTGGTTCCACCCACGTCTTCCGTCAGTTGTGGAAGCAGATTGGTAACAACATTGAAAAGTACAAGAGCTACCCCCGTATTGTTGGTGAAACTGGTGGCAAGAACTACCATCTCGGTTTGCCCGATCTTGATTCGGCTGGTATTCGTCACGCCGCTATTCAGACCATCCGTGGTGCCTTTGAATTCCAGGGTCAAAAGTGCTCTGCATGCAGCCGTGTCTACTTCCCCAAGAGCAAGTATGACGAATTCAAGTCCGTGTTGCTTGCTGAACACGCCAAGATCTCCCAGGGTCCCGTTGAAGAATTCAAGCACTTCATGGGTCCTGTGATCAACAAGTTTGCTTTCGACAAGATCAAGTCCTTCATTGACTTTGCTGCTTCCAGTGACGACTGCAAGATCCTTGCCGGTGGCAAGTACGACGATTCCAAGGGTTACTTCATCGAACCCACCATCATTGAAACCACCAACCCCTTCACCAAGACCATGGTTGAGGAAATCTTTGGTCCTGTGATGACTTTGTACGCATATGATGATAACAAGTTCGAGGAAACCTGCAAGTTGGTCGGTGACACCACCCAATACGCTCTTACTGGTGCCATCTTTGGCCGCGAACGTGCTAACATTGTCGAGGCTTCCAACTTGTTGCGCAACACTGCCGGTAACTTCTACATCAACGACAAGTGTACTGGTGCGGTGGTCGGTCAACAACCTTTCGGTGGTGCTCGTGCTTCCGGTACCAACGACAAGGCCGGTTCCTTTGCCTTGCTCGGTCGTTTCTTGTCCATGCGCTCCGTCAAGGAAAACTTTGTGCCCATTGACGCCTTTATCTACCCCTCCAACAACTAAGAAGGTCTAACTATTGTGAATTAAGTCAGTCAAACAACCAACCACCAAATAATCATTTTACAACCGCCGGAATCTAGGGTCACTCATCCATTGGCTGGGGAAGAGTTTGTATATTCATTGTAGTATAGTTTCAACATCTTGTTTTTTTTTTCTTTATTCTTTTTGCGCTTATGATTCCAAAAATCATACATAATATAAACAATACTTTTTTTTTTGGTTGCTTACATTTTTGCTTTCATTCCTCTTATTGAATTTTGTTTGTTGACACCATCAATAAATGGGAAAGGAAAAGGAGTTCCTTCAGGAAACAAAAACAATTTTGTTTATTTTTTTTTTGTGGTGATGAATTTGTATAATAATGGTGTGAATAATGGACTGATGACTGTAGGTGAAAAGATGTCCCATTATGTGTGGATTCACCAACCCCTGTCAATTATTGATAAACGGATACAGACCAGGTTGGAGAGAGCGGTTCATCAAAAATGGACTTGGTATGCCGCCTTCGAATCTCCGTAAATAGAGTAGAGCGGACGAACCAATTTCGGCGGAAGCGGGACATTTTTTATGACGATGGCACAATATGCCTGTTTGGTGCCAAACATGCTTCTTCCACATTTGGAACAATTTCCACCTTGATACCATGTTGTTCTAACAACGACACTCCCGTGCAATTCACGAGATTAGGAGGTTCACGTACACCCATCACGACACGAGCAATTTTGGCTTCAATGAGACGGTCGGTGCATGGGCGGTTTTTTGACAATCGGACAGAGCAGGGCTCCATTGTAGTATACATGATGCCACCTTGAGCATCGGCAAGAGAATCAAGTTTCGCCAACGCACTTTCTTCGGCGTGGGTGTTACCAGGTAACTCGCGTGAATACCCAGTACTCAACACTCGTCCGTTGGCTGACACGAGCACCGCGCCCACGCAATACGCTTTTTCCACAGGAAGAGACTTGTGCGCTTCAGCAATAGCCATGTTCATAAATGCGGCATCCGCGGCATCCTCGGTATAAGGCGTTCCGTGAGGATCAGTAGCTGGCATGGTGGAATGAAAGAAAGCAAGGAACTTTTTTTTTTTTGAATGTCAGTTCCCCTTTTGATGGGTGCCGCCTTGGCCCAATTCGGCAGTGCGCGATAATTTCCACCAATAAGCGATGTAGCCCGCACATGGAGCTTGCCCGACAATTCATGTTTAAATAAAACTGTCGTTGAAGGATCAACGACTTTTCATCATCTTGCTTACTTTAACTATATCCAGTCCCTTCCATTCCTTTCATTCCCCTCCCTAAAACCACTATGTTTCACCATTCACAAAGTTACCCTAATGCCGATCCTCACTATCACAAGTAAATGACCAGACCAACACGCAAACGCATACCAGAGCTCCGAACTAACCAAAGGCACCTCATCTGTACCTTTTTAGGCAGCAAACCGACCTTCCATTCAACCAATACCCCGCTGTAAGTCTTTTTTTTTCTTGCAATAGGTGAGATTTCCACTCGTATTGAGTCATACTTTTTACTCTTTGGGTTCATTGGATCAGGATCATCAGGTAACTTATTTCACGCAGCGAGACATGATACCATGACAAGTAACTGAGACCCTGAAAAAAATGGATCTGAAACCATAGACACGCCACGATTACAACCATTTTTCAGGCGTCCATTCCGCTATCCTTGACCCACCCGCTGGTCTTTCACGCGAAACTATCATTGGTAAGTCTTGTCAACTCCCCAATGTAATTCAGATGATTATCTTGCACAAACTGAGTAAAAATTTCGAAAATCACACTTTTACACACCAAAAAAAAAAAAAAAAAAAGAACCGGCATTGTCATCGTTGAAAACCTTTTCAGTGGTGCCTCAGAGTATCTACGGAATCGAACAATTGCCACATGCTTCGCCAAATGATACGGTGTCGCGGCCTATTGCCGATTTTTTCCATACGGCAGTGGAAGATGATCTCGCGGAGCCTGACACCCGATCCATTGATTGTCCATTATCAATCAAACCTCGAGTTCATCATGCCGATATTCCTATCAAAACGCAACAAGCTTATGCCCAGGTTCCTATGCCCTCTTCCGCCACCATCGAGGTATGCCACGACGCTCCGTATGCTCGTCCGTCACCGCCATCTCCGCTTCCTCCACCGCTCAAGATACCCCTTACCCCTGACTCATCCATGTCAACACCGCCATCGGGATGCACGACTGGAAGAGCACTGACACCGAATGCGTTTGCTGCCCCATCCAGCGCCTTACCTACACCTCAATCGCTTAGCTCCGCCACTCCATCTTCCGCGACGCCGAGGTCGGCAGCCACCAAGTCCTCGTCTTCAGCCGCGGGTTCAGAAATTGAAAGCATGGTGCATGAAGGTATTCGACTCCATGAACAAGGTCAAGTTGAAAAGGCAACCCAATTATTCCGTATTGCCGCTGAAAAGCAAGATCCTCTGGGCATGTTTCTTTACGGTGTGTCGCTCCGTCACGGTTGGGTGAGTCAAAACTGACAATTCGTAAAGGTTCTGACAGTTGATCTGACATCACGGATTTCTTCAGGGTTGTAAGCGTAGCGAAAGACTGGCCTTTCAATACTTGCAAAAAGCGGCGGAACATGCTGTGTTGGATCTGAATAGTTTCTCATCCACCGTCAACACGTCGGCTTCACAAAGTGAATTGGTCATGGCTATTTACGAATTGGGGGTGTCGTTCCGTCACGGTTGGGGTGTAAGTAAACGTTGTCACTACTCTTGATGATGAAAAATCGTCATCTCATTTTGTGTACTTCCATCTCTAGTGCAAGAAGAACAAGGAAACAGCTGTGTATTTTTTCAAGATTGCGGCGGATTTAGGCGATGCCGACGCTCAGAATGATTTGGGTCACTGTTATTACTATGGTCACGGAGTGAAGAAGGATCTGTACATGGCAGCCAAATATTATCGTAAAGCCGACAAGCAAGGACACGGAATCATGGGCAACTCTTGGATCTACAAGACAAAGTATGATAAACCCAAACCATGAACGCGAAAAATGTTGATGCCACTCGATGACACTGTATCTAACCAGTTGTATCTCCTTGAATGCTCTTTTTAAAATGAGCTTTTTTTGTCGTTTCTTTTTCTGCTCTTCTATATAAACTTATTCACCTTTTTTTTCTCCCATTTCTTTTTGAATTTAATCATGATTATTGTTTTATCCATGACATCAGTTCACTGGATTATGTCTATTATTCTTTGGGTTGGAGCGGCAGACTCCAGGAACAGCCTAGGAACGCTATGGTTGTCACAGGGATAATTGCTGTAGTACCACAGAAGGATTTATTGGAAGCACACACAAAAACATACCCTTGCATTCATTAATACAGAGAGCCATAATGATATTTATTGCAAGAACAAGGAGCAATTAACCTAAAATTGAGTATGACGGATAAGCTACAAGCTATTTTAGTTTCAACATCTAGAGCTACCGCAGCCTATTGAGTTTCCTTGTAGAAAGCAATCATCAGCCCTCGCTGAAAGAGTGTGCACAAGCTCTTTTCATGTTTATTAGTACCAGAACTCGCGAGCATTGTATAGAAAATGGCACAATTTTTTTTTATTCTCCTCACGCAATGGTGCCTTGCCAGCGTGTCACGTGGACGACCAATTTTTTTGGGTCGGTGGAGGGCTAAGGGAAAAAGACGACGAGCATTTTTGGATTTCAAAGAGCTTTGTCTCTCCACCCATTTACTCGTTTCCATTGACAGCCTCCTTGTCATGGCGTCTGCCAAATTGCTGGGAAAGCTACAGGCAGATCAAAATGCCATTACTCAAATGGCCGAGCTGCATGCCAAACAAGGAGCCACCGTCCATACGTATTCCCGAAGACCTGTCGGAGAACCCCATCGTTGGCTTGCTCATCGACGGTCTCAACAGCAATCGACATTTAGCGGAAACAATGTAACTAGGCTGTTTTTGTCATGGCATTCTTGGTTAAAATATACTTATCATTTGACACCGTAGGAGGAACTGTCCAAACGAGACGAAGCAGGTGAATATCCTATCAAAAACGCGCAACCACTTTTTTTTTCTCCACGATTGACACGCATAACCTTTCCTCTCTAGACATTATCCGTCGCCACGAAAACGACCCAGCTTCGCTTGTTCTTCATTTATATCCGACGTACTTTAAATTCGAACATGAAGTAAGCATTGTCGACCTCAATATGCAAAACAAAGATTTTTGCATAGCGATTGCAAAAAGACTGACCTGATCGTTTCGTTTAGGATGGCTTCTTTTCTTACAAGAGTCAATTCAAGGTACTTTATTGGGAGCAAAACACCTTGTCACATTTTTTCCAAACAGCATACAATTAACCACCAACTGCCACATGTAGGACTTTTTAGCTTCCATCAAAGACAAACGATTGCCACCCGATTTGATGGATGTATTCAACGAAGCGTCTTGTCGCTACTATGAAGGTGCAGTGCATTTCCCACTTTGTTCGCTCGCTATTATTGACAGTGCGTTCGGTAATGTTAACACAAAACGACACAAAATAGGGTGCCTGATTGTGGAAATCCATGACCATCGTAAAGCGAGGAACAACTACCATAATGCGACGAATGACGAAGCCAGTGCCGATGTCGAGATTAAACGAATTGTAATGCAACCGACTGCTGAAAGTATTTGGACCGATATTAGCTTACTCAGTGAAGAATGGGGGTTTCCCTGGACCGAGCAAGTAGCCCTGCAAGTAGAAGCCGAAATCTTGGTAAGCATTCACCGACGGGAACCAAACCTTTTGCGCCAAAATATGCTATTGACTAATGTTTGGATGGTTTGGTTTAGTTGGCGACAGAGGAGCCTTTATGTCTCGATCCTTCTATTCAAGTAGCACGGGTCAGCAATGCCATTGAGTTTACTACGAGTGATCGTAAACCCAAAAAGAAACCAAAATGGAATTCTCTGGAGCGAGAGCAAAAGTTGGCCAAGAAGGCGGAAAATAACAGAATTATGACTATCATGGATTCGGTAAAGTGATGATGTTAATGAACGGTATGGTGAAGATGTGTGTTTTCTCATTGATCGTTTATCTCTTTTAAGCGTGGCAAGCGTCCTTTCCCGTTCGAGCCCAGGTAATTCATGAAAATGTATCTATGAGGCGTATCCATGATCTGACGGAAATTTCTTGGTGTAGTTTTGGAAAGATTTCGTTTGTACAAGAATGGCGATCCAAGAAACAAAAGTTGATGGCCGAACCTATTCCTTCCGTGGAAATGAAAAAAGGCAAAGGTAAGTGTGAAAGTTGCCCATTACCACTGTTACCGGGTGACTGACGAGTAGACGATTGAAAGGACGCAAAGTCTTGGGCGAACCTATTTTATTGCCAGATGGACGCAAATGTGTACGAACCATACGATTTGAACGATCCGAGGGGACCCGTATGTAACACGACGGAACATTGAACGTTACATGGCGATCATGCCTTATTCATTCATATTTTTTACCACCACAGGAAAAATATATACCCTTGTCAATCTCTATATTCTCAATGGAGAATACGACGGCGTGTTTCGCTGGGGCACGGCTTTTGATACGAGTTTGAATGGAGGAAACATTGAGTAAGTGATTATGGCAGTTAAACCGAAAATGATGTTGGCTAACGGGAAGTGATCACCAGTTTCAGGGTCGGACCAGAATACCTGATGGAGACGTATGTTGTTCATCTTAAAACCATGTATGGCCGATTCAATACATTAGTCTGTGACAACAACCTAGCCAATCCTGTTCCTCGTTCCCCTTCGGTTGCGGCTCGATTGGCGGCCGCCGCAGCGGCTCAACAACAGCAAATGAATTTCCAGTTGCAAGCACAGAATCTACAACAGCATCTTCAGGCCCAACAAGCAAGGGCCATGCAGCAAGGAAAACCCATGACAGCTCATCAACGCGCGTTGCTCACTCAAGCTCAGGCTCAGGCCCAAAGCCAGGCATTAGCCCAAGCCCAGGCTCAAGCACAAGCACAAGCACAAATGCAGCCAGGCGTAACACAAGCCCAAGCGCAAATGCAACCACAAGTTCAGGCACAAACCACTCCTCAAACACAAGCACAGTCACAAGCACAAGCCCAAGCCCAAGCTCAGGCACAGGCTCAAGCTCAAGCTCAAGCTCAGGCTCAAGCCCAGGCGCAAGCGCAAGCCCAGGCGCAAGCTCAAGCACAAGCTCAAGCTCAGGCGCAAGCTCAGGCGCAAGCTCAGGCACAGGCTCAAGCTCAAGCTCAGGCCCAGGCTCAGGCTCAGGCTCATATGCAACAAATGCAACAAGCTCAAGTACAATCGCAGTCGCGAACATCCACGCCTTCTCAACCCCAGCTTGGAACGCCCACCCCGCCGCACGCTCAAACTCCAGCACAGGCTGCTGCAACGTTACCACGTCAACAGCTTGCTCTTCCTGGCAATGCTACCATGAAACTTCCCACGACGACGCAAGCTCCAGGTCAACTGTCTGCTCAACATATGGCTGCATTGCAACAACCTACCACCATGTCACTCTCGCTTCCTCCACGCGCCATGAACCCCATGGCTCACATACCTACCAGTGGCGCTCCCAACCAAGGTGTACCTACCTCCAATCCATTGCATGCCATGAATACAGCTGGCGTAGCTCCAGGCACCGCGAATCCCTTGTCCAATATACAACAAGCAGCTCTTGCCAATGCTCTTGGTCTGGGTGGACAGCAAACGGTATCACCTCAAGCCTCACTTCAACGTATTCAACAGTTGGTGGCGACAGGGGCTATACCATTAGCTACTGCACAACAACTTGTAAGCCAACTCGCCGCTTCAAGCAATATTGGTCTGCTGCAAAGACAGCAATTGGCTGCTTTACAACAACAGCAACAGCAGCAGCAACAACAGCAGCAACAGCAGCAAGCATCCCAACAGCAACAAACGCAACAATCACAGGGCCAACAACCTCCAACGCCGCAGCAACAACATCAACAACCCCAAACCCCTCAACAATCACTGATGAACACTCAACAATCTCCTGTGCAACAAAGAGTAAGTGAATAGAAATATTTTTACTCCCTCAACTCATGTTTATTCACTTTATTTCTGGACGCAGATGAATGCCAACATGCAGTTACCGCAAGGCACGCCACAATTGTCGGGAGGTCAACCAGGTAGGTTTAATGGGAGATTGTCTTTGTTTGTTCAAAATTGCAAATTTCATTGGTTAGCTCATTCGTACTCTTTTTTTGATTTATGGCTACAGTCAATACTGCTGCATCACAGTTGTTCTCGCAACTTACTCCTCAACATCAACAACAATTGACACATGTGATGATGCGACGTAATCAACTGATGGCGGCCGCGGCTCAGCGAGTAATCAGCCAGGAGCAGTTGCAACAGTATCTACAACAACTTCACCAAATACAGCAGGGCATTCTCCAACAATACCCACAACACGCGCAACAGGTGCAACAAGCACAACAACAACAAGGTCAACAAGGCCATCAAGCACAGATGCCGCAAGCTCAAGCACAGATGCCGCAAGCTCAAGCTCAAGCACAGGCACAGGCTCAAGCTCAAGCACAGGCTCAAGCACAGGCTCAAGCACAAGCTCAAGCTCAAGCACGGGCGCAGGCTCAAGCACAGGCTCAAGCCCAAGCTCAAGCACAGGCCCAAGCACAGGCCCAAGCACAAGCACAAGCACAGATGAATCGAACGCCTCAAGTCCAAGCGCAGCAATTACCCAATCAGCAAACCATGGGTGGTGTACCAGGGGCTGGCTTAAATCTTGGATTGAGTGCACAACAAGCACATATGTTACGGCAACTCATGCTTCAACGAACTCAAAATGCAGCGAGAGGTCGAGGTCGAGGGCAGGTTCCATTGACGCCTCAGCAAATGGCAGCAATACAGGCGATGCGTCAAAATAGCGGGGCGTTAAGGCAAGGCGCGAGTCTTCAAGATATGAACAGCCTCAATATGATGGCGGGATTGAATCGCGAACGGATTGCCGCGGCTGCCGCGGCTGCGGCCGCAGGCAATAACGCTGGTCTTTTAGGTACACAACAACCGCAGCAGGGATTGCAACAATTTCAAATGAATTTACAATTTCAACAACAACAAGCGGCCGCCGCCGCCGCTGCCGCACAGCAACAACAACAACAACAACAACAACAACAACGAGGAATGATGGGAATGCAGCAATCACAAGGAAATCCCAATTTAGGTCCTGGTGAAACACCTTCTCAACCCAATTGATCCATGCACTCGTTTTCTCAATGTTCTCTTCTCCACAAATGATCTTTCTCATCCCTCTTTCCTTATTTATCCATCAATCCCAACCTTGAATTTTTATTTTTATTTTTCCTGTCATCCTGTCGCATCACTTTTTTTCTCTTTTAATACAACTACTACTCTGAATACATATCTCTATTTTGTGTACTCTCTTTCTTTTTTTTTCCTTCTGAAAAAACTGAACAATACACTCATGACTACTTTTTTTTTCTTTACGTACACAAAATGCATCGTGATGGGCGACCCTTTTTTCTGACTTTTTGAGTTTGAATTAGGAAGTATTTTGGCCAAATTTGGTAATTGTTTTCCCAATGCATTATTTTAACTCATTTCTTTTCTATGGCAGCAGGAAAAATAAACAAAGTTCCCCAGAGAATGGAACTTGACGTTTGTTTTTCCTTTATTTTTTTATCTTAATTACTAAATAACCCCATGTCCCCTAACGCAGCTGCCATGGACGCATCACCCTCAGATGCTTTCACTTCGTTCGCCAACAGTTTCTGGGTAAAAAATCAAATGCCACGATCCAAACTATAGCATGTCAAGAAAAAACTGCTTGTAACTGACGAAAAAGATCGTCCTAGAGTTGTGATCGTCAAGGCTTGGATTCTCTGCAAAATTATGTAGAGGAAGCCTATCATACCATGGAAACATTGTATACAATGTACAGCGAACGGTAGGTATTTCCGGTTTGGATGGGTCCTGGACGCTGGCCATGGCTGATCGAGTTTACTTGTAACAGTGCACAATTGGAAGCCGATTTCGGTCAGAAGCTGATGAACTTGTCAAATAAAGCCCCTCCCTCCACCAAGGATTCAGAGGATCAAAAGGAAACCAAAGGGGTCGCTGCTGCAATAGACACTGTCCATACCGAACTCCTCAAGACAGCCAAATCACACATTGATCTCTCGCGACGGCTTGAACAGCAGGTAGCCGGTGCCTTGCAAACATGGATCTCTGAGCATCGCGATGCAGTTACCAAGGTAATTTCATACGGCTGATTATTTTTCGGGTTCACGTCATTTTCCTTTTCGCCCTGCATGCTGACATTGATCGTTCGGTTATATTAGTGGTCCATTCCACTGAACGAGTGCTATCAACGACGACAGACTTACATCATGCAACTCCTTCAAGTACGCGAGAAATATCACACTGAATATCGCTCAGCCGAGGGTCCACACTCATCACGGTTACAATCGCTTCGTAAGTCGGTGAATGTTCCTCATTTTGGCATTGATGATTGCTTAACCTAGTCCTGCCACTTTAGAAAAAGAATATAAACAACTGCTGGCAAAAGTCGACGAGGCTGTGAAGCAATGGAATAACGAATGGCTAAAGGCTTGCAAGGTAAAAAATGACATATTCTCTGCCTAGGCCCAAATTCAACTAAACTTTGTTGAACACCGTTTTGCAGCAACTAGAAACAATGGAACAAGAACGAATAGAATTTTTTACCAACAACACATGGGAATATGCCAATCTTGGATCGGCAAGGTTGTTGGTACAGGACGAAGTAAGTTGGTACTTCAGTTTGACAAATCCACATTCATCACTCATATTGTCGTTGCAGTGGTGTGAAAAGATTAGAAAAAAGCTGGAAGAGTGTGATATTGGCGAGGAGTTGGAAAGACAGGCTCGAGAGTTTGGGCTTGGAACCGATATGCCATGTAAGTCATAGCGAATAGATGCAAGATCCATCCATGGCTCATTATTCATGCTTTGCTTTCCCAGCGACCAATGATTACGTTGATTTCTACATTAAGCAACAGAAGCAACATCCACAAAAGTTGCGAAAAGCATCACCGCAACCAAATGATCATCGTCCTAGACCCATTGCCGCGGATGCGCATAAAAGTCTTCCACCTCGCCCAACAACTACCAACGACAATAGATTGCATGATGCACCTAACAACCCACAACCATCGACGTCGACATCGTCATCGTCCTCGTCATCGTCCACCGCCAAACGTGGGCCTATCAAACGCAAGCCTTTGGATCGACAAATGATTGGTGATCTTAAATCAACGGTATCCTCACAACGTGGAGCCCCCTTGGATGCCAATGCCTCATCTCGTTCTGGTCCTGCCCGATCGTCTTTGGCCAATCTGGAAGATCTACTTCGCAAATTTGAAGGACCGACCACGGATCACAACTCAGAACCCGTGCACCATCGAAACTCTGTGCAGCCACCAAAACCAGGCACCGGCATACCTCAACCACCTATGCACTCGGCGCTTCCTTCAATTCCTTCGGCCCCAGAGTCGCATCATGGAGATACAGGCTTACCCAACATTCCGACCCCCAGTAGTAGCTCGGCTTCCTTATCCACCATGAATGAAGCCATCAAACCTCCTAAATCCCCTCGACCATCCTCACAACAGCTAGCGTCACATGTATTACAACAGCAACAGCAACAGCATCAGCATCAGCAACACTCCTATCAACCACATCAACAGCAGCAGCAGCAACATCCACACCAGCACCATCAGCAGCATTCACACCAGCAAATGCCACCAGAGCAAAACGCTACACCGGGAATGATGTCTGATTATAACCGGCCACTTCCGTGCTCTCCTGCGATCCAGCCACAATACGGTCCACAACAGGATCGGCTACAGCAGCAGTCACATCCACCGGCATCGAATCAACCCATCGGTAATCCCATGAATATGTCCATGACATCGGAAACACCCATGATGCCACCTTACACTCAGGCAGCCAACGGTCCCGCTCCATCATCAATGGCAGCTTCTCCTATGCTAACGTCTACTCGGGCCGCCCCACCCTCCCCTATTATGATTCCTTCTGGCGCCTCGCTTGCGCAAGCTCGTTCGCCTGTAGCGGCTCCTGCTGCGCTTCACTCACCTTCCATGTATCAAGCACCACCCAGTCCCTACATGACGCCGGTACCGTACGGTGCACGCGACATGCGATCAACGTCTGCTGCAGGACAACCGTATCAGCCGCCATCGCAACAGGCGTATCCTCATTCGCCCATGCTGATACCCACCTCACCTCACGGACCCCAGCATCAGGCTTACTCTCGTCCGGCTTCACCAATGATGGGCCCCGCTTCTCCTTCGGCGTATGCCTTGCCAATGTATTTACCCGACGGACGACCCGTTGCCACTTGGGCAAGAGCGAAATACGATTATGTGGCCAATGATTCCACGGAACTTACGTTTAAGCGCGGCACTCTGTTTGCGCTCACGAGCATGTCAGTGGACGAAGGTTGGTGGAACGCTGAATTATGGGACGAAGTACGTCAATGCTCTTGTGCTTCGGGTTGCATCCCGGGTAATTATGTAGTGAATGTTTGACGAAGATGCTCCTCTTCAACTTTTTTTTCTTTTGATAATAATAATAAAAAAGGAAGATGTGTGCCTATTGGTTGAACAAGGACGATCGGCGTGATTACGTACTTTAAAATATAAAAGCATAAAAAAAAAAATGCAACTTCATATTGTCGTCATCTGTAACGATCCAACGTTATTGGTGTAACGGTGCCGGTCAGCATGTTTTTTATACATTTGCATCGAGAACTTTACATTGGTCAACAACAGTGGGACAATGAATGTAACGTTACACAAGAAAAGGGGATTGTCAATTCGAGGTACATTAAGAATAAGAGTGGGTCGTCGACAAGTATGAGGTAAAACAATGATGAAAAATGCATATCAGAGGGATTTTGCGAATTGTATGGATTTGCTCAGTTAAAACGGAAAATAATGGACAAGGTGGGTGGCTTGCACTAGGATCGTCGAAACTTGAAAGACTTTTTAATATGCGTGTCTATGGCGGTGGATGACGATGAATGAACTCTTTTTTTTATTTCGAATAGCGACACCAGAATTCGTGGCTGTGAAATAGACCTGGTAGGTTAATAATTGGATGACATGGTTGCATTCATGAACCACCAGCTTACCTAAAACAAGTGACATCTACCCCGCATGAATCGCAAAAGGTTTCGGTCGAACGCACGACAAGGAGATGCGCGTGAAAAAGGGTATGGCGGAAATGAACGTGTTCATGGTGACGAGACGAACAATGATGAAATGGCATGGCAATGAAATATTTACAAGGAAGATGATGAAAATGAGTAAAAATAAAAATAAAAAGGAGAAATGGTGAATGAAAAAAAAAAAGAAAAAGCTTAATGATGCCGTGCCTCTACTTTTATAGATGACAAGAACGAATTTTTCCCCTTTACGTCATATTCTTATGTGATTTTTTACTTGCATTTTCTTCTGTCGTTTTCCATCCAGTCCTGGCAGTTAACACACTTTCTCTTGAACAGTTACTAGTTCTTATTATCATGCTGACGTTTGACTGCATATGTTGCCCCTCTTTACTTTGGTTCTACTAAAGTATTGAATGAAGGCGCGGGATTCCTCTCCCGAACGCATCCGTCCGATTGGCCAAGCCCGGGGCGTCACCTTTATTCAATCTGCGCTCAAGCTTTTGGTTCACCGCCCAGGATCCACATCCATGGACGGCGGCCGGCTTCATCGTCCTTCTCCATTTCTTTAAACCGTTGATCAGCGGATGCCAGTTGAAACAATCTGCGCGCTGAACGTGCTTAAAGTTCTTTGACCTTCTGTAATTATCCGTGCAAGGGCTACCAAAAGCGCCCAATTATCATTCTTTTCAAGCTCATGAACAGCGGGTCTTTTTTTATTGTTGCAAATATTATGGCTTCTCCACCACCCTTTATTAAACATTTATTCAAGACCCTATCAATAGCAATTTGAGACTATTGAATTGAAACAGTAAGTACGTTCCTTGAGGTATTACGCTTCTGATTCTCAACGATCAAAGTTGCGTCATATAAAGTTTGGCAACAGAGAGCTGTCACATCCGGTCTTCAATCATCGTCCTCCGCTTTTTTCAACTGCATGATAGTGTTTATTATGTTTATTTCCGTATTATCCGTCAACTGTAATTTTATCAGCGGTCTATGTCGGAAAACCACAAACAGATTCCACCTTTCCTGAATGGCGCCAGCAATTTCTCTGGGCGCGACTCCACACAAAGCCAGCGCATCGTCTAACAATCACTTTTTCAGGTAATGGATTTGAAAACATCAGACAGCAAACATTGCGTTGTGATTTGGTATTGGTTGATGCATGTTATTATGTAAAACTGTTTACACTTTTTTTGTCCAACGTATCGTGTATCGTTTGCCAGAAATGGTGCTCAGTAAGCCTGTACCATCTTTCTGAGAAATGACGGCACACTCGACCAGCAATCAGCTTTGAATTCCGTAATAGGAAAATGAACGTCGCCAACCCTACGTCACTCATTGTTTGTAGGTACTCAAGTTCACACCGGTCGCGCTCCCAAGGCATACATAAACTTGCTCTTGAAACCCATCTTGGAAACTGGTAAACGGCTTGCCTTTTGCGGAAATTTATTATCAAAAACCCATATGTACTGCCCTTCCGGGTGAACTTTCATGCCTTGATACAGCCTTCCTCGCGTCACACTGTGGTCTTCCAGGAATACACAATATTACAGCTGCATGGCGGAAGGAGCTGGTATGCTAAGTGTTTGGAAGAGCTGTCCGTGCATTAAATTTGTGTTTTTCGGATGCATAGGTTGCAGAAGCTTGCGTAGCTTAGAAACGACCGTGGCCAGAATGACGTACAAAGGATGGTATTACTGCTTGGTGCTTTGACGCAGTGAAGGGACTCGATTTTTTTTTCTGATTTTTACCACGGTTGTCCCACCGACACGTGGGCCCGCTTTTGGTTGCTGGATTTGACGTGAACTCTCATCGAGAGTGTGCTGCTGCGTCTGAACTTGGCAATGACATTGCTATTCAAGTCAGATAATTTGGATAAGGTTATCTTGCTGTTCAATTTCGAGTATGACTTGCAGGGAACTTATCCGAGTTTCTGTGGGAAAGATCTTCTCCTGTAGTAAGCATAAAAAATTTCGAATTTTTCGAATTAAGCAGTTGCAAGGCGTGTAGGTACACTAAAATGAATCGCTTTTTTTCCGGTTTCTGCTTCATCATTGGTAGGTGCCCGTCCAACTAACCTTTCACTTTGTTCAATTATCATGATGTGTTCAGCGGTTGATGCAAAATTGGATTTTGCGACTTTTGAGAGGAGGGTAGATTGCAAGGCCGGCAGGAAAAACACGAAAACAAAAAGATGGTTTGACAGACGTGAACAAGCACGTTCAGGTCATGGTCGTCATTGCTCGAAATGTCACGGTACAACGGGAATGTTCCACTGCTCAGAACCACATTAGTGAATGTGTCTAACTTCAGTTCGGGTCAAGACTGCTGTACATGTTGTTGAGTCATCATGATTCGATGGCTCTGGTCAGAATGCCGCCAAGGTGTTGGGAATTTTTTTTTATTATTATTCTGACGTTGTTGGATTTTACAGGCACTACGTAATACATGTACGCTTTAAATGGCGTGAATAAAGAACACAAAGTAAAAAGAAGGAGGATATGGTAAAAGGGGAATCATGATTCATACTGCCAAGAACTATTGCCTGAATTGAGAATATGAAAGGACACATTTTTGGAAATGGTACTATGGCAACGATCGTAGGGCGCTATACACATTGAAAGAAACGAAGATGTCAGTAATCAGATGGGTAGGTCATGACTTTTTTAAAATTAAAAAAGTAATTTACCTTTTCCGTCGTGATTTCGCGAGCATGGGAAAGATGATCTATTAGGTAGGAAAAAATACACAATTAATAAGGAGATGAACAATTAAAAATAAAAATAAAAAAATCTCTATTCATGGATTACGCACGGTCCAGATACTCGTATGCTGTAAGTTCCATTGGGCATGTTCTGCGGAATGTACCAAAGTGCATGACCGTGTCTGGTTACTGAGGAATTCGCTTCTGACCAATCGGCGGCCGGAAAATAGGTGATGACTTGATTTGTTTCTGCATTCAACAAAGCGACTGAAGCCGAGTGAAGTTTGGCCATGCCTTCAAAGCGAACTAATAAATGATGATTCAAAGAATTAGAGTTTTTTTCGTTGTGCCCTTTGTGCATATATGTATTCAAGCTCCAATAAATATGCAGCAATGCTCCATGGGAACGAGAATCAAAGATATGAATAAAAAAGCAGTAACCGAAGCGTACCTCGATAACGAATGTCCATATAGGTGCCTGCTGGAAAAATGCCCTGCGATGGCGGTTCGTCGAGGATGATACGATCAGCACAAGAATAACTGATTAGATAAAGAGACAACAGAAAATATAGCAGTCGCATGAGCAAGTAAAGAAGAAGAAAAAAAGTAGTGAGAATCCAATGGATTGAACAGATCATTGCAGAAATCGCGGGTTTATTTTTATATAAAAAAATTGGGTGGGACCAGGAGAGGGTCATTGAAAATGTTGCCGTTATTAGTACGTGGTTGTTGGATAAGGGGACCTGAGAAAAAAAAACCAACTGGCTGATTGTACGTTTTTTTTTCTCTCTGCTCCTCCAATAATCTATCCATCCCAGTCCATCGGCTATTTCTAGATTATGGCAATCATTTGAAAAAGCCTGTGTCATCCAAAACTTTGGACTTCAAAACACATGGGAAAAATGAGCGCATCATGACCTCTTTGTCACTATTTTTTGTGCCATTGTATATCATTTATTTGTTGCCCATTTTTCTGATGACGCTATTTTTTACTGTTTTTTCGAGAACACGCCCAAACGTGAGATGAACAATGCGTATACATAACTGAATTTGACATGGTCTATTGAATGTCAGGAGTGGTATGAAAGCAGAAGCTTTGGACCTTTGTTTTCCTTGAGGTTCCCCTTGTATGAAGATTTCACATGAAATAGAGGGTGTATCTATCTATGTGTAAAACTTGACACCCGAAACGTGTTTAATAAAGTGCTGCTTTGGGAATCCAGGGTCTTCAATCTTACGAAAAATCCATTCATGCATGATGTCAAATCAGAAGTCTGCGAAATGAAACAGGAAATATTTAGGAGAGTAAACTGTTTTGTGCTCCTAGTCGGATCAACCCCTCTGCGGGATGCCTGATGTTGTGTCTATTCCTTATCATCATTGCTAGATTCCCCAAACAGGATCTCCACTATCAACTGAAGCAGAAGTATATACGCCATCGATAAAGAAAAAAGGATCTTTACCAATACAGATGCTATGTTTGAAGGGACAAGGAGACAACATAACACATGTACGTTTTTTCAGCAGCATCCTGTGCGGTCAACAGAAAATTCAGCGAGAATTCATATGTTAAACAAATCCTTTGTTACAGTATGTACTTACCGAGCACGCAGACAGCGATCGACGACGATAGTCAAAATTTGAAAAAAGAACAATAGCCAAAGGATGGATCATAATCTGTGGCGATCCCAAATATGACAGAGGGCAGAAATCAAAAATGCATACATTTCTGTACTGAAAATGAAGTATGGACTTGTCAACAATGAGCATGGATGCATTACGTGAATACCACTAGCTGATTCGGCTGCAAGGGGAAACGCTGGCTGCTTCCCGCAACATGTACTGACGTAGCTGGTGAAGTTTGAATTTGAGCATATGTTCGTATTCACATACAAAGCAATCATGAACCGACTTCCCTTTTGATGCCAATCTGACAGCTGCATGGTCATACCGATCAGACAGAGCAATTACCAAAGCGTTTTCCCAAGTTTAGCATTACCCCTTGCTAGGGAAAAAAAAGCATCCCTCCGCAATTTTATCTTACCCCGTAATAGTCGGATCTATCAGTATATTACGAAAGGCTTCCAAAACATTTATTTGAAACAAAAACTCTTAACAGAACAATTTTGTCATCCATTACTAATCACAAAGATGACACTAGCCTACAAGTCAAAGCGCGAAGTGGGTAATTGCGCCCCTCACCCCTTTGTCATAAAATTCAAGCCACACAGATGTCCACAGACAATGACATACGGATTTTGTAATGCATTCAGCGGGTGGGTTGTGGTGGTTATCCTTGTGCTTGTCAGCATTAAAACTTGTTTCCGTGCCCAAGGCTCGCAATATGCGTTGGCTATCCAAAGGCGTCCATTCGTGACCTGGGACATGTCATGTCCTATCCCGATGCATATATCGAAAAAAGGAATCACGAAAAAGAACTATTCGCGGGTTCGTTGTCTACACCTTTCTCTGGCCCGAAAGCTGGGCCTCAGATTCCAATAACCAACTACAGTATACAAGTGACCATGAGCAATTCGAACTTTTGCAACTTGGGACCAAAGCATCGGCAACAAGTTTTGTCAAATCTTTTACTTGCATCAGCTGACCGATGGCTCTTTTCATTCTTTTTCATGGGCATACAATAACAGGATTTATTGCTGCAATGGAGGGGAGAAATGGAAAATATAATACTATTAAAAATAAGTAGATATCACAGAAAATGACGAACCATCGAGAGTTGGGAGCGGGTAGGGGGAAAAAATACAGAGATGTAAATAAGTAAGCGGAAACAAGTGTACAAGAGGGGGGATGGTGGGCGAGAGAAGAGACGAATTTATGCTACAGGCTGTGAAAGAACTGGAGAGATAGAGGGATCTTTTAGTTCCATTTCCATGCTGTTAATCATTTTTCTGATTTTCTTCTCATGTAATTTGAGGCGGCATTCGTCCAGAACCATATTGAGACAGATGAACAGATTCGCTTGTATCCGTGGAAGTAGGGACTGGAGCGAAGACGGAAGTTGTTGACGAAGTTTACTGACACGTAACAAGACATGCCAGGAATTCAACAACGATGTCATTTCAAAGTGGCAAGGATAGTTCCGTGATCGTAAAAACTGCAAAAGACGAACGGCATTCAGAGCAGCATGGACTGACAAAGACACCATCGGCAGAGAATAGTTGGTTTCATGCAACCGTATCGTCCTATTCACCATGTTCAGGTACTCTTCGTCGGAGCCTTGAAATTCAATCGCTTTTCGTAACGCCAGTAACTTTTGTATCCGTCTTTCCCACTTCTCGTTGTACGAGCGCGGTTTGTTCCGTTCGTTGGAATTCTCTCCATGCCAAAACTTGGTAAGATTTTTCCATTCGTATTCTGCGGTGGGAGGATTTTTGGGCAAGAACGACTGTCCAACGACGAGATACTCTTCGTACAGTCGAAGTGTGGTCAGGGCAGGAATGATCGCATGCTGACATTCTCGTTCGAGTGTGGCAAAGAAAACGTCATCCGCAATATCAATATCGAAAATAGGGAGCGACAGCTTAAACAAGGGCGGCAACTGATTGTACCAACTTCGCAACGCCATTTCGCATCGGTGGGTCATTAGGCCCACCAGACCTTCGAGGTCACTGGATTGCGTTAAACAACTGGCTTCATGCACTTGCTTATGCAACTTGGATACGTAGTGATGCATCAAAAGCCATCGTTTTTCTTCTTCCGATTCATCGCTCGCACTTTCGTATCCCGGGGTCTTGCTGTGATGATGCGCCAGGGAACACATATCAAAGGGGATGTGAGGCACAGGCTCGGCATGTTTGTAATCTCTGTCCAGCAAATCCATGGAAATACGTAATCGTGCTAGGTGACTCATTAATCGCTTGAACAGCAACCGTTCGCCGCAGGACTCCAGGGATTCCTGTTCAGGAGAGGAATGGATGTAGGTCGGTCCAAGAATGTTGCCAAGTCGTTCGGCCATGGCCCCGTAACGTCGAGCGTCATCGAGATGATAAAGGGCGAGCTTGTAATTGGCCAAAAAGACATAGGTGGCAAAAGTATCGAGGGACATATCATCAAACTGCTCCGAGACGAGATCCCAAGCGCGGTTAAAGTAGAGATCGCGGTAATGGGTCACGGTTGCCACAGGAAGTACGTCGGTCACATGCTTGCAGGGCAAGGCACAAACAAGGGCACTGAGCGCCATCATGGCCGGCGAGTAGCCAATCGATACGGCACGATCCATGGTGAGGCGAACAAATGATTGGGCATGAATCGCCATGTGTTTCAAGTGTTGGCACTGCAAATATGCATTGAAGAGACGGATGGCCGTGGCGGATAGTGAAACGTCAGTCGGAGTTACGGTTGTCACGGCTGTGGTTTCCGTCTCCACGGGAAGGCGAAATTTAACCGAGATGGCGGCGGTATGACGCTGGGTCTTGCCATACTTTCGCCTAATTAATAAATTAAGGACGTTGGACAATGGATTGATGGAGAAATAGGATTGAAACGCAGGCGACAAGTGGCTATTCTGTTGAATTGTAGCGAATAGATGTTGCAGTTGTGTCAGGAGATCGGAATAAGTGTATACATCGGTGCGAATGCTCAGTTGACCATTGGCCACGGTCAACGTCCACGATAAGTTTTGTTGATTTTTGGTCACCGTCGCCTGAATATCGCTGTTTTTGTTGGGAGTAAGCGTTACTGTGTCGTTTAACGGTGTATTTCCGTCCACCGAGGTCGCAGTGGCATCACTATCCTTTCTCAAAGACATATTGCTACGAGCATCGTCCTGAGGAGACGAAGTGGCGATTGAGGGAGGTGACGGGTAAGCCGTAGAACCGGAATCCTTTTCCTGCTTTATTACTTGGAGCGAAGCCAGTTCTTTCTCCATTGCACCCATTTGCGAGTTCAGATGGGTTAATTCTTCCAGCAGTTGATTTCGTTTGGCGATGGCACGAAATTCATCGTCTTTCGGTGATCGATTGGCCAAGTAGACACATTTGAGGTTGAACTTGTGGCATCTAGAAAAAAAGAGGTAATAGAATAAGTAATGGTGGCGAGGCGACAAAGGTGGGGGGAAGCCCTCCTATTTTGGGTGTTTACATGCCTATCACAAGGGGAAACGCCGTTGCATTTACGTTTTTGATTTCTGCACTCTATTGAAAGCAAACCCGTTTTTTTGGTTATCAGGTTATTGACTGGGGAATACAAAAAACTTATCAATTACCTTCACAGGGAACACCTTTTTTCTCAAAAGCCATTGCGATACATAGAATAAATATAAAAACAAAACAGAACAAAGAACTAAGGTTTATTTTTTTAAACCTGTTATGAAATAAAAAAAGAAAATTTTGAAACCGAAAAAAGGGAAAAGGAAAAAAGATCTGATAAAGATTCATTTGATGGGATGTGACTTTGAAAACTGACAACCAACGAATCAAATTCAACTTGCGGAAAACAGGAAAGGGAAAAGAAACAATAGACCCGACTGCGGCTCTCGTTTTTATTTTTCTTTGGAAAAGGAAGACTAAGACTTCAACATGGCGGAATTACTGCCCTTGCAGGATGACGATGTCCAGAAACAAAAGCAAAAGAAAAAGCATTCGACCATGGTGGATCCCGAAACAGGAAAGACCATTCCCATGAAGGACGGCAAACCTTGCCGCGTGTGCGTCGATTTCAAGACTTGGTCCAAACTCGAAAAACAAAAAGCACATAAAGAAGGCAAAGAAAAGCACGATTCCACCACATCCAAAGATACCACAGCTGGCACCGTGGCAGCAGGTGCAACGGCGGCAGCGGCAGCGACAGCGGCTGGAAGTGGAACTGCCAATGACAAGGCGGACAGCCAACAGCTGACTAATGACGAATGGCGCAAGCAAAACTGTCCGCCCGATGTGGAAACGCTCGGCAATGCCACTTGGACACTCTTACATACCATGGCGGCCTACTATCCGGAGAAACCGGAACCCAAAGAAAAACAAAGCATGAAATCCTTTATGTCTTCATTTGCTGAACATTATCCATGCTGGTTCTGCAAGGTAACCAACCGGCCGCGAGTCTTTTTTTCTAATTTGTCTCGAATAATCCCAACGTTTTCATTATTTTTTCTAGAATGATTTCCAGAAAGCGATGCAAAACGAACCTGTGGATGTGGAAAGTCGTGAATCTCTAAGTCAATGGCTGTGCCGTCGTCATAACGAAGTGAATCAGAAGCTCAATAAGCCAAAGTTTGATTGTTCCAAAGTGTTTGAACGCTGGCTCAATGGTCCCCCCGATGGTCGATGCGACTAATGTAGATTTTTTTAAATTCTACTTGAATTTTTTTTCTTTTGTATATAGACCGATTCCCATACTTTGGAATGATAAAAACCTACAATGCCATAGAAGGCGAAGCAAATCGTCTGTATCACATGTTGCAGACCTCAGTTGATCAACTGCCCAACAGAAAAAGAATAACCCCACTGATACGACGGGTGTGTGGAGTATTCTCCAGATTGAGTATTAACCTCGCACAGATAATCTTTGCTTAAAGGCAGGAAAATAATCACAATTGAAACTTTGCCACAATATAAGATGCTATCACCAAAGTGTTGTAGAAGTCTTTGGATTGCTTTTTCAACCTGAGCATACTTGAGTCCCGTGAAGCCGGCGTTGGCACTGATTCAGTGTGTTTGGCCGCTGCTTCTTCAACGAGCTAAGCATGGTGATGACAAGATACTCCATTCGTTCTGATTGGTAGAGACATTTTTAGCCCAGGCCTGGATGAGGCTGACTATTGAGCACACCATCAACTGCGCCAACAAATTTCGTGGCTGTGCTTCATAGGGCCATATTTTTCGGGCTATACCTGGTGTACTGTATCTTAGATGGATAGCGAGTCTGTCCACACTCATACGAACTATTGATTCGCCTTTTCCATCTGACGAAAACCATTTCTCCCGCGACACAGGTCGTTGTGCGTCTGGACACTTTGTCCGCTTCAAAGAAGAAATGACTATCCTGGCGTCAGGGCCTACAGTTACTTGGAGTGAATCTAACACAAAGATGCTTGCATCAATCATGATCAAATGAAAGCAAAAAGGTGATCGAGGTTTGAAAGATTCAAATGAATAAGGTGTTTTCCATTTATCCATACGCCCTACGCAAACAAAAAAAAAAGTGAAGGGGAGTGGTTGCAGGGTTTTTTCATTTTGATATTCCGCAGTTCCCCTTTTCCCGCTGCTGTCGCCGCCGTCGTTGTTGGACTCCTTGAAATTGTTCTGGGCGAGTTTGCCTTTGACTAAAATTGGCATGTCGTACAAAAATTCTTATAGCGAATTTTTTAATACCAATGCAACGGTCCCTTCTTTTTTTTTTTTTTTTTCTTATTTGCTTGTTTGCCGCTTTGATCCATTCATCTGTTTTTTCCTTTTTTCCGCATTCCCTTTCATCCTTCATCTAGTACTTTGCCTAAGTATTGTTTCTCATCATGCTGGGTGAACTTCCTCCTGAACTGTTGCTCCATATATTCTCCTACTTGTCTTACCCAGAGGCTTACCGAATACGAGCCGTCTGTCGGACATGGCGACTCATGGCAGAAGAGCACATTTACATGAGCATCAAGACGCATGGGGCCAAAGTCAAGATCAAGTTAGGCGAACGCAATAAAACCGTGATAGACCTCGTTCCGCATCGTTTTGATAAAGTCAATGGTATTATTGAATTTCGTTCACGTAACCAAGCATCGGTCCCGTTGCAGGATGTACCCTCGTTATGGAGTGCGTATCATCGACGTATGCAGATACACTTTGACCAATGGGTGACCCCGCGACTGCCACTGTCCGACACTCTCAGCATGCAAGAACAAGCGCAGTTATTGTTCCATTTGCAATACAATCCTTCGCTGGAACGTGTTTATGAACTTCCGCCTTATGTTCCGATGCGAACTTTATCTGATCGTCGCTACGTGGGTGACAAGGGCATGATCCTCAGCATGTCTTACCTCCATCCGCAGGATGAATATCAACATTTGGAGCGCCAAGTAGCCGCTATTGGCGGACTTCCCGTTCACTTGGCTGCCACGTCGTCGGCCGACCACCGTACCGCAGCGTCGTTGTCTGGATCCATGCCATCGTCGCCCCGACTGGAAATTCACCACTTACGTGTCACCCTCGGATGGATCGTGTCCGGCATGAACCCCAAAATTTCTCCCACGGATATCTACAGTGACCGGTATCATCATCTTGCCAACTGCCTTGCGCGTCACGGATTTTACAAATACGATCCAGTCTCTGAACCTGTGCTGGCTTACATCCTTGGTGAAGAAGAAGACTCTTCATTGGCGACGGTTCCTCCGCCCAAGTCAGCTCTTCCCACGGTGGTCAACAACTCCGATCCCCCAGAGGACGAGGATGATCTGCCTGCCAGTCTGGTGAAATATGTCCAAGCGCACACTCACGAATGCCACACACGGCTCACACGACTTCAGCATATGTTGGAGGGAGCAGGCGTTGATGCACGTGTACTATGGAAATACACTTTTGCTAAATCGTTTGTGATTGGCAACGGATCCCTTTTAGGGGAAGAAGATGTGGTCCGTCGTATCCAGGATTCCGAAGACGAATGGCGTCGTCAACGTGTCACTTTGACCAGAAAATTGGCGGCAGCCCATTAAAGAAAAAGATTCCCATCATGCACAAAATCACCCTCTTTCCCCAGGTTTCCTTTTTCGGATTTGTTGTTGTTATTGCTGTTGCTCTGCATGCATTCCTATTCCCCACTCCCATCCATCGATTGATTTTGTCGCCATCTATATTCTATTATTCCCCCCCCCACTTTGTAAATTCGATATCTCGTTCCGCATTGTGTCGACCCTTTGATTGGGTTCCCTTACTTTCACTAACTAGTAATTCTTTTGTATGCATTATCATTTTATCAATCCAATTTATCATCTCAAAACTTTTTCATCTTAACAATGATGCATGTGTGAGCGCATGAACGTGTGTGACTCCATCATCACTTATGCCCAAAAGCCGGTTCTTGCAGGATTCATATGCCCTCCTTCCGGGGGCGGCGATGAGCGACCCTGTTATTCAACATCACTACACTCTGATCAAACACCCCACTGGCTCAGAAGGATCGACAGGGGTTCTATGGATAAGAGACACGCCCGCAGTTCGCTTTATGGGTACAAGCTATCACTTGCTTGCCGAATGCATCTGGCAATATGCCTAAAGTTTTGTATGGCAATGACTCGGATCCTCCACAGTTACATTTTTCTTGGCCAGATCATAAGGTCACTAGGTCAGATCCTGGATGATACACGTGCAAACTATGCAAATCCACTATTGCGTAAAATGAGTAAGATGTTTGCACGTATTTCTGGTTCAACTTGCAATCTAATAACTCGAGTGGGTGATAAATTTTAGGTCATTCTCGGTTCGTCGCTGCATATTATGCCATATCTGACCTTGTAAAGTTTTTATTCCTTTCCAGAACGCTAATTTACGGTTATTCAACAAACCATGTCTTGAATCAAACTGAACTAACCGATGAAAAGATGATCCACTTACTGCTTCTTGGGTCATCATAGCCGGATCTTTCCTCTATTTGCTCACATTCATTTCCTAAATACTTTGGCAATATCAAAACACAAGCTATCGACAGTTGTAGCTGACTGATATCTCGTATTCGATATAAGTCATCATTGCGAGGGTTAGTCCAACAGCACTATTCGAGCGATAACAACATTTCCAATGTAAAGCTTCCCCCTTCAAAACATGAGAATTTCTGTGCCGGTGATTTCGAGTTATGATGACGATCAATTCTGAGCTTGGTTAAAAGGAACGAAGTAAAAAAAAGTCCGCGAAACTGGTGATTCTTGGCATGGAAATTCCGCAAAGAGCCAAGTAGTAATCGATCGCTGTGGAGACTATTTTGCATTAGCGTCAAATCCGAGACGGCATTTAATCAAAGAGAGATGATAAAAAAATGAACTTTGTGCAACCTACGGAAGATCTTCTTACCATAAGCATTTTAAACACCTTTTTTATCTATAAACAAGCCAGTCACTGTTGGCCATGTGGGCAAAGGAGAGAGTGGATCCGGGCCAACAAGTCAGTCAATCAGAACAATGAAATCTATTCACAGATCAGCCGTATTTGGAAGAAAAATGTGGCAGGTTATCTACAAACGGTTGTCGACCCGCCAATTTAGGCAACTGCTATCTATAAAGCTGACCATTTTTGTCATTCAAGATTAAGCCGTATACCATGTTCTCCCGCGACGGAAATATGGATGGAATGAAGATTGCTGAATATAGATCAATTTAAGAGTTTACGATGTCACTTGCATGACATAGTAAAGAGAGTGAATGTCAGTATGGCTTGATTTAGCGATAAACTTGTGTGCCTTTATTTATCCCAGTGGAAACTATCTAACTCCGTTAAAGTGGAGCCAATATCCAGAGACGCTGCTTTTGGACCGAAAAAAAAAGGCCACCAATTTTCAGACATTTGACTCTCCGATCCAAAAAGCATAGTGTGCGATTTGCCCTGGCAGCCCAAAAATTTTGTCTTCTTTCCTTTCCTTCTCCAGTGTCGAGCCTCTCGCCCCCCTTTTTTTTCCACCATGGCATCGAAACATGAGGACATTCGTATGACTCGCCGGGATGATGACGAGGATCAGCAACCTTTTCTGCCTAATCCTGCCGTCCAACGAAAACCCGCTGAAAACCCGGTGACGCTGATCGTCGCTGTCGTGGCTTTCTATTTCGCTATCTCGTTGTCGGTGGTCTTCCTGAACAAGATCATCATGAGCGGTTCTGACTTTCCCTATGCTCTTTTTGTGACTTGGTACCAACTGGTAGTGGCACTGGTCTTGCTACTGATTTGGGCTCGTCTCGGTGAATCGTAAGTGAATCAAGGGAAAAAGAGAAAAGGCACAAGGGACCGAGAGAGTTCATCCAACGGTTGAATGAATAAGGCACGGCTTATTGACTTGTTTTTGTTTTATTATCTATCTTGGGGTTGCAGTCACGTCATGTTCAGCATTATTCCTCCTTACGAATTTGATACCAAGATTGCCAAAAAGGTGGCGCCTTTGACTTTTGTATACGTGATGATGCTGGCTATGAACAACCTTTGTTTGAAATACGTCGAAGTGACCTTTTACCAGGTACAACAGGCCGTCGACTATTTTTAGCTGCTCTTTTATGGGCTTTTTTTCTTTTTTTATTCTCCAAGAAAAAATATTAACTCCTCCCTCCTTCAACGCCCCACGAATTTTAGGTTGCACGGTCCTTGTCGATCAATTTCACCATTCTGTTCACCTACTTGATTCTCGGAAAAAGCACCTCTCGACCGGCCTTGATGGCATGCTTCATTGTATTCGCAGGCTTTGCTATTGGATCTTACGGTGAAATCAACTTCTCCTGGGAAGGCATCTTTTATGGTGTCGGCTCTTCCGCCTTTGTCGCTCTTTACGGTATCTACGTTCAGAAAACCCTCTCCGCCGTCGATAACAATCAATGGTAAGTGTCGCGAGATCATCCGTAGTCCTCGTCATCATCCAGCCAATTCAAGATTGTTCTGTCGCTTCCAAAGGAAATTGCTTCATTACAATACCACCTTGGCTATTTTGTTCCTGTTTCCCCTCGTTGTGTTTTCGGGTGAATTAACCGAGATCGCCGCCAAGAGCACGGACGTCATTCAAAGCATGAGTTTCTGGGTTCTGATGGTAAAGTGTGGATAAGAGGAACTTCTGATAGTAGGGGACATTGTCTGATTTTGGGTTTTTCGTTGATTCCATAGACAATTACTGGTATTACTGGATTTGCCATCAACATTGCCATGTTCCTCCAAGTCAAGTATACATCTGCATTGACAAACACTATTTGTGGCACCGCCAAGGTACGTTCACTCTAAAAACCTTTGATCCTCTGTTTCTTTTCAATACATTTGAGATGCTAACCCTATATTCATCTAGGCTTGTGTTCAGACCATTTTGGCTGCCATGATCTTCAAGAATCCTGTATCGGGCCTGGTAAATATATGGAAAAAATCAACTTGGTACGGGGCAACTAGCATCTTACACCACACTTTTTCTTTTTTCCTTTGTAGAATGCTCTTGGTATTTTGTTGGCTTTGTTCGGCTCGGGTTACTATGGCTGGGTGCGCTACCAAGAAAGAATGGCCAAATAGATCAACTCGTCAGTGGTATCTGACATGTAGATAAAAAAAAAAAATTCAGAAAGACTCTGAATAAATTTAAACCAGCATTTTTCATAAACTGAGCCAGGTCGATTTTGCATAAGTGGAGCTACCGATCCCGGCATCGATATACGTCGTCGAGAGGAAAATGATCTGCGCTAATAACCGACCCGCGGTACCCACAACGAGGATCATCAGTGTTCGTATATACGACAAATTGAGATAAACTGTATGAGAACAAATATGTAAAATTGAATTGGCGGCGATGACACGATGTTGATTTGTTCCTTGCGAAATGTACCTGAAAGAGCTTCGACATTCGACGCCAAGACAATGATACTGACAAGCCACGAATATTCCAGTTGTTTGTAATCCCAGATCACCATCAAGATCAAAAGCATCTTGCCAAAGCTGGAGATAATCAATGCCATGGACACGTAGTTGTACCTTTCATCGCGTAGCAACTGTGAGATCACCTAGTCGACTTGATGGTGTCTCGGCATCTCTTTTTTTACCGTTTTACCTTATGTTATCACGATGCCTTAAACAGCAACGAATAGTTAGACAAACCACACAGTGAAATAGGATGAATTCTACGCGTGGATTTTTCATCAGTATGGGATGGCCAGGTCTGTTGCGGCTCTTCAACGTACCAAGAATGCAAAGCGTTAGTATATACAGGTATTGGTAGTAGAGTGATTGCTGGATAAATAAAGAATCTTGATCGGTATAATATTGCTCCAATCGAACCCATTTGATGTACACTTCGAACAAAATCAGCAATATCGCAAATCGGCTCACATGAGGCTACCAAAGCATCCATCAGTTCTCGTTTCCAATTGATAATTGCAAGTTTCCTTACGCACCTCAATACCGTTGCCTTTTTCAAAAATCCTATTAAAAAGTAAATGCCGATACACTTGGGATTTGTGAAGCAACAGATCAATGAAGATGATGACTAGGTCATGCTCAATGTATTTGTCTGCGAACTTGTGGCAACGTTCCTGTGGCGTCCAAACGAAATTCCGCTTCAGTGCTATTTTTTAATGAGCTTGTCCATAACGACACTTACACAAGAGGTAAGCCGGATATTGTCTTTGCTGTATTGCGTATATAAATGCTGAACCGATGCTCCACACTCCACGCATGTCGGCATGTTGATCAACTGGACAAAAGAGGAGTGAAAATGAGATGGTTTCAAATTCAGCCACTGGAAGTCATCCTGCATATGGACTGTCATCCAACAACATCGACATCCAATTTCTCTTGTTCTCAGTTGGCAAATGTTTACAAACTAGTGATCTCTTTTCTGCGACTTATAGATGACCCCTATAACAAATATGTATTTGACGAAAAGCGGTATTCGTGTGTTCTAGTCTCGACAACCTATTTACATTGGATTGCACTACTATGACTGTCGAGGTTGAAAAAATGGGTTGTGTCATGAAATTGGTAATTGATATCACCAATCCTAAGCCTTATGTTACTGATCGATAGGATGACCTCTTACGGCTTGCTTTCTCTTATTAGCAAAAACGATGCAACTACCTACATAATAATCAGTCAGGAACAGCATGCGAATCCTACCGCACCGACGTATAATAATAGAACTTACCCGTCTCATGAGCATGGCTACTCTTCAATGCTATATAAAGCCAATTCTACTGGTCCTTCGACTGAAAATGCCAAAGGATATCAAAGAAAAAGAAAAAAAAAAAAAGAGTATCAGCGGTGTGGATTTTTGGGTATATTTTCGGATACAACAGAAGCCCGCTTTAATTTGTTGAGTACGCAGCGCAGAAAAATCACCAGCAATCCGTTATTAACTCTTGACCGAGTCAACATGTTGTCCTCTTTGCTTCGTTCGCAGAGATCTCTTCTTCGCCACCACCATGTGCGCACTTATTCTTCTATTGCTCTCGGTAAGTGAATATGTGTTTTTTATCACCCTTTGACAATGAGCTCTTGTCCTAATGATCCGTCGTCGAGGAACAGCCCCAGGCGACTCGCTCCACGGATTCCGAGTACAGCAGCGACAAACCATTCCAGAGTTACAGCTTTCGGCGATTCTCTTGGAACATGAAGCCACAGGCGCTCAGCATTTGCATATCGATCGAGACGATGCCAACAATGTGTTTGCCGTCGGATTCCAAACACCTGTAAACGACAGTACCGGTGTCCCCCACGTTTTGGTATGACTTTCGATACGATATAGAAGAAAAATAAAGAATACTGAACCGATTAAAAATGAATCAAAAGGAACATACGACCCTGTGTGGAAGCCAGCAATACCCAGTGAGAGATCCTTTCTTCAAAATGCTAAACCGAAGCATGGCCAATTATATGAACGCACTCACCGGTAACGAAGCACCATCAAAGGTGGATAAACACAGCTTCAAAAGATGTACTTACCAATCTTCCATTGTTTGTAGGCAGTGACTATACGATTTACCCCTTTGCTACCACCAATATGACGGATTATGCTAATCTCCAAAGCATATATATGGATGCTGTATTTTGCCCGAAATTAACCTATCTCGACTTTTCACAAGAAGGATGGCGGTTAGAACATGATGTAGCCGCCGGTAAAACAAACAGTAATACCATATCGCAGGAAATCTCAGAGACTAATACTGTCCTATTCATCTTGATAGATTCCAATACCCCCATCAAGTTCAAAGGTGTCGTGTACAATGAAATGAAGGGTCGCACGGTAAGCATCTTTTTCTGAATACGTGGTGTATTTGGAGCTACCTAGAGACTTAGGTACATTATCTTCGTAGTCGGACACAAGCTATCTTTTCTATCGTCAGTCACAGCAAGCCATGCTTCCGGGTACAACTTATAGTCACGTCAGCGGAGGCGATCCTAGTCATATTACCAATTTGAGCTATGATCAGCTAAAAGCTTTCCATGATACCTACTATCATCCCAGCAATGCAAGATTTTACACCTATGGTGCGAAACTAAGTCGGTTTTATTCTAAGTACTAGACATACTCAATTGACGTTTGTTTTTTGAACAGGCAACTTCCCTCTGGAGCATCATCTAGCAGCTATACAAGAGAAGCTCGATGGCTACAAACGGAGATCGATTCCTGCCGCAAAGAGCACCGTAGATCCTTGGGATCAGCCTCGGGCATCATTCACTACCTGTTCTCTTGATCCCAGTAAGCAACATGCCAATCTTTACTATATCCGGATGCTAACATCTTATGTTTAGTGAAACCTGAAGATAAACAAAACAGAGTATCACTATCTTTCCTTGCCAATAACACAGAGGTAAAGCCCAACAGCAGAATTTTAGAATGATCTATTGATTATCATATCCAGGATGTATTTGAAACGTTTGCAATGAAACTATTGTCAAGCTTGCTTCTCAATGGCCATGCTTCACCGATGTACAAGGCACTTATTGACACCAACCTCGGCTCTGAATTCTCGCCGAACACAGGCTACAGTAGCACTACAAAGTACGTATCATTATTAAGACTCTTGTTTCGGTTCTCCCGATTGATGGCAACCGTACTTACAAACCCGGTTCCCTTCTTTTTCTTTTATCTGTGTATACGGATAGGTCAAGCTATCTATCCATCGGACTGCAAGGCGTACATGATAAGGATATTGACAAGGTAAGTTCTGGCTCCTAAGTTTTTAGATCATTCCAAGCAAGGAACCTGATTAACATGGTGTAGGTCCAAGCTGAAATTCGATCCGTATTGGAGCAAGTAAGACGCGACGGATTTGATGTCAAGCGAATCGACGCTATCCTTCATCAAATGGAACTGGGACAGAAGCATGTAAGCCAAAGAAGAAACACGCTCTGGTCGTTGTTATCGGACTAATCATAAAGGTGATCATGCGTCATGTTGATAGAAAACGGCTAAATTCGGCTTGGGCATCATGAACAGTATCACTTCCAACTGGTTGAATGGCGCGAATCCAATGGAGTTATTGCAAGTGAACAAGGTAACTTTAATGGAGTATCACAGATAAATTCGACAATGGTACTCATGGATAGGGCTCGTCGGCCGGGATTAGCATATTGATCGGTTCAAACAAGAGTTTGCCGATGGCCAGTTTTTTGAAAGTCGTATTGATCGCTATTTACTGAACAATCCGCACACACTGACGTTTGTCATGCAACCTGACGCTACATACACCAAACAAATAGCCGAGGAAGAACAATCACGCCTGAAAGAAAAAATACATGCTTTGACCCCAGAAGATAAAAAGGAAATAGTCGCGAGAGGCCAGGCCCTGGTAGCCAAACAGGATGAAGTGGAAAGTCTGGACTGCCTTCCAACCTTGCACCTCAATGATATTGCTACCAAACAAAAACGATTTGTGTTTGAGCATACTGGTTTATGCAATCTTCCTGTTCAGTGGCGTACAACGAGTACCAATGGCGTTACTTACTTCAAAGCCATCAGCACGCTTCCTCCCATGTCGGATGATCTCGCTCTCTATCTTCCCCTGTTCTGTGATGTAAGTTTTTTTTGGCTAGGTGTTCTCATAACACAATCGAATCTCTTATATTTAAAAATTTTCCTCTGAATCTGCAGGCATTACTTTCCTTGGGCACACGATCACAGACAATGGCTGACATTGATGATGATATTCGTCTTTATACCGGTGGTTTAAGCGTTTCACCCATCGCTTCGACAAACCATTCAGGTAGGTTCTATATTTGCTAGAAAAAAAGACAACGCATCAACTCATCAACTCATGTACTTCAAATGTCGAAAAGATCTTGATCTGGCGGAACACGGAATTATCCTTGGCGGAAACTGTTTGGATCGTAACGTGGACAGAATGTATAGCATATTTACCAAGCTTATTCGTGAAACCAATTTTGAGGACACCAAGAAACTCAAAACCTTGATTATGGGAGTAAGTATACTAACAACAACAAAAAAAGGCGAGAGAAGTTGTGAATGCTGGAAAGGAAAATACTGATGTTATGGTTTTCCTTTTCCTGTTTTTAGAATGCGTCCGCATTAGCCAATTCGATCGTGGGTTCAGGCCATGTGTATGCACGAACTTATGCCGGTTCCTCATTGACACCTGACATGCATTACAGTGAATTGTCGGGTGGCATGAGCCAAATTGATTTCATGAACTATTTGGCTGCGCTGGACGATTTGTCGCCCGTGTCCGACAAACTTAAACTGATCGCGTCCAATGTTCTGCATCAGCCTTCTTTGCGCATGGCCGTTACCTGTGGTGAGGATGCTGTGTCTGCCAATACGGATGCTCTGTCAAGTTTCATTCAAAGTTTACCTACGGAATCCTCTTCCTCCTTTGACACAAATGAAGCTGTATGTAAACATAACAAACATGCAACCATGGACACCAAAAAAAAAACAAGTGCTGTGAACTAACATGGGAAACCACATGATCGACAGGTGTTTGCGCAGAACTTCCAAAAGACATTCTTCTCTCTGCCGTATTCCGTGAATTTCACATCCATGGCTCTACGTGGGGTGCCATACACCCATGTGGATGGCCCCAAATTGCAAGTGTTGTCGTCTCTTATGACAAGCCATCATTTACATCGCGAAATTCGTGAAAAGAACGGAGCCTACGGTGGCGGACTTGTTTACGCTGGACTTCAAGGTCTTCTTTCATTCTATTCTTACCGTGATCCAAACTATCTTCAATCGCTCAAGACTTACCAATCGGCCCTTGACTGGCTTTGTCACCGCGAATTTACCGACCAGGAAATGACTGAAGCGAAATTATCCATCTTTCAGAATATTGACGCTCCTTTGAGTGTGTCCAGTGAAGGCATGCTGCAATTCATTCACGGCGTATCCTACGATATGCAGCAACAGTAAGTTTGCATGCTACGTTACGCTTTGTAATATCTTGCTCCGTACTTAATATTATGTCAATTTGTTATTCTCTAGACGCCGTGAACAGCTGTTCAATGTCACTCAAGACGATGTTCACAGGGTGGCCAACAAATATCTGAAAGAAGCCATCGAACAAAATAATTGTTCCATGACAGTCCTCGGCAAAGAACCTACCGAACCTCAACAACTTGAAGCCCAAGGATGGAAAATTCGCACCAGTACTTCCACAAATGTTTAAAGATTGCTCTGTAAATAGCTTTTTGCATGCTGAAATGACGGCGAAGAAAATAATTATTACCGAATTACAAGGACTCCGTCTTCTTGTCATTCTTTTTCTCTGTAGATGATCACATGTATTAGTGTTGAAGTATTTTCGTTTATTTTTCAGTTTTATCTCGCCAAACATTTGGTGCATTGCATATTTTTATTCGCTCCTGAGACGTCGCCCTCAGAATACCACATATTCAATTTGTACACGACGAAATGAAAAGGTATAAATAACGTGTGCTTCCACATTTATGGAGGTTTTAGATTCTTTTTTCTTCTTTGCTTTCTTGAGGTATTGCAAACATGACAGTGGATATTGAAGAAATTGCTTTCCGTGAAGAAGTTGAACGCGTCAAAGAGTGGTGGTCATCTCCCCGCTTCCAACACGTCAAGCGGCCTTATACTGCGGAAGCCATTGTTTCCAAACGCGGTAATTTCCCCACGGAATATCGGTCAAATGTGCAAGCGAAAAAATTGTGGCAATTGTTGCAAAGCCATAAGCGGAACGGCACTACCACCCACACGTTTGGGGCTCTGGATCCCGTTCAGGTCACGCAAATGGCGCCTCACTTGGAGACGGTCTATGTATCCGGGTGGCAGTGTTCATCTACGGCATCGACAAGCAATGAACCTGGACCGGATTTGGCTGATTATCCCATGGATACGGTCCCCAACAAAGTGGAACATCTTTTCTTTGCTCAATTATTCCATGATCGTAAGCAGCGCGAAGCAAGATTGGCCATGACCCCGGAGGAACGCGCCAAAACGCCCGTCATTGATTACTTGCGACCCATGATCGCCGACGGTGATACGGGTCACGGAGGCGTTACGGCCGTCATGAAACTTGCAAAAATGTTTGTAGAACGCGGTGCTGCAGGTGTTCATGGTATGTATCTTGCTCTCATAGATTATCATGATTTGACTTTTTTTTAACTGCCATGGTTTTAGTGGAGGATCAATCTCCAAGCACAAAAAAGTGTGGCCATATGGCTGGCAAAGTGCTTGTGCCGGTGGCAGAACACATTAACCGACTTGTAGCTATTCGAGCTCAATTTGATATTATGGGAGTAGAGAATGTGGTTGTAGCACGTACGGATGCCGAAGCTGCCACACTGATCACCAGCAACATTGATAGCCGCGATCATGCATTCCTTGTGGGCGCCACCAATCCGCGTCTTCCACCTTTGGCCACCGTGATGATGCAGGCCGAGCAATCTGGCAAGTCAGGAGCCGCACTGCAAGCCATTGAGGATGCTTGGTTAGCTGAAGCAGGATTATGTCGTTACGGTACCGCGATAGCTGCCGAACTTGGAGCACGAGGCAAACAACGAGAAGCAGCTGAATTCTTGACGAAAATCCAGTTCAAATCAAATGCCGAAGCTCGCCAGGTGGCGCAATCATACGGTGTGGATATATTTTGGGATTGGGATCTGTGCCGTGCTCGGGAAGGCTTGTATCGATATGAAGGCGGTACCGAAGCGGCCATCTCTCGTTCCATTGCTTTTAGCCCCTACGCAGACATGTTATGGATGGAGACCAAAAAACCAATCTTGTCACAAGCAGAACAGTTTGCTTCAGGTGTTTTAAAAGCATCCCCTCATTCTCTTTTATGCTACAATCTGTCGCCTTCCTTTAATTGGTACAGTAACAGCACGTCTTATACAGAAACGAATCACAGTTGAGTTAAGCCGGCCTCTTTTTTTTTTTTGGTTTTTCCCTAGGGATGCGGCAGGTCTGACGGATACGGATATGGGATCCTTTATTGAAAAACTGGGCCAGCTTGGATTTGTTTGGCAATTCATCACTTTAGGCGGTCTGCACGCGAATGCACTCGCTACCGCTACGTTTGCCAAGAGTTTCAAGTCGCAAGGAATGCTTGGCTACGTTGCCAACGTGCAACGCAAAGAGCGCGAACATCAAGTCGACGTTCTTCAACATCAAAAATGGTCCGGTGCCAACTACGTAGACGAACTCATGAAACTCGTCACGGGTGGTGTTGCCACCACCGCCGCCATGGCCAAAGGAGTTACCGAAGATCAGTTCACACAATAACTAAGACTTCCCGCATTGTCGTCTGGTTTATCTTGAATTTATTTGTAAAAAAAAAAAAAAAAAAAAAAAAAAAAAAAAAAAAAAAAAAAACCAAAGGTCAATGCGATGTTAAATAAAAAGCAATGAGCCCTAATATGTATCACTCTTTTTTATTGCGTTGCTACTTTCTGCCCGCAAAATAGCACTAAATTCTCTCTTTCATATAAGAGAAGTAAACATCTGTGTGCGAGAAACAAAAAATTATATAAAATAAAAAAAAAAAATCCAAAAAACTTGCGGAAAAAGCAAAAAGCGATGCGCGAACCGGGAATCGAACCCGGGCCCTTCGCGTGGCAGGCGAAGATTATACCACTTAACCATCCGCGCTCCGATGAATGATGCGGCCTGTTGTGGATGTTCCGGTCGGCCTTTAAAATATTGGTCCGGAGTTGGCTGTCCGGCATGCGACCCGGAATTTGCGAATGTAAATTTTAGCTTAAATCGAATTGATCGTGCATTGTGAATAAATCGACTCTTCTTGGAGATCTATTTTTTTGGGGGCCTTACGTTTATTTCGTGCTGACAGCAGACTTATTGACGACCCTATTTCTAACATTATATCGACTTTGACTGTCACGGAAATATACTTGGATTGCAGTATCAGAACGGCAATAAGGAGTATTGTCAGAACGGTACTGATCGTATATTTTGCGGAAAGGCGGAACCCGTGCAACGACCTTCACTGTTTTATTTTACCTTGATCATATCTGTACCGCGGGCTCTATCGCTTACCACTCATTCCCCGATCCCTATTTTCGTTCTTCTTTAATCGCCAGCCACTTGCCCGTATCAATTTATGGTGGAGAAGCTGGGCGTAGTGGCATCATCAAACAAGAATAGGGAAGAACCAGACACCCGAACTCAAGAAGACATCGAACGAACTGGAAAGGCCATCGCCGAACGAATTAAAGAAAATATCCTACGGCGCGGTGCGGCAACGCAGAATATGCCAACTGGAGAGAATTCGAGTGGAAAATTGCCAAGCGGAAAAGCGCCAGTTGTCAACAAGGAAGAACAGCAACCGGTTCTATCGCTAAAAGCGAGCATGACTCAAGACATCACAAATTTTATTGCCAATCCAGAAAAATTTTTCGGCACAAGAGACGAGAATCCCGTAGCGTGGTTGCGGCTTATGAAGCGCATCAAGAAAGGTACGAATATGACCGACGAAATGGCGTTAATCATGGCAGGTACCCATTTGCGAGGACGCGCAGGTACATGGTGGGATGCAAAAGAAGATTCGGTCACTACGTGGAGCCAGTTCGAAACCATGTTCATCGCCAGATACGTTTCTAACGGAATGGAGGATACTTGGTGGAAAGAGATTTCCAACATGAAACAGCGACCGCACGAAAATGTAGACGACATTGCTTACCGTTTAGAAGAACTTCTAGCATTGGTCAAGGAGAAGAACGAACGCACAAAAATTCGATACTTTTGGAAATCCATCCATGCCACCATTGCCTTTGAATGTGAAAAGGAGAGAGACAAGCCTCAGTCATTCGAACAAGCTGTAGAACAAGCACGACGTATCGAAATGGCGTTACAGAAATATGGTCACCGCGAAATTCCTGAAGTAGAAAACAAGAATACCGATAACGTAGACGACAACTCGACAAACAAGCCAGTATTACCATCCGATTCGACGAGCACGACCAGCACTTTGTCCGCTCTGAACAACCTTACTGAAGAATTCCGCGCGTTACGTATTAACCTGACCCAACCGAGACGAGTACCGCTCGTATGTTTCAACTGTAACAAAGAAGGTCATAAATCGACCGCATGCACCGAACCGATGAGGCCGCGGGCGATTCGAACAAACGGTAACGACCAAGGAGGAAGTTCGGGAAAAGAGCGGGGATGGCAGTAGAGGGAGATACTGTCATCCGGAACAATCAAGAAGCTCCTGGTCCTGATACTAGTGCAACGAAACAAACCGACGAAGTCAAGAATGTCAGCTTGATACAAGGCGTTAAAGTATATACCGCAGACAAACGAACTCGATCGCAGACAAGTTCCACCGACGTAGCAGCAGAAGAACGACAAACCAAGAAAGGTAAAGGGCGCGCTGATCCTATCCCGCCGATAGCAAGTTCTTCGAAGCCGCTTACGAAGGAGACACCTGTCAAAAAAACTACGAAACGGAAGCCGCCAAGAAGGTTGGAAGTCGAATTAAGCGAGCGAAAAATATGGGATCAACTCAAGGAGACGCAAGCGAACGTAAGTATGGCAGATTGGATCGCACTTTCGAAGAGTGCAGCAAAAGACGTTCAAGACGGAATACGATATTTTCACGGACGACAACCACCAAAAAGATTGACGGCGCCCATGGAGGTCAATATGGCAACACCTGCCGAGAACGGAGAAACGGACCTCGACACAGACACAAGCTCAAGTTATTTGTTCGACTCAGAAGAAAGTATTTGGGGTTCAGACAGTGAACAGTTTTCCGACGCAGACGACTCTGATAGCGATGATACCGAGTACGAGTATCCGTACGAAATCGACAAGTTGAAAGCGAGTTCACCGTTACGTGGTGTGATCACGATATTCGACCAGCCACTGGAAGCGACCTTCGATACCGGATCCGGAGTCTCGTTGATCAGTCAAGACCTTGTCAACGCACTTGGACTGAAAGTAACAAAGGACAAGTTATCGATAGAATCAGTTCATGGCGACGTTTCATCCCCTTACCCAATCGTTACCTCCGTACCAATACGAATTGCCGGAAAACTGCGACGAGAACACATGGTCGTAACCGATCGACGAACGAACTTGATATTGCTCGGTAATACATGGTTCAAACAATACGATATACGGCAGCATGTGAAGAACGGAAAGCTGATTATACCGACGAAGCGGGGAAGAGGTTACGTGGAACTGGCGGTGAAGATAATGGAAGATAACGATCAACAAAAAGACAGTGTCGAAGCGTTCGCTGTGTATGCGAGTAGAAAGGCTGCCGACGATCTGAAAACCTATACCGAAGAACGGCTAGAAGCGCAAATTCAAGAACAAGACGGAAAAGAAGAACAAGAGAAAATACCGAAAGAAATCGAAGAAATACTGCTTGGTCACGAAGATTGTTTTGTGGAAAACGCGGGGCTCGGTCGTGTAACGGACGTGCAGCATCACATACCGACGAATACGGAAACGCCGATCACCTCCAAACCGTACCGACTGACATGGCAAGAGGAGGAACAGTTAGATAAAGAATTGAAGGAATTGCTGGAATTGGAACTTATACGACCATCAAGTGGCACTTGGACATCACCTATTTTGTTCGTCAAAAAGAAAGACGGTACTCTCCGGCTATGCGTAGACTATCGGAAACTCAACGCCATCACTATCAAGGATCGATACCCTTTGCCGATCATCGAGGAGCTACTGGATTCGCTAGGTGGTGCAAAGTACTTTTCCACGTTGGACGCAGCAAGTGGGTATTGGCAAGTACCTATGTCTGACGACTCGATCGCAAAAACCGGCTTTGTTACGAAGAAAGGTACTTACGAGTTCATGGTCATGCCCTTCGGACTGACGTCAGCACCGGCCACGTTCCAACGGCTCATGTCAAACCTGTTCGCCCCGTATATTGGCAAGTTCGTCTATGTTTTCATAGACGATATCATCGTTTATTCCAAGACACTCGACGAGCACCGACAACATTTACAGCAGATACTGACGGTATGTGAAGCAGCAAATTTACGACTGAAACGATCGAAGTGCAGCTTCGCTCGGAACCAGGTTGAGTATTTGGGACACGTTGTCTCCGATCGCGGACTTTTACCGATGACACGCAATGTGGAGAAAGTATTGGCGATGAAGGAACCGCGAAACAAGGATGAAATCAGCTCTTTTCTGGGAACCGCGGGATACTATCGAAAGTTTATCCCCGATTATGCGACGATCGCGAAACCGTTGACGAAATTGCAAGGAAAGAAGAAGAAGTTCGAATGGAGCCAGAGCCAGAAGGAAGCCTTCGAGAAGCTCAAATGGTGTTTGTCCCATCCACCCCTTCTGGCGTTTGCAGACCGCAATCAGGTACAAATCGTGACAACCGACGGATCGTTTAAGGCCATTGGTGCTATTTTGTCACAATCCCCGGATGGATCTGAACAAGACGAAAAGGTTATTTGCTACGCATCAAGGAGTCTGCATGGAGCCGAGGTCAATTATTCCGCTACGCACATCGAGGCTCTTGCAGTCATCTGGGCAATCGACTACTTCCGACATTATTTAGCTGGACGACATTTCGTACTGTATACCGACCATCGCGCACTGAAGTTCATTTTTGACAACCCGAAACCGACTTCGAAACTGACGAATTGGGCAGTTTGTCTTATGGAGCACAATATGGAAATCCGATACCGCCCAGGAAAGAAGAATCCAGCTGATGCTTTCACCCGGTTGATCACACACGACGAAAATGCAACACCGTAGATCCAGCGCGAATTATGCAACACCGAGCGAAACACAAAAAAAAAAAAAAAAAAAAAAAAAAAATTCCCAAGAAAACCTACAAAAAAAAAAAAGAAGAAAAACGTATCCGGAAAACATCAACAAAAACATTTCTTTTCGACACATGGAATACCCTCGATATCTTGCGTTATATTTTTACCTTAGCGAAAACCGGTACCCATTGGACTGTACGGAATCTATGAAGAGAACAATACGCAACCAAGCCAAGAAGATAGCCATCAGCAACGGAAAGATGTACCGAAAACGAAAAGACGGCTCGATTGCACAAGAAATATTACACGAAGGGAATGTCGACGACGTTATCCGAAGCGTACATAACGAAGGTCATTTTGGAGTCAACAATACTTGGAGACGAATACGATTACAGTATGAAGCCGAAGGCCTATTTGCAAGAACAAGAAAACTCGTCAGCGAATGCCAAACATGCCAATTTCGCGCTACAGGAAAACCAAAAAGAAGAGAACAAGCCCGACCTATACCTTCACCATCCAGGCCGTTTTACATGATAGGATGCGACGCAGTGGGCCCTATGACGGAAAGCAAACGTGGTAACAAGTATATACTGGTAGCTATTGATTATCTAACTCGTTGGTTAGTTGCTGCAGCCGTTCCCAATATCACAGAAGAAACCACCGCGAACTTCTTATTCGATTGCGTCGTGAAGGATTTTGGCGTTCCCACATACATACTCACTGATCGCGGAAGCAACTTTACCTCAGGCTACGTTGGTGAATTTCTACAACGCTTGGGATGTCGACACATCACCACCACAGCCTATCGACCACAAGTCAACGGTCTTTGCGAAAGAATGAATGGAACTATTGTGAGCGCCTTAGCGAAACTTGCCCGTGAAGACGACAACCGCGAGCGCTGGGACGATTATCTCGCAGCGGCCGTATTAGCGGTACGAACCATGCCGAATGAAGCCACAAGATTTTCTCCAGGGATGCTCCTATACGGATATGAAATGCGAACCCCCGCTACATGGCCACCACCCAGAATGGATTACGTAGAAGGAGAAATCGACGAAGAAATACTAAGCCGAATGAAGGTCATCCAGCATCTGACTGAAGACGATCGGATCGAGGCAAGAAAGCGTACCAGAATCAAGCAACGAAAGGCGAAAGAACGATACGATCGCACTGTCAAAATGCAAAGAAGATACGAAATCGGTGATAAATTGCTCATGAAGGACACCCGCCCCCCTGGGAAGTTAGCTGACAAATGGATTGGCCCCATGACGGTCATCAAGGCGAATCACAACGGGACATACTATTTGGAAGGACCCCAACAATTGCGATTGAAAGGACCGGTATCCGGAGACATGCTCATACCGTTCAAGGCCCACGAGTCCATGGTTCCTGACGTTTTAACAAGAATGGCAGAACAGCAATTTCGTTCCTGGATTGAGCGTACCCGACAGGATTGATCCGATTTTTTGACGGCGACCGGTTCAAGTGGGGGAGGAGATGATGCGGCCTGTTGTGGATGTTCCGGTCGGCCTTTAAAATATTGGTCCGGAGTTGGCTGTCCGGCATGCGACCCGGAATTTGCGAATGTAAATTTTAGCTTAAATCGAATTGATCGTGCATTGTGAATAAATCGACTCTTCTTGGAGATCTATTTTTTTGGGGGCCTTACGTTTATTTCGTGCTGACAGCAGACTTATTGACGACCCTATTTCTAACATTATATCGACTTTGACTGTCACGGAAATATACTTGGATTGCAGTATCAGAACGGCAATAAGGAGTATTGTCAGAACGGTACTGATCGTATATTTTGCGGAAAGGCGGAACCCGTGCAACGACCTTCACTGTTTTATTTTACCTTGATCATATCTGTACCGCGGGCTCTATCGCTTACCACTCATTCCCCGATCCCTATTTTCGTTCTTCTTTAATCGCCAGCCACTTGCCCGTATCATGAAAATTTGAGCGAAACAACTTATGCGTATTACAACTGTGACTGCGTTGTGACGCCTTTGGTTCCGTTTCTGCCAATCAGCTTCGTAGCATTTGATGCGTCCTCTTTAAAACCAAAGGCGATGTCCTGGCCCTGGTGCTTGCGCAGATTTGCGCGATTCTATCAGCATATCTGTTAATGCAGCGGTATCTGATAAAAAATTATGGTGGCCTTTAATCATTTATTATGGTATACCAGCTACTTGTTGTTGTTATATCAATTTTCATCCGATTCGTCATGATTTTCTATAATCCATGCAAGAATTAAATGGTGTTTTGTTAATACTTGTTTCCAGTATAGTTATTTTTCTGTGTTTTTAGCGAGAATTCGTTACGGTGCGGTATAAAATCGCCGATTTAAAGTATTTGATTTGCTTGTATTTTTCTTCGAGCAACGAGGAATACAGTTGTCTGTCCGACTCTGCTTCTTTGGTGTGTCGTAGTGTTGCTGGTCATTCTTGATGTCTTGCAATGTTATATACTGTTAATTGTGCAGCATAAGACTTCATGTAAGCCGTGCCTTGGCTAAATCATACTTGGGACAACAGGGTAGCGCCATAGTCCGACTGGCGTTTCTGTTGCCCTACAGTTTCTCTTTCCTCTGTTGAAATGAACCTTGTTGCTTTTACAGTGAGAGACCGAGACATTTGGTTGCTTGTAAAATTGTACAAAATTTTTGTTCTACCTTCTATCTTTTGAATAAGTATTTCAAGTGAGTCCTTGCTTCGAGTTGCTTGTCAGATTTTTATCTGATGGACACAGATCCTAGAAGACGCGACGATCGGCGACTGAATCAAAGACTCCAAATCCACCGTCACGCAACAATGGGTTGGTTCCCCAAGCGGACCACTAACATCGTTTGCGACCTCCTTACAAGTTGACTCTCTTTTTTCCTTTTTTTGGTCCTTTCGCATCTTGAATCCACCGATTGCAGGATAACTTTTATTAAACCATGCAAGCAATCAAGTGTGTTGTTGTTGGAGACGGGTACGTACCATCTCGAGTAAAAGAGTCTATGCACGTCAAAAGGCAATAGCAAACGACACTTGGGTATCATGTCAGTCGACTTGCCCGAGATGACGAGCTATTTGGGGAAAAAAAAGACCATGAACGTCATCTGAGTGATGATATTAACCTATTTTTTTTTTTTTCGCGTGGTTTCCTTTTTCTTTCGCTCGACATTTCAGTGCCGTCGGTAAAACCTGTTTATTGATCTCATATACGACCAATGCCTTTCCTGGAGAATACATTCCTACAGTGTAAGAGAGCAAAACGAGAAAAAACCATGACAATGCTGAACAGGACAACTGGCTGACTGGGAGACTATGTATTGCTATAGTTTCGACAACTACTCGGCCAATGTGATGGTGGATGGCAAACCTATCAATCTTGGTCTTTGGGATACAGCGGGTCAAGAAGATTATGATCGATTGCGTCCTTTATCATACCCACAAACCGATGTGTTTTTGATTTGTTTCTCACTCGTCAGTCCACCTTCCTTTGAAAACGTGAAGACAAAGGTATTATTTATTTGACTTTTTTGGGATCAAGCCATGTCGTTGTTCATGTTATATCGCTTTTTTTTTTACTAGTGGTATCCTGAAATCAGCCATCACGCACCAAATACACCAATGATTTTGGTAGGCACGAAATTGGATTTACGCGAGGATCCGGAAACCATTGCGAAACTGCGTCAGAAGAATATGGCCCCGATTTCATATTCACAAAGTCTACAAATGGCCAAAGACATCGGCGCAGTAAAATATTTGGAATGTTCGGCTTTGACACAAAAAGGATTGAAAAACGTGTTTGACGAAGCTATTCGCGCCGTGCTCTGCCCATCTCCGCCACCCAAAAGACAGAAGAAGTGCACGATTTTGTAAGAACACAAAATGAATACATTATAAAAGAGAAAAAACCCACCAAAAAGAAGACATACGGCTTCATCCCACCTATGAGATTCTAGCTCTCGACCCTCTTTTTTTTCATTCTCCCATTTTTTTTATTGTGATAATCTTCAAGAGAAAGTAAAGAAAACTCCTCAAAAACAGTCAAAGCGAATTTGGTTTTGCCAGTGTTTTTACGATTGGGCTTCTGGCCAGTAATAACTTTTTATTTAACGCTATTGACTGTCAAGGGAACTACTGGGAGCAAGTCTTTCTCATGATCCGTCTTTTTATTTTCTGCGCTTGAGGATCATTTTAGGATCGTGCTTTGACATTCAAGTGCAAAAAAAAGCTCCACACACACGCAATCGGCCGCCAACTCCGCGATTTTTTTGGAACGCAGAAATTTTTTAAAATTTAAACAGCGTCATGAAACACAACCATGTAAATGAATCTCGCGCTTCTGGAAAAAAAAAGAATGCAAGTCCGTTATAAGTACAATAAGCCTGCCTAATCTCCAAACACCTATTCAGAGAGGAAAAAACGCGACAGCTTGTTTGACTAGTATTGCATTAATGTGTTGCACACAACTTTTCCAGAAAATAGTAGCCCATTGAAGAGATGGACTATGGAGGGCAGATCGAGATCTAGATCGTAACAAAACGCAGATAAGGCACTGAACTTTGAAAGAAACCATGATCGAGGCAGGACGGGCACACGATAGATGCTTTCCTTGTTTCATGGTAACAAACAATTCTGACAAATATGCAGATCAGTGTGGCATTGCACGCGCTGTCCCGTGCTTTCAAGAGCTACTCTTTTGTCATGTGGTGCTGAAGATGCGTGTCCAGCGAACCTTGCATCAAAAGGAAACAACAAATCATTAGCGGAAAGGATCAATGAGTCTCAGAATGCTAAATTTGGAAACTTCGACGATCTGATTTCTTAGATGCACGTGCGAAATTTGGTCGCATCATTGTCTGAGTGTGATTTTACCAAGAACCAAGGAAAACTAGAAATGGATCCATGCTGTTGCCCCGTTTACGCTCAAACTTCAGGTAGCAGAACAGTATCTTATACGACGCTCCAAATGAAATTTGTAGAGTTCCCAGGCTCAAATAACGCTTTCTCAATGTTTATCAAGCTAATCAAGCTGATCTGTCATCAGACCCTTGCAAGCAAGTGCTGCAGTTCAGCGCCTGTGTAGCAGTGGTAAGAAAATCTACTATTAAATTGCAACTGATGCAATCAGCTACAGTAAGCTTGATCCCAGCCATTTCCGCCAGCTAATCCTGCTTCCTGATGAAAAACGGAAGCAATAGCGTTTGAAGGGAAAAACGCTGTAAAGTAAAATGACACAAAAACAAGAAACGTATGTGAGGATAAATGAGGCTATTGAAAATTACAGTCTGATCATTTAGCTTATCAATAATGACAAAAAGCAATGGTAAAAGGATGGTCAACGAGAAATATGCCTCCATTCAATAAATCACTCATCCATTTTGTAAGAGTCGTCACTATAAAAAAAATCCTGGAAAGATCTTCAAGGAGATTGCAATCTTTATTTGTTTTTACAAAATGGTATCATTCTTCAAAGCCATGAGCGAAATGCAAAATGTCCTGTTCTGCATATGCTGGATCTTCAACTAAATTTGGCTCGCTCTGAGTAGGAATGGTAACCCCATCGATGATGGAGGTGATTGATAAATCGGACGACAAGGGCCAGCGTCTTGGTATGGGCCTTTTAGGGTTCTCGGTGGAAATGAGGCGATGAAGGGACGAATGATTATCTTCAATCAGTGGTTTTCGAGCCCACGCCAAGTAATAATTGTAGTAAGACTTGTATTCATACACCTCTTTCATGAGTTGATCGATGTCTCGATAGAATTGGTCTTTGGGAAAATGGCAAGCTTCGGCGAAAATCTTGCCATAACTCTGGAACGTCAGACGAATCACCTTTTCAATCAAAGCCCCCTCCGGTCCCTCTGTCGGAAACCCAACCGAAATGATATCATGGTGGATATCCGTCATGCCGCCAACATCGCACAGATAGTCACACATGTACTGAGCCCAGTTCACATCCACACCATAGCCTTTTAGAAACGCTTCGGCAACTGAGCACAATTCAATAAATTAGAGTGCATCATACATGGGAAAAGCTTTCCATCAAGAACTTACATGGTGCTAATAATTTTTTTCCTGTAGGGCCGACGCTTTTCATGATGGGGTCCACTTCACGGAATTCTACATAGCCTCCTGGTTTCAAAACACGCCGAATTTCTTTGACGATAATCTAGTTGAAAAAAAATGAATCACCCGTTCCGTGGAGCCTGATAGAGATTTTTTTTTTGCCCTACCGTCCATTCATCCCGGGAAAAACACTTGTAGGTCATTCGCATGTGAATGTAATCAAAGTGACTGTCCTCGAAAGGCAAGCCTTGAGTGACATCGGCTTGAATGAAATGGGCATTGGCAGGTTTGATATCGAGTGGATATTGGACGGATAAATCAATGCCATAAAATTGAGTAATAGGATAATCGGTGGCCATTTCTAACACCCAAACGCCCGTACCACAGGCCACGTCCAGCACGTAAGCCGGTTCAGTACGACGGACCCAATTAGTATGCGTGGATGTAGTTCGTTTCGTAGCCGATGATAACTGAGTATCAGCGGAACATCGGCGTTCTTCGTCGTTGCCATTGGAAGCATCCCATGAAACTGTCAAAGTCTGAGACAATAGATCATGCACAGGTGCTGAAAAGTTGCCGGAAAAGCAACGCTTGAGCATAAAATGCTAAAGGGATCGTACGAGGAGTTATGAAAATTGTTACATCCAATCAAACGATATTGACAAAGAAACAAACAAATAAAAATGCTCAGACGAAAAACCTTACCGCCTGAATCAGACGATCTTGCTCTTCAAGATCATTGGGTAACGCATATCTGGTATTGAGAGCCTGATATCGTCTTCCGTCAATAATGACATTCTGTTCTGGCTCAATGTTGTGACCTCCAGATGGGTCCAAGGCCACTGGTTCAGTAGCCGTCCGTTCTGAAGACGATGTGGTCTTGATATATTTGGTGGGAATCCGAAGGATCTGCTTAGCCCTTATTGATTTGGCCCGTGGTAGGTGCGGTTTAGACTTAACAGAGTCCTTTATCTTGTCTGTCGCTGACTTGGGCTCGGCCTTTAGATGATGAAGTGTGATTGCGTTTCCCATACAGACAATAATCAATAGTGAGAATCATCAGATAAAAAAAAAGCGTTTCCAAAAAGCGTAAAACAGAAAGGAAAACTATAAAAAGGAAATTTTGCCACACGACTTATTTTTATGTTTTTCTGGCCCCATTCCCAAGTTGGATAATATTTTACAGCACGTTGTCGAGTGTTGGCCAATCAGAAATCATAGAATAAAAGAATCATGCAAAAATTTCTAACCCGAAAAACCCATTGCAAATAAAGATTAAATGACGTTTTCAACAGTTTTGTGCGCGATTTTTTTTTGTTCATTTCTTCTTCCTTGTTCATTTCTCTTATCTGCGTATTATGCCACCTACTCCTGACGAAGCACCCTTTGTAGCTCCAGCACGTCGATTCTCACTCGCTCACATCCCACAGCCCGTGTATCTGGGTCTGGATGTCGAAGTCTCGGAAGACCTTAGTTCATCCATCTATTCCATTTGTGTCCATGACGGTGCTTACACTACCGATTACTACAGCGGTCACCTCGCCGACCACAAGGAAGGTCTGGATAAGAAGGAATGTGTACGCGAAGCATTGGAAGAATTGAAGAAAGTGGTCAAACTGTTTGCCACCTCGCAGCATTACAAAGTCCAGTTAATTGCCTGCTCTTATCTTATTGCAAAGCAATACATCCGAGATGAAGACAAACCCGAGCACTCAGCCATGAGTGATTTCTGGAGAGAATTTGATGCCATTCCTTTCCGAGTGCAAACCCACGGCGATACGTCAGATGAACGCGCTAGTGCCGCCGTTCGCAAGGCCGTGATGTGGTAAGACAACGATCCAGAAAAAATGTGCCATTGACGTGGAATCCATCCATATTGAACACCCATGCAATTTTTTCCTCTTTGTTTTTACAGGATAAGTCCTCAATATCCAGGAAACCTTCCCAGAATCTCGGTTGGCTATCGTCATGAGGTAAGAAAATAATTTTTTTTATTAATTTCTTTATGGCAACTGTGTGAGCTGACATTAACGTAATTTCCAACCGTTATTTTTTTTCAATTTTTTCAATCTCCTCTCCCCCGGCATAACCATTTTAGGTGGAAGGTAATTTATATACCCGTTGTCATGGATGAAGTATTATATCATACTCACGGAATCTCCTTGGCGATCTAGTCGATTTTAATAATATTATCCATTTGGTGGACTTGGTGGATTATAAGGAATCAGTGAAAGCCGAGACATGGAGAGTCTGGAGCGAAATCTCCCAGGTTTTCAAGAACAGGAATCTTCGTGTTTCCTTTTTCAATTCTACACCTCAAGGTGGTGGTGGTATGTATAAAAACCCTTAAATGTGTCATTATTTTAAAGCTCGGACATCTCACCGTTTCTCTTTTTGTCGTCGTTGTTATCTAGTGGCTTTGATGCGACATGCTTTACTGCGTTTTTTGAACCTTAACGGAATCAAAGTGCACTGTAAGTTTTCTTTATTTCTTTACTTGACGTTCCTACTAGTTCGTGGCCGGGCGCTTCTAATTCATCCGGGTTCAAATTTTACATAGGGTATGTGGCGCGTCCCAAGCCTGAGGTGTTTGATATCACCAAACGCAAATTCCATAATGTATTGCAAGGTGTGGCGGCTCCCAATGTGCGCCTGACGGCCGAAGATAAGCAGACCTTCATTGACTGGTCCAACGACAACGTGAACAGATTCTGGGGCGACGAGAAAGGTCCCTTGAGAAACTCGGATGTCATCGTTATTGACGATCCTCAAGGTAAAAATTGTCTCTTTATATGACGTAATTGGAGCATGCTGCCGAAATCTTTAATCATCTCTTGTTTTGCAGTGTGCGGTATTATCCCTCATATTAAGCGATGCAGCCCTAATACACGTATTATTTTCCGTTCGCATATCGAGATTCGAGCGGATTTGATTCGTGATTATCCCGACGGCCCACAGGCTGAAACATGGAAGTAAGTGGCAAAAAGTTTCACTTTCTTGGCAGTGAAAAAAAAAGACCCACCCTTTTTTGGACTTGGCTAATCAGAAACCCTTGCTTTCTTTTTCTTTTTCCCTTGTTAACCCTCCCCCACCCCCCAAAAATACCATAGTTTCTTGTGGCAATTCATCAAATATGCCGATCTATTTGTGGCTCATCCGATTCAAAACTTTGTTCCGGACGTGGTGCCTCGTCGCAATGTCGTTTTATTACCTGCCGCCACGGATCCTTTGGATGGGCTGAACAAGGAATTGACAGGATGGTGTGTGACTTACTACCGTTCCGTGTTTAACCGTATCTGTGTGGACCAAGGTGCCAATGAAGTCGATTGGAAACGTCCCTACATCACTCAAGTGGCGCGATTTGATCCTTCCAAGGGTATTCCGGATGTGCTTGAAGCTTATCGCTTACTGCGCGAACGCATGGACAAGGAAGGAGTCGAAGAATACCGCATTCCTCAACTGATCATTTGTGGCCACGGTAGCATCGACGATCCCGATGGTACCATCATCTATGAACAAACTCACGAAGTCATTAATTCGCCTCCTTTTGCTTCCATTGCTACCGATATTATCGCTGCTCGTCTTCCCGCTTGCGATCAGTTGCTCAACATGGTGTTACGCGGAGCTCACATTGCACTTCAGTTGTCCCACAGAGAAGGTTTCGAAGTCAAGGTCACTGAAGCCTTCCAAAAGGGTAAGTCTTTGATCTCAGTATCAATCCATTGGATTTTACTCATGGATCGCATTTTTTACATTTCACATTCTTGTTTGATTTACAGGTGTGCCGGTGATTGCTTACCGAGCTGGTGGTATTCCTCTGCAGATTCGCGAAGATGTGACGGGATTCCTGGTGACCATTGGCGACGTGAAAGGCGTGGCCAATAAGCTGTATGAATTGATGCAGGATCGCGAGTTGCACGAACGTATGAGCTCAGCTGCGCTCGAGCTTTTAACCGAAGAATATTTCACGGTTTGGAACGCGACTTCATGGCTCTTCATGTGCAATGAATTGACCAATTCGCGTGTATGCAGCGAAGGTCTCTTGGATGTTGAAAATACTTATGAAAGAAACTCCAGAATTGGCGACAGCAAGAAAGTGTGCGATTTCTGGATCCAGAAATACAACTACAATCCTTAGAATAATTTTTGTTTAGTGAACAAATGTCTGTAAAAAAGAAACCAATCACAAAGCCCCAATTCAAGAAACCAAAACATGTACGAATATAAACAGATTTTAGTAAAATCAAAAACTGGTTTGATATAAATAAAAAACGTCCGTCTTTCAAGATTTCCTTCCACTGCCAAGCATATTTACATTCGACCGATGAGAATGATTAGTCGATGACAGTTGTAAGGATGAAGTCGGCGGCTGTTGTTGTTGCGCCAGGGTTCTTAGCAGTGTTGGAGGCTTGCTTCCTGAAGCATCCGAAGATGAAGAAGTGCTGCTGGTAGCAGCCGTAGCAGCCTGTTACGGCAGCATGGATGATTAGCGACCATCTTCTTTTTATTACATCACATACTTCAGGATTCACTTAAGGTGAGTTTCTTACCTCTTCCGATAGCGGCTGCCTTCGTTTTTTTGCACTCTCTTTTAGTTTTTCCCATCGTTCGCGATATTTCTTCATTAGTCCTTCCTGCTTTTCATTCCGGGCTTTGAGCTGACGATTCTCTTCCTCCAACTCTTTAATACGGAATACTACACATTCCGATGATTATCTTACTGTAAATGTATCAAAGCAATCCACTTTTTTTCGCTAGAAAATATTGAACGTACCTAGATCAGAATGGATCATGTTGTTGGCCATCATGGACGGCGGGAAACGAGCGTTGGTGCTGGCGGCGAGTGAGATGGCGGAGGAGGATCGCAAGTTGGCATCTTGGGTTTGCATGATCCGCTGGGCTTGTTTCTGAACATCGTTTCGAAACTGAATAAAACTGCTTTTCAACATATTGCTTTCAGCTTCCGTTTTTTCCAAGCGTTGTATTCGCCGCGTCAATTGGTCAATCTTGGCTTTTAATCGCCCGTTTTCCGCCGCGTATTCTTCCAGCGTTCTAACAGCCATGAATACCTAGATGAATATACAATGGACTGGTGTGACCTGATGTTTTACGCAACCGGTTGAGTCAACTTACCGGCATTCGTGGCTCGATGTATTTGCATTGGCCGGTTTTTGTGTGTCGAGTTGACTCTTGTTTTTTCCCGATGGCCGAGTGTCGGAACCGTCATTATCATCAACAGGAATAACGTAATAGGAATCGAGCATGTGTTGATGTAGCAAGTCGTCATCGCCATTGGCGTCGCAGTTGGAACCGTCGTCTTCCGCTTTGGAAAGAGGGGTTGGAATATCGTCATCATCGATGGGAGCCGACGTGAAAGCGACGGGATTCGATTTGCCGCCCAACATGCGCAAAATCACCTCCCAAAATTTCTCAAACGGATCAGAATCGTCTTGATCATCCTTGTAAAAATAACAAAATGTGAATATACGACTGCTGAGGATTTTTCATCAGAAAGAAAGTACAACGAGTTACCTACAGTGGAAAGCACGGCGTAGGATCCTCCCATCACACTAAGTGAGGCCATTAATTGCTGCTTACTAGAAGCAAAGAGCTTACCATCGGGTAAAGCGTTCCGTAATCCGTTCATATCAGAATAAGCATTGGTCATTTTATAGCCGGTATTTCCCACCGCATGCACAGGAGGCGGAGGGGATGTTCGTTCCATTTGCCGCTTGAATTGTATTCGGCGTTGAATGTCCTTGATTTTGCGGGTGTGGTTGGCTGTAAGTAATTGCAAGGTTTTTCGTGCCTAACTTGACTTTGGTAAGTATTTCACGCCGCCTTTGTACTCTCATAGGGTGTCGACTCACTTCTGGATCTTGGGTGTCGTCAATTGCTTTTTGGAATTGTTCTATATATGCAAATATGTATGCGTAGGTATGTGGAACAAGAAGAGTGGAATGATCGTAAAAAATGCCACAAGTCAGTAATAACAAACGATTTCGTCGATAATATCACTTTTTACCTGCTGCATGTTGATGGGCTTCTATGGCTTGTGTCCAATTCTCCCTGTCTTCATATTCTTCTGCCGCATTGGCATAAGCGTGACCCTGCAACGAGACAATTAGAAACATGAGCCATGTGAGCAATCGGAAACGAGAGAGAACAACTTACAGCATTGACAGGTGCTTCCTTTGTAGACATGATAAGGTTAATACAGAAGCAAGGTAGGTATACAGTTTAAAAGGGCACATGCAACAGTGTGAAAAATCAAAGCTCTGGTCTCTGCGGAGAAATACAAAAACAACTCAGCTGAGGCATATCATGCGAAATTTTTCAAAATTTAAGATCATTGATTACAATCCCTCGTAGATATACGCGTATACTATCAAGATTGCGTTATGCATCATAATAAAAAGAAAGGCTGATTGATAAAAACCTTTTTGATACAAGTCTGAGATGGAGCGGACCATCTAGCAAAAATCGGCCTGCCATCCTTATTCAACTTTTTTTGACCACAGTTCAAGTAGACTAGTTGTGCTCTTTGATTTAGCTGATGCCGGAAGCGACAACGAGGGAGAGGCATTAACGTTGAGGATAAGATAACGGAATACTGTAATACGTTTTTCATTATTGTTGTGCTGAAAAGTGAGCAGAGTCATCAAGAGTTCTTGATTTCAGTTTCGTAGTTGTGACTTTGTCTGTAAGCATGTAAACATTAGGGATGAATAAAATAAGTTTATATGATGATAGAACAATGATAATTTGGTATAAATATTTCTAACTAAAAATTGGGGCATTATTTGAAGCTTTTCTCAGGTCTCTCTATTCAAAGAGATACTTGAGCATCTAAAAGGCCTGAACAATGCCTCTTCCTTTTCTGTATGCTTGCTGTATGTATGTAGTATGTTTGAAAAATGGATTGGATGCCCAATGATCCCAGATGGAGATTGCCGATTATGCGTTGAGAAATTGACGCATGCTTGTTTGCTTGTATCGTGCTTGTCTGTCAAAGGCAGCGAGGGCTTCGTAAAACACATTCATGGTGACCCCGGCACGGGCATCGACGTGAACAAAGTGAACCCCGAGCGTTTTTACTTCGGCATTGCGTCGTTCGTCATCAAAAAATAACATGTCCTTGCATGCAATCCCGGATTTCTCAGATAGGGCCGTAAAGTGGCGCAGTTTACTGGTCGGATAGATTTCCATGAAATCAATATTCTCTCGCAAAGTCGTGTTACCAAGTTCAGGCACCCGCAGCAACGTCAATGCATTCAAAGCCCTGTCACATTTTTTAATTTAGCAAAAATCATCGCAAGAAAACCCCATTTTTCTTTCAACCGAATTACCATTCAGGAGCACCTGTACGAGAAGCAATGGCAATCTTGACATCCTTGAACGATCGGATCAGTGTAAAAATGGCCGTGATATGTTTGAACAACATCAATTGCTCGCCATATCTATTCAACTTGCGTAAGCTATCTATCATTACTTGGATCGTTAATATGTAAAGAGACTTACTTGTTTTCAATGCGATTAGCGACTTTATCATACGCATAAGGAGGACCATAGGTGCAGTCAATCCTAAGGTGGAACAGTGAGTGGTTTAGATCACGGCCATTACGAAAATAACGAAACCACTTACCATTCGGGCCAAATGGTATAATCAAGATCAAAGACAATCATTCTGGGTAAGCGTTCAGGAATTGTCATTGACTTGTTGCTGTTGTTATTGTGATTAGCGGATTTGGTCATGTTAGAAAAGTCTGATCAGGAACAAAGCACAGAAAAAAAAGTGCCATTTTAAGCTTCTTTTTTCTGCACGAATGATTGAACTCCGTTGCTGCGGACTTGGCTGTGACGACTTTTTCGCGCAGCTGTTGCTCGGTTTCTTTTTTTTTTTTTTGGGACTTCCAGATTTTTATTTTTATTTTTTTCTTTAGTTCCGCAATTTATCGATATTCCGATATGGAAGCAGCACAATGTAAGTTGAGGAAATTAAACGCACCACCAATCCACTCGACGCTTCGCCCAATATCTAATTTTCATTGATAACAGTACAAAGATTGCACGCCGGACGCGTTTTTGTTTTTGGTACGGGCGATGCCGGCGAACTCGGCCTGGGTGAAGACATGCTGGAACGTAAGAAACCCATGCCATTAAGGGCCCTCGATGGCGAATCGATTTGCGACATTGTGTGTGGTGGTATGCATACACTGGCTCTGACCAAAACAGGCAAGGTAAACGTTTGGTTCACTGGCTCAACAGCGCGTTCAGGACAACTCACTGGTTTTTGTATTCGCGCCGTTAGCTGTGGAGTTGGGGTTGCAACGATGAGGGAGCGCTTGGAAGACAGGGCGACGAATATGAACCGGGATTGGTGGAAGCTTTGAAGGATGTGGTGATTGTAAAGGTCGCTTGTGGCGATTCCATTTCTTTGGCCCTGTCAGATCAAGGCAAACTGTTTTGCTGGGGTACATTTAGGGTAATGTATTGGAGAAAGTCAGTGATCATTGATGGGAGAAGCTAACATTCTAGTGGCCCATGATCGATAGTCTACTCAGGGCGCCTTTGGTTTTTCACCTAGTCAGGCCGTTCAACGCGAACCGGTCTTGTATCCTTATTTGGCCAAGGAGACTTTTGTGGACATTGCTGCTGGTTCAGATCATTGTCTTGCATTGACAACAACCGGTCGTGTGTTTGTTTGGGGCAACGGACAACAGTTCCAACTTGGACGTCGATTGATCGAACGTCGCCAACGTAACAGTTTGATTCCCGAACCGTTGGCGCTTCGTCACATTGTCACCATCGGATGCGGCTCGTACCATTCATTTGCAGTGTCTCGCGATAACACATTGTACGTGTGGGGACTCAACAATTTCCAGCAATGCGGTCTCATGCAAGATCCCCAAGACAAACAACCACTCGAGGATATCATCACTACCCCGACCGTGGTGACAGGACTGCAAGGAAAAGGGCAAATTAAAAAGGTGGTTGCCGGCGAACATCATTCGTTGGTGTTGATGGAACACGGTGCCGTGTACGCGTTTGGTCGCGCCGATGCTGGACAATTGGGATTGTCGGAGAAAATCATTGAAGAAGCCCAGGTGGACAGTGGAGAAGCTTCGCATAAGAAAGCCATCGGATATCCTATTCAAATACCTACCTTGTCGCAAATCGTTGACATTGCCAGTGGTGGTAATCATGTGGTTGCGGCTGCTCACAATGGTACGGCTTACGCTTGGGGCTTTGGCGCTCAATATCAACTAAGTAATGGCACGGGCGAAGACGAAATGGAACCCATTGTTTTGTCGGGACAAAAGATTGAAGGATTGAAGATTCGCCGTGTGGCCGCCGGTGGTAACTTTAGCGTGATTATTGCCACGGATATTTAAAAAAGAAAAAGAAGGAAAACCTCATTTTCTCCTGGTACCTTACCTTCATTCATTCATCTATTGACACATTATCCACATCTATTTCACGCAACGCAAGACAACGCAACGCAACGCACCACACGTAATTCTCATGCACAAATTCCATGCAACACATACACGCACCCATTTATCGTCCATTGTTTCCAATGCCCTTTTTTTCTTTCTTTTCCTCTCTTACTTTTTTTTTTCTTTTGTGTTCGTTTTTGTACAAAAAAAGTATTCCTTTTTTCTCCACATTGTTTCATAAATTGATCGCCATGTCCATGCGTTTTTTTTGTTTTTTTTTGTTTGATTTGATCTCTGTTGTTTGGTGCATCATATTTACAAATATTTTAGTTCCAATTCCATACTTCTTTGACCCACTGACCGAGATCCATCGGTACATGTTCCCATTTCTTTATAAAGGGATGCTCCAACATGCGACCTGGTCCTGGACGATATCGAGGGTCTTTGGTTAAGCTGAGCAAATCGCATGCAAGACCAAAAAAGAACAGAAAAAAGAGGTCTCGTCAGAATTTTCTGTACATGAATTTCGTCACTTCATTGTATAACTTACCAAATAGCGACAAAGTTTCTGCATTCTTCCGAGATGTGACCGCCTTCGATGACAGGCACCGGTTGTCGTACGATAAAGTCGAGAAGTTCAAAGATGGAGAGATGAGGTTGGCCGGGAGGGGGTAACGCCGGGCGATTTTGAGACACTTCAATAAGAGTTAGACCCAAAGACCAAATATCAGATTGGACCGCATAAGCATTTCCTTGAATACGTTCAGGCTGTGCACAGAAAAAAAAAATTATAAACAAAAAAGGTGTGAGAACCATGACGAAGGTTGGCAAAAAGCAGATAGCAATCCAACTTACCGCCATATAATACTGAGTGCCGGTAAATGTTTGAGCAATGGAATTGATGAGTTCGCCAGAAACGCCAAAATCGCAAAGTTTGATCTCGCCCTTTCGTGTCACAAGGATATTGGAAGGTTTGATATCTAAGGTTGGCCTGAGTGACATGGGGATCTCTAGTGCAACCCAAATTTACTTTATATTTACCTCGATGGATGACGCGTTTACTATGAAGATACACAAGACCCTTACAAACCTAATTCCCGTAGTAATCAATGTCAATTCATCCCACCTTCGAACCCCATCGTCTTCCGGGTCTTGAACCTTACCGATTCCGCAATACGTTCCAAAACGGGTTCACCAATGACTCCGCCGAGATCCCTTGCTCGTTTGTAAATATCTTCCAAACTGCCGGCTTCACAGTATTCCATGCAAAGTGATACGGTACTGTCACCATCGTCCAGAAAGGCACCGTAAAAGGATACGATGTAAGGTGAATCACATGTTTTGAGGAAAGCGAGCTCTCGCAAGATTTGACGTTGTACACTTGGATCAGGATCCGTGGATATAGACTGTGAATCATGATGAGGATAAATAAATAAAAATGGGCTTTTTTTTTTAAAAAAAATGCGGAAACAGGAGGACCAATGGAGCGATACTCACCTTTTTTGCCATAATTAAGTGGGTAGGCTTGTGTAACACTTTACGCACCGTACCGGCAGCTCCTTCTCCGAGTCGTTTGAGTGTCTCGAGATCGTCGGCCTTGATTTCCATAAAGTGGTTGGTAGAAGGGGTTTCGTCCGAGGGAGCCGTGGATGTGGTGGATGAAGAAGCGGAAGCGGCGGTATCAGCAGTGGTGGAAGAAGAACGGGATCGAGTGGAACGGTGAGGAGGAAGAGGAGGTTCGCGCAGAACAGACAGTCCGGCCATGGCTTGTCGTTGTTGCAAGTAGGATACGGCCAGCGATTCTTCCTCGTCCACCGCAGCATAGAAACCGTTGCTGGCCGTACTTGGATTGGAAGGCGACCGATTGCCATTGACGAGATGACCGATTTGTTCTCTGAATGTGGTGGTGGTATTCTGGGGTCCGGAAGCATTAGGTGACGAACCTGATGACGTTGGCTTGTCCAATTGTGGGGGCGATATTCTTAGTCCCGGTTTCCGTTTCGCACCGCCTGTAGCCCCACCAAGTCGTGCTGAACTATTCATGACGGTTGGGACAAGGTAAAAAAAAAAGATAAAAAAGATATAGGAGGAAGAGTCAAAGAACGAGTTGAAGAAGGAGAAAAAAAAAAGACACTGAAATTTTCTCTTTTCGGATTTTGGTTCTGAACATGAACGGATCCGTATGCCAAGCGTTTTTGAGATGCGCGTTCACTGCTACCGTAACAAAGCATTATACCATCCATAGATATTCTTTCTAATGCCATTTTAATCTTGTATGAAAGAGGAAAGCCAGTCATCGTCCTCGTCAGCCCGAAATATACGATCATCACTGCTTTTTTTTTTGTTTTTGTTTTATGTGGTGACACTTTGCAATATATGTAATAAGCTTATATTTTACACTATTTATACTGCTTATACTGCTTATACAGATTATGCTGCTTATACTGTTTATGCTGGTTCATGCAGGTCGATTGTTTTATCATTCTTTATCTCGTCCCACTCGTCGCCCTGGTGGCACTTTTTTTGCCTTTGCGAACGGTGAATACCTAGCGACGTAATCGTTTAAACACTGTATCGTCTCTAACTCCTTTACCAAAGTAAATTAGCTGTGGAAAACTTGTCAAATGCTTGCGATCCTCGGTCTTTTTTATTTTTTCATAGATGCGTTTTTTTCTTTTTCTTTCCCCAGACCCACATCTGCAGGCCTCTCGAGCCTGACCTTGGGGGAAAACCCAAGATTTTGATTCTCCGCCACCGTGCGACACTTGGAGATGTCCCACCGGCGATAGGGTTGGTCTCTTTACTTCTGTTTCTCCTCTCTTTCTTTTGCCGTGCACTTGAATCAACGTTATCGTCCTTTTCGGGTTTCGTTGTATCATTTTTTATTGTGATAACACTTATTTAACTGAGCCATGGAAGTTGCTGATTACATTAGCAAGGCCAAGACGTTTGCTGAGAATGCGTCGAAACTGACGCAAAAGGTGTCGCAAGGTCTCGTGGACAATGCTCGCGAGCTGGGATTTCCAGGTGGCGACTCTGGCGCTCAGTATTTTGACACCAATGAAGAGAAAATGCGCAATATTCGACGTCAACTCGACTCCAAGAATGATCGCGAAAAGCTGGACGGTCTGAAACGTCTGATTGCGGTTCGTACGATTGAAGAAAAAAGGGGGAAAAGCACGGTTAACACTAACTCATGCCATCAAAAACCCACCTTTCTCTTTTATTTTCCTTTCGCCTCGTACTGCGAACGGTTAGATGATTTCGAAAGGCCGTGATGTGTCCGAGTTTTTCCCGGATGTCGTAAAGAATGTCGTTTCTCACAATATCGAAGTGCGCAAACTTGTGTACATCTATCTGTTACGTTACGCTGAACAAGAGCCGGACTTGGCACTGTTATCGATCAACTCGTTTCAAAAGGATTTAAGCGATAAGAACCAAATCATTCGAGCCATGGCCCTGCGCGTTATGAGCGGAATCCGCGTTCCCGTCATCAGTCCCATTGTATTATTAGGTATCAAGAAATGTATCACCGACGGAAGCCCCTATGTTCGAAAGACAGCCGCCCATGCCATACCGAAATGTTACAGGTAAACCTATCACCTTGAACTAGAGCCTGTTCTCTCTCGATTTGCACCTTTTTAATTTTTGGGTTACATCGATTCCCAGTCTGGATCCTTCGCAGAAAGAGTCCCTCATCGAAATCATTGCCATTTTGCTCAAAGACCGATCCAATATCACCATCGGCAGCACAATTATGGCTTTCAACGAACTATGTCCAAACCGCTTCGATTTGATTCATCCATGTTTCAGGAAATTATGCGGTGTACTTGCTGACTGTGATGAGTGGGGACAAATGGCCATTCTCGGCGTATTGCTACGTTATGGCAGGTAAGTAAAGAGATTTGCAAGGGAATGAGACGACGCATGCTAAGCTGAATTCAACATTTTTATTTTGAAACAGAACTCAATTTCTCAATCCAAATCCTCACGTAAAGTATTGGACTGAAGTGGGGTAGAAAATGTCAAGGTTTTTTAACTGGATGGTTTGTAATTTAGGGAGAAGATACATCACGCACACGTCCGACAACTTCTACCACTGTCAAAACAAGCAATTTTTATTCAGACGAATCGGAAACCGAAACGGAATCGGACGATGTAGCGGTGGACGATGTGGTCGAGTTGGATGAGGATCATGAACTTTTGCTCAAGAGCTGTATACCATTACTGCAGAGTCGCAACAGTGGCGTAAGTGACGAGAAAAAAAGGGAAAAGAAACCGAACAAAACTGACCTTTTCTCATTTACCATCTTCTTTTTTGGGACTTTAACCCATTAGGTCGTTCTTGCAGTAGCCAAGCTCTTTTATCATCTTGCTCCTGCTTCTGAAGCGGAAAAGATTGCCAAACCTCTGATTCGCCTACTGAGAAATCATCGTGAATTACAATTTGTCGTATTAACCAATATTGCCACCATGGCACTGAAACGACCAGTAAGTTTCTGATAAGTAGTTTTTTTCTTGTTTACTCTATTCACTGACTTATACAACGTTACAGTACCTCTTTGAACCTTTCTTACAACACTTTTACGTACAATCTACCGAAGTCGGTTTTATTCGCGATATCAAACTGGACATCATGACAAGCATTGCCACCGAAAGCAATGTGCATATGCTTCTGAATGAACTTCAGGTAAACCTAGCAACCAACAACAACAAATCGGTTCCATGACAATCCATGTGTCTTACATTGTCTTGGGTTGCAGCAATATGTCAAGAGCGCCAATAAGGATTTTGTCGCCGCATCAATACAAGCCATTGGTCGATGTGCAACCAACGTTCCCACAGCCGCAGAACGGTGTTTGCGTCTGTTGATGAAACTTCTCCGTAGCAGTAATGGTGAGACTTCATCTTGCGAATGGGTTGTTTTGAAAACAGAGACCAGACATTGATACCGGTTTTTACATAGAACTGGTGGTAGCCGAATCTGTGGTTGTCGTGACCCATCTGTTGCAAGATAAACAGCAAGATCAATCACGCTCTATCATCGCTCTTGCTAAGTTACTGGAAACTATCAAAGTATCGACGGCACGCGCCAATATCATTTCGCTGATCGGTCATCACGCAAAGGAATTACCCAAAGTCGGACCGGACGTACTACGCCAAGCTGTAAAATCATTTACAGAGGAGGTAAAATAATCCGGGAAAGAATCTGATACGCTCAGAGCTCGATGCCGATGTCGATGCTTCAGTGACTGACTGGGTCTTCTTTTAGAGTACAACCAGCAAGCTGCAAATTCTTACACTTTCTGCTAAATTGGTTTGCTTGAATCCATCACACCCAACTTTGAACAAGTTGAATCAGTATGTACTGAATCTCGCTCGGTACGACTTGAATTACGACCTTCGAGATCGAGCTCGATTCCTCCGTGCGCTCACCATCCCTAATGCGAGCGACGACCAACCCCAACTGAACATTTTGAAAGACCATATGAAGGACATTCTCTTTAGCGATAAAGTACCCGCCATTATCCAGAGCGACGTTATCAGTAAGTACATGGGATATCATAAGCATTGGTGATAAGGTTTTTCATACTGATGGATCTGTTGCGCATGTGTAGACGCCTCTGATTATACCATCGGTTCCTTGTCATTGTTGGCATCACAGGCACTGCCAGGATATGAGCCACTGCCGGACTATCCTGAAGAGCAACCGGATCCGTCCGTCCGCGACGTGGAAGAATTAGACGGTTGGAGCGGTAGTCGTACTCGACTGATGGAACCGGAAGGATTTGGCAGTGACAGTTTCCAGGGACGGTACCGTGGCGATCATTTCGCAAGTGCATCGACAGCGTTGTCGGGTATTGAAGCCACCGGAATGAGTAGCTTCCGTGGATCGACAGGGAAGAACATGGGGCTTGATAACGACTTGGATGCATTTTACGACGATGAAACAAGCGAAGAAGAATCGAGTGACGATGAGGATAGTGATACAGATGATGATTCCGACAGTGTTTCTTCCGATGATGATGATGATGATGAAGATGACGATGATGAAGAGACGTCTTCAGATGAAGCAGAATCCGTAGGCGAAAAAGGGGAAGAGAAAGCGGCAGAAACGGATGATGACAGTTCAGACGATGAACAACATAGAGACAATCATCACACTTTGTTACATAAGAAATGAGCGTCTCTTGATGTATTATATATGGGATATCTCCTACAATTTGCGTTTTTCAGTCGCGCATGTTTAAAAATGATACAGTCTTTGAATACACGACTGTTTTGGCTCATCTATATATGATCTGAATAAATCCAGGGTTGGGTTCGCCAGAGATAGGACCGGATCCATGGCGCGACTTTCTGATGATTGTGCATGCAAGATAGGCCAAACTGCTTCGACATGTATCACTACAGCAGTAACGGATGGGTAGTATCCAATTCTTTTGTCGGTGGCCCCGAAGCTCCATTACAACAGTAATTCATGACAACCTGGCGTACTTAACGAACCGTAAAGAAAGTTGAAGTCATTCGTGACGGCTATAATTTCTTATGATCGTCGCGCGCCTGCCATAGATGCTTGGCAAGATGCTGTGGGGAAGCTTTGCTGTTCTTCGCAGATATTTATTATTAAGGTACTTAAGTGTGGGCTTTCGTGTAACAATAGCATCGTATTTCTGATGAGTTAGGGGCGGAAAAGCTGTTCTGCTCACTGAGAATCGTGGAAAGGATTAAGATGAATCGGGCGCAAGTACTATATGGCACATCTACGCGGAGGCAGGGCCACATATAACAGAAGCTGAGCACATCGATGATCTTGACAGATTATCATTATTTCGTGTTTCGCGTGTACTATGTTTCTCTTGGCATGGGTAAAGAAAAGATTGGTTCTGAACTTACCGGCCAATAATGTTGATACTGAAATGACCATCTTGTTTAGGGGCAAAATGAAAGACATCAATAGATAAATCCTCATCATCAAAGCTTGAATTAAAGATTACCCCAAGTTCCCTGTTATTTTCCAGAGTGAACTGGTGCAGAGAAGGGCCGTAAAATTACGGGCATGGAATTTTTGAGAGGACACTGCATGTTTGATGTATTAGTAATGCTGATTTTTTTTTCATTTTCACAATGATTTCTAAAAAATGGACAATGGATCATGACCGGCACCTAAATGTTTGAACCGCGATCGCTGGATCCGCCCCCAATTTATGCATGTAAACAGGGAATATTCCATCAGTAAACTTACCTGTCATGATAAAAAATCCATTCATTTATTCATAGGGAAGATATATGGCCACGTTGCGAGGGCAATGCTTGTGCCTCCTAATTACCCTGTTTGTCAAAAGAAACATCCATTTTGGGAAATATCAACGCAGGGGCGATCAACGCTTTGTCCTGTTTCATCGATGCAACCCCGAAATTATGACATCCAGGTACAATGCTGCGTCCGAACGAATGCTGCAAACTCACATATCGTGCTATCTTGCGAAATCCAATTGAAAACTCCAGCTAAAATCCAATACGAGCAATAATAATGAATAAGGTAATATGTATTTTCTTCAAAACTCCTCTAAACATGGCGTGCATTAAGAGCTTATATTTTCCATTTATGTTTTTTTATCCCACAATATCGCCCGCATGTCCTTTGAAGAATTTCAAGGAGGCGCCTCAATTCGTGCTCGAAACGTCAACGCCGAAGGAGTGATGGACAACGGTGGCATGACCTTGGTCTGTGTCTCCTGTGGAGCAAAAGGCTGGGAGGACGAGAAAGTGGCTGGAAGCCGACAAAAACCTCGGTCTGCCATTTGCTGCAACCAGGGAAAGGTCCAGTACCCGTCCTTCAGCCACCGCCTGAAGAGCTGCGCCAATTGAAATGCCCAAACCCGTCACGCCTGTGAGCCTGTCATCTAATCCGGGCGCTTATATCCCAATGCTGAAAATGATTCTCTCACAATACGAGCTTGAGCATTCCCAGCACAACCAGCCAGAAGCCGGACAAGACGAACATGCTGCTCATCCCTGCCTGTTTTCACTGTTTTCGCTCCCGACGTTTAAAAGGCGATACATTACAATCAATCCGAATGTCCTTGCCGCCTTTTTGGGCTATACCGGGAACATTTGAAGAAACTATGAACATGTTTTACAGCGTATATTGTTTCAGAGGCTGAAGCTGGATAGGTGAGTATCGAAATCATACGGAAGATACCATGAATCCCTCTAACACCTTCTGATTATATAGTTTTGAACAATTGCAAGATCCAGCTCGAAGAAGGAGATTGGCTTTTGCAAACTAAACTTGATGAGAACCGATGGCTTCGGGGCCGACGTGATGTTGTTCAAAAGTTCTTCAGTGTCCCAAAATGAGTTCCGCTTCTACTCTGACCTGGATTCCGATGTTCGCTACATCAGTCGTGAGGTCCAAGGGGCAGCTCTCACCAATATCTCTTTATGCTCGGTCTTGATCCGGGACATACACACGTGTTTACAGCCTCCTATGGTCAGGGCGAAGGACGTCATCAAGTGAGAAGATGTTCCACCAAGGAATACTATACGCTTACCGGGTCTGTTAGGCATGCTAAAGAAGAAAGGAGACGGATGGACCGAGCCCAGATGACCGACCTATTCTTGAACATTTCGACGGCAAAAACCGTGTCGCCCTTAGTTTATCATCGGTACCTCACGTACATCCTTGACAGTCTGCCACGTATTCTGCGGTTCAACGGACCAATAGTGCCGAAGGCCGTTTCCATCTGTTCCAAGGCCTGCAGAGGGCGAGAGCCGAGATGCAACATCATCACCAACGGTGGTATAAAATACAACAAAGAAAAAAGGAAGCATACCTAACAAAACAGAAAGAAGAGAAGAAAAAACGAGAGTGAAAAAGAGGTCCGGGACAGAAAGGCAAACTAAAGAAAACCAAAGGTGAGACATGGAAGATCAACATTTACTGACAGTGGTGCTCAAAAAGGTATTACATAGGCAAACGTCGGGCGGACAAGATGGCCCAAAAAAATGACAAATATTGGAAGCCTCGGGCGTTTGCTGACCAAAATTGGTTGCTGCCTGTGGTGGGTTTCGGTGCCGGCATGTTCGGCAAAGACAGCATACGATTCAAGGGACATCGAGTTGGTGCGACCAGAGTCCTTCACGAAGAACTCACACGCCGGCAAAAGGGCGGAGAGCTACTGGTCGTCACGGTCGACGAATTTCAGAACGTCAATAGTATGTCATGGTTGTCAACAGGCCAACCTAACTCATGCTCTTTCAGATTTCCATGCGGTTCTCGCTTGCCAAAAGTTGTGGAATCGTATGGAGTCGTGATATGAACGCAGCGAAAAATATTTTCAAAGTCGCCAACGAACTCATCAATAGTGGCGGACGAACTGCAATCAAAAGGTTAAAGAATCTGTGATTGCAAAACTGGAACAGCTTTTCGGACTCTAATGATTATCAACTCTCATTTATCCACTTCTTCATGACTTTTGTTTTATATACACGTCTGTCCTTAATTGATAAATAAATGGGTCCCAAGCGCACCACAATTTTTTTTATTTTGGATGAGACACTCTGCTTAAGTTTCTCAAGCGGACCACATTTTCTTGGAGCCAAATGTGGTGCGCTTGAGAAAATTATATTTTTCAAGTGCCAAGGAACCCTTTGCAACATAATGTCAAAGCAAGTGACATAATATCTAGACCGTCTGAATACACGACGACTTTAGATCCCAATTGTTCAGCGACATCAATTTCAATTGGCTGCGACATTGCTTGTTCGATTCGCTTGAATCGTCACTGAAATGAAAATTTGTCACTCCGATTGAAGACGCACATGCGTAGAAATGCCGAGAAAAATGAACGTGTTCGCTTCTTGTCCTGTCGTCTTAATTTTCAGTCAAGCAACATGGCGATCTACTATTCAATGACATTTGCTCTTCTCGTGACCGAGGTAATATATGCGACTAGTTCACCCTTATGATTACCTTTATTCAACTGTGTTTGATGTCTTTCGAAACCGTGTAGATGGTCTTTTTCGGCGTGCTCATTGTAAGTAAATTCTCGGTGCCTGACTTTTTTACTATTGAAAAGAATCAGTCATAATTGACCATGCCCTTCTGGGAAACAATAGGTGCCTTTACCTTCACATTGGCGTCGTGCCATGTTGAAGTTTGTCTCCACGTCACCCGTGGTAAGTCTTTCCGGAGGGCTCGAGTCAAGGATATAGGATTGATCAAGTCTTGGCGGGACGGATTTAGGTGGCCAAAGCTCTTTATGTATTGAAGATTATCTTTGGGTAAAATATTCGTCATTCTTTCCAATGTGGTTTCATCAACTCTAGGAATATTAACCCGTTTCCTTTCCTTTTCTGTTTTTAGCTTTATCTTTGTTCTCTTTGTTGGTAAAGATGATGACTTATCCGTGACGCGGATGACGAAAGAAACTACAGAACTAAGGAAGAATCTCGGCATTTTTAGATACCATTAACCGATTACAACGTATTGAAGCGGATGCTAGTGAGGAGCAGCGTCAGCATCACGATTACAGCTTTGAAGCCAATTTGAAAGCCAAGAAATTCTATGCTCAACGCAATCTTTACTTGACCGGTTTCACCCTTTTCTTGTCTCTGTAAGTGGACCGAATCCCCAACGTTCTCGTTGTTGTGTAAAATTCGAAAATTCTCAACTCATCGAAAATATCTACTAGCATCTTGGAACGTACCAGCACATTGGTGATTGAAGTCTTGAAACGTGAGGAAGAATTGGACAAGTACAAGAGCGAGGTAAATTGGTGGCACTGAATCAGTGAAATTGGTGATGACTAAAACTGGAATGGACTTTTTTTTTTTTTAGACTGCCTCTGTAAACGCCGATTCCCGCCGTCTAGGAGAACTTGAAGAATCATACAAGAAAGAAATCCAAGATTTGAACAACGAGATCAGCGAATTAAAGAGACAGGAACGTGACTTTGAGACGCTCAAGAAGCAAGTGGAGCAGCAATCCAAAGAATACAACCGACTGGCCGATAAACATAATGAACTGGAACGTGCCGCCAGCGGACAAAAGACCGAACAACGCAAAGACATTTAAGCTTATATTCACTCCCCTGTTGTTCCGGGATGGTTGCTTCTTTCATCTTTTTACTTTTTTTTCCTATATTTTTTTTCCCATCTTGGTTTATTGCGCTACTTCGCTTGATTAAACACGATGGCATTGGGTGTTTTACTTTGCACATTCTTGGCCTTTTTCATGGTGGCAATATCGGTTAATGCCTTGTAAAGGAGCTTGGGCGTGGGATGGTCCATGTGTGGTAATAACAGAGCGGCTACTCCCGTCACATGAGGTGCTGCCATGGATGAACCTGACATGGTCGTGGTCGCTGCTTTCGACCCAATGTAATCACTTTTGACATTCACACCTAGAAAAAGTAAAGAACAAACAATAAGATGTCATAATCGCCACTGGCAAGAGATATGGAGAACTCGTTTTACCTGGGGCCAGCATTTGGACGCATGTGCCGTAACAACTTTTAGGATCCATTCGATCGTTTTTGTCAAGCGCAGCTACAGCAAAGACATTGGGATTACCGGCCGGAATAATGTCGCAGGCATCACTACGAACACAACTTTGTGAACAATGAATAAATCACAGCTTGAGTGCTTGAGGACTTACGAGGCAGAATTTCCTGCCGCAGCAATGATGGGAATACCGGCCTTCACAGCCGCTGTCACAGCTATTCATGGGATGATCGAGTTAGATTTCACGTTGGCAAGCATGTATACCAAAGTTCAGCATCCTACCGTCGTTTAAGACCTTGCCGTTTCCGCCACTTTTGGGCATGCCCAGCGACATATTGATGAGTACCGATTTCGGCTGTTTCTTTACTTGCTTCATGACCCATTGGATCCCGCCCAAGAGATTGGAAATCGTGCCACGACCATTCTCGTCGAGCACTTGCACAGCAATCATGCTGACATTTTTCGCCACACCGTATTGAGTGCCGCCAATAATACCAGCTACATGGGTGCCGTGGCCCCCACCATCGCGTTGTTGGCTGTTCACTTTACCAAAGGCAGACCATCCCCATTTGGCACGGCCATGGAAATCCTTGTGATGAATGGCTAAACCATCGTCAATGATGTACACTTCGACACCGGATCTATAAAATAAAAAAGATGTTTGTAAACATGATATGGCCGACGAGACTCGAGGAACGAAAGAAGAAAAAAGAGACGGTACCCTCCGTTTGAATCGTAAATATACGGCTTGTTCAAGCTTCGCGCATGCTGTGAAATGCGCACAAGATTCCAAGGAGCATTTTTCTGTTGCAGTAACGACAAACTCGAGGATGCTGTTTTCAAAGACGGTTTCGACGATTTCTTGGTGGATTTTTGCGTTTTCGTGGACTTTTTAGTTTTAAACGACGAGTTTTTCTTATTCTTGGAGGTGGAAGCTTGCTTCTTTGCCGAATTAGATTTTGACGGTTTCTTTTTACTGGTGACCGACTTTTTATTGGACGATGACGACGACGAGGAGGAGGCTACGACGTCGTCGGACGACGGGTCGGCCTCATCCGAGTGGGCCTCGTAAGAAGTGGCGAGCTGCTTGGACCGATTTTTGGGATGATGTTGACAGTTTTCGTCGTGTTCGAGGTCATTGTGATGTTTTGGTTTTCGGTGGTGACGAGGTGTCGAAGGTTTTTCGTGATGAGGTTTTACATTGGCAAATCTCTGCGGTCCGAAGGAAAAATAGATTCATTTCATTTCTGGTCAGTTTGCGATGTTGCACAGTCAAACTCAGCAATTAATTTTTTGTTCTTGCTCTTCTTACAATGTAATATCGTTTATCGAGAGAATGCGACTCGGGCAGGGGAAGATCGAACTGAATCTCTTTATCGGGAATGATGGAAACGATTTCTTGAAACTTGGAAAGGAGACGAGGTACCACGTCGTGCTGTCGGATTTCCATGCTGATCGCTTTAAATTCACCAGCGATGTCAAAGGTGTCGAACACATGGAAAGGATCCTTATTCGTTCGACGCGCAAGATGCCCTTTACCGAGATCGTCTATTGCATCCATCACATCGTCCACCGTATCTTGAATCAAATCAACCGCGGCATCAATCATGCGAGGAATAACTAGATACAACCATGGAGTGAATACCCGTATCCATTATAAATGACCTCTTCGATTCTTACAATCTTTGATACATGTTTCCCGATTGATTTGAACAATATACTGATTGCTGTGACCTGCAACAAGCGAAAAAAGAAAGAAAAAGAGAAAAAGGAATGGCTTGGAGGTCATTACGCTTCAAAAGAAACAGAAAGCGCTGACCGGTTGTATAAAAGAAAAAAACTAAAGAAACTAGGAAAGAAGGAAAGAGAGGTGCTAAAACATTGACGTGGAAAAAAAAATACGATCTGTATACTAATTGTATCGTGTCTGTAACATGGAGGTGACACTCATCGGGATTTCGGTGCAACCTCTAATAATAAAAAAGATAGTGCAATGTGATGTCCAGATCACAATGGCTCGAACAATTAAGCCCATTTCTAATCCCGTCAAGTGTCACATTGGCCAAAAAAAAAAAGGCCCATCGTTTTGGCAATTATCAAAACTTCACCCCAAACAAAAGACATGGCGCCTATGATGCACAATCTAACTTTACAAGGTACGTCGATCGATCCCGGTTTTTCCTTGGGTTTGGTCCCTGCACTTCACAGCAAATTTCATCTCATTTCTCTATTGCAAATAGACCAGTATCCGACTCGATAACAATGATCGAATTCCTCATTGAAAAAATCTCATTAGAGATAGTTGTCACGGCAACGATCGCATTTCAATGTCGCATAGCAAAAGCTTAGGTAAAGACTTCGTGATGGACACATAGATCACCAAGAGAGACAGGCAGAAACGTTCAGTACTTGTAAGCTGACAAAAGTAGAATACACGGGTGAGGCAGATGGCAGATGGCAGATGATATTGGAACTTCAGGAATCGGAATGGTCATAATTTACTTGACCTACGTTAAGCAATTGAAAACGTCAGGGCTTTTAATGTTCTTTCGGCACAAAAGAAATCATCTTAATAGATTCCATCCTTCCAAACAGTGAACATTATTATATCTCAACTCACGTCTCATCCAAAATAATACAAAGAATGAAGCTAATGAAGGTCAAAACAAAACTAGCGTAGTCAAAGATACCGTCCAGTTTTATTCCCAAAGCTAACAGCACTAACGGTGACGCCATGTAAGAATTGCCAAACGAATCGAGAAGAAATCACTAAATGTGTATTAGCGCAAGACGAGAAAGAAAAAGACGCTTTCGCGCGGTAGATCCCATGACGTACCACCGCTTTAAAGTTGGATCATGGCCACGTTTAAGAGCAGGTTACAAATCACTATTTATAGATTGCTGTGTTGCCTGTGGTTGATGAATTTGATGCATCTGAGCGTCAAAACTCGTACTTTCTTAATAGTCTTTTCGTTTGATAGGACCCATTTTCCCAACCTTATTCGCACACGTTTTGGTCGTACAAGTGCCACACCGGTCTGCCTTTTATGGCATCTCCAGTTTTGGTCATTACCCCACTGCAGATTTTTTCTTGCGCAAGTCGGTTCAACCATAAAACAAAATAATTGTAATTTTCTTGAAAGCAATTTATTGATGTGGGGATGCTGGATGAATATGATGGAGTTGTCTCTCTTTTTTTTATTATTATTTACAGTGATTATTTTTCATTTTATAATGCATCGTCTAGGATCATTCTCGGGGAAATGTTCATGGCCATGAGTTCTTGGAATAATAGCTTGGCAGCGTACGGTATCTGCATGGTTTTGACGTTCTTGCTACTCTTACAGTATTGACACCAACCCGCATAGCCAATCAAGCCACACTTGTCACAAACATGAACTTCAAAAGCATCCGACGAAATCATCAATCGTTCCAGCAAAAGCATACTGGCACCGTAACCAATCAAACAATCACGTTCCATTTCACCCAAACGAAGACCACCATCGCGAGATCGACCTTCTGTAGGTTGACGCGTCAGTGTCGCACGCGGTCCACTGTACGTACAAAGTACATAATCAGCATCGAATAATGGGTTTTTTTCTTTATGCATTTTTCTTTTTTGACTTACCGAGCACGAGCGTGCATCTTATCCATGACCATATGTTTCAACTTTTGATAGTAGATGGGGCCAAAGAAAATGTATGCAGAAAGAGGCTCGCCAGTAATACCTACAACAACAGGTTTGACGTCAGGGTCCATTGGCTGGGCGAACGAATTTTAGACAAACAAATTATATACCTGAAGTTACGTAATCCTTGCCCGAATAATTGAACCCGTGTTCAATCAAGATGCGACTCATGTCTTCAACTTTACTTCCGCCAAACGCCGTACCGTATTGCAGCTTGCCCGCCAACACACCGGCTTTGCCCGCAAGCAATTCAATCATTTTACCCACAGTCATACGCGAGGGGAAACCGTGAGGGTTCATGATAATATCCGGACAAACACCAAGATCGGTGAATGGCATGTCTTCTTGCTGTACAATAATACCACAAACACCTTTCTGTCCGTGACGCGAAGAGAATTTATCACCCAGTTCAGGTCGACGCGTTTGACGAATGTTGACCTTGATCAAAGTTTGATCACTTTCCGTAGTTGTAAACAACACCTTGTCCACGTAGCCGGTTTGCGGCGACTTGTATCGCATCGGCGATGCTTTGTAGGCCACGGTCTGCGCCGAACCAGCCACACCCATATCGATGCCGCTGCTCACCGGCGTTTGCTTGTTAATATACACCGAGCCATCATTCAGAGGCTCACCCACACCGGCAATACCATCTGCTTCAATCGCATCAAATGCAGGATCCCACGTATCCGATTCGCGATTCGGTGGATCGGCCAAACGATCATGGCTGTCAAAAACTTCGTGGTTAAAATCATCAAAACAGTGAGGATATGCGTCATTCTCATTTGATACGTACGTTCCATTGGGATATCGCTTCACCATGGTAGCGTATTTTCTCATGACCTGACAACGTCCAAAACCTCGATCCAGACCAGCCTGTGAAGGTACGAAAATATACAGATGGTGAGACAACACTGTTGTTGACCAGAAAATAGCCAAAAATCTCATTTTTACCTTGTTCAGTACCAAAGCATCCTCAATATCATAGCCGGAATAACTCATAACTGCGACGGTGGCATTCTGACCAGCAGGAAGCTGTAAAAAAAAAAAAAAAAAAAGGGTGTGAATAACCTACAAACAGTCGATCTGTAGTTTCATAGTCTACCTTGTCGTAACCGATAAGTTCAATTGTCTTTGTCTTGACCATGGGTTGTTGTGGATACACCATCAAGTAGATCAGCGTTTCAATACGGTTGAGCTGATTATAACCGATGGCACCAATAGCTTGTTTACCCATAGCACATTGATAACTAGTGCGAAAAAAAAGGGAGACCGAAAGTGAGTCAAAGAATCATCGTCGTTGGTTAGAACATATAGAAACATACGTGTTACGGGGAGACTGATTGTGATGGGGGTAAGGAATAAGGCCAGCCACCGCACCAAGAATCGTAAATGGTTCAATTTCCAAATGGGTCGACTGTGGTATAATATCGCGTTCATACGTGGCAATATTCGCATCACTCTCTTCATTGACATCCAAATATTCGACAAGACCTTTCTTCAAGAAATCGTCAAACGTTAATTTTTCCCTAATCAAATCCTAAGAGAAGAGATGAACTGGTGTGAGTGCGTTTCTGGGGGAGGCAAACATGGAGGAATACTTACATCGATGTGTTGTTGTGTAATTCTCGGGCGACCGTTTTCGACAATAATCAAGGGACGACAAATACGACCACCATCCGAGGACAAATTGACGGTTCGTTGATGCGTGTTCACAAAGACAGTGACAAATTCAGAGATACGACCGGCACGACGCAGTCGTCGAAAGTCGGCAACAAACTGCTTCGTTCGTCGCGTCACACCCAGAATGCCACCGTTCAAAAGGACGACAAACGTGTTGGGTTGATATAATTCCACACCGGTCAAAAGATTCACATCCTCCACACCGAGAGAGAACGCAATCTTTCGGATAGGTTCTTCCTCATCATCCGTGGTAATATGGGTCATCAGAGCCAAATTCTTTACAAGACCACAAGCTTCACCTTCCGGTGTATCCGAAGGACAAAGCATACCCCACTGAGAAGGCTATTCAACGCAAGAAACAAAGTGTTACTCCATCATGCATCCTTCAACGCAAGAAAAAAAAAGTGGATGGCGCGTACCTGCAGCGCTCTGGGACCCGAGACTTTTCTCGTCTTCTCGAATTGCGAATTGATTCTGGTCATCATACCCAAAGCCGAAATATACGAGAGACGCGATAACACCTGGGTAATACCTGCACGGTCCATTTTGAAACGTTTCAGGACCCAGTTACCGGTGGAAATGGCACGAATAAATCCACTCGTAATGTGATCACCATGCAGCACGAGCTGGTTGAAAATATCGAATTCTTGTGTACGATTCGGTTTCTTCAACACTTTGTCGGCATTCATTTTCAGATCCGAGTTGAATTTCTTGAATAAATCTTCAAACAACAGCGAAAGCAACTGGCCAGCTCTACAAACCCTGTCAGTGATTCCCTAATTGCATGGAACGTCACGTCGGACATTTTTTTGACTTACAATTCCAATCTCTTGTTACCAACGTAATCACGATCATCGACTTGCACCTGATCATTCATCGCAATGAGCACACGACGAATCATGACCGCTGCATAGGTACTCTTTTCACGGAAATTCAGATTCTCCACAGGCACATGAGCCAAGATAACTGTTGCCAGCACTTCAAGCGCTTCTTCAGCCTAAGTTCAATCCATTCAAAGGTCAATCCATTGCATCATGCTTATAAAGATCCAGGCGGGACTTACAATGGTTTTGCGAACAGTGGCGAGTTTTCGATTCACTTTCACTTTGGCGCCAATGTATTCCAAAGCTTGTAATTGAGTAAAGACACGCAGACGAGACGATTCTTCAATATTGATAGCGAATGTATCGTGCAAATCATGGTCGTTGCCACAGACAAGTTGAGCAATTTCTCGATCGGATTGAATACCCATGGCCTAAAACAAACAGCAACAAGCATGGTAACGTTGAGCCTCTGATTGTTCCTTTTGCCGCTACCTTTACGATGATGATTTTGTACCTTCATAAAAATGGCGACCGGAATATCTTCGGCAATAGAGTTATGTTTCAAGTAGATCTTGTTATTTTTTACGAAGATGGCCGTCTTGGATTTACGTTCATGAGTGGAACTAGGAGACAGAATCAATACGTCAAGAACATAATAGGAGACCCTACCGCTTCCATTCATTAGCTTACCTCTGTACGTTTGCAATAATGTTTCCCTTTTTATCCATGTCGACAATAATACGATTCTTGGACAATTGTTCTTGGACGAGAATAACTTTTTCCGTTCCCTTGACCACAAAGTACCCACCGGGATCCAGTGGACATTCCTTCATTCTCGCCAATTCTGCTTCGGATTTGCCTCGAAGAACACAATGCGAGGATCGCAACATGATGGGGATACGACCAATGTTAACATTTTTACGTTTCACAATTTGCTTGCCACGCGTATATTCGACATCGACGAAAATATTGGCGGAATAGGTCAGATCGCGAAGACGACACTCGTGAGGGGTGTAACTGCGGTTGGCGACATCCGCATCGGTACGTTCAGGTGCACCCACACGAATTCCAGTATATCTACATAAACAAATAAACGGAAACCCATGTAAGATTTTACCGCTTCATTCTAACCAAAATGAACTGAATATTACTTTAGGTAAAAGTGAGGATCGACGTCGGACGTGACTTTTTCGTTGGCTTTCACGATTTTGCGTAGATCGACATTGATAAAGTAGTTGAACGAATCAATGTGCTGCTTGACAAGACCCTTCACTTTCAAAAACGCCGGTAACAACTTCCATTTATCCTATATGAAGTGAAATGCAAACCACATGAATCACTCAATGCCAATAAGCCTGTCAATCAAAAAATACCCCAGTGCCTTACATTGATTTCTTTCACAGGTTCAGTCAAGTGTTTCCCTTGATAGTATTCTTCCATCAACGGTTCAAATCCTTCCTTGTCACCGTGAGCATGTCCGTGACCGTGCTCTTTTCCCTTGGCAGACTCAGCCATCCTCCTGTTGAGTTTAATAAACGCGCAAGGCACACAACCCTTTTTTCCTTCTTTTTTTTTTTACTTTTTCTTTGACCGCCGTTTTGGATCCACTTCTCAATTTAGCGGTCCGTGACTGCGAAATCCGACGACCAAGTTCATCCAATGCGCTCGCTAAGCCTCTCGATCAGGCACATGCATTGAACTGACTTCCACCCCGCAATTGGAATCCCATAATAATGTCCATGGATGACACATGAATATATCATCATATCACTTTTTCTTGACATGCACCATTCGTATGCAACAGCAAAACTCAAGTAGAGTAGTTTACACAATAGGCTTCTCTGGCACTGTATAGTTTCGATCAAATCATGCCTTTTACAAGAAAATAGTGGGTTCCTGCAAGTTACGTGCTTTAATGCATACACCGTCAAATAAAAGTGGATTTATCTGCGTGGACGCCGTTCATTGCAAGAAAGTGGACTTGGTTGTGTTTCTTCTGACAAAGCAGCAATGAGTGGAACGGAGCCAGTGAGAAGGTGGATAGAAAATGGGTCACCACGTGAGAAACGTCCGTGCTGCGGCGATTGAATTAAAATGATGAAAAAAGCGAACCTCCTTTCACCGTTTCGGAAATTCCATCCCCCTTTTTTTTTTGTTCTTTTTAGTATTCACTGCCCGTATTCCAAGGCAGCTGCAGTATTACATCATACACTCGAATGGAAACTACACTTCGTGATAAAGGATACGTTGAAGTGGCATCGCAACGTGAAGCTGCTCCTGTGAAACTGTACTATGAACGCCATGGAGATGGACCGGAAAAAGTGCTTTTAATTATGGGTAGGTGCTTTTTTTCCGACCAAAAACGAGTCGTTCTCTAATTTATTCTGTCAATTTAGGGCTCAGCACTGCATGTCATGCATGGGAAAATCAGGTATAATCAATATCCTTGTAACGCAGTAACATGATGATAATGAAATAAGCCCCGGTGTTAGGTGCAATATCTGGCGAATAGTGGCAAATACACCGTTCTCATTTTTGATAACCGTGGGGTTGGTAATTCAGGTAAGCCAAATCAAGAATAAGTGGCCTCGGCTCCATATCTCATGGACTTGGCTTTTTTTTGTCAATTAAACAACATCAGATGCTCCGTGGGGCGTTTACTCGTAAGTGATGACTGTCGTGGTTTCTCAACTTGAAAAAAAAGAAACGCTAAACGCATTGACCATAACAGGACGTCACAGATGGCAACCGATGCCATGGATTTATTGGATCACTTTCAGTGGTCGCAAGTTCATGTGGTCGGTATTTCCATGGGTGGAATGATTGCCCTGGAACTCGTTTACCAGAACCCCAAGCGATTCCGTTCGTTGACATTAACAAGCACCACCGCTCGTCGCAATATACCTACGGTAAGTGACCTTCCACGGATGACCTTTTTCTTTCGACATTAGACAGAAAGATATCTCATACGAGTGTGACATCCGCTAGTGGAAAGCATTGACGACGTTGTCAAAAATCACTCTGTTTGTGAAAACGCCCGAAGCCAAAGTGAACTCCGCCATTGGCTTGCTGTATCCTGACGATTGGCTTGATAAGAAACCAGACAATCCCGAATCATCATTTGCCACCAATCGTGAGATGGCCACCACCAACTTCCTCGCACGAGCCAAACGAACGCGGGTGCAACCGATTCAAGGAAACCTTGGCCAAACTGCGGCGTGCCTTACCCACTGTGTTTCCGATGACCGGTTGCGGGAAATCAAGCGCGCGGGTTTACCGATTCTTGTCGTGACAGGTACTTGGGACAATCTCGTGCGCCCAGAATCGTCATATCACATGAAAGATGTCCTCGAAGCCCGCTTTGAATTGTTCCAAGGTAGTGGTCACGCCATTCCCGAAGAGCAACCCGATCGTTATAATCGCTTACTGGATGAACACTTTACTGCTGCCGCCGCAACATCAACGACAAATTAAATTTGAGTACGAATGAATGCCATACCCTTTGCGTCATCCTTAAATCCATGTATCATAATTCTTGTATGAAAGAAACCATTGTGAAAAAAACTCTCATCGAAAAGCATATGAATTTCATTTTCATTGGGTAAAAAAAAAAAAAAAAAAAACCATGGTGTTGCATGTGCGGAGAAAACAGAAAAGAGGAAAAAGATAGAGAAAAAAAAGAGACACAGTTAATTACTTAAAATACATAAAAAAAAAAGACAAAACTTGGATGGTGGCATGGGGGAGAGGTTGGTTTTTTTCTTGCATGTTTTAACTGTATTGCATAACATGGTCTGTGCGTTGCATATCTTCAAAAGAAGAGGTGTTGAGAAAAGACGACCAGTGACCGCTAGATAGTAAAAAGTGATTCATCGCTTCGTCGTCGGTTCCCAAGGGCGGATCAAGCATCATTTGGTCTTCCGCAGGGTGAGCTGAACCACTGTTCAGTTTGCTGGTATCCACACACGGTTGACTGTCGGCCAACATGTCACAGGGATTGTGAGACACGGGCGCGGTCGGGGGTTGGAAAGGAAAGGAGTTATCAGGAAGAGAAATACTGTGTCGTCTAGGATGATTCGATGCTAATGCATAAGGTGACTGCTGTAGTGATTGCTGGTCTTGAAGTGATACTTGCGATGTGGCTCGGACCAATTGGTGGTGGGGTGGTGGTTGGGATGGTTCTTGTGGTGAATCCAAACTGGCATCCAGCGTGAGCGGCGAGGAGATGGGAGCGCCGGCGTGGGCCACGAATCCTGAAGGTGACAGTTGATGGGAGTGACTGTGATGATGCCGTGGCATCATCATCATCGATCGATGATGTCTCAAACGGGGCACTTTGGGCTCCTGAGTTGGGAAGGGCGCATGATGTGACGACGCCGGTTGCCCGTACACCACGTGTGGAGACACATACATATTATTCGATGATGACGACGATGGCGGGTGCGCGGATCCAGACAGAGGCGGCCACGTACTGTGGATCGACGAAGGCTTAGCCATATCCGCTCGTCGTCGCGCCCGTAAATCCTCGACCGAGTAAGAGATGTGATGGTTTAATCCTCGCGGTTTCCGTCTTAAATAAGCATGCTGATTCACCGCCCCAGGATACGTGGGCGGCGTAATCAGTGGCTGTTGATGATGATTGTAAAGCGGCAATCGTTGCTGCTGCTGTTGTTCATGCATCATGAGCGAAGCAAATCGTGCCGGGTCGGTCAGTGACGCACTAGAGCTAAATAGATTGGCTTGATTCACCGGCGGCACATCAAGCGTAAATGGCAGGGCAGGTTGTTGCGAAGCCGACCTTGACGAGGTGGAAGGATTGGTGGCGGCGGCCATCATCATGATATTGGTCGATGTGGGACCGGTCATGGTATGTCGACGGGTTTTCGGCATTTTGATAGCTCGTGTCGATCGTGGCATGTCCACGGAGGCGGATAACACCGGCGATGATGAAGTGGACGAAGGGTTGCTCTGATTGATGTGAGACGTAGAAGGCGAGGAGGAAGCAATGGACGCGGTAGGCGTGGCTACGGGAGGGTACCAGGGTGACGACGACGATGCATGTGAGGCCATGGTTCCAGTCGGTTGCTGGGACGACGTGTCGACGGCCAACTGACCATACAATTGAGTCAGTTCGGCTTCCTTGATGTGGGAATGGAGCTCAATCGCCGGCGAATCCACGGCCAGACGATTCAACAGATGGAGCGATTTCAAGTACTGTTGTTTCGCTTTTTCGTTGGTTCCACCTTCCCCACATGTGGTCATTTCGAACCGGTGAATGGTAGCGGCCATGGCCACACAGTGGATGGCGTGCTGGATACCTCGTGTTGAATAACTAAACACATCCCTCGATTTTTTTTCCATCAGACTTTCGGTGATGTTCGTGATATTGCTCGCGGCCGCCGCACACAACGATCGGTGTTCATAAGATTGCAAGTTGAATTCGGTGTCCGGGAACGGATGCAGTACATAGTGACGGTGCAACAAAATCACACTGAAATTGTACGTCATGTGGAAAAAACCGACAAACGCATCGGTGATGGGATGTTTCTCGGCAGGGTACGTCTCCATGTCTTGGGTCGGTACATAAGTCAGTCCAGGAGGTAATTCGTGAAGCAAATTTTCCAAGTGGGTATGTAAAACGAACAGTCGCCCTTGCTCTTCGACGACTTGTCGTACCGTGCGTGTGTTCGCTTGCACTTGTTGCCGCCCTGCGACTCGACGAGACATGTGATAAATGGACGAAAGGATTTTGCACAGCTGGAACATACTGTTGTATTGAACCACCGTCTCTTCGAGTGATCCCTTTTCATCGTTGGTCACTTGAGGTAACTCCGTCGTGCATTCGACCGATCCAAAATACGGTTCTCTCCCTTGTTCAATGCTGGCAAACAGAAAAAAAAAAACCAATCCCATCGCCGATAAGTATACACGTATTCTCGGTAGAATTACTTTTTTCTTTCTCTCTCTCTGTTTTTACCTGGTAAGTATGTCGTACATAAAAGTCATCCAAAAGGTACGTTTCCTTGTTTCCCATTCAGATATGGACATGCCTTCGTGCATGGTGTCCAATCTCGATAATCCCAGGTCATTGCACATTCTAACCGCAATACTCAGAAACAGGCCAGATCGATTAAAGAATCCGAGACGTCGGTAATGCTCCTGATATTTGGTGAGTAGCACGAGGGCTTGAATGGTGGAGACGCGGGGCACATCCAGGTACTCGTCAATCAAGGCAAATGCGCGCTGATAAAAAGGGAATCCCGGAGGCATCGGTGGCGCGTGCTGCGATGGATCCGCCACCCAACGTGAAGCGACGGCACACATGGCATAGAGCAAAAGCTTGGAAGGTGGATCGTAACGGAGGGTAATCTGAGGATCAAAAGACGGTTTGTGAATCATGGGTGCATATTTATGGACATGGACAAAGTAAGCTTCCAATAAAGCGGGAGGGATTTCACCGGGAAATCCTGCCGATTCCATTTTCTTCGTGTCGGGTTCTTTAACCATGGGAAGCGAGGACAACGAAGCCGTGGCAGTGGCAGCAGCTTCGGATAATTCGGCAGCGGTGGAAGAATATCTGCTTGATTCCGATACTGCCGAACCGTTCAAATCTTCCATACTGGGTATACGATCGACCCTGCCTTGGTAATCATGTACATACAGTGCCTGGCCGATTTCATTCACCAGAAACCGATCTTCAGCACGGTAACAAGGAGCCGCACTCGACACTCCTCGCGATCGGTTATCTTTTTAAGTTAAAAAAAAAACGAACGTGAGTGAACTACTGTATCTTGTATTTATTATTTTTTCCTTTTCGAGGTCTTTGTACCTTCTTGGATGGTGGTATCCGTGGTATCATCATTGGTGGTATTGGTATCTTGGAATCGTTGAGGGTTCAAAGTGAGTGCATCGTCGAGTATGCGTCGAGCGGGACCGTCAATGGTCCGTAAAGCTCGTTCGACTAGCTGAAGTCGTGCTTCCAAAAGCTCCATATATTGGCGGGGTAAACCTCGCTTGGGGGGCTGTTTAGCGAATACACAGTCGGCATCGGATTTACGACAACGACCACACGGTTGAACACCGTCGCATTTAACCTGCAAGAATTTTATAAAACCATGTTCATGAGTGTGAATGTTGCCATGACGTTTTTGGCGGGTTTCCGCTTGCGTTTTCCCTCTTATTTTTTTTTTCTTTTCCGCTTGTTCTATTTTTCTGATTGACTAATTCTTTTTACCTTTCGTTTCCGACATTCATCGCATGCTCGAGTGATTTTCAATCGTTTGCTGTTGGCAGCAGCATTAGTTTTCTTCTTGTTCTCTGTCGGATAATCTGCAGTAACGTCGGTTGATTGCATAATCTATCGAGATTGAGACCAAAGAAGGCTTGGGGGTATATCAAAGAAATAAAGTAGAAGGAGGGGGATACAGTGGCGCACGCTAAGAAAAAAAAAGCGAGAACAGAGGGAAGCCAGACCAAAAGAAAAAAAAAAGAAGAAAAAGAGAAAGGGATAGGCAGAAGAGAAAAAAAGAAAAGAGGGCAATGGAAAGAGGTTGCACTACCAAGAACCCAGAAGGGTTAATTGTTGCCTTGGTTATACAGGTCGTGATGGTTGCTGTGCTGTAAACATCTGAGTTTGACTTGATTTCTGTACGAGCTTGCTTTTTTCGACCTTTTTTTTGAAAACACTTTCTAAAATAATCAGAAGCATCCTCTTCCACTCTTTCTTGCTCATCAAAGCACGCTTTTTTTAGTGGAAGTATCTGTTAGGAAGGCTGTTACTTCTCCTTGTTCTTTCGTTCTAACACCAACTCAAAAATGTATGCAAAGTCACTGTATAATGAAGTAAGGTTGACTCGATATCAAAGGATTTCCAATTATAAATCCTTAGTATCCATTGTTTGGCTAGTTTCCGGAAAGAAGGCCAATATGCTGTGAATATGTAGAGATCTGTGTCACCTCAATGTTGATCTCACTCACTATGTGCTGTGGTTGCTTTTATTTTTTATTTTATTTTGTCTATTTTTCTTTTTTCTTTTACAGACGAACGCCACCACCTGTTCTTTAGAATCGTGGGCCGGGCGTGAAGAAAGGAAAAAAGTGCAACGATGCTCACATGATATCATTCCATGCGCCTTGATATTTCTGGAAATTACTTGTGGCTACTGTAGTTATACAACGACCCGATCGATACCCTGCAGGCGTAAATGTGTGTGTGCCGCGGGGTAGGTGGGTTATCCTTTCTTTTCGTGATTTCGCCGGATGAAACCCCATCATTATGAATAATCACAACAAGTAATAATGGAGAGTTCTTCAGATCCAAGCGTAAACTCAGGACCGACAATTTTGGCGAGCCGTCGATGATAAGACAATAAAGGATCAAGTGCTGCTTCAGGGTGAAAAATCCTGGAAAGCCCAATTTTTTGCACCTTGGAATATGTCCAACCAGTTCGTCGGACTCAATAGGTCGCGCCTGCAAGGGCTTTGGCAAGATTGGTGGTGGCGGTAATATTGCTGAGACGCGGTGCAAGCAATGGAACCGGGTAAAGATATGCCGCTCTGTAGACAAGCGCATAGATTTCCGGGGGCAGCTACTGATTATGAACACGTACTTGGCCTTGTTGGATCGACGCGAGTTGATGAACAGCGTATCCGATGAGAGCAATGTTGGATCTGGGGGTCGCGAAAGATGCGACAGGACAAAGATCAGCTTCATTGTGTGGATGGATAAGGAAAGGTTTGATGATACGGCGATCCTTAATTGGTTCTTTCGGAGCAACCACAACGAACATTGGAACACCTAGAAGAGCTCTGAACAACCGTCGAAAAAATATGCCAGAGGACAGCCAGAGGACAGAAAGGTGCAGAAAGGCACCCATAGTAGGAAGACGACCTTGGATTACAACTGAGGAAGCATGCAATGTGGACCATGTTGTTGGGGCACTGTTCTAATCGATATTACACAACACCAGCAAATGGCAAAAAGCCGCCACGATCGAGCTTCCCAGTTTTGGCGCTCGGTGATGCTGGATTGAAGATGACCGAAAAGGGAAAGATCAGCGGCATTTCCCGAAATTTACAACTGTATACTGCCGTTGCTGGCTTCGTGGGCAATGGCCGCTCAACCACGTTCACGCAGCATAACGTCGACGAGGAAGGCTAATAATTGTGTTCACACCCGGGCTATACGATGCCTGGGGTGGAAGTTAATAGTGAAGTTAGTTTTTTTGTGAGATTACAGATTGTGTGTGCATGGACTTTTTCTTTTAAAAGATCGTTTGATTAGTTGTTACTCAGTCGAGCATTCTAACTGATAACATCACTAATCTCAAAGTTTCGTTACCAGCTAAAATCGAATTTATTCATATGAGCGTGTTTGCGGTAGTGCGCACGCGTATATCTTCCTCTCTTGAGCTTTTATTTTATATGGTTTTGTTGTACATTCAGTGATAACAAGCTGGTTTATGCACTATAGACCAGTTCGTCATGGGTATCTCTCTAGTCACCTGGTTTAAAGAACCATATCCTTTCATCGTGAGAATGCAGTCGATGTAAATTTTTCTTTTCCTTCACTCGGCTACTGGAGCCAGTAGACATTTGAATTTTGCATGGACTGCATCAAGTGCCTGGGCCTGTAACCGTGGCAAAATGCAAGTGGGAGGGCCGGGATCGGTGACGAAAAAGGCAACGTTATACCTAGAGAAGCACGATTGTTGTCCCTGAAGACGAAAATGGTAATTTAGGAATCTTAAACACCTGCACAAACTGACCAACCCAAATGAGGGCATTGACCAATTGCACGCCCATAAACAGTGCTTCCGAGCTAAACCAAGGGACGGAGTGCCACGGCGGAGGACGAAAATGCAGGGTCAATGGAGCATGGTGTGACCCCGATGATTTCCATCCATCTGACCCACCTGATCACCTCGTTCCAATGCCATCATTGTAGTTTTACCCTAACCGTTTTTTGCCCCTCAATTCATCTCCCCCGCCCCGCAGCACTACATATCTGTTGGTGATCAAAGAATAATGGCACAACCAATCGAAGCGATCTAACTTGTTGCATCTTGTACACACACACACAGAGAGAAAAGGGCATGACTTTTCAACTCCACTACTGACAGTTTTTTTTTATCAAGACATGTTTATCAAATACAGTGAATCAACCGTGGGTTTACCATTTGAAACTATGACTGACTAGACTAGATCGATCTATGTTTACCCGGAATTTTTCTTAACTTGTTCGAACAAGATCTGATCATTATATGCAAAAACACAACAGACGCAAAAGACATAAAATATACACAAGCTGAATAAAAAGAAAAAAAAAAGCAGAAAAAGGCATGGTTTTTTACGATGGAGTTGATTTGGTAGCATCTTTCTCGGCACGAATGTTGATGCCGGCGCTGGCTGCGATGACTCGAATAATATCGGTGAGAGAAACAACGCCGATCGCTCGATCTCTTTCATCCGTTACCCACACACGGTGAGATTTGGTCGCCAGCAATTTCGCCGTTGCATAACCAAGCGTGGTGTCAAGGCGGACATCGAATACTGGTAAACGATCCTGAACACAGAGAAGTGGGGTTAAAACATACATGGACCGATGGACTGAGCGTCACCCATGACTCTTTTGCCACACTTACCTGACCGTCGTCAATTCCCTGTTGCGTACGTACAATGCGGACAAATTGGAAGCAACGTGTCCACAGCAGTTGATATCGATAACTCTTCATCACGTGCTGTCAGAAAAAAGAAGACCGGCCGGTAAAAAATTGGTTTTAGACATGGGTTTACCATTTTTTTTTTTTTGATAAGCATCTCAAGGACAAGGTGGGCGCCCCCGTAAGGTGCTTGATAATCTTACCTTGACATCGGTCATGCTAATGTTCCCCACAATTTCCCCATTATTACCCAAGACGGCCACGGATGAAACGCCGTATTGACCTAAACATAAGAAACCCGTCAACATCCCATCAGTCACACCACCCACGGAGTCTCTGTGGCGTTATCTCTGCCTCACTTACGCATTAATGATAAAGCATCCAGTACAATGGATTCGGCACCCACAGCAATGACATCTGCTTCGCCCAAGTTCAATTGACGCAACTAACATAAAAAGAGAGGGATATCAATAATGTGGCGGAGTTTTATGCTCAAAGCAAAAGAGGCATTTACAGTTTGGTTCATCAACTGTTCAATGTCGCTGTAAGACTTTCGATTGTCAAACAGATATTGAACCACTGTTGACTGGGAAAGGATTCCCAGGACTTCACCATCGGCGGCCATCACACATACTATCACCATGACCGTCAGCCCCTCACCATATAACAGTTCCAAAACATTCATCATCACCTCTTTCAACCACTTACCACGATGAATGCCACAGGCGAATTCTTCCATGGCAGAAAGTAATGTCGCTTCAGGAAGGATGGAATAGAAAGGGTTTTTTCGGGATAAATCTGCGACAAAAAAAAAGCATGAACTGTGAGTGATGAGTGATTGAGTACCCCAAAAACCAACACGTACCACTGGCGAGTTTGACGGGGATACTTTGACCGGCGAGAGCGCGTCGTACAATATCTTTGACTTCGAATGTATCGCCTGGGACGTTTTCGCCCGAATTGATGGGAGCGGGGCATTTTTGTAGTACCAAGAGAATATAGCTCATAAAGTCACCATAGTCAATCATGCCAACATACGACCGCGGATGCGTAATGGCATGATCTTTAGCTTCGTGATGACCGTTATAAACCGGGGCAGAAGAAATATTGTGTTCAACAAGGACATTGCAGGCTTCTTCCACAGGCATGGCCCCATCACTTTTGAACAAGAAAACCAAAAAGGGTTACCGGACCGAATACCCTCCGTAACAAAAGGATTAGAAAAATTAAGGCTTACATGGTCACTACTTTTTGATTTTTTACAAGCGCCGAAGCATGGACCATAGTCCAATCTCGTGTGGCGGTGGTCACTCCTTCTCTGTGAGCCATAACAAGCAGGAAATATTCAAATCAATCAAAAGGGAAAATGCAGAAAAGAGAAAAAAGAAGTATGCAGACAACTTTAGACGACGCAAAAAAAATATTAGAAAAAATGGCCCCATTTTTTGCCAAATGGAAAAAGAAAAAAATGTGACCCTTATCGTTTGGCGGTGCTTCAAATAGGAAATGCATGAACGAAAGAGATCTTTTCAAGGTCTGAGCACACTTTTCAACTTGGTCATCATCACCTTTCTTCGACTGGACGCTTTTGGTCGTAGTCTTACAGGTTGTTGATTCGGATAAAAATCGACCTTGTTTACGGTGTTTTGATGCGTGACGGTCCACTGTCGAAATGTTCTATTATATTTTTCCATGGTTAGTGGGGCCAGGTTGTTGGGAACAATACAAAACAAAAATTTGCGTCCTCAGAAAAATACTTGCGCAAGGTAATGGGGATCCTTTGGCGGCGGTGTAGGAGGAGTTTGCGGAGATCGACGGTGATGCCCACATTGGATAAAGTACGACGGTTCCTTTGGAGGTACAGGAGGAGGGTCGTTGGTCGTCCTGGGTGATACGGGCGTAGCCACGGTCGGCGGAGTTAACATTGCACGATCAGCGATGCCCAATACCGACGGTTTCGGATAACCACTGCCACACGATTCTAGGCTCATTTCTTTTTTATAATGAATATCATTTCCTCCCCACTTTGCACTTACTACCTACTTTTGGAAATCGATACATGCTCCCATTCTTCATTGCAAAGAGTATCGTCGGTCATACGAGGTAACAAACGATCCTCAGCTGTATTGTTATGAAAAGGCAGCAGACGATGAGTGCACAAGGGCATGCCACTACACCGTAACAACATGGCGGTAAAGGTGAGAAATGAGGGGTGAACAGTATTAGTAATATGGGCAATGCCTTGGACGTTTGAAAGGTGGCTTGAATGGATTAACGAAAATCAAACCACGGGTAAAAGGGAAGAAAGAAAAAGAAAAAGAAAATAAAAAAAGACCAAACCAAGAGATGGTGGTCTGACTGAAGAAATGCATTTGTTTCCTTTGGCCTGAAACCAATGCAGCAGGCCTATGGCATGTTAAATTGATCTGCATGTGTGTTTATGGATAAATGATGGTTGGCTGTTTATGATTGTTATTCTTTCTTTTTTTTTCCGGCGAATTGGGGTTGCAAAGCGGGGCAACCGAGGAACCATTTGGGTTTTGCTATATGCATATAGAGTTTGCGCATAAAAAATAATAATTGGTTAATCTTTGCTGATGTCATTCAATTTGAAACTCAACTCGAATTGACTTACCAACCCAGACTTGACCTGGTCTGCATCAGGAGGCTAGTCCACAAGACTTCGTCGTCAAGCGCAGCTTGTGCGCGTCGTTTGAGGGAAGCCGGTCTTGAATCGATCTGGTAACCGGAGTTGATATATGTTGCGAGGATTTTTCTCATATTCACGGCAGCGTTGATATCTCGGTCCCAAATCTAGAATAACCAATAATGTAGTCATTATATTGTCAAAGTAATCCGGACCTCCTTGCTTACCAGTGCATTGGCATCGTTATTCGCCGACTTGAACTGGGGCACAGTCGAATCGGGTAAATAACGCTTTGCCAAGATCGGCCTACTTGATTGTATCAGTACCACCCCTTAACTTCAATAAAGTCTTGAACTTGCCTGCGGGTCTGCTTTGACGGTATTCTGATGGATAGCAAAGAATATTGCCGTCATCATCCAAACAACATGTTTTTCGCCTTTTGTCAACATTTTTCAGTCGGCAATACTTCTTCCTATTGTCACTGCACTGTCAGCTTGATAATACAATGTGCAAATTCGTTATGACTCACTTATGCTTGCACACAGGTATCTGTGGGTCTCGTACTTCGACCGTCTCAGAGTCGCAACCTTGCTCGTCCGATATTCATCCAATCAAATAACCACTGCCTTCCGGGCAAGAACCTTGCGAAAATCCGGTGACTTTTGCATGAGCAATGTCTTCTGGGGTATATCATTTTACCATCGTCCCGTACCTTGATTAAAACTGAGGCATGTTTTTTCATGGGCTTCAGGTGTGCATCCCCAAATGCGACTATGGCTACACCCTCTGGCCTCCGCTCATTTCTTCGAGCGTTTTTCCTTCTTCGACGACGTGATTTTCGAGAATTTTTATAAACCCATTGACAAGGCTATTGAATTACAACGTTCATTACTACATGTTGAGAAGATGTGAAATATCATCAACTTACAATTTTTGGCTCGGCAGGATCCCCGAGCAAGGTGTCGGCCATTTTATCTAGCACCATTTGCCTTTGCGAGTGGAGCAGCGCACGTTTTTCCCGGTGGCGGAATGTGCAATTGAATGTATGCAACCTAAAGGATGAAATTAATCGTTTAACATACAGAACACTTCTTTTGGCGCTTTGCTTCCCACTTGCTTCTGATGATTACGAGCGATAGCCTCGATATACTTCTTAAACGCATCCATCGTGAAGACAGAGGGTGGCGCTTCCTTGATTTCGTCATAGCATGGCTGTATGTTTGCTTGTTTTCTATTTTTCAATTCCATCTGGGTTGTCCAACGGAACATACTGCTCTGCCTAAACATATCGAATGATCGGTTACATATTTGCAGTTATTCTCGTATATATCCAATGGCGATACTTACTGGTATACACGATTGGTAATCTGTAAACATGGTTACTTCGTTCTTCCTCCAAATGCAGGTTGGTGTCCGTGTCACAGCTTGTTATGAATGAGCGCTGGCCTATCGTATCATCAATCAATTGTATGCGAGTTGGTATCATGAGTATCAATACTTACCGGGATCAATACCGATGACACGCGCAGCAGGGTTCAAGCCAGTCGGCTCTTTCTTTAAATGATATAAACCTCCGGTCCAATTGATCACGTTGGGCCGTCTAGAAAGAAAATCAACTCATTCTTGGAGGAGGGGTACGGCGCTAATGATAGATGGGGAAGATCATCTGAATAATGGGAAATACACCTTCAATTGCAAGAACTTACTCCGGTCCCACCGTTTAACGAACTTCACGCTCGTCATAACACTATCTGTCTCCATGACGTTGGCGAACTGGGTATGCTTTGTTGTACCGACTGTTTATTGTCAAAAAAAAAAGTCGCGAGTTAGTCTCTTTCCAACGTATTGCTGTATCAATCGCAGCCTTTTACCTGGTTCCACCTGCAAGTAGCGCAACCGTTTTGGGCAAATTTTGTCAATGTTAAAAATTGCTTCCCACAGGTCTTGCTTGTATTGTTGGTCTCGGTAGGACCTTTCAAACAAGGCTTTGGTAATAAACTGTATACGTGACTCCGTTCCGGACTTTAAACGCTTTTCGTACTATAGACGTTTGCTTAGCGTAACTCACAGAGTTTTTCTACACGATCTTCACGAACCGTCAAACCGTCAAATCGTCAAACCGTCAAACCGTCAAACCGTGAGGAACAGGATGTCCGGACATCCAGGCTTCGTTAAGAAAATCAAAACAGCCGTTTCCCACCAATCGCACGTAGACTGCAATGTTCGGTTAATTGTCTACTGAAATATATGCAATGGGGCCATACAATATCTTACCGACTTGGTGCTATGAGAGGGGAAGGAGAGACCACTGTTTAGCCCCCAACTCGTGCGCCTTCTGTAAAAGCCATGCTGAGTACCGAATTAAGTTGGCTGGCATCCTTATAGCCGTTTGTTCTTCTATGGTGGCAGCGCTTAAACCGGCAAACTCGCGGTTGCGTTCATCCAGGTTTTCCCTACATAGCATTTTTGTTGGTTACGATCATGGTTTTCAATATACAGATTTCAAACTTACTGGTAAAATAATTGAATATCGGCAGTGTCGCCGGCAACGCGGTTCCAATCATTGGCATCATATGGCTTGTAAGCGCACAACTTGGCAATAGCCTTACCGCCTATATCGCTTTTTCAGAATCTCGATGGCCCATCATGACTACTTTTTATCTTACCCAGCTTTTTTGCGCTCTCAGAAAGCGTAACGCCGTGGCAGTTACTGTAAGCAATGAAGAACGCGGGACAAACAACGCGGTACATTCAATTTTAAATGCTCCATCACATCTGCATAAATATTTGGTTCCTATATACTCATAGTCAAGCAGTTAAATAAGAGAATATAGTTACTTGTGAGCGATGACGAAGCGTACTGATCAGCGAGGTCAGTGAACATGGGTGTCCATTTTGGATAAACATAACCAGCCATATAATGAGTGCTTATAAATGTATAGAGTTCGTTGTCAGTATCATACCACGTGTGGAGGGCTTGAAGTCGTTGTCGAACGTGGTCTTTTAACTCGTCTTGCCAAGAAGACTTGGGCGGGAGCTGTCAGGACAATTTCATACGACTGAGTAAAGTATAAAAAGACTGTCATTGTTAACAACAACTCACAAGCTCTCTAGCTCCTCTACACGATGAAGCAACTGACGTAAAGCACCTGCGCCAAAAAACTTCGGTATTTATATGCGGGAAAGCGAACGCTCGGCTGTTGTCCACCCAAGTCAGCACGTGAAGAAGCGCAAGATTGCTGCATTTCGCTTAAGGTTCGTATATTCTTCGGATAGTCTTCGCAAAAGTTGCTATTTTGGGAAAATCATCAATAAATTCAGTGGATTCTTGCTATAGGCTATCTACAATATAGAGGTGTCTTACGCGGTAGCTGGCGAACTCGGGTCGTAGGATTGTTGCCAACTTATTTTACGAGTTTGCAAGTATTTAAAATTTCTTATCGTTAGCGGGATGAAACACCGTCCCGTAGCGGCATCATGGTAAGGTCGAGTGTGAGTACGGTGTGGAGTCGAATGATAGAGGGAAGAAGAGATGTGGATTTAAAAAAAAAGGACGCGTTTGTCATGCTCGATGCCAGGTCAGTCACACAGACACAGTTGGCCATTTTTTTTTGTCATGATTCACCATGCACCCAATCGCAAGCTGAGCCAAAATTGTGCCACCGATGACTGAAAATATGCTCTTGCTATGGCTCCATTAGCTTATCATAATGGCTTTATGTATACACTTGAGATCGAGCTTTATTCAGGCTTCAACAATCCATCCAACTTAGGCTTGCTTAGATTGGAAAATCACAGGGTTGACAAAGCAGAGAAAGAACTGAATTATGCTAAAATGCAAGTAGCTTCTCTCTGTTTCCGTACATATGATAGCACTAAACCTTTCATTCCCTTCGTAAATACAGTAACCAACAACATGATGTACGGGATCTGATAATGATATGTTAACTATCGATCATCGATAGTGCAGCAACAACTAGACGGTTCAATGTTTACACTAGTGCTACAATAATTGGGCGAATGGGATAATGGGAAAGGGAATAACCTCCTTTTTTTTTATTTGACACGTAAACGAATACTATGCCATCAAACATTCACAGTGCCATCGTATGATACGAGGCACAATAATGCCGTTCAATATAAACGGCGATTGTAACCTCACAGTCGTCATAAGCCTTTCCCTCCACAACACCTCGAATCATCATGCCTTACTTACGCGTAATCAACCCATATCTCCTGCCTGTACGGAGACCCTTCGTCATATCGTCCACAAGTCGTGTTGCCCGTTTGCAACCACTGCAAGCAGATCTCCGGCATCCCTTCATGCCGAACTCAACGGGTGATCTCAAATCTCGACGACTGTCCAACCGGCCTTCCAATCCTCACCACGAGCTATCCAGCGCAGCCTCCTACAATAACATCCTCGCAACTGTCCGCCACCTCGTTGCAACCATTCCATCGGTAATACCGTCTCAAAATACAATTTCGATGCGACATTCAGTGAAGCCGTTGAAAGTAAAGCAGCTTTGTGGTATGCTCGTGTTGCATGTGGCAATATACATCAACTTCTTCGAACGACAGTGTAGCGAGAGCAAATACATACCTAAAAGTTTAGACAAGCGAAAGAGGGAGGAGGGAAGGGCAGCGGTTCAAGAAAAGTAACAAAGGAATATATTTTTTTTATTTGTGCGATATTACCGCTTAACAAGCCGTATACCCGCTGTGCAATGGATCCCGCCTGCCACTTGAGGTCACCCCCTTACATTGAGTGACTTTCGTCGGACAAAAAGCCTAACGCATATACGGTATACTCTGGGCAAGAACTCTTGATGGAACTTTGGTATATTAATGACAACATTATGGCATACGTTGCAACATGAGTTTCTGAGTGTGGTATATCCACTACTTCTCGTATTATCCATCCTAGACTGGTGTTCCCAAACAGGAAAGATTGAGATCTAAACGTGTTTCCATTCTGAGTGAGCTTCTCCATTAGAACACCGATTGAGCCTCTTCATCCATAACTTGGATCTATCGGCGAGATCAATTCATACGGGTAAAGCTGTCACATCACAGCATGTGGATCCTTCCTAATACACCTTATAACCGAGGACTGCTCACAGATAGTTATTGATTCCGACTCAAGACTAAAGTATTAAATAGGCAGATCACATTAATCGAAATAAAGAGATCCAGCAATCTCAGGGGATTCTCATCGTCTTTTTTGTATTCTAACATTACCTTTATTATCTGCTACAGTAGCTGGATTTTTAGGAAGGAATTTACTAATATGTTTTGATTATTGCAGTTCTTCTCCTCAGCTGAAAACCTCTGCAGTAATGCCAGAAAACGCTTCTTCGCAGCTTTCTTTGCAAAGTGAATGCTCACAACTGATGGTCACTTGAACGTAGTGCATGCATCTATCAGTCGCAAGTCAATCTCTCGGACGTTTATCCTGAACAGATGGAAACTGTGGATTTCAGGCGATCGCACATAGCGTTAAAAGCAGTGGACAGTGTTGGCAGCTGGTCAAGATATGCTGGATCATTTGAAGGATAAATTGGACTTTTATATTAGTACTCTCGGCAAGGATGCTGTCAAAAAACTCACTACATCACTGAGCGGCACTGATGCATCTCAGCGGCTTCAAGCTTTGTGGTTTATGATTCCTGACTGTGCTTTAATTGCATGCAGCACTTACAACATTGCTATCGCCACTTATAGTGAGCAGCAAAGCATCTTGTTTGTAGCATTTTTCTCTCTCCCTTCTTCCGCTCGTCCGACCACACTCCAGCCAACTTCCATTCATTTTTATCGACTATAAAACCAAGACACAGAACCAAGCTCCCGCCACTATTCATCGCTCATGAAGACATGTGTAAAAGGTTCTATGATCTAACCGGTTATAAGCTTCTTTTTATATAATTTGTCAAGTGTTGCCCACTAATTGATCTATAACCTCTCGAGTAACATAATATATCGTAGCTGGAGTTACGTCACCAAAAATATGGAAATTTAAGTGATGTCACTAAAATTCAATTTAACAGTCACATTATGTGCAATCTCGATGTCCATTTAGCAAAACCCAACCATTTGGACGAATTGCCTAATATGGCATAGCGGAAATACATGAGGTAGGACGAAGGGGACCAAGTGGGACGGATTAAAAGAGGGTTCCGCGGACCAATTATCAAGTGTTCAAGTAATGGTTGGACGCCTCATTTGATCATTTAAAAAGTTTGGCTGAGCTTTTTCCGCCCTTTCATCTTTCCCGCCACCCCTTTTTATTGGGCACCCTTTTTTCTTCTCTCTTTTCTTCCCTTCTTTTTTTTTCCTTTTTGCTTGAACTTGTTTTTTCTCGCTTTCCTTTGTATTCCCCAAGATTTCCGTATTAACAATTCATCATTTGACCACGCAACATGAATGAAGACCGGTTCGCTCCTCTCTCTGTCACGGACGCTTCAGGCCGTCAGATCAGCTTACTCAATACAGATAAACCACAACCATCAACTATCACTGCTGCGACCATGACCATGACCATGACCACGACCTCTTCTTCCTCTTCCTCGCCCGCCATCGTCTTACCAATGCAATCATCTCCGACGCAGTCTTACAGTTCTGACGAAGAGGCACGCCCAGTCTCCTCGCACCAGGACAAAACAACCTTACAAGATCAATCCAAACGAAAATATCACTGCACCGAACCGGGATGCAATAAAAGCTTTACGACCAGGTGAGCTTCCTTCTCATTTTATGTCACCCAAGGTTCCCTACGTTTGAGACTAGTCCAATTCTCTTTTTTTTTTTCCATATTCGATTTTCTTTGTTTGTTTACTACATTGTGGGATAGAATTAACCCAGCGACGGTGCTTTACTTCGTTTTATTTTTTATTTTCTGTTAGTGGGCATTTGGCACGGCATAACCGGATTCATACTGGCGAAAAGAACTTTCCATGTCTTTTTCCAGGATGCCAGTCTCGGTTCTCACGTCAGGATAATATGATGCAACACTATCGAACCCACATGTCGCCTAAATCGAGACGGTCTCAGAAACGCTCGGCCGCCGAGGAACCCCGTCCCCGTCCTCGTCTACACGCTCATCATCGTATTCGGTCCGATTCCGTCGGCCACGAACCTCCTTTAACCATTGATCAGCATTTAAGCAACTATCATCGATCGTTGCATGCTTCCGCTTCCTCCAGTGCCCAATATCATCCACCATCACGTTATAAGTTCCGTGAACCATTGGGTGTCATGGTTCAAAACAAACGTTCCACTTCGGCCTCCTCCATTCATCAATTGGTTACCCCTACTTCACATTCATCAACGCCTGAAACCGATCCCATGTCTCCTCCGGCCTCCACCGATCTCCAACCATCAGCACCATTATCACCCTCATTTTCCTCGCCATGCCCCGCAGACATCTTTTTCCAGCATCGTCCATTGACCTATTCTTCGACCGCCCAGCGTCCATCCACGACCTTACTGTGTCCTTCCACCACCCTTCCTACGCCCATGGCTACTTCCCAACTATCCATAGGTTCTCCCGTCTCAGACCCCCTCTCTTCCACAACAATCACCACTACCACTGCTAGCAGTGAAACCACTTCAGAAGACGCAGGGCGAGATAAAGAAAAGGAGGGAAGTGGACTACTGCAACTCGCCCATGTAGTCAGTACTTTTGGTTAAATTATCGTGGATACGTGCTGGTTTTCTATTCCACCTACACCAAAATGTTCGTTGCTACAAGGAAAAGAAAGAGAAAAAAAAGATTTAATATGACAATCTCATTCTTCCATTCAGCTCATAATCGAAGCCACAACCATTCATACTCTCGCTAACTTTCTTTTCGATTCCTTTTTTTTTTTTTTTTTTTTTTTTACTTCATTCTCAACTCGATTGTGATAGATCTCTGTTGATGATGATCATGTCTTTCTGCATGTATTCTTCATTTCTTCCGTTGGGCCGGAATATCATTGGTTTATTTTTTATGGATTTGCATTAAAAACTGTGTAGTTTTTTCGGGAATCAATGGAGATCATCATAACTGGGTGGTAAATCATTGTAGGGCTGGGTTGCTGCGGTGGAGGCCTGCGGCTGCGATGCACTCGCCGCTTCGTAAGCTGGTAAAGGTTCAAAATGTTGTGGCATTTCGTTCGTTTCAGCCATCCGTTCCATCAACCCTTGTAGTATCGTTGTAAATTCAATCGCTCCACCTTCTTTAAAAGTAATAGTCGCCGTACCGCCTTTGCTCAACCCCCCTCCGATGACCTTTATACACATAATATCAGTATGAGATGATCAACCGCGACGATGCCCATTGAGGGGCGTCGTTGATTATATAAAAAAATCATATGAATGTACTTACTGGTACCACTATACCTGCCACGTAGTTGGCGCCAAACCACGGCTGTTCAAGTTTCCAACCCTTAAAGTGGGTAATGGGTATTGCCAGTGACAAAAACTCGGCCGAAGGAGGATTCGCAACAAATACGATCTGTAGGTTTGTCAGTCAACAGCGAGCATTTCTTCTTCTTTCATTCCAACATTCACGTACCCGTTGATTCGTCAACGTAACATGACCCGTTCCTTGCCAATAGCCGCTATCATAAAGGTCAATTTCAAGAGAGAGCGAGGACCCATGAAAGATAAGATTCACCTACCCTGAATTACCGGGATAACCACTGATGCATGGTCAGAGAAACAAAAAAGGGTGGCATTGGGTGAGCCTGAGCCGGTGAATGAACAGCATGGAAGAATGCACTCACTTTTCGTTACAGTCTAGGACTACTTTCACACTGTGCTGTTGAAAAAAGAACTTTTCTTGTGGCAAGGGGACAGGCGAGGTCCCGTTGGGCGAGATTATGCAGCAGTTGATGCTCATGACAATGAAACTTTTAAAAAAGGAAGTACCCAATGATGAAATTTTGTAACCGGAATTTTTAAAGAACGTTTCCTTCCATGGCTCTTTTGAAGCATGATCAATTCATCAACTGCTATCATTCTCAGCTGGGATTCGCCTGCACCGCTCAGTCTGCAGCCTCCTCTTTTCTGTCCTAAACGAGCAGCCGCACACCACCAATAATGCATTTATACATCACAGTAAAAATGACTCTTTATGCTTGCAATCGACGTGGCTATGGAGGAATATTGATAGCCAAGATTGCTTTTTATTACAAGGCAACGCAACACAGTGTAAACGCTTTTACACCCCGTGACCTCTGAGTTCAGGAGGACAGTCTTCTTGGTTGTGAGGATGGGTCTTTTTGAATTCGGGCAAGGTCAACAACGTATTGTTGATACGAGTGATCACCGGGAATTGTTTCATGTCCACTTTATATCGGAAAGCATTGTATACCATGGGCACTAGGCAGAAATCCGCCATCGTGATATTATCTCCCACACAGTACGTGCCAGATACTTCTTCCAGATGTCTCTCCAGACCTATGTTATTCATATATAGAGTGAGCCATTTCCCTCGGTGTCAACAGTCAAGTTGAAGGTGCGGACTCTACCTTCGAATCCTTGTGTAATCCATTCACGGGCCCAGGCCTCTCGCTTTTCCAAATCACCCCCTCCTTGTTTAATCAACACACCAAGGTTCTGCAAAGGATGAATGTCACAAGCAATCGCTTGAACAATTTCACGGACCTATCCAAACGAAATTTTTAGCTTTTTTCACTCTCTCTTTTTTCGTTTTACAGGCCCATGCAGGCGGAGTAAAGCGATTCAAAAGCGGGATGACGAAATAAAAAGTACCTGAGCCCGATGCCATAAGCTTTTCGGTAACATGGGTCTGTCTACACATGTATCAAAGGGGCGAGGTAAGCCACAACCGTAATGGATTAAACGTATAAAAGATTGCATGTGCCTACCCGGATAATGTTCTTCGATGTATTCAAGAATAGCGATGCTCTGGGTCAACACCTTGTGCTCCTTGGTCACCAGAGCTGGCACCTTTTTACTGGGATTGATGGCCAGAAATTCATCTTTTTTCTACAGCGATAAGAAAACCCGTGAGCATGCTCATCTAGTTTGCCAGTGTATATTGTTCGGGAACCGGCACTGACCTGGTCTCCCTGAGCAAGATTCACCGAATGCTGCTCGTAAGCAATGCCTTTCCATTCTAATGCCAGTCTGACACGCCACGAGGCTGACGAACGGAAATAACCGTACAATGTGAATTCCTACGCAAACCTGTCAACACTTCTTCAGGTTTCTGGCGTATTCTTTGCTGACCAGCGCATGTACCTTTGAGTCCGTCATGATAACGATAACTTGTATCCTGAGGAAAAGAAAGCTGAACCCCAAATTCCCACGAGTTCCTGCAAGACGTTCCACAAGCGCAACCTCCGTTCGCTCAGCGTGACTGCCCATCCGAAGCGCCATCCCTCATGCATGGTTGCATTTCCACCGCACTGGCCACCTTTTGGTCCTTACCGGCAAACCGATTACCATTTGCTTGTTGGATAAATACTACCCATACAGCCGCATATACAATACGCATCTCACGGCTAAATAATGAAACCCTTTTACGCCGAGGAAAAAGAGGGAAGAAGAAGGTAATAATCGACCGATTGTAAATGACGAGTTATACTCGACATTGATGTGTTGGTGTTTTGCGTATTGTTGATCTATTGTTTTGTAATGTATACAATCACGTACAAAGAATCAACTAAATTTCAGCTCACAAATAGCTACAATTCATTCCGATATGCGAGGTTTATGAAAGTCTAGAGTATCGCTGGATCAAAGTCTCATAGGCATCACACCAGCCTCGGATATTGATGGATTGCGTCAACAGGCATCAATAAGCTGCTTAATTCCAGTTGAATATGATGTCACTCTATTAAGGTGTTAAAGCGGGCGCTCTTTTATTGTTGAAATATATAAATAACTTGAGAAACAAGAAAAAAAAAGAATAGAAATCCAAACGTTTTTTATATATTTTTAATCTTTTGTTACCTCGATCCCTTGATAATGATGCTGCAATCGGATTTATACTACCGCTCTTCAACCACGGTTTTAATGGTGCTTGCATTCGCTCTTGTGTTGAGCTCCGGTGAATCTGTGATCGCTGCCTTGCTTTACAGCGTCGAAGCCCGGGTATTTCATGTAAGACAATAAGGCTGGAGTTTGAAAAACCTCAAGCTCATCTGTACTGTAGGAACTCATGCAGGTTCCTTTGCTCGACGACCTTATCCACAAAAAACGGCAAGCGATAAATTGGTATGATGAAGAAATCAGATCAACCTGTTCTGTCCGACTCACGGCTTTTGTTAGGTTTCTTTACATAATCGCCAGTGCCTGGATACTGGGTGAGATTGTGCAAGACACGGTTCATCTGCCTTTGGTCCGTCTCCTCAGCACGCTTGGCTACAGTACATGCAAGTTTGTCGTTCTCTGTTTTCGCTTCAAGCTGTTTCTTAACGATTAATTGTGATGTATTAGGGCTTGCTGCATATATCGCTACATTAGATGTGAAGCTTGTAAGAGACGAGGTGCTGCATATGGCATGGTTGCAATTTTGTGTCTCCATTACATCGCTGCAAACGTTTTTCCTTTTTCGCAATCTTCAGCAAGGGCTCATCTGGTATGTGGGTTGGGTGTACAGACACGAGAACTGAAGACATGAACTCATTCCGGGAAACAATTACAGGTTTCTTTTACCCACTTCTCTCGTGATTTTCAATGACATTGCCGCTTACGTTTGCGGCCGCGTCTTTGGCAAGACAAAATTGGTCGACATCAGCCCACGAAAAACCGTCGAAGGATTCCTCGGGGCCATCATCATGACCGTGCTGTTTGGCTACAGGGTAAAGTTCTCCAGGAAAAAAAGTGGCAACACACACACATACACGTCCCATGAGTGTATTTAACAAGCAACGCCTTTTTCCTGACAACAGTTTTCCCAATGGCTGACGCAGTTTGACTACATGATTGTCCCGGTAACCATCCTGTTTTTTCGAATATTTACAAAAACGCACATACTCACACCGTCTTTCTATTCCATTTAAGCATGCTCGTCCGTTGCTATTGCAATGGATGCAAGATGATCAAGACACAATGGGAAGCGGAAGCGTCAATAACATGCATGTTCACGGCGTGATCCTGGCTCTGTATGCGTCAGTTGCGGCTCCTTTTGGCGGGTTTTTGGCAAGTAGCATCAAGCGAGCCTGTTCCAAAAAGGATTTCGCACAGCTAATTCCAGGTCACGGCGGCATGACTGATCGTATGGATTGTCACTTGCTTATGGGGCTATTCACCTTTGTCTATTATCGCTATGCCGTCAACGACCAGCAATAAGATTACCTTATCATCATCTCGGAATAAAGACTTTTGAATATGAATCTTTACCGACATATAAATCCCGCTGTAAAACGATACAGTATCTGAGAAACATCAGTTACATACAACTCTTCTTTGTCTTTTGCTGACCCCTAATTCTTAGATCATCCTCAACTCATCATGATGGATGGCAAAATGTGATGTACAAGGAAATTCTAAAGTGACCAGCTTGCTAAGCTTGAAGCAGCTAGAGTATCAATCATCCTTCTTTGTTTTTTTCTTCGTCAATATGTAGACCTCCCATCGTTGACTATCGAATAAGAGGTCCTGTATTATGACGGTGACAAATGAAAAGAAAAAAAATTGCCCCAATGCAAGAAAATGTAGTGAATCATTGTGACTTGGCAGTCACTGGATGAAAAAGGGAGCAACAATCCTGGGATTTTTTTTTTTTGAAGCCCTTCCCCGACACCGCTCTATTTAAACTTTTTTTTCCCTTTTGATTCCGAGAAATTCGTCAGTGAAGAATGGAGGATCTGATTCCTGTGTTTACCAAGATTGGGCTTTCAGAGCAAAAGGCCAAAGATACGGCCAAGAACAAAAAGTTGGCGCCGATGCTTGAAGCGGTCATTGACGATGCCAATGCACGTGAAGCCGGCTGTGATAAGGATGTTGGTAACTTGCTGTACAATCTCGCATCAACCATCACCAAGGATGCCCAGTCCCACCGTGCTTACATGGTCAAGAGAATTGTCAACGGTGACCTGAAGACTGCTGATCAGGTGGCTGGTATGTTTAATGCATCACCCACACTCGTTTGACATGTCAAACTCACTGCGTTGTTATACCTACCTGTGTTTTAGCCGCAATCAAATACTGTGAACAAGTCGATACCATTGACGACAAAAACTTTGATGAAGCTGCGGGTGTCGGTACGTGTCTGCTACGGTTATACTTTCCTATAAAGGCTTTTTATTACCTGCGACGTTTTGAGACTTATCAAGCTGTGTAGGTGTTGTTGTGACGGACGATCAGATCCAGGCTGCTGTGAGTGGTTACATTGAGGCCAACAAGGACAACATCGTGCAAAACCGTTACAAGACGCTGGGCCCGGCTTTGGCCAATACCCGTAAATTGCCTGAATTGCGTTGGGCCGACGGTGGCAAGGTCAAGAACCAAGTGGAATCGCAATTTCTGGCCTTGTTGGGACCCAAGGATGAACGTGACGCGCCTCAGAAGAAGAAGAAGGAGCCCAAGAAACCGGCAGTGGCAAAGAAGTCCGAAGAAAAGGTCGAGGAGAAACCGAATGTGGCCAATATGTTCTTCGAGGGCGAATTGTCCAAATTGCACAAGCCCGGTGAGAACAAGCAGATCAAGCCTGAATTGATGCAGGAACATTTGAAAGCCACGGGCGGCATAGTGTATACCCGTTTCCCTCCTGAACCCAATGGTTACCTCCACATCGGTCACGCCAAGGCCATCAATGTCAACTTTGGTTACGCCAAAGCCTACAACGGTGTGACCTATCTTCGTTATGACGATACGAATCCGGAAGCGGAAGAAGAAAAGTATTTTGTGTCGATCCTGGATACGGTTCGATGGCTCGGATTTGAACCTTGGAAGATCACCTACTCGAGTGATTACTTCCAGGAATTGTTTGATTTGGCCGTCAAGCTGATCAAGAAGGGATTGGCTTACACTTGTCAGTGTACTGGTGAAGAGATTCATGCTCACCGTGGAGGCGATGACGGTGGCGCTCGTACGGCATGTGTGCATCGCGACCGTCCCATGGAAGAAACGTTGGATCAGTTCTACAAGATGAAAGAAGGTCATTACAAGGAAGGTGAAATCACCCTTCGTATGAAGATGGATTTGGAAAACGGTAACCCTCAATTCTGGGATCTGATTGCCTACCGTGTGTTGTATACACCTCATCATCGTACGGGATCGCAGTGGTGTATCTACCCTACCTACGATTTCACTCACTGCTTGGTCGATTCTTTGGAGAACATCACACATTCCTTGTGTACCACGGAATTCAGACAGTCGCGCGAAAGTTACTATTGGCTCGTGGACGCCGTTGAAGTGTACAAGCCTGTGCAGTGGGAATACGGTCGCTTGAACGTCACTGGTACCATCATGTCCAAGCGAAAGATCTTGAAGATGGTGAACAATGGTTATGTCAGTGGATGGTAAGTTTTGGGTCAGTGAACCGTTGACTTTTGTTACTGCGAAATGAGAAATGGGAAAAAAAACTGACGTTTTCATTGTTAATAGGGATGATCCTCGTCTTTACACGCTCATGGGTATCCGTCGTCGTGGTGTGCCTCCGGAAGCGATCAACAACTTTGTGTTGGAATTGGGTGTGACGACATCGCAGTCGACCATTGATGTGGTGCGATTCGATGCCAAGACCAGAGAATTTTTGGATCGAACCACGCCGCGTTTGATGGCGCTTTTGAAACCGCTCAAGGTGGTCTTGAAGAACTTGCCTGATGACTTTGAGGAGGAAGTGTGTGTGCCCAATAAGCCACGCGATCCCAGCATGGGTGAACACAAGGTGCCTTTTACCAAGGTGCTGTATATCGATGCGTCCGATTTCCGTGAACAGGATTCCAAGGACTACTACCGTTTGGCACCAGGCAAATCGGTGGGCTTGCTTCACATCAAGTACCCTATCAAATGTGTTGAGGTGAAAAAGAATGCCAATGGCGAAATCGAAGAGTTGGTATGCGAGTATGAAAACGAGGGCGAGTTCAAGAAGCCCAAGACGTACATTCACTGGGTGGCGGAATCGCCCAAGCATGGATCGCCCGTGCAGCTCGATCAAGTGCGTTTGTACGAAGCTCTGTTCAAGCATTCGAATCCCGAGGATGTGGAAGGCGGATTCCTCAATGATATCAATGAGAACTCATTGAGCATCATCAAGGGCGCTATTACCAATGTGGGTATTTATGACCAGATTGCCGATTGGATCAAAAAGACCGGCGGCAAGGACAAGGAAAGCATGCGATGGCAGTTTGTGCGAACGGGCTACTTCTGTTTGGATTTGGATACCGAACTGGATCTCGACAAGGCGTCCAAGGGCGATATCAAGGACGCCTTGAAACACATCGTCGTCAATCGCACCGTCACTCTCAAGGAGGACGCCGGCAAAGCATAGTTAGAGTAAAGTAATTGGATACAAATTAAAAAATGGAACCATAATGCAAAAGCACCAAAAAAAAAAAAAAAAAAAAAAAAAAAAAATTCGGACATGGTCCTTGAACCTGTGTTATCGATTCCACAATCTTGCCATCATTTTCCTTTTCGAATACACATGGTGGAAAAAACGAAGTTGTCGTAAATTTAGCCAGTCTCGCAAAAGGCAATTTCATCTGATCTTTTTATCTATTTTTCCTTTCATAGTATCTCTCTTTTCGACGTCTTGCTTGTCGGTAATCATGAGAAAAAACAGGCAGATAGTGTCTCTCTCTCTCTCTCTCTCTCTCTCACGTAAACATAAAGCGCACAGAGAGAAAGAGACAGCGGCGCCCTCCAGTAGCTATTGATGATTGAGTATGATCAGCGCATAGCACTCATTATTCTGCCTGGCAGAACGAAAATTAACACATCGGAAAGAACACAAAAACAGTGGCTGTGTCAAATCTGATATGTTCTTTGCAGTTCTCCTTTTAGGGAAAGGACAATAAGATATGATGATATAAGAGTAGGCTATTTCCATTAGCTACAGGGTGTTGCGGTAATATTATATTAAAAACATGAATGGAAACAAAACTTACCTCGACCGGAATCGCTAAGACTGGCATCACTCATTCAATGTAATAAAAAAAATAAAGACAGGAAAATTTATAATAAAAAAAAAAGGTCTAGAATTCATATATGAGGGTATCTTGTGTACAAATGAGATGATGCAATGTATAATAGAATCATAAAATGCGAGGGAATGATGCGTGTGATATGTATGTACAAAGTCGTAGTGTATGTGATCAGTGGTAGATGCCGTCCTGCAGCGATTTAGGAGTGGGATAAAGGACACAGTCGTTGAGGTATTGGCTGAACTCGGGAAATGGATCGTAGGGAAGTTCTTCGTTTTTCCATCGACACTGTGAACATTCATATCGTACGGTGGTATTGTCTGTAATACGTTTATTGAATAGGATCACTTGTTTTTCACATCGCATAAGTTGCACCGACGCCTTGTTTTTACATCGTGGGCAGGCGTGAGTGGCACGTTCAAGTGAGATCTTTTTGCCACTACTGCTAGCTGCAAAGAATAAAATGAAAACTAAGTCAGATACGATGCACATCACAGCATATAGAATACTATAGTGGAAACATACCAAAGACAAATGGAGGCATTTAGACAAGAGAGTGTGTAAGGAAGCGGTAAAAAATTGAGGGATTCTTTTCGGTTACTCTGGGGTTATTTATTGGGAATCCCCTTTCCACATATGATAATTAATTAGGGCGAGTCCAAGCACCGACAGGCTATGTTTCAAAACAATAGCATCATCACGTCAATGTTATCAGTTCGGCCACGTTGTTTTCCACCTCCGATTTTCTTACCCTTTTTTTCGATTTCATTGGCATTTATCTGGCTCCTTTTGCGGGGTATTCAAATTTGATTAAAATCCATAATCGGATATCTATCATAGCTTGTCATTTGTCACCAAAGATTTCATCCCAACTTTGCTAAATATTAGACATCAATCTCGACTCCGAGATTACCGATGAACTCGCTCCGTAGTATCGATCGATCTCGATGTTACGATGAGGAACTTCAATCTACTTACGATCGTTTGATGCTCCGCTTCAACGTCTGGCTTTCATTGCATCATTGCACTCTGCAGCTTGGTGAGTAAAGAAAGGACGACCCAAAAAGCCTTTTTTGATTGCCAAAATAGGCATAACGATGTATCACATTCATATGTTTCCCTTGAAACTGTTCTTGTTCTTTTTTTTTTCTTCCAGAAATTCCGTAGAATTAGGTATGTCTCGCTCATGGCCCTCCCTATGATTGTAGAGTAGGAAAGTGTTTTTGCCTACGTCTACTGTTTATTTTTCCTTTCCATATCTACATTCTGTCATGAATTAAATTACAGAGTTCAAAGGAAATGTATGGTGCACTACTAAACAATGACCAAGTGGATAAACCATTTCCGACATTGTGTAAGTGTTCCAGAACTATCGTAATACGGCACAAGCTAGTGTCACTCCATTACCACTCGACCCCATTGCGTAATTTTTTTTTCTTACTGCACTACCACGCAAAAACGGCCGTGCATTTAACAAAAAAGAGATGGATCCATCATTCATTGATACAATAGCTCTTCAAGTCCATTGTCTATCATCGACCATTCGAACTCAAGAACAAAGGGGATACTGTTAAAAGATATTAGTTGCTTGACTAGTCGTACATACATTCATTGATCCATCAAGTCTTTAATTTTTTTATTTTTTTGGTTACAACATGCCTGGTTGTTTGGTGTGTTGGCTATATTAGAAACTGCAGTAACATCACTCATCACACCTTGCCCTGAGCTAAATTTTTTTTTGCGATGAAATTTTTTTAGTGCCTTTTTATTTCAAACCCCGTACCTGAAAAATGGGACTAACGGTGGCCACGTGGTTATCGGCTCGGAAGCCGTCATCCATCCCACAGATAACATGAAGCAAGCCATGACTGCCAAAAAAAATCAGCTCAAGGCAATTCCAAAGGGCTGCTCATTCAGCGATTCCAATTTTAGCTGTTGTTTAAAGCAATATCACCGTGCTTAAATAAAGTTCTCGTCGGTTCTGCTCTTTTTATTAGTTGTCAGGGGATCAAAAAGAATGAGGGATACCATTATTTATTTCTTCTCTTCTTGACCCCCACCCCTCCCCCCACCCACACACTCTCCCACCCCTTTCGTGATACATGAGGTATCAAAGGGCCAATGCTTAATTTTTTTTTACGCATTCATGACACATTGACATACAAACCATATGTATACTATTCCATATCACATGGAGACAAAAAAAAAACTAAATGCCTTCAAGCATAGCATGAAAGATCAAGCACTGTAAGAGATGGGTCTGTCATTGTGGACAAGAAAAAATAAGGGAGAAGCGTGCCATAACAAGAATGATAGAAGCACAAGCATAGCTCATTGTTTTGAAAACCGTGCAATGGGAATTCATTTAGCTCTGAAACAACCTTCAAATCTCCTCACCCCCCTTGGAACCTGCGACCTATTTATGCAGCTCACGAATAAAATAGACGATTCAAACTTGATACGTCGATTGAACGTCCTGATGACATTGACTCGTAGTAATAATGATGACACCAACGTTCATTAACACATCATTGATACAGTGCATGATTGTGATATCACGATCATGAGAAAGCAAGCAGAAAAACAAGCATGATACTCAAAAAGTTTCAATTTGCAGAAAACAATCATTTATTCAAGGAGATGAGCAGAAAAACAACCACACTGAACCTCATTTGGATGGAGGTATATCATGCTGTCCAAATTTCTTGAATAGGATGACCATGCATCCTATTCGGGTCCAACGTCTGGGTACCGAGTTGACGGGTGGATGTCACTCCAATCATCAGGCACGGATCAGTCGGCATGGATGAGAGCATGATGACTTAAACTATGGTCTTGATTCTTGTAAAAAAGAATCTATCAATGGATCCTTATTGTAGACTGTCGTCAGGGTCACAGCAAGTCATTAAATCAAGGACACTAAAAATAGAGCTTTTTCATCATGCATTTTTTTTTCCTGCGATGGTTCACAGTAATATGTACTTTTTTAATTATCCAACCTATTGGTGTGAACGTGATGAATTCCTCATATTTAATCTGACACATGCTGAATAATTAGCCACTAAAAAAAGGTAAGGGCTTGATTTAGCTATCTCGATTCCTGGTTCGTCGTGGTGGTGGTGTGGTTGATGCTGGCTCCCTTGAAAGCGTTGTACGCGGTCGGACGAAATCTTGAGAGTTATCTGCAATATGCTAAGGGTCTCGACTCTTGGCCGATACATAAAGCACCAATCATTATTAATAAACGGATGCTCATGGATAATGACTTTTATATATCTTTAGCATCGTTTATGCCGTTTCTCGTTCCTTTATCATTTTCAATGATGCAGCATATTCCGATCATTAATAAACATTGGATTCTCGCTTGGTGTTGATTGAGTTGTACAAAGCGTCCAAAGGCAACCAAAAAAGAAAAAAATATGAGTGACGTGATAGGACGGTGGAGCCAGATTCGATAGTTCGATTTCTTTCTTTTTCAATAACCCTTGGTTCAACCAAAATCCGGTCAAGTTCTAAAGACAGGAGAACCCGATGGCAAGTCCATTCATAAAAATAGTTGCTTGGGGTTGGTCTATGGGAAATGACCATTCTAGAGTAGCATGTGGGTTTGCTCATTCCCGAATTAGCTGTTCTGCATATTCTTTATCTGCTGCTTAGTCTCCGTTTCTTTTTTCTCTCCCCTTCTAAGCAGACTATCCACCCCTTAAGAACAACTTTTCACACATCCCAGTTGGTGTCTCTTTTTCTCTCTTTTGTTCTCTCTCATATCTCTTTTTATTTTTATTTTATATACCAATCACTCCTTTACCTAGTCTGCTTTTTTTTTCTTTTTTTGTTTATTATTATTGTTATTATCATATCCCCTTCTCCACTATGACCAACGCCTTTACTGCATTATCGCACAAAAGAAACCGGTCCGTCAGTACCACCAAGACCAGTAACGGGTCCACAGAACCACATACCAAATTATCCAAACTCAAGTCCGGTCTTGCTATATTTACCAAGCTCACCAACCCGTTTAATAGCGACAAGACCAAATCACCTTCACCTCATGACCACCGTCGTCCATCCCTCACCATCTTCCTTCATCAGTACCTTGGCAACGGTCACGACGTTGGTGATGATTTGTACAACAACCAGGACGACGATACCATGGACGACGACCACCCATCAGAATACGGGCGCATAAATAGCGCTTTTGCAGACGATGATTTATTTGAACGTATGCGTTACAAGCAGCGAACGCAGGAGAAATCCATGTCGGCAAGAGAACAATACAATGCACGGAGAAATGCTCACACTGCACCCGCCAAACAACCTTTACCGAGCATTTTGGTTAAAAATGGACCGTCCACATCACGAGACAGTGCGACCCCATCCTTATCAGAGATCCATCGTCCTCGTCATCGTCACACCAGCAGTGTACAGAGCACATCGGCTTTATCTGCTCCGTCGTTTACCCAACGCCGAAAACCTGGTCATCACGTTCGTCATTATTCTCATGTTTCTTACATGTCGACTTCCAATATCACCGTCAATTCGGAGGATCTTACTGCTAAGGAATTTGCTGATATCGCCGGGATTCGAATTCTGCCTGAAGAGAGGGATGGAAATACCGTTGTGGACGAAGAACGCGAAGACAACAAGAGTTGTTGTTGCAATTACGATGACGACGATTTGCGTACCGCATCATCGCGTTCGGGCCTTACCACACCTTCTGGACCGGGTGGGCCTCTGGCCGATAACGAAGAGAGCCAGGTGTCCATCATGAGCTGCTCATCCATCCATGATAACCGATCCTGCCGCAAACCACAGATCTGGGACACTGGGTTCTGGCGAAAACCTGGTGAGGACGTCCCCATGGTACCGCCGCCACCACTACCGCCCTTGTCGGCCCATTCTCTATCCACACAACAGCAGGTGGTTTCACCTTGTTCTCCTCATCCTTCTATATCGACTTCTCTGCTCGAACAGAAATCCACCAAACCCCGTACGACTAAATCGCATCGGTCGACCCTGTCGGTACCTGTTGTGGAGCCTCCAATTATGCATGAATTACGCAGGATGAACACATTATCCACTGATAAATTGTCCAATCACGACGCGCAGCGAACCACACGCAACTGTGTGATCAGGAAAGGTCGCTTTGAGATTCATCTAGAATCAGCCGGTTCTGCATTCACCTCTACCTCTACCTCTATCACCACTGAATCTGTTTCAGACGATCAAACCGTCCCCGTTTCTCGTCATCACCACAGCCGCAATCTCAGCACGCCCGTCATCCAGGGTCATCCACACCAATGGAACCACCCTCCTCCTCCTCCTCCTCCACCTAATCATCAACATCATCATAATAACAGTAAGCGCACCCTTCACACGGCCGGTGAATGGAAGCGCCAACATAAACCTTCGCTCTCATTCTCCAATCCACCTGCCACGGTCCGTGCATAAACATACATTATACTTACATATACACACACACACACACAAACACTCACACACAAACGCTCACACACAAACACCCACATATTTGTCACCCACTCATAATGCACACATGCACTTCTCACATATCAAAACATAGCTTATTTTTTTTTGGATTGCCCTAAATTACCACAACCTACTTTTTTTTTTTTCTTTTCAATGCCAAAGTTCATTGAATCTAATTGGACGGTTTGAATTCTCGTCCAACCTACCTGATCCCTGCAGCAATCCAAACTCTCTTTTTTTGGTTTTTTTCTTTCCCTGTTTTCTCTCCATTTCCTGTTTTTGGTTCCTACCACGATGTATGGTTGTTCCCCTCCTCCATAGTCAATGCCTGTATAAATTCGTAATGAAATGTTTTATTTTTCCCCCCGTGTGAGCATGTAACCAAGCCATGGTCATCTGAAGATCTATCCCTAGTTCCATTCACTAACGTGGTGGGGAGATGGGATAGCGTAATCTCCAATCATTGTTCCTCATTTTTGCAAGTCAAAATAACAGCGACAGAATGACTCAAAGTACCTTAATTTTGCATGTCACATGTCCCATTTATCCGATTTTGGTGCAATGCAGTGATACAGAACTGAGTGTGAAATATGATTGGCTGTAGATGCTGACGAGACGAGGTTGCAGGACACAAAAAAAGGGCTGTTGACGTTTATGTATGTGACAACAACATGAATCCAGTGACTCTACCGCTGTCGTATGCGGTTTATGATCTTACTGTCATGATCATTAGTTTAATCTACTCTTCTCCATCGACTAGTGTCCGAAAAACCGGCTGCTGTACTGATTCTGAGTCATGCCTCTGTTTCAAAATCCGCAAATCTCGATAAAAAAAAAAGTAACTGTAGAAATCTTGCTAGTCGTTTTATTCCTTTGTTTTCCTTCAGATCATGTCGACAATCAAATACCCCCGAAGTGAAGCTTTAGTGGAAACGGACACACTGACTCCGCAACCACATTTGACCAGCAGTCTACAAAAAAAAGATATCGCTTACAAGGAGAACGACAATGATCCAGACTATCTCCGTCTTATCTTGACAGCCCGCGTGTACGATATCATTAACGAAACCCCACTTCAAGAAGCCGTCAACCTCAATGCCAAGATTGGTGCTCAGATCTTCTTGAAACGTGAAGATCTTCAGCCCGTGTTCTCATTCAAGATCCGAGGGGCATACAACAAAATGGCCAACTTGACCGAAGCCGAAAAGAAAGCAGGTGTCATTGCATGTTCAGCAGGTAAGCCTTTCATTGCAGTCTTGTCTAGTAGCTGGGTAACCGTACCCTGTGAACTCGATGGAGACAGGGGGCAGTAGGTTGAACTAAAGAGTGTTGTATAGGCAACCATGCTCAGGGTGTCGCCTATTCTGCCAAAAAGCTGGGCATCAAAGCGAAAATTGTGATGCCGATCCCGTCTCCAGCCATCAAGGCAAGTGGTGGAATGTGTAAAAACGGATAGATGTACGGAATGAATAACCAACTGGGGACAAATTAGTGGCGAAATGTTCAGCGCTTGGGTGCGGAAGTGGTGTTGTTTGGCAACGATTTTGATGAAGCCAAGAAGGAGTGTGCTCGACTGATGGAAAAGGAAGGGTTGACCAATATCCCACCTTATGATGATCCGTACGTGATTGCTGGCCAGGGTACGATTGGTATGGAGCTTTTGCGACAGCATGATCTCAACAACATTGCCACCATCTTTATCTGCATTGGCGGCGGTGGTTTGATCGCGGGTATTGGTAGTTACGTCAAGCGTATTGCCCCTCACATTCGTATCATTGGTGTGGAAGCTGAGGACGCCTGCGCCATGCATCAAAGTTTGCAAAGCAAAGAACGCGTTGAATTAAAGGAAGTCGGCCTTTTCGCGGATGGTGCAGCCGTACGACTGGTCGGTGAAGAAACCTTTCGCCTCGCAAAGGACCTCATCGACGATATGATCCTCGTCAATAATGATGAAATCTGTGCGGCTATCAAAGACGTCTTTGAAGGTGAGCCAAAAAGAAAGAAAAAGAGGGATGTCTGCATTTGTGAGGCTTTTTTAAACTAACCATGATGAGCTGATAGATACAAGATCCATCTGCGAGCCTACGGGTGCTTTGGCGTTGGCGGGGGCTAAAAAGTGGTTAAAGCTACATCCTGAAGACAAGAGCAAAGGAGCACATATCACGATTGTGTCGGGAGCAAATGTAAACTTTGATCGACTTCGATTTATCAGTAACCGAGCGGAATTGGGTGAAAATTCGGAAGCGTTCTGCAACGTGACGATTCCTGAGAAGCCCGGCAGTTTCATGACCATGATTCAACAAGTGCAACCTCGAGCGGTGACGGAATTCTCTTACCGTTACGCAGATCCTGTCAAAGCACACATCTACATCAGTTTTAAAGTCAAGGACCTGGCCTCGGAGGTGCAAGAAGTGATTGCAGGATGGAAAGCCAACGGCATGGAAGCATGGGATGTCAGTCACAACGAGCTGGCAAAAACACACGCAAGATACATGGTCGGAGGAAACACCAAACCACCCCATGAACGAGTCTTCCGATTCAGTAAGTTTATGTCAACCGCCGTTTATCCTTTGGCTTTCCCCTCTAACGATCTCTTGTACTAGTATTCCCTGAACGGCCCGGTGCCTTGATGAAGTTTTTGGAAGGATTAGAATCAAAGTGGAATGTCTCGCTCTTCCATTATCGAAATCACGGTGACGGTAAGGCTCTGGGAAGGCCCTGGAAAATAAAGGAAAGCCTAATTAGCTAACGGAATAATTTTGGGCTGATAGATATGGGCAAGGTATTCTTGGGTGTCCAGGTACCGCCGAGGGATAATGAGGCGTTTAGCCAATTTTTGGATCGTCTTGGATATCACTACATAGAAGAAACAGACAATGTGGCATACAAGACCTTTTTATGCAACGAATCATAGACCCCATTTTTTTAAATGTAATAAAATAAAAGCTCACATGCAAAACATCCAGAAACAAAGGAGTCATCATTCTTTCCACATTAAAATTCTCGGGGCACACTCTGAAGGATGAGTGTGCGACTCCAAAATGGTGTCATTTTCAAGATGCTTCGTAATGTTCAGGAAACACCTCTCGACCTGATGTGCATTGGGCATCATTGCAACATTACGTGTTTATTTAGTGAATGACCAGTAACAAGATACATAGCAAATTACCAGTTGCCTAGCATGTCACAAAGTGTCATTCCACTATAAATCGGCATACGCCACAACCAGGCTTTCTACTTTTCTTGATAGGTGATTACCATAAATAGGGTAGCTTCCTTTCTTTATCTGAAACCGGATACCAATTTGGACATCAAACGTTCATGTGACCCCAAAACCGATTTTTGTAAAATGGCCCCGTTTCGGTCTAAAGACATCGGGAAAAAAGGAATCCAAGGTGCTTTCCCCAATTACATTATCAAAAGTGAACTTGGATGAGCAATCTTGCCACAAAAATCTTCCACCCCGTCCATGCACAAGTTAAGGTTCCCGTTGTGTAACGTCGCTACCTAAGTAGGTTATTTGGGCGGCATTATCCTTCCATTAATCCCGAAAGTGACCGCTTTTCAATTTATATAAAAAGAGGGCCTCCAGAAAACGCGCTTCTTTTACGCCTTTTTCTGGCTTTTTTCTGGTAAGCCAACTCTTTAATCCTCTTATTTTATTGGTCTAGAAATCTTACCTTTTTTTTGTCTTTTTTATAGTGGTGAGCAGCCTGGTCTGTTCTCTCTTCGGCGCGGCTAAACAACGAGCAGTTTCATGGTGAGTAGGCTTTTTCCCCCTTTTTCTATTTTTTTTTTTTCAACAAGGCCGTACTAAAAGCAGCTTTTCTTTATTTTTTTTTGGCAGAGCTACGGCGAGCTCTGTTGGTCTGGTCCAGGTCCTTTCCTCGGTTGTCCTGGTGTTCGTCAGGAACCATCCCTACCGGTTTGGGCGTTTGGGTTTTCCTTCACCCTGTCAAGCAACGGTTTCTTTATGAGACATGGTTTACAGAGACATCACCCCGTGGCTGCTACTGCCGTCGTTGCTGCACCCCCAGGTTTATACAGGCGCAACTCTGTATAAAACCTCCGCAGGAGAACCGGTGCTTCCTCAACGGAGTCAGTCATCGGCTACGCTTCTTCTTGTGGCAGTCCCCCAATGCAGATGGGCCCAGTAGTGGTGCGGGTTGCCCGTGACCTAGAAGCCTGAATGGTGTTTCCAGAAATTGATCCCATACCCGTTATTCCTGAATGAAGCTCAGTCTAACGGCAGGATAAGTCGTTGTAACGGCTTCCAGTATTTACGCGCCCTATGAAGGAGGGTAACCGCGTCTGGCTTTTCTGGCCCTGTTTCTGTCTTTTCCCTTGACGCAGAGACCAGGTGCATTACAGGTCCGGGAATGGACAACCGTACGCAGTCTTTGAAGCATAAGCTATTCTGCCGAGCCTGTGGGATGGCGAAGGCATCCCTCCGTAGCTGTTGGAACCTTATGCGGGATCACAAATCGGTCCCAGCTGCAATATGATTGTTTGCAGGAAAGTTGGGAATAAGCTTGATTGTCTTATTCCTGAAATCTAGTATCTATGGACGCTTTCTGTGTGATCCACCCCCACTGCAGTGCAAGTTGGCTGCAGGTCTTTGGATTTAACTGATTCTCGTCCGGAAGGGGGTCTTTTATTTCTTAACCACACCGCAGCGTTTTAGTGGCTGTGGGCTGTCTGATGTGCAAGACTGAAAAGGATTTGCCATCTAAATGCGAGCTATGGAGGGGTTTCCTGCGTATAAAAAATCAAAGAAAGATAATAGGTTCTTCTTTAGCGAATTAACGCACTACCTCGCCCATCGGCTTTGATGGGGTAGGTGTCTCTTCCTGAGTGCGGCGGGGAGGGATTTCTTCTGCCTACATCAAAATAATTAGAAGAAAAAAAAAGCTATTATGGCCGCCTTAGTTTAGTTTTCCTTGTGTGGTTTCCTTTCTTGTGTAATTTATTTCTCTTGAATAAATCACTCTCTTTTTTGACTACTCCATTTGTCACTGAATAATGTAACGTCAGGTGGTTATCTTGAATTTAATCCGGTAAATGGCTCGATAACTCGCAAATGGGCGCCACCACCGAATCTCTCAGCGAACTTCTTGGGCATCGCGCAACTCCATTTCAAACAGAATTACTCACATTCAAACGGGCCGCATTCAACATAACAAAGAGCAAAATTGGCAGCAAACTTCTTACGCCAGCAATCCTGATGCGCTCCTTTCAGTGTTGGTGACATTTAGTTGAAGAAACAATGGTGGTTTCCTTTTTCCAAAGAAAGACGAAGATGAATGCGCGACAAAGTATTCCGTCACGGGTGATACTCAAACCAAGACGAAATGGTGGACAATGGTCAGTCAATGAGTCACAACTGTATTGGGTTATGGTTGAGCTATCGCTTAGCCGCCAGTTCCGTCCAGATGAATCGCCTATTCAAGCTGGATCCACCGGCACACAATGTTACACGCCGGCATGTTGACCCTGGAGGTCATCTTATTTTCCGCACCGAAGAGAATTGTTTTTTTTTCTTTTTTCGCGCATTATTTCGCTTAGATTTTCTTGGTTTTTGTGCTATGGATATTTGACTGAACCGAATTCAATGCCAAATGGCCCAAATCATGTTACACTACCAATGACGATCAAGACTCAAATATTCAAATGTAACACCCCTTGTGCCAAATATGAATTGTACGATGGAGCACGTGTTGATATGCCGAGGGAAGACGCAACTTGAAGCAGTAGGAAGTTTGCCCGCGTAAATGCCCGAATAATGGTCCTATTGCTTGCATGATCGGAAGCTGATATTGTTGGTTTCCCTTCATTAAACTGGTGTTCAGTTAGTTTTATTTCCAAGTGCGGCTTCGTGCTTTAAATTAAACTAGGCAAAATCATGACGCGCAATCCAATAAAGAACAACAGCAGATGAAGGTGAGGGCATTCGGCAAAAGCTCTGCAATATTCTAAAAAGTAGGTATTTCTGCAAGCAATTATTATGATGGTGATCATGTTTGAGGGACGTGCTTCCTTCTGGACCTATGGAATTCGAGCTTTGGATGCCGAAGCGGCAGCATCCAAGGTAATTTTATTATGATTTATGCTATTTCATGCCCCTGAATGGTTCCGCTGACCTAAACAAAGTCGGCCTCGGTAGCGCCATTTGCGCACCCAACTTCTCGATGAGTGTCATCTTCATTTTCTCGACAATGCTCATCTTTTATGACAAGAGCAAGATCATCATATAGCGAATGAAATTCATAGACTTAGAAACCAGAAACGACTACAGCTATCAACGGGAATAAAATTTCGACACAAGAATTTTTTCCATGTTGGTAGCATATGCATCATTGCAAATGCATCCATTATAGCCTATTTTTTTTCGGCAATAGGATCTGCATAATGAAATACAACAGGTGCGGCATTTTGACAAGGGATCCTTTGTTATCAGTGCCGACTGTAATAGTACGTAGCGGTCGTTATTCGGCATTAAGAATAGTGCACAGTTCTTGATAGCTTATTTAAACCCGACGAGAAAAATTATGGGAGGTTCAAAAATCATGGCGAAATATCTATTCCTTGTTTGCTTGACCCTGCTTGCTATCTCCACCTTATCGAACGCTCGGTGGGCAGGCGGCTCTCCACCTAACTGTGTCCCTAGCGAGTGTAATGACGACGAAGTCGAAATATGCCAAGCGAGATCACCATTCGATGCACGTTGGAATTGCGCCGGCTCCGAGTGTGCTAATAATTTCGGCAATATTCCCTGCATGCAAGGATTCAGGACTTGTTGCCTACCCGCCGATGGGTAATTGCAATTCCGGATTAGCTTTTCTATAAAGCTAGCTTTTGTTGTATCAATGAATTTCGTATAGTACAACAACGCAGTTTCCAAATAGGAGCAACGGTAATAAAAAAATTGTGATCAAGTATCATTCCCCCCTGGGTCTCAAATTAGGTTTATAGTGGCTGCAGTCCGAACCCATTTGGAAGCTTCAAGAATATACCAGAAAAGCATTAAAAATGTATCACGGTAGTAGCCCATATAAGTGGTTCAAGATGCAATAAGTAGAAATTCAGACATTTTTGACCTCTCTCTATCAGTAATTCTTGGAACTGTTTTTTCTGCATGTCTCGACTGCACTGTGTTGGTTCCTACAGATCATGAGAACATGAGTTAAGGCTGTCAGTTCATGGATAAAGGACTCCAATGGCAGCCTCGTGTGGCGATCGATCATGCTTTGGGCTGTCGGTCGATCCGTCTTGAATAGCCGCAGCCCCGCAACATAGTCATGCGTCTTCTTGCTTTTTCCCTTCTGAGAAAAGCGAAAATGCTTATTTCAACACCTTTTCTGGCTTAGATTGCCCTTGATAAATGCTGGCCTAAAGCTTCTTCGTCCTCAACGGGGTTCGTCGTCGACATCACCTTTACGGATTCTTCGTTTTCCGGAATGCTTGCAAGTGAACCAGATTCCGCGGTCGCTGGATCGTTTGACGCTGAGTACGATGTTGAACTTCCGTCCGGTATTCCGCAGTAGCGTCGGGAACGTCGGCAACTGAATGATATTCGCAAGGGCAAATACACCGTTTTCAGTCACTTGCACAAGATCGTTGAAAGGCTTCAACCGCAGCAGTGATGTAAGAGACGTTGGTCAAGTTGATGGTGGTCAAAAGAAAAGAAAGGCTTCAATCTACGCGTCAACACCCTGAATTCCTGTTAAGCTTGCATTAAATTCGGGGTCCGTCGCGATTTTTTAAGAAGGATATGAAAGAAGGGCATTTTCCCCATCATTTCTCTCCAGGTCATCTCGTCGGAGCGATCAGGCAGCTTTAGTATAGCGTCTATTTGTGAAGACGTCTGGTTTGTGATTGTATTCAGATATGAGGCTGGGAAAACCGTAAAACCACCTTCCTAAGGAAGTCCACCTGTGAAAAAGATTGTTTTCGTTTCGCGGCGGTCCTATAGGATGTGGCTGCTTTTACTTTTAACTGCCCAACAAAGGTAATGAAAAAAAAACAAGGCTTTGCCTTTATTCTTATCGGTTGAATAAAATAAAGGTGGGCTTAATGTCTGTGTGGACGAACTACGCCACTTCACATAAAAGAAAAAATTAAATGAAGAAGCTTTGTTTCCTTTACGCTACGGTCATATTCATTTCGTGACCAAAGCGAGGTCAAAAGCCAAGGAAACCAACGTTTTTTTTCCCACAAATCGTTGTTGACTGAGCTAGGAATAACAGGTGCTCTGTTAGGATGTACAGTACTTTATCCAAACTTCGCACAAACCATTTTCAAATGCTTTTTGGTGGATTAGCTGCCTCGGGTCTCGCTTCGCTTCGAGAGCAGATCACTGTTTTGGTTCTTGTTCTTGTTTTAAACAATCTTCATTTTCTTAGCTTCTCGAAGTAACGCATTTTTTAATTTCTGTAGGATCATGAATTTTCCTTTGATATGCCTTCCTATATGGCTTGTATTCGCCGTATGGCTTATATTTGAATTTGATCGTGTAAATGAGAACGGCATAAAAGCTTTTTTACCAATAGTTGTTGAATGGAAGATGGAAACATGCTTTTTAGCGGTCAGCCATAATTGTTAACTTTTCCTCTAGTTCATCAATAATGAGGATGACGGTATGTCTGTGAGAGTGATGATCATCGGTGCATGTATAATACATGCACTGATGATATACGAGTCGACATACAGTACCGATCAGGGCATCCAATTACATTTGAGTATATCATAGCTGTGCAGGTTCTTCCTATTTGAGAACAATACAAAATGGTCAGCTCAATGGCTTACAGACAACATACTGCGTTAGATGCTATGATAGACTCTTCAATGAAGGGCTAATAGAACAGCAGGTTGTCATCATGATCAAAATAGCATTTTCGCCTACTTCACCAAGGCTGAAGAAATGTGTGGTCGATCTACAGTATTTACTTGTTTTCCTAGTTGGCTGGGTCTTTTTTTTGTAGCCCTTTAACGATCAGGAAGATAAAAAGTGTGTGATTGCTTTTGTGGACGTGATAGGAACTCGTTTATGAATTTATAATGGCGAGTTTTTGAAAAAGTGGAGAATTTCATAAGATTTCGATTTGGAGAAATTTGGGCACAAGACAATAAGAACCGGAATGGGCAAGCCGAGACCGATCTCGTCATAATTTTTGTTATTTTCACATGGCAAAACAAAAGGGTGTATATTTTTTCTCTCCTTTTTCTTTGGTTTCTCTTTCGTTCCTACTTTTTTCTACTTTCCACGCTTTGAATTCACCATTGGTTGTTTCTCATTGACCACTTTTTGGCCTCATTGAATCATGGCGTACCACAACAACAATACCAAGTCCAGAGAAGTCGATAAATACCAGCTTGTGGACGATATATTATTAGCAAAGACATATTATGAGGTCCTCGGTGTGACCAAAGACGCAGCAACCGACCAAATCAGACGTGCTTACATCCGTGTAAAGTATTATTTTTCAGGGAAATCCCTTCCTTCCCCCCTTGCCCGTCTTGTTGGGTTCTTCTAGGTCTGTTGGAACAAAAATCTCATCCTGAATTATTAGCGAAGCCGTGTATGTCATCCCGATAAATTCGTACCCACCTACCCTCGAGCCACAGAAAGCTTTCAATGTAACGTAAAAAAAACCAGATCTTACTCGTCCTATCGTCCGTTGTTATCTCATCCCCTTGCGTTCATTCAATCTTTAACCAGTGTTGTCGTTGGCGTATGAAACGCTCAGTAATCCATCCAGTAAAATCATGTACGATCTATCCTCCAAACAAGACAAAGAGTCCTCCAATACATCCTTTATGAACATGGATGAAAATCCTAATGATACCCTGCAACGAGTCTTACATCAGGTAAATCTCTGTCAAGAGTGTCAACGGGAACATGGAACATGGTATTTAACACGGACATTTTTAGCTGTTTGAAGAAATGATGGAGGGCGAATTCCAAACCATGCGTGCCTTTATACGTAAGTAAATCCACCTGCTTTGGATACCAAAGATTCAGGAACGAATAAAAAAAACTTTGTTTAGATGCGTTGAATGAAAATAATCCCGGAGTGCAAATCAGTGAAGACGCCGTCCTGCAAATCGAACTGGCATTTGCCAAGATGCGAAATTTATGTCAATGTAAGTCTTTTGAGAAATAGAAAGCCGGATCAATAGACTCACAGACATCCCGGTTGACTGTTTACGCTTAGCCACACATCAATATTACAAAGTGATCCAATTCGAGCTAATGCGGTTGTATGAACTACAACAAGAACTTCGAAGTCTGTCTTATTTCAACCTGTGGCGGCGCATGCAGCTATCCATGACCATTTGTAAAATTCTGCTACAACTACCGATATTAATCAATGCCGAACAACAACGACAGAAACAGGATAATGAAGGTATCTTTGGTGGCCGCATCGAAAGTGCCCTGAGGGTAGCCGTCGGCATCCTAGAAACGGGCGAACGCTACTGGTAGCTGTCCTGATTTCCCCCCCCCCTGAACCCCAATCGAATCATCCATATCCCAGCATTCAATAAGCCAAACCGATCAGAGCCGTGATATCTCGTTAGCCAATTTATAACTTGTTCTAAAAAAAGTCAAACATGAAATGAACGCCAAAAAATGGGCTTGTTTGTCATCATATATACAATCATTGTCACAGAAAAATTGAAAAGAGAAAAAAATTCTACCCGGATGAATGTAGAGAAACTATCCAAAAATAGCTCCTGCAACGGACTCAAATGTCCACCAAACAGAAAGCAGGAGAGTATGAATGTGTTCTCAATACCTTGCCGATATATAATTTCAGTGTGGTCGATGTCATGGGCAGCTGCTCAGAAATCCCGTTCCAACATCTTCAGTGAAGACCGGCGCATAGATATAGAGTCGAGAAGCGCGCTTCAATTCGTTGATATCTTGTTACTTAACAAAAAATCCATCGAGTGGAGCACGTTACTTTCTCTAAGTCTTGTTTATTTTATTGGTAAGGTCTCGATTCAGGATTTTTTGGCGATCAACGCCTTGGTTCGCTCTTCCCTATCGATGCTGGCAAGCATTCGGCTGGCATTCACGATTTGCACGACATTGATAAATTGCTTGAGGAAACAAATGATACCAGAAACCGCCAAAACAAGGCACCACGTTGCTATGATGATCCCCACCAAAATACGCAGGTTAGATGAAGCGGACTTTCAAGCTGGGGGATGCGAGCGTGGACTTACCGTTGATGGGACCAAAGAATTTCAGCACATACAGCGTCACAAAGAAAAGCTCATTACCGGCACACATGATAAACAGCACCACCTAATTTTCCCAATTCCTCGGTTAACAATTCCGCCAATGATCCATTCACCAATTTCTCAATTGACATACATTGTTGTTGTAATAAAGTCGCAAGTACCAGCTTTCCGATTCCGAGATTTTCTTATGGCTCGATGAACCCGCCGTCATGGAACTAAGGTGTGTTGATTAACATCAGCTAAGCACATCCTTCCAACCCCAGATTTTTGCTTTGCTTACCTGTACATGTGCATATAATGCGAACTGAAATCTAAAGAAATCAGAAACTGGAACAACACGGTCCAAGAAGGATATTGGTTGGACAAATAACAGAGGAGACACGTTGTTGTAGACCTAGAGGTCAGCAGAAAAAGAAAAGAAAAGCAAAGGCTCAGTATCCGCCATCATCCCGCCAACTCGCTCGTAGGATAGAAATACCTATCGGTCACCATATCGAGTACTGCACCAAATTTACTACCTGTTGGCCCAAAAAATCAAGAAAGCTTTATCAGCGTGTGCGAGCTTTATCGTGTCGAAATACTCCGCTTACACTGGTCAAAATACCGTGCTGCATTGCCGTCGACAGCATCGAGAAGACAAGAGATACCGTAAAGTGTGACGCAGACTTTCGGATGCCATGGCATATAATATAGTGATAAAGAAGCGAGAATAATCCGCGTATAACCTATTGTTACGGTATTCGGGATAAGCGCCGACTCCTTTGGTGAGCAGATGACTAATACAGTAGGCATGTATACACTTGTATATACGAGAGAAAGGAAACATACCAATTAAATTAGGGACAAAAAGAAACACATTCTTTGTATCTTGCAAGGATCGCTTCTTTGCCTCGACCGACTTTTTGTTACTCATGCTCCAGATGAACGAAATAAACTGTAAAAGCCGGCTGCAAAAATGGCAAAAAACACTATTTTATTTTCCATTTCAAACACCGCAATAGCGAATAACGCACGTTGCCCATCTTCAGAACCAGTCACTGCTCATCCTTTGTGGGATGGGGTTTTGCCAAACGTGCCCAATTTTGTCAATGTCATGCTTATTGATATTATTTCCTCCATATTCAAACGTGCACAATATTAATAAGGAGGTCCCCGCTGATTTTTATCGACCTTCCATCGACGTGGTACTTTTTCACAGGTAATGTGTGGTACCATCGAAACTATGACTACGGCAGCGCTGCAAATGCGGGCAATCCAAGCGCTTGAATTCAGGGATACCTTTTGCAATTGCTGTACGCTTCGGTTTTTGCAAGAAGGAAGCATCCGAGTGATAAAGCCTTTTGATCATCCTACTGTTTTTTCAATCAAGCTCTATTAACCTAATGATGTACGAAAATTCCAGTTGACTATCAAAAACCTTCCTTTGCATAGGTTGCACTTTTTCCATGGCTTTTCTTTTTTGCAATTTTCTCTAAATTGCAAGCGAAGCAAAGTGGGCATCCCTTGATCCAGTCACAAGATCTTCCAGTGTTTTTAAAAGTCAGATCAAACAGCAATTTGTCGAACCTTGCCGTTGCTCTGCTTCATTGTTTCCATTGTGGGCATTATGAAATCGAAGGAACGTTTGGTGCGTGGGCATCGTAGAGAATCAGTTTTATTAACCGAAACTGAATTACAGGATCTTAGAGGTACATGTTGAACTCTTTGGAGGTTCATTGTGTCACAAGTTGCTAACATGGAGCCAAAAAATAGCTAGACAGCGTACTTTTGAAGGTGCTTATTGGCGTACAGCCCTTGCAGCCTTTTCGACTGGACTTCTCATCTTGAAAGTTTTCACTCGTGAATTCTACAAAATCGGCATCACCTTTTTCGTTTTTGGCTTAGCCATGCTGGCCATTGCGCTTTGGCGTCGGAGAACCGCTGGAGATGTATTTGATCTGTCCATCCCATTCAAAACCAGTGGTGACTGGGTCATCTTGACTACCATTGTGACTATGGCAACGTACATTGTTCTCCTGATTCTTCTCTGGAAGCTATAACGATACCCTGAAAGCGTCTTTTTTATTGTACATAATCACCGAAAGTTTGGGGCACAAATAAAACTCTAAACTTTTTTCGGTAATGCAAGCGTTGTCTTCACGACGCATTGTATTACCATTGTAACTTGAATTTCCAGAAGATGACATCCCCAAAACGGGATTACTATTGGCTATAAACACCTATAATGGTAGTATTGTTCTTGTTGATAGAGTTGCAAATGCATGGATGAAGCAAGTCTTTTTCTTCGCAATTTGCTGATATGTTTCAGTTCTCGCAGCTACCCAAAAATATTGGTATATAGCCATCTTGGGATAGCTTCTATTTATGGATCGTGGGCTTCATAAAAATGATGTTCGTTGTATAGCTCTATAACAGATAGTGCAAAATACAGGGACCTGAAATATGGACCTGGATTGCGAGTGAGGTCTCCTTCGGTGACGGCGATTGGAAGAGGGGAGTTCAATGCTTTCCAAGATTTCGCCGACCATGATATTTGAAATTTGCGATTCTCTGCTACATCTCTGGGCCATCGGTAGGCTTTGGTTATATATGTAAGCACCAAGGGGCCATGGTTGGCGTTCATCGAGATCCTAGCCAAACAAATAAATAACATTGTAGTATGGAAGCTTATGGCTTTTCCGTACTTGCCTGCGAAAGGATTCGGTTGGGAACAAAAAGTATTGTTTCGATCTACTCTCCAAAGGCTCCACAGTGTTGTCAACAGAAAATGTTCATGTATGCTGCGGTTGGATCTCCTTCGAAACGCTGGTCAGTTGCTTTGTAGGCAGACAGCTGTTTGTCGCTTGCTTTCCCAGGAGGCGTTGCTCTTACTCCCTGCACAAACGCTTCTCCTCCAGTATGGGCGTAGTCCTCCTTCTTCATGGTGCCGCAAAAATCTGGCAGAGATAACCGACCCCTTCATAGGTGAAGCAACCCCACAGCGTGATTCCACCTTTGCCATGCTTGACGGTGAGATCCAGATGATAGTGTCTCGTCAATCTTTGTTTCCTTTGCTTCTTGAATAATATAATTTCTTGGACTGCCAAGCCGCTGTATCGTTTGCTTGATGATGGATAGGTGATGTGCATGACCAAGGTAAGGTCATAGGATAATAACCGAGCCCTTCGTAGGTGAGGCAACCCCACATCATGATTCCACCTTTACCATTCTTGACGGCGAAATCAAGATGATGATGTCTCGTCAATCTCTGCTTCCTTTTGTTCTTGGAGAATATGACTTTTAGCGCTGCGACGGGTATCGTTTGATGGATGATGGGTCGTTAATATACATGATTGAGGTAAGGATAGAAATAATAAAAGAGAAGAGAAGTAAAGGGGTAAATCAATTCATCCCAATGTCAAAAAGAACATAACTTTTTCTTTTCGTGGGAAAACCCAAATTATGCATTGGATGGATTTGTTGTCAAACTGTAACGAATTTGTATCCTTTAATGCTGTATGAATTTTGGCCTTGCGAAGCCTCCCAGGATTGGTTCGATTTGAATGCTTCATAAAATTTGCCATCAGCATTGACATCAAGGGAAGGTGGCCAACCATATTCCAAAATGCGCTGTAGAAAAGACGAGTTCAGTCTACTGGGAAGATGGTACTTATTGGTTACCTTGTCTGCCAGATCTAACATGCTGGATCTTGATATGTTAACGCAATTTATTGGCCGACAGTGACGGGGTCCCAAATAATTTCAAATCAAGGGAAAAGCGAAATTGTGAAGAAAAAAAACATGAACCCAAGAATAGCTGTCTCATGTTGAACACACATGCCGAGGGAACCACTTGAAAAGCCGATTGATGAAGTTCTTTCAGGCTATAGAAAACTAGACGTAGGCTATCAGAACAAAAAATTTGACTTTGTCAGTTGACTAACGTCGTCATCCCAAGGTCCATGCTTTACAGGAAAACCACAAGCTTGAACTGCCACTGGCTATGCCATGGGTAAGTAGCGTCTGTTCGACCAGTACATGACATTGGCTGTGAATGCTGATATTCTATTCTTAGCGAATGAACTTATGCGCGACGAGTCAAGAATATGCCTGTACTTTCTTCGTAGGTGAGTCTCATGTACGATGTAATGTCGTCACTTGCCGATGCCTGACCATCCATTTTGGTGACATAGCCGTCAACGACACAGTCAATGTATACTTCGTTGATAATGATGGCGCCCAATTCAACCGACCAGTACATAAACTAGTCAACCCGAATGCTTACCAAGCAGGACAAGAATCGGTAAATCAGCAAATGGGATCGGCTTCGTTGCGAGTGTGATACAACTTTTGGCTGACTCGCGCTGCTGTTCTTTTTTTAATTTATTTTTATTGCTATACATTTAGCCATTTATGATCAATGCAATTCTTGTGGACCGATTGTTGGATAAGGAAGTTTTGATTACGGTGGCAGACAATGGCGACGTCTGCGTGTGGCGAACCGAGGCTTTGGATCAACAGCCAATGATGTTGAGGTTGGTCGTGATCTGCATGAATTTTAGAAAATCATTGACCCACGAACCTGTAGGGCTGAAGCCTCGACGTGGGGAGTCGCGGTTCACACCGAGCAAGGGCTTCTGGCGGTGTCAGCCAACGATAAGAAGATCACCATATTCAATATTCTGCGTCTGACCCAATCAAGTCGCCTTTTCGAACATACATCTCCATGTGAGCCACGAAGGAGAACCAAAAACTGGCTCAGAGACGACGATAAAATCGTGCTGGAAGGTCACGAACATAATATACCCAACGTTGATTTCAGTCGCTCCGGTCGATATCTAGCCAGCTGTTCGGTTGATAAAACATGCCGTGTCTGGGACATCGCTAAACGAACCATGGTCACCAAGCGAACCATTTACTCTAGCCAGTCAGATAACGGATGGTAATACTGCATACAATATTCCGTCATGATGCTCTTGGGATGCACTAACGAACGATTCTGCATGTAGGGGTTGGTCGGTTAAGTTTATTCCATCGGGACGCTTCAAGTATGCCTGCATGGATGACAAGAGAATCAATCAGATGATTCAAAAACGACTGGATCGAGGCTCCACGATTCGACAATCCTCGGTTGGTTTGCGTCATTCGGCTCCATTGCCAGTCTATCGGTTCAATCAGCTCAATTTCAATGAAGGAGAGCGGTCCGAGGCGACAGTAGAACTCAATCGTATGATTTTCGGATTCGACCCTGGCGACTGGGATCCGGAATTATTTCAAGGAGAAATGGAGGATGGAGCCACCGATGACGATCTGTCGTTCGACTTTGCTACGCAGCAGGAATTAGCGTATATTGCTTCGCCTACCTCAGACAGCGACGATTCATTGAACGAAGCTCAGGTCATGCAACAACTGGAACGGATGGAAGACGAAGATGAAGCCGAAGATGCTCATCTCGTGGAAGAAATGGGACGACGTGCTACCGAGAGCGATTTTCTGGAAGAAATGCAACGATCCATCCAAAGCTCTGAACGTTACAGAAACTTGGAAGAGCTTGCATCGCAAGGGCATCCCACCGAAGGATCCAGGAGAGACAGTACAGGAACTTCTCATTCAAGGGATCCAACGAGGGACACGGAGACGGCAGTATCAGAATGGGATGCACCAATAGGTTCTGGATCACGATCCCACAGGCATGGTTCGGATCAAAGCATGGACGATGAGAACGATGGTCAGCACAATGAAGAGACTCCAGTGGTGGACAGTGGAGAACAGTTGATCCACACGGTTCCCGGAAATGGATCTGGGTCAGGCGATGCTGACAACGGCACTGTGACCGATCCTTGGCTGGAACCCACGAATGAGGACCATGGATCCTTGTTCCTCCTTTTGCAAGCCACGTTGGCTCGACATCGTCGAGACCATCCTCGGTTTCAAAATGTGGCATTGGCCAATAGTCACTGGGATAGGGGAGAGGATGTCACGCTTGATATGATGGAAACAATGGAACCATCACTGGATCCACGGCTAAGCGATGGTGAAGACGAAGACGAAGACGAAGATGCCAAGGAGCTGGACGATGTTAGCCACGGTTCACGTATCCCGGAGGTGGTGCATTCTGATGAGGACAAGGCCGCTACGGACCCTGGGAAGCGATCAAAACAGTTTATTGAGGAATACCTCATGCTGGCCACGGTGTCGGACCTTTACATGCTCAAAATTGATAAGCCGTCCATGACGACTCTCAAGGTAGAGCGAAATGTCATTAGCGATGTCGATCTCCGGTCCGATCGGATTTTAAGTCTGATAGATCGGCTGAATATGGTAGAATGGGTTCCCGAGTTGGAATTGCTCATTGTGGCCAGTCAGAAAGGCACCGTGGCACTGATGCGCATGCTTCAAGTGGAGTTGGAGTCGGGACAGCAAACCGTGATCTTCAATAGCGAGCGATATTTGCCTTTGAACGGTGTACAATCGACCCCTCTTTATGGTAAGTGATGGCGGCGACGTTCCATTGATGGGGGGGGGGCAATCGTGTTCATTGATGGTTTTTTTGTCTTTATTGTTCTATAGGCATGACGGCTCGAAAACTGGAAACGGATCGCGTATCCATGCCTGCATTTAATCTTTTCCTGTTTTACTATGACGGTGCGGTTCTCGGCTATCGAATCTCACGTCATTGCGAGAAACTTTGCATTGAAGACCTTCTTATTTAAGAAAAAAAGGCTTTTACTTTATCATCTTTATGCACGTTTCCTTTGGTGAATCGCGCTCTCACTATTATTTTTTGTTTTAATCTCACTTTCACTTCCGGCTTGAATATTTTTATCTATCCTTTTTTTTATAACTATATATTAAATATTTCCTTCGTTGGCTCCTCTGAAGCATGATCAATTCATCAACTGCTGTCGTCTTCAGTTGGGATTCTCCTGTACCGACCCATCGGCAGCCTCGTCTTTTCACATTTTCAAAATGAACAGTTGCACACCAGCCATCATGCAATTCATACATCAGAAATATAGTCTTGTTATCCATGCAATCCGTGCGGCATCGGTAGCTGATATTGCTGAGCATTGACGAATATAATACATTAAAGGTTATTCAAAGAGATATAACAAGAATCAATCATACGTTAAGGGAGATAAAGAATCATCCCTAAATGTTCTCATGTTGTGCCATAAAATTACTCAAAAACATCAAAACCAACACTTCTCTCTTCGAGTTACTTGAGAGAAGCGTTATAAAAGTTTAAAGAGCGAGAGGTGAATGCCAGTCGCAAGCTTATCTATCGACGATTGCTAGTTTCATGGTCAATGATCGGCAAGTTCACGCCCGGGCCATACTATGCCTAGGGTGGCAGATGACAGTGAAGGTAATGTTTTGTGAAATGAGGAATTGTGTGTTGCATGGGCTAATTTTTTTAAAAGATAGTTTCAGATTATGAAAATTGCATTTTGCAAATATACTTTGTTGGTTTTTGAAGCGAGAGACGATTTGTATTTTGGGAAGAGCGTACAAAAGGGTCAATGCGGCCGTTTGTACGTTAGACCGGTAGACCCATGTTTAGTTTAGATTGAGTAACACGGTCTTTGAACCCTTAAGGAAATCCAGAGAAACCCCCTGAAAGGGGAGATGCATCTCGTTTAATAACTTTGTTTTGCTCCTTAGTGCAACACATGGCAGTCTCCAACATCATGAACATGCATACAAATGGTGGTGAGTGGCTGGTGATTGGACATCAAGTTCCGGTTGAACACGATGGACAACAATGAACTGTGGGTCTTTCCCCAAAAGAAAGCGACAATGTCTGTGAGAAAAAGAGCCCAGGACATGGTTTGTACCCCAAAAACAACCGGATCATCAAAAATGGCGTTGTATGATCAAGTTGCAAATTAATATATGTGAAGGGACCATGCAAGCGGTCTAAATGATCAATATTGGACATGTCAACATGACCGATAGTGATCCAATTTTTAGGGGATTCGGCTGCTTTTGATTTTTTTTTCTTTGGGTTCATAGTGAACCAAGAATTTTCGATCGTTTGGTTTTTTTTCTTTTTTATTTCCAAGGGGCAATTATTTGCCTTTTTCAATTTCAGTAAATGCATCTTTATCAAAAATAACACTTGATAACATGGCAAGTATCCAGTACCATTGGGGGAAACCCCACCTCATGGCATCTTTTGGTGGTTGGTCATGTTCCGCCAAAGTTGTGGCCGTGTGGAAAAAACATTGGCAGTTCTGCCACCTCCTCCAGATGAAACGAGAGGCTCATAATAATGACATATTGGATGATGATGGAACGGAACCGGAAGATACCTAAAGATCGGCAGCGGGCGAGCCAAGCCCATACAAAAAAATTTCCCTTTTTCTTTTTTTGGGAGGGTGACGAGCCAAAAAAGAAGCGGAAATGTACGTCAAACAAAAAGCAAGGTCATTAACACGATTGTGTAACGATGGCGAGGTAATTATGGCCCTGTGAATGGATATATAGCATGCAGCTCGATGGTGTATAGGAGGGAGCAGAAAGAGTGAAAAAGAAAACAAGAAAGACATGAAAAACCTGAAGGTTGTTGACATAAGGATGGCATTGTTGTCCAATTTGGAAACAGGTTTTTTTTTTCTCTTCCATCAGAGACACCCTCCACCACGGGGCAAGCGTGCCTTGACATTGTCGAAAAAGAAAAAGGAATTCTAGTTCAGGTGAACCGGAGTGCAAATGATGATGATGATTTATTTGAATGCATGGTGAGACTGATGACAAACAATGACACGCCTCAAGGAGACACCCAGGAAAAGCCGGAGTCTGAACAAGCGATGATGTCGGTGGGATGAAGAATTAAAAAGCACAAAAAAAGATACTAACACCGAGAGAAAGGAAAAGAACCGGAAAGAAGAAGCCTATTGTTGGGGACAAGGGGACTCGTTCAAGGTTTAACGGAAATAGATTGTTGCAGGCCGGATGAAAAGATGGGTAGATGTGTGTTGAAACCCGTTGGAAAAAAATGAGGTGGACACTTTTTCAACGTCCTGAACTTTATGTAGGTTGGGTTGATTGCAATCATGCCAAAATAAAATTCTGAGATGAAAGAGTAAGTCGCAAGGTTGGATTGGACCGTAGCGGATGATAAATTACCTTTTTAAGCGAGCATACGATTTGCGCAGCGGAATAGGCATATAAAGAAATGGGGAGATTGACGTCCAAGCGTTGCCATTTGGAAAAAAAAAAGAAACCAAGACATCTTAACACCTTGCCTTACGTTAGGGAGTTGTATCTACGCTTTTTTTCTTCTTCTTCTTCTTCTTCTTCTTTGTACCTCGTCTCCCTATTGTACTCGACTTACTCCTCAATTTTTTTTTTTTTTTTTTTTTTTTTTTTTTTTGGTTTCTTTGCCTTGGGGTTTCCGTATATAACACTTTCATTCTCCAGAATTCTTGCATCACACTCCCGTCCTGTCTTTTTTTTTTCTTGTAGTTTTTTTTATCGCTACTATTATTACTGTTGTTTAGTGCATCCCATTCTCTTATTTTTCTTTCTTTTTGCTTTTACAACCCACCCAACCGATTTAGTCAAAAAAAAAGTGATAGTTATCATCACATCTTAACACTATGGACCCTAATGTTTCACAGCAGGCTTATACCTCAATGATGAAATTCACCATTGATGGTCGCCCTTTTTTAAAGGTGAGTCGTGTTTTTTTCCGAAAAGATATGTAGATTGGAAAGCTTACCGTTTGTAAATTTATGTTTAGGATATCCATGATTTATTTGCAGCACTCATTGTGCAGATTCCGTTAAGCACACACCGGTATCTTTTTCGCAACTATAACAACACATTTTCGTCCGAGGATGCTATCCAGGCTCTCGGATCATTGCGATTCTCTCACAGCGTTCGATCACCGGATCCAAACAATCCATCGCGACTGCTTCGAACCACCACCACCACCACTTTCAACATGGCACGCGATATGGCCAAGGCACTGTGTCAGCATTTCCAAAACTGCCGGTTAATGGAAAGCGCTATTGACCCCCAGAATCGCTCCTTTCGCGACAAGGGTATCTGGCATCTCACCCCCAAGGGTCTCTGTGTGCTGCAAGATTTTTGCGTACGCACAGAAGTGGACATGACTTCCATGCGCAAACATTTTAGTCACATTGAACCGATTCAGCTCGTTCGCTTGGAACGATCACCGGACGATGATCAGTTACTGCTGGGACGGCAAAACGTGTCGCTTGTATTTCGCGTCATGATGTCGTCGCTTCCCATGGAAGGAGAATCCGAGAATGGAAAAGAAACCCCCAACAACGCCAGCAATATCACCTCAACATCTTCTTCCTCTACAACAAGAGCTCCTTCCTCGGCGTCGTCGTCGGCGTCGTCTACAACATCATCCACTCCTGGCTCCTCCCCCTTTTCCATGTCATCGCAAGTCTCCAGCAACGATTCACGAGTGCAGCTCCTCGGCAATTATCTGCTGACGTTATCCAAGGCCCATCGTCAAAATGTAATGAAGACCATCAAGAATATGCGCACCGTGTTCTCCACTCAAGTGTGTTGCGACTGGCTCCTCGATTACACGTCAGTGTCGTCGCGCGAAGAATCGGAAATTTTAGCCAACGAATTCCTGAAATGCGGATGGATCGAGTACCAGGACTCAAAACAGGCAAATAATCCGTTACGGGCATCCAAATCGGTTATTCTTGTGGTGACCGAGAAAGGCAAGCAAATGATGGCGGAAGTGGATAAATCGTGTGAAGCGGCCGCAGCCGCTCGTGCTGCCGCCGTTCAGATGAACGATCGAGCACGCAGTGTACGATCACGCACAACCACCGACGATGACAATAAGCCTACCACTTTACGGGAGATCTTATCCCAAGATCCTGAAGCCATGGTCATCACTTCATCCACCACCACGTCTTCGGACGAAGAATGCGTGGAACCGTCCACGCCGCCACAGCCTCGTCCGGGAGGTTTGAAGAATCAGTCAAGGCCACCGAGTGCGGCTATGGATCAATCGGCGCCAGCCATGGATCCCAAGGAGAGTAACTTTGCCCGCTTAAAGGTGATCTTGGACGATCCTCAGCTTCGATCACTATTCAAGGACTTTTTACGCGCCAATTTCTGTGAAGAGAACCTGGACTTTTGGATCGATTACACAACGCTGCGCCGCAAATGCCGCAATCAGAGTCCCGCTTTGCCGTCTCAAAATCAAAAAGACCTGCTGGAAGATGCCTACGATATCTGGTCGACGTACCTCAAACCGGGCGCTTCCTGTGAATTGAACGTAGAACATTCACTGCGGCAAGAGATGGCTCGACTGGTGAATTCTATGGTGAGCGTGATACCGACGTATACTCCCGGGCAGATCAAGCCTACCGTTGTTATTTCCACTCCTTCGGCATCGCAGAGTCTGCGGATGATGTTAAAATGGTTTGACCGTGTGGATGATCATATCAGTCGTTTGATGGCTTCGGACTCTGTACCAAAATTCGTCAAGACAAAAGAGTATCGAAAGTTACAGGAAGCCCGTGAAAAAGAACAGGCTGCAACAGAGAAGGAAGGTATCCTTTACATTCCTTCCGGAGAATCAGATGTGAGCATCTCAGCATAATCGCAAAGATCCCCTCTTTTTTTTTTTTTTTTTTACTACTTTCTCATTTGTATTGCAAGCATAAGCTAAAATAAATAAAAAAAGTTTACAAAATAAAACAAATCGTTATTACAGATGATTTTCGACCTCGTGTTTACGTGTGATAACTGCACTTTTATGTAGCGAATAGTAATACTAAATAGCGTGCTGTTTGTGTCGAATGACTCGAAAGATGGTCCGCATACTATGACTTTATCCCCAAAGGCCCGTGTAATACTATACATGTTGCCATGTTGGAGTGAGGCGACGGTTTCCATCATGCGGTGAAAACAAAAGAAGACTAAGCTTGGTTTGCCTGACGAAACTATCCTTGATGTCTTGTTTTGCTTTGGTTTTTCGGTGCCACTTTCGATAGCTTGAAATCACTTTTAATATGTGACCTACTTTTTTATATATGTATTTATTCGGGGTTGTGTAAATTTTGCGTGAATCTTTTCAATTTTACTGTTGCTTTACAACGATGAGTTTAACAACATTCTATGGCAAGATTTTTGGCCTAGGATTCGCCATGGGTGCTGGTATGGAAGTTTTACTCATCAAGAGTAACTACTGTAAGTTTTAATCTGTGTAGCCTTGGTAAAAGCGCCTACTTCACACCATCGAATTAACGAACGACATGCGTTTGTAGATCAAATGTTGGCTGCATCGGAAGCCAAAGCCAAATTGAAGGAAATGAAGCAAGAGGAAGAAGATATGGAACGTTTGCGCAAACTCTCAAAAGAATCGTCTCCTCCGACCAGCTCTTCTTAGTGTTCCCGTGTTTATATGTACATACTCTCTAGTCTCCCGCTCGCTCCCTGCAGGAAACAATACTTCTAGATCTTGCGTGCCCGAAACGAGCCAATTCGTCTTTCAAAGGCATAGTTTTATTCATCCCATGATGTTCTGAATAGATAAATAAACATCACATACCCTGAAAGTGATATATACGATAATGCTCATGTCGATCTATGAAGAATATGTGGAGGAAAAGAGTGGCTGCCAATCTTACAGGAAAAAAAATTGCGATCCATCTACTATTTACTTTATTTCTATACTTTGTATATATCCAGAAAAGAAAGATTTCATGTCCATGAGTTAGCGTACTGGCTTGTGTGCTTTGCTTTGCGAACCATCCCAGCTGTCAAAGTAAGCTGTGGTGGTGCTCATGGGTGGAAGTGTTATTTAATTTTGTGGCTCCGCCATGACGTTGGTTTCTTTTCACCCGGAAAACGCGCAGCGCGAAAAATTCAAACGCGCTCTCTTTTTTTCTTTACATTCTTTCACGCGTAAACTCACCATTGCCCCTCATGAACTGTAAGTCTTTTGTTATCAAGATTCTTGCAGAGTCCAAAGCAAAATGACTAATGAATGGCCTATCTGAATTACCTGCGTTAGCCTATTTCAATTCTAGCGGCTCACAAACACAAACCGGTGGCGGATTCTTTAGCAACGATTCGTCTGACGGCAATAGACAGCCAGCAAGAGTAAAATGCCACCAATACACTGTGACTAGTTGAAGCTTGTTACTAATATTTGCGGTTTTTTTTCCTTACCAACAGAAACCGGCCAGTGATCAAACTATCCGTCCTGTTACCTTGAAACAACTTGCTAATGTAACCGAGACTGCGGATGGCAGCTTCCAGATCGATGGTGTCGACACAACTCAGGTACTTGAAATGACCGGCTAAAAAAAAAGGAATGCCAGATTGACTCACACATGATGGCGTTTGTGTCAAGATCACTTTTGTGGCCGTACTTCGTAATGTTACTGAACTTGCGACCAACATCTCTTACACCATGGAAGACGGTACTGGAGCTATAGAAGTCAGACGATGGGTCGAACAAAACGAAACAGCCAGCGAGGCTCAAAAGCGCCGTGAACTGATGTAAGCCCGTATTAGTAGCACTCGATTTGACTATTTTATACTGATATGGAATGTTGGAAAAATATAGTCCTGACACATACGTTCGAGTGGCTGGACGCATCAATAGTTTCAATCACAAGACGAGTGTCGTTGCTTTCCTTATTCGACCGATTACCGATTTCAATGAGATCAGTTATCATTTCCTGGATGCCGTCTATACGCACGTCAATTTGACAAAAGGATCTCGGGTAAGTCTGTCGATGGAGATTGGAAAAGGAAAGACCGCATGGATGCTAAGGGTTCAATAGGATTCCCACATGCAGAGGGCCGATTATTCACAGTCATCTGCGGTTGCTTCCGGTAATCAAGTCCATAACCGTGTATTGGAAACACTGAAGGAATATCGCGACAATGACGAAGGTGCCCACGTCGAAGAAATCATTCAAAAATTGCAAAGCGTGTGTACAGAAGGGCAAGTGAGAGAGGCAATAGAGTATCTGACGAACGAGGGCCATTGCTATCAAACCATTGACGAAAACCACATCAAGTCTACCGATTCTTAATCATCTTTTGCTGTATACATAGGAGGAAAAAAAAAGGAAAAAACAAGAAATAGTGCAAAAAGTTCAATATACTGCAATGCAAAATGGGAAAATTACATGGACCAGTGTACGTGATGGTATAATTCAGGGCATCTTATGGATGGCTAAATATGAATGGGAGCGTTGTGCGATGGTGCACAGTTGTTTTGAGTTAAAAATAATGCAAAGGAATTACGGTGTAGAGTGGATGGGAAAGCCGAGAAAGTGTACTTATAAGATTCGATTCCCTGTGACACCATGGTTGTAGATCCGTAGTTTCCAGCTCTCTCACCTCATCAGGAAAACACCTGTACAGTGCCCTGGCAAAAATTTTTGTAGTCCCAATAAATTTGTTGACTTCCCCAATGTCTTTGCATCTTTTTCAGTTCATTTTTCTCGGGAAATGAAGAAATAGTAATAAAATAAATTGCAAGGAAGCAAAAACCATGACTTGGTCCTTTATTGGCGGGGAGTGTGGGGGATCTCGTCATATTACCTTGGCCTTGTAGAATACCTGCGTAATCCTGGAGGGAAAAATGCGCTGAAACTGACGACTTTCTTCATCAAAAAGAAGAGCCCACCTTAATGAGGGTGACTTCTATTTTCAATAAAGTGTATAATATGAGTTGAAATATAGTTTAACGAGCCATGCATCACGTCTGTACCAAAGTTATGTGCACCTGTGTATCCCATCAGCCAACACAAGAACACTTGAGAATAAAGATCTCTCTCTAGCATTATCTGAGACCTACTTCATGCAGCTATTTCATGCGATGAGTCCACCCTCTCTTATCAAAGGATAAATATGACGTGAAGCGATGAGAAAAGACACATGGCGTCTTTTTCGCCTGCTTCATTATTGGACAATAACGGTTAGCTACAGTCGAGGGATCGCCTCTTTCATGTCTATGAAAAACGACGCATCTTCCATCCATTTTATTTCCACTTCATCGCACATCTATTTCTTTTTGCTTTTCTTCGCAAGCCATCCATCGCGCCATACATTTTTTTATTGCTCATTTTCATCAACATTTGCTCAAACCCAACTGCACTGTACGTATAGTCAGGATGACCACCGCTGTGATATCAAAACGACTGAACCTCTACATATAGCTTGCGCGCCGAAAACGTTTTTTTCTTGTGTGGTCAACAAAGAAACTTTTTTTTGAAAGGTAATGCATTGTGCTCAAATGCCTTCTTTACGCTTTGAATGTTATGTCGAATCACTTACTTGTTGTGTGTGCTTGTTAGCTTAAAACTTTGAAATAAGTCCATGCCTTGGCGGTGTGCGGTGGCGGCTCTCACAGTGTGGTGACAGCAGTTTTGTAAGTAAACATAAAGAAGTACACTTGGCTTGTCTAATGCATCCATCTTTCTTTTTTGTAAATCTTTGTCCTTTGGTTTTATCTCTTATTTGATTAACTTTAACTTAACTACATTACTTCGTCTCTTTTTATAATTTGAATTGTAAATTTTTTTATCCGGAATTTTTCAAATTAAACTGTATAATAAAAGTTTCCTCAAATAACTCCTTGCCTTTTGTACAAAGTCAAAACGCATGGCTTCTTTATACTCAATTATACTTGCACAAACGTATTATTGTACGCAGTCAAGAGGAAGCACTGAGACTATAGTTGTCAATCGAATGTTGCACAGGGAAAAAAAAAGATTCCACATTCACACGGAGCCTACTTTCTTTTGCGACAAATCTGAAAATTTCCGTAAATTCAGTTCTTCCCGTTTACCATTTCACTTTTCAATGTCATCATGCCGAAATTAGACAAGATGAGCTCGCAAGAAATTGTATCCATCAGCAAAAAGTTGTTTTACGGAGGCTTGGCCTTTCTTCCATTCTTATGGCTGATGAACTTCATTTACCTGTTTCCTGCCACACGACGCCCGACCATGCCCAAAGAACTAAGGAAATGCAAGTATCTTTTCAAAATAAAGCAGGCTGAACAAAAAAGGAATGTCAGTGATCAAGCGATCTAAAAGATTAAAATAATAATAGACCTTTATCTGTCGCTGGGCGGTTGCATTCTTTGGTTTATCGCCTTGACAACGTGGTACGCGCTGTTTGTTCAACGACGAATTACCTGGGGTGCTTTGGCAGACAAGCTGACCGTAGTGATACCAAAAGGTGTCTGACATGGTTGCACCAAAGATATCATTTGATCAAAAAAACCGAGAGTACAATCACGCTTATCTTTTTTCGGATTTTACATTCAGTATCAACGATTTATTATTTGCAAGATTGTGAGGGACGACGAAAAAAAAAATCAAGGGGAAGAAGCTCAAACTATTATACAGAAGAAACAAAAGAAGACGAACACACCAGGTGGTCGTTTTTCTTAAGCGGAAGCGGTGGCGGCCACACGGTAGGGAGCGAAATCTTCTTCAGTAACGGGAACAGGATCGGCGGGACAAGCCAAGTGGGACTGATGGAAGATACGGGTATCAGTATCCTTAAGAGAGCCGACAACAGAGTGGAGGACACCACGGTTATGGAAGATCACAAAGTCACCATCCTCCCAGTCGTGAGCGTACACGTTCTCGGGGTTGATAGCAGGACGCTGCATCTTGTACACCAATTCACGAGCCTTCTCCAAATCACCGAGGGGCTTGCCGTCAATGATAAGGTCCTCAATAGCCGAGGGGTGGACTTGCAAGTGGATCTTGTTGGTAACAGGGTTCTTCCACAACTAAAAAATGACCGATATCCATATCAGTATATGCTTTTTTTTTTTTTTTTTTTTTTTGCTAAACAAATAAATAGCTTCATTTTTCTTACCATGGGGTAGATCTTGATAGCCTGTTCTTCGACAGGGGGTAATTCTTCAGGCTTCATTTCCTTGCCTTCAGTGACAATGCCCAAACCAGTGGATCGAGATTTGGCCTTGGACATCCACAAGTAGGGATGAGCAGCGTATTTCACCTTGGTGCGGAAAGCCAAGTCCTTCAAGTCAGGGGGCAAAAGTTCAAAGGCTCTTTGACCAGAGATAACTAAGCGATGGGTCACATACTATCAGTTTTTCCCTGTTTTCATGCGATCCCGGCGGTTTTCCAATATCAACTTACATGCGGTGGTACCCAACTGAACATCAAGAGTCTGGTTGCTACCATCATCGTAGAGCAAAGTCTGACGTCTGGGTTCCTGTAAACAACCAAGTCGTTAGGACAAATGTGCGGCTTGAAAAGAAAAGATAATGACTTACGGGGTTCTTGAAACCGAACAAGGTGGTGATTCTGGGAGGGTTGAGCTTGTACAAAGCAGCATCCATGTGCCAGCGGTAGAAGCGGGTCTTGCCTTCGGCTTCTTGCTCGGGGGTGAGGGTGGTGTGATGGAAACTGCGGTGGCTGGGGTGGGTCAACTTGCGTTCTTCGATACCGTGGTAGTTCTTCACAGTGCCGTGACCCAACAACTGAACCTGGGGAACGGTAGGGAAGGGAGACAAATCGCGAGCAATGATGGATTCGCTGGCACGATGCTGAGCACCGTGACCATAGGTATCGACCTGAGGTTCGAAACGCTGAACTAAGCTGAATTGAACTTCGGGAGTGACATGGCTCTGACCACGGACAACGACCACCTGGTAAGTGTAAACGGCTTCTTCAAGCTTCTTGAATTCCTCATCTAATATGTCAAATGCCCAACAAAAAAAATCATTAGCAAACCTAGGGTCTACGCAGCAAGGCTTATTGACAGCTTAAAGGGTACCTGTGATCTTGGCCAAGTCCAAATCGTGGATCATGCAGCCGAAATCAACACCGCTTTGTTCGGGAGAGGGAACGATGGGTTCGATAGTAAAAGTCATGTTGGTTGGAATGGATTAGATTGGAGTTTAGAACAGTGAAGTTGCTGAAGAAGAACTGGGAACTCGGGGGATGAGGCTTGTCCCTTTTATAACTTTGGTGTTCGGAGTTGGACCCGTCTTGATCTTTTTGTTATATTCATTTTCATGCACGTATCTTTGTGCTACCTTATTGAAGTTTCGGCCAATGAGCGGAACGATATACTTTCTATGACAGGTATACGCTCAATGTTTTCCCATTACGGTTCTCCTTTTTTTTCAGTCTTGTGACTCTTTTTTCTTGTGAAAGTATGAAACAGAAAAAAACACTGAAAAGACAGTGTTCCTGACCTCACCCTCACCTATAATTTTTTTCAAAGGCAGTATTTTCTTACTATGCCCAAACCAGTACTTCATATAATACCCGGTGTTTTTTCTTTCTTCATAACCAATGTCCATTGGGTCCCGTCCTTCTTCACATAACATAATTTGGTGCAGGGAAATAACCAAACTTTAAATTGAATATGAGTAAGCAAACCTATTTTTCACTCGCTGTCAGTCCCTTGTGCACAGTAAAAACGTATCCTCTCCGTCGTACTGTGATTATCTTTTGGCTACTCTCCATACACACACATTCCCTCTATGCCTTTTTGTTTATCTCTGGAAAACACCTAGTTCCAAATGCCTATTTCCCCCCCTCCCTTTGTATCCCCTCGTACATATCCTCTATTGTATTTGGTAACTAGACTCTATTATTTTTCGATCATCCATACTTTCCCCATAGTTTAGTTTACTTGGCGAGCTTCGGTTACACATTCTCCCACTTCTTAATTTTTTTCTACTGCTACTGTAGCTACTTTTTGTTCATTGATCGGATTGAACAAGTTTTTCCCTTGTTTCTTTGAAACGTGCTAGAGGACCTATTTCATTTGTCATGGAAATAGGCGCTGCCCAATACACAAATTGGATGAGCCCTCATTATTGGGTATCGTGGCTGCCAAATTCAAGCACAGGATGCGATCTTCCATTTGGGGAATCTCCGAATGTCCCCAGCCGACCCTAAAATTTCTCAGTTTGCTCAAACATGCACAGCACAGCCTAAATAGTCAAAAAAAAACAAGGTCACTCTCTTGGAAGTAGCTATCTTGCACCAAAATAGAGGTGCTTTGGATGCTGTCCATCGTCATTCCATGTTTTCTTTCTTTGCTAGTCGTTTTTTCTCTTTTATCACAAAAACTCCACAGAAACTATCATCAAACATAGCTAATTATCATCCCACCAAAAGGATATCAAGCACATTATAGCCGGAATGTCATCAGAAGGACGTATTTATTCAAACCACAAAACAGCACGTGCTCCAACTCTTCGTATTTTACAATCGCAATGCAATAGATAGCAGCTTTGTCATCTGCTGAGGTTTATGTACAATGACAGCATCATCGCGCAGGAACCCCGTCTGCAACTATGTCCGCATTGGTTGGCATTGTGTCAGTCCTTTGCACACATGAGCCGACTCCTATGATAGCCAGGGGTGACACTCGCACAGTGGTGCAAGCATACCCACTGCCAGCTTTCTATCGTTAAATCACAGATCGGGATAAAGTACTCTGTCACTCATTCTTCAACGTCCTGTTTTTACTGTTTAAGTATGCTTCAATGTGCAGAAGTATTGCGAGTTGCGCACAGACATTCCTTTTTTTTTTAAACACCTTAACATCATTTCAATCGAGGGCTTGTCCTCCATCAGCCTCTTAAGCAAAGCTCCGGACGTTACAGTGACTGCAAAGTTTATTCCCCATTAAGTGAGTGGACCTGTTCTTACAGCTATGATATATCTATATGATGAGCATACGCTTCGTTATGATGGCATGATGATATGATCCTCAAGGTTTGAAAGTGCAGAATTTTTTTTTCTTTCGATTGGCCAAATGCGGGAAGTCAAGGTTGGAGAGGAGCAACAAGTGGCACAGAAAATGTCCTGGAGCCCATTTTGCTGAGATTCAACAAAAGATCAGAGTCCCATCCTCATGTTGTGCAGCCAATAAGGATATAGTATAGATTTGCGGGCTGGGAACGTGCATCACTTTGTGCCCTCGAACAAATGGCTTCCCAAATCAGAAAAAAAGAGAAATGACGCAAAAACAATATAAAAACTGCAATAACCAGATCGGCCCTACATATTCTTAACTTGGTGTTTGTTACAGAAATGCTTGGGATATTTTGCGTTGGCATATTATTTTGAAGGACTCCCCGAAATGGCTCTCACTCTTCTTGTGAAAGAAAAAAGATGACAATGCATTGAGGGGATGGTAATAGAAAACGTCGTATTTTATTCTAGGATGGATTGAATGACGATGGGGATTATCAATATAGGGGTGTAACATTGAGGTCAGGAAACTACTGTTGTTGATCTTGTTCGCCTTGTTGCTGCTGGCCATTGCCACCGCCACCGCCGCCACCGCTCTTGGGGGCCACTTCAACAGCCACGACGATAACGACAATGATAATAATGACTGCGAAAATAGAGAAACAGATCCATTTCTTTCTTCGTGTGGCTTTGGCGGATTTAATGGCGTTGGAAACGTGCTGGTTGCCTTGTTCGAGATGGTTCACGACATCATAAGAGCTCGCTTCAATGGTGTCAAGAACGTGGGCTTGATTTTCCAGTAAATATTGCATTTCGTTAAACATTTCGGACAACTCTTGGATACTCTTGGCCAATCGCTTGATGTCTTCGTGACGTTCCTGCACGGCATCCAGGGTTTCCTGTGCCTGGTAACGACGTTGTTCGTTGTTCATGGACTGCATGAGTTGTTGTGCAAATACGGCGGGACGGCCTTGTTCGGCTTGGGCAATAGCTGTCTCGATTTCTTGTGGAGTTGCTTGAGGGTTGGCGATTTTGATCTGTCGTTCCATTTGGCGGGATTCGGCACGTTGAAAATCCAGGGACACTTGTCGGTGGCGTTCAATAGCATCCATGAATGATTTAGTCACACTAGCAAACTGGTTCTTGTGAATCGCCAAATCGGTATGCTTCGATGTGGGTTGAATTTCCTTGAGTTTTTGCTTCACATGGGCCATGGTGCGCTGTGTATCCTCGGTCAACTCGTCCACAGCCACTCGATGGCGTTGGAGCTCCGACGCGTCTGCGGTCTGAAGCATAGCCGACTGATACGTTTGAATGCGTTGCACATTGTCGTTGATGCTGCGAATGTTCTCCTGAATCTGTGAAATCTCGTTCAAAAATCCTTCTGTGGAGGTAACGTCCGTTTGCGTGGATAGCAACGGTCGCATCTCGTATTTGCCCGGTTGATGAGACGGATTCATTCCATCTGAGCCTCCTTTTCCCGAGAGTTCGGCAAGTCGATCACGATTCATTATATTTTAAGAAGAAGTAAGGTGGATGAAACTCGCACGTTGAACAAAAAGGGAAACAAAATAGACGTAAAAAAGTAAAAAAATAAAAAAGAAGGAGATAGTAGGAGTTTACCCAAAAACGAACTTGTCTGTCTCGAGGGGATAATCAAAAGGACCATCCGCTCAAAAAAAAGAGCGGGCCCAGATTTCTCATTGGTAGGTCTACACAACTACACAACTTGAAGTCCAAATTTAGTAAACTGGATTGCGCAGTTTGAATTGTGGTTATTTTTGGCTCACCTGTGTATATGACCCGAATTCGGGGTTGGGTTCGCCAAAGATGTTATATGATCTAGGCGCCCGAAAAGAAAAAGTTCACTCCTCGTCCTCCTGGTCGCTTTCGGAACGAGCGAAAATTGCCGGTCTTCCGCGTCCTGCAATCTCTTCCAACACAATCGAACGCATGTTCCTGGCGGCATTGACATCTCGGTCCCAGAACTTCTTGCAATGGTCGCATTGGAGAACCTTGTGGAGTTCTGTGTTGATTTGACGACTTCTCACGTTCTTCACCGCTTTTTGCGCACAGAAAGAACAGACCTAAAGAGAGCAATTTAGCATAACATCACATAATAATATTTTCTCCTACCCATACCTTTGAGGTGTTATATTCGTCGACTTTAATCAGCACCAAACGGCCTTCAAGTTCTGCTCTTTTGAGGACTTTCGACAACTTCCCAGACAAACCGCTGATCTTGCCTTTCATGGTCACAGGGAACGCAGCATTTCCGAGTCCAACAACAGGAAGTTTCCAATCATTCGTTATAGGCTTTTTTCGCCATTTTCTAGTACGCAAATTCTTAATCAATATTGGCCATTTGATTTAAAAGTTTACTGCGCGGCTTACTCGGTTTGGACATTTTCCATTGAAGAAGACTGCGATCGTCGTTGGTGTTCCGCTATTTGACGCGATTTTTGCTCTGCAGTGATCTGATCGTATTTTTGTCCGCCAGTGATGAACACGTTGGCGAGTTCACTTAATGTTTGTTGGTTCTTTACAAAACGTCGGAACCGGAGCTTGGTGAACCTTTGGTCGTAAAAGGTGAGAAGACGCTCCATGCTTGCAAGCATACCGGTAATAAATAAGCGAGCTGAACGTAAGTTTATGGCTTTCGAGGTAACAATGTTCTGCTCCACGTCCAACACCTGGGAACGCATTTTCCAGTTCTGCACGCAGATCGTCGAATGCTTGTATTGCGCCTTTGTGTAGAACTCGACCGTGGAAAATTGTCGTACCTCATGCGGCCGAGAACGTTGAAGGGCGTTTTCTTCGTTGGGAAGAAACTCACCGCCATCCGAAGCAACAAACACGTCCGTCACTCCGGGATCTGCGCCCCATATGCGAAGGTAGGGACGTTCCCAATCGGCGAAATCGGCTGCTTCCAGATCAGCCAACACCTGTGCCGATCCCTTCGCCCGGAAGAAGGACACACTACAGCCGTAGCCATCGGTCATGACTATGTCAGCAAAATTGGTGCCACTAAAGACGACGATAACCAGTGAATCACTCAGCAACAGAGAGCAGCAACCCGTTTGCAAACTTACCGTCCCCCCCGAACCTTCGACAAATCGAAAGCGTATTCAAAACAGTCGGCCGTTCCTCTGGTGATTTCGCCGATGGACCTCAACATTTGTCGCAAGATTGGCTCCGTGATCGTAATATATTTGCGGGTAAATGTCGGGATCGGTATCAATTTGAAAAGCCTCTGCTGATTCACAACGAAGTGCAAATCCGGAATGAAGCAATCATCGCGGGTGACAGGGCTGTTGACCAGCGGATCAAGGTATTCGACAGAGTTCCGGATACGGCTTCTGGTTTTTCTATAAACTGGTTCAGGTTGTTGCCCGAATCTTCAGATAAGGTTATCCCGTTGGGGATGATGAAAGCAGTGCCGTCGTTGATGCTTTTCAGAACAGCTCGAGCCAGCCGCCCACGACGTTTCTTACCGAGCAGCTTACTTTCTTGCAAATGCCTGATAATGGAATGAACAAACTGGATGGTCGCTTCGGTTTGAACTTCTCCTGCATTCGCAATTTGGCCGTTGTTGTAAGCATCGAAATACTGGTTTACTTGATAGAGGATTCTCATGAAGTGCTGAGGGTTCCGAGTGATGCTTGCCAATGTTAACTGCTGATGGTAGTCGTGTAAATCGTGATCGACTACTTCTGAGATCTGTACAGCGGCTGTGTCTACTCTCTGATGGAGTTCTGGAGGAATGCCCGCCTTTGGCACTGTACTTTCTGTTTCTGCAGCAAAGGAATCATAGCTATGGCGAGCCAACTTGGACCACTGTTTCTTTGGTAAGCCCTATATAAGAGAAATTTATTGGTTAGTTAACTTATACATCCGGTGAACGTTCCCTTACTGTATCCATACCGGCAATAGTTCTCGAAATCGCAGTGTCAGATATTCAATGTAACGTGACTCGAAGTTCTCGACGAGGTTGTTTGCAAAAGTTACGGCCATGTTTTTTGCTGTAATTGAAAGTATCCTGGCTTCCATCGACGCATCTGATGCGATCGGTCGTCCGCCTGTCGGAAATTCTTCAAGGTATTGCTGATAAGCTTGAACGAGCTCTTCTTTTGGAAAATACCGGTTCTTAGAGCTGATCTCCCGGTTTAATAAAAGCTGGAAGACGGAGTAGAAGAATGTTTGATGAAAAACCATGGGCGGCAGAGGATCGTCGGTAAGGAACTTGTGATGCAGATAATACAACGTAAAAAGAGTTGCTTTGAGCATCAACTCTCTGTTGAAGTCCACAATATGCTCGATTTGGTCGATCAGCTGCTGCTTTTTCTCCGTAGGAAGCTTGATCAAAGTGGAGAGGCGACATTTTCTAGTGAACTGCTCGAGTTGAGCACCGAGAATTTCCCGGTTTCGTTCCTTCTTGGATGGCTGGTGGAATGGGCAGATTTTCTTTCGAGTTGATGAGTGTGGATTTTCGCGCAAGAAATCTGGGCGGAGTTTGGAGCAGCTTTGACACACGCGGCTGATTGGATCATGATGGTCTTGTAAGCGATCCTTTTTTGCCGATGCTTTCTTTGACTTTTCTTCCACCGTTTGCTTACGCTTTCGCTTCGAGCCTACGAATAAAAACGTTAGCATAGTTAGAGAAAAGAGAGAGAAGTTTTCAAGTAGTCTACCTGATACAGGTTTCCTTATCTTGCGTTGAGGACATAACGCCGATCGGGCATTCACATGACCAGTCTCACCACATTTGCTGCAAATGACTATCCAAAAAAGGGATGTCAGCGTCAAATCAAAGATAACAATCCAGATGATAAATCTTACCTTGACCTTGGCTGTGCTGTAACTTCCACTCTTTCCATCTCTTCTGTAGCGGATGGCTTCAGGAAACAAGTGATCTTCATAAAGTTGCCGTAATCGTGTCTCCGAAACTCGTCCTCCGCAGCATTTTCTTCGGTGGAGCCGTCATCCGAATAGAAATCGCCATCGTCTTCAGTATTGGAACTGAACTCAGATCAGGATCTATGGCTGCGCGGCTTGAAAACGCCATTACATAGTCAATAAAAGGATGAACGAAAAATGAAAGAAAAAAAGAGAGAGGAGTCAAGTTGACCAAAAAAAAAGGTGCATAAAATTTTTATATGCCTTCACGGCGCAGTTTGAATAATGTGGTTTTATTGATCGATTCAAGGACGTCCTTTGAGTGCACCAGGTCGCCATGCCAGAAGTCAATACCTATGATTGCTCCTTCCATTTACCATACTGTTACAGTCTCGCCAGATTCTCGGGAGTGCGATCGGGCAAAGAAGTGGTCGATTCGCATTGCTTTGGAGTGGCGATGAGTGGCGATGAGTGACTCTAGGTATCCGAAGGGCAAGTTCAAACAGACCGTAATTGACTCCTCTCCTTCGACAGAAGATCGACAAATTCCGATGCAAAAATGGCAGTTTGTTTTCCTTTCGATTCTGATAGTTCAAAGATAATTCAGTTTGGGAGGTTGAACAAAACTTTCCTCTGCACAGCATTATCGTCAAGTTTCAACAACAGTGGCAAAACAAATAAAAGCACATTATAACCGGAATGTCATCAGAAGTACGTATTTATTCAAACCACAAAACAGCACGTGCTCCAACTCTTCGTATTTTACAATCGCAATGCAATAGATAGCAGCTTTGTCATCTGCTGAGGTTTATGTACAATGACAGCATCATCGCGCAGGAACCCCGTCTGCAACTATGTCCGCATTGGTTGGCATTGTGTCAGTCTTTTGCACACATGAGCCGACTCCTATGATAGCCAGGGGTGACACTCGCACAGTGATGCAAGCATACCCACTGCTAGCTTTCTATCGTTAAATCACAGATCGGGATAAAGTACTCTGTCACTCATTCTTCAACGTCCTGTTTTTACTGTTTAAGTATGCTTCAATGTGCAGAAGTATTGCGAGTTGCGCACAGACATTCCTTTTTTTTTTTAAACACCTTAACATCATTCAATCGAGGACTTGTCCTCCATCAGCCTCTTAAGCAAAGCTCCGGACGTTACAGTGACTGCAAAGTTTATTCCCCATTAAGTGAGTGGACCTGTTCTTACAGCTATGATATATCTATATGATGAGCATACGCTTCGTTATGATGGCATGATGATATGATCCTCAAGGTTTGAAAGTGCAGAATTTTTTTTTCTCATTTCGATTGGCCAAATGCGGGAAGTCAAGGTTGGAGAGGAGCAACAAGTGGCACAGAAAATGTCCTGGAGCCCATTTTGCTGAGATTCAACAAAAGATCAGAGTCCCATCCTCATGTTGTGCAGCCAATAAGGATATAGTATAGATTTGCGGGCTGGGAACGTGCATCACTTTGTGCCCTCGAACAAATGGCTTCCCAAATCAGAAAAAAAGAGAAATGACGCAAAAACAATATAAAAACTGCAATAACCAGATCGGCCCTACATATTCTTAACTTGGTGTTTGTTACAGAAATGCTTGGGATATTTTGCGTTGGCATATTATTTTGAAGGACTCCCTGAAATGGCTCTCACTCTTCTTGTGAAAGAAAAAAGATGACAATGCATTGAGGGGATGGTAATAGAAAACGTCGTATTTTATTCTAGGATGGATTGAATGACGATGGGGATTATCGATATAGGGGTTTAACATTGAGGTCAGGAAACTACTGTTGTTGATCTTGTTCGCCTTGTTGCTGCTGGCCATTGCCACCGCCACCGCCGCCACCGCTCTTGGGGGCCACTTCAACAGCCACGACGATAACGACAATGATAATAAATGACTGCGAAAATAGAGAAACAGATCCATTTCTTTCTTCGTGTGGCTTTGGCGGATTTAATGGCGTTGGAAACGTGCTGGTTGCCTTGTTCGAGATGGTGCACGACATCATAAGAGCTCGCTTCAATGGTGTCAAGAACGTGGGCTTGATTTTCCAGGAAATATTGCATTCGTTAAACATTTCGGACAACTCTTGGATACTCTTGGCCAATCGCTTGATGTCTTCGTGACGTTCCTGCACGGCATCCAGGGTTTCCTGTGCCTGGTAACGACGTTGTTCGTTGTTCATGGACTGCATGAGTTGTTGTGCAAATACGGCGGGACGGCCTTGTTCGGCTTGGGCAATAGCTGTCTCGATTTCTTGCGGAGTTGCTTGAGGGTTGGCGATTTTGATCTGTCGTTCCATTTGGCGGGATTCGGCACGTTGAAAATCCAGGGACACTTGTCGGTGGCGTTCAATAGCATCCATGAATGATTTAGTCACACTAGCAAACTGGCTCTTGTGAATCGCCAAATCGGTATGCTTCGATGTGGGTTGAATTTCCTTGAGTTTTTGCTTCACATGGGCCATGGTGCGCTGTGTATCCTCGGTCAACTCGTCCACAGCCACTCGATGGCGTTGGAGCTCCGACGCGTCTGCGGTCTGAAGCATAGCCGACTGATACAGTTTGAATGCGTTGCACATTGTCGTTGATGCTGCGAATGTTCTCCTGAATCTGTGAAATCTCGTTCAAAAATCCTTCTGTGGAGGTAACGTCCGTTGCGTGGATAGCAACGGTCGCATCTCGTATTTGCCCGGTTGATGAGACGGATTCATTCCATCTGAGCCTCCTTTTCCCGAGAGTGCGGCAAGTCGATCACGATTCATTATATTTTAAGAAAAAGTAAGGTGGATGAAACTCGCACGTTGAACAAAAAGGGAAACAAAATAGACGTAAAAAAGTAAAAAAATAAAAAAGAAGGAGATAGTAGGAGTTTACCCAAAAACAAACTTGTCTCGAGGGGATAATCAAAAGGACCATCCGCTCAAAAAAAAGAGCGGGCCCAGATTTCTCATTGGTAGGTACCGGGGAAATATCATCATCCAATACGTCTACCGCCAATAGATTGCTAATTAATTGATGATATGCCTCGAATTCTCTTCATTACAACGGCTCCATGGAGTTTTCATCTTAAATCAAGCAGACCTCTGTGGGTTTACGCGTATTCGTGGTAGCACGCATTAATTTTCTGAAAGATATAGATCGCACCAAAGTATTATAACATGGGTGCACCCATCACTCCTCCCAAAACAAGTGCTTAATTTTAGTGATATTTGAAGCAGCAATCGCTTAATCGAAAAAAAAAAAAAAACTGTTGAAAGGCCTTCACTCCTCGTGCGAGCCACTCATACAAAACAAGCTGGCTTCTCAATGTAAACGGATACCAGCAAATCAATGCTGACTTTCACACCGATCAAAATTGTGAAGTCCGCCGATGCGCAGTCATTACACTTTTCTCTAATCCCAAGACGATGATCAATAACCAAATCCACATCATACAAACATACTTACGACCTCGTACATTAATCCATCTTTATTCGTTTTCGAAAATATGGCACCTCCGATTGATAATGGCAGCACCAGAAGCCCCTTCCAACATACGATCACGTGCCTCCGGTGACGTCGACGGTTTTCTGCGATCTGATTGGCTGACGTTAAAAATTTGCGCCGTAATTGTAGTACGAAATTTCCACCAACAACCGGCTTTAGCTCAGTTGGTAGAGCGGAAGACTGTAGTTAAACTGTCATCTTTAGGTCGCTAGTTCGAATCTGGCAAGCCGGATACTTTTTGGCTTTTCAAAACTTGGAAAGTCGGATTTTTTTTTTGTTTGGTCTGAAGTGAGTTTGGTTCTTGCTGTAAAACGAGACGACTCTGCGAAAGTTTTTATCTTTTTTTTTTTTTTTTTTTTTTTTTTTTTGCATCACTGAAGAAAGATGGGACATTTGTATGAACGAAAAGTAGAAGATTGTTCTTTATTAAAAGGGTGAGTGAACACATGTCCATTGCGGACTATTGCTCGTCCTGAGATCTATAGGAAAACGCGCAATTGCAAAAAAAAAAAAAAAAAAAGACTCACAGAGGAAGAGTAAAGGTAAAATTGCGTGGAGAAAGCATGGGGAAACAGGAAGGCGAAAAATAAAATAAGACAAAGAGAAAGATTACTGTCTGCCCAATAGCCGAAGGAAAGATTTATGGCGAAAAGGTGAAATGGAGGAGAAGGCAAAAAACTGTAGCCTGTAAGTCTAACAGAACACAGCAAATCAATAAAGACAGTGAAGAGATATGATATGATATTAGCATCTTAGCAGTAAGCACACATGGCGATCCCAAGTGATCTATTGTGATGCATATATTCTGTTGAAATGCTGTTCAGGCACACATATTACTTGTGATATTTTATTTTTAGGACAAACATCGGATCAAGGAATCTTGGTCAATCGCGAATTTCTTTTTTCGAGCGTATTGTACGAGCCATTCTAGGTCTTTCCAAGATGTCGCAATGCATCTTCTTTTAGAATCTTAGCACTAGTCGCTCAAATACATTTTCCCCTTTAATTATGCAGAACGGAGAAGAAATACAGGTGCATTACCAATCGATAGGCGGAAAGCTGAGTCGGCCAAAACTACTTTATTTTGGAATTTGCAGGTTCCAAGTATTGTAAGTGTTGCTGGAGTTTCCTCAGGAACCAATGCCAGATAATTTGACAGTAAATGTAACAGTATTGATTCAAGTTCGTATTGTCTAGAAATCAATAGAGGGTATAGACACATTCATCTTCACCTATCGGTATGCAGGATAAAAACGAGCGTATTACAAGTCGCTTCTCTATAAGACCAATCAGTGATTTGGAACATCATGGTTTTCTGAAATAGTCCAAGTTATTGTCTACTGAATATCAGTGTAGTTCGTCAAAAGTACCTTGACAATATGCAAGTGGGTGTCGTTATATATTAAGGTTTGATGGCCAGCTAAGTCATAATCCGGTAAACATTATGGTTGTGAAACGGAGGACCAGAAATGACTGAGGGACAGCAACGCATGTAACATATGTCTTGGAAGAAATTTAGACCACTCGCTTAAATGCAACATGATTTTATTGCTGCTTCACATGCTGCTCTACGTAGGGGTACACCCAATTCTGGATGGCTAGGTAAATATATCAGTTCATGCAAAGGAGGAAGACAAACTGGCGGAATGTCATGCTTTCAAGGGAGACGTATAAGATAATGGAATAGCAGTACCAAGTTCATGGGACCTCTCTGACATGAAAGTCAAGCATTTCTCTAATGCATTTTTTCAAAAAAAAAAAAAAAAAAAAAAAAAAAAAAAAAAGGTTCCTAAACGGCTATTCTGCTTTAACCGGTCTATGATCATATTTTTTTAGTGATAATTCAACTATATCCATCCTAGAAGAATAAATGTACCAGACACACGAGTAAAGAATGCAGTTAATGTATAAAAGGCTTCTTAAAAACAGCCAGTTCGAATTATGCTATTCTGCCTGATGAATAGGTCGTAAACATTTTAGGTCAAAGAAACGAGCTGCGCTGCATTATATCTTTTATGTATTCATTTATGCAAGAAATTATATTTGCATAGCGTCTGTACCCATCGGTTACTTCAAATATACTTGCGCCGATATAATTCAAGAGGTAGGCAATTCATGAGTCTTGTCACAAGAATTACTGTGCTTTTGACTTGTTATTGTTGATCTAACTCACCAGTCCGTCGAGGCAATCATTCCTACCGGTGCGTAAGAAATCAAATGCTAAGCTTTGCTAGAATCAGGGAGGAGCCGCACGTCGTTGCAAGATTCATAAGATGATATCGTTTAACTCCTTATGCATACGTAAAAAATCCGCCACTTTTGTTCATGCACCAGGCACCGATTTTCTCCCTTGGCTCATACCGCCAAATGACCCTGGCTGGCCCAGCGCCTTATGTTTCTTTCCTTTTTGCCTTGTATTACAACAGATGTCCGGTGCTGACCATAACAAAGAATTTCTTTGGAGTTGAAAATTGAATACGAAGGCAACGTGCCATTATATTCCACGCAATTTTACATCGACTTCTTTTCTTGAAGCTCAATAAGAAAAAATAACTGATCGTATGTCGTAAGGACGTCCGTACGACCAGTCTGGTTCGAGTGACAATACTCTTTTTTCATTTATCGCCTTTAGTCAAGCTGCCAGAAAGGCATACCTTAAGAGTCAAGCCAGTATCAGCGTCTTATTAGATAGCATGAATTCCCGAGATAATCATAGATGATATACACCTCGTTTGCACTCAAAAATAAAGAGCATCACATCTTCCGGTTAACTACTTTTATCCCATCTCATAAGTCTCCTTGCCCAGCCGTTGGATCCTCTAGCTGAACCAACAACTATAGTGTCAGTTACGCCGGTTCTTCTTTTGCGCCGATTAGATTTGCTATACCAAAGTTTAGCAAATACGGAAGACAGCGCATTGGCTCGTCCGCAGATCGATGTCTGGAGGAACCTTCGAGAAGGTATGAAGGACCAATGGATGAACGAGGCATACCAAAGGTATTGCCTGGAAAACAGAAGAAATATAGACCGAATCCGTTCAGCATTAAAGTGGTCCGTAACACTTCTTGATTGGTTATGTTTCGGAATAATAGAAAACTGTGCAGGAAGTTGACGAGAACCTTCCTGAAGATTGTAGACATAAAAACGTATCTTGATAGAAAATATAAATATGACCATGTTATGGTAGAAATAAAAACAATCAACAAATTACAGATTTAAACTGAACTCTAAAGGAGTACTCAAATCTGACAATAGCACGTAAAAAATAAAATAAAAAAATTAAAGAGAAGTAACCAAAAAAAAAAAAAAAAGAAGGGTTCTCAGAATTTGAGAAAACAAAAAGTATCCGGCTTGCCAGATTCGAACTAGCGACCTAAAGATGACAGTTTAACTACAGTCTTCCGCTCTACCAACTGAGCTAAAGCCGGTTTTTGGCTAAAAATCAGTAGCACAATTATGGCGAAAAATTATTAAGCGGATCACGTGACGTTGCACAAGATTTCGGTGCACATTTTGTCTGCATATCAGATGGACAACAATTTTACGCGAGTTGGATCTAGATACTCTAACATTAGCGGTATTCTCATTGTGTAATGTTCGAATGGTTGGTGATGTTCTTTGATGGTAATAAAAAGCCGCTATATTTTCCGCTCCTTTTAAATAAGCGAATGAAACCGATGGAACGGGAGGGTGACGCCAAATGTTGATTTTGCTGATAGATGCGAGCTTACTTAACTTAAAGGATATTAGCTGATCGCTTTATCGGCGAATGGATTTAGTTTTACCGACAAGAATACATTTATTTACATTCTTTGACTTTTTATCCATGATTTTCCAAGGTGTAGTAGTTATGTTGTTCAGGTTCTTCCAGAGAAAAATCGTCCTTTGTGTAATGTCCTTTTCCGGGAAGGATAGTGTCTCTGAGAATGTCATTAGTATGCCAAAAAATATATCGAAATTCAGTCAGAAAGAGACTGAACACGCCAGACGGCATGCCAAGTGTCGCTGAGAATACGATTCCGATGTTCCGTATCGTCATCTTGTTGACGACCGAGTTCTGCACGATTCGGACAAGATGAGCTGACAGTGTTCGCAAAATGTGATAGTTTGCGGGCGGCAACATGGAAACCAGTCTTCCAAGTTCCCTCGTACGTTGAAGACGGTCGACGTAATCTATTATTAAGTATTCGTAAATGATTGATCGGTGAAAACCATTTACTGGTGTTTTCCATTATATTTGCACTCACCAATGAGACCAACAAAGGAGGACATCAAATCGTTTGTTAATATGTTGGAAGGAAGTTCGCGTAACCACAGCTTGAGTAATCCAGTAATGGTATGAACATCATGATATTCATCGCTATCCAGTAAGCATATATCACCCTCTAAAACGAACAGTTGGACCGTTAGTATCATTCTTCCCCTTTTCAATCTACAGTCGCAACATGCACAATGAGCAAGGTAACGACTAAACTTCTGTTCTTACCTTTGTTGAATCGATCTTTCAAGCCTTTGATTTTAGCCGCGCTGCCACTTAGACGATAGATTCCTTCTTCGTCTTTAGCGTTCCTTGTTTCGAGATACTCGATGCATCGGTACACTATGGCTGGGAGCTCTGAATGATTGGAGATCCGGGACACATTGACAGCTTGTTCGAGAGATACACCGAATACTTCTCTGGAAGCTTGACTACCAGCAGATCCATTTGCTGGGTGATCCCGATCGGCAACTGTATGATATCGCAAATGATCATTGGCATCGGCAAACCCACTGTCAGAGAAATTAATGGCATGGCCGTTACTTGGTGCATCTGACGGCGCCGTTGCAAACAGCTTTCTGCCCCATATGGTACGTCGATTTTGTTTCTTTGAATTTTTAGCTTCGGATTCCAAATCTTCATCCGCATCTGCATAAGGAAAAAGATAATCTGTTAGAACGCGATAATTTTAGAACATCAAATTCGTCTCCTTGTACCAGTTGGATCCGCATAAGGTCGCTGCTGTTGAGGATAGCCATAGCTTGTCTCTGTGGTTGCTTGATGATAAGGTGGTTGTCGACCATCGGATGTGCTGGTGGTTGAAGAAGAAATCGACGCGTCTGAAGACATGTATGAGGAACTAGCTGGATTGAGCGTAGGATCCGATGCAGACAAGTGGGGGTGGTGGTAACGTGCCGTGTGAGTTTTCTGTGCATTATCTGCTTTTGTTGCTGATTTCTTTTTTGAGCGTTCAGAGGACTTGTCAAATGATTCATCGTCATGATCCGTCATAGGATAGTTGATATATTGACTCAACGCATCGATCCATTCGTCTCTGTCAGCATCCGAGTCTGCACAGAGAACATGACGGTGTATACCGTTGGGAGCAGTTTTCTTTGGTTCGAGAATGATTAATGCATGTCGGAAAGAACTGGTGATATCAGACCCTTGGGTCGGTGCTGTTTGGCGGCCGATCTGTGCTCCAGATAAACGAATAATTCCAAGGAATGGGCCATCTTTCTATAATGATTGATGCGTTCAATAAAAGAGACAATACAACTGCCCAGCCCTGGAATAAAAAGCCTACATTTTCATAATAACGCAGAACCGGTCCATCAAGAATAAAGTATCGAACTTTCCATCCGCCAAAGTTCTTGCCTCTTTTGGTGATGTAACCTTCTTTATGTCCGGGAACCTTGAAGCACAATTGATGAGTATTGTATAAGACGAAGATAAATGATATGACAGATGTCTTACCGTATTCCTGTGCTGTTTCGCGTCGATCACATTGGTACTCAAAAATTCGCACACTTCTGCCATGTCTGGCAACTGGAGTTTGATCGTCGATTGCAAGTATTGTTCAACGCCAATCTAGTCCAGGCTATATGAGAGACGATACGAAAAAAATGGGATACAGCAGGGTGTCGCTTACCTTGCGTTGATCTACTTTGCTGGGAGCGTAGCTCGTAAATAAAGCTTTGTCAGGTAATTTTTCTAGATGATCGGTCACCAATCGACCATGTCGTCTAAGCTAAAGCCGGGTCAACAGTGAAGCCTTGACTCACATGTATACAATTTCCCCTATACAGACCTGGGCATCAAAATCCAAGATATCCGAATACGATTTTTCGACTCTCCATAATTCTTCAAAGGCGTCGTTGACATGTCGGCCAATTGAAATAGTAAAAGAGGCAACATTCTTGCCTTTCTTGTTGGTGCTCAAATTGGATCCGATGACCCTAATAATGACGCCTGCCATGGGATTAGCGGCCAAGGCTTGCAAGGGGTGTCCGAATGGTGGCGCTTGCTTGACTGGTTCTGGATGGTTTGTAGAGGTATGAAGCTGTTGATGATGGGCTTGCTTTATTAAATCGGGAACCGAGGACGATCGACGTAGTTTTTCATGTATATGGGCTTGATTAATGACTTGTAAGGTATTATTTGGCGAGGTATTATACGGTGTATGGATATTTTGTGGTGGATATACAGGCGATTGGATCTCGCTGCGATAGGTGGCAGTGGAAGGGGTCGTTGGCGTCGATGGTACATCATAAATCGATGGATCAGCGTCAGCGCCTGCTCGCGAAGGCAAAGTGGAAGACCTTGTAATAGGTGTCTTGGATGATTTGATACGAGGATCTTGAGCTGCGTGGCTATTCGGCCCATACGCTTCATGCGTAGCGTCCAATGGATTGTGTGGTCCGTCATACCGTGTGTTTGCAGAGGTCCAGGAAGTAGTGTAACTGTCCAGTGTGGTTGGATGCACAGGTTCTGGCCAAAGATACGCAGGCGAGCCTTCGTTACTGTCATTAATTTCTAATCCAGCACGACCCATCGCTCGATCAGTGCGTTTTAAGGTATAGGCACCATCTGATAGTTTCCTTGGAGCTGGATTCATGTGGACTTCCCGCTCGGACGAATAAGGAGAGAAATTAGCGTTAAGAGTAGGATAAGATGGTCCCATATCCGGCGGACTTCCGCTGTCTTTGGATGAATTTTGGCGGTAGGGAGATCTGGGTGGCGGGACCGGACCAGTGGGCGAGATGATTTCTTCTTGATCAAGAACAAGCGCGTCCTGTGGTGGATATTCGCGCCTACGGATCTGGTAATTTTGGTCTTGCGAGGAGAGGCCCGTCTCAGGGATAGTGTTTTGTTTTTTGGCGTCTTTTGCTTTTAATAAGGCATCTCTTTCTGCTGTCATCCGAGCTAATGCTTTTTGCAAGTCTTGAATAATGAATCGTTGCTTCTCGATGATGGACCACAACTGTTCTGGCGGGGTATCAGCTTCAGTGAGACCTGGAGATGGCAATGTGATCTTCCCTGACATGACCGAGATCCCAAGTCAGGAATTTAAAAAAAACGGGACAATTGAAAATAAAAGATCACAAAGTGTCTGAAATAGAAGACACCCGGTCAACTAGTGCTCATAGCTGGGTTCTACAGACCAAAAACACAAACAAGGGATTTTGGCAGAAGGTCGACTCTCCGATTATGGAAGGCAAGTGATTGCACCTCAGCTATAATCTAATGGTGACACATTGTTAGACACACACATATTTTTTACGATTTCCCAGGTATAGCTAGAAAAGTTCGAAGTATATATGCTTCCGATCTATAAATTATCGATTGCTTCACTAACAACGACATCGTAAGATGTACCCATTGAAAATGATACTGCATCAAAGAAAAAAGGTAAGCCATTCAATATTCAAGAGATTCGTCACGTGGCCCAACATGAAGCGACCATTTAAAGTTTGATGTAACTTTAGGAACGTCCATTGCACATGGGGCTTTTTCTTTCAGCGTCGGATGAGCTTTTGGTTACCATCGATATTCAGCTGAGTATGACTTTCTAATACTGGTTATCGTTGTTGAATAAACAGTGACTCATGAGGACATCGGTTTTGCTGTAATTAAAATCCCGTCCGGATGAGGTTTATACAATGAAGGACTGTAAGAAGGCCATGGAGATTTTTTGAAGGTTGTTGCCGCATTCAAATCAGATGTCGGAGCTGCGCACAAAAAAATGAAGCGTGCCTTAAATGAAATGAACCATCTCCACAGCAATTTATCGGGGAAATAATGGACCAACAAGAAAGGTTGGACCGCCTAACCAATTTTATATTTATTTCATCTTATTTGTTGCTGATATTTAGAGAAATGAGATTACCAAAGATCCGGCATGCTTTGGGAAGGTCCACTGTATGGTTATCCATATATAATCATCTATGCTAATTGAAGCCGTCAATTTGGAAAATATAAGTTTCTAAGCAGCGTACTGGATTCCAGTGAAGCAGAAAATTTGGGCAATCGGAACGAGGCGTACGATTTTGCCCATTTATTTATATTGCGAGGCATCCTTGGAATCCCTCGATTCCTCTGTTTGTACCACTATCAATTGCAAAATCTACAAGCCTCGAGTTTACCCTTGGCCCGAGATAAACTTAAAGCAGAAATGACATTATTTAGGATCATTGTTGCAATTTAGACCATCTTGTCAAGAGTAAATATTGTTGAGAATAATTGGGTTGCCGCGCCACGCGCGAGAGGCTGGGTGTGTGTGTGTGTGTGTGCGGAGAGCAAATCTATAGCTTTTTCGCTCTCCCTTCAAGCGTATTCTTTCACTGCCGTTGAACATGCTGAGAGTACCAAGGATCTGCTGTCGTGCTTTATCGTTGCAGAAGCCTTCTGTACGATTCTTTTCAAGCTCTCAAATCTTGAATAATAAGTCAAGCACTCAACATCCTTGTAAGTCAGGTTCTTTGGTTTTTTTTTTCCAGGGCCACATGGGTTAATGGTTATTCTAAATGTCTTGAGCAGCACACCCAGAGCTTCATGTTCACGAAGCTTCAAAAAGTTCACCAGCACCCAAATTACGATATGCGATCTCGTACGTATCAAGTGCAGATATTCCGGCCTCCACCAGTCTGCTTGATCATCCGGATCTTATCATCGGCTGGACTCCCGAACAATTCGAACTGAATCACAATTCATTTGTCGAGAATAATTCGTTTGTACAGTTTCTCACAAATACTCTGTCGGAAAACATTCATAAAGTGAATGATCCTACCTTGAAAGCCACGGCTCAATGGCAAAAAGAAGGGTACAATAAGAAGCCATGTCCAAAATCCATCCTTCAATTGTCTATCAACGAAATTAACGATTGATGTCCTATTTAGATGGCTGCATATCGGCGATGAACGTAATCCACCTCCGTGGGGCCGTATTCCTTTCCCTGAGGATATTATTGGCACCGTGTTGGTTAAGGATGGCGAAATTCAACCTGGTACATATCAAGCCATGCCTACGCATCGAATCGTCTCTCCTAACGGTGTCTTTCAACTTTCTGAACCTCTGGCACGATGTGTTATTGAGAAAGCCAGAGCCAAAGTTCAAAGCTCGTAAAAAATTCCTGGCAATAAGAAGGAATACTGTTACGTGACGACAGGAAAAAGGAAAGGGCCCGCAAATCATATTCAGTAAATGTGGGAACATAACATGTATATTTCATGGATCATATAGACATGCTACCTTCAAGTTTATTGGGGCAGTTGAAATAAAATGACACTGTAGATTAACACGCAACAGGTTGGATAATTTTTTTACTACAGGGCAATAATAGTTCCAACCTGACAGTGAAGAAATTCGAAGACAAGGATTTAGTTTGTCAGAAAGCAAAATGCTTTCATCGAAAATATGTCATAGACTCCGAGTAATATCAAGGATTAACCACTTTGTATCAACATCGTTGTATTTGAGGCCCTGAAAACAAAAATGTCGTTTGCCACAGCAGTGGAGAAGGCAAAGATTTTTTCTGAGAGGACCCTTGCCAAAACCCAGCGGGACCACCGTGACTTCCTTTTCCATAAATTTCACAAGAAAAAAAATAAGAGTCGGTTCCTTCACCTCACTATACAGACTGACATTCCCCACATGCTTCGTCCGTCCACTCGCCTTATCAGCAGCATTCGCTTAGCGGCCACACCAGCTGCCAATGCAACATTGCGATGCCAACGTAATTTCTCATGGTCAGTTCAACGCTTGGCTGAGGAACCTCCAAAGGCCACCGAAGAAGCGACAGTCGAACCAACCGCCGAAGCTACCGAAGAAGCCGCTGAAGAGGTCGAGCCGATCAAGTTATCTCGCCGAAGACGAAAATTTCATGCCTGGGTACAAAAGGAAGGAAGCACATTTGCTCGACCGTCACAAGGAGGTGCCAATTACCTTGACGAAACGGTAAGTGGTCATATAGATCGCTTTTTTTTTGGTCTTGTCCTGGGTCTTGTTCAGGTCAACTAATCAAAGTATATTCCAGCCTTTTCCCAACAACAAGCTCTTCAAACCGAGACCCCCACTTTCCGATGCTCGTCGCGAAGAGATCTATAACACTTACATTTCCGATCCTGAACAATGGACCATCCGTCAGTTAGCCACCAAATTCAGCCTTTCCCTGAAGCGTGTAGAAGCTATTTTGAAGCTGAAAGCGGCAGAGAAGGAGATGGAACAAAATGTATGCTAAAGCCTTTTTATTTTTCATTGGTTTTTTACGTGGAGGTTTGTGGATTGGACAAGGAGACTAACAGGCGATGTCTAGGGTGTTGTTTTACAGCGAAAGTTCACCAAGGCGATGGAGCAATATATGGGTACTGATCATGCCATTCAAAACTTGGAGGAACCTTTGATCGATCTTTTCCCTCGCATTAACAAGCCTCGATTTGAGATTTTGGAAGAAGATGCGCCTTTTACACCAGAGGTATGTTAGTTTTTACGCATTTGCTTGTTTCACGGTTGAATGCTCATTTTTTTCCTTGTAGGATGCTGCCAAAGTGCTCAACCGCAAGCCTTACAAACTTCTTGAAAAAGAAGCCATCGAGTCTGAGCAGGCCCATTTCGAACTACCATCCAAAAGCAACAATCAAGCCAATGTCGCGGCCGGCAAACGACATAAATTTGTGATCGTCGATACAAGCAGTTAGATTTTATTCACCATCTCCTCCTTTCGTTCTCTATAATTTTTTAAAAGTAAAATGGCATGCATTAGAAATCATATACGGATACTGGACCGTCTCCATCTTTGTTCGGGAAATGTTGACTCAATGGGGTTCCGGCGGAAGGTACACTTATGAGTTGGAAGTGGATCTAATGTCAGAGCAGGGAAGCAGCAGTTAGGTTATTGAGTCCAATTATTAGTGTTCGACAACAACATATTTTTTGCTTGTCAGTGGTCGTTTTCCCGTTTTCCCGTTTCTTTTATTTTTTTTTATTTTCCAATCGGTCATGATGGAACTGGTTGACCAAGACTTTTTTTTTTGGCTGCATGTTCCTCGAATGCGTTCGAAACTAAATCGGGCAAAATTCTCGGCCAATAAAAGGCTCGAATTTGGATCAGGAAAACGTCACAGCCCAGAAACCCGTCACTGCTGCAATATAAAAGAGAAAAAAAAAAGTGGAAAGCAAAAAAGGAGCCAAAAAAAAAAGCCAGATTTCTCTTATGTCGAAAAATGATGAGCCGTACTCGGAAAATTTACCATCGAAATCTGAGGCAGCAATGTGTGACAAGAATTACGAGGAACACATGAAGGTGGCGTTTGAGGCAGCCCACGATTTATAATTATCTGTCTGTTTTTATTTAACTCGATAAACTTCAGTATGTGGAAGCGAAAACAGCCGTCGTTCTTTTGAAAGATTCACGGTTATGCACCAAGAACGAATATACCCAATGGATCCTAAAGACCATCTTTCAACCACTTTTAAAACGAAAATACGAGGTATATCACTGCTTCTCTTGCTTGTGTGTCATATTCTGTATTGTATTTGCGTTGATCTTAAGCTGTTGCCAACCAGACAATGGATATTTTGTATCTTTCCAGAAATCGACGACGAATATGGAAGACTGATACGACCAACCATAATCATGGTAACTAGGACAGAAATCTTCCATTTAGCAGGTTAATCCGGGCGAACTCATTGTCAAAGAACGCGGCAACACGTCGCGTGCTTCTTTAGCTCAGCATCCAGTACCCGAACCATCGAAGCCTGCCGGTCATACTTATGTATTAACCCCTCGTACCAACATCATGACATTAACCAGCGAATATCGCATGGTTTATGTGATCGACTTGAGCTCGAGTCTCGCTACCGTAGGCAACGCTCGCGCTGAAATTCTCTTATCAGAAGTTTTCCGGACGTAAGTTGGGCAGAACAATAGATAGTGTCGTCTCACTTGTGTAACTTGAATTTTTTTAATTCGCTTAGTTTGCGTAATTCCTTGGAAGCCGTAGTACAACCCTTTTCGCTGCAAGTGTCAAATGAAGAGAAGATCGTCGTAAGTGGTTCAAATGATTTTGCCGAGTGAATATTTCAATAGCCGAGAACCACTTTTTTATGGCAAATTCTAGTTTCGACCTTCGATTCGTCTAACCGTCATAGCCGATTGTTCACAATTTGCTTCCAACGTTAATATCATGCCTATGCTTGTGGAACATCCTACCATGCGCGTATTCATGCAAAACGCCGTTATATCCGCCCAGAATATCCACGGTATTATCAAAAAGCTGTATGCCGAATTTTTGGCGTTTCAGCGCGACATTACCGACTTTCGCAAGTTCTTGAAACGAAAACGATCGCATATGGGCTACGAATTGGATGTGGGTGGAGAAGTACTGGATGCTACCTCGATGCCTGTCACGGCGTCTCCCACGGAATCATTCACTGAAACAACTACCAGTAATCGCGAGGAACGATCACCGAAACGGATTGCGTCGCACACACGATTGGCACACAGATCAAATCATGCTCAAAGTCAAAACGCAAGTCCAACCAGTTTGCACGACGTGACACAACGAAGAGACACCACTTCCTATCACTCTTCAAAGAAGGAAGTATGGGGTATAGGCAAATCCGGGGCTAGTCTCTCACGCATCCTTCATGCTGCCCATTTTGCGCTCAAATTGCTACCTCACGATGGACGGCCGCAGCTTGTCCTAATTACTGACGGGGCGATGAAATCCAAAGTCCAAGACAACACGTTTGTGCGCCAATTTGCAGATGAAGATATTACATGCCACATTGTTCAAATCGGCTGCCAGAATAGCTTTATTCCTGGTATAAATTTTGGGTTTGTGCCTGATACCGAAATCCTCAAGTTTTTATCGCGCGCCACTGGCGGTACGTTCGTTTATTCAGAGCAATGTGTCAATAGCCGGTACAGTGCAGCTGGTGCCGATTTACCGCCCGACCTCCACGATTTGCAAAAAGAAGATGATCCGTCAAACTTGACGACGAATGACGACGTATCGACTACCAGAATACAAACAGTCCCTAGGAGTGATACCACGGTTGCGCCACCTAACGCATTTCATCAAATGCTCCTCTTTCGGGAAACTGCGTTATCGAACCCATCGTTCAACAATCCTTTCCAAAGTAACAATAGGGACGCCTCACAGATGAATATAACGGACAGGGGAGAAAACGCCGGAATCGATATAGCAGCTAAAGACAATTTTCCTTGGGATCCGTATGCAAAACCACCTCAAGATGAATGGCGGTTACTCAAGTATAGGGAGTATCCTCTCTCTTGTGAATTTTCTCATATCATCGCGGCACGGTCGAGAGAGGGCTTCGATTTACAGACGATTATATTCGAAGATGGCACGGGTGGTAAACGATCGGATTGGGGAATCGAAAGCTTGGAGACGATCGATCTTGCCAATCTTAGGAAAGAACGAGTGCAAATGACCATGGTGCTTCAGTGGCAACCGAACATTGCTATTGAGTACAGGATTCGAGCAACGTGGCTTCCGGCAGTCGGGGTCAATTCGGCCAAGAGTGAAATACCCGTAATCCCCAGTAATTTCTTTGCACGGGCTAAAGCCCCACGCGCCGAAATATTTGTCAGAACCGATGCCGAATTTGCTCACATGTTACAAAACTGGGATGTCTTCCGACGCCGTGCGCAGATGATGGGGGTTGTCACCGGGTCGACGTATTTCGGCGAGGCTTACGCTGCTCCTGCCTATGCCAAAATTGAAAAGTTGAAAGCTTATCTCGTCGATATTTTTGAAGGCGACGAGGCACTTAAAGGCGTGGTAGGATTCAACAGTCGGTTTCTGTTGAATAATACAGCAATGGATGTGCTGCCGTTACGACGGGAAGAAGATGGCCGTACAACCGTGGCTCCTGAACAAAAGCTATTTTTTGAAGAGTTTCATCGGTTCTGGGAACGTATGAATACCGCCGGTTCCAGAGAACGCACCCGGTGCTGGTATGATCACGACTGCATTGATCTACTGATTGGTGATGTATCGCCTTATATGTCTCCAAAATTGGCATCCAACTACAATCAGGAATTCGTCTTGAACGTGGAATCCATTATCTTTGACACCATGGAACATATTCGGGAAATTCTTCGAGACTGGGCTGATTTCGAAAGCAAGGATGGCACCCTCGTACGAATGATGCATCAGTATATTACGACCGCTAGTACCCACGATGATTCGAGCAAAGAATGTCTCTTTACTCTCAATCTGAGCTTTCCACCGTCTTTTTGCGAATTGAGGTTTCGGCGAGAATACGGGCGGCTGATGACGATCCGGCTTCTGTTTTTCAACGTGAATGTAGCGTCGAGGATACGTGCCACGAAGCATATCAGACAACTGCTGCGACAATTGGAATCGACGGCCGCGTTGGGGACGCGAATGTGTGCAAGGCCCTTTTCGAGATTGCTGATGCGTGATCCGAAACACTTTCAAGAATTGTCAGCGGGCTCAATGAGTCCATCATCCAAAGGTGGATCAGTCGCGTCACCTACGCATCGACCGCGTTCCCCGGTTTCTGGTTTCAACACCTGGTATCTTCCTGTGGCGATGTGGCTCACCAGTGAATACATTGTGCGCGATTATTTACGACATATGACTTGGTCATGGCAGACGGATAATCATCAAGATCAATATCACAAAGACAATCGAATGATGCCTATTCACGATCTTGCCTTCCAATTTCTGTGCCAAGCTAGACTTGATCAGGTAACAATAATGACTTTTTTTTTATGTACTTGTTAAAGATGAGACAAAAAAAAAACGTAATTGACGTTGTTTATTGGTAGGGCTATCAATTGGTATCACCACGTCCGGATAGCACCCATTTCTATCAAGAGATATCCTTGCCTACGCCAGATAACAAATCGTCATTGTGCGCAATTCAGTACTTCATATGGAAGGATTCAAACAGCGGAAAGATCACAACAGAGTTATGGATGGAACCAGCTGGCAAACTGGACTTTGACTATTACGACCTTGTGAAGCGTTGGACGGTGGAACCCGATCGGAAAACCATTTCGCAATTGGTGACGTTTGATCAAATGCATATGATCGGCCGATCCAAAAGTAAGGGCGATTTCAAGATGAAGCGTGCACCTTCGGCCGACATTCCACCGAATGATGGAGAAAATGCTACCATGATGATGATGTTGCCGCAGTTATTCGATGTGGCTTCGGTATTACGATCCAACAAATTCGCCATTGCTTCCTTCAAAGCCCCCCAATTCGAGACTCAGCAGTTCCTGAACTCGCCCTTACCAGAGTCAAATATTCTACAAGTAGAGGCGGACGATACCGATCTTGAGCATCCTTCGAGATCACGAAGTGATTCTCATATCTTACTGAAACGACAGCGTCATCAGAATTTGAAAACGGTGGGCATCGCGCCTACTTTTCATCAGCCATCGATGGTCAAAGAGATATGCTTACGTCCGGATCCAGTGTTGAATCGAAACAAAACCACCATCGCACAACTTGATGTTCTTGCGCAAAACTATTCACTCCTGCATTACTTCATGGAACACTCACTGAGCAACTTGGCCGACGGTGAAATATTGATGTCGTATCATGATATGGGGACTGAATTTTGGGTCGAACTGAAGAAAGCCGTCGAAGCAACATCGATCGGACAGTGTTCCAATACTCATCTGGTGACAGATTTAACCCAAATGCGGTGTTTCATCATTATCTTTGATGTGCGTTCCTTCGTTGTGATTTTGTTTCCAGGCCTTGAAACAGTCGCGGCGAGTCTGTCAAAAGCATCGTCTTCTGATATCCCGCGAAGAAAGATGGATCTATTCATGTTCGAATGTTTCCGGCAAAAACCGATGCGACCTTCTAAAAGCACCTTTTTATTCGATAAACCGTTGGAAGAAGCAAACCGTTTACGTCTTGCGAACATGTCGCCCGATGATAGTGTAACCATTGTTCCTGTGAATCATCTGGTCCATGTAGCCGATGGGCTGGGAGAAGTGGCACGACCGCAGCTTTACGAAGGCTATTTCAAAAGCGGCACCGGACATTCAAGTTTATCGGAAAGAACGCTCCGTGTGGCGCAGGACGTGGCCCGTATTTACTCTCGCAGTTTTTTCCGATCTTTCTACAGTTGTCTATTGCGAGATGTTGCTGTGGATGACGCCGATTTGCCCAAGATATTAGAGATATGCCATGAATCATCTATGGAGATAGATATTACTCCTTTTATAAACACCATGGTCTCAGAGTATCGGAGTAACGATAATACGTAAGTTCAACTATTATTTCGCACGTTGATTTTCAGACTCCTGATGTCGTTAGAAGCATCCTTAGCCACGAAGATATTCAGGACAAATTCAATGCCATCGTGCGACAGTATTTCGCGCCATTGAAAACGATCAGCGGACGTAACTCGTACTTGTATTATTATAAACCTCCTTTTGCCCATTTGTCGGGGACTTTGGACCAAGGATCGTTGGATGAAAAGATCTCTTTCCTTATCGATCTGGTCGCTTATACTCAAACTCCTCTTTTGATGCGATTGGAATGCCATTATGAAGCGATCAATGAAAAAGGCGATATCACCAGTATGACCGTCCCTGTTTCCTCGATCCCTCTGTCTTACGAAGTGCATACAGCAGACAACCGGAAATACAACTTCACACCCAACACGATGGGTAACGAGGAGCTGCCATTATACTCGAAAGATGCGTCAGTCAGACTGCATTTGACATGTCTAAGTATGACAACCGTCGATGACGCCAAATATTTCCATCTCGAGCCGTCAATGCAGTTTGCAAAGCAGTATGTGTGGAATAAAAAAAAAAAAACGTCCGCTGCATTTGAATATTGCGCGACTCACATCTTTACTATGTAGGCGTTTCCTGGATCCTATGGCTACCCCACCGGCATGTTTCAGCTCACTCAATCAGGAGCAGCAGGCAGCTTTAGCAGAGACCGAAGCGCGTATCCGTTGGTTGTTGACAGAAGAAATCATTCATGGCTTTTTACAGACACCAAACATCACCAAACCTATCCTGGATTATGTGGTGGATCATCTCTCTTACGGCAGTCCCTTTATTGATTTTCCTACAGTGATTAACGTGCCATTCCGTTATGTGAAAAATCCTACAAAGACTCGCCAGACGTTTATGGAAGAATTCGAAAAGCGTACCCAACGCAGCGATTGTGTATACAAATTCACCAAGGTGGATGGTTGTTTTTATATCAGCGAAGATTATACGTGTACACCAGAGGAAAAAGAAAGGTTCTCGCTATCAACGCCAGTTTCGCCGATCAAAGTGGAGCTCGCCGATAGAGGCAACGATTTGATGTCTGTTGGCGAAAAAGAAGCTGCTGCTCAAGAGCGCGAGGAAAGTCAAGATACCGATTATTGTGAAGGATTAGGAATAAGCCTCACCCCGCCCCAGATGAGCTCCAAGGCCGAGCAAGATACCCCCCGTGGACGGACTTCCAACGATAGGCGACCGCCCTACTGGTTGATCATTGTACCTCGAGAGCATAATGTTCAAATTTACTTTTACTCGAAATATCAAATGCTGAGAGATCGATATGCGGTGATTAAGCGGACAAAGGATGTGCTGCAAGAAATTCAGGAACGCACAAATCAGTTAATTCTTTTGGAAAACTTGCAAGAGACACGACTATGCAGGTAACGTTTCTTATTCTACGTTGTTTAATGAGGGCCCTGCATCCCTAACCTAGTCATAGTAAATTTTTGGAGCCGCCCATCGAAGGTTATGACGATAGTGTTAGCGAGTCTGAAGATAACGAGGAAAAGCTGGCGCCGATGCCTGAAAGCGAAGAACCTTTGGCAGCAGTACCCCAGTTCGAACCTGGTCATTTTAGATGCCCAATGGTCTTCCTGAAGAAGCTGGCTTTACATCCACGCTTACAACCTGAAGTGGCGATCAAATACTTGAAAGCCGATGTCTTGCAGTTATTTTTGGTCCGTAACCGTCCAAACATGTTCGTTATCGAACGGGAGGGATCGATTGTTTATTGCAGGATATTCGAGCAAGCTGTTCCCGTACCCACCAGCAATGATGATGAAGTTGAAGGTGAAAAGAAAGTTGGAAAGGAACAAGAAGACACAGAGAAGGTTCAGGAGACCAACGGTGGCAAAACGGCGACGACGCAAGCGAAACAGTCCTCGAAATCTGGCGGTTCGGAAGAAAGAGAACTGGTGGTTGAAGTTCACGGCATTGAGCTGCCATCGTGGATCGAGAATGAATTTATGGATTTAATCGAGAATCGACTGATGTCGCATATCACGTTGAATGAAATCCAACAATTCTTCTTGAGAAACCCCACCAGTAAACCCACGGCAGCGGTAAAGTGAACACATGCAAATAGACCTTTATGATGAATAGTAGACTAACGGAACCATCATAGGATGTTCATTTCGTATTTCCTTTTGATAAACCGCCCATGGAACGAGAATGCTTCAGAATCCCCGATCTCGTCAAGAGTCCTTATACTTTGATTACGTTCTTCAAGCAAGTTTTGATGGGAGATAATATTCGGCCCTTTAACGGCTCCAATGTTGTGCAAGCAGTCGCCGATTATTATGAACGAGCATTCCATCAGAAGAAGCAACCTGAATTTGAAGCTGTCAAGTATGCAAGTGGCGAAAAGTGAGTGGTGGATATTTTCTTTGCTTGCATATTCGTTGGAAAACTAATACTTGATCATTTGTCTTGTAGCGGAAATGAAAATTTTCAAGGCATCGCTTTGGGTGAGCTCTGTTTTTATTATAATTGCAGCAAGCGAGTGCCGGGCACGTCGACGTCGTTGGAATTGACTGCCGGCCAAGGGTTTGCTGGTATCTGTATTACGGTTGTCGACGATACCGGGATGCCGGTTTCTTTGTTGAAGGAAGCTCAAAGCTCTGGCGCCAATTTTGATCCTGAAGTGATTAAAAGCTGTCTTCGAGACGAGTTCAGAGATGCCACCGTGGGACTGTCGCGCTATCATGTGTGGATAGATGTTTGGACCATGGGCTCGACCGATGGAGGCGCTTTGATGCAATACATCTACGATTGCTATCGACAAAGTCTTTGCGATTATTTTATCGAAAAGGTAGTAACCATCGACCTTGGAGCCGCTCTGTCGGAAGCGGGTGCACTTCAGAGAGCCATCACAGCCAAATCAGATCAACGACTAAGCACGGTGGTGCGCAACAAATTTATTGAGTCTGTGCTTTTTATCCTCGAAAAAGCAACCGAATGGAAAAGTTCGACCGTTCATTCGATGGATCATATGATGCCTACGATGCCTTGGGGTATGGATGACATTGTCAACTATCTGGACGTGGAGCTACGAAAAATCGATGCTTTGCTGCGTCCCACGGTGGCATGGACATCTCTTGGAAGCGATCTGTTACGTACAGAGGCAGGCGATGAACATGCGACAGGACCGCCCCATCAGTGGGAGATTTATCGTGGACAGGCGTACCGACATCGGCAGCAATTGCAGCGTAACATTCAGCTGGTGGCAATCAGTGGTTTGAACGAGTTTGTGGAAAAGCTAGGCAGTGTCTCTTCTCTCAATCGGCCCGAGCGTAGAACAAGCGTAGCCAGTGATGAATCCAGTGTGCACGGTCACTCTCGCCACAGCTCTGTTTCTGATCTATCGAAAGATATAAAGAAGGTTTCGAAAGTAGAGGAAAAGAGTCTGCGCAGTGGAGAACAGTCAAGGTCCTCCTCCATTCGATCGCGATCCTTGTCGGGCACCTTTGGAGCCAAGCAAAGAAGTGTGCCTCAAATGGACCCGATGAAGCACTGTTTCCTCATCATGACCTTGGATGTCAATCGTCTGGCGGTATACTCATACAACTGGTCGGAAAGCATCAGCCGAGACATATTTGACAAGATTTATCGTGTAGCGTTGCGCCAAACATCGCGCAAACAAGTGCTTGATAACATTCTGTGTCAGAAAATGGGATTATTCCACCACATCGATTCCATTCATACTATTATCGAGAATCAGTCGGCGTTGATGTCTTTGTCGGATACATCAGCTGAGACGCCCGTTACTGCTAGTGCTTCTTCGCCGCAGGTGATGTATGCATCCCCTCGACAACCAAAGAAACCACGATCGACCGATGCCTTGAGCCGAAACGATTTGCCCACCTCTGGCTCGGTTTCCAGACGGAGTACGACCGATTCTGTAGCAGCCAATATAGCGGATTTGAAGGACATGATTCTTTACCCCACCGTTGTTTTAAGCCGCGATATCGCACTGGATGATGCAAAATTAGATTCTGAAACCTTGGACACCGACACAGAGAATATTTCTAGCTTGCAAACCCCGTTACAGCGAGCGGAATTGGATCATGCGTTGATGGATTCCACAGCCATATCACCTACGCCACGAGAACAGGATATTCTACGACGTCACGGGCAGCCGTTTTTGGAAGCTTACCTGAGACGCACCAAACTGCAAGTCATTCATCAGAAAGCTCTCCAAGTCTACGCCAAATGGCGAAAGCGTTACGGGGCTCCTGAAATGGAGATGGATCAGGCCGAGAAATTGACACGAGCTGAAGTGGCGACGATTCTACGCACTTCCAGATTACTACACTTTTGTCGAACACGATTATTATTCTTCAATCGCGACAAGGAATGGGCCGACGTAGAGGATGCCACAGTTGCCAAAGAAACAGCTATTGTTTGGTACCAAACCATGGCAAGCGCTCTTATGAGCGAATATGCGGCATATCTTGAAAGGCTCGATATGCAGTTCATCGATTTTGGTAACTCAGAAATAGACGACGTCGATAGTCTGAACCCGTCGTCGTTTGCTGTGGCGAAGAATATGACCCTTCATCGCCCATCGACTTACCTGTTGCGCGTTTTCGAAGGAGGCTCGATTATTTGCGAGATTCGATTGACCAGTGTTTTCGTATCCGTGACGCTGTATACACTTCATCGACAATACGGCCGCATGGATTACAGGCGGTTTCATCAAGAAACGCGAGCTAAAAAGCGGTTGAACTTTCAAAATTTCGAAGCAAGTTGTGGTCAATTCAAGCAATTGATTCACATCAATTCATTCGTGTATGATTTTCATTTACGATATATTCAACAGTCGCTTGAAACCAATGCCCGATTCCCGCAAGGTCTCAATTTATTGGAAGTGATCCGTAAATTCGCCTATTACTATCGTATTCCGGCACCCTATTCACACAATCGGATGATTCACGGATTCTACGAAGTGGAGACGAATACTGATATCAACACCTTTTTTGAGAACCTATTCAAAAACGCGCCGCGACATGGTCTCTCGAACATTCTTGTGGATAACAAATACGTTGGGGCGTCGGTTACCAGTGATGATTTCTCTTTTTCATCTACCAAGCATGACGCTGCATCTAAATGGCGATACAGTTTGGTCATATGCCCAATGGAGAGCGATGAGGATGAACTCGCCAATCCAGGCTCCGAATCTCAGGATACTGCACCAGCGTCCCGATTAAGCAATATTGGCTTAGAGTATTTTATTCTCATTGTGAAGCAAGGCGATATTACTCCGGAAAGCATGAGCAAACCGAACCGTGCGACAGGCGAAAAAGCCAAGCACGATCCAATGGACGAAATTGTGCTACCGGAAGAAGGTCATACGTTGAAGGATATCGTACAAAATACGCGCAACAGATTGGATGTGATCACTTCAGAGGTAAAAAATGAAGTGGCACAACCTTGCTGATTTCATTATATATTAACAAATAGAGTTTGTAGGTTATCATGTGCTGCAAGCGCATTCATGACTGGAAGCAGTTGTATTCTGCTGAAACCAGCGATAATAGCTTGAGTGGGGATGAACGTCCGGATTTGGTTCAGCTGATGGATGAATTTGATCGGATCGATATTACTGCCGTCGATGATAATATGGCGACCCTTTTCCGTCTGAAACTAGACTGGAACGTGATATTTGACATCATTCTATACACGAAAAAGGGTAGCGCCAAGTGTATCTGTAAAGGCGGGCGTCGACACTTGTTAATTTACAGCGCTCGTTATATGGATTACATGATCCATCTGCAACTCAATAGTAGCGATCAGATTGAGGGATGGATGGTGAGCAGGGAAACAAGAAAGGAGAAAACCCGATTTGAAGGCGCTGAGCTAGAACAAATCGCCAATTTGGGCAGGATATTCTGCTACTTTATGTGGAGACAAGCAGTGGCCGATGATAACTGATAAACCCCTCCTAATTGAACGGCCCCTTGCACACTAATTTTTCTGTACATTAACCATCGAATACTAGCAAGGTATTGTTGTATATATATAAATAGTGAATTCTTGTTTTCATGTTTTTATTATGCGTTTGAAGGGCGGATCTGCTCAGAGTAGCGATGGATATCTTTTTTTATGTTGGGTAGGGAGGGTGGCAAAAAAATATTCTCATTTTGATGAGCCTAAAACGGATATGAGTAAAAGGGATAAACTTCAAGGGATGATTGAAAATAAATAAATAATAAATCAAGGGTCCCACAGACAATGAAGAATGCAGTATAATACCCTAAACCCCCTGACTGCTGTCAGTTTCCTTATTCAACAGAAATCAAACACCTAAACAATACCAGATTAAAAAAAAAAGGACTATGGCTATTAGCGGTCGATGATTAACCTCATTCCAAGGATGCAATTCAATTGATACGAAAAAAAAGCAAGTCATTGATCGTACTATTATGGATCAAGTCATAATTTGTTTCCTTTTTCTTACAGTGGGTGTTTCTTCCAAACCTATACTAGAGAAGGAGAATAGCTGTCAAGTACCGAAACCATGTCCAAAGAGACAGCTAATGACAAAACCAAGCCTGAAGAAGAACCCACTACACCATCTGCCACGGATTCTTCAACATCAGTCACACAAATAGAAGAAGAGATCAACAACATATGGCAGCAATACCAAGGATTGAATTTGCTTTCGCTGCCTATACCAGAACAAAGCAGCACTTTCTCAGCGTAAGTCACTCATGGCCAACAATAATACACACTCGTTTTTTTTGACACGCCATTGTCTTGCATAGTGAAATATTTTCCACTCAGAATAGTTTCTGTAAGTAAACATACAGCGAGAAATGGATGGCTTTTTGTTAATGACGATGCTGTGGCAGGTGCCTTTGACCCAGCAACCACCACCAAAGTACCCGAAGAACGTTCCGAGGCATCGTGTGACCCGCATGAGGATTACGACAGCGATTATTGGCAACAAGACTCCACGGTTTCGATGCAGTCAGGCTCCCGATACGCTATGTCGTCCAATGCCGACCTGTACGATCATGCTAGAGAGGATTTGCACAGCTCCGGGCGGTACCTTCGTTGTGCACCGTCCACCGAATCTCTCTTGGCTTTATTGGAAGCAAAACGGTTTCGCACACCCAGAGAATGCATGCAAAACGTTCCAGGCATCTCGCCAACATCCACAAAGGGAGAACCTTTCAGCAGCGAGCTACCACCACTCTCAGAATCCACGTCCAATGCTACGCTCGTCGCTGAAACCACGGAATCATTTTCCACCGATTACCCTGCATGGTCTGAAGCTGGCAGGATCGGTTTACCGTCGGCTCCACACATTCATGGTATTTTCGTCCAGTTAAAAAACGTGTACGGTTTTCAACAGGACAGTATGCGCAACATGTACGATCACCTTATGGTGATGCTGGATTCACGCGCTTCACGCATGTCTCTGAATTCCGCACTACTTACTTTGCACGCCGATTACATTGGAGGTCCCAATGCAAATTACAGAAAATGGTACTTTGCAGCTCAGTTGGATCTTGACGACGCGGTAGGAAGCCAACATGCAGCTACACGGGTTGCCGAGGAAACGTGTGACGAACTTGGCGACGATTCCGAACTTATTGAGGAACTCAAAGATGCGGAGGAAGGTTGGCGACTCATGATGGAACGTATGCCTGATAGCGAACGTGTTCGGCAATTGGCTCTGTGGTTACTCATATGGGCAGAAGCGTCCATGATACGGTTCTGTCCTGAAGCGCTGTGTTATATATTCAAATTAGCCGACGATCATTGGCACGCGCGAGCAAAAGACGTTACTGCACCGGAAGGCGAATTTCTCGACAGTGTGATTGTGCCTCTGTATACTTTTATCCGAGATCAAGCTTACCGACAAACACCCGACGGTAGCTACATAAAACGCGAGCGAGATCATGCGAGCATTATCGGTTACGATGATGTGAATCAACTTTTTTGGTATCCCGAGGCTATTGCACGGTTGCGCTTGAAAGACGGTAATCGGTTGATCGACTTGCCCTCCTCTCAACGATATCAGGCGTTGCCTCGTGTGGACTGGCCTAAAGCTTTTCAAAAGACATTTAAAGAGAAACGATCCTGGATGCACTTGGCGATCAATTTTACCCGTATTTGGATCATCCATATTGTGCCTTTCTGGTACTACATCAGTGCCAATGCTACGAGCCTGTACCTCAGCAGTGATAAAGCGATTGCCAGTAAAGAATTGGGAGTGAAGCTTTCTGTGGTAGCTTTAGGCGGCGCTCTTGCCACCCTGCTCATGACCATCGGTAGCTTTGCTGAATACTTGTATGTGCCCATGACATGGCACGGTGCTCGGCTGTTGACACGGCGGGTTCTGTTACTCCTCATCATTTTTGTGTTCAACGCAGGCCCTTCCGTATACTGTATCTATTTCGATCGGACAAGTCAGTTGTCTGTCGCAGTGGGTGTTCTTCAGTTGCTCATCAGTTTGTGTACAAGCATATCTTTTGCCATCATTCCACAAGCACAGTTGTTTGTTCATCACATCCAAAGCGATTCCCGAAAAACGCTCGCCAATCAGACATTTACAGCGAATTTCCCGCATTTGAAACGAATGGATCGGCTACTCTCCATTGGTCTCTGGTTCTGTGTTTTCAGCTGCAAATTGATCGAATCTTACTTTTTCCTCGCTCTGTCGTTCAAAGATCCTCTCGAAATTATGTCGCAAATGACCATTCAGAACTGTGAAGACTCCATCATTGGTTCTGCGCTCTGCACCCATATGCCTAACATCACTCTGGGGTTCATGCTGTTGATGGAACTGATTTTATTCTTCTTGGATACTTATCTATGGTACGTCATCTGGAATACCATCTTTTCAGTTGCGCGGTCGTTTTACCTTGGTATCTCTATCTGGACGCCTTGGCGAAATATCTTTTCACGATTACCGAAACGAATTTATGCCAAAGTGTTGGCGGCTTCTGAAATAGACGGTCGTCGCAAACCCAAAGTGCTGTGCTCACAGATATGGAACGCTATTGTTGTTTCCATGTATCGCGAACATTTACTATCGACGGACCATGTGGCTCGCTTACTGTTCCACCAGGTATAAAAAAAAACCCACAGCTGGATGGCCAAAAGTCATGGCTAATACTTACAGCATCCTTTTAGATACCAGTGACAGACGATGGAAAACACATTTTGCGATCGCCTACTTTTTTTCAGACGCAAGAAGATGCGGCTTTCAAGACCGAGTACTACCCAAAGCAGAGTGAAGCCGAGCGACGTATGCAGTTTTTCGCTCACAGTTTGACCACGCCCATGCCTGAACCCTTGCCTGTACCGAACATGCCAACCTTTACGGTGATGACGCCTCACTTTTCCGAAAAGATCATTCTATCATTACGCGAAATTATACGAGAAGAAGATAATAGCACGCGAATTACACTCTTGGAATATTTGAAACAGCTGCATGCCTTTGAGTGGGATAACTTTGTCAAGGACACCAAGGTCCTGGCCGACGAGAAATTGTTATCCGATCTGCTTGGCGAAGATGGTACGCAATCCGAAACCAAGAGTTCCAGCATGTCATCGGTGGGTACGCTTCCATTGAATAGCCAGCGATCCAAGGTGGACGATTTGCCGTTTTACTGTGTGGGATTCAAATCATCCGCGCCCGAAAATACCTTGCGCACGCGCATTTGGGCTTCATTGCGATCTCAGACTCTATACCGTACCATCACAGGCTTTATGAACTATCAAAATGCAATCAAGCTGCTTTACCGTGTGGAAAACGCCCATTTATTGTCCACCAAGATGAACGTGGAGCAACTTGAGGACGAGTTAAATCAGATGTCGGATCGCAAGTTCCGATTTTTACTAGCAATGCAACGCTACAAGGAAATGTCAAAGGACGACCGAGAAAATGTCGATTTTATCCTGAACGCTTATCCCAATCTTCAAATTGCTTATATCGAGAAAGAAACGGATCTCAATCAGGTCGACAAGGAAAAGGGGATATCAACGCGTTACTATTCCGTGCTTATTGACGGCTACTGTCCGATTCAAGCTGATGGTCAACGAACACCAAAGTACCGTGTGCGATTACCAGGAAATCCTATTCTTGGCGATGGCAAATCGGACAATCAGAACAATGCTCTCATCTTTTATCGCGGCGAATATTTGCAGTTAATCGACGCGAATCAAGACAATTATCTAGAGGAATGTTTGAAGATCCGCAACGTTCTGGGAGAGTTTGAAAACTTGCATGGGACTGACAAGTCACCCTATACAGCCGACAGCGAATCCGTCGCCGCGCCTGTGGCTATTGTCGGCGCAAGAGAGTACATTTTCTCTGAAAACGTAGGCGTTCTCGGCGATGTAGCTGCAGGAAAAGAGCAAACCTTTGGAACGCTAACCCAACGAATTAATGCTACCATTGGCGGCAAGGTAAAGGATCGTGAGCTTGTGTTTGATTTGGAATACTCCATAACTCATTTTCTGTATCGTTGCATTGCATAGTTACATTACGGTCATCCAGATTTTCTTAACGCTGTTTTCATGACAACTCGTGGAGGGGTTAGCAAAGCGCAAAAGGGGTTGCACTTGAATGAAGACATTTACGCAGGCATGAATGCTTTTGAACGTGGTGGCCGTATCAAACACATTGAATACTACCAATGCGGTAAAGGTCGTGACCTGGGCTTTGGATCAGTACTGAACTTTGCGACGAAAATTGGCACCGGCATGGGTGAACAGATGCTTTCTCGAGAATACTACTACCTCGGCACCCAGTTACCGCTCGATCGTTTCCTGACATTTTATTATGCTCATCCCGGGTTCCATATCAACAATATCTTTATCATGTTGTCGGTGCATATGTTTATGCTTGTCCTCCTCTTCTTGGGGGCATTAGGTCAACCACTGACGGTGTGCGAGACGGACAACGATGGCATAGGAAATCATCCGGATGGCTGTTACAATTTGATGGCTGTGCTTAGCTGGTTAAAGCGTGTGGTGATCTCCATTTTTGTCATTTTCTTTGCCTCGTTCTTGCCGCTGTTTCTCCAAGAATTCACGGAACGCGGATTCTTAAGGGCGATCACGCGTTTTTGCAAGCATATTCTTTCGTTTTCGCCATTTTTCGAGATCTTTGCCACGCAAACGTATGCCCATTCCATTCTCAGCAACCTCAGTTTTGGCGGTGCCAGATACATTGCCACCGGTCGTGGATTCGCCATCTCGCGTCTGCCGTTTAGTACCTTATACAGCCGTTTTGCAGACAGCAGTATGTACACTGGTGCGCGCAGTGCACTGATTCTGCTATTCGGATCGCTGGTGGTATGGGTGCCACATCTGGCTTACTTTTGGATTACCACAATTGCTCTTGTACTGTCACCGTTTTTATTCAACCCACACCAATTTTCCCTATCCAACTTTCTGCTCGATTATCGCGATTTCTTGCGCTGGCTTTCTAGAGGAAATGGTAAATCGCACGCCAATTCATGGATCGGGTATTGTCGCTTTATTCGTATGCGGACCACTGGCGTCAAGTCGAAGCAGTTGGGCAATCCATCAGAAATAAGCAACCCGCCAAAACAACCACGAGCTCAGTTTACGGTGGTTTTCTTTTCCGAAATCTTTATGCCGTTTTGTATTGCTGTGATTTCCATGATGGCCTATTTATTTACACACAGCTTTGACGCTTCTCACCCAGAGCAACCCATACGTCAACCTCAAGGGCTTATTCGTATTGGCATTATCGCCGTGGGGCCCATTATTCTGAATGCAAGTGTACTAATTGGCCTGTTTGTTGTGTCGCTTCTGTTGGGATCACCTGCTGCGTATTGTTGTCGTGTGAAGTTCGGCGCTACAATTGCCAGTGTCGCACATGGATGGGCAGTGGTCAACTTTTTCGCTTTTGTCGAGCTTCTCTATTATCTGGAAAACTGGCATTTTTCGAGCGTGATTCTAGGAATGATCGCAGTGGATGCAGTACAAAAACTCATTTTCAAGGTGATAACTGTATGCTTTTTGACGCGTGAATTGCAGCAAGACCAAAGCAACCTCAGCTGGTGGACCGGTCGTTGGTATGGTCGAGGTGTAAGTATTGACGTTATTGGAGCGAGACACAAAAAAACCAAGCAACTGACTTAATCATCTGCTGTGTAGCTTGGAAAGTACGCATTTTCTCAACCATTGAGGGAATTTGTATGCAAAGTGGTAGAGATGAGCTTATTCACAACGGACTGCATCTTGGGTCATGTTATTTTCTTTGCTCTCTTTCCGTTATGTCTGATCCCTGGTATCGACAAATGGCATTCTCTCATTCTATTCTGGCTTCGTCCGAGCCAGCAGATCCGGCCACCTATCTTCTCAGCAAGTCAACGGAAACGAAGAAGAAGAATATGTATCATCTATGGCTGTCTGCTTACCTGTTTGATGCTGATCTTCGTTGCCTTGTTCGCCGTTCCCGCCATACTTGGCCCCACCATGCCATTTTAACATCCTCTTTGTTGCCTTTTTCGATTATTTATTCTTTTACCATAATGATCAATATTGCTATCCTATCAGACCGCTTTTTCGTTTACCTGCAGAAACAAGCATCAAGCGTTTACCTTGTATAAATCGAACCACTCAACTGCACAAATCATCGAATTCGGTAAATTAACGTTATTGGGGAGGGATTGCCGACAAAGGTTACGTGAAAATCTTTTATACTACAATGCAATTGCTATGTGATGTGGATATATATAATATAAACAGTCTACAGAAATCCTACGGGCACATGTAAATGATGCGGTCTTTAAATTTGACTGTTCAAAAACTTACCCGTATATGACCGAATAAATCCGGGTTGGGTTCGCCAGAGATGTTAAATTATCTAGGCGCCCGAAAAGAAAAAAAATTCACTCCTCATCCTCCTCTTCCTCCTGATCGTTCGCGGAACGAGTGAAAATTTCCGGTCGTCCCCGTCCTGCGACTCCTTCCAGCACAATGGAACGCATATTCCTGGCGGCGTTGACGTCTCTGTCCCAGAATTGTTTGCATTGATCACACTGCAGAACCTTGTGGAGAGTCGCACCCAGTTGTCGACTTCGGACATTCTTCAATGTTTTTTGCCCGCAGAAGGAGCAGACCTAGAGTAACTGGTTAGCACAAATCATCACATAATAATTCTTTTTTCGTACCTTGGACGTGTTATATTCGTTGACTTTGAGCAACACCAAACGCCCTTCGAGCTCTGCTCTCTTCAGAACCTGGGACAACTTTCCCGACAAACCGCTAATCTTGCCTTTCATCGTAACAGGGAAACCAGCATTTCCCAGTCCAACAACAGGGAGTGTCCAATCATTCGCTATAGGGCTTTTTCGCCATTTTCTATGCACGGATTCTTAGTTCTTTCCTTCCGATTGCGATTTTATTTGCCAAAAAAAAAAAAAAAAAAAAAAAAAAAAACTTACTCATTTCGGACAATCTCCATTGAGGACTGTAAACATCGTTGCTGCTCTGCCAATTGGCGAGCCTTCTGCGCCGCGGCAACCTGTCCGTACTTCTTTCCACCCGTGACGAAAACGTTGGCCAGTTCACTTAACGATTGTTGTTCCTTGACATAGCGCCGAAATCGGAGCTTGGTGAATCTTTGGTCGTAAAATGAGAGAAGGCGCCCCATGGTCGTAAGCATACTGGCGATGAACAGTCTGGCTGCTTGCAAATTCGTAATTTTCGACGTGGCAATGCTTTGCTCCAGCTCCGACACCTGGGAACGCATTTTCCAATTCTGTATACAGATTGTCGAATGCTTGTATTGAGTTTTGGTGTAGAATTCCACCGTCGAGAATCTCCGAATTTCATGGGGTGGTGAATCCGGGACCGCATCGCCATCGTTCGGGGCAAATGTCCCGCCATCGGAAGCTACGAAGACGTCTGTCATTCCTGGATCTGCTCCCCATACACGAAGGTAGGGGAGTTCCCAAATGGCAAAGTCATTATCCTCGAGGTCAGGTAAGGTCTCATCGGATCGTCTGGTACGAAAAAAGTGCACATTGCAACCATATCCGTCTGTGGAGACCATGTCGGCGAAATTGGTGCCACTAAGGATGAATCAACGTTCGATAAAGTTAGAGAATACAAGTGTGCAACGACAATATTTCAGAAACTTACCTGCCAGCCCGAACTTTTGCCAAATCGAAAGCGTAGTCAAAACAGTTCAGTATACCTTTCGTAGGAATTTCGGCAGATAGGAGGATACTCCGCAAGATCGGCTCTGTAATGGTGATGAACTTGCGCGTGAACGTGGGGACAGGCAGCAGCTTGAACAGCCTTTGCTGGTTCACTATAAAATTCAGATCTGGTACAAAGCAATTTTCGCGGGTGACGGTGGCGTTATTAGGCGGATCGAGGTAAGCAATGGAATTTCGGATGCGGCCTCTTGTTTCTTCGATAAACAGGTTTACATTGTTGCGAGAATCTTCCGACAAGGTTATTCCATTAGGAACGGCGAACACCGTTTGCTCGTTGATGGCTTTGACAACTGTCCTGCATAACCGGCCACGACGTCTTTTTCCAAGAACTCTACTTTCTTGCAGTTGCCTGAGAACGGAATGCACGAACGGGGTTGTCGCTTCAGTTTGCACGTCTCCTGCATTGTCGATCTGGCCATGGTTGTAAGCGTCGAAATACTGGTTGACTTTGTGCATAATTTTCAGGAAATGCTGAGGAGTGTGAGTGATGCTTGCCAACGTAAGTTGATGCCGATATTCATGCAAATCTTCATCGATCGCTTCAGAAATGCGTGATACAGCTGTGTCGACTCTGTCGTGGAGCTCCGTTGCAATGCCCGTCTTCGGTGTCGTACCTCTATGGGTTTCTGTCGCAAAATGATCGTATATATGACGAGCCAATTTGGACCATTGTGCCTTTGACAACTCCTATGAGTGTATGGCAGAGTTTTGGTTAGTTAGCTAATACATCCGCTGTATGTTCCCTTATTCTGTCCATACCGGCAAAAGCTCCCGAAATCGTAGCGTCAAGTACGCAATATATCGAGATTCGAAGTTTTCAATAACATTGTTGGCAAAAGTCACTGCCATGTTCTTCGCTGTGATTGTAAGTACTCCGGATTCCATTGATGCACTTGCGGGAATTGCATGTCCACCCGAGGGAAAGTCTTGTAGATATTGTTCATACGCCCGGGCGAGCTCTTGTTTTGGAAAGTGGCGGTTCTTGGAGCTGATTGGCCGATTCAAGAGCAATTGGAAGACGGAGTAAAAGAACGTTTGATGGAACAGCATTGGCGACAGTGGATCGTCGGTAGGGAGCTTGTGGTGGAGATAATATGTCGTAAAAAGAGTTGCTTTGAGCATCAAAACTCGGTTAAAGTCTACAATATTCTCGATTTGCTGTATCAGGCGCTGCTTTTCCTCCGCAGGAAGCTTGATCAAAGTAGAAAGGCGACATTTTCGAACGAACTGCTCGAGTTGAGCACCGAGAGTTTCACGGTTTTGTGCCCTCTTGGATGGCTTGTGGTATGGGCAAATTTTCATTCGACTTGATGCGTGTGGATTCTCGCGCAAGAAATCTGGGCACAGTTTGGAACAGCTTCCACACTTGCGGTTGATTGGATCGTGATGGCCTTCCAAACGCTCCTTTTTGGCGGATGCTTTCTTCGACTTCTCTTCCGCCGTTTGCTTGCGTTTTCGCTTTGAGCCTATGAATAAAAACGTTAGCACAGTTAGAAAAAAGAGAGAGAAATTTTCAAGTAGCCTACCAGATACCGCCTTCTTTTTGCGTTCAGGGCATAACGCCGATCGGGCATTGGCATGACCAGTTTGACCACATCTTGTACACACGACTATCCAAAATAAGAAAGGATGTTAACGTCAAATCTGAAATAGAGATGTCCCAATTGATTCTCACCCTGATCCCGACTGTTCTCTATGTTCCACGCTTTCCATCTCTTCTTGTAGCGGATGACTTCTGGAAACAAGCGAGCCTCGTAAAGTTGACGTAGTTGCATTTCTGAAAACTCGTCCTCCGCAGCATTTTCTTCGATGGAGCCGTCATCCGAATAGAAATCACCATCGTCTTCAGTATTGGAGACTGAACTCAGATCGGGATCTATGGGTGCGCGGCTTGAAGACGCCATGGCATCATTAAAAGAGAGAAAGAAAAAGAGAGAAGAGTCAAGTTGACAGCAAAAAAAAGGTGCATGAATTTTTTATATGCCTTTCACGGCGCAGTTTGAACAGTGTGTTTCATGGAGAAGCGCATGGCTAAAGACAACAATGGCAAAGAAATTGATGATGACAGATAATCAATTAACCGTATTGTGTGTTTTTCCTGACATTTACCACATAGTCTCTTCTCGCTGCGAGGTATGCGTCACAATACGAGTCCCCATCTTGTAAGCCTCGACTACCCACGAATCGTGAAAAGGAACGGGTTGTTCAACGGGTGTCATCTTTTCTTGCTCACGTGAGGTATCTTTTTTTTTCACCACCACCAATCATGAGCTTTCTGTCTTTCGCTTGCTGACACAGTTTAAGAAGCTCATGGAGGAAAAACGATCATCGTATGAATTGAGCATGGAATCCAAATAACGTCAGATGCAATCTCGCACATCTGCCAAGGGCCTCTGTTATGCGATCTCCAATACCCCGGCTTGACAAACCCTCTCCGTCACATGAGAGGATTTGAATAAGACAGACTTCAAAGCTGCGCTTCGTCAATATTCTAACGATCAACTCGAGCTTACTCATCTTGCCTCAGAAGCTGCCCCCACACAGAACGCATGGCTCCGACTGTGGAAGGACCTCCCATGTGCAAGAATTGATCCATACATTTTCAGCGGCAGACCAACATCATTTCTGAATAAAGTCACCAATGCTACAGTGCTGTACTGCATGTGATCGATATCCGTAATCCGCCTCAGGGACGTGAACGAATACGCATGATTATTCCTAATAGAGCTTTATAATTTTAATAATGTTGGTTACAATGAATCTAATCTATAAAAACTTTGAGGGAAAATTTTTCGCCATTCGTCATCAATCGCCTTGTCTTTCACAGTATGCTGGTATGTAATATTGATTCGTGGCCAAGTTACATTATTTATGGCGGTTCTTGAGACTTCAACAGCTGTGAAATGGCCATCCTTCAGCTGAAAGACTAACGGAAGGCGTCTGCATATACCAGGGCTGGTGGTGAAAGGAACAAAAAGCTCGCAGGTTTCTCCGAAGACGGCTATTGGCATTTTCAATGTTTCGGCTGCTAATTGCGCACAGTCAGGGGCATAGAACCAAGCGTCTGAGGGGGCACGCTCATCGTAGTTATCCAATACTTCCAGCATGTGTGCTGGGATGTACAGTGAAGCTTCCCGGAAAATCGTAGACCTCATTTTTCGAATTTGTCCCGCATAGAAAGCTTGACCAACGTCCATTTCTCCTCATCGCCAAGGGTAGCAGCAGCAACAGCTCTGAATCCACAATGTCCGTCAGATTTTACTTGGTGAACATCGGTGATATTTTGGACACCAATATCCCTTTTGATATCTGCACAAATGTAAGATATACTGATACTAAAGAAAAAGAAAATAACACTTTAGATAACGCAAAATCACAATGCATACACTGGCTTTCACCTTTCGATTGAGGACTTCATTTGCAGATATGACGACTTCAGTCGCAGGTATGATTGATCTTGGCTCCTTAGCGGCATTGTAATCTTGATTTATGGATTTAGAAGACCATGTAATTGTTATTTTGATTGGCATTTCGAAGATAAGATACTCACTCTTTCTTGGTTAATTGAAGGGTTTTCAGTAGGGCTGTGTCGCTTTTGTGATAAAGTGACAGATACCTCGTCATTCACTTTGTTGCGCATAGCTTTTTCCATCTTCCTTGCCCGGAGTGTCGCCTCCTTTTCTGCAAATTCAGCCCTTGTTGGTAGCCTTGCTGTACCTGTTGGTCTGCCTTTTGTCTTTGGTTTGGCCGGGTACTTGAGCTGATTGGCTATCGTCTCTGTAGAGAGTTCAACAATGGCGTTCGTCACAAGCTGGTGTACATTGTCTCTCTCCTGTTGTGTTAAAGCTGCCTCGTAAATGGCTTCCAATTTATACAAGTCAGCAATAAAAAATGTCGATTCAACATTAGCAGATTTTGTCGTGCTTGTGGCGGGGAGGCCAGTAATCACTGCAAGAGAAGCTGCGGTCAATAAATGATAATACTACATGACAAGCTATCTTACCATCTTGATGCAAGTACCACCTTGGAGAAATGAGAGAGAGAGGAATGGTACTTCGGCCGGTCAGTATATGACAGCAGGGGAGACCGAAGTTTACCATACTGCTGCACCAGTTACACTCATCAGTAATCACGGGGATACATCGTTGGTCAATGGCGAGCTCGTCAGCCTTGAGTAGTTCTTGCTTGATTTTCGCGATGGCAAAGAGAGATATTTCATTAAAAAGAGGAAGAAGCTGCTCCATATGGCCCTTTGCTACATGGTAATCGATTTTGGCGCATTCTCGGGTAAACTCGATAGCGGCATCTTCCACCTATCAGAAAAGGTAAACTACAAAGTTCGTACTCAAACAATCAATACATATACCTTCACTGACATCCATCGGTGAATAGCTTCGCAAGTTGCTTGTATACTACCAGCTCGCTGTATTTGGCTCTTCATGGCAGAATGAATGCTTTCGACTCGCTGCGTTGTAGTTGCACCCAAATGGAAAAGTTTGTGGACGTAACAACCGACCCATTTTTCTTTTATCTCAAGCTTACTAATCCGTGATATATCAGTATAGTACATAATGGCACCCAGCTTCGCATGCACTAACCTGTGGAGATATTTCATGAGAGTGTCTTGCTTATCCAGTTTTCCTTTAGTAGCTTCTATCTTTACTTGAAATGAATTGGTCTTCCATAAAAATTTAGATACAGTAAATTATCAGCAAAATCGTAGTAATTCGAGCAAAAGCTTACATTAACCGATTCCGCATCATCACGCAGCGATGGTGTATTGATGCTTTGACTTTCTATGTGTGCATCTAAAGGGTATGTGAGCAGATGTAGCTTTATGATGTGGCAAGCTGAAGAAATTTACCTTTCTGAAGCAATTTAACAGCGTTTTCATACTTCCGATATGCGTCATCAAATTGCTTCAAAGTCTTGCAGCTTATCATCTGGTCTACAGCATTCATAAATTCTTCCATGTCATCTTCAAAATCGAAATGTTGCAAGGCGTGCTTCCTGAAGTTCTGCTTGATGTGCCAACTACAGAGTATCTTGCTGTTTGTCGGGAAGGTCACATCGAGAGCGTACATAAGTGCTTTATCTTCATCAGTAACAAGGACTCCGGGATTGACCTCCTTGAATACAAATTCGCATAGCTGCGATGCCACCCAAGTATACATTTCTTTGCTTTCGTTGGAGACGTAAGCAGAAGCCACGAGGAAAGTACGAAGGCGCTTGGAGTCACCGATATTGGAGACACCACAGATGTTCACCTATGTTTATGTAGATAGTGAGTATCACACAACAGCTATCAATTAGCTGAATGTTTATCTTACCAGTGGTAAACCAGCATTGTTGGTCTTGTACGTTGTATCTAGCAAAACTACCTCGCTGAAACGTTGAGCTTGGCTTATGGAGGTTTTGTGGCAAAAGAAAATGCAGTCTACTGTTTTCCTGACGTTTTGTATGAAACCAGGTACTGCTTCTCTTCCAAAAACTGCATGAGCTGCAACACCTTGTTGTTCATGTATGACGGGCACAGGTTGGCCTTGAGGTTGCCCAAATCCTTTTTAGTAACCTTTACGGATCCTTCCTTCAACCGGACGACTTCCATGATATCTCTAGGTTTTACGCCAGCTTTGAGCAAAACCTCCACAGTATCTTGAGTTTCATGCAACAATGAACGGTGCTGATGATAGACCCGGGCATCAGGAGCAAAAGGATGATTATGCTCGTCATGTATCTTGAGGATCGTCCAAGAATCGCTCCCAGCATAACGATATGCTTTGCAGTTCCATGGACAATCTGTTCGAAAACTGGTGCGGACACGTTTGCGTGATTCTTCAGTAACGTGATGGTTATTACGAAAGGCACCACCCGCGACACATTGTAATGTCAATGAACGTTTGTTGCTGTTCTTTGTTGAGACGGCAAAAGGGTACTGACGAGCAACATCGTTTACAGCAGCCTTCAAATCTTGGATAGTTTGGTAACTTTTTCCAATTAACGAATACATCTTTGAGTAGTAGGATTGCTGTCAGATAGAGATGGATGGGACAGAATAATAAACGGATGGAAACAGAAGCAAACCTGGTGTTATGCGCAATCAGGACAGGAGGATGGTGTTAAGTGCTTTCGCTAGACAAGAACAAGACAAGACAAGGAAGAACAATAAAAGGACCAGACAAGAAACAGGAACAAGGACAAGGTTCTGTACATATCAAGCAGTTTTATCTAATTAATACGAAAAAGGGTAGATTTAATAAGGCATATTTGTGGAAGGTATTGAATTGCTTAATTTAAGATATGACAATTCCGTTCATGCATGATAGGCAAAAAGAAGGTTGCTTCGTTACATGTAATACTAGGCATAGCATCATGAGTGTCGTATCCGTCATCATGAGTGTCGTGTGCATCACGTGAGTGTCGTGTACATCACGTGAATGGCATGAAATCTAGTGCCGGACTGTCGTGCCGGACTGTCGTGTCCGTAGGAAATCCGAACAACTAAAACAGTAAAACAAGTTATGTAATATACATGAAACAAGGGAGGGGGGAAGCAAAGGCGTATATGTAACAGATGCCGTGAAGGGGGATGAGATGCGTAGTATAATGTGACAAATCGCCATCTGTCTGAAGTTAACGTACTGGTTGGACCAGGTCTGGGCGATGAATCGTTCGAGATTCATCCAACACCTGATCACCATTGGCCAAGAAATCCCATCGTCTTCCGCTGTCTGGATATTGCAACCAGTTCTACAACCAAAAAAAGATAATATTTAGCATGTATTGATGTCGATCATTTCAACGAGCGAAAACCTACGGGAAGACAGGATCCCCACATGGTATCAAAGTTGGATACATCCTCTAATGGTAACTGATAAGCTTTCTTTCTTTGGACGACTGTTGTTTTTTTCCCTTTCATGGTCATACCTGGGCATAAGCAACTGCCATAGATACCGTCGTCCACACAATGAGCAAAGTTATCATGCTTATAACCGATATCGTTGAAAAAATGAACTTGCGTCTTGTTGAGATACAGACCGGCCGCTAAACTGTGGACGATGGCGTCACCCCAACGCTCGTAAAAGAAGTTGCCTGTTTGGTCGAGGTAATCAAAGTATTTCTGGTATCGTTCGTCTCGCCATAAATTAAGGCTGGCGATCTCAAAATTGGACCAGAAATGGCACATATTGTATCCTGCCTCGGGACTGCCGAAGAATCCGAGTAGAGTGGTGTTGATGTTGTTCTGATGAGCAAATCGAAGAGTGTGCTCCCATAAAGTGGGGATCGTCTCTGGTATCTCTTGCAGCGTGATTGTGAAACCATAAAGTTTGCCTTCGCGTTGCATGTATTCAAAAGGATCATAATCTAGATTGCAGTAAAACTGCACGCCAGGTTCAACACGCCTGTGTCGTATCTTGAATTAAACCATTTGATGTATGACGACGGATTTGTTTACTTTATATGCCTTACCAGTAATAATCATATTTTTGTAGCAAAGGATGTCGATAAAAAAAGCCGGAATTGAAGCGGCACATGTGACGGTAGGACAAGGAACCGCCATACATGATATTGCGATCAGCGTAATCTTGTAACTGCGACTGCATCAGTGTTTCATTGACAAACGATGGAACCGACCACATCTCCGAAGGTACGAGACCGAATTCAACTTTGGCGTCTGTCATTGATGAAATGGATCGAACGAATTTATCACTGAACGGCACGTCGTTGAGAAATACATAGGGATACTGGTACTTTCGGTTGAACCGGCTGTCATTTTTTCGAAATATGAATCAGTTTCAACCGTTTTTCAAATAATGGAACATCTTTTTGTTTTGGAGCCGATACTCACTCTTCAAATTCTCGCAAGGTACGCCGCATGGGTAATAGTTCATCGTTTCGGCATAAAACGACGATAACAGCATTCGCCTTTCTTGATTCATTGATACCGCCGTTCTTTGAGTGGGTGTCAATTGGTACTTGGAGTCCGTTACTCAGTTCGTCCTGTTGCGCCAGCGCTTGTCCTTCGACTTTTTGCTGAGAAGCGATAGACGAAGGTCTACCGGGTTGCGAGAGGAGATACATTGAACCTAAATACAAGGCTATGGCCCCAAAGAGGACCACCGCAAAGTATATGCTTCGTCTCATTCAGGAATTGGTATTTGTGTTTGAAGTGGGGAAAAAGAAGGTAAGATATATATATCCTCGCCGGGTCATCATTAGACACTGTTTTATAATCCAGGCGGCCAAAAACTCCGCTTGTCTGAGAGACATTCACCGATGTTTGGGCGATCCTTTCTTTTTTGGTCACACAAGATTCACTGATATGGTTATGTATTGAAAACGCTGGACTGTTTATTTGCGCAATGTACACCATTTCACAGTATTCGCGTTCATATTAGGCATATTGCCAAGGATGGCTGAAATTACAGCATCCTTTGTTTCAGTCGCCGCTTGGTTTTGCTTCACCAGTCATTGTTGCTTGCTCCAAGAACTGGCTATTGCCAAGCAATGTATAGTTTATTGGGCGTAATAAAAAGTTATTGAAGTTATATATGTGAGACGTTGGAAAATAGTAGGCTTTAACCATGTTTACCAGGGCAAGTGTGTCAGCGAAAATTTTTTCTTCTCCAAGCATCCCGACTGCTTGACAGCAAGCATGATATCATCCAGTGAGAATTTGACTTCCAGCTCGGTAAAATTTAATCCCTGAAATGCATGAGAAAAAGATCGCCCTCGTCAGGAGGCGTTCAATGAAAGTTGGACCAGGTAGGATATTAAGTAACCATAATATGATGGAGGGCTATAAAGGTCCTTCATGGAGGATGATAATTACATGTTACTACAGGATGAAATCAAATGACATCTTCCACATGACTTTTTTTTTCACACCAAATAAAAATGATAGGTTAACGTGTATCCAATACCATTGACGGTGACAAATGATTCGAGCAATGGTATGTCCTCCTTTTTAGCGAGATGGTCAAGCTTCTTGGCGTATCGCGTAACGGTCACAAGCAGCATTGCTGCATTAAGAACGCTCCAATCCACATTATCCCTTTTGTATTGCATTCCTTTATGCCATGTCCTGCTATATTTTATTATTATTTTGTGCTTGTGTTTTCGTAGTAACGGCTCACTATGATATTGGCACGGGAATGGCCGATATCACTGGCCCTGTTGCGGAGCTCAGTTTGATGGGTTATGCCAAGCAAGGTCAAGTAGGGGAAGGTCTATTACAACGGCTGTATGCACGAACGTACATTATATCTGACGGTAGCAAGCGAATCGTGTTTGTCAATACGGATACTCAGTCTATGGGCGACATCATCAAAATGCGGGTGGTTAACAAATTGCAATCACGATTTGGCAATGAGTTATACAATGTGGACAATGTCATGATCTCAAGTACGCATTCACACAGTGGCGTGGCTGGTTATCTCCAACACGGTAAAGGACTAAAGAATGCATCCATGAAAATCAATATCGGATGGAAAAGAAAGGGACTCATAGGTTTATTTCAGCACTGTATGAATTGCCCTCTTGGGGCTGGCTGGAAGAAGTGTCAAAGCCACTTATTAAAGGCATCGTGCGATCCATTACGCGAGCACACGATAATCTATGCAAGGGCGATGTGCGAATAAGCATGGACGAACTTTTCGATACAAACATCAATCGATCTCCAGCAGCTTATTTACTCAACCCTGTCGAAGAACGCCGGCAATACACATATGATGTGGATAAGTTGATGACTGTCTTGGGTTTCCGAACCGACAGCGGTACTGATCTGGGGTTGATCAGCTGGTATGTAAAGATGATATACTCAATATGACATGTCATTATTTTTAGTTGATTCGGTATATGCAGGTTTGCAGTTCATGGTGTCACGGTGAATAATACCAACCGACTAGTGAACGGCGACAATAAAGGCTATGCGTCATATGTCACAGAGAAGCATTTTCAGAAAGATCAAGATCCTCGCTTTGTTGCTGCATTTGCCCAATCCAATGAAGGCGACGTCAGTCCTCATACCCTTGGTGCTTTCTGCTCAGGAACAGAGATCCCATGCGATGGTTCCTATGCCAACAAGTGTCCTTTTCGATCAAGATGCATTGGACGGTAACTGATGACTCATGAGACAAGCGAAATGTCTTCAAGTTGGTTCTAAATGATTAAAAAGAGGTCCAGGATGGGAAATGGGCCATTACGAAACGAACCGTATTATTGGACAAAATCAGGCTACGAAAGCTATAGAGTTATTTCGTCAACAACGCGATATGCCCACTTACGTTAGTGGTGTGATCGATTTCCGGCATCAATACTGGGATATCACCAAGGCAACAGTCCGCACTACAGACGGTGATCTTGTCCATCCTTGTCTCCCAGCCATGGTAAGTCTTGCCTCTCTTCGTGCTACGCTGTAAAAGTATTTATGCATCATCCTTGTAGGGCTATGGATTTGGTAAAGATTTGAATGAAATTAGTCGACGTATATGACCTGATGTGTAAAACTGTTTCCATACAGCGGCCGGCACCACCGATGGACCTGCTGTGCGAGGATTATATCAGGTTAGCTTATTTGTGTCTTTATATGTTTGTCCGTTTATGCTCACCTGATCCTTAGAATATGACCAAGGGTACTTTACTTTGGGGTACGCTGGCCCACTTGTTGCGATGGCCATCACAACAGCAAAAGCTGTGCCACGCTCCGAAACCTATCATCCTCAATACTGGGGAAATGACATATCCATTCGAATGGCAACCGCACATTCTGGATATCCAACTTTTGCGAATTGGTTCTGTATTTATTATCGGTGTGCCCGCAGAATTTACGACTATGAGTGGAAGGCGGTTACGGAACGCAGTGCAAAAGACTTTGTGCGAATATGGAATTTGTGATACTGTCGTCATTCTTTCTGGCCCAGCGAATGGATATTCTGTATGGTCTCTTTGTAGTATTTGCCCAACGATCTTATACTGATCAGTGCTGTACTTTATTTAGTCTTACGTTGCCACTTTTGAAGAGTATCAAATGCAACGTTTCGAGGGTGCAGCGGTATGTTCCCTCCTTTTTCTCCCATCGAGATTATTGTCTGACTCGCTAAACCTTGATTCAAGACGGCTTATGGTCCACATACGCTACAAGCCTATGTAGACGCTTTCAAGACTCTCGCAAAGTCCATGGCACTGGAGGATCCGTCTATGATCCAGAGCGAAAAGTTTAGAGATTTTACTCCACAGGCATTCAACTTTGTAACAAGGCATGGTGCAGATCGGCCGAAACTTTTTCATCATTTCGGAGACATTGTGTCCGATGTCGATGTGCAGTATAATAGACGCTTGAACCAAACCGTATCAGCTACGTTTGTGGCCGGTAACCCGAGAAATAATGTTTTACACGAAGGAACCTTTTTAACGGTGGAACGAAAAACACCGCAAGGAACATGGTCCGTTGTTCGAACCGACAATGACTATGATACAAGGTTCTTTTTTTCGGCTTTCCATGCTTGAGGAAAAAGACAGTGTCAGTTAACCAGCCATTTTAGGTTTCGATGGCGTTACACGAGCAAGTTGTTCGGACAATCGGAAGCAACAATCGAGTGGGACATCCACGAGCACACAGAACGTAAGTACAATTGAGCTTGGCATCGATCGATGAGAACCCTGGGAATACTAACTGTATATATCCAGCCGGAACATACCGATTAGTCTATTACGGACATAACAAAGAATCGCTGAAAAGGTAAAGCTTTGAAAGATATACAATGAAAATCTTCTCACTGAGATATCGCGTGATAGGACGATTCGACCTCACAGCGGCCAATCTTCTGAATTCACCGTCTATTAACCGTCGTTATAAATTAAGAACATACAGCGTGCATGTTTATCGATACCCAAGTAAAACTAAATCGGTTAAATTACGGCAAAGATAAATAAAATTGAGGAAACAGCATCAACTGATATTCGTGCAAGGAATAATTCCCAAGAGCGAGTGCTGTGTCATTGTGTGACAGATAATGCATTGCAATTTAGCGCAGTTGGTCGCATAAAAACTATTTTTAAAAAACAGAACGCTGGCAACGAGATCATCGCCAAAGTAGTCTATTTCTCAATTTGGCAAAGTGACCAAAAAAAGACAAACATGCTGATCATTACTCAATGACGCATGGCTTAGGTTCTGTGACAAGTTTTAAGGTTTGCAAATAACGAGAACAAAATTAAATCCTTTTACCGGCGAATGCAGTTTTGTAGCTAAATAACGTAGTGTTTGTCGTGATTATCATAAAGAGTAATTTGAAACAGAAAAAGGAAACAGTAAATAAAAACGCAGAAAGCAAAAGCAGAAAAATCAACTAGAGATATTTAAAAACAAGTAAAGCAACAAATAATGCGTATAATACAGAAGGAAAGGAAATATCTTATAATGTCTCTTGGTTTAAAGAGCTGTCCACAGAATGCTTGATAAAATACAAAGGGCGGAGAGGGTAGTGTAGCCGGCAGGAGTAAGGGAGACCGCGGAACCGGTGGGCGGCTGAGAGGTATCGGCTTCTGCAGTTGCCTGGTTGCCATCGACGCTTCCACCTGATCCTTTGGCAGCAGCAATACCGACCCGGTTTTTACCCATGTCAAATACAAGATAAGAGCTTCGTAAAACGGAGTCACCAATAAGGATCATTTCGGAACCTTGGGATTGGCCACCCGAGGGTGCGGTAGGTGCAATACCAAACATACAGGCGCGAGCCTCTTCAGGTGTGTCGGCATCAAGAGGAATCACCATATCGGCAATAGGTACGGACAATGTCACGGGATTGTTGGTCACTTTACCAGTAGGAGACATGAAAAGTTGGAATGAACTTCCAGTAGAAGCAGCTTTACAATCGACGACGTAAGTGCCCGATTGGCGGTCCAACGCGAAGCCTCGACGACCGACCAAGGCTTCAAGAATTTGGTTGGCCATATCCATGGGCAGATAAGTCAACGTGGTGCCGGTATCCAAAATAAATGCTCCAATATCTCGCAGTGGGAATGACATATCTTTGACCTTGTCACCGCCCTTCAAAGCAAATCCTTGACCGTGAACCATCCAGTAAAAGTAACCATTGGTATTGGATCGACCATCTCGGCGAGAGCGATGCGATGGCACAAGCGAAGCCACAGGAAGATAGGTGAGATTGCCCGTATATTTCGTATCGTCGACGCCTCCAAAGATCACTTCTCCTGCCCATCCTTCTTCGCTAGCACGGTTCATGTACACCGAAAAGACAGGATTGGCAATAATGTTCTTATCCATAAGGTTGAATACGAACGGGTTGTACGGGGCTTCACCGCGAGTGACCCCGGCCGTCAACTGGGGATAGCCAAGACCGAGGATACCATTCGCTTGCACCTCGCTATCGTCGGTTTCACCACCTTGAGCCCCTTGCACAGTGAGGATGTCGCTGGTCGTACTCGCCAATCCAAACTGCTGATCGGGTACCGTAGCGCCGGCGACGGTAACTGTATCGGTAGCATAGGTACCGTTGACATTGCCAATACCGTAGGTAATGCCGAATGGTTGATCCAGCGATTTGAAAGTGGATGACTTGCTTGCGTCAAAATTGGTAAAGGGGCAAGTTTTGCTAGGACACTCCGTTGAAGGGACCCACAAATCCGCACTAAGACAATAGTTTCATCATTAGACGTCTATTCATAGGTGATTTCCTTTCTGGGCTAGTTGTACGATTGTACAACATTATGCCATTGCCAAGCATGCGTTCGAAAAGTACCTTCCCGTATCAAGTGTCACCGTAAAATTCTGCGGGGGTGTACCAACGCCGACTTGAATGAGATATTGTGAACCTTCGTCGTTGTAAAGCGAAGTCTGAAACGGATCTCGTTTATTGAGAGTGTTGCTTCGGCGTTGTCGTGCTGTGAGCATATCGGTTTTACGCGGTTTACGGATGATGGGAACGCGCACGAGTCCGTTGTCGGCAGCAGCATTATGATTTACTGGAGAGGCGAGAGACGCAGTTGCCAAGGCTGCGAGGAGCAGACCAATGGAGGAGGTGATGTGCATGTTAGGGAGCGGAGGGAAGGAAAAAAGAAGAAGCTAGGAAAAACGAGCAGCTTTTCAAGCTCCAGCTTCATAAATAGTCTGAGTATTTATTTTATTTACAGACATTTTTCACCACTATCGGTAAATCTATAGTGCGTTTTCCCCGTCAAGAAGCTTCTTCTTTCCTGCTTTTCTCGTGATGATGCGATGTCGTAGGTGTGCTGAGTTGCTTCGCCAAAGCCCGACAAGGTTTCGGTGCGGAAATTCTGTGGACAAGAAGGTGCCAAGACTCCACATGCACCAATGCGTAATTGATTACACCCATTATAGAATATACGGTAGTATCTTTTCGCCGGACATGGACACAATGTGATGAGAGAAAAACGAACCAATGGAGACGGGCAAAAAAACTCAGGACAATGGCTTGTTTTGCGCACGGTCCTTGCTTGCCATGAAAAAAAAGATTCCCCTTATTCATCATTCTGCAGCCTGACTATCAATTATCCCTGCGAATGATTGGTTGGACAGTCTCCCATGGTCATATTTATCAGGAAAAATGGCGGTTTCAGCAAGGGACAACCGACATCAATATCAACAGTAATAGACGTCATTGTCCTTGGCATCACTGCTGCCATGGAAAGAAAATACTGCGCCGATGATTTAACCGAGGATAGAAAAAGGAGTCCCGGTGTCGAAAAATCAATCATTGTTTTGGCATCGGTATTCCAAAATGTAATATGTATGCAAAATGTTTATCGAAAAACGTTATGTCACAGGAATCATTTTCTTTCAAATTACAGTCCATGGACTTGTGTAATTTTCTATTAATGTGAAACATAGTAATGTGCTGGCATGTCGCGATGGTTTCAAGCCAAGTCAACAATTGCCTTAAACGGGGCATGACGAAAGTGTTTTCTCCTTTCTTCCGTTTCTAGGCTCATTTAATTCGCAGATATGACAAAGGCGAAAAAGTTTAAAATATCTACTTATCAGAAGGAAGTTCTGCGGCCATGACCCATCCGTGACATAATTAGAAATTTAAAACGGCGCAAAATGAGGACAACTCAGCTACGCGTCCAAACCGGTGCTTCACTGAATCGAGATTCAGTAACACTAAAGAAATTCTTTCATTATTAGACACAGCATACTTGTTGTTATGGAAAATGACAGATGTTGTAGTAGTTTATCCCCGAGTTCTGTAATATGTTTAAAACCAGCTCAGCTTGCATTTGACAGATTTGCCTGCAAAAATACAACGACCAGGACCCTGCACTTCCAAGACCAGTCCCCTGTTATGTCATGTTTGATAAAACGTGAATTATGTTCTTTGATAGTAAAATAAAATATCCGTAAAATACAAGTACACTCAGGATCCATTATTGAAAATTATAGACGAGCGACGTCACCAGGACGGCCACCATGGTTGCAGCAGACCAAGAAGCCGACAAGAAAACAGCAGCGGAAGCGGGTACGGAAACTCCTGGCGTTGGTCGAGCATGATCGGTAGGTCGGGCAGGGTCGACAGGAATGGAGGAACGAGCCTCGGAAGGATCACTGACGATGTCCAAGCCAGTGGCGGGTGCAATACCCACGCGGTGATTCTTCATATCGTAGACTTGGTAAGCCGATCGCAGCACACTTTCGCCAATAATCCAGTCTACGTCTGTTCCGGCGAGCATAGGAGCAATGCCAAAGTAACATTGTTTGGCAGTCGCCAGTATGTCACTGTCGACGGGAATGACTAGTTCTTTTGCTGTTACTGTAATCTTGACGGGTGTTTTGGATGGCTGGCTAGACGATGTGGAAAAGGTGAATTCCATTTTGTTGGTCTGTTGTGCTACGTCACAGCCGACCGCATAAGCGCTATTCAAAGGATCGAAACGCGTGGGCGTCTTGGAATTCTTTGTAAATTCCTTGACAATGGCATCAGTGATAGTTTTAGGTCCGTATGTAAGCGTAGTGCCAGTGTCAAGAATAAAGGGTTCCAGTTGGGTAAATTGTTGGTTGAAGCCCGCGGTCTGACCGTCTTGAGTAACGATGCTAATTCCCTGACCGGGCGCAGTCCAGTAAGCGTATATACCACCGGCAGCGTTGGCTCGGCTGTTAAGATTCGCCGTAGCCGCATAACCTGACAGATCATACGAGACTACGGGAACGTATGTCAACTGTCCCGTGAATTTTGTGGTGTCGACACCGCCAATAATCATTTCTCCACCGTAACCAAACTTGTATCGGCTGCCCAAGTAAATGGAAAAGACAGGTTCCGTAATCGCATTGTTTTCGACAAGACTGAACATGAAAGTCGTCGTATTGGGCATCGTAATGCCAGGCACTGGGAATCCCAGACCGAGAATACCGTTGGATTGCTGATCAGAAGAAACGCCGAGAATATCTTTTGTATATTTCGCAAGACCAATAGGTTGGTTTGCCTGAGAAAGAGTACCAACGGTGATGGTATCAAGAGCATAGGTACCGGTGGCTTCACCAATACCGTAAGTGATCTCGAAAGGTTGACTTGTCGGCTTGTACGTAGATGACTTGGCGTGATCGAATCGCTTATAGGGGCAAATAATTGACGAGCAATCCGACGAAGGTACCCAGAGATCAAAGCTATCGCACAAAAATTATTTAGTGATCATTCACTCACAAGCACCGGTAACGGCTAGTTTCTTTGTTATGGTATTCCGAGTTTTTACCTTCCAGTATCCAGGGTGACATTGAATTTTTGAGGTGGGGTACCGATACCGACTTCAATCACATATTCACGACCCCATTCGTTTAATAAAGGCACGGTCGTCTTATCGCGCTTTAAAAGGGCTGATCTGTGAACACCGGTCACACCAGTGGTTGGTACTCGTTGTAATGGCAAACGAATAAAGCCATTTTTTTGAGGTGGAGGTAGAGAGGCAGCATTAGTAGCTGATATAACTAGGGCTATGACCGAAGCAATAGCGATTAAGCGCATTGGGAAAGGTAAGTTTATGTAATGGGATATCTACAGAGTAGTCAACCAAGGAGAGATCGCAAAGAGAAAAGGAAAAAGGAAAATGCAGAAAAGCGGTATATAAGTAAGCAAATCAAAGAGGGAAATGAACGAAATAAAACAAGGCTGTGGCAATAAAAAAGAAGAATAAGAAAATGTAATAAGGTCGTGCAACCTCCATGAGTTCAAATCGAAGTACGCAATGAATATCTGAATTTACCACGGCGGATATACGTGCACTTTTTTCAGAAATAGATATGATCTGCTAAGATCGATTGTTTTTGCATCATTGTCCCTTATATCTTTGACATTCAAATAGATGACTTCCTACATACCCATACACAAGATCATATCCCTAGTGAATAGTTGTTATTTGACCTGTGTGATGGGAATCAGAAGATCCGTGATAGAATTCCAAGCCACGTTCTACATGTATAACCGCGAACACCACAGAAATTTCAATTCCAGCAATAAGGATAATGAGGTTCCAGTGACACATGGGTTGCACCAAACGAGGTCTTTTACTCGGGAACATTGAACAGAACACATTCTCAATTCTGGATATCCAATTGAACATCATGCCTATTACTCCTCTTGTGTAACGTCTTTTCCCATCTCAAAGATGCGCCAGTAATTTCTGAAAAAAGTCCAAGCGACAATAAACGCATGTGCAAATAAAAACCCGGACCATTGGTCCCTCATCTGAAAATAAAGAAAGCGGCGAAAAAAATAGCTTATTTAAAAGATCGTAAAGAAAAAGAGGTAAAGAAGAACGTGAAATGCAAAGAGCAGAAATCATACGAAAAGAAAAGTAAGAAGTGAACGAAAGAGAAAGGTATTTCGCTCGCAAGTATGGAAGTGACGAAAAGAGCGAGGTACTTGCGTGCTATTGTCGATAATCTTGGGGAAGATCGTCTGGACATGGTGCCAGTACTCCAACACGCAATTCACCCCGTCGTTCCCTCCAACATCCATCAAGGGAAGCACTCAAAATACTCCTCCATTTCGTCCACCACCCGTTGGCGCCTCGGTCTGAAGCGATTTCCGCCATCTCTATGCACTGAAATTTTAGCTGTAGTGGAGCCCCGAAAAAGATTCCAAGCTGATCGCACCAATTCGCATTTTAGATGTAACGTGCCTCCCAGTTCATGTTCTCTCAGTACCGAAATTTCAAGGATAGGGTGAGATAATTGGTTAAAAGAATATGTTGATTCTTGCATATACTTCCCTTTGCTTTTTATGCATCTTTTTGAAGTGCCTGAACATGGCGGCATGTCGTGCCATTTCAAAGAACACCGGGTGACTGCCTTCTTGATATCGCCTCATTTGGTGACATTTCGAAAAGATCGGACGAATTCTGTGCTGATGAGGACGTATGGGCGGGTTTTTGTTCAGCAGAACGGAAAGACATGACGCCCTTTTTTTTTTTGACCCGTTGTGCTATGAACTTTGATCGGAATTCGAAAAAGTGGCATAATTGAAATGATGCATGCTTCGTGGTTCGCTTCAAAAACAGCATGTGTTATATAAACGCAATGCCTCACATAAGGTTACATGATAAAACATAATTCTGAATCTATACGATGGACTAAAGTGGGTTTCTGCTAAAGCGATAATGGCGAAGAACTGCGCGCTTACAAAAGCCCTGATGCAACGCGTCAGGTTCATGTAATTGCCGTTATGGAAGTGAAGCCGAATTTCGAATGGTCATATGGCAAATTAACGCCGCCACCTGTAGAGTGAAAACGAACCATGAGAAGCCGTTCATGTTTATGGCTCATGGTAAAATGCTACCAATTAAAGAAATAAAGCGTACGCACCAGTGCATTTACTTTCCAAAAAAAAAAATACTAAACCAAGCTGAAATGACGCGGCGAACTACACAATGAGGAGATATTCCCTGAACGATCAAAATGCATGATTGTCAAGCAATTGCATAAACAACGTTATCATGCTGAGAAACGGACAGAAAAAATTTCGATAAAGTCAGAGCAAAAAAGCTTCTGGCCTGAACTCGCTCGAATGATCCCAGTTCGGTTCGGTTCGGGTCAGGGCTTGACCCGGCAGTCGGCCCGCCCCGATAAGGAACCTTACGCCCTCAACGAGGTGTGGGACAAGTTAGACATTGGCCTGGCACGTAACTTGCACGAAATATGCACAGCAGATGTTGAGGTGTGATTATGGCCGAAGGCGCACAACAATGTATGAAAAAATTTATTCTTTTGAGATATATTCTCTCTCCTATCATCCCAAAGTTTTGAAGCTCTAGCAGCATTCATTACTGCACTGTACGTTGTTGGTCATGCTCGGCTTCATGCGTCAATGGTGCGTTGTTGAGAACGTTATCAATGGTTTGAATGATCTAATAACGCGTACGAGTTAGTCAGTCTGGATCAATAAAATCAGAACGATCAAGGCTTTCCTACCGTACCTGCGGAAGCAAAGCACTGAGAGGTGCTAAAATATCACGCGAACAAAATTCTTGACAAAGACTGAATACACGGACACCAGATTACGAAGTGTACTGACAGGTTTCTTCCAATACGTCCCGATTATCGACCGTCAAGCGCTCAATGAGCTTAAAAGGATGCCTTTGTCATATTTCGTTTGATGAAAAAAAGATAATCATAATCGCCAATAAACAGAATAGGGGCAGCGGCAAAAGAAGCATACTATTGATGTCGGGGACGGTCATTGTTATGACACGAAAGTCTATAGGATATTGTATCGTACTCGTCAACCACAACAACACCGTTGACTTCTGATTCAAGCTGCTCCGTAACATTTTTCTGCTCCAGAACTAAAAACTGTACAATATTATATTTAGCATGTATTTTCACGGAAGATACTAAAAAAAACTCACATGAAGAGTAGCGATGAGTACAAAGAGTTTCAACATTTGGTGCCGTTTCGTCCAGTTCGTAGGAATGGTTGCCGAACGCAGGTCAATGAATCTCCATGTGCTTGGACTGATGATGCTCGTTTCTGTGAGGGTGATGGTATTTTGGATGACTTGAATACCATAAGTTTTGCATTTTTGAATGGTGTGATAGGAAGCGGATTTGTAGGTGTTGGTCTGTCACTTTAAAGCGCTTGAAGTCGATTCCAGTTGCTTGAGAGTATCGCCCTTGGAGTGTTGGATATTTCCAGACACGTTGAAACTAATCAATTGTCAAACATTGTTGATGAGCAACTGCGGCACTTCTGCGTTTCCAACAAGGTATAGCGCAAATTATTGCTGAGGTGACAAGCTTTTGATGAATCGCTACAGTAACCGTATGCAAGCCATCATCCAGTGTTAAAGCTAATGCAATGCTTTTTTATATCGTACCTCCATCCGATAAATAATCAGATCACATTTTTGCCGGCGATCCACTCACGCCAGTTTCATAAATTATTGAATAAGATTTTTACGGATCATGGTCGGTTTGTTTGTTAAAAAGGTAAGAATCACGTTTACTTAGAGCGTTCGATACCCCACGAAGCTTCCCCTACTGTTTCTCGGGAACGGATTGAGGCATGATTTGCATTCTGATTACGAAGGGAAAAAAATGCATTATGTCTATGGATTAAAGGTTTTTAAAAGGAAGCTTACCTTAATACATGAATCTTATTGGCTTCTTCGTACCCTTTATTCGAGCCTACGACTTCCGAGAGCGCAGCTCTATTGTCTCAAGCTTGCGCGCCTACAAAAAAAAGAAACAAAAAGAAAATGGATCTCCGTTTAAGCAGTGCAAGAAACTGTTGCAAGACACAGTATCATGGAATGAAGGTTCAATCATTCTGTCACTATTTATTGCTCGATACTAGTGAAAATCCATGTTTATTCCTGTTAAAGTTCATCGCTTTTCGATCGATAGAATTTCGTGGTACATTCCAAGATCGCTTGAACGCATGGTCCTTCGCTTTTGCGTTTATGTTAGACCATTTGCCTTTATCTGTTAGCTTGTCTTCCTACCCATATAAATGTAAAACCTAATGGTAGCTTCTGCTTTCAAGAGAATGGCTCTGCAAGAAAAATAGCTGTTCCGTTATGTCGAGACAGGATGATGCAGGCATCGGGTCGCAACTTTTTCTTTTTCAACTCCATTTCTCTTTAAATATTCATAGCTTGTTCAATTTGCAGTCAAAATGACTGCTGTGCTTAGCTTACACATGCACATTGTCGTTTTATCTCTCAAGTTCCATGAATTATGGTGGAACACGCTGTAAGGATCCATGTTCTTGGTAATTTCTTTTGTTGAGTATTGATTTAAATGAGGAGTTCTGGTCATGTGCTGCGCATCATTGCACGAATCATTTCAAGCAAAGTGCGAAGCGGGGGCTGACGTTGTTGATCCGCCGGTTCTCTCAACCAATCAATTTTAATAACCGACAAAAGATTTTGTAATGCTACGTCGGGTGGTTCGGATTTTGGGATAATCAATGGATTCTGCATCTTGTTCCATAGACTCTGTGCACCATCCATACCACTCCCTCTCTTCGACTGGCTGCTTTTCTACCCCGCACTTGTTGCAATGGAAAAAGCCTACGAGGCATCAAGATCCCAACTGCCAAAAAATACCGAGTTCTATCTCTCGGAGACACCTGCAGAGAAGGACAGACGTATTCGCGAACTGTTTGATACCCTCGACCGCAAGAAAAATGGCTTACTCGACAGCGAAGCTATCCAGAAAGGATTTACTGCCATGACGCATGTACCAGCTCGAATGAAATATGTCAATGAGCTTTTGGCTTGTTGTGATACGAGTAACGACGGTTACGTTGATTACCACGAATTTAAAGCCTACGTCAACGAGAAAGAGCGAGAGCTATGGGAATTATTCAAGCAAATCGATCGCAATGGCGATGGAAGACTGGTTTCAAGTGATTTGGAAAGAGCGCTTCAAGGTGCAGGCATAACGTTATCCAAAGAAGAATGTCATGATTTCGTTCAAGCCATGGATCTCGGTAAGTGCACATGCATCGACGTTGGCATGATACCCCACACTGGTCTCATCTGTGATCCTTGTTTTCTCTTTTCTTTCTTTTGCTGGGGGCGCCATTATAAGACGGCAATGGTTTTATCGATTTTTGTGAATTTAAGAATTTCCTGCTCGTAAGTGGTAGTGCCAACGGAGGCTGCATTGGGAAAAGTTGCATGTAGTTGACAATGCGCGTTAGCTATTACCGGAAACAAACATCCGAGATATTTATAGATACTATCAAGCATCAACGCAACTAACGCAAGATGCCGATGTTATTATACCTCCGACCGATGAGACAGCGCATAACGCATTGAGATATCTGCTGGCAGGTGGCATTGCAGGTGCTGTATCGCGATCCTGCACAGCGCCGTTTGATCGACTCAAGGTATATCTGATAACGCAAAGCACCGAACACAAATCTCTGTCTTTGCGGGATGCGGTCACTACGATCTACAAAAAAGGAGGTTGGCGAGGCTTTTTTGTGGGCAATGGCTTGAACGTACTGAAGATCATTCCGGAATCGGCAATCAAGTTTTACTCGTACGAAACCGCCAAAGGTCTATTTGCGCAAGCACTGAAATGCGAGGACAAGGATTCGATTCCGACCGGTGCACGCTTTTTATCCGGTGGCATTGCTGGTCTTTGTGCGCAATTTACGATTTACCCTGTGGAAACGCTAAAAACCAGAATCATGTCCCAGCAAGCCATCAATGGGTCAAAAGCCGATGGCGGGAAGTCGGGGCTGCCAAAAACACAAGCAGTATCGCGGTCCCTTATCTTCAATACGGCGAAAACAATGTATACTCGTAATGGGATTCGCGCGTTTTGGCCAGGATTGGTAAGCGGTCATCATGTTGGAGTCACTGGAAGAAATGAACGGAACCATATTAAATCTAAACCTTGGACAGACACTGGGTCTGATCGGCGTATTCCCTTATCAAGCGATGGATCTCGGTTCGTACAATTTACCATCAATGGTTACATTCTCATCCTGATCTCATCCCCTTCCATATGATAGGCATTTACGAGAGTTTAAAAATGGGATACCTGCATTATACAGAAAAAGATCACCATGACGGTAAGAAACGTCAACCGAGTGTCTTAGTACTGTGGGCTTGTGGTATGGTAAGCGGGTCCATTGGTGCGACAAGTGTATATCCGTTGAATGTGATCCGCACAAGGTACTGAATGATAAATTACTGATGAAAAAAAAAAAAATGGTCGAGAGAAACTTACCTCGGGCTGGTAGGCTGCAAGCGCAAGGTACTGAAGCGCATCCTCGATTTTACAAGTCACCGTGGGATGCTGTTCAGTTGACTTATAAAGCTGATGGACTTCGTGGATTTTATAAAGGATTGGGACCGACTTTACTCAAGGTAAAAAGTCTACTGTTCTTTGGTAATTAGCAGATCGAGGTTTCTGATTGAATAATCACTTGAACCAGGTCGTTCCCGCGGTCAGTATCAGCTATGTCACTTATGAATGGAGTAAGCGTGAGCTTGGTATCTCATAACTAGACGGGAAAAAACAAAACATTTGTATCATCTTTATTGTGTATTTTTTGGCGAGGCTCCTTTTAGACGAAAGTATATTCTTCTGCCTCGAATGAATTGACTGTAGATATGTAAAACAAGGTTACAGGCGAAAAAGAGAACGGAACTGTGCAACGGGCGTGAATAAAACCGTAACATAGCAACGAACCAGCTTTTCGACAAAAAATACAGCATAGCATTTAGGATCGGTTCCTATAGTAATCGAACAAGACTTACTAGTTCGAAATGTGAGAGACTAGCGAGTGTAAAGCAATCTTTTGGTCTGTTGGACAACACCGACCCACAACTTGAGTACAAATAAAATTGGGATCACCATCTTGATACCACTCGTAATGTTGTACGGTATGTTTTAAACTGTGTTTGATTTTATCATAATGTCCGACAAATGAGCGACGCGTTCGTGGCGGACAAAAAGCTAACACTCAGAATATGTGAAACTCACTGGGCAGTTCAGCGGACTTCTGAGTTTTTCGGAGGGACGAAGTTGGCTATAATCAGTGTAGTATACATTTTTTTTTTGATTTCAAACCATTCAATGAAATGAAAACCTCTCAAAAAAGCATGGGATCGTTCGTGTTAAAACGGATTGATAAGTTTGCAATTCTTATGCTGCAATGATACCCTATGCGCATCGAAGTAGAAAGCCGATCCATATCACAAATAATGGACCTTTTTGATCAACTGACAAAGGGTACGTTTTTGCTTCATCCACTCAAGGCATCGAGAGATCAATGGGCAAATTCTATTTATTATAACTTTTTGCGGGTTCCCTTTTGAGGGACTGTCAGACCATGAGTTAGCAGTTGCAAAAAATAAAATAAAAAAATGAATGTTGTTCAAATTAACGCTATCGAATCAAGTCTTCATTGAGTTGTATCTATACAAAACGATTGAAATGTTTCTTCTGGAAAAGAAGAGACGCGTCGGAAAACCTCACCCGTCTCCTTTCAAAATATATTGCGTCTACTGCCATGCCCTTCTCTGAAGCCTTCCATTGCCGTTTGTGAATTTCGCAGTTTTGTGATTTTTTTCCCCCTTTTGACATAGAAGCAATGCCATCGATGACCATTGACCGAAAAGGAAAAAAGAAGCTTGTTTTTTTTATGCCGATTTGATACGTGTATATAAGATAGATGGAGGGTGGCTTGAAATTTATGATGAGATGACGCCGAGATAGTCTTCTTTGATCGTGCCAATAGCAAACTTTGATAGGGTCGAAAAGCGTTAAGATACATACAAATTGCGATATCATGATATCTCCAGATACTCACTATTTCAGTAGCATCGACGCGGGTGCCTACTAATTTAATGCGAACCTGCACATCTTTTGTGATCATCTATGCAACGCGTTCACCAATGTTTTTTTTCTTCCGGTAGTCATGCCAACTAATATGTTACCTGATCGTCCGATGAGTAATATGGTGGATTTCCGCTGGGATCGTAACGCATGTCGTTTGGTATGAGCTAGACAATGACAACCCCGTGATGGTTCAGTGTCATTCTGAACATTGTCGTCTCTGTCTCCATAATGGGTCTCCCTCGAAAACTTACATGATTGGAAACGAAAATTTGCAGTGGTCCCGCATCCGCAAAGAAGCCCATTTTGTTGACGGTTGTAACCACTGCGTCTAATACTTCGCCTTTGTATGGTTTGAAAACGATAGCTTGATATTTGATTTTGAATTCTGCTAGGCCGGATCCCGGTAAGATCTTGCCTTTGCTTGTACTTAATACGGATACGACAGTAATGATGTAACCGAATCGTCCCGAACATGTTCCCTGTACATCTGCGTAGAGTTTATCTTGCAGTTGCGCCTGCATGTCCGGTCCAAAGTATGATGGATGCAACGTGATAGTGTGTGTCAACTCTTTCTGCAGAATCGTGCTAATATTAGTACCGACGATAATATGCTTCCCGTGTGGCGTACCAGGAAGAACATCGGTTATGCCTTATTATTTGGAGAAAAGGGGAAGCGACTGAAGATTTCACGGATAAAAAGGCACCGATATTAGCGAGTCGATCGCGTGAAACTGATGAAAGGGAAAGCGTGGCGGATGCGAGTTGCGTCGAATAAAAGATACTAAAAAACAACACTTGACGAGCTTTGCCATTTTTTTTCGTGAACGAAAAAACAAAATTTCGTCGAGCAGAGCAATATGACGTCATGTAATCACGTGCCGCGATGATGGGTGGTTCTCATCATTGCAAAGAAACACGGACCACAAAAGCAAGGAAAAAAAAAACGCACTACTTCCCCACGCTGCTTCCCCATGTCCCACTTTGCGCCTTTTCGTCAAGCTATCAATAGCTATAATTCTCAAATAATCGACGATGATAGTATTTCATTAACAGAATCAAGCATGTCTTCGTCGTCGTCCACAATTCTGGCTCCGAGATCCTCGGCCCCCATGACCGGAAGTACAGATCGAAGGGGTGACGTGCGTATGGAACGGTCCGAGCGACCAACAGCTACTGCTCGAGCTGACAGCAACGATGACCAACGGCGATGCTGGATATGCTTTGGTGAGGATGAAGACTCCGAAGGACGGTGGGTCAAGACGTGCCGATGTTCGCTGAATGCACACGAAGAATGTCTATTGGAGTGGATTGATGAAAACCAGCGCAATCATCATGGAGAAAAGGTACAATATGGTATACGCATATAGCACTTTTTCTTTATATGAGTTGATGATTTCCGGTTCCCTTACTTTTACCTGGTTTTTTTTTTTTTTTTTTTTTTTTTTTTTTTTTTTTTTAGGTTCGTTGTCCACAGTGTGGGTCAGAATATCAGATCATTCAGCGATCAAGTGTTCTTTTGGCGATGCTGAATTTGACGCGTGGCCTTGTTGCAATGATTTCGCCCGCGGTGTTGACGGCTGGGTTATCATCTGCTATTTTTATCGCATCAAGTACCTATGGCGCTCTTTCGGTGTTGACATTTTTTGGCAAAGAAGAAGGGTCACGTCTCCTCGGTAATCCTGCAGATTGGTCCTGGAGACCATGGTTGGGATTATCCATAAGTCCATGGGTCTTGATTTTCTCCAAATCTTCCTGGGGCGATCACATCATTTTCGCATCAGCAATTGCTTATATGAGACTAACAAACCAACTGTTATATTTATCCTGGCCTCCAACGCCAGCAACCATTGTGAGCCTCTTGCCACCCATGAGGTAAAGCAAATATGTGTTCTTTTTTTTTTTTTAATTCGCGATTGGCTCATTCACTCGAACAATGACGGATCTCTAGATTGTTCTATAAACGTCTGTATGCGTCCATACAGCGGCGTGTGTTGCAAAACCTTCTTGACAAACGAACTCAAGCGACGGGAATGTCTGGAAGACAAAGCGCGTTGGTGGGACTATTCCAGCGGAATCCAGCGAGGGGCCATCGTGGCCAGAATCAAGGGATAGCAAACAATACCACAGAACAAGGACGTCGACAATCTGGGAGTGGCCTTACGGATAGGGAGCAAAACCGTGAACTTGAATTGCTGAATAGGAGCTGGAATCGAGGGCTTCACATCGATATCACGGAGGCATTGACGTTTCCCGTCATCAGCAGTCTTATCGGCATGTTAGTATTACAGCGAGCAACAGTGCTTGGAATGGATGTTAGGGTTACTGACGGAACTCCTGTAGTGGTCTAAGTTATATCAAACCTGTCCGGGAATATTTTCCGCAGACCTTCCATCGCAGTGTTTTAGGGGCTTGTATTTTCATTGTTGGCAAAGTAAGAATTTTCTCGACTCCTTCGGAACGGCGGTGATGCACGTGCGTCTTTACCAACTGGATTATTCTTATTCAATCGGTTTCATCTAGGATCTAAGTAACCTTCTCGACGGATATGAACGTGTTCAACAAATTCGTTCACGACGCGTCCGAAGTTACAATGACGGAAAACCTCCGTCTTCTTAACAAACAGCAATTGTGAATGCAGACAGACGTAATGTATAACACCACCCACCCTAGTGATTGCTATACCCCCTTCCTGGCTGGTTACGTTTTTTTTTTCAAAACCGCGAAATCCAACCGGTTTTCCTGTATTATATTTTTCTTTTTTCATGTTAGAAACGGGACTTCTTTGGAGAAACTCCTGCGTTTTTTCTAAAGCTTTATCTGAACGTTTTGTTTTCGTATATGTTCGTGAAGGAAGGAAACGACGACGAATTTGATTAAACAAGACAGTATGAAGCGCCATGTATTGGTTCATCAATTCTCATTTTGATGGTGAGTGGAATGGGTTATTCCACATGCAAAAGCAGTTGCAGAAATGCTGGATATACGAACTGTGTATGGCATAGCAGCCGGTCATTTTTTCAGCAAGTTTTGTCATTAACTCGGAACGATCAAAATAATCCATCTAAGGGTCTGATTTTCGCTTGCTACAGCGAATTGCTGTTTTGAATTCTTTATGTTTAGGTTCCGTGTTTAGAGTTAAAGTTGCAAGGATAGAGTGACTGAACATGCGCAACCTACAGATATCAGTAAACGCATCGCAAATGCGGAAGACAAGGTTTGATATCACCCATCTGATAGTTTTGTCGATATTCTCATGCATTCACAACTCACTCGTTGATAATAAAATGGACGTTTTTATCTTGCATGATGGCTACTGTATTTTGCTATGCCTGCAACTCATATATCATCTATTCGGTCCGTAGGTTTCATGCAGATAGACAGTTGGGTAAGCGATCTGGATTGTTTCCTAATCTGGTATCATGCATGACACCTCAATATTCTTAAATCACATCAGATATGGCATACGGAGTATTTCGAGCTAAATGCAGTGTACCTTGACGCAAAAGAACAGCAATAGTAAACATCCAAAACAGGAGCACATACCGTTACGGTATCTGTTATGCATGCTTACAATGACGCAAAGTGACAAAGAAAGATTATCGAGACGTGTAATGGTATGTCCACATGAAAAAAAAAGGAAAATGCTGGGAATTTGTTTGCTTAAAGCTTATAAAATACGCATCGATTCAAGTGAATTGACAGTGAAAGAGTACTATCAAAAGTCCGGTGGGATGATTTTACAATGTATCTCGAAGTTTTATAAACTACAAGTGATGCAAGTTATATGGGCGACCTTGCGAGATCGTTGGAAACTTAACGTACTAGTATATCCGAGGTTTTCCCCGCCTTCAATTCGGTAGAAGTTGTAAACCTAAAACGATAAACCTTGATAGCAACGTCACAGGACCTAGAAGCGCCCCTTGAATGACAATCGATATCATTTTTGATGCAGTAACGTTATTGTTATTATAAAAAGAAAATCCTCTGCAGCAGTAAATCTATAAAGAGAAAGAATCAACTTAGGAAATGTTGATGTCTATCTTGGCAGCAACAAGATACAAAAATCTGGCAAACAAGAACTCCTTTGGGAAGTTAAATGACCCCGTTCAAACTCCTTCAATGAAGATGAAGTTCCATCAATCGTGGCTAATCCTTTCATTATTCGCGAGTTGGTTGCCAGATGAGACAACCCGTAAGGAGGATTCTCCACCCAAGATTCGAAGTTTAAAAAAAAATTATTGAGTTAATAATTTGATAGCTTCCGTTATAAACAAAGCTTTTCACCTGTTACGCTCCGTCATTTAATTATACATCAAACTGTTTATCAAATGTCTTTTAATATCGATCAAGCGTCTCATACAGTAGCAAAATCAGTTCCTGATGAAGAGAATAGCAGTATTTCAAGCTGCCAAACCGTAAACGCTGTTGCTGCTGTGAGTAGCAAGAAAACTTACGTTTGCACATACTGTTCCAAAGTGTTCACCAAACCCAGCGCTCTACGACCTCATATATACTCCCATACGGGGGAAAAGCCTTTCGCTTGTACTATGTAAGATGAAAAATCTGTCATTGGTCTTTCTCAGGGTTGCTAACCTACCCATAGTGGCGGATGTGAACGTCGATTTTCTGTGATCAGCAATCTTCGCCGCCATTGGAAATCACACCAGCGAAAGCTGTCTCGAGAAGCATATAGAATATCGGGTGATCGGCTGATAAAGCAAATCAAACCTCTCCCTCATACCACCAGTTATCCATCACCGGAAGCGGCACCAAACTACCTCAAAGGTTTCGTTATGGCTCAAGACGTGATAAGTTGCAGCTTGAATTATTCAGCAACACATCCGAGTATGCTGCAACTACTCCTTAACGGCGATGATGGTCGTTCACAATTCCCGCATGAGGACGACGCTGTATGGGTACAAGATTACCAGCAACCATTTACACCCAAGTATTCATGGAGCGAACCAGTGGAAGATATTCTTTCTTGTGTTTTCCCGAGTGGTACTCCATTTGGTTGATACGGCGAACGTAGCATGTTCTATAACGGTGACAGCATTCCTTTAACCAGTAAAGAAGGACAACGGCGCTGCTTTGGCTATGCTTGCATAAATATGATATGGATCCCAGCACAAGCGAGTAAAATAATATGCCCCCTTCCTTAACCATTGCACATCATTTAACATTTCAAGTTTAAGCAGAGTATGCCTGATAACTATGTATTTAATCAGAAAAGATTTAATAAAAATGGACAAAGATACATTTCGGAAGGATGAAATGGAGAAGAAAAAGGGGCAACAAGTTCTAAAGATCGCTAAACTATGCAGACAAAGGTTTGTGGATCATCTCATCTCTGCCGGGACCAACACCGATCCATTCGACGGGAACACCGCTTTCACGTTCAATCATTTCGATGTACTTCTTGGCATTTTCAGGAAGCTCTTCCCAAGTTCTGCACTTGGAGATATCGGTCATCCAACCAGGCATCTCTTTATACTGGACTTCGATCTTTTCGAGCACAGACAAATCGGCAGGGAAGGAAGCCAACGGCTTACCATCGAGAAGATAGGCAACACCCACCTTGATAGTAGGCAACTGGTCGAGGATGTCGAGTTTGGTAATGTTCAAGCTAATTCATTTCAAACAAACCTCAGCGTTAGCATTGTCACAGCATCAGCAATCAACATTTTTTGTCCCGTATCATTTACCTGGTATAGCCATTAATCATGGTAGAGTACTTGAGGACAACCAAATCAAGCCAGCCACAACGGCGCTTTCTACCAGTGGTGACACCAAATTCGAAGCCCACAGTTTGAAGATGTTCACCAATTTCCTATAAGTTAACCCGCACAAAGATAAGTCATTACAACCACGATAAGATCTCTGCGGCATCCAATATCCTTACATTCAGCTGTTCGGTAGGGAAGGGACCACCACCGACACGGGTGGTGTAAGCCTTGACGACACCAAGGACGTTGGTAATCTTGTTGGGAGCGACACCGAGACCGGTACAGACACCACCGACGCTGGTGGCGGAAGAGGTGACGTAGGGGTAGGTACCAAAGTCGAGATCGAGCATAAGAGCATTGGCACCTTCGACGAGAACACGCTTGTTCTGCTTAAGTTGTTCGTGAAGATAAGAGATGCTGTCGATGACATAGGGTCGGAGACGTTCGGCGAGTTCCTTGTAACGGACAAGTTCGGCTTCGACATCATATTCAAACTGACCATAACGCTTGCGCTTGTTCTCGACCATGACTCGGAACTTGGCTTCGAATTCTTCAAAGTTGTAAAGATGATGCACACGAAGACCGGAACGAGAAGCCTTGGAAGAGTAGGTTGGGCCAATACCCTTGCGGGTGGTACCGATGCTACCGCGACCCAATTCAGCTTCCTTCAAACCATCAATCATTTGATGAAGGTCGAACACAAGATGAGCACGATCCGACACAAAGAGACGCTTGTCACAGTCAAGACCCTTGGCTTCCAACTTTTCCTTTTCCTCAAAGAACGAAGGCAAGTGAATGACAACACCAGCACCGATCACGCAGACGCAGTTAGGGTTGATCAAACCTGAAAAATGATGAGAGAATAAGAATCGGCTCTTTGGAAATCCACGATATTGAATAAAAATATTATCCAGGTACGAAAAAAAAGGACTTACCAGAAGGCAAAATATGGAAATCATATTTAACGTTGTTCACAACGATGGTATGACCGGCGTTGTTGCCACCCTATAATCCATATCCATATCAGTATCCATGGAAAATTAAATATCAACACCTTTTTTCATCGACTCTGACGAAACAATCGACAAGCCCAAACCACCGTCATCCTCGCCCGTCGAAACAGGAACCAGGAAACAATAAATACCTGACAACGAGCACACACGTCGGCTTCACCGCAAAGAATATCGGAAAGCTTTCCTTTACCTTCGTCACCCCATTGGGCGCCGAGGACCACGGAAATTTGGCCAGCAGGCAACAAGGACATCACTGTCAGTTTTACGAGATAAAAGGAGAAAACCCATTCTTGCTCTCAGTTGATAATCAGTCCGTTTTTATTTCGCTCGAAAAAAAATGATAGTCGCAGCTCGGTTCCCAGCCAATTGGGGAAATTCAATCCACAAAAATTTTTATGTTCCTTTTTCATTGGGTCGTCTCAGCCACTCCCTTTTATTTGCCCATGCCATCTTTTTTTTTTGAACGCCGTTTCAGAAACCAAAGTTTTTTCTTTTTTCGCCCCTCCTAGCTTTTGTTGATAAATTATCCTTCCCTTTCTAGTCGATTTTCCCTCAATCTCCGAATACAGCGGTCGAGGTACTTTCATATACCGGTAACATCATCCAAGACTATTACTCACAGTTGCCTTTTATGGTCATCACTTCGTTCCAACACGATTACCATTGTTCCCTCCATTTGGCTACAGAGATTGTATATACATGAGATAGGTATTGTTGGCATCAATCACTGCAAACAGGTTATCTGTTTGGCTTAATCGGGATATCTAACACCGATTGCGCCTATACACCCATTGGTGCGAAGAAATCCCGTTTACAGTGACACATTAGGTGATGACTCATAAACAACTCTTACTGAAGTTTTTCATATCTCGCTACTCTATGAAAAATCGACTCATGAAACTGTGACCATTATTACTGTTAAGCTCTATATTGACACATATCGCCTTTGAATTAGTATTTTTTCAGCTGGACCAATGTGGATACCTGAATCTACAATCTTTGCTGATCGTCACCGATATACACGTTCTCAGAAGCTGGTCACGAAAAAGATGATTCATTATTTCTGATTAGGGTTAGTTGATATCTGATGTGTTCAAGAACTAGAATGGCAACCCGTAACCTGGGAAACATACAACGCGTCAAATAGAAAGCTTCGACACCTTGAATCTGGATAATTCTACATGGGAAATGCAAATGTATTATAAAAAAGGCAAAAAAAAGACTACTGGATAATAACAGAACGAATGATTTGGAAAATGGAAAAAAAAAGATATGCATGTGACAAATCTATGATGAACTCTTTGATCGTGAAATGGCTTTCTTGGATTCTTTGCGGAAATAATCCTTGCGACGTTCTTTATCCTTGGCGACATTGACGGCTTCAATCTTGGCCTTCTTCTTTTCATTCTCCACTCGTCGTTCCGCGTCTTTCATCTTGCGTTTGCGTTGCTTCTCATTGCGAAGCGTATTCAGCTGTTGCATAAGTGTATAAATTTTCTTCTCTTCCGGTTCCAGAACCACTGCGCGCTTAGCCAAATACGACTTCTTCGTTTGTGCTTTAGGAATCTTGGGCTTGGAAGCAAAAGGCAGCTCGGCCTGCAGAGCCTTTGGAATCTTCAATGTATTGAATTTTCTTGCTTTGCGTTCGATAGGCTAGTTATCAATCAATTAAATCCATCAGTATAACCGACTTTGCTTGCATCCTTCATTCATTTGCATTATCAGTTTACCTTGTAAATGGAATCGACATTCTGCGGTGCATGAAGGTTAAGATCCCTTCGCACTTCGCCTGTCAGACGCATTCCTTGCCATGATGACTTGGATGATAATAACAAGGATGTAACGGGATTATAGAATTTACGGGGCTTAACGGGATACCATGCTCTCAAAAATACGATATCTATCAAAAAAAGAATCAATGAGTAACACTCACGCGATACGATCATTCATAGTTTCACTAACCGCTCATCAGGACTTTATCTTCAAAGGTTGCACGGAAATGACCATCCGGTTTCTACAAAAAACACACCCATGAATATGTTTGATAAACAATCAATTCTTATCTTAAAATAGTGCTTACCGGCATTGCTTTCTTTACTTGACCGCGAATACCAGACACAGTTCGGATACTGGCGCCTTCGAATTTCGCCACTTCCAAAGCCGACGTGAACATGTCCTTGATAAAAGCGGTGTTTTTGTAGATTTTGTACGGTGTACCGGTGAGCTTCAATTTCTTGACGATTTCAGCTGATTGACTGATATCGACCACCACACCTGTGGCGCTGATACGGAAGGAGGACGTCTTGCTATCCGATACCGATTGCACTGCACAGAAACCAGTATTTGGTGTATGAACAGGACCGTAAAAGGTGGCAAGACAATGCATGTGCTCTGGTGTATATTTCAACATGCGGTTACGCGTGCCGTCATTCAGGGAATAGATGGGTATGCTCTGGAATCGTCTCCAACCGATCGAAAAGATGAGAGGATCGTTGGTCTTCAAGATCTTGCGATGCCAACGATGACGCTTGATTCTCACTTGTACAAGACCAAATTGGTCTTCGGACGTCAATAAACCGCCAACAAGAACAGGATAGGTGGGATCGAAATTTTCCACAAATTCACATGGCATGTCCTTGATGAGCAAACGTACGTAGCTGCCAGGACGATATCCTTCAACCATTGCACGAGTTTGCGGGTCATCATGTTCGAATTCATTACGATTCGTAATCAATTGCTGCTCGATCTCGGCTTTGCGCTTTTCATAAAAATCCATCTTGGGTTGATCGTCTTCCTCATCATACTCCTCATTGAATTTCTTCTTCAATTCTTCTTTACGCTTGGCGATACGTTGGCGTTCGGCTTCCACTGGATCCAATTCTTCTTCAGGCTCCTCTTTGGATGCCTCGCCCTCTTCACCTTCCAGATCTTCAAAATCACCATACACCTCTTCTTCTTCGGCTGCAGGAGCATTGGGTGCACCACCCTCTTCCAATTCACCGGTGATGAATCGATTACGGATAGAATTCAGAGTCTATAGCGTTGACAGACAACCGAGAATGAGAAGATCGACACGGTAATAACATTAAAAAAAAATAGCACTTACATCTTCATCATCCCATTCTTCCAATTCTTCCATATCAGGTTGCTCTCGTACAGTATCGAGCGTTTCTTCTTCATCTTTCTTTGTGTCCTTTTTCAACTTGAAGAATTCTTCATCTTCTTCATCCATATTATCATCGCCGTTTTCATTATCATTCTCTTCGTAATCACCGTTGGCGATATCTTCAGCGGTAAGTTCGGGTCGATTGTAAATCAAGGTCATCAAGTTGACACGACGATTGGAAAAGAACATATTGCTGGCTTTTTCCTTGAGATTCGCCTTCCATCGTAGTTCGCCAGCAAGTTCTTCGTCTTCAGATTCAGTACGGCGCTGACGTCCGTCAATATTGATCATGTCTTCGTCATCTTCCTCGCCACCGAAATCACTGTCACTGTCTGCAAATTGGACATCGTTTTCATTGTCACTTTCAGCATCTTCTTTTTCACCCTTTTTGGGAATATTTCGTGTGTCAAATTTCGTCAGCGCACGACCTCTGCGAGGAACATCATCTTCATCTTCATCCTCGTCTTCCTCCAGATCGTCGTCTTCGTCCTCTTCCATTTCCTCATCTTCATCTTCATCATCCTCGTCATCGTCTTCAACGTCTCCTGTCGCAAATACAGCACGTCGACGCGTTCTACCTGAATCATCTTCTTCAAGAGATTCGGTAATGGCACCTTCATCATCTGAAGCAACGTCCCCAGCGCGCAAGGGGGCTGATCCCGAGAAAATACGCAATTCCGAATCGGCCAATTGAGAAGCCAATGTATCCTGAACGTCCTGCAGATCCATAACCATTTTTTCTCCCAAACCAGCAGGCTGAACTTCATCGTCTGATTCTTCTTCCGCCTCTTCACCGTTTTTACGCTCAATGGGAGCCAGAGCCGATTTTTTCGTGAAAGTACCGGGAACGTTAATGTAAACGGCATCTTTATCGTACATGACACCACCGACATCGGACATGGGGGCGTAAATAAGCTTGTACTTCTCATCCAATCGTTTACGTTCTTTATCAGGTAACGGACAGGGATCAGGAAGAACGGAAACATCGGCTAACACATGATCACCAGCACCGGGAATGTGAATACGCATGTTGCTCTTGAGATTGGTACCGCGAAGATAGCCGTACAAGGTTACGGTACGATCGCAAGTCGGCTGTCGATGCAGCAATTCAGGATCAGTCAAATCTTCAATACGATCGGCGACAACATAAGGATGAGTATTGCGCCATACAAGAGGTCTGAATTTCATGACCGAAATGAAGCGTGACAAATTTTGAACTTCCATGTTGGGATATCGTCCATTGATTACGCCGGATAAGTAGAATAATTTGGCACCTTGATAAATTTCGGTCCAGAATCGATGCTTCAGTTTCTTCTTAGTAGTGCGCAATGTTTTGTTATTGCGGAATTTATCCAAATGGGTGAGCACGCCCATCACCTTGGGGAAACCATGTGATTGAAGAATGTTCAGAAATTCGAATGTTTCCTACGAAAGGGCATTGTCAATATCCAAGTGCCTTGTCATGAAACCAGTCAAAACTCACCATTTCGAAACCGAAACTGGCATCGATCATCAGCAGTACGAGATCTGCAATTTTAGCCACATCGATCATGGAGTTCATGTCATTGGCACATTCGATAAAAGTCAAACGTCGCTTTTTGCCTAAAGTATGGGAGAGGAAGATAAGTTTCCACCGCTGTTGATGTATTTGTATATTCACGACAAGTCACTTACCGCTGACAACGGTAATGGGTCCCTTGATTTCGTTGAGATTATGTTTGGTATATCGTTTCACAAGCGATTTAATAAGCGTCGATTTACCGGTCTAAGCAAGCAGAAGCAAAAACATAAACAATCATGAGTACCACAGACTCCATCGGCTGATTGGTGTACGCTGTACTTACACCGGGTGGTCCGACGACAGCAATCACGACCGGGGGTGCTTCGATGGGAGTACGGTCCACCAAAGGAACGTGCAGTTTCTTCTCACCGATATCAAAGTTACGTCGAGCAGTCTTTTCTGCCTTAGCTGCACTTTGGAATGAGAAAGCCTATGGTAAGAATGAAAGCCGGAGTGGGTTAGATCGCATGACACAACGGTAGATCAAGAAAGTCCAATACGTTACTTTAGGATTGCTCGATTTCTTGGCATTGACGAACTTGTTCTCTTTCTTTCTTTCGACCTTTTTGCCGGCCTTTTTGGCACGATGCGCCTTTTGAGGTTTGTCTTCCATGACTGAGTACAAACCAAGCGAATTCAAGTCAAAGGGATTGTCCTGTCCTGCTTCCAACAGCTACTGAGAAAAAATCAGGTTATTCGAGAAGAAAGTGGAATTGTGTGACTACTAATCCTAGACCATTGGCTAAGCCCACTGGACCATGTCGGAAAATCGAATCTTAGTTGTGAACAGCCACAGAAATTGAAATTGTGGGAATCGGGGTGCTTTTGAGTGTTGGGTTGTTAGGTTACGTTGTTCTTCTGTCGAAGTGTACCGTATGAGCTGAACTCTGATTTATTTGCATTCAAATGATGTGCATGTTTGGAATATTGCCATGGATATTTTGTGCACATCACTGCCTATAATAGGAGCAAAAAAAAAAAAAAAAAATGCAACTGTCACAAAGTGGATGAAGTGTATCGGGAGGACCAGAGGTGCCAAGAGAAGAAAGACATTGCTTTTGTTACAGCAGTTGGTCAATTATACCGGCAGCTTTTTCGTTGGTCCACATTTTTCTCCACATGTTGGCACGCAATATTCATTCTCCAAGATCCTAACAACCGTCGGGAAGATTTGAAACGTCTATATCCCCCTTGGGACATATTCCTCAGAGAGGACACTTGCCACCAAAGCACGGTTCTTTAAACTTATGGCTGTTTTGTTGTGATGGCATTAAGGCTACTAACAGGACATGCTTTAACACTGGAAGATAAGAATTTACTTCCATAAATGGCGAATCTGATTGGCTCTTTGCCCTCCCTTCACGCATAAACCTTCCAAGCAACGCCATCTTTATCACTGAGAGTTTGAGAGTGAATTAATCCCATCGTGCAGCAATGCTATTCTCTGCTACTAGAAGACATGTTCCGCCAAAGAAATTATTCGAAGCTAAACTCAAGCTCTTTCGTATTTTTGAGCATTAAGCGGAAAGAGGAGTGATAACAGCCCGATACGGTTGTGTAAGATTAATGCTAGCAGATACAATCGAGGACAAGCTCCGACGAGGAAATTGCTTGAAAACAGCCAGCTGGTATCATCGTCGGCTGGGCAGCATCATTCAACCATCAGATCTACCATAACAATAATTCATAATAACTCCTTGTTCATTGAGTGAACTTGCAGCAAAGATATATCTGTTATGCTTTTGTCCTTTTACTTATTCATAGTTCGCTGAAAACAGATTTTGCAAACATAGTCTCTGCTGTTTCTGATAAATTGATAAAAGGGAGGCTCGTAGGATGTTACAATGTATTGCTAGCACTTTATAATTTAGCATGGGTTGTGTCTATGGTAATTATGGGGGAATCGCGAATTATGCTTCGTATCCAGCTCTGCGGGCCAGAGACGACTTTAGGATATGATCCGTTACTTCGATATTGGAGGCTGATTTGTCAGCTTCTTTGTATTTGCCACGAGTTGCAATCCATAGCAGTTTCGGAACAAAAGGTTGCAATTTCTTTACACTATTACCGCCATCGTCGAGCTCTCCTCCACCTTCCACATGCATGTACGGTTCCACGTGACGCACAATATGAATTTTGCCTTCTTCAGTGGAACAAAACAGGATTTTTCGCTTGTCCAATCCATCACTACCTATTAATCCCGCATGATCAAGCAAATGTTGGATCTGATCTTGCTCCTCCTTTGAGCCAACGCTAATAAGCAAATAGACGTCGTATAGCTGCGACAGACGTGATAACAACGTGGTGGCATGTTCGTGGAACGCATGGTTGGGTACATCGACATCAGAGGACGGGTTCCACAGAATGGTCTACCCATCCCATTTCAATAATCCAGACACTGATACACAGTTTTTGCAACTTACATTCTTCAAGGAAATGGTTAGTTTTTCTTTCTTCTTACGTGAGTTGGGGACCGAACCGAGCAGTTTAGCGCTCCAACCACCTGCCGCTACGGTTGAAGAGGATGTACCCGGAAGGGCAGATTTGTCATCGCCAGAAACCTGAAACAATAAATATTGTCAGCTCATTTCAAAGTGATATTTATAAATGTGACTTACCTGAGTAGAGGATCCACTTAAAGAAGGAATCGATTTCGAATGGGAATTGTCCTGGAGTTGGCGAGTGGACTTTTTGTAATAATAAATGGCAAAACTAATGACAGCAGCTGCCAACGAAGAGTAGCCGAAAAGCTGTAAGATCCAGCGTGGCAACCAGCGCGATCTTGGAGAGGGAGAACTGGAGACCATAATATGTATCAGAAACAAGGCTTTCCAAGAGAGTGTCTGGGTGAAAGAGAAGAATGTGGAGAAACGGATGTCGGAGTGCCAAATCGGTATATTTCACATCGCAGGTTTAGTATTTCATGTGTTTTTGATACTCAGTCTTATTGTCAGCAGAAAAATGTCACTATTATGTACAGCATAGCGACGATACGGCTGCAGGTAACTACATACGCACATATTCACTATCGGCAGAAAAAGTGAACAAGATTTGCACTGCTTGCGCGGTTGAAAACGCTGATAACGGAACAAAGCTGAGATAGGCAATGCCATATACTATCGATCGATACGTTGGAATTATTGGTTTGATAGCACAGTGCGTACGATATACACATCCAAAAGGAAGCAGAAGAAACATGCCTGTGTTTTTACAGCTTAGACATGCTACAGAAAAACTCAAGAGCTGAGGAATTAATGCTCTTGGAACTTCTCGTGGACTAATACCGTTTATTTCAGTAAGTCACCGTAGGAATTTGGAAAATTACAAGAAAAATCGCAAATTATTATACAGAAAAAAAAAAGAGAAATGGCAATACGAGAAAAAGACATAAAAAAGCATAAACATCAAATTATGAGAGTAAATCAAACATAGACAAGTAAAAGCTAGTTAATTCGCGAGTTGGAAAATGACCACATTAGGGAGAGAAGAAGACATAAAGAAAACAAAGAAAACAAGAGCCATCAATAAAATTATATCTTATACGGCTTAACTTTTGATCATTCAAAAACTTACCGTAACCTCTGGGAAGATGGTCGCCCACTCCCAGAAGCCCGCAACCTGGGGGAGGACGGCGATAACCGCCCAGGAAGAGGCGAGGAAAAACCAAGAAACACCCAGGAACGACAAGAGGAACCCCCCCCCCCAAAAAAACCAGACGTCCAACTAGAGGGACACAGGAGAGAACGCCAGAGAAAAAAAAAGCCCGACCACGCGAAAAAAAAACACAAGCGGGAGACAAGGTCAGGCCAAAAAAAGTTCTCCGGAAGGAACAGAAGCAACGCCGAAGGGACAGGCAAGCAACGCGGACAGCGGAAAAAAAAAACGAAAAAACCTTGGTAACGGGGGCCACCAGCAAAAGGACATCTTCACCAGGACGGGACCAGAAAGAATGCGGAAAATGGAAGGGTGCCTGCAAGCCCTGTAGTGGTTGGGTGCCCAATAGGTGCCGCATTGTAATAGAGAAATAAGGCGGTCAAAGGTCGTATTAATACTGTTTGTTATACATTTATTCATTTACAGGTTATCGAATATCTCATCTATAAATTTTGGAGTTGTTCGGATGGCCTTTTATTATTATGGACGCTGTCCATCGAAACATATCATGCATTTTTTTTTTTTTTTTTTTTTTTTTTGGGAAATTAAGAAAATTTTGAAATTCCTACGGTGACTTTTGAACAGGAGTGTACACCAAAAGAACGCATCAAGGACTTGTGTCGTTTTTTTGGTCAACAGACAAGATGCGAAATATATTTATCATGGTAAAATAAATAGGAATAGCTTGGTGAAGTGACTATGGGACAAAGTACAAATACATTATCGCTTCACAGGAATCAATGTTCGGTATATAATAGTAGGAATAGAAGCCAAGCCTAATGCTGATGAGAAGATATAAGTTGATCAGGAGCCTCTTCGAGGACGACCATTTTCCCTTGCATCATATGAGATGTGATATGGCAATGTACTGCCCACGCACCAGGATTGTCCTATAATCGAAGGGGCATCAGGTTAGATGATTCAAAATAATTCAGTTAGCCCAAAGTTCACTGTACATACCCCTATAATACGGATTTTTGTCCAACCACATCCTGTGGTGCCATGGGTGTCATTGATCAGTCCGCTTGGATATACAGGGGAAACATCTTTATACAGAGGAGTAGGAAAATTGCGTATGTGGCCGTCCCTTTTATGGTCGTATTCGCCGGGACCACTGGCAATGAGGAAGTGGGAGTGGCCATGGGTATGCCAAGGATGGAAAAGGCATCGATTACCGACTCTTTCTGCATTTTGCAGAACAATGTCGACAATCTCATTGTACTTGACGGGAAACGTGCCGTGCTTCTTGTAGTAACCATCGGACTCGAGATCCGTTGTGGAAATATGAGGTTCTGACATGGCCATTTGAAGGACAGGCGTTTCATGCTCCGGCGGGGCTCGTCCATTGATGTAATATCGAGTGGTGTTGTCTTGCTGAATCGTTTCTACTGGGCGAATTTTTATGACGCGTACATCGTTTGCTTTTAGAATATCAGAGTGAGGAGCTTCATGCAAAGGCGCCAACTGCGGCCAAATCCAATCGGGAGTCACTGTTAAGGGGAATGTAGGTAGAAGATCAGTGGCTTGACTTGGTGCAGGAGGAACAATGAGGGGTTTCTTGGTCGACGTATACTTTGTTCGGGTCGCGCTGACATATTTCAAGTAACCGTAGCCATTCTCGGTATAGCTTTGACCTGAGCCTCGCCAGCGGTAACCGGTAGCAATCGTGAAAAGTTCGCCCGGCTGGGCATTGTTGGTTCGTAACAAAACGGAGAAACGCTGACCGGAGGTTACTTCCAGGTAATCGGTTTCGTAGGGCTTGGTCATTTCGCCGTCCACTTCAATGATGGTCATGGTATGCTTGGCAATACCAAAAGCAAGCGTACGGAAGCTCATACCGCCAATGATGCGCAATCGATACACTTTGTTCGGTTCAACGTTCAACGTGGTGTAGCCAGGGCAATCATCCGGTACAGGCAGTGAAGTGTTACAAATTGTCTTCCCGTTCAACAGAATACTGACTGGGCCAGGGTCGTTGACAAACTGAGGACCCATGACGTAGGCTGCTCGTTCGTCGAAGGATTGATGCCACCATTCGGACAAGTGGAGAATCAGTTCGTCATCATATGTGTAGCCACTATCCTGCAGTTGCTTAGACTCTTGTTTTCGGTTCATTGGCCAGGACGCATCATCATCGTAAACAATAAAGGAGCCCTGCACAGTGTCGTCTTGCATGTCTACATGCGCATGATAAAAGTAGGTCCCAGATTGCTGGGTCACACGGAACCGTTGGACAAAGCTTTCATTTGGAGGAATGGCCACTTGAGTAACATTGGGTACACCATCGGATTCCGAGGTCCCCAATTGCCGGATACCATGGTAATGGATGGTGGTCGAATACTTGGGATTTCTGTTATGGATGGTAATCTCTACATCGTCGTCTTTCTTGACTCGGAGGGTAGGGCCGGGAAATTGACCATTGACCAACAACGCAGGATACGATTGATTCGCACAATCAGGATTCAGGCTACCAGAATCAACGTTTAGCTCGAATTTTCGGATAGCCGCGTAAGCGAAATTGGTCCAACTGGCGCCAAGCAGCAAGCAAAACAGTATGTGTAATTGGGGCAATTTCATGAGGATCTGACGAAGGAGAGGCAAAGTCCGTTGGCGCGTCGTCTTCATCCTATTTAAAAGAGCCCAAACGAAATAGACCTAAATGATCGACACATACTGCAAAGCATCCACGTTCTTGTTTTGGGGAAGTCAAGGATAATGCATAAACGATAACAAAGTCACGGAAATAGTTTATTCGGGAAAAATACAACGGTGGATGCTGGATTTGCAATTAAGGAGCGTTATGTGATTGAAACTAAATTTGTCTCGTTTGTAATTTCTGTGTCTCGCAAGCTGCATTCTATTGAACAGATGGTCGTGCGTGCAGACAGAATATGGTGATTATCTTGAACAGTGATTTGCGTAGTGCATGGAACATTTATTTGCCATGGCCACACCTCAAGTTGCATCACGGCTGATCAAAATAGATGCGCTATGCTGATTCCCATGCATTTGACTGTAAGGAGGTATTTGTGTCAAGGGAGAAAGGTACTTCTATGTCGATCGCAGTCAATACATTGACCACTTATTAATATCATCATTGCCTTTTATTTACAGAGGAGGAAATCTGGTATTGGACGGTTTCGATGCAACAGATGAATCTGCTCCATGGTTTCACCAAACACACGAAATCGACCAATGACGCAAGATTATCCATTTTCGATAGATTACTCATTCACACACCGGTGGAGTTGGAAAAAAAAGAAAGGGACCACAACGCTAAGCTGTGTGGCCCCAGTTTACACTTGAAGTTTTTCCTTTTATCACTATATTTCTACCATGAGTATCTCGTCGTCTCCTGTTACCGACATTGCCCGTGCTGCACGTTTAGCCTCTGTCAGCCTGCAGTCCGTGACCAATGAACAAAAGAATGAAGCATTGCTGCGCATTAAACAAGTGCTGGCTGAACGCAAAGACGAGATTTTCAAAGCCAACGAGGAGGACAAAAAGGTACCCTATCCCTGTATTGCGACCGTTCACTATTCAACTTGCGTTTATTGCGGATGAGGTTGCCCAAGGGGTGGAAGGAGGAGTTACTAACATCTTTTGAAACCTAGTTGGCTGAGGAGCAGGTCAAGGCCGGCAAGTTGTCGAGTTCCTTGTTCAAGCGTCTGGATATTTGCAACGGAGACAAGTTCGAAACGATCTTATCGGGTGTGAGCGACATTACCAAACTGGACGATCCTACAAAGAAAGTGACATTGGCCACCAAGTTGGATACCGATCTTCAGCTGTACCGTGTGAGCGTCCCTGTGGGTGTGTTGCTGACAATTTTCGAAGCCCGCCCGGAAGTCGTGGTCAATATTTCTTGCTTGGCCCTCAAATCCGGCAATGCTGTAATTCTCAAGGGCGGTAAAGAAGCGACGCATACGAATGCTGTCTTGGCTCGGGTGATTCAAGATGCTTTGGCCAGTCTTTCCAGCAGCGGTATTCCGAAAACGGCGGTTCAAATTGTCGAAACACGTGAAGACATCAGTGCGTTACTGGAACAGGACCGATACATTGACATGGTGGTGCCTCGCGGAAGCAATAGCTTGGTGAAATATATTCAGAATAACACTAGGTAAGCTAATAAGCGTATGGAAAGGGACCTAGTCGTCAGATCGCTGATTGTTTCTTTGTTTCTGCGGGTGGTTAGAATCCCCGTTCTCGGTCATGCCGATGGCATTTGTTCGGTTTATATCGATAAAGATGCTAATATTGCTAAAGCGGCCAGAATTTCAGTGGATGCGAAAACGAATTACCCTGCGGCGTGCAATGCTGCTGAAACTTTGTTGGTGCATCGCTCGCTTCTACAATCCGATGCATTCAAGACGGTTGCTCAAGCACTTCTGGACGCGAATGTGACGTTGAAGTGTGAAGCCGAACCCAAGGCGGCGTTGGCAGGACTTGGAAGCGACAAGGTGGTGGATGCCACAGAAGATGATTTCTATACCGAGTTTTTGGATCACACAATGGCCGTCAAGGTTGTAGCGGATGTGAACGAGGCGGTGGAACATATCAACGAGCATGGTTCCAAGCATACCGATGCTATTGTCACTGAGAATGGCGAAACGGCTGATTTCTTCATGACACGCGTGGATGCCGCGGGATGTTATTGGAATGCCAGCACCCGTTTTGCCGATGGTTTCCGTTACGGTTTTGGTGCGGAAGTTGGTGTAAGTGACCAGTGACCACGAAGAGAAGTGAAAGCGAGGTTGCCGTATGATCATGAAGAACTGACCATTGCTTTCAATTTGAATAGGTATCTACCAACAAGACGCATGCTCGCGGACCGGTAGGATTGGAAGGTCTGGTTATCTACAAATACCGTGCCTATGGCAATGGTAACGTCGCTGGCGATTACGGATCAGGCAAGAAACAGTATCTTCACGAACCCATTAATGCCAGCGAGCGCATTCTGTAAATTGCATACATACACTACGTCTTTCTGTTTACAACAGCAAGCTGTATTCTGTACCGATCCAAAGTAATGCATGTTTATTATTTGAGAAAAAAGGTGAAATGAAAGCAGAAACAACAAAAACAAAACAAGAAACCAAATATGCGACATTGCAAGATTATTTGGAGACTTTTTACTATCCATGATGACGATGAAACAATAAGCATGCAATGCGCGCTGCCGCGCAGCGGCAGTACTGTGGAGACAACGTTGTAGCTAGAGGGATAGCTCAGGATAATTATAGCATGGTCGTAAGGGACAGAACTGACCTGATTGCAGAAGCCCAAGTGTTATATTTTTACGTGGCGGCGGATATTGCTGTGGCACTGTTGTAGTGACTCATGTTCAATGTGGAATAGTCTGCATGATCGGGTCTGGGTTCCTGGTGCCTGGGTTAGTGAACTCCGATCAGAAATCGGGAATTTCAAATCTGATGAAAGCAAAAAGATGAATTCAGATCATAAGATATATAGAGGCTGGGTAGGAATAGATAATCCTGTCAGTATCATAAATTCTCTCACTTTTTTTTTTGCTTTATTGTGATATTTTTTGTTTTCTTTTGTTTTTTTTTTGTGAACAAAAGCGGAGGGTCATTTTCGACCCTTGAGCGTGAAGGAGAATTTATAGTTTTATATGCTTGAGAACTTTTTTTTTTCATAACACAAAAACATAGCAAGAAAAGATCATAAGAAACAATGGCGTAATAAGATGAAAGGAAATAAGAGAAGAAAAAGAGAAACAACAATAAGAGTAAGTGTAAAGAAAGAGATGTTTGAGCGTAGCGTGATAATTCTAAGCTAGTGTACCACAGGTGACAAAAGCCATAAAACTATGCCAAAATCCACCATGTTGAGGTTGGACCTTGGGCATGGTATCTTCTTGTCGCGGTGGCGACAAATTATGTGTATCGGCTGGATTGGGCGAGATAGGCATGGTTGTGTGAGACTTCTTATGCTCGGTATCCAGCGTATGAAGGGGAGGGGAAGTCGGGGTGGGCGTTGGTGTGGCTGAAAGCCTTGTAGGTTGTTGAACTTGTTGGCGATTGGAAGCATGGCGTTTGACGGATTGATGATGAGCCGCGGATCGGCGGGCTTGCGTACTGTGCTGATGATTTAATCGGCCACCGTTGTCTCGTTCTCGTTGCCGACGGTGCTAAGAATAAGAAACCATTGAGTTGCAGTTCTTCATAGTCATGAGGTCCAGATTACTTACCTCCCATCCTTTACCATCGTTGAGTAACATCCAGTCGTACACACCATCATCGGTTTCACCTATACGAGCGAGGACTTTGTTGAAAAGTTCGCGCAAGAAATCGTAATCAGGGGTTTCTTCGAATCTGAGCTTGCGCACATACTGCAAGTAGATGCCAAATTCTTCTACAGTGGACGAACAAAAAAAAAAAAAAAAATTCTGAATGAGAAAAAAGTAGGTTCCTTTCCTTTCTGCGGCGCCACCCGATTCGCATGGAATGGAATACCACTTACCTGGAAACCCCTCACATAAATCTTTGACTGCTGTTGATTGTTTTTTCTCGCCAATCTTTTCGTATTTCTGCTTGTTGGTGGCAGCCTTGAGCCCTTGCCAAGGTAATGAACCCCGTAAAAAGTACATGAATACATGGCCTAATGATTCAAGATCGTCTCGCCTTGATTGTTCTGCATAAAACAAACATCAAGAAACCAGGGTCAATAAAGGGGTTTCAAGAATGATCAATTTTGGATGAAATATACAGAGGGGTCAGTGTGCGCGAAAAAAAAAAAGAAATCGACACAGAAAAAGATGTACGAAAATGAATTGCGGGGGCTTTTTACCTCTTCCCAAATGCGTATTGATGCTCATATACCTTGCGGTGCCTGATAAACTTTTGCGTTCTCGGTATGGAATGTGTTGCTTCGTTTTCGGATCGCGGTACTGTTTGGCCATGCCGTAATCAATCAAAAATACCATGTTGGCGTATTTGGTGCCTGGGCGGCCAATTAAGAAATTATCAGGCTTGATATCCCGGTAGATCAAATTGCGTTCATGTACACTTTCCACTCGACACAACTGATGCCATCATCAACACATATGCAGAAAAGCAGATTGCAACGTCAGTGATCCATGTTCGGTGGTTCATGGCCAGTGATGATTTTTCTCTATGATGCTGGTTTTCTTACCATCTGTTTGGCGAGCATGGCCACCGTTTTTACCGACATTTTGCGGTTACACATGTCAAACAAATCTTCTAGACTTGGACCCAACAAATCAATGACGAGAATATTGTGCAGACCCTCTTGTCCGAAATAATAGGCGCTTGGGACACCGGCTACAGGACAAACCCAGAAAAAAAAGAAAAACAAAGGGAAGAAGCATAAAGTTTAGTCGTCGCTTTTGTTCTTGGGGCTGACCATGTCGAATGTTACGTTACGTAAACCGGCGAGGATCTTGTAAGTACGATATTCGTCTCTCAGTTGTGGGGCGTCGGATTTGCGTGGTTCAAACTTGATGGCAACAGATTGATTGTTGAGCAGATTGGTGCCTGTGGTTTGCGTTGGCGTGAAAAAAAAGTATTTCGATTAGTCTAACATAAGAATGGGGGAAAAAGCCGGGGGCCGCGGGGGGAAATACGTTGAATGATCACCTTCGTACAAGACACCAAAACTGCCTTCACCCAACTTCTTGCCCACACGATAGTGTACACCGACGATGTTCTTGGACGACTGGGTGGATGTGGTCGTAGATGGACTATGATGAGTCGCCATTCACGGGAAGGATGGGAACAAGAGGGAAGGAAAAAAAGAGGAAAAAAAATTCACAGGGAATCAAAAGGCGAAATAAAGAAAAAAGGAGAAGATGAAGAGAAATGAAACCGCTGTTAAAAATTGGGTTATGCTAAATTATATTTTTCGCCGTGTTATTGATATGTTTATGATTTTATACAACTTTTCTAATTACAAGAAAAAGAGACATAAACAGGTACACCTACAGACAATCGCTAATAAAGTGCAAAAACAAAAACATCCTTTTTTTTCGCTCTGATATATAAAGCGACACGTGTTTTCCGTTTTTGTGTTGTGGCCATGCCTTGAAAAATAGCAGGGTGACACTTGACGGAAAATCAAATCTATCAAAACAGAAAAGAGGAACATTGTATTCTTGGAATTTGCATCCGATAAATAATACAGGAAAAACAGGGAAATTTCACCAATCGAATCAAGCCTCTACCAAAACACCAACAAAGTTAAAAACCCAAGAAGACAAAAAATGATGAACAGATGCCATGGAAATCTGGAGAAAGGGGCGCTCTGCTTTTCTCCAAAAGGAGGCACACCGAAGGAGCAAGAACAGTATCATACACGCATCTTCGTCACATCACCACAGCCACACGCACACACCAAGCTTCCTCAAGTAACCTTCCAATGAAAAAGTGTGTCAACAATGCCTCTTGATTCATTAAAAGGAAACCCTTTTCAAAATAGTATATGCAAACTATCGATTCTTCATTGCTCGGTTTCTTATCCCGCCTTCCCGCCATTCGTCTCATTTATTGCAATAAAATACCAACAAGATCCATCGGCCCCAGACCAGCTCCGATCATCTTACATCATTCCTTCAACGGGCAACAACAGATCAAAAAAAAAAAAATTCTGCCACTGATTCGTGCCACAAGGTTTCGTTGCTCCCATGACACTTCAAACAGGACTCTACACGCTTACTTGTACTGTATGCTGCCTACCTCAGAGTGATCATCGCTCCGTTTGGACATTGCAAACTCAGACATAGCATCTCAAACAAGCAGTAATAGAGTAAGGAACTCCCAACCACCGGCATCGTCAACTCAATGCGATCAAATTTCCGACACTAAAATAGAAATTATAGCTGATACGTCATCTCCAAACATGCATCCACTATTTGCAGTATCTCAATATTTTGTTATAGAAAGCAATCAAGGGACCATTGCTCGCTTTCATTTCTGCCAAATGATCCGAATCCATAATAGGCAATGACCAATAAAGCATTATGATCATGGCTGGAAAAATGGTCATCGTTTGCGTTCACAGAACTGTATCGAGAGCGCTGGTAAGCAATAAGATGGTTTACTCGGCCTGCGTTCGTTACTCATTGAGAACCTTTTGCAGCATAAGGACTTGTCCTTTCACCCAGACAACAATGAACAAATAACGGTCATCGCCCCCAACTGTCTTATAATATTTCAATCATTCCTTTTTTTTTAATTCTGAATTGAGCCTATATCTGTGAAATATATCTTGCGATCCGCCACGATATTTGTCCTAGCCAGCGATTAGAGGGATAGTAGCGCATCTAGGGCGATATGAATATCCGGATGAAAGGCAAATGTATGAATGATGACAGCCGACATATCGCATTCAATGCGAAAAGACGGTTCTGGATAAAACACAATCATTACAACGAATAAAATACACCATGGGCGTATCTGCTCGTGGATGGACGAGATGGAATTAAGGGACAAACATATCAAATTTACGCCGGAGAGAGGACTTGCCGGACCCGAATTGCTTGCCCGAAGAACTTTTGCCGACGTTCTTATGTTTAACTTATGTTATAACTGCGTCTTCCTGTCGGAAACCGAAGATAATCCTGGTAAACTCGATGTAGCCGGAAACCCTATCGAACCAGAGATATGAAGGTAGTGGCTATAGAGTATTGACAGTAATTAATTAATATCTCATTTTGGTGACAGATGGATGTCTGCTTTGAGGAACGGTTAGAAGAACCCTTTTGGTCTCCCAGATGACCATAGTAAGGCGAGGGTAATGGAAGCTGTTGCTGGAGCCACATCACATGGCAGTTACTCACGCTTTAATAACGTTACTGAATATGGTTAAAAAACGTTGATATTATCCGTGCGGGAAGCATGAGCTAAAAATGTTTCTTCTATTTTTTGATTCTATCACAAAAAAAGCCTGGCAGCCATTGATATTTATCATCATTCGATTGGAGCTTGCTCGGCTTTACATCATGAGGAAAGCTTCCTCCATTTTAATTTGCTCTTTTTGTTGCCGCCTTACCCGAAAAAGTCGATCATCCGCTGAATGAACGTAAATCGTCAAGTGTCAGCCATCGAAAACGCTCAAATGTGGGAAGCAAATATAAGTCGGAGTATGAATGACGAAACCATGATGCACTCAGTGGTGATGTACGAGTTTGTCGGCATGAATTTCGCTGAAGATATATAAAAGACCAACGGCTTATGCAGTAGCTTATAGTTTTAAATAACCTTTTCTTTAAACAGAATCACCATGTCTGATAAAAGCCAACTTACAAGCGACGTTGATAACATGACGAACCAAGTCAAAGCTTCCATTGAGCAAGCAACAGTATGTATTTCTGTTCACCTACCGTAATTACAGTAGAATATGCATTGATTTTGATTTTTCAGGATTCTGCACCTCGAAGAAGAAGTTCGTTGTGGAAGGAATTTCAATCGGGTAGTGTACTAGCCTCACAGCGTGATATTACCGGTACTCGCTCTGGAGATTCCACCGGATTTTCTACATGTGCTGCAAAGTTTGAAGACACTTTTGGTGGTTCGGCTTTAACAGAAACGGGATTCACCGAAGCACCGACGGATCCAAAGTACCGGCGACAAACTATCGATCTATCTGAAGATGCTTTACGTCAAATGACATAAAAAAAAGAAATCGTCTTCCTTTCTCTTCTTTTCCTATCTTCCAACTCTTTTCTTTTTGTACAGCGACTTGATATATATATATATATTTGATAACGCAGAATGAATAAATGCAAAAACTGTAGCTGTTGAGATTGTAGTGCTGTATATTCTGGATTTGCCTACGCATTTTCAAGCAAGAAAGTCGTGTGTATCTTGATATGGTGCGTGCTTCATGTCTTATGGTAATGGTGGTAAAAGCAGAGTGGTACTTGTTGAGCTTACTGATCTAAGAACGTTGACCTACTGAACTTCGCTTAATGCTTCTCAATTCTCAACCACTTTGCCCGAAATGCTCAGATGGGCCATTTGGACAATGTCAACACATTCGAAGACAAAAAGCCATGAACTTTTTCGATTGCGGATTTTTTGGGGCGTTGTTTAAATTCTGACTTTTATTTCAATAAATGGACGACATTGATGCTGATTGTTCAGATGGCTGACGATATTCTTTCGCAACGCATTCGCTTTTCTTCCCCATGCAAGAATCACTGGCCATACAAACGGAACGAAGTTCAGGAAGTTCAACATCCGACGAAACCAGTGTTAATGGTACACCGTCATCGTTTGACTCCAATTATTCATCGAATTCCAATATGAGCGATCCCGTCAAATGTTACAACAAATTACGTCGACAAGGTTCAAGAAGCTCAGTTCTCGGTATAGTTAATAAAAGACATTCCTCTCAAGGCAAGTGAAAGTATGACTCCCGTTCAAACTTGTTCATAACCGCCTCATCGTCGGCTACGATCATTAGAACCCAATATGTCAACGTGGTATCAGCACAAAAAGCATTTTTTCATTCTCAGTAGTGCCGGCAAGCCGATTTGGACAAGGTAAAAGAAGCACTGTCCATTTGTCGCCAAAGAGAAATATGTTTAAGATGAATTTCGCATGTCTAGATATGGTGACGAATCAAGGCTATCTTCTCTGATGGGTGTGACCCAAGCGATTATTTCTTTTTTTCAGGATGGTGACGATACCATAAAGTAGGCATATATGCATTGTGAAGCAATATCATTGAGAAATCACCTGTTGAATGATGATGATTGGCCATAGGTTGATCAACGCCGGAAATCACAAATTTGTATTTCTGCTCAAAGGACCTCTTTATTTCGTAGCCGTATCACGGACAGGTGAATCGCACATTCAGGTAAGGAAAATTATGTCACGATCAAAGACATCAAGTGCAAGAACACTCACAATTTAGTGTCAGCTGCGAGATCAATTATTATATCTGCATAATCAAATCCTGAGTGTCCTGACCAGCCTTCAACTGACAAAGATATTTGAACAAAGAGTCAATTTTGATTTGCGACGATTGCTTGGAGGTAAGACTGGATGAAAACAGCCAACTGGGAGAAAGCTGTGAACGACGACTCATCCGTGTCCGTCATTAGGAACCGAAGTATTCTTGGATAGCTTAGCAACGTTGTTCAACAAAGATCACAGCTTCATGTTGAGCGCACTTCAATGTCTCCGGCTCAGTCGATCCATTCGTGATCAAATGGGATCAATATTAGCGGATAACAGGGCCAACGTAAGTGATATAAGCAAAAACCACGCCAACCAAGTTGATGACACAAGGTAACACACGAAAAATCCCCGACAATTAGAACCTGCTTTACGGTATGGTCGTCGCCAAAGGTTCGCTAGTGACATTGTTGCGCCCGAGAAAACACAGTTTACATCCGTCAGGTAGTAAATGATCATGGGAAACATGAAAATGGGGCTCGTTGATCCGCTTACGCTGGATGACGATAGATCTTCATCTACTGTTTAATATGCTCACGGGATCGACGACCTTTCACACGGGTGAATCATGGACGCCGCTGTGTCTACCGAAATTCAACTCTAAAGGATTTCTCCACGCATACATATGCTACATTGAACGCGATGTATCCATTGTCATGATCAGTACCGACAAGGACAACTTTTTCCAACTCAGTGAATGCAAAGCAGCCATGGTAGAGGTAGGCACTCAACAAAAACGGTTAAGCTAAAATACCTCCATCGATTTCTAACCTCATCGGTCCACAGCGTATGCGGAAGCAGAATATTATTGAACCTATCCAAAAAGCAGCTGATACCATGTATGTGACAGGTAAGAATCTTGACTTTTGAACCGTTTTAGGAGCATTGGTTTGCGATTCCTGACACTGCATAAATTACAACAGAGGATCTCGGCATCAGTCATTTGCGCCACTTTTTGTATAAATCCAAAGTGCATGTTCAGTTCACAAGTCCTGGCTTTAGCGGGCCTTATATACAAAAGAATGACCAGAAACGGTAGGCAATTTCTCGGTTGCCAGAGCAACAATCACGCATGCTAACAGGGATACATTAGACTTTATCGTTTATATCAGCATGTCTACGACCGTATGCATGCAAGAGCAAGACCTTTAAAACTGTACTATCATGACAGTGATAAAGAAATTATCCTAGGATGGGTACGTATGTTGGATGATTTGCAAAGCCAAAGAGAAAAACTCACCAACCTCCGCACACAGATTACTTCCTCTTTTGAATTATACGTAGTCTTTGCGCCCAATACACCCAAACCTACGATCATTTCACGATCGAACCAATTATTGAACTGGATTCGAAGAAACGAAGAAACATTGTTTATTCTCAATTCTCCTATTTTCTAGAATTTCTCATCACCCTCTTCCTTTTCACGCAAATTCATGATTTCCAACTGTCCCCTGCCCTTTGTTTCGTTTTGCAACAGTTCGCTGATCACACGGTATTGTCCAGGATCCACTAATGCAATCTATATCCAGAATAATAATGATTATTAGCTTCATCTCTTCGTCATTAACAAATCACTAAATATTACCAATTCGTATTCTGTGCCTTCAAAGTCTTCATCCTCCACGGACGTAATGGAAGGAAGAAGTTTCTCGCGCAGCTTTTTCGTTTCTTTTCCTTGTGGAAGTGTGATGCGTAACCGCATTTGTGCACGTTGAATAGGCAGCAAGTTATTCTTTTGCAGCTGTTTAATCACGTCTAAAGCCTGTAGATAATTCACGAATTAGCATGGAAAACATCACGCCAATACCACCATTCTCGGGCTTTTACCTGAGATTTGGAGCTTCGTTTGGGATTGACACTCAAGTGCAAGTCTTGCATTGCCTTTTCGATCATGGTCACAGTATATGGTCGCTTGGTTTGAGGATTCACACAGTTGTCGGTGACAATATTGGCAATATCGCGCCACATCGACTCGAGTTGATTAGATCGCTCCTTTTCTGCCACCTGAAGTTCGCCTTTTTTCAGAATCTAAGGTAAAAAAGAGTTAGTAATGGGGCCACAAATTATGTATTTAAACGAGTGCCTACTTCTTGAATCACTTTATCGACTTCATCGGTTTTGAACGTCTTGATCATATCATCTTTACTGGCCACTTGGCCTTTGGACACATTCAGAAATACGCTGTGAATCTGCAGTACTTCATCCAAATCCGTTTCTCTAAAGCCTTTTTAATGCGACGATCCAGTTACTGGTATTTCACTAGACGCTTACACATTGCTTCGCCACTCCATGACTTTATTTTTGTAACAGGCGAGTTCGAATCGTTTACCGCCTTTCCGTAATCGTACCACGGAGACGTTGGTCAACCTACCAGTGGCAATCCCTTGTAAGTCTCGAACTTAATTGAGCATTCATGTAGTGTTTTAGGTCATACTTGATCTGTGTGTTGGGCTGCTTAATGACCATGGTATGATTGCTTGTTCAGAGTATGATCAGTGCAATTGCTTTATAGTTCTTTTTTTTTTTTCTCGAACTAGGGAGCAGTAAAGAAGGTCGGAGATCCAACTTTTATTTTTTCGGGGTTTTATTGCCGCAGCCCACACAAAAAAAATAGGGCCACCACATTTTTTTTTGTTTTTTGATGCACAAACATCGTGCGACTAATAAAAGTATCAGGTATACAACAAAAAAAAAGGCAGCGGCAGGTTTGACGCATCTTTCTATTCTTCCTAACAAGCACAGCCAGGATCATGTGTGTGTTCACCACTGGGTATATTAACGGTGTCCGGAAATTCACTGACAAAGAAGAGTCAGGTTCCTGCCATCGATGTACTTCTTCAGTCGCACTTACATATCCACTTCGCTTTCTTGAGCTAAAGCATTCTTTGCAATGGTCTGAAACGCTTGCTCCACATTAATCGCTTCTTTGGCCGACGTTTCAAAGTATCTGAGCAAAAAGAGAAATGGTTGCGCACGTTGACATTTACTTCTTCCTTAGCTGCAATCTCCCCCTCCCCAAAGATCACTTACGGCACATTGCCTTTCGATTGGCACCATGCCATGGCCCGTTTTTGGGAAATCTAAGCCAAGGCGCGTGAGTGTGAGCAGCCTCGTAGGATGAAGCATATGCAGTGCGGTTCCCGGTTTTTCTTTTACCATTCTCCGAGATTCTTCGACGTCAACCTTATTACCGAGCAAGACAAACGGAAACTGTTCAGGATCTCGGGGTGAGGCTTGCACCAAAAATTCATCACGCCATTGATCTGGTATCACATACACCTTTTCAATACGATGTCTCGTTTTTTCATTCATCCAAACATGGATACTTTACCTAGTGACTCAAAACTCTTACTATTGTTGACATCATAGGCCAGAACACAGCAGTCGGCCCCTCGATAGAAAGCCACACCTAAGGATTGAAATCTTTCCTGACCGGCTGTATCCCAAATCTAACCTAGAGTTTCAGGCACGGAGTTCTTCATTTATAGTCACCACACGATGACGTGCTTACCTGCATGGTAACAACCCGACCGTCCACCAGCACTTCTTTAGTTAGAAAGTCAGCACCGATGGTAGCCTTGTATTGGTTGGAAAACCGCTTGTTCACATACTGGTTCATCAGCGATGTTTTGCCAACACTGTCCGAGATGTCCACATGAGATGAATAACCGCACAAGTCGCCCAATCATGCTAATCCTTGATACTTTACCCGCTATCACCAAGAATGATGACCTATGTTTTCCGACAAGGTCGTTTAACCTTCTGGCATACACTTCTTGTTGTTAGAACTGACCTTCAAAAGTACTTTTTTTCGACCAGAAGACATCGACACTAGTGAATGAAAAAAGAACGGGAAAGAAAATAAAAAAATAAAGAAAAAAACACACACAAAACCAAGGTTTCCAGTCCAGGTGGTTTTCCCTTCTTCTGGCCATATTATTATAAGCTGATGTGCGTGATCATGTGCTGCTGTTTCATGCACAGAAGAAGGTACTTCAGCCAATCATCTTCTAGCTTTCCTGACAAGGTTCATCACCAATCGCCATCACCAAAAAGAGTCAAACCGAGTCGAAAGAAGTAGGAGGCAAAGTAAGAAAAACATTAACAGAACAAAAGTTATTACAGAAAAAAAAATGCAAGCAAAATAAAGGAAAACGAGAGGAAAAAAAAAGGAAAACTATAAATGTAAGGGAAATACAAATCTAACCGATAATTCTTTCAATGACTTCACTTGCAAGCTTGGCATTCTGAAGTACATTGATACTGCCTGCACCAAAGTTTGGATCGTTCAGTGCAGAGAACCCGACCTCTTCTAATAGCGCTTTCTGACTACGCTTGTTTTTCGCTTCCACGAAAACAGGATCCGAACATGCTGTGAGCAGAATGGATTTCACCGACTCAATGATTGGTTGCGTATGGCTGCTCATCACAATTTGATGCATTTTCGGAAGGATCGTATCATAACTACAATAGATACAATTTGGTTAATACCTCTGGAAGAAAAACCATACTCATATGGAAGTTATCAGGAGACTCGAGACTCCAGAAGGGGTTTTCATAATGGTATAGTACAAGAGATACTCGCTCACTGAATGGAAAGACACTTACACGACCGGGAATACTTCCGGCATGGAAACGGCCGCTTCGGCCAACAGTCCGTAAAGGAAGAGTCGTTCAGATTCGTTTTCAGCTGAGTTCAGCAAAGTGCTCAGCATGGAAATAAAGAGGAGCGCGGTGGTGTTATCGGGTATGTCCAGTTTATCAAAGATACCATAGTACGGCTTGCTCAACCCTTCCAAAGATGGTTCCAATTCCAGATCAGAAAGCCCAGCCATCCTAAGAACTTCTTTCAACGCTTCATTTTTGATTGCCAGAGGTAGTAGCCCAGCAAGGTAACCCAGCTTGTGTGATTCGATGTAGTTGTTCTCGTTCGAATTATGCTTGCATTCAATGTCAAGGAATGTCGTCAATCCCTGATAGATCATTCCTTTGGCGTTGTTATACTTTAAGCCTTTCATGAAAATACTCGCCATGGCAAACGAGAAATGCGTCTCGAAATTCACTCCGCACAGCTGATCCAGCTGTCCCGCTATATCCGCCATCGGTTCGCGTGCAGCCAGTAACACGTCCACGATCGTATCACCACCGAAATATTCGTTCGCATCAAGCGCCCGTAAAATACCAAGCAACAACTCGATTGCCATCGTAAATGTCGCACCATCGTTTATCTCCACCAGCGACACCGCTACCCAGAATAACGGTAACAGGTATCGCGAGTCCGCAGGCAAGCTTTCCACCATATTCTTCAGACACATCATGATGCTCAGCACGAGGCTGGAATTGGATTCGTTGAAAATCGCTACCGCGCCTCGTAAAGCGACCAATATCTGATACAGTAAATCGTCGTCCACTTCTTCTCGACCCAAGCAACCCAGCACCACAAATGCGCGTGGCTGGATAGCAGGATTGAATTGGAACGCTGTACTTGCCACTAGACTCATCCATCGCGCTCGCCATACGTTGGCCATATCAGCCGAAGGCGCCCCGTAGTTGATCACATCCAATAAAATATTCACAATCGTCTCGAGCGACAATAACTGCAACGGCTCCGCGGTGTCCGTCATCGTATCGGGTGTCAATGTAAACGCATTCGCGTGCGGCTTCAAGAGGCCGAATAAAAGTCGACATTTGGAATCGGACAATTCGCTCAAGGTTAGCTGCAGTTTCTTGACGTTGGCATCATTCAGAGGCATTGAGGTACACAAGGATTGGATCATATTCACGACGAGACCGTGCACGGAGGCCCGAATCAGAGTGGGACCCACACCGACCACCAACGTGACAATATGGAAAATTTCAGGCACATAGCTTTTCACCGGTCCGCGGTTGTTGAACGACAACATGAGAATAAATCGGATCAGCACGGCAATTTCTGTCCAAATCCAATGCTCCGTTAGTGTGCGTGTCGGTTTGAAGGACGTCTTTTGCAACACTTTGCGCAATCGTGTAATCACTTTGCCACGAACTGCGATATTCGACAGCGTCACAAAAGTATCGGCCATCGCTTCCGCTTGAGGCGATCCCACGCCATGCTCGTTCGAATACTGAACAAACGATTCTAGCACAAGATTCACAATATCATCCACCTTGCCCACGGTTTTCCACACTTTGGTCTGCACCAATTTGTACATCTAAATGAGATGACGTGAGTTGATTCGATGCCACTAAATGCTAAATTATAGTGCAAGCTTACGTCGGTGCGATTCACGGTCAGATCGATCAGTAGCCGTAGAATTTCCTTCGTTTTCGCCAGGTTGTTCTCGTCGGTCGTACCATGGCAAAAAAGAGCCAGATTCGACAGCCACGGCATCATGTAATCGAGACACAGGTAGCGAAGCGCTTCATTGGATTTGTTAAATCCCACAAAGCATTCACTCAGGAATTCTAGAGTCAAGGAAGGTTCAGCCACCGCAATCTTTTCGCTAATATTGACAATGAAGGCTGTGCTGTTGGCAGGTAAACACAGATCTATTTACATAATAAATCAGAAATCCGAAATCCCACATTTTCGGTGTTGATCAGCAAGTAAGGTAACGTACCTCGTGCATCCAAAAGTTGCTTGCCAACGTCAAAATTGAATGTCATGCTCAACGCGTACAGCAGGTTATATGCTGCTAGACGAAGATTCGGATCATCACTGCCGATATTAAGCAAGGCCATGTTGAGCAGTCTTCCAGGAACATCGTTGGGTCGAATGGTGCGCTCGGATATGCTGGTGGGCTTGGCCATATCATAACGGCGTTTGCTGTGACGTATCGTCTATCATTAATCGTTTAGTACAGGGACAGAGAAAATAAAAACCACGACTTGCACACACACACACACACACACACACACACACACACGCATGCATATACACACATATGCATATACGCTGCACAAACAGAAAACATACGCCCAGGCACAACACAACACAAGATAACATAACATAACGTCACAACACAGCGCGCACACACAGATACAAAAAAAGATGTCATGACTTACACTGACAATGGCATCGCGTTTGGGTGTAGAGAGCATAATCTGGGATTTGCCTTTGTTGTACTTGAAGCTAAATTCATGGGCATTATCGTTGCTGCGACCGGGATGCTGTCCGATGACCGTGATATCTTCAATCTCCGATATGTGATACACATCGTTGGTGACAGCACTGATGCCATACAAAAGCTCCTGCTTGCGCACCGACATGACCTGAACATACTCAGCGCCGACCTTGACGGTGACGGGAATAGTGATCTTATACTGCGAGATGCGGTTGACCGGGTAAAACACAGCACTTGGCTCGGTATCCAAGGCCACTAGAACAATGTAAGTACGCCACATAGCATTATAAAAATCGATTGGCAACTTACTGGTGGATTTCAATAATCGGATCTCAGAAGGATGGATATGTTCATGAAGTTCGGCCAATGTAACTGCAAAAGTGATGCGTTTACTGATCTTGTGAGTGACCGGCCGGGGTAACTTTTTGATGTATTTGCGAAGATACGAATTCGGGTTATAGATGTGAATCGTGGCTACATTGTCGTATATGTCAAAAGGAAGTAGCTGAAGAATTTGACTGATCCATTGATTGGGTATTTCGTTCATCGGTTCGAACATGGTCAAATCAATCAATACTTCAAATGATTTGTTTGTAGCTCGTTCCAATGTCTGGAGTGTCCAAAAAAAAAAATTAGGTGTCATCAGTTTAGCGTAAGAAAAAGAAAGGTAAGAGCATTGATTAAACCGATGATACTGTTTTTACCTGTAGCATAAAGTATACGAGTAACTCAAAGTCGATACTGTCGGCGATAACGTTGCGTGCGACAAAGTAAAAGATGGGACGACCGGCTTTCGAGACCCCGCCTTCATAAAAGATGTTTTTGGATGAAATCGATTCCGTGCTACGATGGCTGTTACGACGCATGAATTCGGCGTACAACTGGTTGGCTGCGGCAAATGTGTAACTTCGCAACGCACTGAACTCTTTCTTGGAGATATCTGGCGGTCGACCCAGCTGGGCAAGCAGGTTGGAGAATTTGTCAAACGTTCGTTTCCATGCCGTCAACGATTCTTGATCCGTGAACTGACGTAAACGGTGCGCCGATAAGTCTCTGGAAATACGCTCCATGTTGTCAGCAAGCACACGATGCAATGTGGAGTAGTCTTTCTCGTCCATGGGGCGCACATTGGGCCGCACTTCTTCTTCAATCTCCGGAGGCACGTCCGAGATTTCACGCAAGAATCGCGTCACTTTGTAGATGTTGCCGGTCAAGAAATCATTGAGGACAATCATGTACGTCTCCTTGGCACCGAACAACACGTTATTCGCCAGATTCTGGATCACCTTGGTCGCAATCAAATGCCCACGACGCATATCGCGTGACACTGACGCATTGGTTTTCACCAGACCTTCCGATTCAGGAGACACAATGGCAGGACAAAAAAAGCGCAAAAAGATAAACGCACCCACCGCCGTATATTTGGCCTCCGGGAATCGTTCGCGGACTGATGTCAAAATACAATGACACGCTTGTCGGAAGCATCTGTATCAGAGGAACAAGCGTATTTAGCATTTGCCAAGAACCATGGTTGCGCATTCCAACTTGTATACTTACGGAGGTGCTTTGCTTGCGGATGCACAAATAGCATTCAAGAACAATTCTGTAGCACTGACAACGTTTTGCTTGTTTCTTGCGACATCTTCTCCGGGACCGACTTTGCTAGAGTCCAATTCAAATGTCCTTTCTTCCGGCGGTTTCTCAGCCAGCTTATGAAACACAGGCTGAAGGACGGATTGAACGTATTCGGAACCGTTATTCTTGGCAAAGACCGACAATAATCGCGTAGCAATGGTAGTACGTCGAAACAATTCACTTTCACTGTCTGATAACCACCCTCATCGCATTAGTAACATACATACTATTGGCCTGCATTTTTAACTTCGTAACTTACCAGTACTTTGCACTTCTTTCTCAATGACAGCTTTGAGTAGTACCAGCGACTTGTCTCGCGATTCGAAGCATGCCAAAAGTGCATTGGCTACATCATCAATGTCAGAAGCCGGGCATACTTCGCATAACGACAATACAATGTTAATATCGAAATCAACTAGCATCTAAATGAAGAATATAAACCAAGCGGCAGAAAAAAAGTCAGTAGCTGAAGCTTATATCGCAGAATAATCCGTGCACCTACATCAACTAATTTCTCGTAACGATCGGTCATGACGGTTTCTGCAAGCGTTTCAAATTCGGTGCCTTGGTTTAGAATATTGGTCAAAACCTGCATAAATGCCGTGCGCATACGCGTGTCTTCGTGGTAACCCATCGAGAGCGAGTATTTTAGGCCGGCATCCACGTTGGCGCTGAGCAAGTTGGACATGGCGAGAATAGTGCAATCCTTCAGCGGGGCCAAATACGTCGACGTTTCTTTATTCTGTGAAGAGGCATGAGCTTTCTTACTGACAAAAAAACGGAGATTCTCAGCACTTTAACATACCTTATTCACCATGGTTAATTCCCCACTGCGCGTCGAATGAGTATCTGGTTCGGTCTATGCAGTCCCAATATCAGCCACGGTCAGGAATATCATCGAACCGTCCATTTATCCGAAAACTTACCTCGGAAATACGGCACCGATTCAGTAATTTGAGGAAAAAGGTGAAATACTTGTAAAAGATTCGACTTTTGACTTGAGCCGCATCGATTTCTTGGACAGGGTCGGATGGCTGCAGAGGCAATTGATGAAGGAGACCCACGATAGTTTTCAAACACGCCAGATCAAGATCACGATGCAACTTTTCGCTTTGATGTGAGTCATAAGCAGTCGTATACGCAGTTGAGGTATCGGATTTCTATTTGACTTTTGTTAGAGTTGGTGCCCTTCAATCCATGCCTGTTTATCTATTACCAAAGAAAAGTCACTTGTCCATTCCACAATAATCTCCAAGAGCTTATTGCGCAGTTTGAACTCTTGACGCAAGGTGACTCGGTCCTTTTTGGCGATCAGAACTTCACAAAGATGGCAAAACTTGATCTTGATTTTCAGCGCCACTTGGCCACTACCAAGCTTATTGAGATATTTGGCGTATTGATTTATCAGACCACCGAAATCCACGGTGACAAGGTTGTCTGTCGAGTCCTCCATGCGATCCAGCACAAGTTTCAGGACACTGATGGCTTGTTCGACAAAGAGTGTGTAACGTGAACTGCAGATCGCATCGCCATCTTGACCGAAGCACTTGCCAAGCACCATCTCCAGTTGACGGAATAGGATCGGGAAGAGTGCAGGCGACAGATCGGTACCAAGGATTTCCTTGACCCATTCACGCACAATGATATTATCACATAGTAGCAGATCCACCATTTCGGCGACGAATTTTTCTACCATGGTGGCCGATTCAGATGGCGCGGAAATGCGGCGATGTTGTGCTGGATCGGTATGTCGAGGGGACGTAGGAGACGTCGGGGGACCATCGGCCATAAGACAAATACCACCCAGAGCAGCTAGAAAACCGGCATAATTCTGCCATTCCGACGACTTGTCATCATCCAAGCTGTTGACGTCTCGATTGGAGATAAGATTTGGCTGCCGATTGCTACCGTAATTGGAACTGCCGAGATTGTTATTGTTGCGTAATTTATCATGCCACGTTTGGCCTCCTTTTCTATTGTCGACGATATCTTCTTTCTGATCTTCCAACGACCGCGACATGGCCGGCGTCATATACTTCCAGCGCTTCCATGCTTCTTCCCAAGCTGCCAAATTGCCCGGTGCATAATGCGTCATCATACGTAATAAACGACGGATCCGTTTTTGCTGCGATTTGCGGCCAGTAACAATACCGGTATTGGAACTGAGTTCGATGTAGACGGGAAGGTTTTCAATTATGGTTAAACCTTGTTGTTGAGGGTCTTCAATGCTGTCTGAAATTTGCACCGCAATGCAGACTTGGCCAAAGCAAGCAATAGCCGCGGAACATATCTCGGTGTCCGATGAGCAAAGAAGAATCAATAACGCCACTTCTAAAGCAATGGACGCTTGCAATCGCTCTTTTACATCGGCTCCTTGCATCGCAATATCCTAAAACAAGTTTAACACTTGGAGTTATACGAGTGTGTCCCATTATAAAGGTACGCGGATAAGGATAAAAACATACCTGATGAATACGCAAGAAGTCGTTCCTTGCCATGAGAAGCTTTTTCAGCAGATCCAATAATTTTTTTAAACCGTCATCGCGTTCACGATTATCGAGCATTTGCTTGGCCAACGTAAAGAGGACTTGGGACGAGATTTTCCAGAAAGCTTCCATAACTCTGTCTGGAGCGGCCCATTCCATGATGTAATGAGGGGCATGTAGCTTGTACAAGCATTCAGCGGCCGCATCACGGATATTCGCATTATTTTCACGGAGGCAGTTGGTGATGGCAACCATGACGGCCGCATTTTGTTCGAATCGATTTTCGTTCTCACCCTAAGCAACAGTTCTATTGTCAGATGCCAGAATCACCGTTATTATGTATGCGATACTCACAGCGATGGCCATTTTGGGATCGGTTTGATACAGTCGAAGCATATCCAAAACAAGTTCGATGCGATCATTGCTGGCATCGGGACGCTGGTCCTTTTTCGATTTTTTATCATTATTGGCGCCAATAATGGTTTTGCGGCTACTGCTGGTGGTGCTTAAAGAGCTGAGATCGGATCGAGCCGCTTCACGTCCGGTGTAAGTAAGAAACAGTTTGCGGAGCTGCCCGCAGACAGTATCATAGAGTTGACAGACCGAAGGATTCCAGGGCAACTTGTTTTCTTCCGAGGCGATGGCCAGACACGCTTTGACCATACTCAACTTGAATAGCATCGGCGCACGATCGCTCAAGCAGGTAGGAAACAAGCTGCGCAAGACATTGCGTGGATTCAATCGGAACATGGCCACCAAGCAATCGGCTAGCAAACAACGATGGTCTATGATAATGCCCAAACTTCCCATCAAGGTATCAGCAATCAACGGCTTGTCGATATCGAACAGTTTATCTTTGAGTTCGTTCTCTATATCAGGCACAATGTGACGCAGAGCCGACATGTCGCTTTTCGAAACGTAAGTAGCAGCTTTGCAGATATCCACATAACAAATCGCTGAGAGTTCGGCCATTCTTCCTCCTTTCAGTGATTTTCGAAGTGCGGTGAGGAACATGGTCTATTCAACAAAACACCAATCCATCAGTCACCACCATATTTCTTTTTTCTTTGAACGTGCCCATAATGTGATTGGGCAGCAGCAGTGTGAGTAACGTACCTTTTTGGTGCTAATGCCTTTACTTTCAGAGACGGCGGATTGAAGTAGCAGATCGGGACACAGAATAAGCAGAAGGATTTGTAATGGCCAGAGAATGGCTTTCTTTCGTGTGGTGTCGGCTAAGGAATTGCACATGTCAAAAAAGACTTCGGGTCCTCCATCCAATCGTTTCTGAGAATGACACAACTGCAAAAACTCGCTCGGGTACGTTTCAATCCATCCCCAAATCGCTTTACGCAAAATCACTGCAATCACCAGCTGCGCCGACTTTTTCAAATGCAAAAAGGTGGAACAAAGATCTAATATGATTTTTCAAAAATGTGAGTAACGCCAAGCAAAAAATCACACTTTGCCAAGCCGGTGCCGTGGTGTTACCTGAAAGTATCATGCTCAGTCGTTTGGCATTGAGAGCACAGCATTCGAGCAGGCGCATATCAGAGGTCTCTGGGTTTTCATCCATGGTCGAAGAAAGGTACAGAATACGGGTATGGATTTTGGCGAACGTAATCGGCCAATTGCTCGCACTGACATAAAAGACGACGCGACTTGCCGCTTTGTAAATGTCGACAATGATGTCGCTGGAAGAAGCGGCAACACTGGTGGAGGTATAGTATTCGGTGCGTGTGATACTGGTGACATGATTGGTAGAGGACCCATGTTCTCGCTCTTCCATGACGGACATTTGATGCATGAACCGAGCCATCAGCGATACGAGTATTTTGGCTAGATTATCGTCTAATGGGGGCGGATCTTCCAGATCGGTAGGCATATTGCTGTCAATGGAAAATTTACTCTGCTGCGACCCCGCGGAATGATTACTGCGAATCGATCCTTCTCGGTGAACCGACGCTGTCTTGTTGCTGGGTTCACTTTTTTCGCGGATGAACTGCCAGTGATGTTGCATACATGCCGACAGCATGCGTAACAAGAATAACTGCGATTGCAGCACATCGAAGGGTATGTATTCGTCGCTGGCAGCAAGTGATGAGGTCTATGTGAAAGAGAACAGAGATGAGTGCTTCCATTGCCCATCCTTTTGTCACGAGCAATCGTTTACTTTGGAAACGTTCTCCAGGAGCGTAGCCAGCGTGCCAGCAATCGTAGGGAGACGAAACTTTGACAGCTCGATTAAAGCAGCAACTACAGAAGCATCGAGTTTACTGTAAGATTGGAGAAAGAAAACACAGCACAATTGGTGACCGTGGGGAAGATCCAGATTTTACCTCTGATGATTCAGGCACACGAACAATGATGAGGAAATTTAGATGACAGAACAAAGATGTAAAATGGAAGCATTATCAGTGACATTCTCAGTGATGCAAATGAAAGAGAGAGTATGTCGCTTACGTTTGTTGTACCAAAGGATCGTTTTCGAGTGAATCAAGTTTCTTTCCACTGTTGCTCGGAAGCTACAACGTTATAAAGGGTCGATGAGTGGGAGTTGAATGCTTTAGTCTGATCCGTGGATCGATAATGGTACCCGAACAGAGATTCTATTGACGAGGCTCAGGATAAGTTTCGTATCCGAGCTCATGGCTTATGCATACGATGGAATGGGGCAAAAGAAACAAGAAAAAAAAAAGAAAGAAAGAATAGGTTGGCAATGGAAACTTAAGCGTGTATAAAACGATCGGGACGCGAAAAGGGCACGCTTGGCCCGGTGATGGTGAACACAAGGAAGAGGGAAAGAGAAAAGGAAACCTCTTTTCGAGAAAAAGCAAAAGAGGGGGAAAAAAATAGAGGTAAAATAACAAAAATGGTAAAAGAAGAGGACCAAGATGAACGGAAAGTTAATAGCCCGTGGCACCTCAATTTCGAGGAACGCAGACTATCCAGGGAAACGATAAGCCAAAGTTTTTCCCTGTATTTATTTGTTTGTTTTTCTTTTTACCATGATATTTTTTTTCTGTCCCTCAATGTTGCACTAGAAAGAATAGCATGTCAGTTTACAGAAAGACGACACAACAGGGAAGGTTGCAATGGTTGAATCAAGCATGGACCATTCGATAATTCGATCCAGCTAGAAAAGGGATAGTTCGCACCACCAATGCCATGGATATTACCAAGGATGCTTCCTCGCCTGTCTTTTCTGAACAACTTATTGTATCCTGACGATTGTCATTGGATGTTGATAGTGGGTGCACAAAAAAAATTCCATGTAACACATGCCATTGACACCAAGGTTATAAAAAGAAAGCCCGACCGCAGAGTAGATGTCAATTTTATATTTTACCCCATCCCAGCCTATTATTTTTTTATTCACCCTGTCGGGCGGAATATGAGTTCACGGAAATGGATAAGGAAATTGGGTAGGCTGCATACAGAAAAACATACACCCACCCAAAAACACACATTCTTCATGGATCGTCTAAATAGGAGCCATTCAGTAGATCCTAGCCACTTGTCTTGCCTTTTTCCAATCCCTTCTTTTTTACTGGTTGGAACGATTACCCACTTTACTGCATGCTTGCCAGGATGAAACATGCTACAGCATAGTAAGACCAAAAAAATAAAGACAATAACGCCTATAGTAATTTCGGTGAAATGTAATGAACTCTCATGCAATTATGAGGTTGCATTTGTTGATGAAAAACGATTGCATCCAGGAGTAACCGCCCAAAACCCAGGGGTTCGACTTGTTTGAAAAGAGGTTGCAGCCGCACGCATGGTCTTGCGATTCACGTATAAATAGACGACTTTTTTCCTTTTTATCAGTTCTTAAGGTTTTTTAACTTTCATTTTTCTTCTTTTTCTCCACTTTCAAGCAGGACTCTGGTTTTTGTTTTATCGTTTTCTATTAAAACAAAAAAGTTATACTTTTCCTGTTTACATGACGAGTCAACTAAGCAGCGTTTATCCCGCTGCCAATACCAATGGGTCAACAGTGTGTAATACGCCGGCTTGTGCCCAGACAGCAGCCGCCATCATGAAAGACGTCGATTTGACGTTGGATCCTTGCTCCGATTTTTATCAGTATACCTGTAACTATCTCTTTTTTATCTGTGCCTATTCTCTTTTTTTTTGTAGTTTTGATAAGCACCTTTTTTATTATACGAGACGCATGATGATCTTCTGACTGTGTTTTTGTGGAATTTCTCTATATAAAGGTGGCTCCTGGCTCAAGACGGCCACCATCCCTGAAGACGAGTCGAGTATGTGTTCAATACAGGATAACCTACAGATTGTCTTCTCTGTATCTAACCCATTTCCTTTCTTGGGGAATTCAGGCACCGGCACTTTTCGAGTGTTGCAGAATGACAACTATCAAATTCTGCAGCAGATATTTGAAGGCACTTACGATGATCTGCTGAAAAAGAGTAACGCTACCGAAGGATTCCACTTGGACGATCAAGGCGACCTCGATCGTGCCAACTTTGCGCTAGTCAGCGATTATTACCGGTCTTGTATGAACCTTGACATTATTGATTCGCTCGGCCCCACCCCAGTGTATGCCGAACTCAGCCAATTGTTGTCCAAGTTCATTCAGGAAAACCGTCGATTCATCACAGGGGAGGACCGCAACATTTTGACAGAGACCGCATTATTCGCTTACTTCAAAGGCGTCGAGACCTTGTTCTCTTTCAGTGTGGTCCCGGACGACAAAAAGCCAGACACCATTGTCATTACGCTGGCCCAACCCGACCTCATTCTACCGTCGAGGGAGTACTATGAGCAACCGGACGTCCTGGCCATTTTCCGAGAGGGCCTTGTGGATATTTTTATGCATATTGTTGGTGCCGGCAATGGCACGGACAGCGATCCGATACGAGCGCAGAAAGCTTCCCAGGAGAATCTGCATCTATATTCGCGCGACGAAATCACCGGTATGGTGAATCGCTTTGTCGACTTTGAAACGAAATTGGCCAACGCTACAGTAAAGCGGTAAAGGAGTTTTTTTTAGATCGCGTAGGATATGCACACTAATTGGATTGACGTTTTCTTGTCGTTAGCGAGGATATGCAGGATCCTATTGCGCTTTATAACGTAATGTCACTAGCTGACATCCAGCAAAAGTACGATTTCCTCGATTGGGAACGCTTTTTGCGGTTCTGGGTACCGGAATCGTCACCGCTTCCAAAAAATTTAATCGTCGCCACGCCGTCCTACTTTGATAAACTTAGTCAATGGTTCCGTCAAGATGTCTCCACCGAAAACATCCGCGAATTTATCTTAATTCGGCATGTGATGGCCAAAATCCACGCGCTTGACACCACTTCACGTCAGTTGCAACAGACAATGTCCAGTAAAATCGCAAGCGGTACATCTGTCATGCGCCCTCGTTCGCAAATCTGTACCCGCAACACCGCTTCCACCTTCGGACAGTTGGTCGGTCGATTCTACGTCATGGCTGATTTCGGTGGCGAGAAGGAACGCGAAGGATTGTTGGTATTCCTGGATAGGATCCATGACGCTTGGCTGAACCGGTTGCCGGAAATGGAGTGGTTGGACTCGGAAACGCGTGCAAAGGCGGTGGAAAAAGTGAACAAGATCAAGCACAAGGTTGGCTATAATATCAACTCGCCCGATTTACGCTCGCCCCAATCTTTGAGGGACTTCTATGGTTCCGTCAAGATCTCTCCCACGTCATTCTTTGAAAATCAGGAAAGTACCACCCTTTGGTCCCTGCGTCGTGGCTGGGGCAAATACGGAAAACCGACCGATCGGTTTGAGTGGTTTATGAGCCCTCAAGAAGTCAACGCCTATTACAGTCCCAATTACAATGAGGTAAGTATTAACCTATCACAAACAGTTTACAATGGACCGATCCAATGGTTTTCTTTTTTTTTTTTTTTTTTTGGCTTAGATCGTCGTTCCCGCAGGAATCTTGCATACCACCTTTTACGATTTCCACGCTCCTGACTACCTCAATTACGGTAGTATTGGCATGATCATTGGTCACGAGCTAACAGTAAGTGGGACAAAAACTAGGTCCCTTGCATGAGCCCGCAGGCCACTTATTCATCCACTGATTTTTTTTTAGCATGCATTCGATAACTCGGGCCGCATGTATGACGGGAATGGGGCGCTACAACAATGGTGGACCAATGCCACCTCAAAGGCATTCGAAGAAAAAACCAAATGCTTCATCGATCAGTATAATAATTTCACCATCAAGGGAGCGGATAATAAGGAATATCACGTCAACGGCAAGGTAAAACGTTTGCATTCCTAGGACCTTATCTTCATAGACAAAATTTGTTAACACTACGCGCATGTTTGCCAGATGACCCTGGGAGAAAATCTTGCTGACAATGGCGGCTTGTCGGCTGCGTTTATCGCATATCAGGAACTGACCAAAAGCTCAGACATGAGCAATGTACGCTTACCTGGTTTGGACCAACTGTCACCTGAAGCTCTCTTTTTCATTAATTTTGGACGAACATGGTGCAGCCTCGAACGACCCCAAATGGCCGTACAACAGGTAAGACACCCGAATATCCATCGGATCAATAAGCATTGATGAGTCCTATTGCCTTGTGTGCGGTTCTGATCATTGAATCATTTGTTGAAACAGATTTTCGTTGACGTGCATTCGCCAAACCGTGTACGTGTCAATGGCGTGATTCAGAATTCCGATGATTTTGCCAAGGTATTCCAATGCCCTGCAGGAACGCCAATGAACCCCTCCAACAAATGTCGTGTATGGTAAACAAAAAGCTTGAAAATAAAGAGTCAAAACAACGCACATCCCTTGCATTAGGTAAAAAAAAACCATAAAATATAGCGAAAGACTGGCTTCGATCCTGTCTCTCTTGTCTTCATTAGCCTTTTATGAGGTATTTTTGTAAAAAGTAGCCTATGATATGGAAATGAGGGTAATCGGAGGACTATTGGCTTTTTCTTTTTCTCTATTTGGGCAAATCAAGGAGTACCACGCCGCGCATCTTGGCTACGTTCTTCAAGATATGATTATCGGCGTCCGAGTCTTTTGCCATGCGTGAAAGTTCCCTGATAATTGTTGGTTCGTCCATATTCAGATATTCATACATCTCAACCAAATCAGACAGTGGCTCCACATCCAACGCTGACAGCACGTTCACCAGATACTCGATATCCGTCCGCAGTTGCCGACTGCCTTGTGCTGACAGGTTTTTGATTTCAAAGACGCTGGTCAAGAAAGATTTCATGACACCCCTTGCGACCGAGGTCGTCCATCGCTGAATAATTTGTTCGTTGGACATCGTATCATCGTCTTGCTCTTCTTTATCGTCTTCAGATTTTTCCGATCCCAATTCTTTTTCCTCGCGGTCTTCTTCGTTCATGAAAGGTACCGTTTCCAACCGATAGGCGAACGCTTTATCATCCGAATATACTTCAAACTGTTGCGGCAGCATCAGCAGCTGCTCGCCGATACGCGTGATGTATTCATTGGGTGACAAATTGAAGGTCGGCATATCCACATCCAGCGTTGCGTCTCTGTTGCGACCTTGATACTTGTCTTCGGTTTCGGCGGTCCAAGCGTCCTGAATGGTGCGAATGTCCGCCAAATGACGCGTCATAGGCGTATGGATGGCTTCATGCACCAACAACTGACACTGTTCCGCGAATCGCCAAATACTCCACTGCGCGTTACTCAAAGCTTTGGCCACCGCATTCTCTTGTCCTTCCTCTGTCACCGAAGACACTTGATTCATTAAAGACTGAAGTTCATGGGTATTGAGAATCGAAGTTCGTAACAGCCCCAGGGATGCATGAGGGTATTTGTCGTGATGTTCAGCCATCATGATATCACGGAGTCCACTGCTTCGTTTCCGTTCATGAAGCGCCGGTCGACTCACAGTCATATCGTTGCCAAGGAAACTCTTGCGTCGGTGTTCACGTGGGCTGGCGATCGAAGGTGTCATGGGTCCTGCATCTCCTTCCGTGACCGTAACACGCACGCTTTCCAGTGACCGGCAAACCGTCTCTACCAAAGCTTTGAGTTGGACTTCCATTTCTTGGCAGATACCAAGCGATCGTAAACCGATTTGGAAGATGGACCAGTCGCTTTGAATAAGGTCCGCGTCAAAATCGAGATCCTCTGTGACATCCGACGAAGTGGATCGTCGTGGTGGGGCAGTGTCGTCTTCAGTTTCTGGTCGCTTCTCGGAGGTGGTCATTTTCTTGTTGATTTCAGCAACAAAGCGAGAAAGTTGACTGTTGGTTTCGCACACATATTCATTTGCCACTTTAAGCCACTCTACACTTCCGTATCCGTGAGTCAGTGTCAGGCATCGGTCTAGCGATTTTTTGAGTAACCGGAACACTTGGTCAATCGTTGTGTTGGATACCGTTTGAATGGTTTCCATGGCATTGGACAGATGATTGATTTTGACGTTCTTGAAGAGCGCGGTCAGTTGTTTGGTTAAATGGCCAAGCTCAAGCGTAGCATATTGTGTTTGGAGTGGCAGAAACGGTTCGTAAAGGCTGTAAGACCATGCATTAACGTCTGTGTGGCGAAGCGTTAAAGGGATTAGGGAGATAGAATTGGAATGAGACCGTCGGCGTGCGTGTGTCTTGAGATGGGCGTCCAAAGTGGATCGGTCGTCGGTAGAAGCGGTATTCACAGGAAGCTTTGAAAAGAGACGCTCGAGCGAAAGACCAAAGGATTCGGTAACGTGAAAAGTCGATACCAGTAAAGGCAATGCTTCCGCTTCTTGTTGTTGTTGAATGGTATTGAGCTTGTCGTCGAGTGGTGGATTCAACGATTGCATCATATTTTGCACGAGGGTTTGAGCCATGATCCTAGCGTCGGCAAAGATGTAGGAGCACCACGTATACTCTTCTGATACCAATGAATACATGGATTTATAGAAGCCGTCGAGTGCTTCGTGCAAAGGCGAGGATGCCTCTGCCGCTGATACAGCACTCCACAGGGGGTGAACGGCGGGTGTGCGTACTTCAAAGTACAAATCGACAAACTCTTCGGCGCGACCAATCTTGCTAAATACCTTGTAAAACTTTTGACATTCAGTAGCGTCATGGTCTTCGAGAGCCTGAATAACCTTGGATCGAATCGCGGTTTCCAAGTTTTCTTGTAACCTGTTCAGCAACTGGGATCGAGGTTCGTATTCGGGCGTGTGCTGGAATACATCCAAGCTCTGTTGCGCGCTTTGCAATCGAACCGCGGCGGCTTCCCAGTCTTCCTTTGCAAGGATAGCGTTTGTTTCCTCTTCCAGGTTGCTCCAATTCTCGGCTTCGCGTAAGGACGATCGACAACTCTCCATGCGCGTCTTTACTAGATGGAGCTGTCGAAGTTTCTCGAGCGCTTCGGCCGTGTCACCTTCCATGCCGCCGACATTCTGTCTGACTTGGTCGATATCGTCCTTGATACGCCGCGCATCCTCGGCAATGAGTTTGAGATCGTACAACATGCGAGGCATGGTCTTTATAACGTTGTCGGTGATGGCGCCGACTTTTTGCGATGTCTGATCACTGACCAGTTGAAGTTGGGTGACCAGCACAGTGGTGTCCTTCTCTGCTGTGGATTCACACTTATTCAGAGTTTGATTAATCCATGCCTTTACATTAAAGTTTTCATCGGCAAAGCATTGCGTGTCGATAAATGGCGTCGTCATCTTCCTAAAATGACCATGGCAGCGAAGCACCAACTCACTACCGGACCTGCATTTTATAGGTTTTTTTCCCTAATTTTTGGCGTGGTTTTTTACCAGAAAACTCAAGGCCAATCAGTGATTAGTGAATTTTCAAAACGCTTGTACTAATTTGGATTGGCAGACAAAGCAAAGGTGGGTTTGAATATTAATGTAGAGTTATTCGGCTGTAAAAAGTGAGTATCGATACAAGTGCACCGTATTCCATGCAAACAACCTCTGTAGGGCTCCTTCAGCCGCCATTGTCGAAAGCCAAAACAGTAGTTCTTCACGAGTTATCAAAATTGGCAACGTTCCACTTGCCAGCCTTCCCGAATTTAGAGTCGAGTATTTTAACCACTTGTTTCCAATGTCATATGTTTTATCTTTCAGTTTTTTACCCCTTGACCTGCTTCAACTTATTTTCATTCAGTTTGTGCTTTTGAGATTCTAGTTTTTGCTTGTCATACCTGCGGCCGCTTTGACGAAAATGGTGATCACAGTTTTGTATGGAATTACATTGATGCGACATTTTTTTAAAGATGGAGTGCTCATTTGCCATCAATACACAGCCAAAGTTACTTTACTTAGACGCTTTCAATAAACCAGAAAAAACCATGATCAAGACCCCTCAAACAAAGAACGTACCCTATGCAATGCACAGCATATCAAAGAAAAAAGAAAGGCCAAGCGGCCTTCGGATACTGCAATCATTATTGAAGTGTCGTGGCTGAAGCGGATAACGTCCGAAAATGGTAATCAGCTTAGCATCTTGCTAAGTACAACCATCCTTTTATCAAAGTTTTAGCCGCTCAGCCATTATCCTCTTTAAGAACATAGACCGAATAAGCACATATAAATATCTCCTTATAATTGACAAAAATAAAGCGTTATCTTTCCTATCCCTAATCCTCTTGTTTCCCACTCTGGTGATCTTGCCGGTATATCAGATCCGAGTGAAGTACGACAGAAGCTTTTATAATTCAAAAACTCCTTCATCTTGCAACAACCAAAACTAAACAAAAAAGGTTACAAAAGAGGAAACTGGGTTTTGACGCCCTTGCTTGTGCTTCTCATGGTTCGAACCATGGAAGCACGATCCAGATTTAAGAGTTGTTCAATTAAGCTATTTCCTCTGATAGTATTTATTTGCAAACTCACAAACTCGTTCGCAGCAAATTACCTTAAAAGGGAATTTCGCATACAAGATTGGCACAGTGGGTTACTGCGCCATCTATGTCTTGTGCATCGTATCCAAGTGGTCTATTTCACTTCAACGAATGACATATGAGATGGCACCAGAAGCATAAAAGCAAACTTTCTCAAAAGCGTTGATTATGTGAATATTTCCGTTAAAGATGGCATCAAGTCGTCAATTTTTACTGTCAAACTGTTGCTGAAGGATACGAGTTGGATCATACTCCTATCGCAACTTCATAAGCTTCGAGATTCACTATAAAAGGGAAGTGCAAAAACAAGAGTTGCATTTCTAATATATTTACTGTTTTTTTTATTACTTTTTCAAAACTGAAAAGCGGCGGTGCAAATGAGATTATGTGTTATAGACAGAACACAGAAATAGATATGACTTTGAACGACGACAGATCTGTGAGTGCAAAGAGAATAGAAATGTAAGAAAAAATCTACACTGCTCCTTTAATGGACGCAAGCAAATGAACAAAGAGTGGTCAGGTCGTTTGAAACGGTCGACTAGTGATTCGCTGGTAGGGCACGGCTCCAATGCAATATTCGCGATCCATCAACTTTATACCTAGGGTTGATGATATGAAGGTACTGTAATGTGTTGCTGTCAATGTGCTCCTGCTCTTTGGAAGAAAGATTCTACAAAGAGGTAACGGGCCGGCAGAATGATGCTTCACTTCGTGTGTCCTTAGCAAAATTTAGAAATCATGACGTGGATGCATAGTAGAAATACCCGAAGCACTGCCCTTGCAGGATTCTTGGGACAAGCCAGGCCTACCGTCAACCAATCAACCAGGCAACCAGGCAACCAACCGACTAATCAACAACCAACCAAATTTTTTGTTCCAACTAGAAGGAAACTCAACATAATCATCTGTTTGGGGTCAAACATATTTATTTTACGTGAACCCCCATCATTTATTGAAAGTCATTGATGTTGTCTGGGGAACAGAACCACTATTGAGACATAAGACATGCTTTTGCGTTATGAATTTACACTATACAATGTGTTGTGTTGCACCTTCTATCACTAAAAAGCAGCCCATTGGATCCGTCTCGCAAATGATGAAGGCTATGAGTGGTGTCACCTAATTTTACCGTGGTTTTTTCGGTGTTCGAATGAAGGGATCGGCAGCGGTTCATTTCACACCGAGCCCTACAGAGCCTGAGAAACGTCCATGATATGGATGCAGGCAACCTCCACTACAACGTTCTTTCACTGCGTCAGTAACATAATGGTATATAGGCGTACAGAGCCTTGAATATAAAGATGTCATAGCAGAGTCAACAGTACCGATGCAACAGAGCTTGGCAGAATGATCAAAAAGGGCGATGGAAATGTCATTGTCAATAGTTCGAAACCCCGCAGCATTGGATAATTGAACAACCGCCGTTGGAAAAATGCGTGTTTTTTTCTGCCCATCGATCGTTTATCGCCGTTACTCCCCGCCTCTCTGTTTTTTTACCCAGCCAACATGTCATTTCAATACTTACTACGCAGTCTCGGTAATTAATATTAGAAAATGCAAAGTGCGCGCTCATAAGGCTTACATTACACCTAGCCGGCACACGAGCTGTCCTGAAATCCGCGCATCCCACCACACCGTTCACTTGGCAGCCTGCCAGATCATTAGCTACCAGTACAAATACCATTAAGAAACCGTAAGTGAGGATGTTACGCAAACATACGCATGCCTGTATCATTGAGTCTCATTGTCGTTGAATCTGTAGGCCGACGGCGGTGTTGTTGACCAATATGGGAGGTCCCGAGACACTCGACGATGTCCATGACTTTTTGCACAATCTATTCAGCGATCGCGATATCATGCAACTTCCGTGGCAAAAACAATTAGCCAAAATCATTGCCAAAAGACGGTCTCCCAGCATTCGTGAACAGTATGCCGAAATTGGTGGTGGATCGCCTATTTTACGCTGGACTCGTGCCCAAGGTCAGGCCATGGAAAAACTCCTTGATGAAATCTCCCCTGAAACCGGTAATGCCACCTCGCAGCAATCTTTTTTTTTTTTTTTTTTTTTTTTTTTTTTTGGTGTCAAAACGGCAGGTATTCATTCCCTTTTTATTCTAGCGCCCCATAAACATTACATTGCTTTTCGATACGTGGAACCGTATACGGACACCGCCTTGCAACAGATGAAAGAAGATGGAGTCAAGCGAGCCGTTGTATTTACTCAGTATCCTCAGTACTCTTGCTCAACCACTGGCAGCAGCTTAAACGAATTGCAGCGTGGCATTGACCGCGCTGGATTGACAGATCAAATTCAATGGAGTATCATTGATCGTTGGCCTACCCATCCAGGATTCGTTGAAGTAAGTGTGCAACGGCAGGTATCATGCAAAAACTATGAATATTAAATGCGCGGACAGGCAATGGCGGTGAAGATCGAAAGAAAGCTCGCCGAGTACACAGCGGAGGAACGTCGAGATGCTATCATCTTATTTTCCGCGCATTCGCTTCCAATGCAGGTGGTGAATCGAGGCGATCCTTATCCTGCTGAGGTTGCCGCCAGTGTGCAGCGTGTGATGGAACGTTTAGGCAACCAGAATGCCTATCGATTGGTATGGCAATCGCAAGTCGGGCCCAAGGCTTGGCTTGGTCCTCAAACGTCCGATGCCCTTGAAGGATATGCCAAAGCCGGTAAGAAAAACATTGTTGTCGTTCCCATCGCTTTCACCAGCGACCACATTGAAACGTTGTATGAATTGGATCATGAATACGGAGCCGAAGCAAAAAAGGTACGTTATTCCTGCTCCGATCACACGGGGTCGATCGATTAAACATGAATGGCGGTCTCGTATAGGCGGGTGTTACGGGTTGGAAACGTGCCGAGGCATTGAACGACGATCCAGTATTTGTCAAAGCAATGGCTGATATCGTGAAAGAGCACCTTCAGAAAAACGAATCGGCTTCCAAACAGTGGTACTTGCGATGCCCTGGTTGCACCACTGACGCTTGTCAAACCACTCGCGATTTCTTTCCCTATAAGATTTTAGATAACAAAGCATAGAGCCATTAGAAAAAGCCCGCATTTACAACCAATCTCATCTCCACAATGGATATTCATCATTATCACTTGATTTAGTGGTCAACAGGCGATACTGTTATGATATGTTTACGTAAAGCGATAATTTTTAATGACATTTGAATACACAAAATTACAGATACACAGTAGAGAATACATATAGAGTAAGGGAATGTTTACAATGGTCAACAAGGGTAAATACAAAATAAAGATTTAGGTCGTGGAGTTGGGGAGGGGTAGGGGATGTTACTTCCACGTTCACTCGGCCTGCAAGGAACGTAGCAAATCTTCTGCTGTCACCTCTAGCAAATTACTAGAGGCCACCGACATGGGTCGATTCGGATCTTCAGACACTCTCATTTTGCGTTCTCTTCTTTTCCGTCGTTGTCTAGTCTTGGTTTCGATCTCACCGGATCTTAACATAGTCATCAAATCGTCCATGAGTCGACGATCATCACCACTTGCCGAAGATACTGGAAAACGACAATCATTAGCATGTGGGTGCAAGAATCTGCAAGCTGAAAAACCGAAAATAAAAACTTACAATGTAAGGCTCCGTTGGTGGCTGTCACGCGATGCTGGCTTTCAGTTTCCTTCTTTTCTTTCAACTTTTGACGTGCCTTGTCTTCTTCGGCCTTGCGTTTCGCTTCGCGTTCTTTACGCTGGGTGTACTTCTCCTCGGCCACAGAGGCCAACCGCCAACTGTCAACGAATTTCGCAAAAATTCCAAAGAAATCATCCGGTCGCATCGCTTTCGGATTTTCACCGTAGAATACCATGACATCTTTCCACCGACTGTCCATGTTTAAATACAACGTTTCCAGTGCCTCAAATCGATCTCGGGCCGCCTCGCGTAATTCTCGCATAATGGCTACAAATCTGTCGTCCTTCAAAAGATCATTGGTCTTATCCTTGTTGCTTTCTTTTAATCGAACTGACTCTTTGTCTTGCTCGTTCGTATCGATATCGGCATCACCATGCTGGCTGTCACCATCGCTACTGCCGCTTGTCTCAATGTCATGGTCTTCGTTGTCTTGGCGCCAAAGAGTTGATAGTTTTTCATCCAGCTGTTTCAGCCCTTGACGCATCTCGGTATATTGCTGTACAATATCATTGACACTTGCCATGACTACAAAAGTATTAATGTCATCAATCGATGTCATGGATGGCTTGTTTCAAGATATTTAGGTACTCACTGCGAGTAGCGTGTTTGACGTCCTTGAGATCATCCAGGAACGCTAAAAGATGGGGAAAATGACGTCGTATGATCCCCACAAGAATATGTAGCAAACTGAGCGACGAAGTGTGAGAGGCTTTTGTATCGGACAGCTAAATTCGATATCAAATGATTCTTGTTAATGAGTAAAAGTACTCTACTAGAAACTAAACAGCACCAGGCTGCGTACCTTGTTGATGCTAGCAATACGCATGCCGTAGGCTCCGCCATTCAGAGTTGAGGCATTCATGTAGTTACCCACGCTCAGGATCAGCTACACAAGAACTATTAGCCGTTATGCTACTTGTTCCTCTTTTGGAAAATGACTTACGTGTAAAAGTTCGTTGAAATTAGACGAGTGGCGAAGTGCATCCGATACATCTAGCACAGTCGACATATTCTATAGCCCGAATGGTTACCTCAAATTCTCCCTGACACTCCCCCCCCTTTTTCTTTTTGGTCTACATACATTGGTCAGATGATGGTATCGTTCCCAAAATTGAACTCGAAACAGCATGAATTTTAGCCGTTCTTGGCAATGAGGGATTTTGATCATCTATCATTTGTGAAAGGGAAATCCTATTTTAGAATATGCATCCATCTTTTAATCCATGATCTATACCCTACCTCAATCATAAATTGCTCAGGAAGAGCTAAAACTTTGCATTCTTCTTCGGAGGCCTTCATGTATTTGTCCATCGTTCTTAAATCGTCGTCATTATTGGGAAGATTTACTAGAAGATTGCTGAGGAAAGTCTCTGTGCATAATTGATCATCCACAGCCAGAATATGTTGAATCACTTCCTTGAAGGAAGCAAAATGTTTGATTTTGGGCAACACTGCAATATCTAGAAAGTACGTCTGTGAGTATAACGCGATAGACAAGTTGAAAATCCCGATGACACATACTTAAATTTCGTGTCTTGTCCTTGGACAAGAACCTGACAATGTTTTTCTCATCTTCAGATTTTGTCTTGATTCTGCGTTCAAAGAGTGTATTCACTTTGGCGGGGAACAGGGTCTCGATTTCACTAAAGATACCCATCTCGTCCAACCTGTTTTCCAGTTGATCTTCATTCACTTGTCCCGACTTCCAGATGGTGTGATCGACATTATGGGCTTCCAACTTTTGCCACTGAAGATTTTTCAGTTTGATATTGGGTTGGTGGTGAATTTCTTTTCGCGAGGGTGGAGCAATCACAGGTGATGCTAGCATTGGTTCATTTAGAGAAGATTTTTTGACCTCTTCATGATTGGTCGTAAGAACACCTGGCTTCACAGCTGTAGCTGTATGAATATCCGCTTTTATCGCAAAATAGTCCTTCATTTACTTACCGGGGCCTGGTGGAGGAGGCGGAGGCGGAGGTGGAGGTGGTGCAGTAGCGGATGACCCTAACATGTCTCGTTTAATATGACGTTTTAATACAATATTCTCATTGATACTGTAAAGATACCTGATGTAGACGGCAACATCGATGGCGGTGGCGGTGGCGGTGGTGGCGGTGGTGGTGGAGGAGGGGTTACGGCAGACGGTAGTGATTGTAAGGTGGATAAGGGCAAAGGAGGTGGCGGCGGAGGTGGCGGCGGAGGTGGGGGAGCAGTTGCAGGTACTGGTGCTGGTGAAGCAATATCTGCGGGAGAAGTCGTGGTCGACGCTCTTGTGCTTGTTTCATTGCTTTGATCATCCGTTGCGGTTTGAATCTTTAAATCTTTGCCGCCACGACCACGCAGGCTCCGTGGAAATTTGTCGCTCGAAGTGTTGCCAGACATAAAAGGATGATTGGCCATTTTTTCCTTGAGTTGGCGAGTCACTTTCCATGCGTTGCCTAGTACAATGCGTGGCGGTTGCGATGGGATGGGATTTGTCGCTTCAAGCTGATCAGTAAGTTCTCGAACGCGTTCCTGCAGCATGGCAATGGTTACTTTGGACGTTTTTAAAAGTGTTTTTAACTGCGAGTTTTCAAGATCCATGTGTAATCGATCTAGTATTTTCCAGATTAGATTATGGTTTGTTGGAATTGGGACAAGATCATGATAACCTACGGTGTCCTGCACGATTCATACTATGTGAACCGTGTTGACGGTCCTGTAGTTGTACTTCCAGCTCTTGTTTTTCTGTGATCAGTCTGGCTATGGTTTCTCTGCTTTTCGTGGCTTCGTCTTCCAGAACATGTAGACGATCCAAATCGCTAAATTTCTGAATCAGATTGCCCACCGAAACACCGAAGGTGGAAGTAAAATCTTCGGGCAAAGAACTGCATCGATCCATCACTGTATGCTCTACCAGCACACTCACCATGTGATAATAATGGACACTGGGAAATAAAAACTGTAAATCAATGAATGCCAGGTGAGGTAACTATTGTGAACTTACCGAGTTCCTGGATCGCCTTTGATTAAGAGCAAGCTTCGCAGTATGCCGAGTAGATAATCATGTGCGTCCGGTGTATCTTCCATAGTCTCCAGAATCCGGTCGAGAAGCTCCGAGGGATGGAAGATATCCGCATAAATCGATGCTTCATCTCCAAACAAATCCTCTGCATCGTTTTCGGCTGCGATTTTATAGGCGTCGATCTGGTAGTTGAGAAGATGGTAGTTGAGCGATTCAAATTTGGGGAGCACACGCGCTTGAAATCCAGAAGCGTTCAATTCGTTACGAAGATGAACACGATCATTGATGTCAGTGGTGTTCTTTAATAAAGTATTCACCAGAATCATGCTTGATAACTAAATAATAGCATCATGACTGAGTTTCATTGGTCCCATGGTAATTGTTTTGGTGTGACCTACTGCATATTCGTTGACATGTTTATCGAGGCCTGTTCGAATGCCGGATTGTTTAAGCTCTTGATGAGCACCGACCAGCGATCCCGCTTTCCCGCGACCAGCAATGGTGTGTTCCACCGTACTGAGCCAGGCGTCGAACCTTCCCAAATCATGACGATGATCTCGCAACAGATCGAACCCGCGCAAAACGTGAGCCAAACCGTCAGGATGACAATAGCTTAAGAAGGCGAGCAATTCACACACCAGTTTACGCGTTTGCCAATGAGCATTGGGTAAAGAGAAGACAATGGTATGGATGTAGTTGGGGTTGGTCACGGCTTCCTGCACTCCGTACTACATAGATGCATGAGAAACAAATGAAAAAATGCAACATGGCAATCGCCATGACCCGAGAGTCATATGACCCTTTTATTTTTTACCTTTGTGTTGACAAGCGTCTTGATGCACTTTACAATTTCAGCTTCCACTTCGATGTCGCTATCCGTCCTATAATCATTTCAAAGTCAATCAAACACCGTCATAGGGTGGTAGGTCGGGGGAACCAGTTGTACCTATCTTGCTTGCGATTCAAGTAGGCGAGACTGTTATTGAGCACATGGAATCCTTTGAGATCAATAAACCCGATGACCCAGCTAAATAAGACGCAAGAGCAAATGATTAAAGCTCCGAAATTCATGTAACGGATGGGGACGTAACCCAAGAAAACTTACTCCATGGTCCGTGTCCTTAGACTGACTTCCAAGCTGCTGGCGACGGCTGGAGTTACGGCGCGAAGGTTGGTTTCCATAAAGGTACGTATAAAATGACTGGCCGATAGTGTATCCGAAGCCTCTTCCCTTGAGGGCGATCCTTCGGTGGGCGTGCTTTTCGAAGTTTTGATCGAGTTGGGTCGGTCGCCGCCCGTCATCGAAAAAGTGCGTGAAGGTGTGGCACAGTAGATCGTATCACCTACCATATCTGTAGAGCCGGCCAATGACGGATTCGATGACGGCGTCGATCGAGAACCTGTTTCCATGGCGGGTTGTCCTGAAGCCAGTCTTTCCGCTTGACGATCTTGCTTAATCATCAACCTCTTCTTGTCCACATGCCAACTCGACATGGTTGCTTTCGCCTGAGGATCGTGAATCCCACGACGTTCCTATATCAGATAATGAAAAACAAAATGAATTCGACGATCGCAGGGTCAAGGTGTAGGTTTGGATCACAAACGAGCATTTGTTCAAACATGTCTGTAATTTCCGAATCGGCCAACTCATCGGTAGGATGGTGATCTTGTGCTACATCGCGACGATCATCGATCGATGGTCGCATGCGCAGAAGCGATCGCTTGGGGGTTAAGCGCGACACTCCAGTTTCTGCAAAGGGTTGGGAAACAATGAAATAAATAAAAAGAGTGAGAAGTGTTTTCCAAAGAGGACTAGCTTACTGCTGCGAACTGGTGAAGACTGTTTTCTAGAGACGGCGGTGCGAGGCGATAGTGGGTGGAAAGGGGTTGTGGTGGGGACATTTTTTAAAAAGGACGCATTTGAAGATAGGATGGATTGTTTGACTGACCTCTTCCTTCCCAGACGGTCAAGGAAGTCGGTCATGGTTGCGAATACAACAATTACAAGGAAGCGAACCAAACCGAAACTTGACGTGTCCCTGATTTTTTTTTTTTTTTTTTTGCGACTTTCAGTTTGGCCCAATGCGGAGAAGTCTGATTTCTTTTTTTGGCGCGCACTCAGATAACGACGGGGTTTTAATTCCGAGTGGTTACAGCGTATTCGAAAAACCACCATCGTTAAAAAGAAGTTGCTATTTCGGAATATTTTGTCTTACCTTTTGGGCGGCTCACGTGTATCTTACGGACACGACAATCCGGCACGACAGTCCGGCACTAAAACTCGCAAGGAGCACGTGACGTTCGCGACCTCCTTTTGAACTCCTTTTCTGCATCGATTTGATTGTTTGGTGTCTTCCTGCTCCCAACTGTTGCCAAAGCGCGTCCTCTGCTCAACAAATGAAGAACTGAGCACAGTAGCACTGACAAGTAGGCGATTGTAGATCTTTAAGCCTCTTGTTACTGGACTTTTCTTCTGTCGAGTTTGCAAAAGAAATCTACTCAAGATGTCTGCTCCAGATTTTGGGAGTTCCGGAAGTTGCACCAATAGCACTGCCGATATCCGGACAACAAACGCAAGCACATGCATGTCTGACGAAGGTCTCCATGAAAGCGACGCTGATTCTGCAGTTGGAGGCACAGATGTTGCTCCCAGCAAGCAGCAATCTGACCCGTGTTTTGTCCAAGCGAGTCCATTTTGTGACAAAACAATACGCCCGTTTCAATAAGGCACGATCACGTGTTTACCGGCACCATCATAAGGAATTCGAGGAGCGGAAAAAGAATGATCAAGGACGACAACGTATTTCCAGCGACGCGATATGGAAATCTAAAAAGCGTGAATATCCCAGTACGCCAATGGTCTTGGGACACGATTTTCAATACCATACGCGCGATTTGGTGGATCCCTTTGGACAGGCGATCCTATTTCCGGAGAACTACCCAACTGGAGGTGAAGTATGTATGCGCTTCATGCACTGAACGTTTTGCACGAAACCTGGACTCGTCCGCCATGTCAACCAAATGCACCTGATCCAGTATCACCGTCAACGCTTGACAATCACTGGATATTGGACGGCAACATTATTTCAAAGAAATTTCATGCATACCGACAAGCATGTCTCGAGAGATCAAAGAGTGCCAGCTTTACGGTGGAAGGTAACGTCAATGAACTATTGTCGATGTCAGGTGTACTTGTATTGCAAAAGCGATACAATTACCAAAGCATTCCTGTGGAGATCTTTCCACCCGATCTTTGCGATCGATGCATGCTCATGTCATCGATTCCTACAGTCGTCGCACGTTCAACACACGAGTTCTCCAGGTGGTGGCCATTATCCAAAAATACACGAATGATCAAATCGACGAAGAAACCGCAAAAATTGACTTGCTTGGCTGCGCTCGGACCGCCGAAACGGAAAGGGCAGTTGTTAATGCGGCTGCTGCATTGATACCCTATTTGTACGATTGCCAAGCGAAAACACTTTCGGAAGCGCACCTGGCAGCAAGTGACATTCATTGCTTTATCCATAGTCTCTTGTCATGGAAAATGCCACGGTAATCGCTCATTGTTCGAACACTGTGCCTGACGAACGACCTACTGCCAACCGTCCAGACTACGAAGTGGATATTTACACGCCAGGCTATACATACAATTATACGAACGTATATGGTGATATCAAGCCAACTTCGGACATATCGCCAACGTTGATTGTCAAGGACTTTTATCCTCGCCATTTTGACCAAAGATGCACTGGACACATTTCATCTGCGGCAGTCACTTGTTTCTCAGGCTATTGGGAAAGACCATCACGGACTCTTGACAAACTCCTCGGAGCCATCCGCATCCGTCACAGACCCCCGGCCTTCCCCGCGACTGACTCACGGAGTTCCTTCGTGCTGTGGGCAATCACCGGATCGACATCTCCCCACCTGCTCTTCCTCTATTCTGAGGATCTCATTGGGAGAACTCCGCAGTTCTCGTACTCATGACTTGCGACAGCAGCTATCACCTCACCGCGATGTATTCGCCAGCTTCTCTAAAGCTCGGGACTTACGGCGCCATCTTCAACGCCGTCTGTTCCCGCAACACTCACAAAGTCGCCCCGAGAACCCCCTCGTCCGCATGGCGCATATCTGGGAATACACTCCTCCATCGCACTACCTGGTATCGGGTCCTTCACGGCAAACTTCCATATCGCCAACTCTGCCTCTCGCACTTTGCTTCTTCGAGTTGCTCTTGCTGGTCGGCTATCTCTAGACCATTGATAATTTTTTTTTCTTTGACTCGAAGAAAACATCCTTCTGGCTCCTTGTGCTATCGGTGTTCTCCCTAACAGCTTCACTGAGTCTACAAGGCATCAGACAGCTACTCTTACACCTCAAGTTACCGCTTGCAACTATTCACTCCACAGTAGCACCTTCTTTGACTCTTCCTGCCGCAGTCATCTGGGTACTTTACTGTTCTGGCGCGCCCGCTGGGCCTTTGTTTACTCTTTTCATCCACAAGAATGGCGGTGTACCATTGGAATCAAATCTGGATCATCTTCGTTGTGATACCCTGAACACCGCTTAAATGGGAAGGAAATGACGCCGAAGAAACGATTCTTTGCATCGACCACCGGCTTGATGAAAGCGAATGGAATGATTTATTAAAGTACGATGTTGTATATGCGCCTCTGGACCAGTATAGAATCTCTTTGCCTACAAAATGGTATCGATGAAGCCGAAGCAGACAAACTCGACGTACAGTGGCTGAAAAAATTGTCCAAACCTACGCCCCGTTTTTTTACGTTTTTATTCATACCGCAGCTTTCGCTATATGTACCGTCTGAATTTTTTTTATATGAAAAGTACATTCTCTTCTCTACATTGTCACGAAGTGATCGCATTGCAATTCATCCCATTGCATCCACCATTTCAAGATGAGCGGTCGGTTTGAACAACTTTTTTTCAATAAATGCAAAATAAGAGAAAGCGTTTTTTTACCCGTTTTTCTTCCTTGCCGATATGAAAAACGCTTTTTCTTATTTTGCATTTATTGAAAAAAAGTTGTTCAAACCGACCGCTCATCTTGAAATGGTGGATGCAATGGGATGAATTGCAATGCGATCACTTCGTGACAATGTAGAGAAGAGAATGTACTTTTCAAAAAAAAAAAAATTCAGACGGTACATATAGCGAAAGCTGCGGTATGAATAAAAACGTAAAAAAACGGGGCGTAGGTTTGGACAATTTTTTCAGCCACTGTACTTTCGACGGTATGCAAGCAATCGCACAAACCGGTTTCCTAAAAATGGCGTCAAATATTACAAGAGAAGACGATATTCCAGGATAATTTGGAGCGTGCTCGCAGGTAATGTAGAAAATTCATCAGATAAGCCGTTTCTTCTTTTTCTGATTTTCATTCTTCATCAGATAGGTAGAAGACGGGTATTGAATATACTGAACGCCATTATAAAAAATATCATGTCACATGTCAAGGAACCGAGTCCCGTTTGTCGGTCGCCTATGCAAGAACCTTGTGACATACAAAATGTCACTCGACTGTTCGATTAATCGACAAAACCACTGTCATTGACATCGACATCGACAGCGAAACTGAATTGCACACCAACTCCGATTCCATTTTCATTACACGATACCTGCAGGACCGTTGTGGACGTGTGCGGTGGAGGTCACTGTTTATCGAAGGTAGATCGAAAGATCTGTTCAAAAAGTGCAGCAATTTCAGTCGCTTGAAATCAAGCTATTATTAGAGTGTAAGCAAAATGGCAGACAAAGCAGTATTACAGACAGCGCGTCTACATAATTACGAGCGAAGCATTTACGGCAAACATTGTGTACGACGAGGTGTTTGACCGCCAGAGTGTGGTTGATTAAAGGAATTTGTTGGAATAAACATTGTTTCTATTTTTTATGCTATGCCTTCATGCTGATTTTATATTTGTATTCTTAACATATTCGAATGTTCAATTACAGGTTTTTAACTTGACAGCTGACGGGGCATGGCGCGTTACTAAAAGCTAGCGGGCCATGGCTCATGTGTTGCAAAATTAGTAGCATCGTATTAGAGGATGTGACGGCTTTGAATTTATGCGCCTTAGTTCAGGCTGAACGATGCAAGATGGTCTTATCAGCAAGCAAGTAAGATCTATATTTTAGATCGTCGATTGTATGTTGGCAAAATCTATGTCTTGTCAATATTTTATGCTCTTTTTCCCGTTCGGCAATGGCGATGGATCCCTTTCAGAGGTGGTTTGCATAGAATACGGCTCACTTGTATCAAATTTCCACTTTTACAGCCAGATAACTCTAGATGGATCGAATGCACACATGTATCTTTTTGCCTTGTCTGCCAATCAATTTGGTAAAAAGCGTATTTAAAAAAAAATGCTCTTCGCTGATTGGCCTCAGAAGTTTCTGATGAAAAAGTACGCAGGAAAATAACTCCTACGAAAAATTTTGGGGTGGGATGTTGGGTGGAGGAGGCGACGGCATTCAGGTTGATACGCTCCCCTATTTTCTTTCTCCGAGACTCGTGACATGGACGACAGCACACATGACAGCACCACTCAAGCCTCACTAAGCACCACCGACTTGTCACAAACGCAATCTCAACCGAAAGATCTTTCATTTAACATATCACAAGATGATCGTCTGTTCGCACAAGCAGGCAAAGATCCTATTCGGTACGACCGTGACAATCCCGTCCTCATGATCACGCAAGCATGGATCGATGAACGAAACGCGCCCGAATTATTACCCTATAAACGTCACATTGTAGAAACGCTGATAGAATTATTAGAACAACAAGTGAGTTCCCAGTTACCAACAACCCCCCGCTGGATTCCCTTGGTGACTTATTGGTATAATTTGCTTTCGTTTTATGACAACCATAGACAGAAATGGTCATGGAGGACATGTCCTCCACGGTGGAAAACAAGTTCATCTCCATGGTATACCAAACAGAAATAGAACGCATCAAGTATCTCGTCAAAAGCTACTTAAGAACACGCTTACACAAGGTAATTTGGTGAAAAAGGAAGAGAAACTGCAGATACCAGAAAGAGTTTCTGACGCGACCGATCATTGAATCCAGATCGAAAAGTTCACCCTTCAGTTACTGCGGACCTCTGGATATGATTTAATCATGTCGCCTCAGGAGATCATTTACGCTCGTCGGTAAGTTCTTGTTCATCTTCCCCCCTGTGGCTTCCATGCTTAAATGGGAAAAAACCGAAAAAATAGATATCAGGAACTTCTTGAGGCACACAACCATGAATCGTTTCTTCATCTTTTGCCCCGATCACAACACCGTCAAGACGAATCCCACGGTGGTCTCAATATGGGTAAGCATTGACCGTAGTATGGAATACATATGGAGGGTTATGGAACTGACGGGTCATCGTTTTTAGTCACCACGGCCGATATGGAAGCACCGGTGTTTTGTCGGGTCATGGAAAACGTAGGTCAAGTCAGTCTCGGCGGTGAAAGCCAGTTACTGGAAAAGGGCGAAATATACATTGTCCGTTATTCAGACATCAAGCATCTGGTGCAAGACGGTCGTCTACAACTCATTTAGGTGAACAACCAGAATTGCAACGACGGAGAAAGCGTGTTGAGGGCAGGAAGGCACGCTTTAGGACGTGAGGGAAAAAGATCTGGATTCATCTTTTTACAATGTAAATAGTCTTTCACTGCAAACAATGAAATGACACCATGCAGAAAAAAGGAACCTCTTTTTTTTTTTTTAATCAGGGGGTTTTTCTTTTGCAGCGTACGTCAAAAACGACATGTCATATAAAACCGTTCTTCTGTTTTCTTTGCATATTTTCTTCCTCCTCTTGGTGTGTGTACTTTTATTCTTTTCTATCCATTGAATCCTTTTATTTGACTGAGAAATACATGGCGGTTGTCATCACCTCACTTATTGTTGCCCTTGCTGTGGGCTTCCCCCTTTTTATTTATCCGCGACTGCATGCCCTTTTCGCCGTATTTTCTCGGCTTCAATGTTTTCAGCAATGTGTATTCCGAAACACCCCGGAAATATCTGAACCTACATGGTTGCCTGTCGAAGGAGCATTACCTGACTGGCTCAACGGCATCTTGTACAGAATAGGTAAAGGAAACCCTTGAAGTAGTTGATGAGGGACTGCCAGACTAAATGAATGGTTTTTCTAAAAATCGTTGGTAATACAGGACCTGGAACATTTACCTTCGAATGCAAAAATGGCGCCTCAATTGCTATTCAACATGCTTTCGACGGACTACCGTTTATGCACCGATTCGAATTATCGGCTTCTCAGCAAAAAGTGCGCTACAATTCCCGCAACTTGGCGAGCCAGGTTGAAAAGGATATCATTGCGACAGGAGAAACTCAAGGCATCTTTTTTGGCCATATGCCGTTGTTCTCTGTGTGGCAGCACATCAAGACGCTGATCTACCGGTTCGATCGCATGGTCCTTCGACCTCCGAAATGGAGAGACATCTCACCGTCTTCCCAAATGGTCGGCGTCACCGCTACCCCCAACTACCCTTTGCCTCCCGGCGCCAACGGATCGGATGATGCACATGTCTTGGTATCTAAAACGGACGCCAATATGATGCAACACATACACTCGGATACCCTTGGTCAGTATGCCACAAAGTTTTCTTGTCTCACAAAATTACTCACACCTGTTTTTCCCCCTTTCAGAGCCTCAACAACTCTTTGACTACGGTGACTTTCACGACCAACTCCAAGGCAATCTATCAGCGGCCCATCATCAATATGATCCTGAAACCAATACCATTTACAACATTACTCTCGATCTGATGACTAGTGCCTTGACTGTTTTCAGCATTGATGGATCGGGTAAAACCACCGTATTGGCTAAAATCACGCATCGTCTCGACAAAAAGAAGAGTCGCATTCGGCCCGCCTACATCCATTCATTTTGGTTAACCAAGGAATTCATTATCATTCCCGAAGCCCCGCTCTACTATACCTATGCCGGCATTGGACTACTTGCGGGTGGTCCTGCTTTGTCCTGTTTCCATTGGGATCCACAGGCGCCGACGTATCTCCATGTGATTCGCCGCCGTTCCAATGTCTGCCACGTGGCCTCGATCGCGGTCGATCCTTTCTTCACTTTCCATGTCGGCAGCGCCTGGGACGAATGGAACGAGGATGAAAAGGACCACATCATCGAGTTGAACTGCTCCGCTTACAGCAACGGCGACATCCTGTATCAGGTTCACTCTTTTGGTAATCCCTTGCGTAGTGGCACCGATCCAGCCGTGTATCGCGCAAACTCGTTCCAGACTCCCGACCCATTAACAGGAGTGCCTTTACCACCTACGCGTCAATCCAGTTTCGGCGATTTTCGGCGCTATGTGATCCGGCTGAATAGCACAACATGCGAATCCGGTACCATTGTTGCCAATGTCGAGTTTCTTCGTTACCGTCAGGACCCGACGTTGTCTCCTCACCAATACATGTATGGTTGCCAGTTTGAGCGAGCCAGTATGAGTAATAGCGAACGATACAGTCTCATCAAGGTCGATATCCGCTCCGGCACCGTGACAGCCAAATACGATCACGACGGGTATCTGTGTTCGGAACCCATCTTTGCACCCAAACCTGGAGCCATCGAGGAAGACGATGGAGTCTTGTTAAGTTTTGTTAACCAATTCCGATCATTATCCTCCAGCCCCCAGCAAGATCGCTGCTTTCTCGTGGTGTTGGATGCCAAAACCTTGAAAGAAGTAGCACGATGCCATATCGGCTCCTTCACTGCCAATACCTTTCATGGATCCTTTGTCAACGAACGCTTTGAGAACGTCTCCATTAATTGAATGCTCCTTATTTTACATTTTAAAAAGTCTCTCCCATCCTCGAAACACCCCCCCCCCCAAAAAAAAAAAAAACTTGACCAGATCCTTATATGCTGCGAAACTTTTAATAACTGTCAAAGCAGCCAATTTTTATGGCAAACTTAATGTACGAGGTTTTGTTGGTAGTGGTGCACGGTGAAGGAATCGTGGCCGCTGTCATTTCACTATGTATCCAATTCTTCTTTGTTTACCCTGTTTATTGCCTCGTATGTAATATCCCATCTATAGCGAGCAAGCAATACTTTGAAAACCTCCCCTCATCTGTCAACTTGTCACCGATATCACACAGTGAAACGACAAGCAAGTTCAGGTGCGCTTCAAAAATTGAGTTGTCTATCGCAGTATCCGGCATATCGAAAAACATCCGCCTGTTATCGTTTGCGCTGAGGAGAAGGCCATGTAGTCAAGTTTAACTAGAAATATCTGGACAAGATAACCTGATATTCTATAAAATTGCCCTGCTGGTTCTATACCAACAATCGAGCGAAGAAGAAAAAGCTCAGTTTTTAACCGGAGACAGTTCACCAGCCCTGCACGTCAATCATCCAATGCTACAAGACAGCACAACTCACATGGTGAAACGTGTAGAACGATATCGTTGCTTGGTATCATAGTAAAAGGTCTGATCTTAATTGATCTCCAAGCCAACAATTGATAAATAAAAGAAGTGTATTTAAAAAAGAATATAGAGTGATCACAATCGAACCATGTTTGGGATAAAAAAAAAAAAAGAGATTAATATAAATTACATAGCATAGCGAAATCGTCCTTGTGAGAATAGAGCCAGACACATCGATGTTTGGCTTCGATCAATTTTTCAACCGCTTGTTTCGCTTTCAGCAGGGTATCTCGTTGGTTGATGGTGGCAAGATCCATGAGTTTCTTCAGTCCATCATCTTGCCAAAAGTTGTATTCGTTCATTTTCTTGATCAACTCCTTGGGTAGATCAAAAGCGATCACTTGCACTTCATCGCGCTTCAGACTGTCCATGATCGGCGTCAAATGATGAATAGCTATATCGAGAATTCATCAGCCCTTGGTTTCTTTCTTTCAATCCGCCGGGAATTTCCCACAATGTACCTTTATCAGTGAGCATCGATTTATGCTTGTGTTTCATTTTCATTCGCTCTTTGCCTCGAGCCTCGCTGTACACTACTTGCACATCAAAGTTACTCTTCTTCAACTCGGATCCCTCGCCCTTGGACACCTCATGCATCAGATAGTCATGTCTCGCTGATCGAGACAGTACGATATTAGTGAAGAGCCTATTTTTTTGGACGTGTTCAATTCAAGCGACTTACTTGCTTCCGAGGCTTCTTTGGTTTTAAGCTCATGTTTGTTACGAATTTTACTGGAATGGGAGTGATCGACGCGCATTTGTTCCCCAATTTCCGCCGTGAGCCAAATGCATAAATCAGCTTTACTGATTTCATGTTCCGTTTTGCGCAGCACATCCTTCACTTTGACGGTGGTCGAACTGTCCCCATTTTGTCCCGAAGACTTGCCTTCGGGATTCTTATACTTCACAATGACGATCCAGTTGATGCTCGCCTTTTTACAGTACGTGACAAGTTCTTCGGGCGTCAACGTGTTCCCGTCATTGTACTGGAAATCGGCTCGAATACCGTGGCTCCACAGCTCGCGAACAATCTCCAACCTTTCCTGTATCAATACTTTGCCGAAACTAGCCACATACACATCGCTCTAGAAAAGAGAGAAACATACACATACATGAGCAGACATGTCAAACATCCAATCTTTACGAATCGGAGTCATTCATTTTTTACCTTTTTGGGAGCCCACACGCCGAAACTGCGTAAACGTTCGTTCTTTGCTTTGACCAAATATTTGACTTGCTCCGATTGATGCATATCCAAATGTCGAATTAGCTTTTGTACCGCGATATTCACGCCCACCGCGCGAAGTTTACGATTTGCAGAAGCACTGGGATGAGCAAAATGCTGGATCAAAATATCATATCTAACAAGGGTGTATCCGTCAATGTTCACTGAGCGGTCAGGGCATCTGCTTAGCAAGCTTACCGTCCACCAACCGCGAGCACGTCTTTCTTTTTTGAATCAATCGTATCGGCCACCGTCTCAAACACCATACCATTTTTATAAAAGTGGTTGTTATACCTACATCATCCAGTTGAGTCCAGCATGTCCCCGGTATGGGTTTGCGATTACATTGGCAGTACTTACACTAAGAGAGGATGGAAAAGCACCTTGTGGTGCACCCCGATCCTTCGACACATAGTGAACAGAAGTCGAAGGTCGTGCACATATTCTCGGAAACGGGACTTATGCGGTCCCACCAGGAGATTTTCCACCTTTTTGCTCACCACTTCCAGTTCCCCTAAAGTTCAACCGAGTCAAAATTCAAACTCTTTCCGTTTCTCACACTTATTTTTCTCGGGGCTTTGCCATACCTTGAATGTTGAAAATGGACAATTCATCCAGGACACTTCGTTGGAGATGGAATTTGAGTTTGAGCACATTGCGGACTGTGCTGAAAGAGGTCCCACGGCCAAGACTGGACAGCGCGACGAGAACGCCTTTTCGGTAATCGGTCGGTACACGGCAGTTATCCAGAATTAAATCAGTGATACCGGCATGATTGATGATAAAGTGAAATCCGCCCTTGCGATAAGGCGGTAGTTCCTCTAATACTTCCTCTACCACCTTAATCACTTCCGCATCAGGAACCATCGGTGTCGTATCTCGGTGCACAATGTCAAAATCAGCCTCCAGCACCGTTTCAGGTTGTCCTCCACTTGGATTTTCACTAGCAACATTCATTCAGCCATTTTCATCCATTGATGCCATAGGCGGGTCTGCTTACCGATACACTTTCTCGAAGGTGAATCGCTTCAGTTCAGGAAACCCTTTCTTTCGAGAGATGTAACGTGCAAAGGGCACGGTTTGATCAAATGGCAACTGATTCAGAGAGCCGTGAGAATCCATCAGATACACTGGATTCTTCCAGTTCCATTCATAAAGATCGTTTTTCGGAATCAGTAAAGGAACCGAAACATTGATAGCTCCATGGCGTCGGAACACTTTCGCCATGTGTTCCTGGATCCGATCGTGAAAGATGTGGTTGAACGGATCAAAAGGCATTTCCACTTGCTGTGTTTATAAACAAAAAGTATCTGGTTATTTGAAAGAACTTTAAACAAAATCAGGAATCAAACTTACAGTCTGATAGTCATATGTAAAATCTTTGTGACGATCCGAGGATTGCGAAAACATGGCCGACATCAGTTTGTTGTAGTAAGGCGTATTCGGATTGGCTGGAGAATGACAATGAGATTCTTGCTCATCTTTCTTTTTCTATACAAAATCATGCACTCCCGTAAAGACAGTGACTCACCTATAGTTCGAACACATTCTTTGATATACTCATCTTCCTATAGGCAAAATAATTTTAGTATTTCAGGTCCTTTCCGCCTTCTCCTCCTCATCTTCTTTTTGATCAACGTACCAATTTTGGAGGCAGCAGGTCACTTCTCAACAATTCAAAACTGTTGGGCCGGTCCTTCGGTTGCGGTGAGAGAAGCATGAGGATAATCTTCTTCTGATTGACATATTCCTTTGGAAAATCGTCTGGGAATTTCCCATTGCGTAGTTCGGTCAGAATAATCGCTCGTTGCATGCCGGTCTGAAACTTGTAGCACATTTCGAAAAACATAACACCGAGAGAGAACATGTCCACCTTCTGATTGTACCGCATCCCAGAGGTTGCGCCAGTGGTGGGATCGGGAAGTACCTCGGGCGAAACATAAAACGTCGTACCTACACCCGTCGTCATACTTTCGTCGGCTGTAAAGTTGATACTGGTTGCTGAATATCCATTGAAGCTGTTGACGCCACTCTCCGGCGCTGAGCCCGCGTATTGCAGACGACCGACCGTCGACGTCTTTGTAAACGCATTCACAGCATCCACCAGAGTCTGATTGGTCGTCGCCAAACCAAAGTCACCAATTTTCACATCATTGTTGGAATCCAAAAAGATATTGGACGGTTTCAGATCACGATGAATCATGCCTTGGGAATGGATATGCACCAAGCCTTCCAGGACTTGACGGAACAAACGCCACGCTTCGTCTTCATTGATGCCTTCATCAATAACATCCCGCAACGTCTTCTTTTCGCAGTATTCCATCTGGATGTACAATACCCGCGTACGATGCTGCGACCGCCTTTCACTTGCGCTACTCTTGTCTTCATGATGTTGCTTTTTCATCTTGGCCAGCACCTTGCGCGCAAGTTTCTGTTTCTTGGTCGCGTCCGTAGAATCGCTCGCGGTATCATCTTGGACGAATGAAATGAAGTCTTCAGAGGAGGCCACCGTTTCGGTGTCAAAGCAACTGTCTGAATCTTCCGTCGAAGCGACATCGTCGTCCTCATCGAAACGCACCGCAGAGTAACTGTGACTCTTGGAATGATTCATGGAAAGAAAATCAAATCGCTTCTGAAGCACGCTCACATCTTCGTCTTCCTCGTCATAATCGGACTCGGATTCGTCTTCGCTGTAGTCATCATCGTCGCTGTCTTTCCAACCGGTCCCATCTTCATCTACACAGCACGTTCAAAAATCATTGTTCCCAATAATCACAAATCCCCAAGACCCATTCTGGCATACCTTCGAACCAGGTTGTATAATAGCGTACGACATATTGATGATGCAAGCTTGACAGTGTCTGCACCTCCCTTAGAATTTTGCGGATATCTTCACTGTCCCTAGGATCCAGTCGAATTTTCTTGATGGCATATAATCTATTCTCCATGTGAGTAACTCCCTAAGCGCCTTTTGAACACGCAAGAGGGACACCTTACCTGCCATCGAGCTTATTTCGAGCTTTCACGACTTCGCCAAACCCTCCTTTTCCGAGAAATTCAATTTCTTCAAAATCGGCCTTGTAACGCGATGTGCCACTGCCAACGGAAGCCATAGCCATTGATGACATGTTGGCGGTCGGTGTATAGGTGGGTCGAGTAAAATCGTTGGGAGGCGCCATGGATGGCTCAAACCCAAAATGGCTAGTGGGACCTAGGGTCGGTGCTTCTTTAGGTTGAACAGCCGGAGCCACTGCGATATGTGTGTAAATGAAAACTTTTGCATTTGATTTAGGGATAGTCCCAGTGAGAGAGCCCTTACCACTGTCAGTAAATATTGGCGGGTTGGCATCGGCTATGAGTGATCCGCCTTCGCTGGAAAAGAAGGGGTCATTCAAAAGGTCAATAGCTGTCAACCGCTTTTTAGGATCGTTTTCCAACATCTTTTGCGCAAATTCTCGAGCTTGAGCGGGAAATTCACCCGAGACTATCAAAGGCATTTCCCTCATATTAATCACGTGTCTCAAGAAACGATAAACCCTATTTGTATTAAACATACCCGATCGCAGAAAGGCGGCAAAATCACCAAATTCGCGGGTCACATCGACACCCCACAGCATTTCGAGGAATATGATGCCTAGACACCAAATATCGTTTTTACGACCATAGACGCCTGGTCGATCTCTTACTTCGGGAGAAATCCAGGCCGCCAAAGGTTCATTGGACATGCCACGGTCATTTTCCACTAATGGATTGGATTTGTGTAAATCTGTCCAATAAAAATTTTGTTTCACGTGAGTAACACAAAACAGATAACCTCCTGAAGATCCTTCTAATGCAAGATCAGCTTACCATGCAGCCGCTTCGCATAACTGACGTCGGCCAGTTTCAAAATCTGATCGTTTGTACAGAAAACACTCTTGGAACGAATGTCTAAAACGTTTACTCGGTTAAATTTCGGATCTACGAAAAAATTGGGATGGCATGTCTAGCCAGTTACCTTTGCATACAAAACCATTCAAATGGATATGGTTGACTGCCCACAACAGTTGTTTCATGTATTTCCGCACAATGGCCAAACGTAAACCGCCTCCACATTTTCGGATCAGGTCATACAGACTGCCTCCTTGCTCGTAATCCATGAGAACATATAATGCCCACGAACTGCGATCGGATTCACTGCGTTCCAGTCTTGCATTATAAATACACGAAATATTGGGATGCTGCAAGGAGCGTAAACGGTCCAGTTCTCGTTCTATTTCCTGCAACTAATGGAAGAATCACTAGATCAGTGGCTAGAGCGTCAGTGATCAGAACAATGGAATTCCTCACCTTTCTTTTGCCAGCTTGTGTCACATAATATTCTCCACTGACATCGATGCGTTTCAATGCCAATAAGCATGGGAAGTCAGCCCCGTCACCGTCATCCACAGGTCCATTGTCACTGATCACTTTGTAACCGATCGGTTGCGCCGAGTAAACCTCGCCAATGGTTCCTTTACCAACACACGGTCCCAGGGCCACGGCGTGAAAGCAAACTCTCTGAAAAAGGCATTGGTCATTTTTCATGCTAATCCGAACGTATTACGGTGACGCTGTCTCACCTTGGGGAACGTGGTTGCAAAATTCTCTTCAATGGGAATCGTCATTGGATTATCAAATAGGACGGTTTTGATTTCGCTGCTGACAACATCACGCACTTTGCTATCTTCCGTATCTTCCTCTATACCGAAATGGGAGTGAAAATCATCGTCGACAATCGGTTCGCCAAATTCATGACGATGCTGACGCGCCACTCGGGCATGTTCCCTTTTGCGTTCCAACTCTTCCTGGATTTTCGCATTCATCATTTCCGATTGAACGCGCAATTCCGCCTCTTCCTGTTCCGCTCGATCCCTTTGCTCTTGCAATTCTCGTTCTTTTTCCACCTGTGAGCAGCAACCGGCCTTAGATTAACCCGATTGTTGGAGAGGGTGTAATTTGCTTACCTTGAGATCATTTTCCATGCGTTTCACCATCTGTTCGTGCAAGGTAAGTTTACTGCCTTCTGGAGGTGGCGAGTTGTAATTGGCGAGAAAAGTGCGCACATGATCGGCGATATCATACATCATCTCGCGCCCCGTCATTTCGCGAGCAGCACTAAGCATGGATTCGTTCAATTGTTGGATCGTTTTCGGAAACAAACCAACCGGGTTGATCAAATGCATCTCTGGTGGTTTATTGGGATATGTTTTCGGAAACCTGGAAAGAAAAACAAAAGATACACGATGATCTGAGATTTCGTCCATCATGGCCAAGCTGTTGCAGAAGGGCATTTTACCTGACTTTGAGATCTATTTTGACGTAAGCTTCCGATGCATCAACACCCAAAGGATAAAGGTGCAGCAGGAATTCAGGAGCTGTTTGCGAAACCTAGCCATCGTTAAAAAGGATTCCATGAATGAGCGCTCACGGACCGTAAAGATTGCGTTTCCAGTGAATAAAGTGTACCTTCCATGCTGTCTTGTTGATCACTTCTTCATAATCGTCCATAAAGATGGCTTTGAGCGCTTCTATTTCATTTTGCTGTATTTCTTTGATTTCGTCGAGATCCATGATTCAGCAACAGAGATGAAGGGTATTGTCGGATATATATGAGGCAATACGTAAGTAAAGTGGAGTTGGTCTATGAGTGAAACGACGTATGCGTGATTGTGCGTTTGTGTGTATGCTGCTGTAAGCGACAATGGTTTTAAGGGTAATTAATATGCGATGTCGGGATAAACAAAGTAGGTTGTCAATGCGTGGTAGCTTCTCTCATAAAAGTCGAGAAGTAATCACTTCATTTCTTGTGGAATCACGCCACAGTGGAAAACGCATTCAAAGGGTACAAAAACAAGGGTCCCTTTGTAATTTCACTGCTGGGAGATTATTCCGAAAGTGGGCAAAGGGCGGACATGCAATTCCCAGGAAATTTCAGCATGCACTGCTTTGACGGGAACCGATCACACCATTGTTTGCACAATAGCATCATTTTTTCTTGGTGTTAACAAAGCAATCAGCTTAATAGAATTTTATTACGTCTTTATATATCATTTAATGCGCACTATAACCGCAGCAGGAATGATGTAAAGCAAGACAGCGCACAGTCATCAGTCGATTCGACCTTCAATGACTTCGCTTTCGTAAGCTAAAAAAAAAACAGTTAATGCCGTTTGAATCGATGAGCAAAAAAGAAGGGACGCCCTTTGATATTTACCGGTAGCCTTTTTTGTATGGCAGTTTTCGATGACATAAGAAGGATGCTCGCGGGAAGCGCCGCCCATGACTTTACCAGAGCTATTTTCCTGAAATTTTCAAAGAAGGGTAAAAATGAAATATCCAAATATCAAACGACACAACGATATGTTAATAAGTTACCTGAGGTTTCGTGATCACTTCTGTGATGATGCCTTCCGAGAATGTATCAGCTAATAACGCCAGGTTATTCGCTAGCCAATCAAGATCAGGGAATTCGAAGCAAAAACATACTGCCTCGCAGAGGTCGGTATTGCACCTTGTCACCAACTTTGTATTTTTCAGTAGTCATGCTGTATGTCAAAAGTGTGTATGTAAGAAGATAAAGATTTCTCGAAATGAAGATCACAACTTTTGGATCTTATAAGCATTCTTTCGCATGAATATGCATCACATCATCATTGTATGAAAATACGATCATTATTGTATGAGGATAGGATCACTGTTCAGTGGGATGTGAGTCATAAGCGCATGCCGTTCACATATGCTTTTGACCCGGTCATACCTTGGATGAAACAAATGTCAACGAGTTTTATCAATCCTATTATGTATATGTTTCGCGTGTGTGTATGTGTCTACGTCAATGACGGCTTTATATGGAACAGACAAAAAAAAGGGTGAACAAGGAATGATGCAATTGAAATGAAGATGATAGAATGATGAGAGTACCGAGTTTTACAATTCAAAGCCTTCTTCTGCCAACCACACGGCCACAATACGCATACTTGCTTGGGCAATGGTGTTATTTTCGAGCTCTTCATCGTTGTCGGTTGTATCTTGGATGAAGCGAAGGAGTTCCATCACGATTTCCAAAGTGTCGGATAACGTCTTTCTGATTTTCAGCAGCACTTCGGGATCCGTTCCGCTGTTACTGTCATTGTCAAAATGCATGGATAAATATTGTATGCAAGCTTCAAGAATTTCGTAATGCACAGGTATCATAATTTCTTGTCGCCTCTCCTTTTCTTCATCGTGGACCACCGCATTCAGATTGTGGAGCGACCGCAGTCGATCATTGATATCATCCAACATCACCCGGGTTTCAACAGCCGACAAATGCACCAATAATGAGGGGAAATTGGCGTCGGCATAAGCTTCCAGGACCTTTTTATCTTCAGATTGCTTCTCTTTCTTCCGCTTACAAGCTTTGGTTTGCTCCAACGAAGAAAACAGCCAATCAGGTCCGAAGTAACGCAACATGCAAGCCGTGACTACCATGGCCTCATCTCGATCGGAATCACCTGTCAAATGTTTTTTACGAGTCAGTCAACGATACGGATCATTTTGGATGGTTGAGCAATTCACACATACGTAACCTGCTGCTCAGCAGCTGCCGTAATCCCACTCGCAGATGTTCCAGCCATCGTCCATAAGACTTTTCCGCATCATGTTTCACTTTATCCATAACCTAGACAACGCAGACAGAAAAAGATCAGATGAAATCCCACCTGACGGTATGGCGTTGTCGTCGTCACTTACCGTAGAAGGCACCAAGGGAAGAAGTTGACTCAACATATGCAATGTCTCAAACTTGAGCATATCCTGGTCATTCTTGAATATCTGTGATAAAATGGATAAAGTAGTTTTCAGCGAGTATTTAACAGCGGAAGTCAAGCTCGGAATCGGTTTCTCATGCAATTGATGGCATGCGCGCGCGTAAACAGAGGTGACAAGTTGAACACACAAGGATCGTTCTTTCGCTGTTATGAGGCCAGATTAGCTCATAAACTGATGTACCACCTTGTTGTTGCAACTACCTTTTTGAGTTTGTGCAAACACTTCAAAAATGTTCTTGAGGACGTCGGGATCAAGAATTTTCACCATGCTTTCTTTGGTGACGGCCATACACAGCATAATATGAAGCGTTTCCTCCGTGACATCGGTTGGATCACTACCAACAAAAAAGGAAAACGACGCCATTGAGCATTCATATTTTTTTCGTTGCTTCTCATCTTCATTCGATTTACTTTGGTGTCAGAACCGTGGATAAGGTAGGAATACGTTCCGTCATGGGCTTGCTTGTTACCAAGTTTTCGTAACGTGCAAAACAACCGAGAATATTCACAGCAATTTCTTTCATAACTGAATCCGGTACCTCGGCATTTTCGTCGGGAGCTGCCCAGCACTGTTGTTTAGACGAAACACCTCGATTTTGCCCAAGACTTGATATGAAACTTACCTGTGCGCAAAAGACGTTCAATAAACGTAAAATTCATACCATCAAACACATGTTGAATAGCGGCGGCATCGTTTTGTTGCAAAAGTTTGGGCAGGATCAGCATGCCCACAAATTTGGATTCATCCGAGGATGAAGGCGAGATCATGGCCAAGCAACGATCAATCTCGGCGAACCGATCTGCTTTCGAACTACCGATCGAAGTCATGGTGATCGAGTACTGAAGATGTTCAAACGCGTCTCACACACCGACAACTCTCCACACATCTTGAACATTGCAGTCACAAGCGGTCACAGAACGTCCCAAAAAAGGTCAAAGAAGCTCAAATGCAGAAACCGAACCAAAAAAGTGACATCATATTTGGAAAATTACGTCAATTTTGGTAATGACCAGATAAGCGAGCAGCAAGCGAGTATAAAAACCTTGGTGGGGGGCCTGAGAAAATGCGCAAACCATTTTTAGTTTTTCTGCAGTTCCTGTTTTGATGGCCAGTTTTTCTCGACTTCCTATGCGACTGGCGGCAACGGCCGATCTTGGTGCCACCACTGTTGCCAAGCCCGCCACCTTGCCCTTGCCAACCATGTCTGTTGCACGATCTTCAGCCACGTCGCCGGGAGTACAGAGCCGTTTCGAAATTCATACCTCTTCCATACTCACAAAAACAAAAGAAGCCGAAGGTTCGGTGACCCAGGATCTCAAGGGACAGAAACCTCAGATGCCTTACAATGAACGCCAGAGCGCCTCTGGCACTGTGAGTGAAATCACAGATAAAGATACCAGTTTTGACCCTCACAACGTTGACCCCAAAGAAGAAATCCGAGAAATGAAGGAAGAAACCCCGGATCACCAGTCCCCTATTGAATGGAGTGGAGCAAACGAAAATGTCAGCCCTCAAACCAAAGAAGAAGAGTAGAAATTTGCTCATGTAATATATTTGTTTAGATAAAAAATTCGATGCCTTTTTTTACATAATAACAATTGGTTTTTTTTTTCCGATTTATATTTCCATAACCTGCTTTATTTCCTCCATGTGTTCGAATGGATGCATGACATGTAATGGCTGTGATATTATTGAGGTATGTTCAGTTTCGGTTCCAAAACGAAAGGGCCCAAAACCGAAGGCACACCGCACTGCTCACGATGTCCGAGTAAATGCCATAGTGATGCAGTATTCCCAATATAGAATGTTGTAGGGCCTGTTGAGAGGTATCATACAAGAGAAAAGAGTCCATGTTTTTGTTGCCTTTAACTCGACCGAGGATTCCGCCCTGACTTTTCACGTTTTTTTATCTTTTATTTATTATCCGGTATTTTTGACAGTAATAAAAACTGAACAGCATAATGTATCGATATACATACCATATTTATGCGCTCTTGCTCATCAACGAATAGCTTATATGTGAGGCTCATCGAATTTTCTGTATCACCACTTGGAAATCATGAGCGAGACATCCCTGAAAACATGTGAAGAATTATGCACGATTTAGAGACCTTCAGCGTATAGTTTTTTGTCTAATGTCTACTGTCGAACTGCCATCCAAGGAGACCTGCCTTTTTTTGGCACATGGACGGAGCGCAGCGTCCAACGGAGCGAGCGGTTCATAGATGGCCGTTGCACATCTGCGCTTTCTTCTTTCAAGCTAACGCCACCTACTGTTGCTTGAACGGAGTGCACTTGCTTGATAGTCACTTTGCGTCAGTACAACTACAAATCACAGAGAGTGACACTCCTGATCTCTTTTCTGAATAATGCATGCGCCTTGAGCGCTAAAAAAATGCCGAAGTACGTCAGATGCTGAAAGGTACCTTTAAAGCATCGGCGAGACGGTATTCCTGCTAACGTCGCCGGTGATTAGACAGTAAAGCCATGCTCATGGCGATCGGAAGCCCCATTGTTTCGGCCAAGAAACCCCCTAAAACGGCCACCTTCAACTGAACCGACGGCAACAGATAGTTTTGACATTAAATTAGAGCCAAATAAATGAGGACGGGATAATTGACAAGACATAAAAACTGTGTCTGAAAAGACGTGTTACTGCAAGTTTTATTGATGAATATTTGATACAGTTAAGCAACAAAAATGTAAAGGTCAAGTCTATGATATAGGGCTTTTTCCTTCGCAGAGGAAAAAATCAAATAAATAAAAAATCTATGCTTAAATTTTTTTATGTTTTCGTTTACTTCTGAAATCACTTTCTTAAGCCCGCCATGGAGCTTGGCGAGTAATACAGGAAAAGCCACGAAGGCAAAAGGAAAGAAGTAATGCGCACCTCCAACCAAGCCCGCCCGTACAGCCGGGAAGGAGGCATCCCCATCAAGGCTCCAAAGACCAAGAGTGGAGATTACAGCTTCATAAGCATTGTTTCCACTGTTCGCCAGACGAAGAATTTTTCAGAACGGAATGAGGGTCTTTATAATTCTGTTCAATTTACATCCCGCCGGTCCATGATGTGCCTTTTTTCCTAATTTCTATCCTCACAAAATACGAACGGGAAATTGGGCAACATGGCCGCACTGAATGAACATTGTACGTTTAGCATTTTGTGGCTGCAGTTGGGTTGATTAGCTTCCATTGGCTGAGTGCACCAAAAATCGCATTGTCTACACTTTGATTGGCAAATCCTTGTATGTCGATTATAACAGCTCAACATAGTGGGGGTGGGTGCGAGTTACCCTCTTCAAGAAGAACGGTCGACGTGGACTCTCTCCTTTTTCCCAGTGGCTTTTGCATCCATTTTTATGTGCCTTGTATAGGTTCTTAGGGGCAGAAAAAAGCCTAGTCCAGAAGCCGCAGGCCCAACGATCACACTCCAGAAACCAATATCCCGCTCGAAAAATCACAGGATTTTGTTAAACGATAGCCGTACCATTGCGATCGCATTTCGGAAAGGGATCCTTCCCAGAGTCAATAGGAGGAAACCTACGTACAATGAGGACTGACTTGAAACGACTGAAGCAAATCTTTTGCAGAGAAACACGAAGACGGTGTTAATCCAAAAATAGAAGCAATCAGTGCAGGTGGACAAAACGAATCAAGGTGGGTCTGGAAAAACTCATCATGGTCGTTGAGTTTCGGACATCACAATTTGCCCAAAATATGAGAAGAGAAGTTTGGAGTACAAAAAGAAATGTCAGGCCAGCAACGGGGAGCGAGCCAGAAGGCAAGTTTTGTTTTACGTACAAATCGTGCACTACAGTATGGAACCTGGGACTGTGCGGCCAAGAACATCCGATCCATTTTCTACGCACGACGCACAATAATAAGGAGCAGTCTCCATCATTCAGGCGGAATGGATAGTGGTTTTCTCTCTTTTGTTTTTAATTCATGACGCTAAGTAGATGCAAGAAAACAGCATCCTGCAATGAGTACTTTGCGCTTATTTTGCATAGCAAATCGTACTTTCTTGTAATCTTGTCATTTTCTAATCTCAGTAAAGGCTGTGTTTGGGCTTTGCAAGTTTGTGCACCCAAACGGAGTACAAAAGCCAAAGTTCCCTATCTCTTACATTGTGTGAAAAAAAAAAGGAAGAAACGCAAGGAAACCATTTGCGTTTACCCCGGTGCCTGATTTTTTCAGTCTTTTTTTACCCTTTTTTTTTATTCTTTCTTCACATTTTTCTTCCCTTGTTAGTTTGGCGTTGATATTTCGACATATCGACATAGTACACTAACCATGGCTTCGGAATCACAGCAGTTGATGCAGGCCATCGACGTGTACAACAAGGGCACCAAGGCCTGGTTCGAAGATGACCAACACGGCTGGGTATCCGGCACGCTTCTGTCAAAAGAAGTGACAGAAACCAGCGTGAAAATGACGTTTCAGGATGATGACGACGATTCCAAGGTAGCTTGCGATTCTTTGGCATCTCCCCGAGCGAGTCCCCATTTAACCCGTTTTATTTTTTTGGTTGATTATGCATTCCAGCAACATGAATTTGAAAGCACCTTGGCGCAACTGCAAAAAACCAACGGTGGCAACTTGCCGCCTCTCAGGAACCCTCCCAAAATGGAAAACACCGATGATCTGACTAATTTGAGTTATCTCAACGAACCTTCCGGTAAATCCATCTGGAGTTATAGAAACAACCGTATATTCATTCGTGACCGAAATACTAGTTTTGAATACCATCCGCACTCGATACCAGCAGCGTAATATTTATACCTATTCCGGCATTGTATTGATTGCCGCCAACCCGTTCGATCGTGTACCGCTTTACGAAGCCGACATTATTCAGCAATATTCCGGACGCCGTCGCGGTGAGTTGGAGCCTCACTTATTTGCTATTGCTGAGGACGCCTATCGTTGTATGATTCGCGAAAAAACGAATCAAACCATCGTCGTCTCGGGTGAAAGGTGAATACCAGAACCAAAATTATAAACGCGATGGTGACATAGAAGCCGGTAGTGGCAAATCAAATGAGCTAACGCGAAAAACAGTGGTGCAGGTAAAACTGTGAGTGCCAAATACATCATGCGTTATTTTGCTACAGCCGATGATGATGAATCGGGTAAAAAACGCGATACCTCATCTGGCATGACGGAGGTGGAAGAACAGATTCTCGGTAAGTCTGCTTATGAGCGACACAATCTTTCAATCTCAGTCAGTCCAGCTCATTCGGTGCCTATTTAGCGACCAACCCTATCATGGAAGCGTTTGGCAATGCCAAAACAACACGAAACGACAACAGTTCTCGATTTGGTAAATACATTGAGGTAGGTTCGCACGTGAGCTAAAGTTCGATGCAGCCCAAGCTAACACCTTGAACAGATTCAATTTGACCAACGAGCCAATATCGTGGGCGCCAAAATTCGAACCTATCTCTTGGAGCGTTCGCGATTGATTTTCCAGCCTGAAACGGAACGCAATTACCACATTTTTTATCAAGTAAATAATCAGATGCTTGACGTGAGGAGAAACGTGGAATGTATGGGATGATTGACGATTAGTAGCTCTGTTCAGGTGCTCCTTTGACGGAAAGAAAGGAATTGGAATTGAAGGATTGGACCAAATTCCATTATCTGAATCAAAGTGGGACGGGTGTGGTACCCAATGTGGATGATGCGGAAGAATTTGATTTGACGCAGCGATCGTTATCTCTTGTCGGTATTTCGGTTCAAACGCAATGGCAGATCTTCCGTCTGTTGGCGGCATTACTGCATATCGGTAATATTGAAATTGGCGGACGAAACGACGCCACGTTATCCGAAACTGAGCCTTCTTTGGTGACCGTGACGAAATTGCTGGGCATCAACCCTAGCGAATTCCGAAAATGGCTCGTTCGCAAACAGATCATCACACGATCCGAAAAAATTGTATCGAACCTCAACCCTACGCAGGCGACCGTTGTTCGTGATTCGGTAGCGAAATATATTTATGCCAGTTTATTCGACTGGTTGGTCAATGTGGTCAATGAGAGTCTGTCCTGTCACGAAGAAGGTCGTGTAGCCACCTTTATCGGTGTGCTGGATATTTATGGTTTTGAACATTTCAAGAAGAATTCCTTTGAACAATTTTGTATCAATTACGCCAATGAAAAGCTGCAACAACAGGTAGGAAGTCGAATTTTTATCGCATCTACAAAAGTAATGTGCTTAACAACAAAACGATGTCTCTAGTTCAATCAACACGTGTTTAAACTTGAACAAGAAGAATACGTACGAGAGCAGATCGATTGGAAGTTTATTGATTTCAGTGATAACCAAAAATGTATTGAAATGATTGAAGCCAAGCTCGGTATTCTTTCGTTGTTAGACGAGGTCAGACAGTGGAATGGAAATGCAGAGGCTGAATTGCTTGGATTGATGTTTGTGTCGCATAGGAATCTCGTTTGCCATCCGGATCCGATCAAGGATTTTGCGATAAACTGTACGCGAATTTTGCCACCCCCGCTTACAAAAATTATTTCAAGAAACCTCGATTTTCAAATGCTGCATTTACCGTGGTGCACTATGCTCACGACGTGCAATACGAAGCCGAAGGGTTTATTGACAAGAACAAGGATACCGTACCTGACGAGTTGCTAAACTTGCTTCAAAACGCGGATTCCACCTTCCTCGTGGAAATGCTGCGATCCGCCACTGCTTCCGCGGCTGCACAAGTTGTAAGTCAGAAACATCGGATGCAGGGTCGATCAGGTTGGTAACCAACGATGATTGATGTAGGTCGACACGCCGAAAAAGTTGAATGCAGCCAAGAAGCCAACCTTGGGTTCCATTTTCAAGGTAGGTTCGGACATGGGAGGATGTGTCTTCGTTTAGCAATCGTTGAACGTTCGCTAAATAACGTTGTTTGATGATAGTTGTCGCTGATCAATTTGATGGAGACCATTGGACAAACAAATGTACATTACATCCGTTGTATCAAACCAAACGAAGCCAAAGTCGCGTGGGTGTTTGAACCCAACATGGTGCTAGCACAGCTTCGTGCGTGCGGTGTGCTGGAAACCATCCGTATCAGTTGTGCGGGATATCCATCACGATGGACGTTTGAAGACTTTGCTGATCGGTAACTAATCTTTTTCCCTATTTCGGTTAACTTGGAACAAAAATATCGGGCTAACGCTTATTGGACTGTTATCAGATACTATGCTCTTGTCAATTCCAAATATTGGGATCCAAACACGAATCCAGACATCCACAACCTGTGTACGGTGATTCTCGATACGTATATCCAGGACCCTGATAAATACCAAGTCGGTCTTACAAAGATCTTTTTCCGAGCAGGACAAGTAAGGCAAACGTTTCTCTTTGTTTTTTTTTCTCTCTCTCTCTTCCCCACGCATCCTACCATGACAGCCATTATTATGATCATCCAGATCTTACTCACAGCTTGCATCGCATCAGCTTGCATATATGGAAAAATTGCGATCGGACCGATGGAACGAATGCACCATTCTGCTGCAGAAAAATATGCGCCGATTCATCGTTCGCCTTCGCTATTTGCGCATGAAAGATATTGCCATTCGATTGCAACAGATTGCACGTAAAAAGATGGGCGTTCGTAAATTGGAATTATTACGGCAGGAGAAAGCGGCCATCAAGATTCAAACGGCGTGGCGAAGATATATTGCACGAAAACGGTATCTGCAACAGAAAATGTTCACTGTGCAATTGCAAGCAGGTCAGAGAGTCATTTGGTTGATAATAATACCAATGGAACACCATTTGTTGACACTTCCTCTGATTAGTGGTACGAGGCCATTTGGCGAGAAGACAGTTTGGTCATTTCAAAAAAAACTTTGCTGCCACGCAAATTCAGCGTCTGATTCGCGGATGGTAAGAGGGTGAAACTGTGGAGTTTTGCAATCAATATTCATGCGGTTTTCGTGGGAGAACAGGATGGCCCGAAAACTGTATCATGCACGACGTGATCATATTATTGCGGTGCAGTCACATGTACGACGACGTCAGGCGCAGAAGAAATTGATCGCCATGCGTGCAGATGCCCGGTCGGCGAGCCATTTCCAGGAGGTGTCATATAAACTGGAAAGCAAGGTTGTCGAGCTGACGCAGTCGTTGACCCAGCAAAAATCCGAAAAGGAGGAACTAAGAAACAAAGCCTCCCAACTGGAAACCGAAGTGAAAACATGGATGGAAAAGTACGAAAAGCTTAACAACAAAGCCAAGGAACTCCAAACCGCTTTGGAAGCCTCGTCTACGTTGCAAGTGGAATTACAAACCGTCCAAAAAGAACGTGACCAGCTTCAAAAGAGCTACCAGACTTCCTTGGACAAGATTAAAAAGCAAGAGGACGATTATATCAAATTGTCCGACGAGTTATCCAAGCACAAGGAGGAAATCACCTCGCTTCGCAACGGGCAACAGCAGCAACCACCACAACGATCCATGTCCAGGTCAGGCTCCGGTACGCGATCGGAAGACAGGGCCGATGTGATGGAACTGAAAAATCAGATTGCAGTGCTGAAAGCGCAGCTCGCGCAATCACTTAAAGTGCAACCGAAGCGGCAGCAGTCGGTGAACGCATTCTCGCGAAACTTGTCGCCGGCTCGAGAACAACGACGAGCCATGTCACCTGAATCACCTATTCCTCGTGGTCGGTCCCCAACGGGGGCCAGTGTGCCTTTCCGACGCAACAGTCTGGCCGATAGTGGCAAATCGAAACGTGACCCGGTCGGCAGTAACCGAGTGATCTATGCTGAACCAGATCAGATGAGACCCATGTCCATTGATCACTTTAACAAGTTGCGTGGCACGGAAGCCGAAACCAATCCAGAAGAGGCGGTAAGCAACTGTGGCTCGACGATAATTTATCAAGTTATTTAATGGGTTAACTGAATTGTAATTATTTCAAGATTCATCGTCTGTTGAATGAAGATGAAGGGTTCCTGGAGGAAGAAATTTTGGAAGGATTAATTCGATCTTTAAAGATCATTCCACCGAATCCGCAAAATCCGCCGCTCAAACCGGAAGTGATGTTCCCGGCTCACATTATCGGTCTTTCCGTGACGCAAATGTGGCGATACGGATATCTTGCTGAATCAGAACGGTTAATATTCACTGTCATGGATACCATTCAAAAATACTGCTTGGTAAGGATCTGTCAATGCCGAGTGTCTAAACGTTAGTCAAGAAAATTATTAACTATCGACTGAACAAATGAGTATAGAGCTTCACGGGTGAAGAGACGATTGTTCCTTGTGCTTATTGGTTATCGAATGCGCATGAGCTCTTGTCGCTGGTTTGCTCGACGGAACAGGAATTGGAACGAGAAATGCATTACAATGCGATGAACGGCCGTCGAGCGGTTGGATGGCACGATTTTGAGAAATTGGTGGCTCTGGTGAAATATGAGCTTCAGTGCCTTGAAGACAACATTTACCATCACTGGTTGACAGAACTCAAAAAGAAGCTCAGTAAAATGGCCGTGCCGGCTGTGATAGAAAACCAATCGCTTCCTGGTTTCATTGCCAATGATACAGGACGCTTTTTCGGCAAGATATTGTCAGGCAGCAGCCAACCCGCGTTTTCCATGGACGATTTGTTGAATTTTATGAATCAAATTTATCGAGCCCTGAAATGCTACTTTGCGGCGCCATTTGTGATTGAACAGGTGTTAACGGAACTTCTCAAACTCATTGGTATCACGACCTTCAATGATCTTGTGATGCGTCGTAACTTTAATTCATGGAAACGAGGTAAGGAAGAAAATCAGGATTGAGAGGTCTTTCGATACGCCAAGAGGTTAACCTTATATGAATGGATGACTTTTTTTTTAGCGATGCAAATTCAATACAACATCACACGCTTGGAAGAATGGTGCAAAACGCACGAAGTAGCCGATGCGACGGTGCAACTGGAGCACTTGACACAGGCCGCAAAACTGCTGCAACTGAAAAAGTCAACATTGGAAGATGTGAAGATTATCTATGATGTATGCTGGATGTTGGCACCAACTCAAGTCCAAAAACTGATTCAAAACTACATTGTAGCCGATTATGAGGCAAGTATTTTTTTTCATTATTATTTTCCCACTGTGGTGCGGGTCATTTTTCATCAAGATGAAACATCTGACCGACCATTGAATGGGTTGATGATCAATTTTGGGTATCACTGACACTGTATTTTCGATACAATAGGATCCCATCAGCAATGATATCTTGGGAGCAGTAGCATCACGCGTGGACAGCGGTGATACAAATGACATTCTGCTACTTGACAATGTGTCATTGGACGATAGTCCTTACGAAGTCCCTGAACCGCATACAGTTACAGCTAATACATATCTGCCGGCTTTCGTAAGTCTAGAGAAAATCCAAGGATGGGTTTATTTACACGCTTTATTGAGGATGGCCTTATTAAAAAAATTTCTTTGTCACTGTAGCTCAATCTGAAGCGTGTTCAGAAATTGATGGCATTAATGACGATAGCGATGCAAACCGCCAAACGAAAGGAGTCATTGTAATCGGCGTTTGGCGTCGTAGCTCTTCTCTTTTTTTCACCCCCTTTTTTTTGGATACGATGCTGCTGCCTGGATTGCAAATCTCTTTTTTATACACTTTTTATAAAATTATTATATTTATCATGACATTCAGCGTCCGACCGTTTGGCTTTTTTTTTTTCCCTTCTTGTTTGTTTTCTCCTGCAACGCTTATTCGGTCGATTGGCCTGTCAATCTTCATTGCAAGGATGGGTGTTCGTGTGTATGTGTGTGTGAGTGTGCGATATTATGAATATGGTGTTTTCGGCCTAGTAGGTGGATGTGTGAAGGTTGACACTGTGCTGTTCAAAATGATCGAACCGATGAGCCAGATCGGCCAAGAGATCTTTAATGGGTGGTAACTTGGTGGTGGGGGGTGGTGGAGACACCGAGGGGGACATGGGAAGCACCCTCATTTTGGTAGCCTGGGTCGCCAAAAGATCGAGATTGTCATGTGGTCGCTTTTCACCAATTCGGCTTGCAACGGAAGGTTCCCGAAGGTTGGACAGGGGCTCTGCGGCACTGTGATTCAATGAAATGCGGCGACGGCGTGGGTGCGGTTGATGTTGTGATAGTAACGGTGGTGGTGGCTGCTGCCGCTGTTGTGGCAATGAATGTGAATAAGAAGCAGAAAAATGGGTGAGATTGGTAACGCCTGCTAGGGGTTTGACGAGGATGGGTGGACTGGGCAGATCACTTTGTTGGGGAGTGGAAAGCGGGCTCAATTTTTGCGGGCTGTAGGAGGATGAGGAAATAGGAGGTGTGGCAATAGTGATATACTTTGCTTTTTTGCCTCGTTTCACAAGCAACTGGGATGACTCGAGCGGTTTTTTGGTGGTGGCAAACAATGTTTGTCTTTGACGGCATTCGATAATGGCCAACTGTTGTCTCTTAATTTTCTGCGCCGTTGTGTAAGCCTGAAGTGTGGATGGATCGAGGGTGCGTAATGTCGTCTCACTCAGTGACTGGGTCAAATAATTTTCCCAGGGTTCCTTCATCGATGAACTAAGGATCACCCAGCAGCCAAAAGGGTAAAAAAAAAAAAAACAAATTAGAAAAGGTCCAAGTAAATAAAAATAAAAATAAACGCAGGAGTTTCAAGGGATTCGATAACGAAAATTAAAACTGAACAGGAAAAACAGGTTACAAATAAACAAAGAACAAAAATATCGGCAGCTTACGTTGAGAATGAAGCAGGGAGTGTATGTTGCGGTGGTGGCGGTGGCGGTGGTGGATGATGCTGATATGGAGAGGATGAATGCTGCGATGGTTGTTGGGTATAAGGGCGACTGGCCAGCAGTCTTTGTTGTTGTTGCTCTGTTGCCAAGGCGAAATCGTAATGGGCTAAAGTATCGGATAGGGGTTCCAGCTCGAAATGGACTTGGTCCCAATGCGGCACAGTTGCACATCGAAGGGTTGGAATGCTGCGTAGCAAGGGTTCACTGACACCGGCCGTGATTTCACCATGAGATAGCTTGCATAGTTCAGCGAGAAGGTAGAGGTTAAGCCTTCGTGCTAGTTTAAGGGCGATGTGAGTGGAGATGAAGATTTGATTCTCGTGTTGACGAAACTGATGCGAATGTGCTGCTGTCAGCTGCTGAAACACTGAGGAGGCCGAAGGGGGCGGCGGCGTATCACAAAAGAATAAATGAAGGTCTTCCACGCAGAGTAAACTGATGTGTTTATCTTCCAGATGATACAGTTGAAACACCGTCGGAGGAGTGCCGTAGCTGCCTAGCACTAGCGCTTTTGTCATTGTCATTTAGAAATAGCACACAATAACAACAGTAACACCTGCGACGGTAACAAGTGGTGATAATATCAAATGAAATAAAAATAGATAAAATAAAGAAACTTTGAAAAAACTAAAAATGAAACAGAAGCACCACTAAAAAACTAAATAAAATGAAAGAAAAAAAAAAAACAAAACAAGACTATGGACAAGAAAGAATTTTTTGTGAAGAGAACAAGTAAAAGAAAAAAAGGTAATAAAAAAAAGATGACGGTAATAAAGAAGAAGAAGAAAACCAAACGAGGAGTTGGGGAGAGGAGAGAGAAAGTGAAAGAAAGAGAGAAAGAAAAAAAAAGGTCGCTACACGCACACCATTTTGGGTGCTTTTCTCTTTTCTACACCATAATGTCATTTGGTGCAAATTATTGAGTACGATTCAACTCCTGTCTCCTTTAACCCCCTGAACTCCTGCTGACAATGGTGTGCGATCGGACTTTTTATCATCAAAATATCCTTCATGTTTCATGATTCACTTTTGATCTGCAGTGTATCACAGGATACGGAAACCCATCTTTTTTTTGTTGCTACTTCCAAACAATCCATGCTTCATGTCCAATGGCTGGAATTGAAAACCATCACACAATAATAATCACTCTCACATGAATCAAGTCATTCATGACTACGCTTACATACGCCTGGTCCAAGCGTGCAAAGTTATTGGGCATATGCCCACTAGGGATAAGGAGGGACCTACCTTGTTCAGCCACCTTGGCTTTTTTAGATGTAGCAGCTTAAAAAGACGAGACCCAACAGCGAAAAACTCAAAAATTTGCAATGAAGAGAAGGAAGTTGGAAGATTTTTATTTTATTTTTCTCATAGCTGGTTTTCATCTATGTGGTTTAGAGACAGTTGACATATTTTTTTGACCTTTGCATTTTCAAAGAGCGACAGTGGGTTTTGCACTGCTCCATTCACTTTTGTTAAATCATGTCGTCTGACGAAGAAGATCTCGATCTGAACGATGACACCATTTCGCAAATGGACACGGTGACAGACGACGGTGGAGAAGAAGGTACCTTTATTGTTATCGCAGTGGAATCGAGAACCTCCATCGAAACTCATGCGCGTTGCCCAGTGATAGATCTTCCTATGCCTTCACCTGCACCACAGCAGCAGTCAACCGACGACGCGCCACCCAGTCGTCGTATCAACCTTCGCTTGAATCTTGCTACGCTGACTTGCCACTCATATGACTGCATTCCCCACGTACGTTACCATTCGGCTTCAATCAAGAGAAGCGCCTTCCCTTTTCTTTTGAAAACCCCGCTGTTATGTATATGATACTTATTTTGGGATCATTGGATTGGTCGTTATAGGTAGCCGCTATTCACCCGTTTCCGATTTACAGTTTAGCAACGACAAAGTGTTTTCGATGGGTACTCACAGGATCTGAGGACGGATATATACGGAAATGGGACTTTTTTGCTTCCATGAACGGAAAGGCGATGCTGACCCAAGCGCAAAGGCATCAACATGTGGATTCTGTCACGATGGTACGGATACAATACTGACAATAATTGTATCGAGCATGGAATTGCACAGTCCCTTTTTTTATTTTCCATCGAAAAACCGACTAACAGTCGCATCGACAAAAATAGGCAGGCGTGATGAGCTCATGGTGGGAAAATGAAGAATGGCCAGGTAAAGAAAAAAAAATCAACCACGGACAATGACATCCTAGGGACCCAAAAACGCACTTGAAACACATTTATTTTGGTTTTTATTTTGCCGCTTTGGTTAACCTTGTTGGGCGACAAGAGATGAGATAATGGGGCTAGCAATCTGATCATCCATTAAGCAGTAGTGGCACCCACCTCAGCCGAGAATATTGTCAAATCAGAAACTGGCGAAACGATCACGAATGTACCCAGTCAGCCAGAAACAACGGGCAAATTGTCACCTGTGTACAGTTTAGATATGCATTCGGAAGCATTGTGGGCACTGCAAGGCAATGAAAATGGAAATATCAACCTTGTCACTGTCCGTCACGATGAGGGTAAATGTCATCATGTACTACGGAAACACACAGCGCCAGTATCCGTTTTAAACATCACCCCCGATGAAACCGGTGTCATCAGTGGATCATGGGATAAGACCGTTCTGGTAAGGAAATAAAAAGGCCCAAAAGACCTAAAAGAAAAACGGAAAGCTTGGGTGTAAAAAAAATGGAACCCAAAAAGAGCAATGCATGGCATCTTATTCTGTTGCACCTTTACAGGAATGGGATCTCAATACGGGTGCTGTCATCCGAACCTACGGAGGTTACAGTTCGCAGCTGTCATCCGCCGCTTTTCAACCAGTATTTACTCCTTATGAACCTAATCCTTCAGAACCGACGGACAAAAGTACCGTCGATACCACCTCCACCCCGGCTTCTTCCCAAGATACAGATCCGTCGCTCATGAACGATCGAAAAAATCCAAACATGTTACTCACCACCAGTATTGACGGACAATGTTTCCTGTGGGATCGTCGAGAACCCGACAAAAACGCACGACGTTTAGGATTGCCGGAAAAGACACCTCCCTGGTGTTTATCGGTACGTCGTAAGAACAGAATTCATGCGGAAATAACAAGAGAGAAAAAAAAAATTTTGGCTCATTTTACAATGACAGGCATGTTGGAGTACAGATGGTACCAAGATCTATGCAGGCCGCAGAAATGGCACAGGTACAGTGGCCAAAATCTTTATACAAAATCATAAGAAAAATTGTGGATATTGCATGTTTTGTGTTATTGACATGCATTGCATTTTTTTTTTTTTTTGTTTGTCAAAAAAAAAAAGTGGATGAATGGGATTATGCATCTCAGAAACACATTCGATCGTTCCGCATGCCGGCTAATTCAGGTCCAGTGTCGTATGTGACCAGCATGCCTAATGGCAATCACATCATTTGGTATGTATGAACAGAGATTCTTTTTTGTGCCTGCTCTGATCGACCAATCGAATGAACGGACCCCACTGATTCATTGACCGTGTATATGCATTATTCGACAGTGCTTCGAACGATAACATTCGTTTATGGAATACCACCATTGAATCCTCGTTTGTCACATATCCTGATTCAGACAGGTCTTCGAAACCCTCATCATCCACCATTCCCTTTACAATCTTACCCGGTCATCATGGAGGTTGCGTTTCACATATTTGTAAGTGATACTTGTATCATAACCGAAAAAGGATCGATGGCTGACATAATTGTATACAGCAATTGATCCGACCTGTCGTTATATGATTACAACTTCCGGCAATCGAGGCTGGGAAGGCACATCGACCAACGCATGTTTATTCTATGATATTACTCCCATCAGCTGATGCCTTGGTCCATGACCATTCTTTCGTTCCCCTTTATTGGCAAAAGAAAAAGAAGAAGAAAAAAAGCCCTTGAAAAACTCGTGCTTGATCTGACTGAAACAATGCCACGCAAATTTTCTTTTTTTCCTTTTTTCTGTCATCTTGTTTTGACCCGATCATTCGTTGTGCCCGTAAGAGGCAAAAAGCTTTTTTAATTGTTATTGTTCTCCAGCATGGCCAATCCATCTAGAAATAATGATGCACCGCGGCCTACAGCCTCTTCTCGGGATCGAAACGTATCGCCTCATGATATTGCTGACCTTTATTCACGTTTGCAGTTGGCCATGGACAATGTTCATTCCAAACTTGATCATGTCCACCACAAATACATACCCATGGCATCCTCACTTCCCGTTACCCCATCCTCCTCTACTCCACGATTATCCCACCAGATAATCAAACGAGTTCCATCGCCACTCACACTACCCCGCGATTCTTCGGCTACGTCCACCAACGATCAGTGTGCATGTCGGCACATTCTAGCATCCAACGATGCCAGTCATTGTGCGCTGTGCAGTCAAGAAATAAGCGTCGTCATCGACTTACGTCAGTTATGCCAGCAACAACTGCGCGAAATACAGAGCCTGCAATCATGTGTTGTGAAGAATCATTCAAGGCTCGTGGAACAGCAAAAGGTGATTGATCAGCAAACCACGTCGTCCGAAATCCTTGTGCAACAACTGGAGACACAGACCCGACAACTTGGCTCACTGCGACAAGACATGGTGGTTTTAGACAGCAAATATCGACGTGAAGTTGACCGTTTGCAAAAGACCGAACGAGCCAAGACATTACTGGAAGGCGAACTGGAAGAATTGTCACGAAATTTGTTTGAAGAAGCCAATCGCATGGTGGCCACCGAGAAACGAGCGAAACACGAACTGCAGACAAAATACAACCATTTAGAGGCACGATTAAAAGATACCCAAGCTCAATTGCATGCGGAACAAATGCAACTCAAAGAATTACGCTCCAGGATGCAAATGATGGATAAACAACCTTCCGAGAAAGATTCTGTCTATAAGAGTCATCCCGGTACTGCCGAACAAAAGCATCACTCGTTGACAGACGACGGTAGCGAGACGGAAAATGGCATACCCGCGAATCCCGATGCCTTGCCAGGTTGGGTGGGTCGCGAACATCTTGCAGTCTTTGACCCTATGGCCCTGTATGAATTCCAGGAATTCGTCAAACTGGGCAACTCGGTGCCTCTGAAGAGACTGCATACCATTCCATTCCTTCGTAACTGTCAGATGGAAGACACTGAACCGTGTCTCCGCTTTGGCCCCCATCCCCGTTTTTCCGCACGTAAAATCAATGACGCGATAGCCAACAACGTGTGTTTCATTGAAATCGCCCCTTCTGGATTTGCCAAGCAACAGATGAACCGAGCCCTGACCGTTCCGCTTCATTTTTCCGCGTCAAAATCCATGGTGTGGGAACGATTCAGTAGCAGCAGTAGTACAAGTCATTCTGCCAGTGCGGTCTTGGCATGTCACGCTTGTGGGCGACACGATACGAAAGGATTGCCATATCGATTCCGAATATCGCCAATGGATGATTGGGCTTGCATCGACAAATTTTGTCGCGACCGGTTGGTTGCTGTGTGCGAATTTTATCTATTTGTTCGAAATCTACGTCAAGGTTACTATAGCAATCGGTCTCTGCCTGATCTGTATCAGGAAGTTATTCGATTAAAGTTGCAGATGTTTTACGCCAGGTAAGCAAAAAAATATACCCATTTTTGGGGACCTCTACCCAGTGGAAGGAAAAAAAAAGTTTGGCTGGGAAACAATATGACGACAATGACACACAAAAAGGGGTCTCACGATTTTCTCATCCAATCTTTTTATTTTTTATTTTTTTGTAGAATGGGAAATTTATCATCAAAGATTGAATCTTTGGATCTAGACCACGGCAACAGAACCTGTTTACCATCAGCCCCACTGTCGAATATGCCGTCTCCTCCCGTCAATCTATCAAAGAACGACGAAACTGGAAATGAGGAGAAAGAGAAGTCGGAAACTCAATGAGAAACTAATGGTTTTTCAGTGATGAAGGTGGCGGTCGATTAAAAACAACCCAAAAAAAATGATACCCATTTTTGAAGCGATTTTCCCGGGCTCGCGGTTATTGAAAGTGAACCAAAAAGGATGGAGGTCCGTGTCCAACGTTGCGATAACCTTGATGGCTCAGTTTTTGACCGACTCGTTCAAGTTGGAAGGCGGTTGTTCAAAATTAGAGCCATCCGCCGAACCACTGTGGATGTTCCAGTGGAAACTATCTCAAAACGGGAAATTCAGCTAAATTGTTGCCTGAGATTACGAATGGTTGTTTCTATTCGTACACGCACCCAACCTTAATGGCAACAAAAATGAAACAAGAATTCCAAGGTGGCGTTTTCTCCATTGTCTATACCAATCAACACTTTTTACTAAATAATCCACGTGACTTTTTGATCATTAGCGCTTTTGACAAATTCGCCAAAACCGTAAAATTTTCGCTTCTTTTCTGCTCATTATTTCAGCACTTTTTTTATTTTTTTATTTTTCGCCTTTTCACACATAGAAGAAGGGTTATTGCAAACAGGGCAAATAAGCTTTCATTTTCCTTATCTATACTCGAGAGAGTCAAAAATCTCCGGTTTAAACCACTGAACCAGTGAGCTCACCATTGAGTTGATGTTATAAATACCTGTCCTTGAATCTTTGCTTACCGTCAATTTCGATCATCGCCACTGACCTACCGTCGACGATGAATAATTGCATTCCTCCACCTCTTGGATTATCGAGACCGAGCCGTGGGGATACTCGTTATCGCTTGGGTACGTTTGGCGTTCCTATAGTTGGGGTTGGGCCTTGGCCCTATTTTAGGCTAAAAAGTTAATTTTGTTCCTTTTTTTTTCTTTTTTTCTTTTTTTCTTTTCTTCTCCCAGTTGTCGTACAGCAACCGATAAGGGCCCGGTCTTGTGGATTTGGCGAGAAAGACAGACGCTTAGTAGATCCTCCTCCTATTTTACAACTTTTTGCTGAACAAGACACTGGCGAAATAGTCAAAGTCAAGTAAGTATATGACCTGATTTGCTAATATGATACTCTCCACCTTTTTTTCCTTCCCCCCTCCCCCCCTTTCCTTCCCCACCCCCTTTTTTTTCTGGACGCGTCTTTCTTTACGCCGTCACAATAGCCATTGTTGACCCATGGCTTATATTATCTTTTCCATTGTCTTTCTTTTGTGATTTTGATTAAAGCCATCTATACTAACATGGTGCTCTTTTTTTCCGGCCCAGGGCTTCTGAATCCATGTTATTCTTAGTGCAATGCGAATTATATTGTGAACGACAAATCGAGAATCGGACAGTAGTATATACACCTGGTTGTGTTCCACCTTCGGAATCCAGTGGTTCACTCAAAGGCGTCATTTCACTCCGCAAACCACAATACGTACGAAACTTGACGGGCTCGGTGATTTCCAATGCGTATCATCTGTTCAACGAGAAGAACGAAATGGGAGTTTATTTCATATTTCACGACTTATCTGTTCGTACCGAAGGCCGATTTACATTAAAGTTCATGTTCATCGATTTAGCAGCAGGGTAAGTGTCTGGAAACGTCGAGAAAACAGCTATAGTGGATTTTCCGCTTTCCTGAAATGTCCATGGTTCAAACTCAATTTCATGTATCACCTATTGATCGTATCACCCTAGCGAACCGTTGACCATGAGTACCCAGGTCCAAACTGAAGTCTGCTCGGATATCTTTGTTGTTTACTCTGCAAAAAAGGTAGGTCTTGTTAAAACCTTGACCACACGTTATCCCAATGCGCACTTATTCATTCACCCTTATTTCCCGTTGTCCAGTTTCCCGGTATGACAGGTAATGAATTTCATCCAGATTAGTAACAAATGAAAAAAAAAAAGACTCAAATTGTTCCTTCCTTTTTTCCAAACAGAATCCACGGAATTATCAAAATGTTTCGCACGGCAAGGGATTAAGATTGCTATTCGGAAAGAGTCGTCGTATAAGCGATCGGCCGATAGATATTATCAAATGCCAGTGAAAGTAGCACAAAAGTCAAAGGACGATAAAAACGACGACGATCGGAGCGAAGAAATAGAAGACCGATTCTACACGTCAGCATATCCTTCCTCTTCATCCTCCTCGTCTGTCCCACCATCCTCCTCTTCCAGCATGCCCTACACACGCCTGTCCATTGCCAATGTTCTCTCGCCTGTCGACGACGAGTAATATACCAGCCAGTCGCCCACCTACATTCACATCCCCGGGATCTGATGATGCTTTTTTATCTTTTCCTCCCTGTTTTCATTATTATTATTATTATTATTTGTGCTTCTATCATATTTCATGCCTTCGTCTTACTTCTTTCATTGCAATTACAGAAAAAAATTCACTTCGTTTTGATGCCCAATGTACATATTGTTTTACAAAGAAAAAAAAAGAAAATCATATTTATAATTGTTACTATGCTCATTGATCCAGGAACCCGATCATTCACACTTATTTTATTTTAAATGAATGCCTATCTTTTTTTTCTTTTTCTTTTTCTTTTTCAGAAGCATGTTGAAATGTTTATACAAATTGCATTGAATGATAAAAAGTAATCTATTTGCGACGAATGGTTTTGAGGGGATCATGTCTTTGTTTTTTGCCACCGTGACGATGGTGACCTTGCTGGTTCCGTCGTCGTTTCTTATCACTGTGGAAGGGGACATCGACTCCACTGGATTCGACCGGATTCACGGGCATGGTCACGCGTGGCATCAAGTAAGATGGAATATGTTTCAGGTGTTCCTGAATACGAGTGGGCTGCAATGCTTGGTCATGACGAAGGAAATCCAAATCTTTCGGCTTATCTTCAAAATGGGACTAGAACGAACATGAAGGATGAGTTTCAATGCAACGGCAACATGGGCATAAACATCAATCGCATTTCTTTTCTTTTTTTACCTTTAACTTTTCAGAATTCAGGATTTCCCGTTTAATTTCTGTGATACGGGCTTCTTTGACAGCCATTTTGGTCACCGCTTTGAGAGCATCCTGGACTCGATATCGGAAACCGTCCACGACCTTTTTATCGTAAGTGTAAGACTTGATCTCGGCGTTCTTGGCCTTTTGTTGCTTCTCTACGCGCTCAAACACGGCGACATCGTTGACGCCCTTCACACGAGCCACTTCTCTGTGATGCACTGAATCATCCTTGTCCACCACAAAACTTAAACTCATACCACGCTGGCCTCCACGTGCTGTGCGACCAACCCGATGAGTGTACGCTTTGACCGACGTGGGGAAATCGAAATTCATGACAGCCGTCACACCTTGGAAATCCACACCGCGGGAAACACCATACTCCTTATCCTTGTGGAACTTTTGTTGTTTCTTTTTTATCTTTGTACCTACACGAAAATGGTGAGTTTCGCGCTAGAAAAAAAAAAAAAGAAGCAATATTGACTGTGTATACGCTCGTTACCTTTACCAGTCTCCTCTTCCGTCTTTGATTCATCATCCTGCTCTTCTACATTTGGCTCCTCATTGTTCTCCTCGTCGTCTTCACCCTTCAGTTCCGACTCATCCGTCGCAATTAAGTAATCGTAGATACCACGGTTAAATTCTTCCACAATATGATATCGAGAATTCAACGGTAATTCCGAATTCAAAACGCACGATTTGATGGAAAATTGTTCCAAAAACAGCTTCAACTTGTAGCATCGATCGATATCATTCACAAACAAAATGATCTTGCCGCGAATCAGTCGTAATTTGATGGTGACAAACGTGTAAAGGAATTTCTCGAATTCAGTGCATCTGGACGCGCAGAAGAAAGTGTCACTGTTAAAAACCTTGGCATAGAGGAGGATGAATTATTTGTTTGCTTACCTAACAGCATACTGTGTTAAATGTTCTGATTCGTCTTCTTCTTCTTCCAATCTCAAAATCGCTGGCTGTCGGAGTACGAGTTGCTTCAACTCTTCAATATCCTAAGACAACCTCTGGGTAAGCAATGACTCCCTTTTTTTTGATTCAATAGAATCAAGCTGTATCAAGTTTACCTTTGTAAATGTGGCAGACATGAGGAAACTCTGGAAGATTTTTGGGAGATGGGTCAACACCTTGCGCAAATCTTCTTCATAACCAAACGACAACACCAAATCGGCTTCATCAATGACCAAATTCTGCAAGGACTCACGAAGCACCATATTCTGTTCCATTTCTCGTTAGTACTCTTACACTAACAGAAAGCTGTGCTGTAGGCTGGAAATGGAACTTACTCCTGATTCAAGATGGATTAAAGCTTTGCTGGGGGTAGCTACGACAATGTCCGGCTTTTCCGCCAACATGGGTCGTTGTAACTGCGGCGAGACTTGGCCGGCCAAATTGACGACTTTCACTATTTCTTTCGCATAGACCAAGAGTTTTTTCAGATGTGTAGTGACTTGCTCAGCGAGTTCGCGGGTAGGAACAAGAATGAGCGCTTTGATCGATGGATCCGTTTCGCCATTCTATCGATCGAAAATGCACAACAGAATGAGTTAAAACTATCCTTCTTCATTTGTTCTTTCCTCGGACAGGACAATATTCGTTGAACTTACCTCGTTGGCTGCTAGGATCTTTTGTACAATGGGTAATGTGTAGGCGGCGGTTTTGCCACTACCTGTCCGTGCACGAGCGAGAATATCTTTTCCGGCTAAAGCCAGGGGTATCGCCTTTGCTTGTACGAGTGTAGGATGAGTGAAGTTCAGCTGAGCCACGGCCCGGGCCAACCGAGGATCGAAATCAAACGAAGCAAATGTCTCTGATTGCTCTAGTAACTTCGCTTCAGCCATTGGAAATGAAAAGGTTGCCAAAATAGCTTTTTTTTTTCTCTCTGCTTGATTCACCCAATTTTCGTTGTAAAGCTTTCCGGTCCCAAAATTATGTCCGTGTGACTCGCTTTCGTGACCTGCGCCACTTTGCAGGAATTCGGGGATCCAAAAATATCTCTCCACCGCGAATAACTGACGATCTCTCCAGAAGCCAACGATCAAATTAACCATATTGCAAACATGGCTGGAAGTGATGAGAAAAACTCACTCTTACTTGAAGATTTCCGTCGGTTTACGTCTTGATTCAATTCTTTGAGGGTCAGACATAGACTTCTTCAATCATTTGAGTTTGTATGGCTTAAATTTGGATGCAATACTGTCAGTTTGGCTTGATTTCATACACGCTCAACTTAGCAACTACAAGCCGAGGAAATATTGAATGTCAGTGGATTGTGGTATAAACTATCTCCTCGCAAAAGTGGTCACTTCCAATCTTACAAAGCTATAGATTTTCTTTGCTGGCTAAATGACTTCAAGATTTGGAAATTAATTGGACAAGGAAATACCTCAGAACGACGTGAATACGATACATTAAAAAGCATACAGTGACCGATTTATTTTTTCTCTTGTAACCGCAACCTCAGATACTCTTACTTAAACTGCAACGTAGCAATTTTCTCTGCATTTATGCAAATAGGATAAAGATGTTCATATTCAAAATAAACGCACTGTAACCTTGTGGATAAACAGCGCTTTCTGTAATCCCCTTTATTGATTATGACAGGATAAAGGAGCTTAGGTGATAGAATGCGATTATCCGATACATAAGCCCTTTACTGACGATAACCGTGAATGACAGCAGAGGAATGGGTGGTCTGCTCATACGTCGAACCAGTGACAGTTGCGTTGTATTTCCGACGAAACATACCGAAAGCGTAGTTTGAGGATGTCAAGGAGCCGATGGTGATCACGAGAAAAAAGATCTAGTAGCCACAGACAACCGTTTAGTTTCAGGTTTTAATGAAATAATCACACAGGACCCAGTTACCATGGTTTTATACGAAATAGGTTCCACAAAGCTGTTGATGATTTCGGCAATGGTTTCGGCGGATACTTTGGCCCTGTAATAATAAATAAAAAAGAAAGGACATTCAATCTCACCGTGTAATCAAAAACCGCCTTGGAAAAACAAAAAACGAGCATCGTTGCAGATACATACCTTGCGACGATCATATGATCTCGATCCATGCATGCTTGCCATTTATTGCATGCTTCTTCCATATAAGGGACGCGGGTGGCTGGATCACAATGGTTACGGCGATATTCAGCAGCACATTGGGTTATACTTCGTAGGATTTCTAGATCCAAATAAAACCATGCTCTTTAGTATATCAAACCGCAGCAAACGGGAGGGAGCCCATCATAATCAAGTACCGTACCTGCTGATTGCTGTTGAGCTTTGATTTCAAAGTCCTTGCGAACGGTAAGAATGACTTTGAGCAAGACGTAAAGTATGGTGCTGATGATAACAAAGTTAAAGATGACTTGAAGGTAGGTTAAAAGGGTAAGCGAGATCTCACGGTGGCGTATATACAAGGGTCGTTCGATAATGGAGGAAGAGGAGGCATAATGTACATTGGATTTCGTGCTGACGGTTGGGGAAAGAGAAGTAGTGGGTGACAATGTCTGTGCAAAGGCAGTACGATGGATTGGCTGTGTTTGTAGTTTTAATCGTCGGCGGAATCGTTCAGTGAGTGTGAGTGCATTGTAGTAGACGCGCGAATGAGCAGAGGACTCTTTATGTTTCTTGTTAGAGGGTAGCGAGGGTATAAATTTGAATTTGTAGTCGGGAGGAATGAATATATTGGCCTCATCGTCGCAGGAACCTATGTAAACACACGACTCATTAATTTAGTGTGCTCTAGATTCAGTGTATTTTACTTTGTTTCCATACGTTTGATCCCTGTGATTGTTGCAGGACATGCATCGGACGTCTTCATTAAGGATGCTGCAGTGGTGCTTCCTTAGTTGTTGAGCGACACAAGCCGGGCAAATGCATGTTCGACAAAAGGTTCAAAATCGATATCACACTGTGACTCGCTTTCTGAGTAACCTGCGTTAATTGCACCACACTGTAAGATGGCATCGATTGTCAACTCGTTTAATGTCTGGCAAGCACACCTTGTCTGCATACGAAAAGAAGACTTGATTTTTTAGGTGGTATCCATGACTTGAGGCTGATTGCATAGTGGTGGTTTATAATGTTACATTTTAGAAATGCAGGACAAAAATGATGATAACATATGATAATCTGATAAGGCCCATAAACAGACGAACTGGTCTTGGTTTCAGACCACTATTTTATATCCAGCCACGGAACGAGTTGGCGATGATATGAATACGAGAAAAGATGTGCTCTTTACATCCGTGGTATTGAAGGAGGTGTTCCATGTTGAAGATATGCAGAAGGACGCAATTCAATGCATCATGCAAGTCAAGAAACTCTTGCTTGTCTTGCGCGCTGATACTGTTTCAACGAGCCTTCAAGCACATGCATGGTGTCAAATTTCCCAGTCAATTGATATTTCTACGAATGCCAGTAGCAATTGCAGACAATGAATCCTATCAGTGATACTGGTGGTTTCTGTTTTTTTGTTTATTGCTTGTTTGGCGTATTTGCTGGAAATGAGGGATGGAAATAGCGGGTATCGGTGGAAATTTAACACATCTCTTCCAATGCACAACAGATGCAAAGACCGGCCAAACTAACGGGTGAATAAAACAACAAGAAACGACAGTCGATTAAAACTCCACACATTAAACAATATGCCAAGAAGTCCAGGCGGAAAACTCACCATCCCCAACAACACGAGCTGTCGTCTTGTTTTTGTGGCTGTTGCTGGACATACACGGTGTGTGGAGGAGCGCTAATCAGATGATAAAGTTAATGACGACGTGTAAAAAAAAAAAGGGATGCGTGTTCAAGCATGGGCTCTGGCTCGATTCTTACGTTGGCTGATAATAACCGCCTTGGTTAGGGGGAGGAGCACCGTAACCGCCATAGCCCGCCGGTGGAGTGGGTGCACCATAGCCTCCATTTGGATCGGGAGGAGGTTGATAGTACTGGTTCTGAGGCGGAGGAGGATACGAATAATTATTGGACATGGAAAAGGAACGACCGGACGGGGAAACAAAAAAGAAGGGACCGTTTCTAAGGGACGACCAACGACAAAAAAAGAAAAAAAACGAGGCACCTTGGAAAAAAAAAATTTCGGCCTCTGGGCGTTGCGTGACGATCGCATCGGAAAAACATTCAGCCCTCGGCAGCTCGATGATCCCTCATGGAGGAAAAAGAATGAAAGGCACCGAGTTCCCAAATTGAGGATAGCACAAGGAAAAAATACAAAAAGCGCTTTTTCCGCTACATCAATGAACTAGCAGGAAAGAAAAAAATTGCTATAATTCACAGACACCCATTTTATTTTATTTCCTTTTTTTTCCTCTTGCTTCTTTTATTATTCTCTTTTTCTTCTTTCTCCTTTAGCTTTTGTCTCTTTTTTGTATTTGCCTCGTTTTCATTCTAGTTGCTTCGTGCGATTGTTCAGAAATGGGCTTCATGGAGATGGTGCGGCAACGCTACGATATGCGTAAAGTGGAACGGTACACGAAACGAAGACAGTCGCAAAGCCAGTTTCAATGTCATGACCGTAGTTACTATGAAGCGATATATCGGGATGGCGTGTATCTTGATCCATCGGATTTGGACACGGCACCTTCGTCTGGACAGAACACGACACGCTTATCCTACAAGCCTCAGCGTTGGTCACTTTCCGATGTTTTGAACAAGAAAAAACGCTCTACTAGCCTGGCGGCGGCTCAAATCAAAACCTCAGAAACATACACATTGGGCGGCCGACCTTGAACGGATCGTCGTCATTCTTCCTGGGTTATTGAAAAAACTTGATTTACCCTCACGATGAACCTGTAATCGAGGATTTTCCTTCTTTCTTTATGGGCTTCCCCCCGTCGATTTAACTGCATTTATTCATTATCATACTCAAGGCGAGAATCCAAACGAGATATTTCCAGGTTTCTTCTTTTTTTTTCTTCCTCTGGCCAGTTGGCTCTACGGATTGGGTCATCTGAAAAAAAAAAAAACGGGAACCCTAAATATCGATTTTCGCAGATAACTCTCGTGTGTACCATACATATTTTGTAAAAGAAGCACATAAAAACTATACGTAACACCAGAACTCCTTCCTTATCCTTACTTCTGCACCTGATAATTTTGCCCCTAAGAGAATCCACCTACAGAGGCTCCCACGCCTTCCGCGTAAACTGTGACAATTTGTTGAACATTTGGAAAAACTTTCCAGTGAGGTTTTGCTGTCAGGTTTCTTTCGATGCTTATCATCCTCATGTCTCTGTTTATTACAAAATAAACCCTTGCTCAAGAATATTCTAACAGGCGATTCAACCGGATTCCATTGGAGCGTAAACAACGCAATACAAATAAACACAATCCCAATAACGAGCGAACAAAAAATGGAATGGATCAATATCTCCGAATCCACGCGAACTGCAACCAATTGAGAACACAAAAATAAAAAGCTCAATGGACTGCATGCAAATAACACACGTATGGTAGTTCATATGATCAGCGGTGGTCAGTTGTAAATGGTAGATTGCTGAGAGCCTTACATCGATGCCCGTTTCCTAACCACTTGCACATGAAAAAAATTCAACCTCGGGAAAAGCAAAAAAATTAAATGACTTTTTACAATATAACCAGAATACTTCTACTTCTGTATCGTTAACTTGAACAGCGCTTACATAAAAATACGCTGCCAATGAGCTTCCTCAAGCAGATATAACGTGGAATAAGCAGAACTGGGTGCTTGTTGTACCTATTTCTATTTATTCAATGACACAAATGTTGTTCATGTTGGTAATGATGAGGCCACGGCGGAGATTGCGGCGAGGTGGGCCCAAGTCCTTTGAGCGACCCGATGCCGACTGGACAGTTAAATTTGATAGTTGCATTGAGCATGCCAATAAGTCACCAGTCAACTTTATGTGATGTGTTCATGCATATCTCGATGCTCATGTTACAGTTATCGATTTTTGGTCTTGCCGATGCATCAAATAAACAGTTTGGAAGAATCTATTGACTTTGTCTTCGCTTTTTACTGAAACCTTGCTTTGAGTATGAAGTGATGCTCTATGCTTCTAGATCCTTCTTTTGAAAACGGTTCATTTTTTGCCAGGCTTTAGGGTTGTCATGCGTGCTCCGAGTACCTTGGTTCGTGCGTATTTCCCCTTCATTCAGGAAAGGCGAAAGGGAGGAAACAAAAATTCATTCTGATGCTGTTGACGATCAATAGTCAAGTTGTGATTCTTTAGACAAGCGCCCTCGTACAAAGATCGACTCTTAAATAACCGTATGTTTGTAGGCATCATTCGATAATGTTTGCGTTACGCAATGGTCGGCACATTAAAGATGCAAAGTGCTAAGAAATTGATGATCACCACACCCGTTAAACACTGTGTCATGCCAATCAAAAATAACAAGCATTGTCCTTTGCCCCCATTGTAATTCTGAATCTCCGCGCCACCAAAAAAGAATGATAATGCTTGTATTGGTGTGATATTTTTTCATGAAACAATGAGAAATGAAAGAAATGCAGCAAGGTCTGTGTAACTCTTAGTTCCTCGGATAGCCGATCATCCATTGTTGGAAAACACCAATTTCCCATCTTCCAGTACAACCGCAACGGCCCATTTTATACGTTTACTATGTCTTTTTTTTGATAATGATAAGAATGTTATTGACCCATTCTTCATTTTGATGTTTCCAATAAATATACACATGATTGTAAATACAGTTGCAGGTGGAGCGGGGGGGGGAAGCAAACAAGGTTAACCGAGGGTGGCTTCCATGGCGTGTAGACGTTGGCGCATCTGATCGGTTCCTAGATTTTCCACCTAAAAACATATCATGGGTAAATGGGCCAAGTGAACAATATGTGTATAGCCTTCCTTACGTTACGTAGAACTGAAGGGTAAAGGTCCCAAGGAGGGGTGACATCTTGCGCCTCCTGTTGAATCATTTGACGCTGATGCTGCTGCGTCAATTGTTGCCAATTGATTTCCGCAAGAGCAAAGTGTCGTTCACGCCGTGAACCGGCAATATTCATTGCTGCAAAATTCATCTGACGGTCTTTTGTACGGACGGGTCGGATGGGACGATGAACATAGCCGTTTCCAAGTCGACGAGATAACGCTGGATACAAGTCGTAGCTGGGGACGGCTGACATATAATGAGTGTAATACGCCCGTGGCGTCGTTTCAAGATGGACAGAACGTGAATACGACATCGCAAAGAGTTGAATCTTGCTGAAGGAAGAAAGCTCAAAAAGAAAAAAAAAGGAAAGCCAACAATGACCAAAGCAAAATAAAATAATATTTTGCAGAAAGGGAAAAAAAAAGCGTTCACTCTGTGTGTGAAACGGTTTGGTGTGATTGAAGCAAGCGACGGGTTTTACCGGATGATTTTGAAATTCTGGGTTTGTTTATATGATGTATGAAGCAAAAGGGAAAAAAAAAAGAAACGAAGGAGGTAATTCTACGCACAACCTTTATCTCTTTGCAAAATAAAAAAAAAAGGGTTGGCTTGTCATGTATAATCACTGCATCATACGATCCGGTCATGTGCGTAATGCAGTTTCCTCCAATGAACATTGAGAAAAAAAAATTAATCAACAAAGATCCCCTTAATCAACTGTTGCTTTTTTTTGGAGAACATAATGTTAGATTTATACTCTAATAGATTGAGCGACGTCACTAAGAGACTATATATATACTATGATTGTTTGATCGCCTCTGCAGTAAACATGCCATTAACAAATGATCGATTATCTCTTCAGAGACAGGGACCATGTCTTATCCCATTTGTTTACAAACTAACTATTTTAGGTAATAGTTGCCCATCTGTAATAGTCAATGTGTGTCTCTGTGGATCGAAAAGTCATTTTAGACAATCCGCGTTGACTACAGTGTATCCGATGGGTTTTCACAAGTAACGCAAATCATGATATGACAACACACAGTCATTAGATACTCTTCATCAGATAGTTGTTGCAGCCGTTTCGTATCTTGTGATGATTTTGGGCAGCTTAAAAATTTTAAAAGCCATCTGGGCAATTTCCTGGATACAACTGGTGATGACTGACAGAAAATTGCATTTTTATTTTGATTATCGATCGTATGATGAATGTGCGTACAGTCGTCATTTGATGTTACATCATCCGTCTGAAGCTTTGATAAAGCGATGGAGTAAGCTTGTGGTTATGATGCGATCAAGCTGGACGATTTTCTTCTGCTCTCATTCGGGAAAACGTCCGCTGCTCTATTGTATAGACTCTAGGAAGTACCACCATCGCCCGGATACCTGCATTTACAGAATAAATATCCATTGTTCACCATTTGCCGAATTATTCAATGCCGTCATGGCACACACCGTCTAAAAACCTTATTTGCCTTATCTGCTAGGGCGCATACAATCAGAGTTTGGGCTGTGCAGAGCCAGTGAGTAAGCCCTGATGCTGAGCAAAAAGATTCTTTCAAAAATTGGCCAAAGTCTCGTATGCCGCAAAGCTTTTTCTTTGGATGAGAAAAGAAAAAGTTAAAAATGCTGGTTCACTATTCGTTGTTTTCAATCTGTCAAGTCCGGGAACAAATAGCCCGTGTCACCATTAAGCCTAGAAGCTTGCATCATTGGTATTGCGGTCTTCCACTCTTTACGCAAACCCCACATGTGTCGCTATGTCTACGGTCTTGCATCTGTGTCTCAAGAAATCGAACAGTTTCAGTTTACACAGGAAAACACACCATGATGTACCTACTATCTCGGTAGCTCATGCCATGTGAACCTTTCCCTCTTATCTAAATAACTATAGATGACGCTCGACAGTTGTAAACATAAATTCAGACTGATCCATCTCGTTTAATAAGCTCCAATTAAATTTTTCCATTCACCCAAGTATTCGTCATATAAATGCATCCCTTGACTCGCATTTCGTTTCTGTAACGCGCCCAGTTTCTGTACGGCCTTCCAGCGTAGCATGGGCCTCACGGCAAAGCTTAAATCTCTGATATAGCTAGAGACCATGTCTGTCAAAAAAAATCCTGATTATTAGCTCTTTTCTTGGTATACTGTCTACTGAGCCTTCCTACTGTTTATTTCAATGTCACTGTAGGAATTTCAAAATCACAAAAAAAATCGCAAATTATGACACAGACAAAAAAAGAGAAATGGCAATACGAGAAAAAGACATAAAAGAGCATAAACATCAAATGATGAGAGTAAATCAAACATAGACAAATAAAAGATAATCAATTCGCGATTTGGAAAATGACCAGATTAGGGAGAGAAGAAGACATAAAGAAAACAAGAGTCGTCAATAAAATTATAGCTTATACAGCTTAACTTTTTATCATTGAAAAACTTACCGTGACCTCTGGAGAGGGGCACACTCCCAGAAGTCCGCAACCCGGGGGAGGACGGCGATAACCGCCCAGGACGAGGCGAAGGAACAAAACCAAGAGAAAACCCCAGAGACGACAAACGGACCAAAAAAAAACAAAAAAACCAGACGTCCAACCAAAGGGATACAGGAGAGAACGCCAGAGAAAAAAAAGCCCGACCACAAGCACGACCACGCGGAAAAGGACACAAACGGGAGACAAGGTCAGGAAAAAAAAGTGTTCGGAAGGAACAAAGCAACGCCGAAGGGACAGGCAAGCAACGCGGACAACGAAGAAAAAAAACGAAAAACCTTCGTGACGGCGGCCACCAGCAAAAAGACATCTTCAACCGGACGGGACCAGAAAGAATGCGGAAAAAGGAAGGGTGCCTGCAAGCCCCATAGTGATTAGGGTGCCCATAGGTGCCGCATTGTAATAGATAAAGAAGGCGGTCAAACGTCGTATTAAATACTGTTTGTTATACATTTATTCATTTACAGGTTATCGAATATCTCATCTATAAATTTTGGAGTTGTTCGGATGGCCTTTTATTATTATGGACGCTGTCCATCGAAACATATCATTGCATTTTCGATTTTTTCCTATGGTGACTTTTGAACAGCCTTCCTATGTCAGCGATGTGTTCAAGGAATCGGAGACTTGAGGATGGAAAAGATTTGATACAGCATGAATTTCTGTTCGTTGTGTCTGCCAGCCAATCGGCGGTGTTTGATTGGTTGTGGCGTTTAACATGAAGCAGCATTTTGGGAAAAAAGAAATTTTTTTAAACTTTTTTGTCGTCTGATCAACAAGACATGGTCTCAGAAGACAGAAAGACAGAGGCTCCGAAAGGCCTTCTCGCCATGTTTGGTGGAGGAGGAAAAACGGCGGCACAATTACCATCGACGACTGCCGCCACCAAAAGTTTCTCATTCTCAACCAATGTGAAGTCTACGCCGATCGATCAAAAAGAATCAAGTGCAGGTGGCGGTGCTTGGCGAACGGCAGGACAACGGCGCTCGGGAAGATCATTGGCGTTGAAGGCGCGAATGCCCGGAAAGACGGTTTCTATCACTGCCAGCAAAGGTGCAGCCAATGGCATGGATAGTGACGACGATATCACCATGGGTGGCATGGGAAAGAAGAAGAATAAAAAGCGATTGTAAGTGGGCCGGCTCATCCCACATGAGCACGGTGGGCATTGATCATCACCTCTTTTGACCCTTTGTCTTTTGATAGCTCACCTTATGGCCGAAATCGACCCAAGAAAGCGGCTTCTGTTATGCAGACGGCACCTGAACAACGGGTGGATATTTTGGTAAGAGAGGCGCAGCACGTAACAAAAGAACGCAAACATGGTAACCAATTATATCGATGAAATCCTCAGATTCAAGGTTTTGCACCGGGTACTGAGAATGGCTTGATCCCATATTTGCAAATGAAATCCAAGAAACAGTGGAATCCCGTCGATGCCCGGGTCGAACCAGGCCAAATGCTCCTAACGGTCAGCGATCCCGCCATTGCCGGAACGATTACTCGCTTGGATGGTTACATTTTTGGATCCGAACAGTTATCCATTCGCTTATTCTCGGAAACCTCGGCGACCAACGATATGATGGCTGACGAGCCTAAAAAAGTGACCACCATCGATACCTTGCGGGCGTTTCTTCGATCTCGCTGGAACAGTGACATGAAATACTTGAATTTGGACGACATGGCCTCAGATCCGATCCTGAAAAAGGGCGGCATTCGTCCTCCAGGCGCGTCTGGTGCCACCGAAGTCGTGGGCCCAGCCATGATGAAATTAGCCGGTGAAATGTTTGAAGAGGTTACGACGATTTCCTTTGCTCGCAATCGATTGCGCAACGTTCAACCCATTTCAGTAATGACCCAGTATCTTCCCAATCTGCAGAATGTTTCGTTCCAAGACAATTTGATTGGAAAGTATGAAGGTATCGATGCGCTTAGTGGCACAGGCAAACTAAAGCATTTGCGTGAATTTGTGTTGCTCGGCAACCCTCTTCGAGAATCCGAAATTAAGCAACGGGGTAACGATCGCGCGTACATTCGAAACATGGTCAAACGATTTCCTACCATGGTGCTACTGGACGGTGTGCCTGCGGCTCTCACGGAAGAAGAAAGACAGAGTGTACAAAAGAGCGGCAAAGTCCTGCCGCTGGATACAAAATCTAATTTCTTTGACAATGAAGCCAGCCAATCGACGGGCTGGGATTTCCTCAACCGTTACTTCCAAGCCTTTGACTCGAATCGTGGGCCTTTGGCCGCTCTTTACGATGCCAATGCCATGTTCTCTGTTTCCACTCGCCTTAAATTACGCAAAGACAACAAAATCCGACGACGAGAAAAGAAGAAGATGATGGAAGATGAAGGTGAAAAAGTAACATGGACCACTATGGATCGCAATTTGGCCAAATCCAGCTCAAGTAAGTTATGAAAATGGGATCCCAGGGAAAAAGGTACAGTAGACTGACTTTTTCTCTCTTTCTTCTTGTTTCTGGGAACAGAGACACCGGGTAAACATTTGATATGTGGACCTGAAGCGATTGGTGACGCACTTGTGCGATTACCTGCAACGATCCACGATTTAAAGACGACCAAGGACTTTGTCATGGATGCGTATCAGCTACCTCTGGGTCTTTGCGTCCATTTGCACGGTGAATTCAAAGAAGGTACGCATATACTGTAACGACATGGAACAACCGTAGTGGTATTGACGATTTTCTATTTTCCACCATACTTGTTAGATGAAAACTCGGGTCCCCTGTCTTTTGATCGCACTTTTATTCTTCGTCCAGCTATTCCCGGTTCTCGGTAAGTGCTTGATGTCTTTCATTGTTACACATAATGAGTGTCTGAAAACTGATCCGTTTTTTCCAGTGCAATGGCCGAAGGATGGCCTTATATGATTCTGTCGGATATGCTTTGCGTACGTGATTATGTTGGCAATCAAGGTTTCCAACCTAATCAGCAAGCTACGACTAGCATCTTTGCCGCGTATCCATCTCTTCCTCAACCACCTGTAGGACAATAATAAGTTCATCAACATTTGCTGCATTTTCCCGCCTACAACATCCTCCGAAAAGCAAGTCACAAGAGGCAAAAAGCGAGGGTCGCTTTTTTATAGGTGCATCCGTGCGTAACACAAGCAATCATTTTCTTTTATACATTTTGAACCCTGACAATATTCCTCACTGATTTTTCCAAAGTAGTTTTAGATATCTCACATATTCTTTTCCTTGATTGACTGTTTAATTTATAAACGGTGTAAACTTTTTTTTTTACTATTTTTTTTGTTGCGGAAAATCATTTTATCACGATGGTGCCTGCACATAAACCGTTCTTCCGAGGTTGGGATGGAGCGGCCGTCGAAAGGCGACAGAACGTAATGTTCAAGTCATCTTCCTCTGGACTCCAATGTTGTAACACGAATTGCTTACGCAATGTGAGAATGCGGGGTAATCCATTTGCCCTGGGACCCCTTTTTTCTTTGCATCAGCTCTTTTTCTTTTCCCTTTCCTTTCTGTCTTCATTTTACTTTCAAAGCACTCCCTTTTTTATCAAGTTTGACCGCTTTTTTTAAACCTTCTTTTTTATTGTAATAATTTGTCAAGTATGGATGTACAAGAAGACTGGCCCGGAAATATTGGGCAACTGTTGATGTGCGGTTTCCATGGCACGACACCCAGTCAAGGCATCATTGACCTCATTCAGCATCACAACCTGGGATCGGTCATTCTGTTTTCGCGCAATATTGAGTCGCCGGAACAGACCAAAGAACTGACACGGTCGTTGCAAGAAGTGGCTCGTCTCGCGGGTCACCGTCGTCCTCTCTTTATCGCGGTGGACCAGGAGAACGGCGTGGTGCGACGTCTCGGTCAACATGCCACGTATCTTCCTGGCAACATGGCACTTGGCGCGTTGAATTCATCCTCTGCTGCAAGGGATGTGGCTCAAGCGACAGCCGAAGAAATGTTAGCTTTGGGTATCAACTGGAATTTGGCTCCTGTGTTGGACGTGAATAACAACCCTTTGAATCCCGTCATCGGCGTAAGATCGTATGGTGAAGATCCCGACTTGGTCGCACGTTTAGGCATCGCTCAGATCGAAGGATACCAAATCAATGGTGTCGCTACCAGTGTGAAACATTTCCCAGGCCATGGTGACACAGCCACCGATTCCCATTTGGGTGTTCCCGTCATTGAGAAAACCTTGGATGATCTCGAAAAGGTCGAGTTGATCCCGTTCCGCAAAGCGTTTGCCGGTGATAAGAATTCGTACCCTACCAGTGTCATGGTGGCTCACGTATCGTTACCGCATCTTATCCACACCAAGGGTCACGTCGCCAGTTTGTCGTCCGAAATTGTCAACGACTTGTTGAGAAAAGAGCTAGGATATAACGGGGTGGTGATTACCGATTGTCTGGAAATGGATGCTGTCAAAGATACCGTCGGCACTGCTCAGGGCGCATTGGTGGCACTGCAAGCCGGAAATGATATTGCCATGGTTTCCCACACCTACGATTCTCAGCGGGACGCTGTGAATCGATTGAAGACTGCGATCACTAACGAACAAGTCGACAAGGAAGCTCTGCAAGCGTCATTGAAGCGAGTGGCTGAGCTGAAGGATCGCTTTTTATCTTGGGATTCGGTTTTCAAAGACGATGATCTGAGCCAAATTGGTTCTGACAAGCATCTGAAGCTGAGCAAGCAATTGTACGACCGTGTACCGACGTTGGTCCGTGACCGTAAGCAACTTTTGCCGCTTCGTCCAAAGGAGTCCGACAAGATCTTGTTCTTGGCCGCCCACGTTCCTCTGACGCTCGCTATTGACTGTGATCCAAGACCATTCAACCCTTTCCATGACTCTTTGGTTCGACGCCACAAGAACGTGGAATACATCATCTTTGATGAAGCGACGAGCAATTTGACGGAAAAGATTCAGTCCGCCGACTATGTGATTGTCGGTACCGCCAATGGCAACCTTCATCCGTACCAAGTGAATATGGTGAAACTGGCTCATGAGCATGCCAAGAAGCTCATCACGGTCGCGGTGATCAATCCGTACGATCTCATGACGTTTACCGAAATCGACACTCACATTGTCACCTACGAATACTCGCCTCCAGCCCATGAAGCGGCAGTACGACTTATCATGGGAGAAAACACATCGTCCAGCCGATTGCCCGTGACCATTCCCGGCGTGGGTTGCGGTAAAAACGAAGAGCGACAGTGCGGATACCATGTCAGCGATTACCACGACAGCGATCTGAAGGACGTGTTTAAAATTTGGCAAGACAATTTCCAAGACACTTGGCCACTTTCGTTCGATAAATTCGAATTGGTTCTACGCACTTCTCAGGAGCCCCGACATTTTGTGGTTCGAGCGTCTAAAGTAAAGGGCGAAGTGATCGGTTTTGTTTCCACCCAGATGGTTGATTCCGTAGGCCAAGTGGCCTTGCTGATGGTCGCGCCCCAGTATCAGAAGCAAGGTGTTGGATCGTTGCTGCATGATCATGCCGTGGCATATCTGCGAAACGCTGGTGCCAAGTCGTTGAAGTTGGGATCGACGTATCCTCGATTCTTTTGCGGCGTACCGGATGACGATGCTCAAGGCAAAGCAGCGCAAGACGTTTTCGAGCATCGAGGATGGAAGTTTCAGGGCGGACCAGTGTGGGATCTGAAAGGCGACTTGACAAATTACGAGACGCCGCAGTTCGTGGTGGAACGTATGAAAAATGAAAATGTATGGTTCGGTCCTATCAAGGCGCGTGAAATCGATGATCTGTTTGCGTTCCAGGAACAATATTTCCCGTACTGGTTGTCGACCTACAAGCGTCATGTGGAGGTGGGTGATTTGCAGGATCTTATTGTGGCAAGAGAAGGAGGCGAAAACGGACCGATTATCGGCAGTCTTGTGTTGTACACGACCAACCAATCGAATGAAAACCGAGCTGATCTTATCTGGACGGATGAAAGCTTGTTTGGTCAGCAAAGTGGTGGCATGGCTTGCGTTGGTGTGGCAACGGAACAACGCGGTCGAGGGATCGGATTAGGCATTGTGGCGCATGGTAACCAAGTACTGAAATCTCGCGGTGTGAAAACGTCCTATGTCGATTGGGTCGAGCTGGTTACATTCTATGGCCGCTTGTCTTACCAAAAATGGCGTAGTTATCGTCTTGGGTTCATGTAAAGTTTGAATCCAAGCCTGCCTATTTTTCTTTTGTGAACAAGCGTCCCCATTTTGTATTTCTCGGTTAGTGAACTATACACGTGTTGTGTAGAGCCCAAAAAGCCGTTTTGACGGGGATTTTTCTTCTTTCTATTCAGTCTTTTTAGCAGATTTTTTACCTATCCTTTTTTATATCATCTTGTATCTCTTTCTTTATAAACAAGTTATACTATTGTTTTTTTTTTAGCATTTGGGAAAACCGGTGTTTTTAGGGTCTTCTTTTTTTGGAGCTTTCTTTTTATATACTCTCGACCATAATAGCACCACCCTACACAAGATAAAAAAAAACGAGCTTTCCTTAACTTTTGTTTCTTCTTGGTGTGTTGATTATTTTTTTTCTCACCATTTTTTTTGATATTTTTATTCCTTTGCTCAATTTTTCACTTTCTCTGCCTATTTATTAGCTTGGATTTTATGGCGCTGGCAGCCCGTCCTCAACAGCAGCATCGGTCGGTTTCTGCCAAACTGATGCCAAGAGACAATGCTGGTCTTGCCTACCATCATCCAGCGGATTCTCTAGCACCCACCGCTGCCAATAACAACCGGCCGCATTCCTATTCCCGGTCACCCCAACATCATTCCAGCGACTATATCAACACGGCCATCGACGATGATGACCAAGAAATCACCCTTGACAACGATGTATTAATGTCGCCATTGGATCTTTCACCGCCCAGTTCCCCCATTCTCAGCAGCCGACGAGATGAACGGCCTTTGGTAGCACGATCCGTGAAAGGAAGTTTACCACAACGTCAGTTGTCCACCGACGTTACCAGTGTACAGACCGAACCAGCCACCCCCACCGACGATGTCATGGATCGGATGACGGTACCTAAACGATATTCGACCACCCATTCCATGGTATATGTACCGAAAAAGGTGAAGCGACGTTCGCTGTCTCGAAATAATACCACAGGTCACACACTCTCGATTCCTTCCGATGCTCCAGACAACTATATCAGTGAAGATTTCGAGAAGGAACTATCGGCTCGTCGCAAAGCGTTTCGTCGCCTTTCTCGACGAAAACAAACGCATTTAGACGACGACGATGACCGGGTGCTCATGGGCACTCGCATTTCCGAAGGTCACCAGAACTACGTGCTCATGTATAATATGCTCACGGGCATCCGCATTGCCGTTGGTCGAGTGTCAGCCAAGATTGATCGCCCATTGGTAGCCCAAGATTTCACAGCAGCGCATAAACTGGCGTTTGATGTGTAAGTTGAAAAAAATAGTAAAAAAAAATCATGGGTAAGGAGGTCAAATACGAAGAGAAGAGATATATTAAAAAAAAAAAAAAAAAACTTTTTGCCACAGCACAGGAGACGAATTGACACCGGGTGCCAAATATGACTTTAAATTCAAAGATTATGCACCTTGGGTATTCCGTCATTTGCGAGAGAAATTTGGTATTGATCCTGCAGATTACTTGGTAAGTTTATCGAAGGCCCTGACACTATCGCTTCGTGCTTATCTTTTCTGTGCACAACACCACCAGATCTCCTTGACAAGTAAATATATCTTGTCAGAGTTGGCTTCCGCAGGCAAGAGTGGCAGCTTCTTTTATTATTCAAGAGACTTCCGATTTATCATCAAGACCATCCATCACACCGAACACAAATTCATGCGGAAAATTTTAAAGCAGTATCACGATGTAAGGAAACTCCTTTTTTCCTTTTTCTTGCACGTCCACTGTTTCAATTTCAGGGAATAGCTAAACGTATTTGATAGCACGTTTGCAATAACCCTGATACTTTATTGTGTCGCTATTATGGGCTACATCGTGTCAAGTTGCCTCATGGGCGAAAAATTCATTTTGTCGTCATGGGCAATGTATTACCACCGAATAAGGATATCCATGAGACATATGATCTAAAGGTAACCTTTTCTTGTCTGACACGGACGACGGGTTGCATTGTGCGGACCTGGCCGGTATATTAATAAGCTTTGCTCACTATCATTTATCTTTGCAGGGTTCTACTTTTGGCCGTTTCCTTCCAGAAGAGGAAATTAAAAAGAACCCGTACGCGGTGATGAAGGATCTTAACTGGGAGAAACAGAAAAAGAAGCTTCAGCTCGGTCCGCGGAAACGAAAAGTGTTTATCAGTCAGCTTGTGCGCGATGTCAAAGTAAGTCAATAATACTTTTTTTTCTCCACTTTGGCGTGATTTCCCGATGTCACAATGATAAGATAACGGTACTTATCATACAATATTGGTATGGTTATCAGCTTTTAGTGCGATTGAATATCATGGATTACAGTTTGATGATCGGCGTCCATGACTTACTCCGTGGAAACAAGGACAATGTCCGTGACTCGACGTTACAATTTTTCCAGGTAAATCAAAATAGTTTATACACATGTATGCAGCGAGAGGAGGGATGTTATTGTAAAAAATGAAAAAAAAGGCATGTGAAAAGCATATGGAACAATAGACTAAAATGGTTTGTTTATCCCAAGCCCGACACCAAAACCGCCGAACGACGAGCGTCGATGATGAAGCGACGTCAAAGCAAAGCTCAAGTCTATCGTCAAGCCATTGCCGAAACCAATCCTGATAAAGTGGACGTTTCCGAACTTCCCGATGCCATGTTTGAAGAGTATGTATCCCCAAAGGCTCCTCCAATTGGCACTCAACTCAACAGTTTTAACATGTTTTATGTAGACGGCGCAATTGCATCTTTTACGCAGATGAGGGCGGATTGCAGGCCACTGATGAGCAAAACCGGCCCGGTCCGGTTCTATACTTTTTAGGCATCATCGATATCTTGACTCCTTATGATGTGAAGAAGAAATCGGAGCACTTTTTCAAATCAATGACACAAGACAAGTATACCATCTCGTCTGTGAAACCCACTCTGTACGGTGATCGGTTTATGGGTTTCATGGCCAAGGCATTGCTACACAACAATGATATTCCACGTGAATACCAGCTATCCGATACTCCACAATCGTAGCCTTTTTTTTATTTGATATTTAGCCTATTTTATACCTATCAAAATCCAAGGGAAAAAAAAGCCGTGCTTTTTGTTATTATTCAGTTCAAATAAAATAAAAAAACAGATAACAAAAAAAAGGAGTTCAGTGTCGCGAATCATTTAAATACCCGATGAGAGTGCACTCCAATCTTACGGTCCGTTTCCGACTGATTGCCTATCAATGCATGCACCTTACGCTTATCAATAAGGGCTTATCTCTTTAACTTCTTTTTATTTTTTTTTATTTAATCTTTTGAATGCATTTTGTTTATCACTGATCAATCACTGTTATTTTTTTTTTGTCACTTTTTTTCATTTAATATTACCCTGTTAATTACAAATCATATCTGAGGAAATGGCTGCTTATACAATTGATAATGGCGACACGGCTTGGGTTATGGTGTGTGCTGCCTTGGTATTTTTGATGGTACGATTCAATGATCAACAGGAAAAACAACGAGATCAAAAGTTTTTACTGTTCTTCCGTTCCATGGAAAAATATAGTCTCCAGCGCTCGGATTTTTCTATGCTGGATTAGCACGCGCGAAAAATGCGCTTTCACTCATGTATCTCACTGTATTATCCGTGGCCGTGGTATCCATCCAGGTATGAACTTGTGGTATAAGTAAGGCATGATGATAATGCATGATGCTGATCCTTTTTTTTTGAATGCAGTGGTACCTTATTGGCTACTCCCTAACTTTCTCTGAAACTGGCGGCGCGTTTATTGGTGATGCACGTGCGTTATTCATTAGACAAAGTGGAGTAATGAGGAGACGCTAACATTAAGACGACTTGACAGAGCACTTTTTGCTTCGAGGCGTAGGTCAGGCGCCGCAACTTCCCAGTCAAACCGTTCCGGCTTCCGTTTTTATGATCTTCCAAGCAATGTTTGCCTGTATCACACCTGGTAAGTCAATCATCTCGCGTCATTCATTCCTGTTTACAAACCTTGTCGATTTACATATCATTCGTAGCACTTGCTTTTGGCTCAGCCGCGGAACGCATGTCGGTAAGTTTTTTTTTCTCCGTGACTAATAAACTAAACAATGGGGAGTAAAATAATAATCCACTTATTCTTAAACTTGTTTGATAAAATAAAAAATTATTAGCTAGGCCCAGCCATTATCTTTGTATTTGTGTGGACCACATTGGTATATGGTAAACAAATGCTTTTGTTCCAGGAACACTCATCAGTTGATATCTAACCGTAAAATGAAAAATAGACGTTATCACATGCTGGGTTTGGGGGCCTCAAGGCTGGCTCGCCAAATTGGGCGTCATGGACTATGCAGGGTAATAATATTTTGGATGACTTGACCACACTTTTTTTTTTCAGCATTCCCCCCGCACCTATCCTTATGACTTGAATATGAGCTGATGAATACGTTGTCTTAGTGGTACGCCGGTGCATATTGCCAGTGGACTTGCTGCAGGTGAAATGACAAAGTTTTAGACCACTACGATTTTTTCTGATTCTCACACCCATTTTTCTTATCAGTGGCCTATGCCATGGTGCTCGGAAAACGCCGGGATTACAATGAGAATGTAAACACTCCTCACAATGTTTCGTTTGTTTTCCTGGGTTTAGCCCTCTTATGGTTTGGCTGGTTTGCTTTTAACGCTGGTAGCGCCTTGGCCGCCAATGCCCGTAGTGTGAATTCGCTTGTTTGCACGCATCTGTCTGCATGCGTTGCCGCCATGGTTTGGATTCTCTTGGACTACCGCCGTAGTCGCAAATGGAGTATTATTGGTCTTTGCACTGGCGCTGTGGCGGGTCTAGCCACTGTCACACCGGGCTCCGGTTTTGTCAGTCCCAGTAGCTCCTTGGCTTTCGGTGCTATTGGGTCCATCGTCTGCAACATTGCTCTCAATTATAAGCACAAATACCGATTTGACGATGCCTTGGATGTGTTTGCCGTTCACTACATTGGTGGTCTTGTGGGCCTTTTGTTAACTGGAATCTTTGCTCAACAATCCGTGATTGCTTTGGGTTACCCTGAAGGCACATCGCTGGACATGATTCCTCAGGGTGGTTGGCTCGACGGTAACTGGATGCAGCTCCCTATTCAATTAGCTGCCATTGCTTCCGTTTCCGGCTGGTCATTTGTTGTCACGTATGCGATCCTTATCCTTCTCAACAAAATCCCCGCTTTCAAGCTACGCCTGGACGACGAAGCTGAACTCCTCGGTACCGATCTCTCAGAAATGGGTGAACGCGCTTATTCGTACCTTCCTTTGGAAGACGACCAAAAGCATACCCGAACGGCGTCAGCCAGTTCAAGCGACATTGATGCCGTCAACGAAACCATGAAGGTGACCCACACGCATCCGCCGACGGAGCTATTTGGCGGTGCTCTTCAACAACTCATGACATCTCCTCGCGACATCGTCAAAGGTGTGCCAGAATTGATCGAACCACCTGTCCAACAAAGCCATAACCCATCCCACCGTTCCTCAAATCCCAGGCATACCGTCGACATGATACAGTCGACAGGTGGCGCGGTTTTTCAGAAAAGCAGCGCTCAAGTGCGAGAAGAGAAACAAGAACAAGAATTCGTGGGAATGGAAGATCAGCCAATGTCAGTGACAACCCACATGTATCATAATAACAGACCCAACACCCACCACAGTACTAGTACTTCTTCCACCACCGTCACCAAAGAAAACGAGAAATAAAATACGGCGAATAAACTGATAAGCTATAGGCGAACATTCCAATTCTTAAAGAATTTCAGATGTCTTCTTTTTTTTTCCTCAAAAGTGCATTGCTAACGTGCAGAAAAAAAAAGTCAACAGCTTGTACCTTATAATGATCTTTTTCTTTCGTTTTTTTTCTTTTTACTACTAACTACTTCCCCCCACTCACCCACTGTGCAGTTCTAATCAGAATGTTCAAGTAAAAAAATAAAAAAATAATGAATCATAACGGGCAAGAATCCCCTTTTTTTCCCGCCTCCTTCTTCATCTGTGCGCAATCCTAATTATCCTTATTCAATCTTTCGTTGTGGAACCCCTTGTGAAAATCTCCCCCTGTGGATCGCTCTTTCTTCTTTTTTCTCTCTTCATCTCTCACTGTTATATCCCCATTCCTCTCCTTAGAAAATCATCGGGTCCATGTCTAGTACTCATGAATCTCTGTCGGATGTATATTCTACGACGACTGCCACATCCAGCGTATCTGCCACAGCAATGCTGTTATCTTCCCATAACCTTGCTATACCGACAACGGTGACTTTTGTCTCGCCTTTGGTGATCACCATCACAGACTATGTTACGCAAACTGTCACTCCTACATACAATAGTTCCGCAGCTGAAACACCGCATGGAGACACTGATTGGTTACAACATGATTATCCTCTATTGCCAATCCTTATTGCCTTTGCTGCAGTGGGCGTTCTATCCATTTTTTCCTTTATTTTCTGCATGATATACCGATGTGCAACACAGAAAAAATTGCGACACAATGACGATCCGGATCAGTATCCTTTTCCACAATTATCGCAAAAGCCAGAGAGCGACGCTGCAAATCCAGGTCGCTCCATGTCACGCATTCTTCCGTGGCTGATGATAAAATCACCTAATAATGAACGCATGGAATCTGAAAGAGACGCTCACAGTCGCCCAATGGGCCATGTTGCCTCGGTCAGGTCCACTCAACAGCCCTGGTATCGATGGCGGTTTCATCGTAAAGTAAATGGGGGAAATAAGACCGAAATTGTAACGTCATCTTTGCCTGGCACCTTTGTTCCTATGCACACCAGTCCGCTGACGTTGGTCCCACGGCATGAGATAATGGGCGATCCCAGCCGACGACGAGGCGTGGATGAAGTGGATATGTGGGAGCAACGACAACAACAACTACGTCGACCACCCATGTGGCAATTTAATGGCGATTTTCCCGATTCGCCGCCGCTAGCCCAACTGCATGAAACGTCAAGAGAACCATCCTCAGTCCATATCCAACAGTACGATCCATCATTGCATCCGCGAGATTTATCCAAATACATTGTAGAGTCCTCTCGACAGTCCATTGTATGAAATGTCGTTCAACTTCTCTTTTCAAAGTGTTTTTTCTTATTCTCCATCCCGGATATTAATACTTTGAAACCATAATTTCACTAGATTTCTCGAAGGCCATCTGAAAATACCTTGCAGGTCACCACAGATGGGACACCTTCCATACCACATATACCAGCTGCTACTCATGCAATGCCGTCATCCATCAGTCTTCCTCCATCGCTGAATCGGTTCTCTCAGCAACAGCACGGCGATCCACACAAAACGAACGGGTTCGGGTTACGCTCGCAACCAAGCGATGTGACCATGGCGAGAAACATGCTAACCGAAACCGCTTCCAATGACAGTAGCGATCAATGGTATGGTTCTCCCAACCGCAGCCCAAGTCTTTAAATATCCCTGACATATAAAGTACTAGTAATAATTTTGTAACCTCCCTTAAAAATAAATGTGCACTTTCCGAACGAGATTCCATTTTATTTTTATGAGCCAACACCTCCCATTGGTGTAGCAACTGACCTTTTTTTAAGACCTTTGGCTGGCTGTTCCTATGGGGATCTCTTTCTGGCAATATGCGTTACGAATCACTCAGCCTCACAGTTAATTTCCAGCATCTGTCAAGCTATTTGTGATTTTGGCAGGTGACTTTTATAGGTTTAAGAGACATCTTTGTATACTGTGATGAAAACCATAGTCCATGATGACATGTCATGACTCGGAACTATTTGCTGCGTTGTCAGACAAACTTATTTTTGAGATAAACTTGATGTGTATCTTGAATCTTCAAACTTTATGCAGTCAATGGGAGACAAGGCTGCGTCAAATCGCAGTCAATGAACGCGCAAATGTTGATTTTATCGATTCGCGTCAATGTTTACTTCATGCGGTAAATCCATATATGAATAAATAAAGTGTCCTACAAGGCTGCAACTGGGATTTCCAGAATAAACAATGGATCAGAAAATAAAAAGGCTGTTTTTCCCCCCAATCATCAGTTGCCGCCTTTGCAAATTACTGTATTTTAGCGCATATATTCAATGTGACCCACTACCTCCCAGCATTCGGTAAAAATAAACAATGCAACAAAAGCTGCCAAGTTCACCCCAGAACCGATATGATCCTCAGTAACCAGAGAATCCTCTGTGGCCGGTGGAGACCCGATATTGAACTATTGTACTACTCCCGATCCATAAACTCAGTGTATGACAGGTCTTTCTCAGGCACATCAGTCTTGGCTCTTGAGGAGACTATTCTATCGTAGTTTATCCAGCGTAAAGCTTTATATATTTACTACTACGGATACTTGGACAAACAAATACGTCATTGAGCCACTCCTTGAAACATGCACTGACATCATTATATGGACCTGTCATTTAGGCCAGGTACTGTACGACCAGTAAATTCAGGGACACATAGGATGACGGATCAATCCGAAGATTATGTTGCAATGCGGAACTAAACTTGTGAGTTTTGGCAAATGTCCTAATCATGCACTGCTTTTGATGTATGTGAGAATTTCCTTATCCTCTTTTATGCATAAAGCATACAGCCCTCCGCCCGCCTCCTTCTGAAATCGAAACTATTCAGTCGCAATTACCCGCCCATGAACAAAGGTAACAAAAAAATACTTCCATTATCTGAAAAGCCTTTGTATACAGGCTAGCAAGAAAAAGAGAGATGCGTGGGTTGCTTTCAGTCGGCCTGTCGCATTGACAATCAGTTCACCAAGTTTGTTCCAGGAAAGACAAAGGTCGATCATTGTGAGAATTAAAAAGGAAATCGCTATTAAATATTTACTGGCCGTTGTATGGATCACATATCAAGCTACGATCATCATCTACTGCATAGCTACTGCAGCCGATTTGCTTAATTATGGTCACCGTCGGTCGCCGATAAAAATGTCATAGAGAATTAGATGCAGGAAGTAGAGAATTCTAAAACAATACACATACTTGAGAGAATCGGCACGGAGTTGGTCGTATAAAAGAAATTGAGGTCGTAGTGGTGCCGTGTTCGAGATTCTTTGTAATGTTCAGGAAGCATTTTGATCCAATCTCATGTTCATGGAGCCTCACCATAACATTACGTGTTCAATTAGGAATTGACATTGCTGGACGCACAGTAACAAGAATACATAGAAGATTATCAGTTAATTAGTATTAGTATTCTCACTAAAGTGCTAATGGCCATAAATCGGCATACCACACAACAACGACGCGCTTTTTTTCTGAAAGTTTGGCTGTGATTGCCAAAACGGGTAGCTTGCTTTCTTTATCTGAAACCGGATGCCAATTTTGGCGTTAAAGGTCCTTGTGACCTCAAAACCAATTTTTGTAAAACAGGCCCGTTTCGCTCTAAAGACGTCGGGAAAAAAGGCAATCCAAGGTGCTTTCCCTAATTACAAATCAAAAGTGAACTTGGTTGAGCTACCTTGCCACAAAAATATTTCACCCCGACCATGCGCAAATTAAGGTTCCCGTTGTGTAACATCGCCACCCAAGTAGGCTTTTAGGCGGCCGTATCCTTCCGTTAATCCCGAAAGTGACCGCTTTTTAGTTGCATATAAAAAACGGGCCTCCAGAAAACGCGCTTCTTTTACGCCTTTTTCTGGCTTTTTTCTGGTAAGCCAACTCTTTAATCCTCTTATTCTATTGGTCTAGAATCTTACCTATTTTTTATTTTCTTTTTTATAGTGGTGAGCAGCCTGGTCTGTTCTCTCTTCGGCGCGGCTAAATAACGAGCAGTTTCATGGTGAGTAGACTTTTCTCCCCCTTTTTCTATTTTTTTTTTTTCAACAAGGCCGTACTAAAAGCAGCTTTTTTTACTTTTTTGGGCAGAGCTACGGCGAGCTCTATTGGTCTGGTCCAGGTCCTTTCCTCGGTTGTTCTGGTGTTCGTCAGGAACCATCCCTACCGGTTTGGGCGTTTGGGTTTTCCTTCACCCTGTCAAGCAACGGTTTCTTTATGAGACATGGTTTACAGAGACATCACCCCGTGGCTGCTACTGCCGTCGTTGCTGCACCCCCAGGTTTATACAGGCGCAACTCTGTATAAAACCTCCGCAGGAGAACTGGTGCTTCCTCAACGGAGTCAGTCATCGGCTACGCTTCTTCTTGTGGCAGTTCCCCAATGCAGATGGGCCCAGTAGTGGTGCGGGTTGCCCGTGACCTAGAAGCCTGAATGGTGTTTCCAGAAATTGATCCCATACCCGTTATTCCTGATGAAGCTCAGTCTAATGGCAGGATAAGTCGTTGTAACGGCTTCCAGTATTTACGCGCCCTATGAAGGAAGGTAACCGCGTCTGGCTTTTCTGGCCCTGTTTCTGTCTTTTCCCTTGACGCAGAGACCAGGTGCATTACAGGTCCGGGAATGGACAACCGTACGCAGTCTTTGAAGCATAAGCTATTCTGCCGAGCCTGTGGGATGGCGAAGGCATCCCTCCGTAGCTGTTGGAACCTTATGCGGGATCACAAATCGGTCCCAGCTGCAATATGATTGTTTGCAGGAAAGTTGGGAATAAGCTTGATTGTCTTATTCCTGAAATCTAGTATCTATGGACGCTTTCTGTGTGATCCACCCCCACTGCAGTGCAAGTTGGCTGCAGGTCTTTGGATTTAACTGATTCTCGTCCGGAAGGGGGTCTTTTATTTCTGAACCACACCGCAGCGTTTTAGTGGCTGTGGGCTGTCTGATGTGCAAGACTGAAAAGGATTTGCCATCTAAATGCGAGCTATGGAGGGGTTTCCTGCGTATAATAAATCAAAGAAAGATAATAGGTTCTTCTTTAGCGAATTAACGCACTACCTCGCCCATCGGCTTTGATGGGGTAGGTGTCTCTTCCTGAGTGCGGCGGGGAGGGATTTCTTCTGCCTATATCCAAATAATTAGAAGAAAAAAAAAGCTATTTTGGCCGCCTTAGTTTAGTTCTCCCTGTGTGGTTTCCTTTCTTTGTAATTTATTTCTCTTGAATAAACCAGTCTCTTTTTAACTACTCCATCTGTCACTGAATAATAAAACATTAGCTGATTGCTTTGATTCCTATGCGATGTGTGATTTAGTAGTTGCATGCGGCAAATGGGTACCACAGAAGCTCTCAGCGATCGTAGCTCCTTTTTCAAGCAGATTCACTCGCGTTCACCCGGACTGCAATCACGATCCCAAAACGAGGAATCGGCAGCAAACTTTCGCCAGCAATCCTGATGCGCTCTTTTCATCCTTGATTACATACAATAGAAAAAGTAATGGCGGCCCCCCTTCGCAAAAGAGAAATGACGATGAAAAAAAAAAAAAAAAAAAAAAAAAAAAAGACTCGTTAGATGACTGAATCATGGCTTGTACTCAGTTTTAAAGACGAAATGGCTCGCAATGATGAGTCGATGGGTACCAACTGTATTGCGTTGTGGTTAAGCTAAGGCCTGGTCGTCCAGTTCCGCCTAGGATATTGCATCGCCTTCTCAAGCTGGATCCACCGGTACACAATGTTACACCGACATGTCGATCCTGGAGGTAATCTCATTTTCAGCACCAAAAAAGAAACCTTACGTGTCTTTCTATTTCGTTTAGCCACTGTTTACTATGGATACTTCGAACTTGTACTGATTCGACTCGATGTTGCATGGCCCAAATCATGTGAAACTACCAATTTCGATGAAATTAACGGATTCATCTCAGTCCCACAGTTGAGGTAATAAAAGGCAAAGATGGTCGTTTGCAGTTCCTCGGACACCCATTTCGACCCACATCCAAAAAGATATTTGGCACCGCACTCATGGTTTGTATTTTCCATTCATATTGTCATTCTTTCCTATGGTTGGTAGAGACGTGGAGGTATCTCATTTTGGTATGATCTGCATCTAGCTTATAGTTATATCTGAATGCAACTTCCTCTCATTGCAATGTCTCGACACCAGTATTTGCGCGATTTCTATCTGCCTCTTCCGCTTCCCTCTAGAAACCGTATGGACAAACATCGTCTATAAAAAGGTCAATGTCTTTAGACGATATTACTTCTCATAACATAGTTTGTAGACTCGAGTATTTATAATCGTCCAACACAAATATTTTTTTTGTCTTCAAATAACAGCTCAATGCTGAGTGTGACAAAAGGGTTTGTGTGGCGACAGTTTCTGGTAATGCGACACCCATATTTTTCAGGACCGTAAAGCGACATGAATTTTTCAGAGGTGATTCCTCATACTAAATGCTGCAACGTTTTGTTCTCGAAGCGACTTTACTGTCTGGATGCACTTTACGCAATAGGCGCATTTACGATCTTTGAAAATCTCGATAGCTTCCTATAACAGGATCCGATGCACGAAGACATTCTATTCACAGCCACCTTAATTTGGTAATTTTTGGATTGGAACATTTCAGGCGGCGGTCATTGCAAGTCAGAATCTTGCGGATGAAGTGAATACATGCAATTGCATTCTAAACCACCCACTGGCCTCCTAATGTTTTAATCCAGTGGCAATTATATGGATCATGAATGCAGGAGCGTCCAAATTACGAACAGATAATCAATCCCTTTTGGATACCAAAAGCGGGGAGCTGTTTCCTTGTTTTCTTTTTGGTGAACGGGACTTCAAATCATCCAAGGAAACGGCTTTCACGCTGGTTATGGTAATCATAGTTATATTGCAACCATGTCTTTTATGTCGCCTTTTATCATCAGGATAATGCGAATTTTGGTTTCCAGATATCAGCTAGTTACCGACGGCATGACCAATGACTATGAACAAAAAGGGAGAGAAGATAATAATAATAAAAAAAAATTGTCAACTCAGCAATGGGTCTGAATATGCGCACGATGGGGTTTGTGGAATTGACGAGCGGCGCGGCTTGGCTTTCAAAACGATACATCGAATTCGTGCTGGTTGGGCAACATCATTGATAACAAAAAAGTAGAAAGAGAGAGAAAAAAAAAAGAGAAATGCTTGGTGCGGCTTTGTATGAGTTTATAAAAATCTGTACATGGGAGAACTGTAAATATGTTATGCGGATGTTGTGCAACAGGAAAAAAAAATTCAAATTCAAAGTGCTTTCGAAATCATGGCTTGAATCACACCTCGCTTGGCGATCTTGACGGCGGATACAGGAACACTGGTGGTAATGTCGGCGGGTACAATGAGCGATGAATCTTGCAAAAGTTTGCCGAGATGAATGAGTCGGATTTGCTGGGTGGTAGGGTCAACGTGAGCGTAAAGCAAACGGCGCAAGCCTACTGTATCGATGTAAGGAGGTACACAAGGTATCTCCAATTGAATATCTTGGGCAGTGGATGATAATCTCACCAAGATAGGCCAGGACGACGGTGGATTGGAATCATGACTGTCTTTTGCTGAAGCGATCTGTACCATACTAGGGTTGGTATCGTTGTCATCTTTGGATTCGGATGGCGGATCATCCACATGGTCCATTGTCGACGTTAGGTGAAAGCCGGAGCCCGATTCCATGGTGGAACGAGGGGAAGCCGGTACGATATTAACGATAGGTGGCAAAGGCATACGACGAGGTACTGTATCGGATTTTGCAGGACTATTGCTAGAATCTGTAACATACAATATACACAACAAAAGTCAGCATGAATATCGGTGTCTGGGCTTGGACACTTTTCAAAGGTCCCGTGGATGATTACGAAAAGAAATACAAAAAAGAAAACAAGTACGACGCTTACGGCCAATTTCAGGTGGATTTCGTGAGGATACAGTCATGTCCACTTCATGATTAGTGGATGGACGTGAAGCACAGCAGCCCATGATGAAAAGACAAAAGGCAAAACAGCCGTGCTAAAAAGAAGAAAAAGAAAGGAAGAAGAGAAGAATGAGAAAATGAAAGACAGAAAGGGAATCAGCGGGTCATCAATTATCGATGAAAACCCAGGAGCGGAGTCCGACGTTGCCATGAATTTTTTTTTATTTCTCTTTTTATTTTCTTTTAATCGTTCCGAGGATGACTCTTTTTTTCCCCCTTTATCATTGGCAGTGATGACAATTGATTTTTTTTATTTCACATATCTTTTTTGTTATGGCATTCAGCTAGTCATTGGCTGCTACGAGACGGGAACGTACATCGTCCAACCATTGGTGCCAAAGTTTCCACCACGATCCTTTACCACGTGAGTGATGTTGGCAAGGCGATCCATGTTCTTCCATGGAAAGATCTGAGTCGGTTTGTACAAGCATGTTATTCAAGTATGTGTTCCACAACTTCTCGCCTTGTTCCGATTTTTCCATCATGCGTTTTGCCAGGTCAATCCAACTGTCCACACTGAGATCGGTCATATTATACGTTTCGTCCGTACTGTATTCAACTTCAAAGGTTGGCAGAGTCAGATGATCTTGCATATTCCAGTATGTCAGGTTCGAGAAGAACTGTGTATACTGCGTCCAATCGCCTGTTGAGGTGTCGTACTGATTCATACGGAATGCCGGATAATACACTGGCAGTACAGGAGGAGCCACATGAACCGCTATCAACGAATCACTATCAAAATGGCGAGCCTTTTTATACTGCCTACGGAGTGAGCGGAGGAACTTCTTCATATTGCGCATAATTCCGATCGTGCCTTCTTCAGCCGTGTCCGTGTCATCATGATGACCATGCCCATGCTTGTGGTGACCGTGCTTACGATGGTGACCATGTTCTTGCTCATTCCTTCGCTTGAGTAACTGGAAATGATCCATGTTCGCATGACCGTACATGTGACCCGCAATCACGTCTTTGTATTCCAGCGATACGTCGATATATTCGTCCAGACAATCGCGGTAAAACGTTTTCTTTGAAGGTACAACATGGCCGATAACGTACACTTTGACATCGTCGTTGCGTGCTTGAGCCAGAGTGGTGCGCATCCAAGCAATATGTTTGTTGCCGGGATCGTCTTGGACATGGCATCCTTCCACGTCGTCATTGGAACTGAAAAAGTACATGGTGTTCAATGACATGACACGCACTCCCGGTGCCACATCGACTACAAAGTAACCGCCTTGCTGGAAAGTTGGTTGCTGATCGAGAGGAATCAAGTCCTTCCATATCACACTGTAAGCCTGAAGTTGAAGATCAAACGGTTTCAGTTTGTTGTGCGGGTGCACGTCATTATTGCCTAAAAAAAAACGCATGCATTAATTCCCTTCTTTCTCAAATCTGTGCGTAAAGCCGACGAACCGATGCATGGTACAATGGGAATGGTCGTGTTATCTGAACGTACAAAGCTCTTCTGGAGGAGGTTAGTCATGTCCCAGTTATATGTGAGAAGTTCCTTGGTAGTTCGAGGTCGTGTGGAATCTGTGTCATGTCTTTTTGGGTTTGGAAGCAAAGACGGATTTTGGTAAGAACTTGAACACCAACGGGCTCCAGTCAAGATGTTTCGTTACCTTGCATTATCTCCAGTCCATATAATAAAGTCGATGTCATCCCTCCACTTATTGGCAATGTAATTCACCGTGTGCTCCGCTAATCGCATGGGTGCATCACAAATCGAGGTAGGGGTGCCCCAGAAACCAGCTAATTTTCCGTGCCGCTGTTTTCGATGTCGATGCTTTGTAGGCGCATCGTGGCACGCCGATTTAATAACAGTATCAGCCTCGTAATAACGGTCAACCTACGAGGAAAAACGGATCAGTAGGGACGTTCACGATGTTTTGGGGTTGCACTTAAAAAACGCACATGGAAGTCAGTGACATGCAAAAAGTGACCATGGGACTGATGTGTTATTTTCGTGTCGATAGTGTTGAACGGCTTCTGCTGGAAATCAAAAGCCAAGCATGTGGTAGCAACGGATGCTAGACTCAAAAACGTTAAGCGCATCTTCCGAGAAAAAAAATGACAACGTTCTAGCGAGAAATAGAATGTCAAGATCCAAGGCAGAAAATGGAAAGGGACATTCTTTTTATCTCTTTCGAAAAGATGCGGAAGCCCATTTTTCAAACCCAGCGAGACATTCAAGGCGCTGCAATTTTCAACGCAACTGTCCAAAGTCCACCCATGACGTTACTGAGTTCGGACAGCGTTCGGCATAAAATCAGATCATAAGTAAGCAGTTCACTACTTTAGGCAGAGGAACAGAGAGAAAAGAGAAATTGACAGTGGCAACATTATATGCATTGTCTTGATGACTTGGATGCTTTATCCACAAATTCAAAAAGCCCACAAAACGAACCTCTATTATAAAAATTACCAAATTAGGAGGCAAGGTATTTTTCACTTTCCCTTTCAGCCATTCGCTGTTTGCTTATCTGTTTTTCGGCTATTCCGCTCGTTTGAGATTGATTGTTGTGGAAAATATTTGAAAAGCTTATATGAAAAGTGCTACTGGCAAGATGGCCATATGCAATTGGCTTTTGGGGCATCATCATACTGTTATCTCGCTAATTTTTTAAGTATTTGAACCCCTCCCTCACAGTTTCATGAGATTCAAACGTTACTTGATTACATCAGGCTTCAACTAGGTCAAATAGTTCTTTTGTTCCAAATCCGATAATTCTTTCTGCGTCAAATCTTCTAGGTAGCTCTAACTTGTGGGGGTTTCTCAGAGCATGAAAAAATCTATGTCCAGGATGAACGTTATCCGAATCGAAACTCTTTTATAACTCAACCCAACGATCTATAGCAGAAATATTACGCGCACAAATTGATTACGTTGGCTCACCAAATCAGTGATCGGGCGGAACACAAAGAAGCGTCCTCACCAAACACGGCTGGATGCCGGAAAAGGAAAACTAAAAAATTTCAGCTGAGTGCCAAAAGTCGATGGCCGAATTTTTGTGGGATCCGATGTTCTCATTTCTTGCATCTTCAGTGCAAGAATCGGTCACAAAAACCAGCGTTTTGTAATCTTAAAGTCAACAGACAACGCCTCTCGCTGATGGATTCTGTCAGTTAGAGAATGCTGATGCCTTTAAAATCGATCGAATATCACAGGATATTACTTCCAGTTCAATCGTACATTGCATTTAATTATATTACGACGTCATTTTTGATCTTTTCAATAGCAATATGTGCTATTTTCCCTGCCTGCGCAGCCGTCCGTTATAATTGTCAGTTGATGGTAAAGCAAAGCGTTATCGTACGGTCGGTCACTACAGATAACGTCTAGTTTGTCTGACAAGCCTGTCCGCGACTTTCGTGCCCAATCATTTGTAGTGTTGGACTGAGGTTGGCTGATGATTGGGCTCAATGTTTTATTAGAACTTTTGCATCGATGTTAAACGATACCATTGGGTGTGGTTCGAAAGGGTGGTCAGGATACTCATCTTTCGAATCAAAACTGTTCTTGTTCTTCGAGGCTTTGTAATTATGTTCTTTAAAAGTGTTAATGACAGCTGTTGTAAGCTAAGTGGCTTTTTGTCCTTGTTTCTTCAATAAGCACCATTTTTCTCAGATTACTATGGCATGAACGATGCCGTTACAAATGATATAGTGATTCAATTGATCAAGTCCTTGAAAATGTTCTTTTACTATGGTGATCATGCACGTATCGTTGCATACCAAATCTTAACAATTTGAAAGACGACGACTCTCTGTTTGACCACAACTGGCGCAAACGGCATCTTGCTGCTGATTGTTTCGCCTATTATCGTGAAAGTGGGCAGCGAGGCATGGTTGAAAGATAAAAAAAAAAAAAAGGTTTAACAGGTCCTGATAACTTAGTGTTGATCTGATTTACAAATCGCTAATTTCCCAAAGACTTAGAGCTCTTTTTGAAGAAAAGTGGTTGATACGACCGGCGTTCTTCTGTAGCATCCTTCAATTTGGTTTTTTTGTCAGTTATACTGTATATGTCCTTCATTTTCAATTTTCAATGAATCGAATAATACAAGCAGACGTGCTTCGATCTATGAATTCATGCATCAGAAGGGTGACTATTGTTTCAATTTTATCTTTTTCCTTTTCTCTCTCTTGATAAACCCTCACTATCATTGTATCAAGATTCCATCCGCATCCATCATCCAGACCATTCTTATCCCGTGTATTTAAATCGACTACCATCCTCAAAAAAGTAAGCGTCGAGTGGTCTACCATCGATTTTGCTCCGGCAAAACAGACTTACCTCCCTTTTTGTCCATCCTTCTTCCAGCTACAGGTTTTCTCCGTTTTCTTTTCGCCTGACAAAGTTCTGGATACTATAAGTTGACTTTCTCTCGCCATCCATCCATCCATCTGGCGAAACCGGATGGCGTCAAAGGCCATTGTTGGTGGTGTGGCTCTCTTTTTAATCAGAAAAACGCTTACGTGTCCTCTTCAGGTTCCTCTCCTTTGGATTGCTTCTCATGATATGGTATTCGAGTTGTCTTCCCGATTATTGTATTTTGTAGTTCATAGCTTGTATTTTATATTTCATGTACATATTCTTTTCGCATTTTCCTCTATTTTTTCCACAGGGCTTTTTAAGAGGTTTTTACTGACGCGACCATTGTTTTTTTTTATCATCATATACTATATTTGTTTTTCTTTCTTTTTATTCGGGGGACTCTCAATATCTGGATTACAACTCGAAATTACCGTCACTTCTGGCCACATCAATATTTTTTGCCTGCTCAAGCCGACACCACCGATCCATCGCTTAACTGTCCCTGGAAGCAATTTTATTTTCCACATCGAAGAAGCAGCTTACCTGGCGGTCCGTATCATCTTTTTTTTTCCGGTACACCATTTGGTTCAAAGGCAAGGCCAATTTCTTTTCCTTTGCTATGATGTAATGAACGTATACTAATTCAAAAAATTTTCAATGTTATATAATTCAAATCATGTCAAGCGATCAATTACTATCGAAAACTCAAATAACAAAGGTAAAATATCTTGACGAAATTTGAATCAAATCAAAGAGCTTACTAACTCATTTTTTTTAAATACCCAACATACCAACAAATCTTTCTAGATCTATCATAGCCTGGGCGGGATGGAACTGAGGGGGTCAATCAGTGCTGCCCTGCGCGTGTACAGAAACAACTCACGTTGCAACGTATGCCATAAGGTTGTCATTAATATACCAAAGTTTCGTCAAGAGTTCTCGCCCAGGTTATGTCGTGTATGCGTTAGGTTTTTCGTCTGACGAAAGTCGCTCAATGTAAGGGGGCGGCCTCCGGTGGCAGGCGGCATCCATTGCACAGCGGGTTTACAACTATTATTTTGAGCTCGCTAGGCTCAGAGGATTGAGTATCAAAATTACAGTTAGGTCGGCTATTTTATTTTTCCCGCTTTATTGTGTTGCCATCCCCACCAATTGCTGTGCTTTCTATTCCCGGAACCAAAACTATGGATATTGCGATACGTAAAGCTACCAGACTGGAGTATCGTCCCCCCAAAAGAAAACACTTGGAAAGTAAGCGGCCTAGATAAGCTTGCGGCTTTTTATTGTACTGACTCATGTCCATGGCGCTCAGCATTAATTCGATGGACGGTTCAGAATCCGGACAGCATTGGCGAAATTGTCCATTTGTTGGAAAAGAGGCTACGGGAGAACTCTTGGATCGTAAGTGTAACTGATACGATTTATGTGGTTGCAGGATTGAAGTACGATACAAAGGAGACTGAGCGCACAATGGAAACCCAATAGATAACATTTAAGGTTCTGATTATTTTGCATACATTGATGAGAGAAGCGAACGGTGACAATATTTATGGCTATATCGAACGAAATAATATGGCTGTGTTGTCAACGCATGGATTAAAAGAAAAAGCATCAGGTACGTTTCTTCCTCAAATTTCACCGGTGTTCCGTTCACTCATCCATGAATGATGACGATTTTATTTCCATGTTTGTGAGCAGCCATGAACAAGATTCAAAATATTCACACCTATTGTTCCTATCTGGAGAAAAAGACGACTTCTTTTCGCCAATTGAAGAAGGATTACGTGAAACTAACCATGAAATCACGAGTCGGACGATTACGGCATCTCGCTGTGAATGATGGATTACTGAAGGAAACCAAAGTATTGCAAGAGCAAATCGAATCATGTTTACAGTGCAAGGTACGGAGGCTTTCTGTTATCTGTATCCTTTGCAGCGCATGGACTCAAAAGCGCCAATTAGTTTCAATGGGATGCAGGAGATAATGCGATTAATTTTAATGCATTTCGGTTGGTGCTTGAAGACTTGTTGGCTCTTTTTCGAGCCGTCAATGAAGCGGTGGTGAATATTCTTGGTAAAAAAATCACGTTTTTATATATACAATATTTTTGACGATGAAGGATGAGACTCATTGTCATTATTTGCAGATCACTATTTCGCAATGGAGAAAACAGATGCTAGATCAGCGCTTGATATTTATAAACGGTTTGCGAGTCAAACCGAGGACACCATTGCTTATCTGGATCGAGCACGCAAAATACAGTCGGATTTGTCCATGGAGATTCCGATATTAAAACATGTAATATCTGCTTCCTCGGCTAGATCACTCGCAAAAGCTAACGTTAGTTTTGGCGTTCTAGGCACCGTTATCATTAGCTGCTGCGCTGGAAGAATATCTGGATGCACCGTCGGCAAAGGAAGAAGAAAAACGAGTGCCATCACCGAAACAAACATCAGGTAATATGTCTTTTACATCAGCATGATCAAGCAAACTGTTGCTAATACGATCGTCATTTCGCAAGATCAAACTGCATTATCACCTCCACCGCGATCGGCAGCCCCAGTGATTGACTGTTTGACCAGTCTCGACAACGAACAAACTACTCTATTTATGCCGAATGCACCTTTCATGCCTTCTCAGCTCACAGGGTTGCCCATGCAACCACAAACGATTCCTGTTGCTTCATTATCATCTGTGACAAATAATCCGTTCCGGGCTTCTACAGCAGTTCTTTTATCACAAAATACAGGCTTCCAGAATCTTCCGATTCCCGGCAACGGCTATTTGAATCAATCTTTTTCTACGTTACCTACCATGCCAACAGGTCAAATGAACCCCTCCTCTAATCCATTTCGATCCAGTACCCTGCCACCTCAGGGCCTTCCAAACTATAGTGGGTTGCAAGCTCAAATGACAGGCTGGCAAGGAGCGCCGTCCCCGTCCGCCGGTTTGGTGACACAGCATGTCACCGGAAATCCATTTACATTTACCATGGCCTCTGGACCCAATACGGGTTATCCTGTCACCTCTAATCCATTTTCTCATGAATTCCAGTAATTTATGTAATAAAAGACCGAAATATCACCCTCCCGCATTCTTTCTCTTCAACGACCGTCGTGTGGCGGACTTTAAAATGAGCATGTCATTTGGAGCGCGCTGAAAGTGCACGTCGTGGTTTCTCACATTGTGGACTTTTTTTTTGTTTTTAGTGCGTGCTGAAAAAGAAAGAGGTGTGCGCCCATGTTCCATGAGCTCCTGTTTGCATTATCCGGTTTCCCTGGCGATGTGTTTGTGCCGTATCCACCTGCGCCTGACATAGCTACCACGTATGCCGTTCTCCCTGCATTCCCTCTTCTACACGCGGCCGAACGCGAATCCCTGAATCGGTTAGGGCAGTTGGGATGGATCTACGCTCAATTGAATGGCTTTGTCACCTCGACCAAGAATCTGAAGCATGCAAGGCAAAGACAAACACAGCCTCACGGCGCGTACGTTCAAGCGATGATAACTGCTCTGGAAGATACGCTAAACGAATACCGGCAAACGCTTCTTGATATGGAACAACGCATACTCAATAAACAGGACGAAGCAGGAGCGGGCATCATTCCATTATCGTTACTTACGTCGACCCTAAGCCGATGGGAGTTACTGTTACCAGCACTGTATGACTTTGTTCTTCGCTTGCAAGAAACACCGGAAGCTTACCATGGATGCAAACTGTTTGATTTGTTGATGAACCAAGCGCGCACAGGGATCTACGAACTACGTCTTACGATGGAAAAAATGATTCACTCGGCTCACGATGTTCTCTACCGACAGCTGACAGCATGGATGGTTTATGGACAATGCGTGGACCCTTATAACGAGTTTTTCATTCAACGAGTCGATAGCGACCAAACCAATGCCGCAGGATGGCAGCGTCATTACACACTGGCCAAAGACCGAATTCCGTCTCATTTAACATTGGCGGTGGCAGAATCTGTTCTGTTTGTCGGACGGGCGATCGCTACAGTGACGGAGATGGATACATTCACAAAGTCCATTCTACGCGAAGATCCTCAGAATGACGAATATGATTCAAAGCAAATGCTGCAGGGCCAGCTGTTACTTGAAAACCGACAGAAAATACAGATACCTAATGATATGAAGCACCGCCATCTCCAGCTACTCTTCAGTTTACATTCGCAGAAATCAACAGCATCACCATGGTTAAGTTATCCACAGCAGTTGCAACAAGTAGTCCATGATATCCAAAAATCCACCGCGGAATGGCTGTTCTCCCAGGTCCTCGTCGATCGCCATAGTCTGGAGCGCTACCTTTATTCGTTTCGACAAATGTTTTTACTTGGTCATGGTGACCTGGCGGTCAATTTGATTGAAGAATGCAGCCACTGGAGACGCCGATCGATTCTTCGCTCAGGGGACAAACGATCATCGTCTGGACAGAGCAGCGACCGTGAATCCACACGATCGTCGTCGCATAAAAGCGCCAGCACCATTTTCAGACATCAGGAACTGAATGCCTTGCTGGTCAAAGCATCGGTTGGCACGGATGCAGAAGATACCCTTCACGGCTATTCGTTGCGTATTTTGGATGACAGTCAGGAAACCGGATTCGCTGACCTGTTACTCATGGATGCGCAATGTTGGCTTACCTATGAAATGCGATGGCCTATCGATCTGTTTTTGAGTGAAGCCGATTTGGCGCGATATGGCGAGCTGTGGTGTTTTCTTATTGGGTTACGGAGCGTTCAAATGTCTCTCAGTGGATTATGGCAATATTTGCGTGGTGGCAAGGAAAGCGATCGATCTGAACAGTGGATACACAAGGGTAATCATGGGAATGATGAAGAAGGATTCGAAGAGCGGCTCATTTGGCGGTTACGATCACGTATGATCTTCTGGGTCGATGCTCTGTGGAGCCACATGCAGGTACGTGCAATGGTTGTTGTTTGTACATCATTGAAGGCCACGAAATACTGACTGAAAGTGGTGTGGCAACTAGGCCAATGTCATTAATACACATTACGAGAACCTGATCGACATGGTGAGCCCCTGTTCGGAGCAGAGCAAGAAGCGGAGATCAGTGTCCAAGCCGGCGACGCTTGACTTTGAAGAGATACAAGTGGCACATGACGATTACCTTGGCAACATTACGCGTGGTTGCTTATTAACGTCTTCACGGTGTTCCGAAGCCATGAATCATACGCTTCGTACTTGCGTGGACTTTTGTGAATTAGTGAAACAGTTGTCGGAAGATGAAGAATGGTTATTCCGCAAACGACGAAAAACCACCAAGACGGCGAGCGAGATCGTGCGTCAGTGGACCCAGCCGTCGACGCTTGCGCAGAATCCCTGGATTCATCGCATCTGTGAATTGGAAGAAGTAAGGCGCTGGTTACAAATAGGTTAAGCTGGAATACTGTGATTATTAACGACGACATTGTAGATATTCAACAGTTCGACTGAATTATTTTTCGAGTTGATAACGCATCAATCTCAGGAAGTGAAATCCAGCGGCAATTTGGATTTGCTACTAATGCAGCTTGACTATAATAACTGGTATTCCAAGTAATTTATTGCTTAGAAATAAAGAATTTACAGTCGGCACATTTGTACATATCAATCATATCATCGGCTATTCTTTTTTTTTTTTTTTTTTCTCTGGGATGTGTGCTCGTGTGGATCAAATTAAGGTAACGGAGTGAGCGGACAATCAAAACAAGCGAGTGGGTCGCTGGAAAGTTCTCATTGTGCACCCGCTTTGAGTGTGCGAGTTCATCTTTGCGTCTTTTCCCTTCATGTCCAACACGAACGAATCGGAAGCCAAGAATAACAGTAGTCTTTCAGAAGCTGAAAAGTTTTTGGAATCACTCAACTTGGATTCTCAACAAAACGAACATTCTGATAATCCTGCCGCACCGACCGATCCAAAGGACATCATGTCTTTTTTGGATGAAATCTCCAACTATCAAACAGAAGAGAAAAAGCCAGCAAGCGAAACTGCCCAAACTTCTCAGGAGAATACAACAGCTTCAAACGAGAAACAACCAGCCGCAGCTACTGGCCCCGCTTCTTCAAGCAACACCGCCACCGCGGCTCAATCGAATGCACCTGCTACCGGTTCAGGATCTAATTGGATGTCGTGGGGCAACTCTTTATGGTCACAAGCCAGTGCCGCCGTGAAAACGACGACAGAGCAAATTAACCGCTCAGTGAATTCCGAAGCCACAACCAAGATGCTGGAAGATCGCATGAAGAATTTGCAAAGTCTCGTCAACAAGGAGAACATTGAGAAACTTGGCAATGAGCTTCGTAATTTGACGCAAACTATCATGGAAACGGTCGCTCCTCCTATTTCCGAGCATGAAGTTGTCGAAGTCTGGTTATCACATGATATGGTGGGTTATAGTGGATTGGAAGCCCTTGTCTATCGGTCCTTTGCACGCATCATGGAATACACAGAAACAGGTCAGGTCATCGTTCGTGGTACCAGCGAAAAGAGCACGGCCAACGAAGCGCCCAATGTGCAAGAATTGAATATGTGTGAAGGCCTTGTAGAAGGTACCAAATTAACCAAGGTATGGTGATCATTCCAAAGTATGATAAAGGAGAGACAGACAGATGCAAATGGATATTGACCATCTTGACCGTCTATTGAACAGGCCAACATTGATCATCTGGTGAAGACGTATTATACCCCACCCAAGTCCGGGACCACGTTCACACCACAGTCGGGAGCTGTTCCTGTCATTAATTGCCCTGTTTTTATGGCCATTCAACCTGTAAAGTATGCCATGCCTTCCTGGGGAAATGATTCTGGAGAGGACGACGAAGAGACGCATCAACTGGTCTACTTGATCTTATTATACGACCCTACCCATCAGTTGAAATTCAAGACCCTGTCACAAACCATGCCTCTTTCATGGCTCGATGTTCCTTATGAGGAGAATGAATGGATTGAGGATAAAATGGTGGAAACATTGCAGATGGCGGTCAGAACCATTGCTCAAGATTATGTATGGACGCGCATGACCGGAGGACATCAAGCCATGCAAGCCACAGCCAACGAGGTTAACAAATCCAGTGAAACCCAGGAAGCATCCTTGAAAACTGAAAAAGAACCTTGACTCATTTAACATTTACCTGACATCACCGTATCGCATGGTTTGGGGCGCATGAAGGCTGTCTTTTTCTGAGTGGGCCGCATTTCCCGCTGCATTTTATGCAACGTGTATTTGATATATCTGTTATTTTTTGCTTTACCAATTAAACGCGTGTATTTTGTACAGTAACGCACCACACATCGCTCGCCATCTTCTTTGGATGCTATTAAGTTTCGATATTTGTTTCTGTACAAGCGACATCCATTTGAAAGTGTAAGCTTTTAACCGCTTGTCGAAGGCGGCTGGGAAGATCATAAAAGAAGGGCTCGGTCTGGCGTTTTTCCCCGGGAATAGCTTGGTCCGGCCTCCGGGGGATGGCTCAGAAGTGGTTTGCACGCATGTGGTGGTGGTAAGGGTGGTGATGGTGCAAAGCGAGGTGGAGGTGGATGATACGAAATAGGAATCGATTGACATTCCAAAAGCAGTTGCTGGATACTGTGGGTGGATGATGCTTTGCTCAGCTGAGTGGGTATCTCGTTGCACTAAGGAGAAGATGTAGAAACGTCAAAATAATTTATGATCGGCTAGCATTCATTGCATTTACCTTTTCCCTCGCTTGACTGGATACCCATGATGCTGCGTCGATATTTTCTTTGGAAGCATATTGAGTAAAGCCATGTTCCACATAAAACCGAGAAAAAAAAGAGTCGTGGTACCTGGTGTATCTGCTGATGGCAGCGAGAGATACTGCTGTAGGCTATCCTGTGAAGAGTATAATGAAATGGAATTTTCTCCCAAATGGGAAGCGGTCTTGGAGCTTGCTTGCGTGGGGAGCGAGCTGGGAAGAGAAGGACGAACGCTAGGCGCAGTGGATGGTGTATATGGTTTGAGGAACTCCATCTCGGAAAATACGAGGCCTGTCACGGTACAAATGAAAGAGATACGTCAAAAACTTTACCAGCAAAAACCATGCGATTTTTTTTCAGGATTGACCTTTTTGGAATCGACGTGGTTTCGTGGAGCTTTTGCCTTTATTGAAAATGCCAAGACGAGGTTTGGCGCGGTTCTTTGGGCGCATCCGGCAATTTCCGTGACAAGTAGGAAAAAAAAAAGAAGAAAAGCGAAGAAAAGAGAAGGATGCGAGATGACCATGGTCACAGAACGCTAAATTGTTGTTTATTTCAAAAATTCACGATTTTTTTCCTTTTCCCTGTCATTCATTCATTCATTATTTATTTATAACTATAAAAAAGTACGCGAGTCAAAGTTTATGCGCCATATTTCGGTACGAAGCCCAGTTTATGACCGATTTCTGCCAAAAAGTGCCATGCCAGTATCGTTGCGTTACAACCTTGAGCCGTTATCTCTTCCGCATTGTAGTGGGTCACTGTATCCTGCCGTGTGGATCCAACATGTAGGTACGAGCACATCAGCCTCTGTTCCCGATCCACCGCTACTTGGACGCCATTTTTCATTACACAACTTTGTCGAGGAATGATATCGCTCCATGAAGGTTCAAGGACATCCATGTCTATCGCCTTGCACGGGCTCACCACGCACTTCAAAAGATGCGGTGTGGTGTCCAAACTTGATTGTATCATATCATCCATTTGTCGCCACGAATTCTTGGAATCCTCGCTCGTAAAGTCGATCAATAAGCAGCGAATGTCTTGTGGTGCATCCGGCGCCATCAGACGCTCTATGTGGGAAACGATATCCGCTGACGGCGGCATAGCATGTGCATAGGCAAAACCAAGCTTTTCCGCCAATGATGTCACTTCATCCGAGGTCGAAATAATACCCATAGTCAGTTTCCCAAATCTAACACACATTCGTTTTTCACGTAAGCCTTCAAAAAGCATACAACCCAAACTCACACCTTGGCTACCTTTCCCGGAATCGGCGACTCATCTATGAATTTTGGAGGAAAAGGATCAGTTTATGCACAATATCCATCACCAGTGGCGTTTGGTTTCTTTCTTACCTCATCGATAGTAGAACATCCAAACAATCCTAATAGCTGAATGATATACTGCAACCGTTCATCTAAACCATGAACAAATGAGATTAATTGAAACCATCGTGTGTGTGGCATGCTCCGTTTAGCTTACTTTGACGATCACAGACTTCCAGTGTCAACCGTCCAGAACAGCCACGACGAGCCAGCTCATCAATGGCTGGATAGCTTTCTTGAGGAGGGCAATGGTTGTAGAGGATTACGGCCTTTTCTGGTGTGGCCATGGTGGACAAGGAACAAACAGGATATCAGCATATCACGGTCACACAAAGTTTTACAGCTTGAGGTTTCGAATTTTCAAACGGAAAGACAATTGCAGACAAGATAATTGCCCAAATGCTTTTCTGCTTTATGTTTGAACCATTTTATGGGAAAGGTTTTATAAGGATCGTTCTGTAGACATTCGGACAGACTAGAAAAGCTTACCATGCTTAGCATATTTTCGCTCGATTCGTGTACCTTTGGGATCAAATCTACCCTTCCTTTTTAATGGAATGTTCATACTATAATTCCTGTATGAACTGATATCAATTCATCATTATTTGCGGATGTATAAATAGGAGTAAAGAAAGCAAACCCATCGTCTTGGTTTTCTTCCGTTAAAGTTTGTTGTCCAACTTAAAAAAAAAAGTCTCAATTTTTATACAATTCCAATCATTCAATTCCCTTGCGAGAGGTTCAGTTTTTCAGTGCTTGGAACTATTTCCCTTACTCATGTTTTGTCATTTTCTGGCATTGAAAGCTACACGGCAAGCTAGCCGGTTTCACAGTCTCTTTTATAGGAAGCTTGTATCTTTGCAACCCAGGATTCCAAGAAAAGTAAGCCATGGGCACGTCTCCTTCGAAAGGTTCAATGTCCGTCGATACATTATTGGTCTGAGTTACCGATATAGTTTCGAGGCGTGTCTGGAACAGAAAAAACAATCTTTATTTTGTTTCATTGCCATGGCTCCCGATCTCCAGAACTACGATGAAGAGCAAGTGCGTCTCATGGAAGAGATGTGTATTGTCATTGACGAGAATGATAAGCGTATCGGTGCCGATTCGAAAAAGACTTGTATGTTTTTCTTGGTTTGCCATTCTCCGGAAAAAAAATATATACAAAAAAAACAAGCTTTGACTAAATAACATGGTTGGGGATCAGGTCATCTGATGGAGAATATTCACGGGGGACTTTTGCATCGTGCTTTCAGTGTGTTTCTGTTCGATTCGAAAAACCGTTTATTGCTTCAGCAACGTGCGTCCGAGAAGATCACCTTTCCTGACATGTGGACCAACACTTGTTGCTCGCACCCGTTGAACACGGCTTCGGAATTGGTCGAAGAGGACCAACTCGGTAAGACAGGGATACTCGTCGAATCCGCATTTGGATCAAATGGACTTACAATTAATACAATGTATAAAAAAAAGGTGCTCGTACGGCTGCTCAACGTAAATTGGAACATGAACTTGGCATCAAGCCTGAGCAAGTGCCCCTTGATCAATTCAAATTCCTTACGCGTATCCATTACTGTGCTCCCAGTGACGGATTGTGGGGCGAGCATGAGAGTAAGTTCAAAAAGAGGATACGATTAATGATGATATGAGTGCTTACCTTGGGATAATATTAGTTGACTACATTTTCTTCATCAAGGCCGATGTGGATCTTGAAGTGAACCCGAATGAAGTGCGTGACGTTACTTATGTGACCCCTGAAGGACTTAAGGAAATGTTTAATGATCCCAGTAAGTGGCCAACTGTTCGGCTACATGCCTATTTTCGGACACTTGATATTGACAAAATCATGATTTAACTAGACATTCCAATGACACCCTGGTTCAAGTTGATCTGCAACTCTTTCTTGTTCAAATGGTGGGCAAACATTGATAACATTGAAAAAGAGAAGGACACAGAAACCATTCATCGTTTGGGATTTTAAAGCCATTCATACCCTTCTCTCAGTTCATTGGTTCCTACCTTTCTTTTATATTGATTGCCGCTTCTTTTATTTGAATTACTTCCATACCATTACAATTTGCGTAATAAAAACACTACTGATCTAATGGGATTTTTTGCAGTCATGAAGAAAACCAATGTTTATAAATATCAACGATCAAAAAAGGCAAAAAGAACCCTGCCTAATTCACTTTACAGTCATTGAGCTTGAAAGTAATCAATGAAGCCACGTGGAAACGTAGCACATCGTAGCATGTCCTATTCATTGTGTTCAGGCACATTGCATCATCTTTCTAACCTACACTCACTGGCCGTCGTGGGAAGAAAAATACCGCTGACCCGCGTTGGTCAATAATGAAAAAGAGCACCAGAGATGAGTATATTATATCAGTTGCATTTGATCATCCAGTGTGGCTACTGTGAGAAAAGTATCTGATAGCTGTAGCCTATCGAAAAAAAAAGAATCATGTCTGTCACATGTGATTCTGAGAAAAGCTAACACGAATATCACTTGCAGCGGATCGCTGCTTCATTGTAACAAAATTCAAATGCAGGCAATACGATCGTCGACGGAAAAAGCTTGGCTTTATTTTTTATTTTATTTTTCATTTTACTGATTCAACATCCAGTTGGTCAAAGTTTTCCGCTCAACGACATTTGTGAGCTACACAAAATAAGGTGACGCGACACCAGCGCCAAAAAAACGTTACGAGAAAAAAAAAACGCCCCTCACTCCCCTCTTTCTCCATTCCCTCTATTTTTTTTTTGTTATTCATAATACTTGTTCACTATTTTTTTTCTGTTTATTTATACTTACGCCTCTTTTCTTTCCTGTTCTTTTCTTCTTTTTCTTTTGCGTGCATTTTTATTTGGATGATTCAGTTCACGATACATTTACATTTATAAGAAACATTTGATCCATTTTTTTTGTCTATTTCAAATTCCTCGTTGCCTTTTTTCACTGACACTGTCTGTCTTCTCATTCTTTGTTTGCATCTCCATTTACCATCACTTCATGTCGGTTCCCTCGTTGGACATTCCACAAAGCAAGAACTGGTTGCCTACATTGAGCAGTATTATACTTGATAACGATTCATTCGCGGGAGATCTCATTCGTGCATTTGACGACCGACAACTTCAACTACGCGCCGAGTTGCAAGTAAGCGTGTGTAAACGCCAAATTTGGCAATTCCGCAAAGCACTCAATTGACTAAAATAATGTCACTTAGCACGACCCAAAAATCGCCTTGTCAAACACAAATTCGATCTATTCGGATGGCCCTGATAACGAGGATGCAGCACGTTCTATTTCTACTCCGTCTCAACTGTATCCGGTTCCTCCTACACCTTCTTCGCTACCACCACCACCACCTCTGTCCATGCCTGCACCTGCTCCACCCGCCCCACCCGCCCCACCCATCCCACCCGAATTCTATGGTGTGCCACCATTCGCACCGCGTGAAACTGAAACGCGGGTATCGGCTAAAAACTTGCTTCGGCGATCGTCCGCCTACCTACGCGCCAAATTTGAAGCACTTCGAAGCCATGACGATTGGACCCCTGCCAATGCGACGTTTCCTTCTACTTCTTCGCAGCGACAGCATCCTCTCCATAAGTCATTGAGCAGTTCCAAGTTAAAACGACGTAACCCCCACCGTTTGCACGCTCAAGAGATTTTCTCTTCCTCTTCAGCCTCGTTGCCGCCTCCTTCCAAAATTGCTATTAATACGACTATCTCGCTTCCTCAATTCACCACCGTGTCGCAGCCTGCTTCGGTTACCTACACCGTGAAACCACCCGTCATTACGCAATACCCACCGAAACCGCTCAAATACTCGCCCGTGGATCCTCCCGATGATACTGCCGCCAAGAGTAAAGCCCATCGTATTTCGCTGCCTCTGTTCAACTGCGTCAATCATCATAAAATTGAGAAAAATCGACGGCGGTCCATCGCTTTCTTGCATTCCGCCAAATCGGCTATTCAGCGTCCGTTTCTTTTTTGCCAAAGATCCAATACTGAGCCTCGAGCCACCAAAGAACGCGTCTCTTAGCTTGCGCATCTGCCGGTTTCTCCCCGATATCGCCAAAAAGTAAGAGCCTAAATATTAACAAATATGCTTCTCTCGTTTTCGCCGCCCACCCCGAGGTCCGTCCCCAGTTTTGGCTGTGAGCCGAAATCCCCACTCAGCCAATGCCGCTTGGTTCGGAACGACGCGGACAACTTCTCCGTTCTTCAGTGAGCTCGAAATCGACCTATTTTTTTTTCCTCGGTTTTGCTTTTACTTGATCACTATGTAAATATGTATCCATACCACTTATTTATGACCCTACTATCCTTACTTACTCCATACAATCCAAGCTACAAAATAATAATGACACCTTTATTTATCGTTTTTTTTTTCTTCATCTCTAAATTTACTATTTTTATTACCAAAAATCCTGTTAATCTCACCTCGCATCTTCTTCCGCATGGTTTAATTGCAGAATAAAACGTCATATTACTGCCGCAGAGTCCAATGCGCGAAAGAAAAAAAAATTGATCTCACTATTTTATTCCCGCAGTATGCATTCCTTCTGCATCTCTCACTTAATGATGTCTGCAGTAAGAGACGAGTCACGATTGATGGGGGAGCCAATAGAATGCGTGAATGATATGTGATAAAGTACGTGACATTTTACTGTTATTTCATGAGTCCATAAATAAAGGTGGACTCCAATTTGGTCTGGATCATGGTTACTTTCAGTCTAGGGCTTGGCAGATGGTGCGACTGGAAAAATGTACAGACAAGTGGAGGAGCTGAGAGTCATTCAAAAAAAACGGGCGTGCGGTGGAATCCATGGCAACACAAACTGAGATTCTTTTTTTTAATTTTTCCTCCCTGAACCGTCTGTTTCCGCCTGTCCATTCCGTTACTCATTTCTCCCCATTACCGCCATGTCCGACCTGGCAAGCAGTGTCTTGTCCGTAGCCATGGTCTTGGCTCCTGTCATTGGCTATGTCGATCAGGTAAGAAAGTCATTCCATTCATCACGGGCTTTTTCATCTTGCTTCAGCTGTTTAGATGTTTTACTCATGGTTTACTCGACAGTACCTCATCATTCGAAAAAATCGTTCCAGTGCTGGCTTCAATTCCTTGACTTGTGCCATCCTGTTATTTGCAAAGTATGTATCTGGAACAGACAGCGGCTCAATTTCCCTATGGAGACATGCTAATAAACATTATAATCATCTAACAATTTCAGTATTCTGCGTGTTTTTTTCTGGTGAGACAAAAAAAAAAAGGCCAAGGGGGTTTATTGCAGCATTATTGATGATCGACATGCATTTGGATGATGGCAGGTTTGGAAAACGATTCGATACCACGCTTTTGGTGCAATCCATTGTTATGATCATTGCACAATTAGTGCTACTGGAAGCGGTGATACGATACAAGCCCGATTTTCTCATTTACCGACGCGCTTCGATCTCGTCCATGTCGTCTGAATCTTCTATCGGTTCTTCTCTCTTGTCCATGGCCGATCGAACACGTTGGTGGGGTCGCATTTCGTTGTGGGGATGGCCTCATTATTTGGATTACATTAATTGCTTGCTTGCATTTACTACGCTGATCGGGATTTTGTATGTGTTTCTGCACCCATACCCTGTTTTTATTGAAGTCATTGGAGCCATCTCGCTTGGCATCGAAAGCACCTTGCCCTTACCACAATGTCTTTCCAACTTTACTCGTCGATCGACATCAGGGTTCAGTCTTCTCGTCCTTGGCAGCTGGGTACGGATCCCATCGAAAGCAACCCCCCCCCCATGATTTTGTTTATGTGTTTACTGACAGAGAAAATTAGTTCCTCGGCGATGGTTTCAAAGTCTTTTATTTCATTTATACACAGGCGCCTCTACAGTTCGATATTTGCGGCGCTATTCAACTCACCGTGGACACAGTCATTGTCTTTCAGTTCATTATTTTCTCCTCCACCGTGAAGAAATGGTTAGGCATCTCGGCCCCCAACGTTTTTGAAGATGATCACGACGGTGCTGGTTACCAAACCATTTCCTAACGCAAAATACTCTGCCTCTCTATCCTCCACAACAATCCGATCTTGATTGCTCTCTTTTTTTTTGTAGATACCAATAGACATGTTTCCATTGAATCCCTTCACTGCAAAAATATATCTGAAAATTTTGATACACACGTAACCCAAATCAGACCATGGTGAATGTGGATGAAAAAATGTGTCGATAAGAGTTTTTATGCATCCAGGGCGGTTAAGCGACTTGAAAGTAGGTAGATTGATCAGTATCAATGCGTCATACCTATATTGCGTTAGATCAAAGATGCATAGCAAACCGTGTCATCTTGTAAATCATTTTTGTGTTACGCTAAGGGACGATGCCGTCAGTGTAAGATGAGCGGCGGTGATTCATCAACACCACTTTTTTCTTTTTCAAGCTGATAAAGACTCTTATCATGTGGCTTCTTACATGAGTTACTGACTTTATCCTGTGAGCTATCATAATAAGAAGCTTGCTATTCATATAGTCTTGGGTTTCTGAAAATCATCGTTTCCGGAATATATACTACTGCACATAATATGCGTCTGGTATCCTATCAGGTACGGATCCCCCACCCATAGCAACGCTCCTTAAGAATCCAAAAGACCTGACCCGTGCAACGCAAAAGCTTAAGGGCAGATATTGGATAGAATCTATTGTGGACAAAGACGCAGAGCCGTACAAACTTTTTTTTTGCAGATGGCAGTATCAAATATGGCAAGTGGGATGATTGGTGCTCCTTTCTTGTTATTTTTCCAACACGATATCAAAAGTGTGTGACGCCAATCCATGGAAATAACAGCATCAAAGAATATCAAGAACAGAAACAAGAGAGTTATATAAGGTTTTTCTTTTTTTTTGAATTTAATAATCTTATTTTCTTGGTTTTTTCCCTTCAATGGTACTGATCATGCAACTTTTTGGCTTTTTTAAAACCGGTGTCATGACGACGGGTCGACTGTCTGTGTTATCTTGACTTTCCTTTCCTTACTTTATTTTTCAATCCAGCCTTCGTTTTTACGTTATTATTTGCTTCTGTTTTTGCTCCCGTTCATCCGCTCTTTATGATCATGGCAACCATTCCCACGACAATGCCAGGTAAATGCAAGGGTTGGCGACGATTGGATACCAAAAAACCCAAGATTAACACTTTGAAAATCATCTCAAGTCGTTGATACCCCATTATGTCAGTCCATGTCAAACATATGGTCCTTTTTGTACGGTTGTTTCCACGGTGATGAATGTGGCGGTAAGTAGTTTCTTGGGCCTTTTATTTTGGTCGTCAGGTACCTTATTGATTCATCCATTTCCGAATTTAGGATTTCGACTGTGGTTCTGGCTTGGAATCGTTGGGTTGGCGGTGTTTATATTGGGCGCTTTCGGATTTGCCCTTTATTATTGGCATCGCCGACCGTCTGGCGATGAGGATATCGAGGAAGAAAGGCAACCTATTTTGGGACTTAAACGTACACCCACCTATTATCAGTGGAATCGACCTTGCCCTTCACCGAAACGAATGGCAGAACAAAGCAAGGAAACCTGGCAACGACGACGGTCGGCTTTGTTGAAGAAATATTCGCCTACAGACCAAGACCCCCATCCTGTACAAAACTAAAAAGCAACATGCATGCCAAGCCAAATAGGTCACAAGAATGGCTCCTTTTGAATGATAAAAACAAAAAGAAATAAATATAAACCATGTATACACACCATAAAAGAATCGAATGAAAAAAAAAGGTAAAGAGTTTAAATATGTATGTGGGTTTTCTCTAACCCCAGTATGAGTCAAGTTCTCTTTTTAGTTATGTTGTAAAAATGCAAAGTAAAGGTTCTGATTTTTTTAGGTCCTTTTTTTTCTCTCTCTTATGGAAGTGGAATGAGTTTTTTTAGATTTCAAGAAGCAATCTTCTGGGGTCTTCGATCATTTCCTTGATTCTGACCAAGAAAGTCACGGCCTCACGACCATCAATGATTCTGTGATCGTAGGTAAGAGCAACGTACATCATGGGACGGATCTCAATCTATGAACAAAAGAGTAATGGTTAGCATCATGGATAACTAGTATACAGAGAAATGACGTGACACTTTACCTTGCCGTCAACGACAACGGGTCTTTCTTTGATGGCGTGCATACCCAAGATGGCGGATTGGGGGGTGTTCAAGATGGGAGTACCCATGAGGGAACCAAAGACACCACCGTTGGAGATGGTGAAGGTACCACCGGCCATATCTTCAATGGTGATCTTGTTGTCACGGGCCTTTTGACCGAGAGCGGCAATGTTCTTTTCAATATCGATAAAGTTCATGTCTTCGACATTTCGCAAGACGGGAGTCACAAGACCCTTGGGAGTGGCGACAGCGACGCTCATATCGATAAAGTCGTGGTACACAATCTCGTTACCGTCAATGGATGCGTTGACAGCTGGTAATTCTTCCAAAGCGGCAGCTGAGGCTTTGACGAAAGCAGACATGAAACCAAACTTAACACCGTGCTTCTTGACAATGGCGTCCTTGTACAATTTGCGGAGGTTCATCAAGTTGGACATATCGATTTCGTTGAAAGTGGTTAAAGAAGCAGCGGTATCTTGAGATTCTTTCAAACGTTCAGCGATTCTGAGACGCATACGGTTCATCTTCACACGTCGTTCATTGCGGTTGCCGTACACCTTCTTGTCGGATTCGTCAGCAGCAGGTGCAGCGGGAGCTTCCTTCTTGGGCTGGCTAGGTGCGGGAGTAGGAGCAGGAGCGGATGATTCTTGCTTCTTGGGCTCTTCCTTCTTGGGTTCCTCAGCAGGCTTGGATTCTTCTTCCTTCTTCTGTTCCTTCTTGGCAGGAGCAGCAGCACCTAATGATCATAACAGACTAAGATTAATATCAAATCCAACACATCATCGACCGTGCTTGATCCTTGGCCTTTTGCTTTTTTTTTTTCCTTCGTTGGGCTTTTTTTTTCCATCATGTCATCACGTAAGGAAAAGTTCCGTCGCTTCCACATCGTTGTCACGCACGCAAACACAGCCACGGCCTCCACACAAAAAAATAGTCTCCATTTTCCCACACTTCTTTTGGTTGTTGCAATAGTTTACCTTCTTTGGGAGCGTCACCCAATTCGAGCTTGAAGAAATCGGCACCGACGGCAACGTTGTCTTCCTCCTGAGCATACACTTCAACAATGGTACCGGATGCAGGGGAGTTGACAGTAACATCGATTTTGTCAGTTTCAATGGTAGCCACTTCTTCGTCCTGTGCAACGAAATCGCCGACCTCTATTAAAGACTGTAGGTTAGTCTTGTGTACCATCGATGTACCGTGCATTGATCTTACGTTTGACCCATTGTTTCAGAGTACCCTCAGAGATGGATTCGGCCATCTGAGGCACCTTGACGACCTTGTCGGCTGCAATAGAAAGCAACGTTTCTCGTTTAGTAACAAAAAGAAGTGTCATTTTCTTTCTTCGTGTCAGGTCACGTCACTCACCATAGGTGCGAATCTGCTGACGGTACCAATTGCTCTGAACGCCAGCGTTTTGTCTGTAAAAAAATTACGAATACCATAATCGTTTAGCCCATGTAAATACAAAGAAAGCGACAGGGATCCAGGCCAAACACAGGAAGGGGACGCTTTACCTCAAACGCTTAGAACCGACCATGTATGTTGCTGCAGGTGCTTGAACGTGCAAGTTTCTTGCCTGTGCGAGGTAACGCATACCTTGTGCAAGAGGAGCGCGGGCCGAGCGCGACAGATTCATGGCAAGGGGAGCGAAGCGAGATGACTGCATGTCGATATAAATGGAGTGGGGAAAAGAATAAAAAAAAAAGGGAGCGCTGTCTTTCGAGGGTTGGTTTTTTTTGTATGAAAAAATAATAACAGACCGGGTCCGGCGAAGAACGGGTCAAATTTTACTCGGGAAAAGGAACGGAGTCTGAAATATTAAAAAAGGATGGACTGAAAGGAAGGGGAGGCAAGAGAAATCTTTCGGATTATGATGTCAGAACAAAGTAAGACATTCAACTCTCTTGAAAAGTATTTCGTCTATTGTATGGATCATGGTGTTGCCCTGGATACTTTCTCACTACAATATTAAATGATATGTGTAAAGGAAAGAATCCACTCCACGCTACAACTTAATCTGGTGCTCCCTTTTTTTTGGGACAATAAAGTTCCCCATTCTTAAAAATATAAAAAAAAGAACCAAGCGGGGTTTATCTCTCTTTGATTTTCTATTTGATTCGCAGCGTAATTTCAGCCAGTAAAAGGTAAAAAGGGTTCCAGCAGACGCGCGTGACACCTTACCCCATATTTAGGTGACGCTTTGGTCTCGGTTGATGATGATGAGCGGTCGCCTGCAAAAACCTGGTAGCTCTCGGCAGTTTATTCAGTAACCCAAGCCAAGTCATCGTCACTACAAAAATGTATCGAGTGCTGATCATGTCGGGTCCACTCTATGTTGTTACATCACATGTGCGCCTTTTTTTTTGGCGACGGAATTTATCGTGGATGAACTAGAACCAGTGAGTGTTCGCTGTCTCCGCGGTGACGGGCGGCTCAATTTCAACCTATGCTTAAGAGCTAACATAGGCCCAATAAGGGCTGTAACAACCGGAGCATCTCGGAACCTCCGTCCCCCATACAATGGCAAAGAAAAGGAATAGTGTGTGACCTTGCCAACTATTATGTTTTACTCTTTTCTGTGAGTCGCCATGACATTTTGTGTGACCAAAGTCAATCCTACAAAAAGCCTTGTCATTTTTTTTCGGCCCTTCTTTTTCCTTCAAAAATAAAAAGGATCGTGCAACATTTTTTTTTGGGAACTTGTTGGAGACCCGCTTTTACCGTCGTGCACAACATTTTTTTTTCTTATTAACAAACATGACCATTGGGACAATGCTGGTTGCACAAAGCTGGTCGCTTTTTATATTCGCTATCCATGACTAAACCGCTTTTTCAACTCCCTTTCACACCAACATGGCGATACCCCAAGAATTATTGTGCCTCACTGACGATCAATCTGAAGTGTTTAGAGCCATAATCGATACCATTGTGGCACCGTTGACGGACCAAGAAGAATCGGAACTCCTCGCCAATTTAGCCGACATTGCCATCCACACAAAAGATCAAATTACTACTTTTGCTAAATTGCCGGCTCTTCATGGCGAAATCTTTGACTTTTTATACCATGCTACACCGCCCGATCAACAAAAAGTGTTTGCTACGCTCCTATCCTTACTAGCGAACCCTCACAGTGCTCTTTTACTCACTGGTCACTGGTCACGATTCGACCAGTTAACGAGACAACAACGAGAAGCCGTGGTCAACAACTGGCGAACCTCCAACTTTGCGTTTAAACGTTTGATATACAAGGTCATCTACTTCATCGTCACTTATCCCCTTTATCGAAAAGTCGGCACTGAATTTCAGGCATGCATCGGCTACTCGGGTAAAGACCACGTTCGCAACCAACCAGATTATCAACCCAAACGACAGCATCCTCGACTACCGATGATGACAACGGAAGAAGCGCTCGCGGAACCCTTGAAATTCGATATCATTGTTATCGGCAGTGGTTGTGGCGGAGGTACTTTTATAAAGTGAAACCATGCAGGAATGCATAATGACATATGGAAAAATAAATACAGGTGTATGTGCGGGACGATTAGCCCAGGCTGGCAAATCCGTACTGGTCATCGAGAAGGGCAAATATTACCATCATTCCGAGTACGACTTGCAAGAAACCACTGGATTTGATGATCTTTACGAAAATCGCGGCCTCTTGACTACGGGGGATGGCTCCGTTCTGGTGTTTGCCGGTAGCACTTTTGGCGGCGGTTCAGCGGTCAACTGGGCAGGATGTCTTCATGTATTGTATCAGGCCTGTGTAACCTTTTTGTATAGAAAGAAACACCTGATCATTCTCCAACCCATTTTTTGTTTGATAGACACAACATTTTGTACGTAACGAATGGGCCAGCGAAGGATTATCTTATTTTGCATCAGAACAGGTACGTTTCGATGAAACCTTGGTCAGGTCTTTAATGTGACCCCTCGCCCTTAATTTTTGGTTTGGTGTGCTTGGCCAGTTTGCCGACGATCTTGAAGAAGTATGCCATCGTATTGGTGCCACCACAGCTGGCATTGAACACAATGTACCCAATCAGATCTTGGCCAAAGGTTGTCGGTAAGCCCTCAATCACGGTATCGGGAAAACCGACACGGGTATGGTGTGGAGATATTGAACCGCCGAAATAGAAAATTGGGGTATCCTCTGTCGGCCATTCCTCAAAATACGTCCGGTCATCAACATGAGTGTGAATTCTGTGGGTGCGGTTGCAAGGATGGGATTAAGAATACCACGACGCATACATGGCTCCGCGATGCTCACGAACATGGTGCCCGTTTCTTGGATCAAACTCGAGTAGTGCGAATCCTGACTCGTAACAAAAAGGCGATTGGAATAGAATGTATTGTTCACGGCCAACACACGGTCACCATTGCAGCAAACCAGGTCGTCGTATCGGCTGGTACGCTTCACAGCCCCAATTTATTGATACGTAGTGGGTTGAAGAACAAGCATCTCGGGCAGCATTTGCGTCTCCATCCATGTCATGTGGTGGTCGGGTTCTTTTCTGAGACCGTCGACATGTTCCGCGGTCCGATTTTGACCAATGTCAGTAATGTAGCCGAAAATTGGAATGGCGACAACTATGGCGTCAAAATTGAAGCGCCTACCGTGCTGGGCGGCGGGTTTTCAGGACTGTTGCCTTGGCGAGGCGCCGCTCATCACAAGGAAATCATGCTTCGCTACCGTCAGTGCTCGCCTTTGGTGATCGTTGCACGTGACAAGGATTCGCAGGGTTCCGTTAGTTACGACGATCAGGGCAATTTGAAGGTGAACTACAAGTTATCCAAGCACGATACTCAAAGTTTGATCGAAGGAATGATCCATGCTTTGAAAATTCTATGTGCTGGAGGCGCAGCTGAATTGCAGACCACCCAATTCGGGCTTGAGCCTTTCCGATTCTCCAAAACTGAAAAACCAGATGTCAACAATCCTCGCTTTGTCCAATGGCTTCAACAAGTACGCGCGTACGGTTTGCCGGCTCACGGTTGCAATGTCATGTCAGCTCACCAAATGGGAACCTGGTCAGTGCTTATAATCCCAAAAAAAAAAAAAAATCTCGTACTACCCATTTTTGACAGTGACTCACATATGCATATGACGGTAATTTTTTTTGCCCGTAATTCTAGCCGTATGGGCGTATCCCCTTCTGTATCCGCTACTAAACCTACGGGTGAAACGTGGGAAGTCGAGAATCTGTATGTGGCGGATGCTTCATTGCTCCCTACCGCATGTGGCGTCAACCCAATGATCACCATTCAAGCCACAGCCCTTCACGTCGCCAACACCATGATTGCCGCATATGGAAATCAGAAATCATCCACAGAACAGAACCCGGAAATGTAAATGAATTTGTGTGGCACCATCCTCCGAGAAAAAAAAAAAGACCAAGAATAAAAACATGCTTAAATACAAAGATTTGATCTTGCAGCAGCTATCTTTATATTTATATTTCATTTCTTTAAATCATGTACCTTAATCACCAAACGGCTGCGGTTGCGTGGTTTCTTCTGTCGACTCTGAGGAAATCGTACCTATGGTAATTAGAGACCTTCGTCCTTTTGGTAGAACAACGCGTTTCTTATTTTTCAATTTTCCTTAGCCGCCAGTTCCGTCCAGATGAATCGCCTATTCAAGCTGGATCCACCGGCACACAATGTTACACGCCGGCATGTTGACCCTGGCGGTCATCTTATTTTCCGCACCGAAGAGAATCGTTTTTTTTTTTCTTTTTTCGGCGCATTATTTCGCTTAGATTTTCTCGGTTTTTGTGCTATGGATATTTGACTGAACCGATTCAATGCCAAATGGCCCAAATCATGTTACACTACCAATGACGATCAAGACTCAAATATGCAAATGTAACACCCCTTGTGCCAAATATGAATTGTACGATGGAGAACGTGTTGATATGCCGAGGGAAAGCACAACTTGAAGCAAGAGGAAGTTTGCCCGCGCGAATGCCCGAATAATGGCCCCATTGCTTGCATGATCGGAAGCTGATATTGTTGGTTTCCCTTCATTTAACTGAGGTTCAGCTAGTTTTATTTCCAAGTGCGGCTTCGTGCTTTAAATTAAACTATGCAAAAATCATGACGCGCAATCCAATAAAGAACAGCAGCAGATAAAATTGACGGCATTTCGGCAAAAGCTCTGCAATATTGTAAAATGTAGGCATCTCTGCAAGCAATTATTATAATGATGATGGTCACGTTTGAAAGACGTGCTTCCTTCTGGCCCTATGGAATTCGAGCTTTGGATGCCGAAGCGGCAGCACCCAAGGTAATTATTATCATGATTTATGCTATTTCATGCCCCTGAATGATTCCGCTAACTTAAACAAAGTCGGTCTCGGCAGGCGGTTTTCGCACCCAACTTCTCAATGGGTGCTATTTTCCATTTTCTCCACGATGGTCACCTTTTATGACAAAAACAAAATTATTATATAGCGAGTGAAATTCATAGACACAGGAACCAGAAATGACTACAACCATCAACTAGAATAAAATTTCTTGGACCCACATTTTTCCATGTTGGTTGCATATGCATCATTGCAAATGCCTATTTTTTTCGGCAATAGGATCTGCATATTGAAATACAACAGGTGCGGCATTTGACAAGGGATCCTTTGTTATCAGTGCCGACTGTAATAGTACGTAGCGGGTCGTTATTCGGCATCAAGAATAGTGCACAGTTCTTGATAGCTTATTTAAACCCGACGAGAAAAATTATGGGAGGTTCAAAAATCATGGCGAAATATCTATTCCTTGTTTGCTTGACCTTGCTTTCTATCTCCACCCTATCGAGCGCTCGCTGGGCAGGCGGCTCTCCACCTAAGTGTGTCCCTAGTGGATGTAATGACAACGAAGTCGAAATATGTCAAGCGGCATCACAATTCGAGGCACAGGACGAATGCGGCGTCCCCGAGTGTGCTAATAATTTCGGCAATATTCCCTGCGCGTCCGGATACAGAACTTGTTGCCTACCCGCTGATGGGTAATTGCAATTCCGGATTAGCTTTTCTATAAAGCGAGCTTTTGTTGTATCAATGAATTTCGGATAGTACAACAACTCAGTTTCCAAATAGGAGCAACTGTAATAAAAGATTGATCAAGCATCATTCCCCTGGGTCTCAAATTAGGTTTATTGTGGCTGCAGTCCGAACCCATTTGGAAGCTTCAAGAATATACCAGAAAAGCATTAAAAATGTATCACGGTAGTAGCCCATATAAGTGGTTCAAGATGCAATAAGTAGAAATTCAGACATTTTTGACCTCTCTCTATCAGTAATTCTTGGAACTGTTTTTTCTGCATGTCTCGACTGCACTGTGTTGGTTCCTGCAGATCATGAGAATATGAGTTAAGGCTGCCAGTTCATGGATAAAGGACTCCAATGGCAGCCTCGTGTGGCGATCGATCATGCTTTGGGCTGTCGGTCTATCCGTCTTGAATAGCCGCAGCCCCCCGACATAGTCATGCGTCTTCTTGCTTTTTCCCGTCTGAAAAGCGAAAATGCTTATTTCAACACCTTTTCCGGCTTAGATTGCCCTTGATAAATGCTGGCCTAAAGTATCTTCGTCCTCAACGGGGTTCATCGTCGACATCACCTTTACGGATTCTTCGTTTTCCGGAATGCTTGCAAGTGAACCAGATTCCGCGGTCGCTGGATCGTTTGACGCTGAGTACGATGTTGGACTTCCGTCCGGTATTCCGCAGTAGCGTCGGGAACGTCGGCAACTGAATGATATCCGCAAGGACAAATACACCGTTTTCAGTCACTTGCACAAGATCGTTGAAAGGCTTCAACCGCAGCAGTGATGTAAGAGACGTTGGTCAAGTTGATGGTGGTCAAAAGAAACGAGCTGGAATCCTGGTTGGTCCCGCACAAGGACAGTCGAGGTTGATTGTCGAACGGGTTGCAAGCTGATGAACTGAGCAACGCCGGAACCATCGGCAACAGGGCGCCGTCTTGATGTACTGGATCGCTGTAAAGATGCCAATCGTTGGGTTCATTGGATCGGATGATAGGACTCATGGCCCAAAGACTACCGGTCATATGATCGTCCAAGTGTGAGCTCGTGGGCGTAACAGGTTCACTTGATTCAGGTGACGACGAAGGAGACAGATCGGCATTCGGAGGGTAGAAAGGCTTCAATCTACGCGTCAACACCCTGAATTCCTGTTAAGCTTGCATTAAATTCGGGGTCCGTCGCGATTTTTTAAGAAGGATATGAAAGAAGGGCGTTTTCCCCATCATTTCTCTCCAGGTCATCTCGTCGGAGCGATCAGGCAGCTTTAGTATAGCGTCTATTTGTGAAGACGTCTGGTTTGTGATTGTATTCAGGTATGAGGCTGGGAAAACCGTAAAACCACCTTCCTGAGGAAGTCCACCTGTGAAAAAGGTTGTTTTCGTTTCGCGGCGGTCCTATAGGATGTGGCTGCTTTTACTTTTAACTGCCCAACAAAGGTAATGAAAAAAAACAAGGCTTTGCCTTTATTCTTATCACAGCTTTTGCCAGTATACACTATATAAAGCCGAAGGATCCCATTACTATGTCCGGAGAATGAAACTCGATGGTTGCCTCGTTGTTTGCGGGTGCTTATACGATATACTGTTCGTGTTGTACCTCCTAGGCCCGGCATGGTCCTTGTCACTGCAAATCACAGACGCGTTGCTTGGAGAAAACCACGAGGTAATATATTCATACGCAGTGTATTTTAGTAGGAACACACACAAAATGAAAATTCTGTAGATTGCCGCCAGTACAGTCTTTGGTCTCCTCTATGTTTCTAGTTCGTCCGTCACTCTCTGCTGGCCGCATGTGATCTTCGTATATTTTAACGGATCATCTGAACCCATGGTGGACAACGAAGTAAAAGACAGTCATCCAGAGCACAGCATAACGGGGTTGTTTCCCTTTATTATCTTCTTCACCGTGATTCCACGATTGGGATCGTTGGCTTTGACACCGGTCGCCATCCCGCTGTACAACTGGTCCCCCACATTTATGCCATTAACCTTACTACCGCTTGTGTAAGTTAATTCATGAAACCATTTAAAGAAGGATCTCTAATGGATGTAAAAATGAAACCACTCTAGTGCTATAAGCCCTAAACTCAGTGAATACCTCGGCTTTTTTGCGGAAAAGTGTTTAGGCTTATCTTCCGCATGATGGCACATCGCTTTCCTAACACAAACAGTGAGAATGAAGAAGCTGCTGCAGAACAGCACGAACCTACTACGAACAAAGAGAAGGAAGATGATGCTGCAGAACAACGTGATAAGAGCCAGGCCGCTTCGGATGAGAAATATCTCTCTGTACTGCGTCCTGCGCTGCAACGGTTTGGCGAACGATTGGATGGTGCAGTCAAGCGAGAGATCAACATCAGCGTATTAGGGGAGCCAGCATTAGCACAAGAGATCACGGTAACCGAGTATGAAAAGAACTTCCATATAATGATACCTCGCGAAACCTTCTCGCGACTTTCAGTGGATGAAATTGCTGGAATCATTGGTATGGCTCACATATCAGATAGAGCTGCTTCGTTTCTAATGGCTTATTTACGAAAATTATGATAGGTTCAAAGATGCACCTGTATCTGACTTCTAAGGTTCAAACTCAAGTTTTGCTGTGTGGTTGCATTGTTCTGCCGTCGTTTTTGTTCTCGATGACCGATCCCTTGATTCGATACTCTGATTTTGGTTTTGCCGCTGCGCCTTCGACCATTGTTCGTTTTGCCATAGCGTATGAACGGCTTCAGCCTGTCTATGCGATCTATAACTTCCTTGAAAATATGTATAAGCGAAACCTCGTTTTTACAGCAGGTAATTTATATCAACGCCTTATGGTTGCTCATTCCCCTTTGCTTATCCCTGGTATTCTCATCTTAGACGCTTTTGCGGCAAATCTCGATTACGTACTTGCCCTTCGTGAAGCTCTTGAGAAACCCATTGGCCAAACGGGCGAGGAATCATCGTACAAGTTGGATCCCGCAGTCTCTCGCTTTTCCTCGTCTGTCTTCCGCAGACGCTGTACAATTATTCGCCACACGTAGCAAAGCACCGTTACGCAGACACTGAGTAGGAGCTTCAGAACTTTTGGATAATGGCACTGAAACAAGTTAGCAATTTCGCGATTAGTAACCCTTCATTCTTTTTCATATGGATTGACGTACACGAGCAGTAATAGCACAAGCGACATGTATGTGGATGACCATTTGTACAACGGGATTACAATAGGCACCAAAACCACTGTTCCCAAATGTAAAAGAAGCATGATGGACGCTGTAGACGAGAGCGTCACTTTCGCGAGACGGCTTGGATAACGATCATTTGCTTCGCTGGCGACCGTGAATTCGGATGATGCATGATACCGGTAGAAACTCCCAAACGGCCAACAATGGGTAACGAAGAAGCTGACAACATAAAGAAGACTAAACACCGTACTAGCGACAACCTGCAAAAAAATATACTGTATTGAGTGCATATTCCAATAACCCCTGCATACAACATAATGTACCTCATGGTATTCTCCAACCAGCGTGTCAGTCATTTGCAGTAACAGAGTCCAAGCCGGGCGCAAGAAGTACAAGATCCATAGTATATCGTACAAACAACTGCAAATAGTCATGCACCCATTGAACTTCAGCAGTTAAAAATAATAGCGCGATCTTCTGGCTCTGTGAATTGGATATTGGCGAAATCTGCGAAAATAATAGTAAAAAAAAAGTCAATGAATGGCCTTCCGAAAGAGCGACAGTTCATAAAAGTTACAATGGATAGGACTTTCACAGACTTAGCAGAAGAGCCGACACAATATAAGTAGTCTGGTGGTTCAGATACATTGTTTTGTGGAAAACACTGTGTGCAGATTCAAGCCCCTCCTTTTACGTGATCAGGACGTCCTTGTATCATTAAACAGTCTCTGTTCATTATTCCCTTTTCTCTCTTTTGGATTATAGCAAACAAAATTTCGTTGAGTCATCTACAGTTCCGAGTTGTATCAGCGACTGCCGAGTTCCATATGCAACAATTTTATATTGGTATTGACGACATGAAGCAGTCATCCACACACCATCAATTTTTCATTTGTTTCCTTCTGCAACGCTTTGCAGCGTTCCATAAAACTTGGGGATTCGGTGCAAATAGAGTAAATTGACGACATGAAGAGCCGACTGTTGAAATGATGATTGATTAAATTAGCGCCAAAAGTAGTTGGAAGCAACGAAGCATTCGTATCAAAAAAAATCCGCAGGTTCCATGTTTCATTCGTAGGTGTAACTTGCTGTTACAGCCGCTATACAACTCAGCATAGAAATTTGGACTCGTATAGAACCTGAGATTTGATTCATTGTTTTTCTGCAATGCTTCACAGCCTTCGGTATAGCTTGGGGACTCGCAACAACAAATAGAATAAAGAGGGTCTAATCTGTAGGATGATTCCTCGCTCGTTTGGCCAATGGATTTTCAAGAGCTTGGCAAAGAGCATCTCTGTACCCAAATTCGCCACAAAAGCATCTGCGGTAAAGGAACTGGCGCTAGAAAAGTCGCCAAGATGAGCCATGTTGTCTTGATAAATTATATGCTTTGAATACATGGCTTTGTTCATACACATTTTCAAGGAACGTATGGAGCTCGTATACAGGTTGAAGCAGTCCATATGCGATAGCAAACCGAACAATGATGGAAGGCGGATCGGCGAACCCAAAATCGGCATATTGAATCAGCGGATCAAAAACAAGACCATGGCAAAACAATTATACCGAAAAGGAAGACCCCAAGCTTGTGCCAGTAAGTAGAACGGAGCTGCATTTTTGAGCCTATCGTAATCTTTGTAAGCCCTGAGGATGCAAAAACGCTTGGGATTACAAGCCATACCGATGAGGCTAGAGAATTCCTTGATTGAAAGACGGATCAGGGTCTCTCGAGGTACCGTTATAAATAGGCTGGACCAATCAGGAGCACAATGATGGCTCGCGCTGACGATTTTTCCCCTACTATGTTGATTGCAATACCGTGCTTTACTCCACTGTCCAAGCATCGCTGAATTGATAGAGCGCTGGACGCATTAACGACTTGAAGGATTCATCCAACCTACTTTCGTCGTATCGTTCCGCTCTGTTTCATGTTTGCCGGGTTTGGAACTCACAATCAACATACAACTCGGAAATGTAATGACTCAAAACCAAATCCGTTTGCCATGGTCATCCGAAATCAAGTAACAAAGGATAAACAAAGGAACAAAGAATAAAGAGCTTGAATATATAAAGACGCATGTATGCTATAGGAACCGACCTTCAGTCTCGTCTTCAAAATCTTTAATCTATGCATCTGAACCACCAAACTGCTACTGTTCTGTGGACGCTTCTTTTGGCGCTCGCGAGATCGTACCTACTGTAATAACGAACTGTTGTACTTTGGCAGATCATCGAGCACTTAACTTTTTTAGTTTTTTTTTTTTTTTTTCGCAGTTTCCGCTAGTATCCACTGCATAAAACCGGGAAATCGCGCATCTTCGGCAATTAAAGCTCGTATGGTGCATGTCTATTGTGTTTACGCATGCAATTTGCTCTGAATTTTGTATCTCTTGCAAGCGACGTGGATTTCACGAAGAAAATCACCCATGCGTTGCTTGGAGAAAATCATAAGGTATGTGCAAGTGCGACAGGGCGTTAGTAGAATATGTAAATACTGAATGCCATTCTGTAGATTGTCGCTAGCACGGTGTTCGACTTCTTGCATGTCGCCACTACTAGCGCTATCACTTGCTGGCCGTTCGCAATTTTTCAGTTTTATAATGGCCCATCCGAATTTGCGGTCCCCAACCGACAAGACAACCGCTACCCAAGACACGTTTTGGTGGGGATACTCTTTTTCACCTTCTCTCGTGTTCCTTCCACAATCTGTGACGGTGGCTTTAACGCCGATTGATGTCTCGTTATATAGTTGGTCACCTACATGCATGCCCCTGGTATACCTACTGATTGCGTACGCCAAGTCATCGAAAGGAGAAGAAGCACCGCTGATATTTTTGATGTATTTTCTAATGCCGCAGTTCCAAAAGCTATCGAATACCTAGTCATCCTGTGCGTCAATTTATTGTTTTACTTGCAGCCAACGGTTCTGCAGCATCAGGTTTTGCCAGACTATAAAAAGCAAAGCACTGCTGTTACTCAGGCCGATTTGGACAAAATATACGGATCCGCCCTGCATTCTGCGCTTCGACGATTCCGCAACCGGTTGGCTGGTTCAGCAAAGCCAGGTGTCTGGATCCATACAGTAGGGGAGACGTCGTCAAGCACGGACTATATAGTGTACAGCGTCCAACAGGGGTTCTATATACTCATACCTCGGAAGTACTATTCGCACTTTTCAATAGATGAACTCGCTGCAATGAGTATGGCTTAGCATCCAACTGGTTATCCTTAACACCTTGCTTAAAAATATTTATCATAGGTTCCAAGATGTATCTTTCTGCGACTTGGCAGGAGATTCAAGTCACTTTGTGTATTAGTTTTGTGCTTCCATGGTTCTTGTTTTCGATGGTTGATCCGCTGATTCGATATGCCTATTTCGGTTTCGCCGATGCTCCTTCCATCGTTGTTCGATATGCGATTGCGTATGAACTGCTTCGACCTGTGTATGAACTCCGGGGTGTCCTTGAGAATGTGTATAAACGGAATCGTGTATTTAAAGCAGGTAATTTTATCAGCACAGTATGGGATGTCTTGACGATTTTCTTACTCAGCATATTTTTTTTTGTCTTACTGCAGATGTTTTTGTGACGGATCTCGGTTATGGGGCTCCTCTTAGTAAGGCTCTTGCCAAATCAACCGGTCAAACGAGCGAAGAGTCCTCCTACGTATTGGACCCCTTGTACTCTCTGTGTTACTGCGATCCAAGTGTCGAGGAACGCTTCAAGGCGTTGCAGAAAAAATCAAAATAGTCAGAGGTGCATATGTGACTCGGCCCACCAGGACTGTAGTATAGCATCTTAGTATGGTGTAAAATTTCAGCATCTCATTTGATGGCCTGAATTGCCAAATAAAAATGGACGTTTCAACGATTCATTGCTTACAGCGCCATCTATATATAATTTTGGAACATGAAGATAATGGGCATATGGAACTTTGTTCTATGAATAAGTAGGCAATGGTGGGTTTTCAAATGGCATCAAATATCAAATGGGTGGTTCGGGTCAATCAGAGCTCATTATCGCAATTTTCCCTATATCCTTGGTGATATTTAACTGGTAGGAGCAGCAATGACATGCAATGCAAATGATTCAAATGGTCAAAATTCATCAAGCATTTTTTTCCAAACGGGAATCGGTGATTGTCACTTGATGTCACGATATACCATTTTGGTAATTTTGTTGACGTTTATGCAAATTCTCTTTGTTTGCCATACAAGGCAATAGGTGAATGGTGGTTTCATTGGATGAAACACGCTGCTTGCTTTTTTTCATTTACATCCCCGTTCTGCGGCACTTGTGGGCGCCTTGGCAGCACTGGGATTCTGATTTGCATTACGGATGATCTTGTCTCCGTCTTGCAAACTTTTTTTAAAAAAATCTCGTTGACACAGCGTCAACATGATTTCAAAAGAGTTGGCAATGATGGGGTCGTATAAATAGAAAGTTGGAGAGCTTTAGCTCCCTTTTAATTTCGACTTTTTTTGTTTCGTATCATTGACATGGACTTATCATGGTGTATTGTTGGCGATGGTCATTGTCCTGGAGACGATGTAAGCTCGACCAAAAAGCTAAGCGCCAGTGAGATGAGTTGGGGTCGCAGCGTCCGTCAGAGGGTTAAAACAGTCGACGACAGGTTTATTGCTCAGAGAGTTGCCGACTAAAGGACATCCATCAACGTAATAACACACATCCATCGTTAAGATTGCCATCTCGGCAGCAATCCTTTACGTGAAGCGTCTTTTCAACCTTCGTCACGACCTTGCCGTCGCCCCAGTCTGCTTTATCGTTCGTCTCATTCACGCACCAACTCTGTCTCCTCGTCGAGCTCGAATCATTCATCCAATGAACAGCAGTGCTAACATATTGTTCCCCTCCAAGCATGTCAATCCAAGCTGCGTACTGGTTAGACGGTCCTCCATTACGGTGACGAAGCATATTTTTCGGCGGCAGAAGAAAAAATACCAGGATATCGCAAGGTTGCAGGAACCGGAACATCGTTTTTTTTATTTCCATGCATAAGTTATATAGAGATTGGCTTTTATTCTATGTCTATTTCTAAAGTAGGTACATGTATTTTGTAGTGAAACATTCAATGAAATGGATAGGATAGTACATCATGTTGATTGATCGCGTGCGGGCTTGGCAGGACATACTTCCAAGTGCCATTGATGACGACCCAGTGATCCAAAAGCAACGCAACAGTGAGGACAATAGTGCCATTTTCGTGAATACAGAGATGTGGGGGCCGGACGGCGATCTTGACTGGAATGAGGATCTTGATGTTGATGATGGTCATGATGCTGATGATGAAGATGAAGAAGACGATGTGACAAGAAATTGAAAAAGCTGCTGTTAGTGACCATGTTATATATGTAAAGAGATGCGGTAAGGTAAGGACTGGAAGAATGAAGAGATATGATGAAAAATAAAGAATGAGAGAATGGAAAGACGTTGGATCTGGAAAAAAATAAAAAGGCTGGAGGATGGCATCGACGGGTTTATATACCATTGCGGTTGGAAAACGGCTTAATCAACATGCTTCAAAGTGATTTGTTGCCAACCCCTGATACTGCAGCTAATATTGAAAACTTTTGCAATAAATCATTGCAGACAAAAATAGAGCTTCCGGATGGAAAATGGTGTATCATTTTTTTGTTTGCTCTGGTAGGTCAAGTTGGCATATTTCTTTTTCTTGACACGAGGGTAGCAATCCATCCTCCCATATTTTATTGCTTGCATTTGCCGCGGCCGCGAACGAGCTGAAACTCATTGAGATGCGAACCAATTTTAAGGAAATTCAAGGATGGGCGATTGTCCCAACCGATTCCATGGATCCACTTGTCGTCACCGGCCGATCTTGTCCATCATTTACACCACGGAAATAACCAGAAATGGTATTGTCGAACGTCGGTCAAAGTCCTTCCGTCTGGACCCCACTCGTCTCAGCACGTTCCGAAAGAAATTTCATTGACAATGAAAATGATCTCATTATCTCGGGTATAACTTAACTTGGCAAATGTCGATCCACTTTTTTTTATCGGGTTTTTTGTTTCATGCCAAGACGCTATCGCGTTTCGCGTCTCGAAAAGATCGCATGAATCCATCAGATGACTTGAGTTCACATTGATAGCTAGTCATTATTCCCTCCATTTATTTTTTTAATGAATTCGATTTCTACCCGAACGGTTCATCATTTATCTAACAATAGAATCAAAGGGAGAACAAAAATAGGAGTAATAGTTGTCACAGTGAATACAGCGGAATCAGCATTCAAATTTTTAGGGGTCCATCTTGCCATTATGGAAAAAGCTTATTTTTTTATTGATGCCATTTTGCTTTGACATGATTGATGTCAATGACAGCTTGCCATTGTCATTATTGTTTGCCATTTATCTCGGATCAGAACTATTTAGTGACTATATAAAGATTCAAAAATTGACGATCTCCATTGTGTCGAGTAAATATAGAATGGAACTCATGCAATCGCTGTCAAAGGTAAAATTACATGAAAAATACTGTAAGCGTTGAAGTTTATTGTCCAGCAATCATGATGCGCAAGAAAATGTATCTACTTATGGATTTTGCGGATTGTATTCATCAGCACTCTAAAAAAGCAAGTTAGTGCATCCTATTTACATCATGAAGTCTCTTTCTGAAATCGATCATTCATTGCATCCATCAAAGCGACGGCTGTAACCCATGGAGTGTTCTTGTCTTCGTTGTGTCATACACATCATTGAATCTGCAATAAAATGCCATGCAACTGTTTCTATCTGGAAATAGCACAGAGATTCATAGAATAGAGTGTTAACAATCCACCACGTACTGAAAAACTGCGTCTCATTAATTTCTGTCGTTCACTTCTTCACAAAGGCACAGCGTGAAACGTCCACATAAATTTTGAAATAGCTCGTCTCGCCCAACGAATCGAATGGTTGCTAGTTTCCACAAAATACAGTAAACTTCTCTATGTGATCGTATGCTATAATTATTTGGATTGATTGAAGTCTTTGGAACCGTCCCTGTCACGGAAAAATCACCAATAAAATTTTTTGATCTGACCGGGATGTCCATTATCCTACAAATGGTGTGCTTCATTACTTGAGCCCTTTTATTTAACCTATGATTCCAAAGGCTTTCATTGACGTGCCGAAAGGCCAGAATATGTCGGGTATTTGTCTTTTCTCAATGCGGATAACCGAGAGTAATGAGGACATCATGTCAACCGCTTTCTAAGGACACTTGGATTTCTTTAGCTTCAAGGATAGATAATAAGTCTTGCTGGTAAAAATGCTGGACGAATACGAATAACGAAAAAGAGCAGGGCAAATATTACATGCATGCAAGTCTGCAGCGACTGACAGGAACTGGGACTGACCTGTCATATACGGATGCAGTCTCCACATACTCGGTGTCAAAAGTTCTGTGAGTTTATATTTTGCTCTGCGAGCAGCTCCGGTGACCTTTATGAAGTATGCTCACACTCAGAAGATGACATGTGAATCTGCTTGACCAACCGAAAAGGAATTTGTAACATGAACTTTTTCACAAAGACAAAAGTACGGTACCGTAGGGAAAGAAAGCATGTCTGATAGACAGAGTAGCTGCAATATGAGAGTTGAAATAAATAAAGCAAAATGAATATATCTTTAAGATGCAATTTCAGTAACCGTAAGAGTATGATGATGTGCTGGACCCAGCAATGTCGCTCATTTGAACCACGCACATACTAAAGATGGGAACAGAGTCCAGTGCTTCATTGGTGTTAGTGTATTAAACCTTAATTAACTTTTGGTCGTGGATGCGGTTCCATCTACTTTGACGCTTTGTGGAACAAAGGCTATCTTGAGATTTGCGTTTATATACCGTTGTCGATCAGCGTAGGGTTAGTGCGATATCTAAAATGGTCATCTGAGTTGGATACGGTCCGCCGGTTTCTATACCTTCATTGGAGTAAGAAAAATAAGATTGATTATGCTGTCTCAGTACAAGAATTGGAAAAACGTTATCGCACTGCTTCCGGTTATCCTTTTGCCCAACAGGTGTCTGGTTTCAAAATGTGTTGAAAATTTAACAAAATATCCACCCAGATTCGCAAGTCAGGCGCATCCACCCATATAAAAGAAAAGCTGGCATATGAAGCGTACTGTTTGCCGAAAGCGCTTTTAGCCGAGTAACGGAGTGCACTTCTCCAAAGATTTCTTTGTGCTGTATTTGACATACTGATGGAGATGCATATTTCCAGCAACCACCACTGCCGGAGCTTTGTTTAACAAAGTTACTGGAGCCAATTCGTAACTTCGCAGTCTTTTAAAGCAGTTACCAATTCACACGTTACTGCCATTAAAGTCCTTGGGCATGGTAAGTATCAAAAGAGCAGATCCAGTAAATAAGCATGTCCATTGAGACTCGACTGTTCTTGAGCCAATGAGTTTCATTTTCTGTGCACAGTGTTTCAAGGCGAGGGGAATTCGCAAGACAATTTTGTCAGCCGTATGCTCGTGCTCACGTGGTTGACATGATGATAGCTTTTAATAAAGCTTTGGAACCGGGATGGTTGTTGCAATGTCCTCAGAAAATCTGTTCATGTGTAACCACCTTTGTTGAACATGAACATACGCTCGATCATGAAGCCGCTGTTCCTGATATCCGTACGGCCTACAGTTAATTCCTACTTATTTATACTTTCTCACGAGTTTGGCTATATTATGTTACAGATTTTATGGCAGTATAAGTGAGTTACGAGAAAATCGGTTAGCGATTGCAATCATCCGTGGCGGCCCAAAAGATGATCAATATGCAATAAAATATGCGCTCTGCATAGAGGGATGTCCGGATCCTATTCCCGACATCGGTATTGATATCAGTGATAAGACTGAGCCATTTGACAAAGGGACTCCACAGAGTCCCGGGGTCGTGCTGGGTGAGCCCAAATTAAAAAGTGTTACAGAACAGCTGACGAGGAGGGGGTTGGCTGATAATGATAGGCGCAACTGCTGCTAGACCGTTGGACTAGAATTGATCAAACTGAGGCCATGCGCAACCTCTTTTGAACGGGGAATATACAGTAGGTATGAAAAGGATATGTGGCGTCAGGCACATGATGCAATAGCAAGCGCAAAGCAAAGCGTGCTCTATCAATCTGAAAAAGCAAAGTAACGATCCCCACTGCCCGGTTACAGTGCTGTCGTAAGCGAACTTTGGATGTCACCATGGGCGAAAAATTCTTAATATGTTTCCTATTGGAACGTGCGATACCCTTGGGAGAACGTGCCCCACACCATTTTCAAACGTTCTACAGATAATGACTGTAGCAATAGATATCGATTTGGTATGAAATCCTATTCATTCTACAATGGTCCGTTTTTTTGCCAGAAAATCGTCAGATATTTGTGAAATAAAATCAGAACATTTTGTTCAGATCCCGCCGAGCTTCTCAGAGGGGCAGACGCCCAAGTGGGAAAACTTTCCGGATTGATTGGTTTCCAAATCCAGCTGTCCGTGCGATTTTATGAAAAAGGTGGATCGTAACATTCAGTTGTGTCGCTCCCCCCAAAAACCTTAAATCCCACCATCTAAAGTTAGCAAACTCTTGGACGTTGCAATACTTGACAAACACATAAACAAACATAATACCAATGCACTTTTTATTATATTATTTACAAGAAAACAAAAAGAAAAAAAAGTAACCAAGTTTAGCTTTTTCTATAATCGTGTACATGAAGAAAATCAATTAAAAATAACCACACAAAGAAAATAGAAACATGACCCAAGAGTTGATAGAGTACCGGAAATAACGGTGAGAGAAAAAGAAAAAAAAAGCATATGATAATGAGAAAATCGTGATTCTCTCTAATAAAAGTCGGGGAAACAGGAAAGGGGAAAAAGAGAAACACAGGAAATTGGGAAGCAGGGAAACAAAAGTCAGAGAATGGAGAGAAATGAAAAAGAGATGGGAAAACAAAAAGAATAAGAAGGATCAAAAGTCGAGGGTAATAAAGGAAGGATATGCAAAAGTAGTGGACGGGATGTCAAAAAAAAAGTTTGGGAACTATGGTACAACTGAAAGGGAAGGGCAAGGAAAGATTGAGAGAAGAAAAAAAATCAAACTGGGGATTTAGGGTGAAGATGGCATTTGTTCATAAAGCTGGGTCACGAAACGACTGGCTAGGGCAGTCAAAGTTTCTGGGTGATTACTCAGTTGGTCACACTGTTGGTAGATAAGAGAGGCCTAATCATCACTAATCTTAGACATCGGTATTCCCAGTCTATCGATCGTCGCTGATAGACTATACATGGATAGAATGCTTACCTCACTTTTCGCCATCGATTGCAATCGTGTCTTTATCTTATCATGTGGCTCCACGGTGACTTTATCGGAAGCACTACCCGTCAGCGCACTTCGTTCAACTTTCCAATCTTGCCATGTCTTGTATGCCGCGGCCATGCCAATAGTCTTATCACTGTATTTTTTTTCGTGTCCATAGTAATTAATATTGACATTTTCATTTACACACTGGATCGATGTCGCCATGGCAATAAAAATAAAAATAAAGCGACACGAGCAGCGTGGTTATGTGTTACTTGCCTAAGATGCGGATTTTTTTCAAGGTACACCATTTGATGACATTCTTTGAACGCATTCACCGATAAAGATGATAACGAGCTTTGAGATCCTCGCTTGGCCGGCGTAAGCGCGTTGGTAAAATTGGATTCACCCAACGGATCAGTGGGCATGGGACTGGTGGAATCCGTTGTCGCATGCTTGGCCGTTAAAAGTACGTCCGCCGACAAGGAAATGGAGGCATCCGAGGAAGATACAAACGTCCAGCGTTGGTTATCATTGTCGAAGGGTTGATACGGGAACAGAATGAGTTTGGAGGGGTCCTCGTTGAACTGGATGTCGAGAACCCAATCATCGTTACAAATGGAGTAAATAGCGTAGCCGGGATGAGATTCGCCAATGTTGGTAGCCATTTTACGAACACCCCACAGCTGATTATGAGCTTCTGCCACCGATTTTTCGGTATACAAACAAATTTCGGTGTCCTCAATTAATCTTAGCCGGCCTAGAATCGCATTGTTATTATTCGCATAAATCACAAAAACGGCGTTTTGGGAAATTGAGAAGAACTTGTACCTTTGCGAATATCAAGCACCATGCCTGTGGCTTTATTCTTGATAAATTGACCTTCCCAACGCCATAATTCATGGTCGGTATGCTTTGGTGGCAACACGTAAACTTGAGAACGAAGAGCATCAGGGGTGGTGGTAGCGGAGATTACTTTGCCAGTGGCTAATGACTGAATATAAACCCATCCTTCCGGTAATTCTTGGATTGTCGCGACCATGACTTGAAAACTGTAGTTGTGAGCTGGAAAAAGGGAAGATGCACGGTAGGTGAACGAGAGGCCGGGAGATTTTTTTTATTCTTTTTTATTGTCTAAAAAAAGACTTGAATGGTATATGAACCAACCAAAAGAAAAAAGTAAAGGGCAGAAAGAATCAAGACAAGCCAAGAGGATTACTTTTTAAATAGGAACCCGCCCTATTGACCATTTTAGAATTTTGTGATCCACAGTTGAAAAGAAACCCAAAAAACAAAACGATTTACTATGCTGACCCCACTAACCCGGACGGGTAGTGCCTTATTTAGGTGTCCATTGACCACAAATGCTCAACGGGGTTTTCTGTCCGGAACCGGGCCATGGGACCTCAAAAAATTTCGCCTGTCTTTTCGTATGTTACCTATATCTTCGCACTGCTTTTCTTTGAGTCGTACACAGTGATTGGCTCCATCAGACGATCTTACCTTGCGCTACCTTTCGTTTTAATAGTCAATCTTTCATCACCCTTGTCGCTATTATTGACCTATGCTCGGGGCCCTTTTCGTCCCCCGAATTTTGCTATATCTTCGAAACCTTCTTCCTCCCCCACCCCCAACGCCTTATTTTTAAACTGATGCTATCTGTGTCATCCAACTTCCGCATGGGCAAAAAAAAAGCCTTGTCATTTCTTTTTCTAGACCTGTCTGTTTGTTTATTCCCGATCTCGGTCAAAGCGAACTTTGGTTCTCGTTGCACCGCACGGCCATTGCTAATTGATATACCAAACTTAAATCCGTCAAAAAAAGTGTGATTTATTTTTGGTATAGGCCCATCAAAATCTTTTTTTTTTCTTCTTCTTTCTAGATCAGTTTTTCAGATCGTCCAATTCACCTGTTTTTTCTTATTACATACGTGTTGATTAACACATTATGCAGATTAGCCTTTTGTTGTGAAAGAAAAGTTGATCGAAATTTTGGCTCTCCGCCACAACTATTGCAGCAGAAGTGGGTTCGGCTCAGTGAGCATAGTGAGTGCGCGCTACCGTACGACGGCCACATTTTCATATAGATAAACATGTGTTTCAATCCTCGTAAAATTCTGTGTTAATAGAGTAAATAGATTGAGCATCAAGTCCATTGGTTACCGGACATGAAGTAGACTGATGGCCATTGTACGTTCCTCAGGAACTTCCAAAAAAAAAAACGCTCGTTACGGTAAATTTTGAACCAGTCAGCAAAATGCATAGCCAGTCACGCCATGTGCCATTCCCATTTGAAAATCAAATATACTGCACCCCACCCGTTTGAGGACCACTTTCCTTGATTGTATTGTATAAAAGAAACAAGTGATTGCGTAGCTCCTTTTTTTTGTGACATACTACTTTTTTTCATTTGTTCACGAAACTTTCTTTTTTTCTGTGTGTGTATCATGTTGAACCCGACCCAACAACGGCCAGTTCGTATTGGATGTTACTCTGCCTTTTGGGGAGACTCAGCCGCGGCTGCTGTTCAGCTCGTCCAACATGAAGGTGCCAATCTCGATTATCTTGTGGCAGATTATCTGGCTGGTACGGTATATACCCACATCCACTTTTTTGTCTTTTTGGATATATTAAAAAAAAAGATTCTCTGACAAATTTAGCGGCATATCCGATGCTGTCATACTATACTGTATAGAAATTACAATGGGAATTTTGGCTGCCCGACGTAAACGCCGTATGATGCAAGGCAAAGAAGGCCGAGGGGTAGATTTCATCAACGAATTTCTAACCCTTGTCTTACGCCGAATCCTTCCGGACATTGCGAAGAACGGGACCAAAGTGATAACGAATGCGGGTGCCTTGGACCCGGTTGGATGCAAGCAAGCCATCGAAAAGCTTTTGAAAAAAATGGATATCACCGGCATCAAAGTCGCCGCCGTGATCGGAGACGACGTATTGACAGATAAAGAAACCGCTACGCTCGGCTCGTTCAAGGAAATTCACTCATTCTCTGCCATTTCTGCCGTGAACCATCACTTGGATGCCGACCGATTGCCGAATTTAGACGAGCCCATCGTGTCACTGAACGCATATTTGGGCTGCAAAGGCGTCGCCGCCGCCCTCGATGCAGGCGCTCATATCGTTGTAACGGGCCGTGTAGTCGATTCAGCCCTGGTGGTGGGACCTCTCATGCATGAATATCAATGGTCACCACAACAACCCAATTTTTACGACCTACTGGCGTCGGCTTCTTTGGCAGGTCATATCATCGAGTGTGGTTGCCAGTCCACCGGTGGCAATTTCACTGATTGGAGGCTGGCAGCCAATTCCCCTTACGGAGGCTATGCCAATATGGGCTATCCCATTATCGAATTCGATCGAAACGGCGATTTTATTGTCACCAAGCCCGAAAAAACGGGCGGCTTGGTCACACCGGCGACGGTCTCCGAACAAATGGTGTATGAAATTCTTGATCCGGCGCTTTACCTTTTACCGGATGTCATTCTTGATATGCGATTAGTCAAGCTTAGCCAAATCGGTCATAATCGTGTCCTTGTTCAAGGCGCTAAAGGTAGTCAACCCACCCCCTGGTTAAAATGTTCTGGTATCTTTATCGATGGCTGGAAACTCAGCGGCGAATTGCTTATCGGCGGTTTCGAAGCCAAACAAAAGGTACTGTAAAAACAGACAAAAGAAAGAACAAAAAAGGGAAAAGCAATCCGTGCTTTGGCTGAACTAAAAAAATTGATTGCATTAGGCGATTGCTGTGGGTGAAGCCATCATCCAACGTGTGCGTGGCATGTATAAAGAACTGGGTATCGACGATTTTCGCAATGTCAATATTGAACCTTTGGGTGCCGAAGTACTTTATGGGTAAGCAACATTCACTTGGTGCAATCACGATCTAGATTATGCATAATGAACATCGTTTGATTGATTTTATCCCAGCCCCAACGCGTCTGCTAACCATCAAGCTCGTGAAATTGTGTTGCGACTGACGGCTCACCATGATGATCCAAAAGCCCTGGGCCTATTTGCCATGGAAATGATTCCTGTAAGTTTAATAATCATTTTCGTACCCGATCTGCGTCCCTGCGTGAAACAAATCTTGCGGTTCGGTTGCTAGCCAACTGTGTATGCTGAGTTGATCGTGGCTAATGATGTTTTCATAGTCGGCTACTTGTATGGCACCTGGTATCACTGGCAGTGGCACCGGTCGACCCAAGTCTATTCCTAATTTGGTACATTTCCCTTGTCTTTTACCTAAAAATGAAGTGCGTACCGGCGTGGTGGTTGGCGATGGGGCCACGCAGTGGGTCGAATGGGATGCATGGGATCTTCACGAGAGCTTTGGCAAGCCTGTTTTCGTGCCTACCATTCCTGATGTGAACCTCGATGCCGCGGGACCTTTGGTGAAGACCAAGCTGATTAATGTAGCCTATGGTCGAAGCGGTGATAAAGGCGATGTATGCAATGTCGGAATCATTGCCCGGGACCCCAAATTCTTGCCATTTATCAAGCGGTCGCTCCAGGAGAAGGTAGTCGCTGATTACATGAAGCATTTATGCAAAGGTACCGTCACACGTTTTGAGCTACCTGGATCGAATGCTTTGAACTTCGTCTTGACACGGTCCTTGGGTAAGAAAGTCGTCCTAATTTTTTCCACCACATGTTGCTAACCCATTCTGATGGCATATCCAATTGCAGGTGGAGGAGGACTTAGTTCGCTTATCATCGATCGCCAGGGAAAGACATTCGCTCAATTGTTATTGAGCGGTCTGGATGTCGAAGTTCCCGCGCAGATGGTGCCAGCGGATGCCAAACTTTAGGGCACTACGTTTATACCATTCTTCAAAAATAGCTATTTCCATGGATTTCCATGGCCTTCATTTCAAATTGTTGAAATAAGCATGTATCACAAATGGTTGATATTGTTGATTCTTCCACTGAAACGCGCTTCTTGAAAGTTTGTAGGGCTCTCTATCCAATTTTTTTTTCCGTTTTCTCACGTCTACTGCTGGCAATTGTTTTGTGATACGTAAAGTTGATTTTCCTTGTTTTGTTCAATAAAAAAGATTGGTCTTCCGTATTTGAGAATAAAAAAGTGTCCCCATTTTGTACCACACTGCCACCGTGGCACGCATTAAATAGGTCGCTTAGCCAAATAATATACAAAAAATGAGCTGATATGCAAACACTGCAGTTGTTTTTATATTTTTATTCACTCGCACTCCGATGTCAAACCAGCTTATGCTTTATGTTTTTTCATGTTAAACTTTTTGTTTGTCATCCCATGCACTTATACTCCCCGCTTTTGGCAGTTAGACCAACACCCCCAGGAGGTGCCCGCAGCAGATTCACATTGGATGGGAATGTTACGCAAAAAGAACAGACTGTATTAGCTGATCACCTTATGAAACGTTTCTCTTTACTATTGTCACGGCTTCAGCGAACAAAAAAAAAAAAAAAGACCGCCGCAGAGGAATAAAAAAAGATGCATGAGAAAGCGGAAAAACGCTTCACAAAGGATCCGCGACTTAAACTCCGCCAGTTTTTGTTTCCTACAAGAACGAACGACGGACGCGAAATTCAACCAAATCCGTGCTATTGGCTTTTTGTATATCTTATATCTGCTTTGTAAAATGATATACAATTCATTGGTTTCACAATCTTGTCTGAAAACGAAGGGAGGACGGGAACATTTATTGTTTATTCAAGGAATTCCCGCTTCCCAAGGAAAAGGATCGACTTAAAATGAGACACACAACGTCCAACAAATTAAAATATTTGTGTTAAACTATATCCGTTTACAATGTCATTGAACCAAGATCGTCACTCGTTAGAGAAAGATTATGTTTTTTTTTTCTTTTTCCAATGTCACCACAGCGTCACATCCCCTGGGTTACACAATGTCTTGCCTTTAATATGGTACGCTGGCGTGGCGTTAGGTATTGACACATAAACATCAGGATTGATCAATAAAGTAATAATAGGAAGAACAGAAAGAATATAAATGTATGCGATCAGTATCAGCCAAAAAATGGTTCGCAGGTTTTGGAAAAAGTAAGAGAAAAAAAAGTCTATCTATAAAATACATCCCTGAAGAAAACGTCGTTATTATGATGCATGTTGTTTTTCTTTCTCATCTGGTGCAAGAGACATATTGTTAAGCAAAGACTGTACCACTATATTAGATCGAGTTAGCATTTCAAGAAAAAGGGAACGTCGTGATGATCAGAGCTTACGGTTCGTTTCATCGGTCGAAGAATGGTGAGGTGCAAATAATGAAGGGTAGTCTGTAACATGATGATGCGCAGATTCTGTTGCCGACAGTGGCTGTTGTGCTACGATGGTGGAGGAGATGGAGGACGAAGGAGACAGAGAATAGGTTGCCGAGGGATACAAAAGAGGGGTGGATTGATTGGGGGTATGGACAGAAAAGTTGGAAGATTTGGATGTCAAGATATGAGTGGAGGGTAATGTAGCTGCTTTGATAGGCGTGGTATCGTCGTGGCGTCGAAGAGACGATGCGGAAGCGCTGTTCCGCATATCATGATTCCGAAGTGTTTCCGGCATCGATTTGCTTGAATGCATTGAACTATTGCTTCCTGTCGAGGTCGAAGATTTCGGATACACATAATGATGATAATCGGTGGATGTCGACTTGTTCAGACTGTTTCGCAAAGAGTATGGATAAAATCCCGAGCTTTGATCAATGCCATAGGGCTACATTCAACCCAATGTTAGTCAACATTATATACTTTCCGTAAATCAAAGACACAAGAAAGACGTTTATATTACCATGCTAGGCATTTTCCCGCCATCTATATTTAGAGGAGACGACACGGTTGGCGTGGACGAAAAAGAGCTATTCATGAATGCTACTTGCGGCGTATTCATCCATATATCTGTACCGGTGCTCGAGGGTATATGGCTCATCATGGGCGTGTTTCGAAATTTATACGTGGATGGACTCATCGGCATGCTCAGATGACCACTTGAAAATCCACCTTCTTCGCTGGAACGCTGGTCCATCGGTGAATCAAAAATCGCTCGAATATTGTCGGCTGCTCGAGTGTTCATATCACGGAAACTTTTCCAAGATGCGTCAAATGGCGTCCCACCCGCAGACGAATAGTTAAACAGCGAATAACTGGGATAGCCCGGTAACTGAGTGTGTTGGAAACCAGGAGGTGGCGATGGCAGGTCTTGAAAATGAACGAAATTTGCAAGGTAAATATTAACAAGACATCAATATAGGCGCTACCTATTTCTGAAGTCATGGTTCTGTCACTTACCGGCAGGTCCAACGGTGGGCAATACTTTGCTGCTGAAATGACTGAAACTGTCTGGAATAGAACTCGTACTGGCACTGGATCGTTTACTGGTCGTGCTGGTGGAGGAAGCGACTCCTAGTTTGGCGGCCGGTTCATCGTATAAAGGTACTTGATGCGCCCCGAGGAACGCAACAAGAATATCGAGCGCGGCTGGTAGACTATCAATGTTGGCTTTGGTCATTTTCAGACATAATACCGCATCTGTGGTATCGCATGCAACCGATGGGGCAAGCATAGGCGGTGCATCGGCCAATGTCGCGGAAGGTGGGGGACTCGACAGTAGCGGTTGCTGATTGGACAATGTGGGAGAAAGAACTGACATGGGTTGATCCGACGAATTGGAGGAGGTCGAAGAAGGTGAAGACGGACCCACCTCCAATACAATGTCCAGTTCCTTGCGCAACCGATCCACGACTAAAGTTCTAAATGCGTCAAACACGAGGACAGAATTCAGGGCAGGGCTCTCTGGAACATGGAAGTGATATTCTTCGGGGATCACACTGCGTACAAGATGCATGGCCGTATCAATCTGGGTTTCCGGTCCCATTAACGTGACAGCGTCGCTAGCGAGTTCGTGATCGGGCCACAAAAGCCTGGTATTTGTCTTTCTGGTAAGCTGAACAAAGTGATCTTGATGATTGTGGACTAGGATCCGATGATGCCGGAAAGGGATTTCGATGGATCGCGTGACAAAATCTTTATCCTTGGGACTGATGAGTTCCATGACGGCATGCCGTAGATTGTCGAGATTGATCTGATTTTTCATAGGTGTACGAGCAACCACGTTGTCGTCATTATCGTAGTATCCACCAAGGGAAGCAAATTCTTCCGCATTTGAAAATTTGACATAGACACCGTATTTCTTCATGATGCGTTGGATGTTTTTGCCCCCCACTCCGATGATGCGCTTATGGTACGATTCAGGTACATAAAAAGAGATTTCGGCGGGCAATTCTTCTTGCAACAAGGTCAAACCATCCAAGGCTTTGGTGAAACTGGCGCTTTCCACCTCGATGATGAAATTGTATTCACTAAAAGGCAAAAACTTGATTTTGGCGCCGGAGGTCTTTATAATCTTGTTGATTTTGCCATTCTTCTTCCCGCTGATGAATTCGCGCTGATCGTTGGATAACTCAACATTAAACACGGTGTCTTGATGAAATATCTACATTGCGATCATCACACAAAAGAAATATTAGTATCACCCGTCAAAAATGGAGGTGGTGGTAGTTGAAAAAAAGGAGTCAAACAGGTAAAGGAACAATGAGTAAACTCCGCCAAAGACAAATAGAAAGAAAGCGTGCTTGTGCTACCTTTAAAAACGTCATTTCATGTAAGTGTTGATATACATTGCGGACCGCACGTTCTGTTCCAAGAATTTCCATGGAGGCCGTTTCCATGTTATAGGTTACTTCAGCTCCGGAGATAGCGGACAGTTGCGATACAAGGCTTGCCACGCTGGTAATTGAATTGAGACCAGTCTCCGTGCCTTGAGAACCATAAATTGCATTATCACAGCAACTAAAATAAAAGCACGCTTCGTAGATGCTGCAAGCCTAAGGCACCATAATGCGAATAAAAAACAAAGACCCCGAAAAGTTAGGTGCTATGATGACAGACCACGAGAAATGATGTAACATTACCAAATAATTCAACAGACGCAAAGTTCGTTCAGCGTTAACACGGTTTTCCGCATAGACCACCACCGTGCCACTATTGGCCCCCAAAGCGGGAAATTCAATGAAAGAGCCTAACGAGAATGTCAACCATCAAAATGAGCAAAAAAGATGACGTGAATGATCTGTAGCAACTAGTGGGAAGGCGTACCATTGTCATGCATGATACGACGTAGATCATCTCGTCGATGGACAAGCATCCAATCCAATTTCCGCGCTTGCAAGGTAGCCTCTTTATGGTACATGGATTTTGCCTAAAGAAACCGTATTAATTAAACAGACGCAGCAAGCCATGGAAATTTTGAGTTCCAACCTTTTGGACGGCTAATTTATTCAACATTTCTTTCACACGAGCGATATTGTTGTGATCACCAGAGATGTAAATGGCTGAACCATGCTTGGTATCACTGTCGTTGTCGACAAAATCAGTAAAAGGAGACGGAAAATAAATGTTGGTGGATGTTTCTTCAATGATAGGTTGGAGGCAGACGCGTTTCTTGCCGCAAATGAGATTGTGAAGTTCGAGTGGAATATGCAACGTATCCGAATCAAGGTGAGACTATAGCGGAAATAAACCGTTATGAATAAATCAAACAAAAGAATGATTATTCGAATACACGTCAATAAAAATCGAGGAGGGAGGAAAACGATGGCGTACCAATTTATCTAACAAAACGAGAAAACGGATACGAGCATGGTCGGCTTTGGCGGGTGTACCAGTAATTACGATAGAAACGCGATTTTGGGCAACGAACGAAGACCGATTGGCAAACGTAGGTGGGACGATAGCGATCTCTGTTTGTGATTCTTCTTGGATCTTTTCGCACTCGGTACGCAGTACGTCAATGTTGGGGCAATCGATGGCCGGTAAGCTGAGATTGATATTGATCTAACAAGAAAGAATCGAAGAAACGCGAAAAAAAAGAAGTCGAGGTCGAGGGAAGCAAAGCGTTGGAAAAAAAAAAGTGAATAACATAAAGTGAGACGGACTGACATGAGCAAGCAACACAACACCAGCCAACAGATCTAAAAAGGGAGGAGGTCGATTGTACCTTGATAGGACATTGCTGAAGCAATTCGAGGCGACTTGCCATGACATTCCGAATGGGACCTGTCATGGTGAGGTTGTAAACGGTGGGAGAGTCTACGAGGGAAGAATGTGGCTTAAAGGAAGGTAACGATGTCTCGGGTGCTGCGGCTATTGATATCTGGCAGCAGTGACGGTTCATGACATTTCTGCAGGTATCAGCTAAAACGGCTTGTTGGCTGTGCGAGGAATCATGATAAATGCTATACTGCCCAGACTCGAGAGGACAATAACGAAAAGAATAAGCGGCGGTCTGGGCCATCGTTATCAATGTGGTATCTTTGAAAGAAAGGAAGGAACGAAAAAAAAGAAAAAAACAAGAAAGACGAACGCGAATGCAAGAAATAAAAAAAAAAGAAGAGAAAAAAGCGACGTAATTAAAAGAGCATAAAGGAAGAAAAACCCGAAAAATCCTTCAGCGAGAGGTGAAAAATAAAAAAAAAGTCAGGTCAAAAGAAGACCTTTTTTTTTTCCATTGCCGAGGGCGAACTGACAGCGGGAAACACGGTTTTTTTAAGAGTGCTTCAAGTGTCATTTAAAAAATGCTTTTTTCTCTGTTTGGCGCTTTTTCAATGATGAAGCATTTTTTGATCCCACAAGGAAACATGCAGAGTTATGAATCATCATCGCACTTTTTGACAAGGATCATACCAGTGTCGTAATGTGGAGCCATAACCTTTTTTTTTTCGGGAGTACGCGTCATGAATAAAAAAAAATGTTTTCCGGCTTGGGCCAACCGTTTTGACGTTGAAAAGGGTCCCTTGCAAGGTGATCATGGTAAATCATTGGCTATGTTTCGAATACATGGTGGAGTCTGGATTCCATTTTCGTCGGGCGCTGTTCTCTTTTTGGGATGACAAGGACGTACAGATAGGGCAGAGGCACATGAAAATGTCAATAAGGACTTTTTGATCGTTGGGATCAAGGCAACAAATAATCATCACATTCCATATTTGTCTATAACCCGAATTCAACCGGCTTTCCAAAATGCACAAATCCCTTGAGCGCAGCTCGAAAGAAATGAATGCAGAAAAACAAGAAAAAAAGAAAAAGATGATTCGGATCTCAATGACTCTGGCGGAACCAAGCGTTCAATCGGATGGGACGATTCACCGTCACAGTTTGTCCGAGCTGTATCAGTTCCGGACAGCGTTAGGTCCGGACATGAATTCGAACGGTTTCTTCAGCATTCCATTTGGACTGTCTTCTGTTCAATAGGAAAGTTTTTTTCCCTGCTTACTTTGAAAGCGAGTAAGGGAGTGAATACCTGACATTGGTCAAGTTTTTTCAATCCAAATTTTTTTGTTGTTTTTTTATAAGACTAAGCACTTCGGATCCCGCTATTCCTCCCTCCCCTTTTTTTTTCATCCTTTTTTTTTCTTCTTCTTGCGTAATAAACCGGTATCATGGTCCGCGAAACGAAGTTCTACGACGTCCTTGGTGTCAGCCCTGATGCTTCCGATAGTGAGCTCAAGAAGGCTTACAGAAAGCTTGCTTTGAAATATCATCCTGATAAAGTATGTAGCTTTCTTTACTCAAGTTCTTTATGTCCAGTTCATCTGAAATTGTCGCAATGTTGGATCCTTTGTTGATTGATGACTAATACCTCCTTCTCTTTTTCTTCTTAGAATCCTGAAGCTGGTGACAAGTTCAAGGAAATCTCCCATGCTTACGAAATTTTGTCCGATGGAGAGAAACGTCAGTTATACGATCAGTTTGGTGAAGAAGGACTCAACGGTCAAGGTGGCATGGGAGGCATGGATGCTGAAGATCTGTTCTCTCAACTGTTCGGTGGAGGACTTTTCGGTGGAGGTGGCCGTGGTCGTCCTTCAGGACCTCGCCGTGGAAAGGACATGGTTCACCATTTGAAGGTGTCCCTCGAGGATTTATACAAGGGCAAGACCAGCAAACTTGCCTTGCAAAAGCACATCCTTTGCCCAAAGTGCGATGGTAAGGGTGGCAAGGAAGGTGCCGTTCAAACTTGTCGATCTTGTAACGGTCAAGGTGTCCGTGTCATTATGCGTCAAATGGGTCCCATGGTCCAGCAAATTCAACAACCCTGTCCCGACTGTCGTGGTGAGGGTGAAATCATCAATGACAAGGATCGTTGCAAGAACTGTAACGGAAAGAAGATTATTGGTGAGAAGAAGATTCTGGAAGTTCACATCGATAAGGGTATGCAGGACGGTCAAAAGATCGTCTTCTCCGGCGAAGGTGATCAAGCTCCCAACATCTTGCCCGGTGACATTATCATCGCTATTGAAGAGAAGCCTCATCCTGTTTTCCAACGCAAGGGTGACGATTTGATTTATGAAGCCAAGATTGATCTCCTTACAGCCCTGGCTGGCGGCCAATTCAGTATACCCCATTTGGATGACCGTGTTCTCCTTGTCACTGTTTTGCCCGGCGAAGCCATCCAACCTGATATGGTCAAGGTCATTCCCAACGAAGGTATGCCCGCTTACCGTCATCACAACCACGGCAACTTGTTTGTCAAATTCAAGGTCGAGTTCCCCCCACCCAAGTGGGCCGACGACGAAACCATTGCTAAGCTCGATACCATTTTGCCTCCTCGACCTGCTTTGCCCTCTTTCGGTGACAGACACGTTGATGAAGTGGTGATGGCAGAAGCGGATAGCTACCAATCACAAAAGGCACACGGTCACATTCACGAAGATGATGATGACGAGGAAGGCCGAGGCGGTCCTGGCGTCCAATGTGCTCAGCAGTAAAATAGTTGGAAACCCAAAGAGCAAAATTTCACCAACCCAAAAACAAACGACAATATCCATTCGACACATGCCGTAGAATTTTTTTTCTTTTCATCTTTATTAAAAGGATTACATTTAGGAAAAACAAAAGGGAAACAAGATGATTTGATTATTCGTATTTAAGCAAATGAAAACTGAGAAATATAAGCGATCGACTCTAAAAAGGTTAAAGAAAAAAACATGGTGTTTGTACAGATAAACTTCAATAAAGTGGAAAAGCCAGTATTTGTCTATCATTTTCTTTTTATTATTCAACAGCAACAGGACAGCGGACATAGCACTTCAAAGTAGCCGATAAAAATAAGGAGTCCCGCATCACAGAGCCATCAAGCTGAAACAAGTCCAGGAAAACAAATGATTATACAATCCAGTTGGTCCGAAACACATGCTTTTGTATAAAGGTTTGGAACAAAAACTCAGGCCAAAAAGTAAGCTCTCTTTTTCAAATACTCCAGCAATCATTACTTCAACATCAGTTACTATGTTGTTGTCATGCTTTTGTTCACATGAGGTCTCGCATTCTTTCCAGAATACAACATACAATATTGCTGTTGTAAGGTTAGTAGATCACATCGATCAACAAACGTCATTTAATTTTCTTTTTACAAAACATAAGTCATCGCCTAGTCGTTATTTCTAAGTCAATGCTGCAGCCTAATAATTCTTGTGTCAGCATATGGCCATACTTGTCTACATGCCACTACAACCTACCTTTTGATACAAACTGGAGATCACCTTGTCGACTTGTTTCAGCGTATCGATGGCCGATTCATAAGTTTTCTGAATAGACAAGAAATTTTTACATGAGCACATTTGAATACAGTCATACCCTCATGGTCCGTGTCCTTACATCTTCTTCGGGTTCGTCAAATACGATCAAGCATCCGGCTCCTTGATCGAGAATACCATGGAATGCCTTGTCCAAAATCATCTGCGATAATCTATTGTTTGATAATAAAGGAAAGTGAGATGGGATTTCTTTCAATACTAAAAACATGCAGCTTACTTTGCTTCGACTTGTTGTGTGGGCAATTTCACCATATCGGCAATGTGCGAGATCTCTACACGCGAAAACGGTTCAATGATACGAACCAAGTTTTGCTCAAGTAAAGTATCATAGAGAGCAGCCAACTGTGTTCGAATGATAGGATCATTGTTCAGTTCTAAGCAGAAAAAAAAAGTTAGCGTTCCATTGATGAGTCGTCTATTGAATCTTGCTTTTTTTTTTTTTTTTTTGTTCGTACCATTTGTGTACGTAGCAAGCGCCGTTTCGAATTCCTGAAGATTTCGATTCTGATGTGCTGTGGCAACGGCCTTCATCGCCTCAATTTCGGGACCGGCATACTTTAAAGCCACTTTACCACCAATGATGGCATGGACATCATCGGTCTATCACCTATCGTAAATACTCCATTCCAGATTCATCGCGATCGATGAATTCGCACTTACCAAGTTGAGCATGATCTTGCAAAGTAACATATACTTTAAAGCCAATACAGCCTTGGCATCTTCTTGGCTGGAGTAGCCTTCAAAGGTTTCAAAAAAGTAGGAATACGCCGTCTTGTAGTCTTTTTCTTCAGCGTGTAAGATACCCGATTGCATATCGAGTGCGGCTTGCAATAGAGGAGGACAGTAGATGGAATTGGCAGATGTACGTGCCGAAGTCAACGCAGCCTACATCAGTTTTAGTATCCACCAGTAAACAAAAGATCCACTTGTACTTACGCGAGCCTTGGGAATATTTCGCAGGGCATGGCAGACGCGACTTTCGAGTAACTGAACTTCCACAAGCATCATCTTATCATCCAATCGTTTCAATTCTTTCAAAAGCTGCGAAATCAAATTCAACGATTCGTGGTACATCTTGTTGTCGAGGTACAGAGCCACCAAACGTGTCTCCAGTGATTGCTTCAAGAAGATGCGTTTTTCTTGTACACACCACTCAATGTTCTCTTTGCAAACTTCAATCTGAAGTGGCAGGCAGTTTGGTATTTCACTAAACATATCGACAAGTGTTCGAACTGATGAAATAGAAATATTAATACACTTAATACCTCAATTTTCTAAAAGCTATCGTAATACATACTGAGTTTGGCCGTCTTTGCTTTGGCGATCGATGACATGAATGCACGCGAGGAACGGAACAATTCCGCTAATTCTTGCGGTAATCTGCGTAAAATGCCAGTCTAGTGAGTGATCCCTATCCGCAGCTAATCTAATAAGATTATAAAAGGCAGAAAAATGCTTACTGAAGATCTCTGTAGAGTTCTCCCAGGTGAATGATTGCCAATTCTTGCTCTCGAAGTTCCTCCTCGCCCTGGGTTTGCTGTGCGAGAATAGCCTTGTATGCATTCAAGGCTTGGTCGTATTGTTTCGACTTTTTGAGTTCTTCGGCATGCTTCAGACGTTCAGTCCATGCCGAGGAAGACGAAGGGATGGTGCTAATCATGATGTGGTGCTGGAGATAAACAGTTGCCAATGAATGCCAATGTGGAGCTCCCCAAATACGAACTGCCTTTGAAAATTACGGAAAGGATTACGTGTCTTTTCGCTGTCACGGTGATGATGACGACTATTTCGAATTGCGACAGCACAAACGCGAACCCGACGACCGCCTTACTGAATTCCATACTCTTTTTGCTTTTTTTAACATATCATGTCCTTGCCATCTGACGAAAACGAAATCCCCAAGATCCCTGACCTTTATCTCGCTGTAAATATGATTAACCATAGTTGTTTTTACTCAATGTCGCTCATGCCCAGTTTGATAGCATCACCGCTTCATTGTGAATCAAGGACCTTCCGAATGGAAGGAAGAGTCTAAAAAAGAGCTGTTGAAGGCCATTGAAGAGAAGAGTAAGTTGCAACCTATATCTGTTGTTGGATTGCTGACAGTGCACTCATCGTTTGCATCAGATATGGCTCCTTTCTATAAGATTATCGTCGACGAATTCAGTATCCCTTTTGATCAGCAGTTATACACTCGCATGGAAGCGGCAAACACTGAAGCATTACAAAAATTCGACGAGAAAGTGACTGACGCCGAGCAGAATCAGGGTGAAACTGAAGTAAACGAAGCTTTACTGGGCAAAGCAGACTACTACGCCACCATTGGTGACAAGGTACGATTTTTTTTTCTTGGAAAGAAACGTCGATGTGATGAAAATGCCAACAAATGATGTTCTTGTAGGACAAAGCGTTGGCTCAATATAACGAACTTCTTGCCAAGTCCATCACGCTTGGTACACGCATCGATATCGTGTTTGCCCTTGTGCGTATCGGATTTTTCTTTGGCGATGACAACCTTGTGCGATCAAATATCGATAAATTAAAGGAGTTGATCGAACAAGGCGGTGACTGGGATCGTCGTAATCGATTGAAGGCTTACGAAGGTGTTTATCTGATGTCTATCCGCGACTTCAAAGGCGCCGCTCAATTGTTCATCGACACATTGAGCACATTCACAAGCACAGAAATGATGTCTTACCAAGACTTTGTCAAATACGCCGTTTTAACCAGCTTAATCAGTATGCAACGGGTGGATATTAAGAAAAAGGTAAGCTCGGCCCTCCTTTGGTATGATTTAGTGAAGGTAACTATATTTGCTCACTGTGTTGCTTTGCTTTTAGGTGTTGGATGCTCCCGAGATTTTGGAAGTCATTTCGGATATTCCTCATTTGGAAGATTACATGACCAGCTTATATAACTGCAACTATGCTCAATTCTTCCGCGCATTAGGTAAATTCTACTGTTTTGTCTTTCTCGTAGCAGGGCGTTTGACTGACAGTAACGATGGTTGGACATTGTAGCTGATGTGGAACAAACTCATTTACGCACATCCCGTTATCTCTATCCTCATATGCGCTACTATGTACGAGAAATGCGTATCGTGGCCTATGCACAGCTGTTGGAAAGTTACCGATCTCTCACCCTTGCCAGCATGGCACAGGCGTTTGGTGTTACAGAAGATTACATTGACCGGTAAAAGCGATAAAAAATGCAGATCATGTTCATAAGCGCTGTAACTAACATTGATATTTTTTGTCGCACCATTTCAGGGAATTATACAAGTTCATTGCAGCAGGACGCCTCAACTGTGTGATTGATAAGGTGAACGGTGTCATTGAGACCAACCGCCCTGATGCCAAGAATGCACAATATCAGACAGTGATCAAACAGGGCGATTTGTTACTGAATAGAGTTCAAAAGTTGAGCAGAGTCATCGATGTCTAAATCAGCTAAATAAACAGCATGTTTACCTTCTTTTTAGTCTCAATTATTTCAATAACCATCGATTCCAAGTTTGGAATCGTTCAATCCCACAGGCACGTCATGACCAAATGGGAAAAAGCCAAAGGCGGTGTGCTTAGTCGGTGTTTTAAATAGGCAACCCCCCGGTCTTTTGTGGAGGATCCCCCTTTTTTCTTTTTTTTTTTTCTCTTCCTTCACTCATTCCTCTTTCTTCATTCATCATGTTGCGATCCTTGACAGCGAACTCTCAACTCAAATCGGCGGCTGCCCGTCAAACCCGCTTGTTCAGCTCGGCCGCTGCTGCCTTGGTATGTTCCCTGTTCTTCAAAAACTAAAAGTCCCCACTGCCCGAAACTTTATGCCAATACCCGTTTTTGTCCAACTATAGCAAAAGTTCCGTGCCGAGCGCGACACTTTCGGTGACTTGCAGGTCCCTGCTGACAGATATTGGGGCGCTCAGACTCAAAGGTAATGTTATTATACTCCCGACCGGCTTCCTTCATCGCCTGTCTCAATCAACGAATGCCGCCGTGGCAGACTCAAGAGTTAACGCGACGTTTCTAGATCGCTTCAAAACTTTGATATTGGTGGTCCCCGTGAGCGTATGCCCGAGCCACTTATCAAGGCTTTCGGTGTGTTGAAGAAGGCCGCTGCTACCGTCAACATGACCTACGGCTTGGATCCCAAGGTCGGTGAAGCTATTCAGAAGGCTGCGGATGAGGTAAGTCAGTGAGGGGAAGAACGAACTTCGTTGCGATACGTGTTCCTCACGACACTTATTGTTATTCTCGATACCATCTTTCACCAGGTGATTGACGGTACTTTGCTCGACCACTTCCCCCTTGTTGTCTGGCAAACGGGTTCTGGCACCCAAACCAAGTAAGTTGTGACTTGTGTTCCATGGTCGTTGCATGATTTGATTGCTCATCATCACAAAAAAAATTTCCCGCGTTTGTGTAGCATGAACGTGAATGAGGTACGTGTAACAATAGATAAACAAAGATTTCATACACAATTTCGCTAATTTTGGAATATAGGTCATTTCCAACCGTGCCATCGAAATGCTCGGTGGTGAACTCGGCAGCAAGAACCCCGTTCATCCCAACGACCATGTCAACATGAGTCAGTCTTCCAACGATACGTAAGTGTGCATTAAATAAGAAATAATGGCGATCGAATCGAGAAATTTATAGACAGTGAAACGGAGCACCCCGGGGGGAGTTCAGTGGACAATGAGAGGAACTCGTTGACTTATATATATTTTTCCATAGGTTCCCTACTGCTATGCATGTTGCGGCTGTTGTTGAAATCAACCATCGTCTCGTTCCTGCTCTTACCCAGCTCCGTGATGCTCTCCAGAAGAAAGCTGATGAATTCAATCACATCATCAAGATCGGCCGCACTCACTTGCAGGATGCTACTCCTTTAACCCTTGGTCAGGAATTCTCTGGTTACGTTCAGCAATTGACCTATGGTATCCAGCGTGTCGAAGGTACCTTGGAACGTCTTTACAACTTGGCTCAGGGTGGTACTGCCGTTGGTACCGGTTTGAACACTCGCAAGGGTTTCGATTCCAAGATCGCTGATGCTATCGCTCAAATCACCGGTCTTCCCTTCAAGACTGCTCCCAACAAGTTTGAAGCCCTTGCTGCTCATGATGCTATTGTTGAAGCTCATGGTGCGCTGAACACTGTGGCCGTTTCGTTGATGAAGATTGCCAACGATATCCGTTTCCTCGGCTCCGGTCCTCGTTGTGGTTTGGGTGAACTTTCTCTCCCTGAAAACGAACCCGGTAGCTCGATCATGCCTGGTAAAGTGAACCCTACTCAGTGTGAAGCTATGACCATGGTCTGCGCTCAGGTGATGGGTAACAACACCACCGTCTCTATTGCTGGCTCCAACGGCCACTTTGAGGTATGTTTTATTTATGAAATGTTCATTTGTCAATGCAAACTATGATTTTAATCACGGAAATTGTGCGCTATTTTAGCTTAACGTGTTCAAGCCTGTGATGATCAAGAATTTGATCCAGTCTATTCGTCTTTTGTCCGATGCCTCTGTGTCTTTCACGAAGAACTGCGTTGTCGGTATCGAAGCTAATGAAAAGAAGATCAACGACATCATGAACGAAAGTTTGATGTTGGTGACTGCTCTGAACCCTCATATTGGCTATGATAATGCTGCCAAATGTGCCAAGAAGGCTCACAAGGAAGGCACTACCTTGAAGGAAGCTGCCATCTCTTTGGGCGTCTTGACCGAGGAACAATTCCAGCAATGGGTCCGTCCCGAAGACATGATCGGTCCTAAATAAGCAAGCATAGATTCATTTTTAAATATTCGCACTATTGTAGACGGTGACTCCCTTTCTCTCCCTTTAAGTTCGTATGCTCACTTTTTTTTTAAAAAAAAAAAATTGCTGTCCATGTATAATTGTATTGGTGCACTGCCCTATTCAGTCTCCAAAAACCAAACTTCACACCATCAAACTATTTTTCGCTGTAGTTCTTTCTCAGAATCGCAATATACCTCCACCGTAGAGCCGTAGAATTTCGTGCGCATCAAAAGAAAAGAAAGTTATCGAGCATGTAGAATCTGCCCTGCATCACAAAGTAGTAGAGTAGTTTCCGGATGACGATAGAAAGCGTTACACGTGCAACTGGATGCTGTCTGTGAAGCAGTGGTATAGGACATATCATGGAATAATCGAACTTTGACCGTCTGTATAAAATAATATAAGCAACGTCGCAACAATAAGATATCGCTGCACAATATATGAAGTAATTGGGTGGTTTATTTGTTGAATAATCTTGCTAGGGAGCTCTTGCCATCTTTGCTCAGAGAGGAGATAAGACTTGAATAGTATTTGGGATTGCTTGCAGGTGACAAGATTTTGTCCGACAAGGGATACTAAAAATAATCATATGAGCCAACGATCATACCTAATTGTCACAATGACAACACACCTTTAGCTTGAATTCATTATCCAGTAATCGTTCAAGTGCATCCAGCTGCTTTTTGGCTTTATCAATGTTGAAAACTTCAGTTTCACTCTGCAACGGTTGTCGAAAAGTCTCTTCCACTCGCTTGGCCAGCATCTGCTTCATGTCGCGATTAGGTCGTACTTTATCTGCTGGCCAATCCCGTACCAGGCGCAGGTAGGAACGGTAAAGAGCATGAATTTCCTGGCGTGGTATCTGCGACATGGTGATAGCGGAAGTGGATGAAGCCCGTTCGGCAGCACGGAGCACAAACTTGGGGACAGCTCCAACGGTTCCAAGGATAAGCCACCCGCACAGAAAATTCCCACCTTGTGCAGAAAAAAAAAGATGACAGGGCAGCACACCCCGCAACCGCAGTTCCTTTTTTACGCCCACCCATTCCACCTTATTTCCAATAAATCCATGTATACTTCTCTGTTGTCCTCTTTCCTGTACAAAAAGTCCTTTTGTGGCGAACCATAAACGGGAAAAACGCTGCAAATAGACTACTGCTGCGCTGACCCACTGGTACCACTTCAGTCTGACTTTTTTTACCATGCAAAAATCCCCGACGCACGATATAAGTTGGTTGACAGCAACATCCGTCGTTCCATTGCGCCTCTTTCACCCCCATGCGTTTTCACATTCTTGGAACCGGCGCCATCGGTTGCCATATAGCCTCGCAATTACGTCCGCATCATGAAGTCACTCTTCTTCTTCGCTCTCGACAGCATTGGCACGACTTTGAAAGTCGCAAAAGAACCATTAAATATGAACGTTCAGGAAAAACCACCCTGGTGCCTGACTTTGAAGCGACTGTCGCTGAAGATATTGGCGCCACATCCGATATTGACGCTCTTGTAGTGTCAACAAAGGCGCATCATACCGTCGACGCCTTGCGCCCTATTGTTCCTCGTTTGAAAGAAAGTAGCACCATCATTTTATTGCAAAATGGTATGGGAACAGCCGAAAAAGTAATTCACACGCTGTGGCCGAAAACATCTCCGCGGATCATGCTCGGAGTCAATCGACATGCGGTGCACAGAAAGGCACCGTTTGAGATTGCCCATTATTCTGGCTGGAATGATCATGAAGCACTTGTTCTCGGATACTACCCTACGAGCAACAAGCAAACATCAAGCGAAGTAGAAAACTCTTTTACCTCGATTCCTGATCTTAGCGCGGCTGTCTATCCCTGGGAGGAAATTCAAAGACGAATGCTGAAAAAATTGATCATCAATGCCAGTATCAATCCTGTGGCCACTCTTTTGGATGCGAAAAATGGCGCTTTGATATACGATAATCCATTTGCTGAATCTTTAATGCGTAAATTATGCCAAGAAGCCACCATGGTTTTCGGAAAGGATTTGCCCGGGGAAACGTTTGAATCTCTCTTCGACTCGGTCTGCAGCATCAGCCGATTGGCCGCTGAAAACGTCTGTTCTACCCTTCAGGACATCCGCGCCGGACGCCTTACTGAGGTGGATTATATTAACGGATACATTTGCAAGCGCGGTCAAGAACGGGGCATACCGACTCCCACCCATCAAGCTTTCGTCGAATTGGTCCATGCCAAAGAATGTGTGCTTGGTTTATAAAAATAAAAAAAAGACTGAACCCACATTTCATAAAGTAAATGCAGTCACGCGAAAAGCGAAAAACCATTCATTACCCGAATAAAGTTTCATGATCCTGCAGAAGAAAAAAAAAAATTGGATGAAGCAGTAAAAAAAAGGGCTTACCGCACCGTCTTTTAGCTTGTTTAATTGACAGGAATGAGTGAAACAGAAGATCCCCGACTGCCTGACAAGCATCGGTCTTCGGAACCGAAGGACATTGACAACGAACAAGACATTCAATCCACGCTATCCGCTGTTCAATCAAACGATGCCATCAAATTCATCAAAGGTCGCATCATCGCTACCAATCGTTTGCTGCGCACCCTTGAAACAGCTAAGAAGGGTAATCTTGAATTCTATTAAACGATAATAGCAGTATCACTGATAGTCTATCACGATCTGTATTAGAGTCGAGCGAAGATAAAGCTCGAATTGCCAGCTTGGTTGAAGAAGTGGCGGCGTTGAACCAGAGCAAGCTGGAACTCGAGAAGGAACTGACTACGGCGCGAATCGATCTTGGCCGCCTTCGTGAAACATCCATCAATGTCGAATCTCAGCTCTCGGCGCGTGTGCAAGAAGTAGAAGCGCAGCTAAAAAAGTCTACCGACCGCGAACGCCAAGTGGAACCAGTCAAACAAAATAACGGCAAGGAAGATGTAAGAGCAAATCGAGCAATACCTTACAAGCATTCAGTTCATTGATTTTATATGTTTTTAGTTTCTTGTTGTCCAGTTGAAGGCCAGAGTCGACGATTTGCAGGAGCAACTGAAAGAAAGCGAACAAAAGATTCGCAAGAGGTATGTATGCAAATAGTGGAACCATCTTGTTAAGCAGTTCCATTCACATCATTCAAAAAGAGCCAATGCCGCCGCTAAGAGCAAAGATGAGGAAATCGCACGGTTAAAACAGGAACTGGCCAAGAAAGAAAGCGAAGCGAAACGCGCCGGTGATGAGTTCATGGAAATCGAAGTTAAAAATATGATGCTCGAGAGCGATCTAACCGAAGCCAAGGAGGATTTGGAGGCAGCTCATAGCGAATTAAACACACTACGGGAGGAAATGCGTGTATTGAAGGAACACGAAAATATAACGAACGACCAAAATGACAACAATACTCATGAAGCACTTGTCGCAGCCCATCGAGAAATCACTGTGCTTCGAAACGAACTCGGCCATAGATACCAAGAAAACAAGAAACTGGCAGCCAAATTGGCGAAAAATGAAGATCACTTATCCAAACGCGATGCCATGGAAACCGATAACGATGTAAATAATGCAAACGGCCAAGTGCTGCACCTCCGCTCAAAAGATAGACGCTCTGTTACTCCTGCTGGTCAGGGCCAACAACACCTGATGAATGAACTGAGGCGGTTGATGGAAGAAAATGCCAAGCTTCATAAACAAAAGGTACTATTTAGATCACTTAATCATTGTGAGTGCTAATGACTCACTTCTTTTTTCACAATCTATAGCGTGTATTGCAAGAAAAATTAACCGAACAATTGGTGATTAATGCAGAATCCCAAGCAGCTTCACTTTCATTTCCAAGCTCGGTAAGTTGATGCTGTTTGCACCATAAAATGGGTCTCGTTATTAATTTAATTTATGGTAGTCGCCGTCCTACCTCGTTTCAGAAGGAAGGCGCATATCCTACGACAATGACTATGATAAGTCTTTTGATGCTGGCAGCGTCGATTTCCCCGCCTCAGTTTCTGACATCTCACGCACTTCATCTCGTTTCGAAGAAAATGGACCTAAATATGCTGTCTGCGATAAAACGCTCAAGCAGCAGTTGCACACTACACTTCCAGTGACCTCTTCACGACCTCAAACCGCGCGTAGCTCTCCTACACCGTCACCTTGCAGTCCTCTTCTTCAAAGCAATCCACCACCGGCTTTTAAACGAAGTCTTTCCATTGACACCAATCCCAGCACGTCCTCTGCTTCCAGTTCTTCTGCGCTTCCTGCCGTCTCTTCGCCTGCTACACAAACTACGCCATCCACAGGTGTGCCCACTACCGCCTCTACCAATACCCTCACCAAAACATCATCAGCAGCAGCGATGAATGCTTCGACAAAGGCACTTTTGCGCGATCAATCTATGGTCGTCCCGGAATCCAGTGTCACCGTGCCATCATCTTCAAAGATGACCAGAAAAGCCCGACCGTCAAAGCTGGAAAAGTTTGCAAAAGCCCGTTTACCGAGCAGCATGGCGTCTCTTAGCCGTAAACGTACAACACCCACTCCAGAGAAAGCATCCTCGGCCAGCGAAAAGAGAACGACTAAACGAGTGAAAATGACTCCAATTCCAGAATCCGAGTCTAAAATTGTCCCTAACACAGATACAGTGACTTGTAGGTATTGATTTTCTTGTTTTAGGGTTCGGGTAATGTAGGTCTTCTCAATTGACCCTCTTTTGTAGTGCTCAAGGCACGTATCGAAGAATTTGCAAAAGAAACGCCAGATTATATTTCCCAGCATTTCGATGAGATGAACGAATTAGCGAAAGACAAACTCGATTTGTTACTTGCATGTCTGGATGGCTTTTATCAATCACTCAAGAGCCACGGTAATCCTATCTCGAAGAACACAACCTTCACATATCTCCAATATGGTATAACGAATTACATGCTGACCTGTCCGACGTGGTGGGATCATCGAGAAAGGAACATTGCCTGGTTCTTGTATTTCTTGATTGCTAAATATGACAAGGTGACTAAACATGGAAAATTTGGTTCGATTGGCATAAATGGGAAAGAAGGGAAGGTCAATTAAAGAGGGGCAGACCGACCAATGGCAACTTTTTATTCTCCCGTTTGCTGACACACATGTTTTATAGCAGGATCTTTATGATAAAGTTTTGACATGGGCTATCGGAAAAGCCTTCTCTCACATCAAAGCGTCCAAAGTCAATTTGTCGTGGTAAGGTTGCCAGGTCAAAGTTTTTGTGCATTCCATTGTCTCACGCTTTCTTCCCTTCTTTATTATTCATCATAGTCGGTATGCGCGTCTCATATCTGTGCTTTGTAGAACAACAAACGATTTACAACGATTGCGATGCTTCTGCTATGATCTATGTCGCACTATGCCTTTGGAATCAAATGTTCTTACGACCACACTCAATGTGGCTCTTGTATGTCCTATTATCTTGTCACTCCATAAACCACCCGAAGTGAATGCTGCAGGTGAGTTATGAGTTCGATGCAATTCGCTCCGAGAAACGAACAACACGCACAATTAGCTCACTCTTTCCTCGACGTATTAGGTACCGATCTGGTTATCAAAACGCTCGAAAGTGTCATGGCAAGGAAAACCGTAACTGAACCAGTAAGTTGTCGTATTCCGCGATCAAGACGCATCGTTTAACGCTTAATTTTATCCTAGTTGAAGAATATATACCGAACGCTTTCTAATATTCTTGGCTGGCGATCCCTGGAACAAGTGCCACCGCTTGAGAATGTCATCAAAGAATTTGCGACGCTTTTCCAAATTGAAGACTTTAAAGTCCTGAGTACTCTCAATCCAGGTAAAACACTATTGCTTGTGCGATTGAAATTTTCATCAAACTCACAACGATGGTATCTTTTAGCGGCTTTTGAAGATTTGCGATTCAATCTCGTGAAATCCCTGGAATTGGCATTCTATCACATGACGCACTGGAACATCGTTTATGACGACTTTGTTCGTAACGTAGTCTGGCCAATGATGAATGAGGAAGCCCTTGCCGATATCGCCTTGGAGCTCATGGGTATGCACCATGATTTTTACCTCATTAATGATTCTTTACTGATATCTTCATTGCTGTATAGTACTACTTGGCCAATTCGGTTTACCGAAAAATGATACGGAACAAGAAAAGAAGGGTGTCCGATTCATTCGCGATCGCCTTTTACATATACTTTCAGTAACAGATATGCCGCCTGAAGGTAGGTGCAAAATCTGCAGGACCGTGACATCCGCGGATTTTGTTCTTATTTCAACTATTCATAGATCTCACCATACAGGTGACAGCTGCCCGCGGCATGCTCGTCTTGCATAATAACACAATATCCAACATCCGACCGATATTGACGTGGTTCGAAGCACTCCCTTCGACTTCCAAGTCCCATCTTCCAAATGACTTTTGTCAGCACATCGTGAAGATCCAAACAGCTTTGCGAATGCTGCGCTAAAATCCCTTCTCCCGACATTCGAACAACCACATACTCTACGCAACCCAACATGTTACCACACCTCATCGTACTTTTTCATCTATGCATAAATTTGTGAATAAATTTCATCTACAGAATTAGCTTTTGCTGCCACAATTGATAACCCAAAAACCAATCCCAATCAAGTGCTGACACAAAAATATGACGCGGTTACGAAGGACTTAATTTAAAGTAACATATCGGATAAAGGCACGTTTATCACTCAATACGTAAGTTTTTGGCACATCTAGCTTTAATTTTCTCAGGCTGGTCGGACTCCTTGCAGTAGCGCCAAATGACATTGAGGATAGCCAGTAGCTTCTTGATATTCGCCAAGGTGCAAAAGGAAGGCAAGTTTTCCAAGCCATCAGCAAATTGTAGATGGGCAAGTTCAATAAAGGTGTATGCACCAGTGGCTACCAATTGTATCAAGAAAGAAGTGCCATGCATGCCTGGAACGAGAAATTGTCAGTGCTATAGGATGTTGGCCTTTTTTTATTTTCCTTACCATGAATTTGAAATAGGATCGCTCCGTCCAACTTTTTGACATCAAGGTATTTTACAGAAGGTAATCAGACGCAGCATATCATTGCAAAGGCTGGACCGGGCACCAGATTGCTGGTTAACTTTGGCTTCACCAAAGCCAAGGCAATATGTGAAAGTCAGGCGAGGCTTCTTGGCCTTAATGCGCGTTCCGAAGCCTAACTCCTTCATCATATTACGCACTACCGAGTAGCGGCAATGCAGTACTTGTACACCTCAATAGCGGTCTTCTTCAAGCTCTTGCCGATTAAAAGGTGGTCTTTGAGGATGTTACAGTTGTTTTCGGTCCGTTTTATATACACCTTTATTCGTGATATGTGATTAGAAGAGAAAGATAAATCAAGAAGGCTAGCATGAGAACACTTTCTAAAGGCCTTCGTTTTGCTTACTATCTCGGGTACGTCATGGTTTACCCATTTTGGAGAACAATGTTTTATTTTGTGTGAAAAACACTCAGTATTTTATCATTTTTGCCATCATTGTAAATACCCATCAGCGTTCATTGTGTGATAAACTCATTCTATTTTCGGTTTCATCATTGACACCTTGGACTTTACATCTTTAATCCTAACAGATGATATATCAAATTTTTAAAGCTGATTGAACCTTCAGACTGTCTCGTGTTTTTCAAGCTGAAAGGAAAGATATGTCATTAAAAGGATCTGGAAAACAAGTATGATCACTTTGCCAAGTCCAAAAATTAAGGGATGCTTACTTGGTTATTTCTTGTGTCCTTAAGCCAAGGGCTACGTTGCCAATTATACAATAAACAAAATCAGTGAGGTGGACATTCTGTCACAAGGCCTCCAATTTGAAGGCAAGATGCATGCCTGAAAGCACCATTGTCGATTCAACATACAAGTTCGACATACACAAGGTTGTATTCATCAATATCGTCAGAACCAAGCAATATCATGGTTAAGAAGCAACGTACCCTGGCAATTTTCGAGAGTGCAGGCTTCTGAATTGATGAAGAGCCTCTGTATTCAACATGATCACTTACATATCCGACGCAGACATCACCACTCCAACCTCTCATTAGACATGGAATCCTCATCTCTCCATAAGTCCAGATATTCTTTCAATATGTCATTATCTCCTCCTCAAACCAAGGAAGCATTGTTTCTATCGGTAACCTACCTTTACAGAGACGATTACCTCAGAATGCAGTTGGTAGTCACCAGTGAGTACATTTCGATTGGAGTTGCTCACCTATAGTTTGCATTCTTCGTGCCTTAGTGAATATGAAGAAGCTACAGGCTATCAACGGTGTATTTTGGCGCTAGTGCAAGGAGTTCGTCCAGTCGGAGAAAATTAAGCCACTGCCAAAAACCTCGATGACCTTGGACAATCTGATTGGTGAAAAGCAAGACAGCTCTCGTAACTGTGTCCTACGTTTGGCGATGAACATGACTTCGTTATTTCCTTTTGTCAGTATCATCCCCACATGGAACCTCGCCACTCTACTCCAATTCAATGATTTCTTTTTATCTTAATGAGGCATAAATTGGATGAACCATGCAAATGCAATTCTTTTTTTTTCGGCTACTTCGAGGCACACTTTGAGGCCTGATCCTCACACCAATAGGAAGGCTAGATTTACGAGCTTTCTCAACATAATAGATCACTGCAAGAAGCAATGTCTAAGGATCTATTTTTATTTGATAAAGGCCTTCAAGTAACAAATTGAATAATATGAATGCTCTAAAAATAATGTATGGACTTATTTACAGTGATTTTGGAATAAATACTTGATAAAAATGATATGACACTATTCTTTTAAAATTGTGAATACCTCTGACACGGAGAACTGTATGGGGTTTCCATGTTCGAAGAAATATGTTCTTCCTTCCAATCGCCATTTCCCAGCTAGACAGTCTCCTGCTGCTCCTCCTCGGAAACTGATACTTGCGCTGCAGCGGTAGTGCCTGGCTTGATGTTTTCAGTACCTCCTAGGGACTCCTCCGATTGAACTTGATCGGACTGTTTAGCTTGAGCATTCTCGTCTTCTTTATCTTCCTCATCACTGCTGTCGCTCTCATCGTCACTATCTGAATCGCTGTCCTCATCACTGTCGTCTTCGGCGACGCTATCACCGTCATCCTTCTTATCTGCACTGCCAGCGCTATGGGTATCACGCTTTTCCGCACGGTTGGTCGAATCTGATTTCGAGTCTTGAGGCACGCAAAGTGTCTTTTCTTCCCAACTAAGGTCTGCATCGACCTGTCCAGCAAGCCAAACATAAAAGGTCGGGAATTCAATGATACGTTCTCCTCGTAACACATCGGCCATGGAAAGGTCCAGGAGATTGGTTACATTGATAAAAGTACGTCGTTGGCCTTCCTTCTTCAAGCCAATAACCAAATTGTCCATATTCGCCAAAGTAAAGTCCCGCAGCTGATGCCGAATGGCACCGTAAGACCCTCCGCCAACAGGGTTCTCAACAAACAGCAAGTTGTTAAGAAATTCCCTCAACGACTTGCGATGTGAAATGCTTTTGAAAAGATATTCATCAACAGTGATCTCCTAATTGCGTCTTTCATTACTTGACTTACGAGTGCTCTAATACACGTTCTTGATGATCTGAGTGACAAAAGAAACATTCCACCGTCCAAAAAAGCTGCTTTGAGCTACAAAAATAGGCATCGTTAGCACATCATCCAGTGCCAAAAGAAAAGTAATCGCTGAATCCTACTTTTGACTGTAGATTGTCTGACTTTGCTTGCGCCGCGACATGCCAGCAGGAAGGACATCGTACAAGATACCCAGCTGTCGCGCTTGTCGGACGAGTAACCGAAGTTTGGCGTCTTTTGATTTGGAGTTTCTGTTTGATGTCGTACGTTCTCGAGTAAATGTATCGGATTGTCTCGCCATGTCTTCCAGGTATACATAATCTAAAGAGTAGAGTTAGAAAATAGTCCAGATCAGAAGAATCTCGAGACGTCATTTTACCACTCATCATAGTTCTGTAGTCGTATTCTTTGCGAGGCACAAAGTGAGTCTTGCTCCTTTCACCGGAACAGTTGTTCTCCTTCTTGTGAGCTTTCACGCAATCCAATGAGCATGTACGCATGCTGCAGCGTGGACAGCGGTATTTCCAGGCATGAAGGTGACATATTTCGCATTTCGGTTGCTGATCGACAGCCATGGCTTCGGTCGCAGGGAGATCCACTACTATATCAATGGCACCTGCTCTGTCATCCATAGAGAGCTCAGTTTCTGGTTCCATTATCCCGATATTCTTGTGATCGTCTGACATTGTCACTGCTCTTGTTGTTCGGCACGTCTGTGTTCGGCTCAAAATAAGGTGGCCTGTCATGCAACTTTTTCATTCAAGCCACAGAATAGAATGACTTACACCTAAACTCCGACATTCGTCCGCTTTGACTGTGTCACCCAACCATTATAGTTTCACACAATTCCCTTTTGAATCCTGTCATCCAATAGACCTACCATGGATACGCAACAAAGCACCAGCGCGAGGTCTCCGCAAGCGACTTCGCTAGTTATGCGTCATCAAAGCTGGCTGGACTTCTCCTTAATCCTACCGAACAAAGGCAGCATGGCTCGAGATCAACTGGCGAACGAGCGCAATTGGCTTACTGGTTTTCGACTTTCCTGCACCCTCATGATACTCGGTATTCATCAAATGTATTCGCTGTTAAGACGAGATACTCTGCTAATGATAAATATACAAAAGGATTTACCGTATTACTTAAATTCCGACTGCCGGCGGTTGACAGTGAGGAGAGTGGCGATGACTCAAACAATCTTCAAGAGCGGGCTCGACAACCGTTTGGTTACCTCTTTGTCTGTATTGGCATTTGCTCTTTCCTTATTACGCTGAGGAGATATTTCAAGGATCAGATGTTGTTGGCGAATCAGCGATCCTTTGTACAGGCCGGCTGGGGCAGTTTTATTATGGTCGCTGTAGTGTTCGTATTCGCGTGTGTTTTTATGGTCTTTGCATCCATTCACGGCGATACGTTTTCTGCTTAAAAGCCATTAATTAATATTCCTCCCAAACATCAGTATATCCTCACTTAATCATACCATAAATTTGTAATTTAGTTGCACAACAACAAAAAGTAGCTTCCTATGCTAACAGAATAAAACAATTCATTGTGCCGGATTAACTATGACTAATATTGCTATTTATCAGTGAAAACAGTGAAAATACAATATATCTCATCGTTTATGAGATGCCTCAAGAATAATAAAAAGCAAGACTGTAGGGCTGGTACGCTAAATGTATGGAGTGTTGAAACGCCGCGGACGCGTCAATTTTTGGAAAACCGCGTCTGTCAATTCCAAATTCTTAACACGGTTTTTCCGACACGTCTGCATCCGCTTTTTTACATTTGTCGAATGAGTCGCCTCAAGCGTAAGCATTCCAAATTACACCAAGCCGATAATAAGCAGGCAAATGAAGCAGATCATGACACCAGTGAACGGAATGAAAAGCGTCAAAAGCGAGCAGCGGCTATTCGATCTCATCTTGCAGCATCCGAAGACGACGACAGCGACGAGGAAGATAACGTACCACTGATGCAACGCCGTGCATTCTCGCAGACATCCGTTCAAGTTGTTATTGAAATGCCAATGTCGGATTGTTTGAGCCCTGAACCCTTTGAGCCAATCGAACAGGAACCGGCCTACACGGCATCCTCCGACATGGCAGTGGATGAGTTCAATGTCGTCAGCGAAATGGATATTGCTACTCCTGGAGAAAGTACGCTCTTCTTTGCAGTGATGAACCTTTTAGATCATGTAAACTAATTCAGAGATGTAGCTGCTCTAGAAAAGTTGTGCAATTTTATGGATCGTTTATGTGCATCACTCGATAGCGCAACATCCGACGATCTAATCCAAAAGTCTGCTTTGCAAGATGGTCATGCATCTCCCACGATTCGTTTAAAAGCTTTGAGAAAGTTTCGAGTGCTAATGCTTCGAGCCATTCAGGATCGATGCATGGATTCCGTCGACAAAGAGAAGCTTGGACGTATCATGAGAAATATGGGCTCAATGATCGAACACGTTTCGGAACTCGATATTATCGCCTGTTATGCGAAAGCCGTCGACGACCAAAAATTACAAACGACCCAATCGCTTCAATCCATTTGCCATGCTATTGAGATAGGCGCCTTGGTGTTAGAAATACTCACCGCTTCTGAATTCGATAAAAGAGTGAGTGCAATCACTTTTTATTTTAGCGAGAATACGCATTGATCGATATTTGCTTTTTTAGATATTCCCCGAAGGCCTCATTTTGAGTTGCCTGCAGTTGGTGAAAAACCAATTAGACAACATTATATATCCTCTATTCAGCCTAACTATCTACGATGACGATACCACCCATTGTAAGTTACCCTTGGGAAATGAATGTGACCGGATAAGTGGGAGTACTTACATGATGAATTCGTTGCAGTCCAGACGAACGCTCGTTCATTCCTTCAATTCGCTGAATCGATGCGCCAAAGCCGTGTCGATCTGGCTACTTTATTACCACTGATCACGCGCTTCCTTCGCTATACCTTCAAGCTGTTGCAGCAAGATGAAATTGATGACCACATGATTGTCGTGATCGCTTACATCAGCATGGGCCCTTTTTTCCACGAATACGATGATCAGAAACCCTCGTGCCTTATTCCATTTGTTGAAGATATGTCAGTACATCCTTTCGAACAGTTAAAGTACAACTCCATGGACATGCTGTGCAAATTATTCAGCAACTATCCGCGACACCGGTTATGGATGCTTGAAGAGATCCTCACAAGCCTTAATAGCATGACGTCCATGGATCATACGGTCAAACGCTACCGCTTACGTAATAATACCACCATCCATATTATGAGCGCCCTGTTTATGCAATTGATTCAGTCCTGCTGCACCGTCACCGATCTCACAGGCAATCGAAACTGGCTACGGCAATGGGAACTCAAGGCGCAAAAGATGGAAAAAGCGAACAATGACCAGCAACTTAGCAATTTGCGCTCAACCCTGATGAAAAAAGCATCCATCACATGGAAATCCGGCATCGAAGCTGCGTCCCAGAGTGCTGTTTATTTTGTAGAAATGCTTCTATCCAAGTAGGTTACGAAGACACGATGATGAGTATGTATATCACATACTGATGGATTGACCGATAGATGCAAATCCCGGAAAAAAGAGTCTTACTCCGTAGTCGAATACCGTATCATTGTAGAAGACATCTTGAACGACGTCATGACCGTGCTAAATAACCCTGAATGGCCCGTAGCGGAATTGATCATTCGTGTGTTTAGCAAGATCCTCGTATGCATTTGTCTCCCGCTCTCTCCGCAGTTCATCACTCATTGATTCATGCTGTGACTCATACTTTTTTTAGATCGCTCAATTGGAAAGTGAACGTTCGGACGCGTACCTGAAATCGTTGTCGATCGACTGGCTCGGTACAATTGCTCGTCACATCCAATCAAGTAACAATCGTCTGGCCGGTGAAGACAATAGCTTTACCCCAGAATGGATCTACACTCTCTATGAAGAATTACCAGATAAAGTAAAACAAAAAAAAATATTCATGCCGGTCGATAAAGCCACTTACGTTGACGATGATGTGTTAGATCAATAGCGATACGCCAGCTTGGGCTATTGAACTTTTGGGAAGTTGTCGCTCAAAACTCCTTGAAGGGCTTGCCCGTAATCAACTCAATTCGTCCGTCTCTCAAGTAAGCTCAATGTAGACAATGCAGCGAGATGGTGTACTGATCGACGTGAGTTGCAGTTCTATCTTTGCACATGGGGTTATGCCAATATGTTGAATTGGCAATGGGACGCCAAGAAGGACAGTGACGCTGTGGAGATCAGCAATTGGTCACCGGAATCGGTTCTAGCTGTACAAACATCGGTGGAAAGATATTGGTTTATGAGTCTACACCTGTCACCGGAGAGTGAACCTGAATATAGGTAGGCAACTGTTCTGTCAGCAACGAGTCAGTGATTTAACCTCTTCACAGTGATTTTCAGTTTCCCGAGATGAATTATGCGGATATTGAACTGCTTGCAGAGTTACTGATGTCGAAGCAAGCATTGTATCAAAGCTTCAACTTCTTGTTGTCTCAGATTGTGGCGTGCCTCGACAAGGAAATCGTCACTTTTCGTGTCAAAGCACTGCGCGCGCTGAGTCGTCTTGCTGCCGAGTCTCCAAGACTGCTAAATGAGGTAAGCTGTTTGTAAGTGGCTTTTCTTTCAACCGTTCGCTTATCTGTATGCTAGACTCGTCTTCAAACTGCAGTGATCCATCGCATCCGTGACAGTTCTCCGTCCGTCCGTGATGCCGCTATTGAAGTAATTGCCAAGTATCTGGGAGGACAAGATAATATTTCTTTGAAATTGTACAAAATTGTCAGTGCGCGTATCATGGTAAATGTTAGAAAAAAAAGTAACGCCAAACTATTTGGCTAACATGATTAATTATCCAGGATACGGCTGTCAATGTTCGCAAACGTATGGTCAAGCTTCTTCGGGATTTGTATTTCACATGCGATGATGGCTTTATCAAGATTGATATTGCCGCCAAAATAATCCTGCGCATTGGCGATAATGAAGTAACCATCAGTGATCTCGCGATCAAAATGGCCCAAGAAATTCTGTTCCACCCATTTCGCGATATTGATATGGAGGAAGCCAACTCGTTTGGCTATGCTTACGGCGATTCTAATAAGCAACGAAAAACACGGATTGCTCGACTCACCGATATCATTGTCAATGCTATGGCGAATATGGAAATGATCACTGCCACGAAACGCGATACAGCACTTGTTCAAATTGTGCAAAAGGTGAATACAATAAAAGCGCACTTACAAATTCAGGTATCATGCTGACTATCCTTGTGATAATGTTGCAGACCATGAAAACTACGGATGAAAAGCAGCGGATATGGTATGAAAAGGTGTTCCAATGGATCGTCGACGCGCTATTCGACAGGCTGTTGCCGTTAGATGAAGTTGGGGAAAGAAAAAGATTCCTCCATTGCCTGGAAACAGCCTATGCTTTTATCAAATCGTGTCCAAACTTACTGCGACAGACTCAGATTTCATTACTACAGCCTTATTTGAGTGTTGCTGAAAAGGTAAGTTACTTAGCAGGGTTGCTCTGTATCTGACATTGGCGACTAACTCACTATTGTGGATCCCAGGATGACTGGCCGATAGCACGCTATGTCTTGACCATTTATCGTGAAGTATTGCCACGGATGCGATTTCTTGATCCCGACTTTGTTAAGCATATTGAACGTACTTTGCTGCAAATGTTGACCAATGGTCCGCTTGAAGTAAGAGGAGTTAACAAAATTTCAAGATGGTTTCCGACCATATACTGACGAGAACTTTAGATGATGGATAGTGTAGTCGGTTGTATTTGCTCGTTTGTCAACATCTCTGGTCGCTACATATTACTTGTCAAAGTACTTGGTTCTTGTATAGGTAAGCTAGCTCTGTCATCTTGCTCTCTTGGTTTTGGTGCGTACTCACACTGTTTCGCAGAGAAATTGACAAAGGAACAAGCGTGCGTCGAGCAATCGGGTACTTGCCTCAGCAATGAGAAGCAAATCATGAAGATGATGCTTATCTGTGGGTTACTCTGTCGGTACTTTGATTTCGATGGCAAACGAAAAACCGAAGCTTCGCAAATGGATCTATTGGGGGACACCGACAAGGTAAATGGAATAAATCCATATAAAGAAGGAATGAGGTTCTAATGAGGCCTGATTTCTTAGCAGGATATCACCACGACCATATTTGAATTACTCTTATTTTTTGCTCATTTATCAGAGAATAACATGGCACAAGCTTTACAAATCAGAGTAGTGGCTCTTCAAAGTCTGGGTAATTTGCGAAAGAATTCGTGGATATTAATGCTTCCTTCATACTGACGAAGCCTTTCAGGTCACGTATATGCAAGAAATCCCACATTAATGATTGATAAACGAAGCACCGACTTATTGGACTCGACCATCGTCGACAGCTCCATGATTATGAGAATCCAGCTCATGAAAGTTTTCCATGACTTTCTTGGCACGGAAGAACAGCGTATCGAAAAGCAAGAAGAAGGTAAAAGAGAGAAAATAGAAAGCCCACAAAGAGGTGTCTCACAAGCTCAAACATGAAAATAGCGGCTGGCACGTCTCTTTATACCAAGCTGATAGATGTCGAGACATTGCTGGGTAATACTTCGGAATTCGCAGAATTAGGGTAGGGTGGAACTTTTTTGTTTGTCATGGGCATCTGCAAGTCTAAATGCTTTTTGTTTAGTGTGAATGGTTCTATCATGCAACGGTACCTCGGTAAAATTTTGGAATGTTCCATTGATACTCATACGGAATTACGTGATGCGGCCTTTGAAGTCATTACTGTGGTCATGCAGCAAGGACTGGCACATCCAGCTTTTGTGAGTTGATAGCTGGAAACCGAAGGAATTATGTGGAATATTTACCCTTCTTATCGTTTAGTGCATGCCGGCTATCGTAGCTGCAGAAACGAGCCCAGATCTGATGCTACGGAATAACGCGTACTACTTGCATAAGATGGCCCATACGAAATACGGATCTATCCTATATATTCGTCTTGCCGATTTTGTGACAACAGCATACCGATATCAATGCATGATATCTTCTGAAGCTGTGAAGGGTAAAATATGATGCGTTGCTGTCTAGAAAGGTGACTAATGTGTTGAATCAAAATTAGGTTATGGAAGAATGGGCGGTGATGCTATGCTTGAATCGTTGTTTACCCTTGCCTATGGTATCATGGCTCAGAAGAGAACTGTAAAATTGGATTTTCTCCTGGTACTGATAAAGCCGTTTGACTGTGATTTGAAGGATCCCGAAACAGCTAAGGTAAACCCCGGCAGCGATGGAGAAGTTAAAAATGACCTTTTACTGACGCACATACAGTTGGAAGTGGCTTTCCTTCAGTTCCTAGCGGACAATTTGCTCACTTTACAATTCACGCACTCGGAAGAACCTCTCCACATCATTCACTATATCAATCGGATAATGACGACACTAGGCAGTGATTTATTGTCTCAAGTACAAAACCTGCGAGAAGAAGGCGTTCTTGATGATGATTTTTATGGCATCTCCGGAACAGGAACAATGGACCTAGACTACTTGATCACGGCTATTTCCTGTACGGGCCTATGTATCTTATACCACGTCAGACGGATGCTAAAAACGATCTATCATCTATCGGACAAGTGAGTGAATCTTGACGAGCAACACCGGAATAGCAATAGCATCATTCACCAAAAAATTGGTTGTCTTGTAGGGAAACGGAAGGGTATGATCCGAATGAGCGCCAGAAAGGACGATCGATTGTCCGTAATGTAGAAATGAACGGCGTGATTGATTGGTATAAAGTACTGCCTTTCACTGTGAACGGCATGGATCATGTCGCGGCCAGTCGAGCTTGCACTGAATTCGAGAAACTGATCCTGGATGGATCTATGAGCGACGACGGTGACGACGACGATGACGAGCGAGATGAGGAGGAGACTAGAGGCGATGAGGAGTAAGATAACGTGTATATACTATATAGCCTAGGCATGTATAAAAGGGAACTGTAATACTATTTGTGTCGTAACATCTGATTATTATTTTTTTTGGGACATGTTTGTTCCGTACGTAATGGCAATAGATGACCTTTAAATACATTTAAAAACAATCGGCAATTGTGAAAAAAATAGCAAGGCCTTTTTTTTTTTATAGCAGGACCCTTTTTTTTCTCGCTACTTCATTCTTCATAGAGCAATCAAATACAAGACAAATTATGTCGTTGTCTGTCATCAATGATACCGATAGATCTCATTCTACCAGCTCAACACAGTCTGTCAAGTCAGAGATCGACCATACCGATCCGGCATCGAAACCACAATCGCAACTACAACCCCAATCACCATCAGATAATGCACCTTGTCAATTTTCAGCATTTTATCGATGGTTTATACTTTTCATCATTGCTTTGCAAGGCTTTTTAGGCCCATTGAGCAGTTCAATTTATGTATGATTATCGGCCAGTTTGGTTTTGAAAAAAAAAAAAAGACGCTCATGGAAGTATAGATACCAGCTATTTACCGCGTGAAGAAAGATTTCAACGTATCTACTACTGGCATCAATGCAACCATATCCATCTACATTTATATACTAGGAGTGGCGGTAAAATGGAACATCACACACCATACCTTGCATGCACATACTTATTCTAATCTTCTTTGACACTGTTTTCCCCTATAGCCAATGATCTGGGCTGTTATTTCTGAGAGGCACAGTCGGCGACGAGTCTACATTATATCGACAGCGATGTATGTGGTCTCTACTTTAGGGTGTGCGGCTTCTAAAAGTATTGGCCTTTTTGTCACTATGCGAATATTTCAAGCTGCTGGTGCAAGTGCTGCTCAGGCAGTCGGCGCAGGGTAAAAAAAAAAGCTATTACCGAAGACCGAAATGTTGAACATGAGATGCTTAACCTTTTTTTTTCTTTTTTTTCTTTGTCCATAAATTTATGCATATTTCCAATGGTCCAGCACCATCATTGACCTATTTCAAGTGCATGACCGAGGCAAAGCGATGGGACTTTTTTTTCTAGGACCCTTGGTGGGCCCTGTTATCGGTCCTATTGCGGGCGGTTACATTAGTCAATGTAAGTCATCCGCTTTTGCTGCGGTGTTGAGTGCATGACCAGAAAAACGCGCAATGCCTTTTTCTTTTCTCCTTTTTATTTGGGTTTTGCTAGTCTCATCAGTTGACTTAGATTTTCATTGGCGAGACATATTTTGGAGCCTTGCCGCTGTCGGTGGATTCGTACTTTTGCTCATGATCTGTTTCCTTCCCGAGACAGGCACTCGATCAGTGAAAATCGATGAAAGTGCTATCAAAGCGATGCTGCGTCCTTTAAGCTTTTTGTTAGAGAAAATCGTGGTGTTAGCCAGTATACCTTACGCGATTGCTTTCGGCTTCATGTATTTTGTTATTGCATCGTTGTCACATGAACTCATCACGCGGTATCATTTCACCAGCTCGCAAGTCGGTCTGGCTTACCTCGCCAACGGAACCGGCAATGCCATCGGCGCAATGGTATCTGGAAAATGCGCCGACTGGATTTTACGGCGAAATAGCGATCAGCGTTCATATGTCATTGAACATCGATTATCGGTGACATGGCTAGGCGTTGTGTTGCTTTGTGCAGGCGAGCTCATGTATGGCTGGTGCGTTCAACTGCAGCTGAGTGTGGTGGCCGTGTTAGCGGGACTTTTCCTTTGTAAGCCCCTTATAAATTAGGTTACTGTGATCAAGGAACATTGCTAATTTATGGATCTGCTTTTTTCTTCTTACGACAGTGGGACTTGGTGTAGGCATTATTCAAACACCTAGCAACACATATGTAATGGATGCTTACGAGGGACATGCGGCCAGTGCCATGAGCGCTTCGAACCTTATGCGTTGTACGTGGGCCGGCTGCACACCACTGATGGCACCTTTTATGCTTCATCGCATGGGCAATGGCTGGTCCTTGACCGTAATAGCAAGCGTAAGCGCATTGAGTGGCATCTGTATCTTCCTCGTCCAACATTTTGGTCATCGATGGCGAAACGCCAAATGCCATCCGCTTCCATAAACTGGCGTCCAATATTTGTACTGTATACAATAAAAAATGATACTGTAAGAAGAGACTATTTTGCCCTATGCCTCGAATTGACTTGAAACAATAGCATTTTACAAAGTACCATCTTGATTATGACTTTGTTGCAGATTGTATATTGAGGTTTTTTTTCTTGGAAGTTTTGACACTAGAGTTTTTTAAGGTTTTTATTTTCAGTAATTTAGCGAGAAATGTCGTAGACTATGGCAGCATTCTTCGACAGCATCACGCAGTCATTTCCGCTGTAAATACCAAGGCATGTTCATCTATCTAACGTATTGGCTGTACTGACAGTGTTGGATTATTATTTTGGACTGATCATTAACAGATGCAACATGAGCAACACATTCGATATTTATTTTGTTTGTTTATCATTATGGTAAACTTGCATGGATCGCTCATAAAAACGGTGCAAGCAATGCAGTAGCGAAAATTCCAGAAATAATAAACAAAAAAAGCGACCTTATACATGACGAATGTTTACATAGAGTCAAGAGTTGGAGACCAAGGTAATTTTGGTTATGGTACGAAGCCTTCATTCATTGTATATAGTCACCCTGTTCTCCAGTGCGGCCTTGTCGAATGGTTGAGCCATGTGGATCATTTAATGACCGAGGATGCAAAAAAGTGGAACATTCACTATACAAACTCTCTTTGCTCGCGATTACTCGCATACAATTATTTGTATCATCGCATTCATCTATAAAATTATTTTCTTACTCTGCAACTCCTCAGTGAACGAGCATTCATGCATCCTACCGTTATGTAATGGAGCCAGCTTGCCTCTTTTTCGTCGTCATCATTTTATGTGTCGTTGGGGTCGTCGAGCTGCGACCGACGCATATTATCAAGCTAAAAACGGCCCATAACCGTTCCTCTGGTAAGCGAAATTGATACTATTCATTTTCCATCAATTATCTTGCTTATTCTCTTCGTACGACCAGTCTTTGAACCATCGTCCTTTATTCAACAGCATTACTCGCTTTTTCAGAGAGACGAATCGGGCCTTCAGAAAAAGGGCTTACACCTACCGCTCGAAGATCATGCTATGAACACGATTCACATCGGCCATGAATTTAATGCAGTCGTGGGCTCTTTTTCGCATTCTTTTGCTGATTACCTGCACTCACTGCAAGATGTGGATTACGTTGAAAAAAATCACATTTACAAAGCTGCTCGTGTTCTTCCCAGATCGGAAAATGCGAGTATGCCAAACGACAGTGTATCTGTGAAGCGCGATCAGTATACACACGAATCCCCAAGTTGGGGCATTGCCCGCGTTTACCACCGCGAGCGCAATGAGTTGTCGAGTTATACAACCGATACGGGAGCACTGGGTGACGGCGTCCATATTTATATCTTTGATACAGGCATCAACACGGCTCATCCAGACTTTGGTAATCGAGCGAAACATGAAGGCTGCTTTGTAGACAGCGAAGGAGATGAAGACCGTTCAGGCCACGGCACTCACGTCGCTGGGATCATCGGTGGTCAGACCTTTGGTATTGCAAAAAATGCAATTTTACATAATGTGAAGATCCTCGACCGCCGTGGAGACGGATCAACCGTGGCCTTGATTCGCGCCATTGCTCATGTCATCAAAGTGGCGAAACCAGGCAAGGCAATAATCAACCTGTCTTTGAGTGGACCCCGTTCACAGACCATCGACGACGCTCTCGACGCTGCTGCTTTAGCCCATAATATCCCTGTGTTTGTATCGGCCGGAAATTCAGCGGACGATGCTTGCGACTATTCACCCTCAGCGAACCCCAGTGTATTCACCGTAGGCGCTTCCACAATCACCGATACAGTCGCCCACTTTTCGTCTTTTGGACAATGCGTCCGTATGTATGCTCCCGGGGTTAACATCACTAGCAGTTGGTTGCAGAGTGGATCCCATGTTATGGATGGAACAAGGTAAAAAATGGGAATCCTGCATGGTGACATATCGTAAATTATTTTTAACAACGCTCGTATTACGTTTTTTTGCTACTTCATTTTTAGTATGGCCAGTCCACATGTCACAGGAATTGCAGCTGTACTGATGTCTCGCTATCAATACCAAAGCGTTTATGATTTATACAATGTCCTCATGTCGATTGGCACTCAAGGAAAACTTAGCATGGCCCATGCTGACGGTGAAAGCGTAAATCTCCTAGCCTATGCAGGCATGGATGCAGTTCCTTAGCAGTTCGGTGCGATAACATATGATGGCTCTTTTCATCATTGCGCAATTTGGCCAGCTGCTCACTGGTTTGTTATTTAGGGTGCGTCGAAATTCCAGCATTATAACATCAGTTACGTTGTCAATTTCATTCTTGTCAAATTTAAGATTTAGGAAAATCCTTTTCCACATCGCTTCTTTAAATGCTACTTTGCAATCATTCAAAAAAAAAGAACACCAAATATCGGAAAAAACGCATTGTTGCACGCTAGTAAAATATCTACAATAAATAGTAACAAAACAGTGAGTGCTGAATCAAAATGGCTAGGACGTTTCTTCATGTTTTCGTTTGATTCCTAAAGAATCACTGAGGGGTGGTTGCGGCAATGGAAGCCCTTTCCGTCGGGAACACGCGCGACAATACCAAGGATCAATATCGAATTCGTACTTTGAAATAGGAGGATCTTCACATAACATATGCACGCCCGCGTTACATTCATCGCAGAAGAAAATCGTGTTGATATCGTCTGCCGTTTCTGCAATCCCACAATGCTTACACACCGTATCATCTTCCTCTTCGTACTGTTGCTGATAGACATCCGGCACATGTTCGTCGTCGTCAAACGTGTAATCTTCGAATGTAATCTCTGAATTACTTGAATTGGCGTGCTCTGTTCGCTGACTCAAATCGAGGTTGGTAAGATCTTCGTTGCAGTAAAATAGGTATACAGGATGGAATTCAAGTGAAGTCTCGGACGGTGCTACTTGACTTTGATTATCTGTCTTGACAGGTGTATTTGAAATATCGGCAAGTGCTTGCTGAGAGGAGATCTAAAAAAAACCAACAGACATGAATAGTGAATGGCTGGTGAGAATTCCTATGATTACCTTTGTCTCATATTCTTTTGACCCCGATAAATGTAGTACTCTCCATGCTGAACCCGACACGTCTTCGATGTAATCCCTCATGTATAAACACCATGCATCGGCAGCAAACCCCGAGCTTTGCATGCTGGTATTTCGGATCATCAGCACCCCCATTAGATCAAATAGCATGTCCTTCTTTAGATGATTGGTACTTGATTGACCATGCTGTTGAGTCTCGTACCGTTCACGCGCAAACCGCTCCAGCCTACATTCAATCAATTGTTCCAATTGATGTCGAGCTTCTGCTTCGGCTTGCGATGATAATGCAAGCGATTGTGGGGATTGTAGATACTGAAGTGTACCCCATAATATGGAATCATTGGGTATAGCTCGTCCCTATAAGTCGCAGAAACAAGGACAAGGAAGCAGAAACAGGAATATGTTTGCATATCAGCATGAGGATGAATGTCCACAAATGATAAAAGTCCAAAAAGCATACATGGTATTGATAAATGAATCGATCGTCCTGAATATTGCTCGTTCCTGAAACGCACAATTTCAATTCCACCTTTTCCCTCACCTAAGAGTTCGTTTTGAATACAAGTGTACATCAATGCATCATGGATCGACCGATGAAAGAAAAGAAAAAATTGCCGTACAGTTTCACTAGCTAGTTGAACCCTCAGGCCTACAATATCTTGGTGGATGTCGTCCAATACATCGTCCCAGTCCTGCTGCTTCGTAAACACTTTATTGGCCCACTTCCAAGTGTCAAGATCTTCCTTGGTATTTCTTTGACTGTTGATAAGAGCGATGGCTTGTCGACAGCAGAAAGTCAAAAGACCGTCCAAATTCGAGGAAGATCCATATTCCTGCAATCCTGCCTGCAGGACCCCCAGCAGATCAAAATGAGGATCTCGTGTTAAATGTTGCGGAATAACGAAAAGCTGGAGCAATATACGGCATAGAAACACTTGCGGAATACTTTGCAACGATAGGCCCTCCATAACAATAAGTAATCGATGTATGAACAAGAATGCGCTGCCGATGAGATGTGATATGTAATTCCGATTTTTTTTCTTTTTTGATCGGCAAAAAGAGTCAACTTTACCAATGCGGCCCCGCTGTAGCGCGACGATTACCTTAAAAGGAAGGTGTGACATCACAAGCAGGACTTATCGCGAATAAGGCGAATCAATCCGGGAATCCTGCCTCTGCTTTCACTTTGTGGGACGAATGGCAGACAGCACGGCACGCGCTCAATCGTCTGATTTTTTATCAGAGGCATCGTCTCCGGCGTCCATGGATGAAGGTACCATGTTGGAAGCGTTTGACCACTGCAAATACTGACTCGTCAATAAACAGGTTCGCAACAGTTAAAACGACACAGACAAAGTAGCGAAGAAGGTCGATATAAGCGATTACGATCAGATCTGGAAGACGACGAAGAGAACGACGAGAGTGACGATCCACAAGAACTGAAACAAAGTGATCTAAGCGATGCAGGCGACGACCATCCTTTGACAAGTCACGTTGACCACGCAGAAGAGGAGTATGACGAAAATGCTAGAGATGAACAAGAAGAAACAAAGGACGACCTCGATCACGAATATAACGAAGGAAATTCAAATCATAAAGATATATCGGCTAACGATCCATTGCATGACAATTCATCCACGATTGACAGAAGTAAACATCCGCCAAAGCACGCAAACCTTGAGGGAAAGGACGACGAAGAAGAGGACGAACGGGACACTGAAAAGGACAATAGCAAAGCCGACGATACACAAAAGGACGATGCTGCGGTTGATGCGATGGACAACACTGCCAGTATGCCTGCTGTGAAGGCCGAACCGGAAGAGGGAGAACGGTTACTCAATGAAGAAGCGATGAATGTGAATGGACTGTTCCATGCCAAAGACGGTGTCCTGGATGGCGATGGCAACTTGAAGATCTTGGATGAATATAAAGCTTATGAAAAGAAGGAAAGCGCTGCGATGCTTGAAGAACGGAATGGCGAGATTGAGATTCGAGTGGTATCCAATGATGGCGATGCGGAAAGTATGATTCTTTTAACAGGGTTGAAGAACATTTTCCAAAAGCAACTACCCATGATGCCCAAAGAGTACATTGCGAGGCTGGTATATGACAGGTAGGACGGAACTGGGAAAGGAAAATGGTGTCTGATCTGGTTACTGAAGAACCATCGATATTAGGAATCACTGCAGTATAGCCCTGATCAAACATCCAATGAAAGTCATTGGTGGCATTTGTTACCGGCCATTTGATGCGCAAGAATTTGCTGAAATTGTATTCTGCGCTATTGCTTCCACCGAGCAAGTCAGGGTAAGTGTCTAGCAATCAGCTGTCATTTGTTTGGGGAGGGTAGTCTATCTTATTTGTTGAGTCCAATGTCTTGTTTTCTCTCATTTAGGGTTATGGATCACACTTGATGAACCATTTAAAAGATTACATTTTAACGCATACCAACATGAAACACTTTCTCACGTACGCTGACAATTATGCCATTGGATATTTCAAGAAGCAGGTAAGAAAGAACTTTAGAAAGATGGGAAGGAGAAATCAAGCGAACAGTATCGGCTCAACCGTGACATTAGGGCTTTACAACTGAAATTACCTTGGACAAGCGAAAATGGGTTGGATATATCAAAGATTACGAGGGCGGAACGATTATGCAGGTACGGCGCAATCAATAGTATAATGAAGCGTGTACTCTAATATTACAATGCATAGTGCACGATGGTTCCGAAAGTGAAATACCTTCAAGTACACAAAATCCTAGCAATACAACGAAGAGCCGTATATGAAAAGATGAAGCAATTTTCAACGTCCCATATTGTATACCCTGGCATTCAAATGTCGATTGATGAAGATGGCAACAAGAGAATCGATCCGTTGCAGGTTCCCGGTGTTAGTAAGTAGTCGGGTTTTTGAGTAGCATGAATGTTCGTGCCTAATAATGACCAATGTATCCATAGAGGAATCAGGCTGGACTCCAGAAATGGATCAACTGTAAGTATTGGTAGGAGAACAATAAAAAGACTGCCGCACAGAGAGAGACCTGAAACTGATCGCTAATCTTGTTCCTTTTACCAATCTTACAGATCCAATCGACCACGGCACCCACCACATTATAATCAGATGCGTCATTTGGTGACTGAGTTACGAGGCAATGCGCATTCATGGCCTTTTCATGACCCTGTGAATGCAGACGAAGTGACAGACTACTACGACGTCATTAAAGAACCTATGGGTAAGTGGGAAGATGACTCACCTTTATCTCTGTGAGAGAAAATGGGAACTAATCTCGATCACTTTTAAAAACAGATCTGGCGACACTGGAACAAAACGTGGAAAATGATTACTATCAGACAATGGATCAATTTGTTCGCGACGTACAAAAGATTTTTGATAACTGCAGGTTATATAATGCTGAATCGACAAACTATGCGCGATGTGCTAATCGACTGGAGCGATACTTTAACGAGCGTTTGCGCGTCTGGACGAGCGGAGATAGTTAGATGGGTGCTCTACTCTTCTCAGCATGCGGCAATGTTATGCTATTGTATATTTAAACTCTTAATCAAGCATTCTGACCACCCATTCTTGGCGCTCCCTTACTTCATATCCACGATTTCTCTTGTGAATTCCACTAAAATCACCATGTATAGCTTACTATTCTCGAAAACATACTTTCTCTTGGATTAGCCGTTGAACTAACTAAATAAAAATGAAAAAAGAACCCAAAGATGGAAACAAAAGCGTACTATCTTTTCATCATTCATGCAAACACATATAGAGCATTCGATCTTTTGCAAAATGGCATCATCGTGCTTTATAATCCAATAAAAAAACCCAACTTTCCGTGTTCGCGTTATTGGGTGAGCTTTTTACCTGTATAAATATAGCCGTACAAATTGAAGGATCTAGGATTGGCCTTGTCCATATGTATCATCAAATGAGGTACAAACTGTTCATGGTCGAGAACGGCAGCTGCATGGTGGATAACGGCAGATTATGTTGAAGTCGGTCAAATGAGGGATGGTTGATTTATTGGGATATAAAGTGGAAAATAATCTTGCTATAAAAACCGCCTTGCGACAGTTTTAACACGATTATCAAACTGTGGATTAGCAATAAGTGAGTTTTGCTCGTAAAATGGGTTCATGAGGATCTGTTACAGATAAAATATAAGCTTGGCTCTATGCCATTTCAATCAAAAGCGTGTTAAGCTCACCTTGATATACAGCTCGTATACTTCGTTGAAAAAGTTCTTAATACTATCTTCCGACTTCTGGTCATGTAACAGCATAAACTTGACATTGGCCGCTGTAACAAACGCTGAAACAAAATGCTCGTTGAAGCGATCGACCGACTTCAAGTACCTGAACGAAAATATTGTTACGTTCTATTCAGCGCATCCGTTGTAACGCCATCAACATGAGCTTACATTGCCTGAGTGTTCCATTGTACTTCTTCTACGACATCCAGGGCGGCATGAATAATGAACTGGTTCAGATGTTTATGATCGTCTCGCTGTGAATAGATCGCTTAATACATTTGCGTGCTTCACTCATAGTTGCGTGTCGAAAAAGAACAATATATCATACGCGATTGGCATCCGTAAAAGCAGACGATCGGGAAGAAGGCACAATTTCGGCCTCGTATATAGGATTATCTGTTGCACCCACAATAGCAAAATAATAGTAGAAGGACATGCTATTCGCAGATTGAGCAAGTCGGTGGATCCATCAGCGACAATATGAACAAAAAGGCGGCTGCCAACGAGTCTCTTGTGACATCACACTCCACTGATTGGCCAATCGAAGCGCCTGGTTCAATCTCAGTTAAGGACGCCAAGGTGGTGAGAACTGCTCAAGTGATTTCCAGGACGGAGAACGTCAAAAAGCCAAAAATTGAGGCACAGTTACGTAGCTCTCTTTTGATTTTACTATCATTTATGCTTCATTCTTGAACCCCAGGAATTTGGACGCATCTGTATCTGACCTTTTATTATTACCGAATGAACAGCGATTATGAGAACGTGGAGTGGAATGTGCACGCCACTACCGATGTTTTTACTCCACAGATAGATTCACCCGATCCTCTTTCCGCATTGGACTCGTTTGAGAATGAGGTATGCTAAGCACATCGCAAGTAGCAGTTGACAAGTGAGATGCAGCTTCCAATCACTTATGATGCGGAAAGAATTTCACAGCAGAACCCAGCCATGCATACTATCGTCAGGATGCTCCGAGTTTCCCGTCGATTATGTCGTCTAATACCACGGAACATGCACCAGATACCCAACCACAATCGACCGCAAGCCTGTCTGATCACAGCGAATCCATAAAAGCTCCCGTTGTAAAAGAGGAATACACGGCAAAATCAATGACCATCCGAGTAAGCGATCCTTTGAAGCATTCAGACAGCACGCAGGGAACATACATCAGTTACCTTATCACCACTATTGTAAGTTTCTCGCCGGCACTATTTCATCATCCGTCCAATTCGTCTGATCTTTTTCATCGTTTACTGAAAGACGGAAGTGGGGACGTTTAATTCAACCCATCCGAGGCCTGTGCGGCGGAGATTTCAGGACTTTGTTTGGCTGCATAATGCCTTGATTTTAGAATTTCCTGCATGTATTGTTCCACCATTGCCAGAGAAACACCGACTCGGTTTGTGTTCTATATTTCACCATTCCATGCCCATTCCACTCCTAAAGTAACACCATCCTCAATCGTTCATATCGTAGAATATATCAAGGGTGATCGTTTCAGTGCACAATTTATTGAACGACGAAAAGTGAGGTAGGTCAGCAGTGGGCTGGGTTCAATCAATCAATAATAACATGTCACTCGTTCGCAGCTTGCAATGGTTTCTCGATCGGATAGCTCAACATCCCAAATTACAGACATCGCAATGCACCAGAATATTTCTTGAGTCGAATGATTTCGTACGTATTTTTCTGACTGAATTTATCACGGACAGGGCGCCTACTTAAGTACTTGTAGCGAAATGATAAACGAGTGACATCACAATACATCCCACCTTCAGCCACGGTGTTCCAGTCGCTGAGCGATACCCTTGTGAACGCCTTTACAAAGATCCGAAAACCGGACGAACGATTCGTTAATATGAAAGAAGTGGTCGATAAACTGGAAGACAATTTGGGCACGGTTGAACGTCTGTACAATCGCATCGGCAAGCGTCAGCATGGTAAGATTGGGCCAACTTATTCCAAAGCAAACTATCTTCATTGGTCATGCATTAGATTTGGAGCAGGATTACACAAGTTTCGCTGACAGTATCCAAGGACTATCAGCCTTGGAAAGTGAGCTCACGGTCCCATTGCATCGATTTGCTAAAACCACCAAAGCCTATGTGAGCGCTATGAAAGAAATGGTATACTGTTCGTTTCATTTCCGGTTCGGGTTATGATCAGATTTATTTATCGCTCTTTGTAGACAACGAAGGAAGAAATGTTTTATCTCAACGAGATCCATGATTTACTGGCGTATTGCCATGCTACCAAGGTATGGATGAGGTCGAATGTATCTCTGTGTCCGTTATTTATTTTTTTGATACAGTCTGTATTGAAAGCAAGAGATCAAAAGCAAATGGATTTCGAAGAATTATCGGCCTACTTACAGCAAGCCATCGCCGAACGTGAACGCACTTTATATCCGAGACATCATGTTGGAAATCGTGGCATGGTTACCATCACCGATTTCGTAACGGATAAGATCAACGAAGTGCGAGGCATCGATATGCAACGAGCGCGTCGAGAAAAATTATCTCGTCTGGAAGCAAAAATCACTGAAGTAAATGCCAAAGCAACTTTGTTTGTTATTCCATTCATTTTGGACTAATCGTCGGTTGATATGTGACAGTTGCAAGATGAAGTGGCGAGGACAAACGATATCTCGGATGAGTTCTCTGCACAAGTGATCAGAGATTTTTCAGTATTTGAAAACAGAAAAACTGATGAACTTAAGCAAGGATTGGCTGCGTATGCGGATTGTCATATTGAATTTTTCCAAAAGGTAGATTGATACTGCGACATTCAATTCTCATTTATAGTGTGGTATTTACGATTGCTTTGTTAGGGGATATCCATATGGGAGGAGATCCTTCCAGTACTAGAAAGTATTAGCATCGATGATCCTGAACAAGTGGATCGTTGAATCCCAAGCGGTAGCTTGTAATAAACTTGTAGCTAAATAATCTTTGGAATGTGTTATTTTTTCCAACTGTAAGTCGAGTATGAAATCAAGTTACTGCTTCGTACAATAGATGAAAAAAAGGGATGACCTGTTATTATTGACAAGCATGTCATGTACATTCATGCAACCAATATGGATTTATCTCGTTTCGTGCTTGCATTGCTGTAGATCGAGTGTGCACATCATGTGTTTTGTAGAGAACAACTGTAAAAGGTTCTATTAACTGCTCTTTCTTTACGATGCTTCATCCAATCATGATACGAATATTTGCGGTGGCTTTATATTGTATGCAACATAGACACAAGGCGAAATGCTTATAAAATATTGAATAAACATATCATTAAAAAAATAGTACGATTCCGGCAGAAGGATATAGGTTGCAAGTGTTTTTCGTCTATTAACAAGCCGTACACCCGCTGTGCAATGGATGCCGACTGCCGACGGAGGTCGCCCCCTTACATTGAGCGACTTTCGTCAGACAAAAAGCCTAAGGCATACACGACATAACCTGGGCGAGAACTCTTGACGGACTTTGGTATATTAATGACAACCTTATGGCAACACCATGCAACGTGAGTTGTTTCTGACACGCGCAAAGCAGCACTGATTAACCCCCTCAGTTCCATCCCGCCCAGGGTATAATAGATCTAGAAAGATGTGTGGGTATGTTGGGTATTTAAAAAACATGAGTTAGTAAGCTCTGATTGATTCAAATCTCGTTGAGATATTTACCTTTGTTATTTGAGTGTTCCATAGTAATTGATCGCTTGACATGACTTGGATTATATGACATTGAAAATTCTTTTCGCAGTCTTTTCCTCTTTTTTTCCCACAGGGTTTTTTAGGAGGATTTTACTGACGCGACCATTGTTTTTTTATCATCATGTACTTTTTTGTTTTTCTTTCTTTTTATTCGGGAAACTCTCGATATCTGGAATCCAGCTCGAAGTTAGCGTCTCTTCTGGCCACGTCAATATTTTTTGCCTGCTCAAGCTGACACCACCGATCCATCGCTTAACCGTCCCTGGAAGCAATTCTATTGTCCGCATTGAAGATGAAGCTTACCTGTGGTCCGTTTTCATCTTTTTTTTTCCGGTACACCATTTGGTTCAAAGGCAAGTCCAATTTCTTTTCCTTTGCTACGATGTAATGAACGTATGTACATGAAAATACACATACAAAATACAATAATCGGGAAGACATCTCGAATACGATATCATGTGAAGCAATCCAAGGGAGAGCAACCGGAAGCGGACATGTAAGCGTTTTTCCGATGAAAAAGAGGAGCCACACCGCCGAAGATGGCCATTGACGTCATCCGGTTTCGCCAGATGGATGGATGGATGGCGAGAGGGAGTCAACTTGTAGTATCCAGACCTTGCCAGGCGAAAAGAAAACGGAGAAAACCGGAAGCTAAAAGAACGATGAAAAAAAAAAGAGGTAAGTCTATTTTGCCGGAGCAAAATCGATGGTGGACAACTCGACGCTTACCTTTTTGAGAATGGTAGTCGATTTAACCAAGTTGGATACACGGGATGAGAATGGTCTGGATAATGGATGCGGATGGGATCTTGATACAATGATACCGAGAGTTTCCAGGTAACAGAAAGAGAAGGGAGACCAAAGGAAAAAGAAAAAAATTGAAGACAAAAAATATGTGATTTCCTATGGAAAAAACAAATAGTCACCCAACTAATGCAGGAATTCATGGATCGAAGCATATCTGCTCATGTATCACTCGATCATTATAGATGAAGAGAATCAAAGGGCATATACAGTATAATTGACAAAAAAAAAGGTGAAATCAAAACACCAGATCGCCGTATCATCAATCACCTTGAGCTCTACCCGCATTTTATTTGAACGGCGACGATGCCCTGTTTGACCACAACTGGCACAAACGGTAAAAAAAAAGCACAGTGGAGAATTGATGCAAATAGAATTATTGTCCCAATATAGCATGCATGCGACTGATAAAATGGGTTACGAAAAGCAGGGAGGAAACAATCCACGTCATTAAGGAAATTGACGTGGTGCGGCGCCACGAATTGCATAAGGTCCACTTTTTTATATTCTTTTGACTGGCAATGTTCTTTTGTCACTTTTAAATCCACCTGCTTGAAATAAAATCTCTGATTCCTTATCCAGGAATCAGTTGGCTTCATCGAGATCACCTTTACTTTGCCAGCCACTTGATCCCTTATGTCGCATCCTATCCCATCGACTTTGCAGGAAGCTCAGCTCGGTTTCCGCCCGCAATCACCTTCGGCCTCTTTTACCCCGCCCACACGTATACCCCCTCATCAGCTTAGTCCGCAACAAATGTTCCACCATACTATGGCCCTACCTAACAAAAGCGCATCTCCACAGCACCCACAACGACAGCAACCACCGCCACAGCAACAGCAGCAGCAACTGCAACATACCCATCCGGTGACCTTTGCATCCATGCCGGGGAATCAGCAAGCGTTAACAGCTGAAGCCAGCCATAACTCGTTGTACTGTGACGGATGCCAAATATTTCGGCCCGTTTACTACTTTCAACGAGAAAGAAATCTTAACTATAACATATGCGCCCTGTGCCGACAGCGGGAAGTGCAGCATAAACGAAAACAACAAATGGAAGCTTATGAAGAACAACATGAACGGCTCAAAGCTTCTCGATTCCAACAGTACCAGCCGCCTCAACCTATGGCAGCTTCTCACTTACCGCCCACTGCGTATTCTCATCACGTTTCCCATATGCTGCAAATGCCAGGTTGTTTTCAGGTGCAACAACCAGCCCAAATGCTGAGAGCCTCGCCACAGCTACCGACGTCAAGTCCACAACCACCATTGGCTCTACCGTCCGACAGTATGGTACCTATGAAGTCGTCAGATACCATGACAAAAATCAAACCTTCTTTCCAGCCATCGGACTCCCCTTCTTCATTTGTTTCACATCAATCTCCCGAACAGAAAACCGCATCTTATGCACAAACATCGCTCCCTTCTCATCTCATTGTCTCCTCTGAGCAGTCATCCTCTTCGTACTATTCCTTATCTACTGCCGGGTCCATGCCAAATCAGCTGCCTGTACAAACAACGATGGATCCTCACGAATCCATGGTACCCCAGCTTCCTGTTCTGCCTTTACCAGCACTGCCGCCATCCTCTCCTTCGCAACCCCAGCGTCAAAACCCCCCTTCTGCTAAAGATCGGAGGGAAGAACTTCCAAAAGGGCGTAAAACCGCAAAGAAGAAACAACAGCCACAGCAGTCATTTGAGCAGGGTTCATTGCAGGAACCATCGACAGCCGCCCAGGGTACTCATGCATCTGTTCTAAAAGATTCGATATATTCAACCACCGCGGCAACAGGGACGACTCTCCCGCCAGTCAAACAAAAAGTGAAAGATTTGAACGCCATCTCGATCAATGATTTTATAGCCGCGCTAAAGCATGAGACCGTCTTCCTTCGTAAACAATATCTGGTGGATATTACCCCTTTACTGGAAAATTTGACGGAATCAGCAGGGTTTACTCAACTTGGACGGGCCATTTGTGAACGAGTTCTTGAAGGGACTACATTTAATTTCAGGCAAGTGTTAACTTGCAGTGCAAAACAGCGGAAAAGTCAAAACGGGAGGGACAAGATAAAAGCGCTTTGAATTGGGCAGGTGACTGAATACATGATTCCTTTAGTCTCAAAGACCAGAGGCGATCCACGAAGCATCCCAATACATTGTCGACTTTACGTTACTATTGCTCTCAGCGCGCAGATATTGCGAAAGCCCGGAAAATGGAGAGCGGCAAAATGTCTAACCGTTATACTTGCTCCGGAGCGTTAACAATGATCGTGGACCTTGTTAAGCGGACAGCGCAAATTACGCTTATCCATAAACAACCGCATCCTCCATTTGGCGGTCATCAACCTACGCAAAACAACAAGGGGAATCAACGACGAAATCAAGCGAAACAGGGCAAAAAGAAGCAAATGAAACAGGTGGAAGAACAGTTCAAACTGCTGAAGCAAAAAGTGACGGATTTCGGACAGTTGCTGGATGCGCAAAGACCGCTCTTAAACCAGGATTTTATAGATACAGCAATAGAAGCGTTTGCCGAAGTTAACCAAATGCTCGTTGCTTGTCAAGCGGCCGAACAAAACCCCATGCAAGCCGAAAATCGATACACATCCCAATATAATAAAAAGAGTCGCCACATCGAAAGTTGAAGAAACCCGGGAGAATGGACTATGTCAGATAATGATCTACCTTTTTTCTCTTCGAAAATCGCTTTGGTCGGATGTGGGTCAGTGATTGTTCTTACTGTCTCTCTTTGTCTGTTCACAATCAAGTTACCGCAGAAACGGCGGTAGGAATTAGTTGGCATTCTAGATAACAAGATGGATGGTGAGAATGTTCGATGGGGGCCGGGAGTAGATTACTGCAACCTATTGCATTTGAGTTGGCGAGCTTTAATCTAAGCAAGCAAATGCCGAAAAGAGCAGTTGCAGTCAAAATCTTGCATCAACGTCTGGAGTTCCACTAGTCTTGGACCTTACTCATAGCCAAGTATCATTCGGTGTATATTAGTTATTGAGTGACGAATCCTAGGGAATGGTTTGATACAGGTTAACGAACCATTGCCATGCCAAATCCCATATCTCAAGGAGAACCCCCAGATTAAGTAGGCTGTCAAGAGATCATGGACAGACCAAACACAGATATTTTGGCCAATACTACAGACACTTGGTTTTCGGCCAACACTTGGTACACTCCAAAACTCACTCCAAATTCACTTCAATTCACTCCAAAATCTAGTGTGACGTCACTCGATGAAAATTGGAGTACACTCCAAAAGTTGGATGTCTGAATTTATACACTGAGCCTGACACTGAAGACTAAGACCTTTTCTTTTCTGAATTTTTTTTTTCCAAGATCGCCTTTTTCTAACTACTATCATAACTAACATCTCAAATATTTCTGCTGCTGCTGAGGCTTTTAATGATCTTGTATACTGTAAGTGAAGGAAAATAATGCAGTTACTGTATCCTACTGTACATGAATATTATTCAGCTGCCGACACTCTCAACACTGCTGCCAAATACATACAGAAGTTCAATGTTGTACTTGGTGTCGAAAGATTGAACAGTATAGAAATCTGGTTTACCTGCAAGCATTTTAGTAAATGTACAGTGACTCAGGAAATTGATCCAATGTTTGCCGATTTTTTACTTTATTGCAATTATCTTCACAACCACCATATCTATCCACCCCAAATAAAAAATATGTTGTAGCTATAACTCCTAGCTTTAAAATAAAAAAAAGATAAAGATTCTAGCATAAGTAGATGATGAGTAATTAAGGTTTCCACACGACCGCTCATTGGATCAATTTTCTGAGTTGCACTTACTTATTGAATCAATAATCAATCTGTCCACCTTTGGCCTTGATGACCGCCTCCAAACGTCGAGGCATGGTGGCAATATACTTCTGGCATGCCTCCTTTGTCACCTTGTTGTACCAGATATAATGGACCCACCTCCATAGCTCTTCTATTGATGTGGGTGCTTCATTATAATCAGCAAGCTGACACTTCAGATAATACCACATATTTTCAATGGGATTTAGATCAGGAGAGTAAGGGGGCCACTGGAGTACTTCAATACCCTTGGATTCAAACCATGCTTTTGCTTTTTTGGATGTGTGCTTAGGGTCATTGTCTTGTTGAAAAATGATATCATCAATCTGCATACCATATTCTCGAAGGCTACCAAGCATATCATCCTCCAAAATATCACAGTATAAAGCTGCATCCAATCCTCCTTCAATTTTGGTAATCAAACCAGGGCCATTGGCAGTAATGCAACTCCAAAGAAAGAGACTGCCGCCTCCATGTTTGGTAACATGATTGACGTTGTGATCTCTAAGTGGTTGCCCCTTCTATGTCCATGTCCACTGCTTACCATCTGATCCCAAGTGATTGATTTTTGTTTCATCAGAAAATACCACTCTGTTCCAGTCTTCAACAGTCCAAGAATAGTATCTTTTTGCAAAGGCAAGGCAAGCTTTCTTTCTGGAGGGAGTCAAGGGCAAGGCGTCAGGTTTATGCATGAACTTACTGTATAGTTGTTGGCCTGCAAAAAGTCCCGAATTGTCTGGGGAGCAATAGGCGTGGTGGAGGAGAGTTGTCTGCTGGCGTCCACAGCCGTTTTATACTCCCCAGTGTTGAAGCGTCGAAGGATCAGGCGTCCCAATTGTGTGGTAATCAGCGATGATCGTCCAGTGGAATTAGTGGCAGGAATGCCTAATTGCTTGCGAATTCGTCCGACTGTGGAAACACTGACATTGAAACGTGAAGCAATAACTCTGTGAGAAACGTTCTCGCGAAGTTGTTGTTCAATGTTGTTGATTTTATCTTGTGAAATCGGATGCATCTACAGATGATCATGTTAATTAGGTCAATTAGGAATCGGATGAAGGAATTGAGCGAAATGGATGCGGATTTCACCTTGAATCGGAATAAATAACTGAAAGAAGTGAGAAGGAGAAAAAATTCGGTGATTCTATTTACTTATTGTGACTGTCCGCAAGAAAAGTAGGCAACTTAGGAAATTGATCCAATGAGTACTTGTGCGGAAAAAACGATTACTCCTCATCTACTTATGCTAGAGACTTCATCTTTTTTTTGTTTTAAAGCTATGAATTAGGGCTACAACATATTTTTTTAACGGAAACGATACGTATGACAGTTGTGGAGATAATTGCAATAAAGTAAAAAATCGGCGAACATTGGATCAATTTCCTGAGTCACTGTAGAATCTATACAGTGGTAGTAAAAATAGTTCTTGAGATTGTGATTTTTTGACGTTTTTATGACTAGGCAGATTTTCTACATAAAATCTACAATTTTTTTTTCCATTCCTATAATCAGTGACCACTTTTTTCCTATGGTGCGATTTTTCAGTCACCTTATGTCAGTTCTTCTTATCCTCATTTAAATAACTTCATGAAGGCATCTTGAGAACTGTTCTTGTCTGTGATAGAAATGCAAATGCCATTGCAAAAATATGTACTATATATAAAACATATGAACGTTTTTTAAAAATGGATAAACAACAACATCTTAATGTAATAAGCAAAACAGAAGTCTTTAAAAAGTATCTTCATACTAGTATTCTTAAATTTACCTTTCTTTAATTACTATTTTATAATCACAACCATAACATATACCAAAAACTGACTGAAGATAAGCTTAACAGTATTAAAGTGTATCTTTTAAATAGCAAAAGCTTAAAGAAAACTGTGGCTGCTTTGTACTTGTCTGTTATTATTGTTTCAAAGTATGTAAACAGCTACTCTCTGATCATACTAATGGTGATGCTGGGTAGTCTTCACTTTTCTTGAAAACCATGGCCGCCTCTATATGATATAGATACTGTAGATAGAGATATTGAGTATAATAAGACTGTTGTTTATTCTCGAAAGAGATGATCTCTTCAGGATCTGATATTCAAGAATACTGTAATAACTGATATCAGGATTTAAATATGCAAATAGTGTATAATTACTCTAGTGTTTCTTATCTGCTTAAACTAATATAATTCTTACTGTATGTAGTGGCATACAGTAAAAATCCTATCTACTGTATATACTGTAATATTCTGTTCATAGAAAAGCCCTCATAAAAAAACTTAAGACTGCTATTGAGGTACTGTATATAGTACAAGTACTACAGTACTGTGGCTGCCAGATTTTTAATGATACTACAGTATGAAAAAGGAAGACAACAGTATATGAAAACACAGTCTAAAGCTAACCACATGTTATAGGAGTAGTGTTATGCACTGATTACAGAAGGATCAGTACAAGCTGGATAAGAGGATGGTGTTAAGTGCTTTCATAAGACAAGGATAAGATAAGATAAAAAAAGAAATACTGTAAAACAGAAATAAGAAACAAGAATAGAAATAGGAAAAGAACCAAGACAAGGACAAAATAGTATGAGAGAATATACAATTCTTGACTGAGATTTATTTCATAAAAGAGATTGGATATTTACAGTATACTAAAAGATGCGAAATAGAATAGACTACAATAATAAAATAAATAAATGAAATGCAGAACATAACATGAAGTAACACATACTGTAGATCAATGATAGAGAAGAACATACTATAAGAACAAGTATAGAAGTAAGTACATAGACTAGCATGGCAACAGTAAAGGTGTGCTTGGACCAATAATGCACATGGTCATGCATTATTGCTAAGACAACATGTACAGTATGCGGGAATGGTCATAACAAGTAGTCATCAAAAGTGGCTCTATGTTTGCAATTTTTAGCTTTACAACATTATATCTCAGCATCTACAGTACCAACTACTGTATAAAATATAGTGGTAGTAAAAATGGTTCTCAAGATTGTGATTTTTGATGTTTTTATAGCTGGACGGATTTTCCATATAAAATCTGCAATTTTTTTTCTATTTCTATAATCAGCAACCACTTTTTTATTATAGTGCACATTTTCAGTCATCTCACGTCAGTTACTTTCTATTTTTATTTCAATTACTTCATAAAGGTATCTCGAGAACCATTCTTGTCTTTAGTTAAATCCAAACTAATAACAGGTACTGTATGTCCACTCTTAGCCTTTATTACAGCTTCAACTCGTGCAGACATACTCTTAATATACAGTACTGTACTTGTGGCAGGTACTACAGAAAAAGTTTCCCACTCTACTTCCATATGATCTCACAATTCATAGACACCTTTAGCCTGGCAATCATAAGCACTCAATTTCAACTTTAAGTAGTGCCAGATGTGCTCAATCGGATTAAGATCCAGCGACTAAGCAGACTAGGGCAAAACAGAATACTGTTGCAACTCAAGGTACGCCTTAGTGTACTTGCTGATATGTTTCAGATCATTGTCTTGCTGGAAGATTATGGCATCTTCAGTAAAGCCAAAATGGTTGATTGTGCACTGCAAAGTAGTATCCAAGATATGGACATAGTCCTTCTTTTTTATAGTATCATCAAAAATCTGACAGCCATATCCAAGCTCTTCATAAGTGAGGCAATCTCACATTATAATTCTACCTTTGCCATGTTTGACAGTAAGATTAAAATGATGGAGTTTCAAGTGATCACCAGGCTGTGACCAGCAGTACTTGACACCATCAGAACCTCAGACGTTGATCTTAGTCTTGTCTGACCAAACAACTTGCTTCCAGTCATCAATAGTCCAATTTTGGTGGGCTTTTGCCCACTCCAGTCTTACCTTCTTGTGCTTGGCAGTAAGGAGAGGCTTCTTTATCTTAAAGTGGGATTTGAAGCCTAATCTCTTCATCAGATTATGGATAGATGAGTAGCAGCAATCAATGCTGAGACCCAAGACAGTACTTGTATACCTCAAAGCAGTCTTAAGTTCTCCTGTGAGGACTTTTCTATGAATAGAGGTGGCC